CATATTGGTAAAGCTTCAACTATTTCTAGAGGTGCTGTTCCAGGTCAAAAAGCTGGTTTAATCGCTGCTAGAAGAACTGGTTTATTAAGAGGTTCTCAAAAAACTCAAGATTAGATTAATAATTAAATAAAATAACGATTTACAATTTAAAAGACATGGTCTTTTCTGTGCATTAATATATAAAAACTATCAAATCTCGTATCTTCTGTTCTCTTCATTCAAGTATACGCTCTTAAGGTATCAAAACCCCGTTCCAGATTTTGCGTCTCGTTAATGGCTACTTTACAGGTGTAAAATATGCTTATCGGACTGTATATAAGTTGTCAAAAGCATATGGCAAAGAAAAGCAGTTACGTGGATATTCTAAGGGGAAATTACTTTAAAAGTGGGTAAGAAGATTTACCTGTCAATTATGTCACCTCCAGGGAACTCAACACCGATTTGCTATTGTTAAAAAAAATCGCTATTCATACCTTTTTAGAGAAATGAGTAATCGGTGGGGTTGAGGAAAGGCATTTTTCGATAAGCCTTAAAGTCAGGGCAGGAGAAGAGACTAGATTTTAAACTAATTTCAACTTAAAAGTTATCGATTAGTGGAGTTATGTTGTGTTTTTGGCGGTTGCCTGGATTCAATAACATTTAAACTTATCAAAAGGTTTACCGAAAAGGTAATTGTATATCCCATCTCATCGCATAATATTATTGAACCAACTTCCATTTCTTAACTCCTACTTGTCAATTTACGAATAATCTGGAAATCAGGTTTAGGTAGTTCATATCATATTTGTAGTTTAAACTCAATATCCTTCATGACTCATTTTTACATTTTGGGTGTAAGGTTATATTCGTTGATTATGCTATGTAACTAAAAATTGAGTATAGAATTGACCATATGACTAACCCAATCTTTTCTAGATTAACCTAACTTCTACAAACAACTTGATCGTACGGTCTAGATTCCAGCATCTCTAAGTATCTTCCCCCAAAATCCTTTATCTCCATAACGTTTCAGGTACCCTTGGTTGCAAAAAGTTTTGGCGATGGAGCCGTCTATAGAGACGCACTAATATAAAAGGATTAAAATCCGCTCTTCGAATTTTTCCAAAGGATATAATGGTTGATAATCTATCTTGCCCCGTTTGGGAATATGATGATATCACCCAATGTACTAAAGATGACATTCTTAATTATAAGATGTTATTAATACCATTGGTTGGTTCATTCGTTCTTTTATCTTTTAAATCCTTACAAAGTTTATCAAAGAAATCCCATAAAATTGAAATTGTAGAAGAAAACAGACCTTTATTAGCTTCTAATAATACTACTAAATATACTGATGATAATGAAGACAATGAAATATATGATGGTGCATCTATGAAAGCCAAACATTTTGATTTAACCAAATTGGAAAATTTAGACAGTGAAGGCAAACCTCATGGTGAATCCATTATAGTAGGTAAAAATACTTACGAAAGGTTAAGAATATGTGTTGAATATTTGTTAGTAGTTTTGCAATTTATTGTATCAGTTTCAATGTTTTTTATCAAAGATTTCTCCCAAGAATTCAATTTTAATCAAAAATTGACCAAATCATTATTTTGGGGTTATTTATTCATTATTGGAACTTTTAGAATCATTAACATTAATCAAGTTAAAATCAAATTACCAAGTTTATTTGCTCATTCTACTTTATTATATAGTTTTAACGTTATTCCAGCAATTATTATCTTCAGATCGGTGTTAATCGGACATATTACAGACAGAGTTATTAAGAATTATTATATCTTGAACTTCATCGTAAGTGTTACATTGTTCATTTCAAATATTACTGCTGAAGTTGGTGATAAACCAGCTACTGTTTATATCACTAGTGATGGAGCCATTCCATCTCCTGAAAGTACTACTTCAATTTTTTCCTTTGTCATCTATTCATGGATTGATAAATTAATTTGGAAAGGTTACAAAACTACCATCAATGAAAAAGATGTTTGGAGTTTAATGGAAAGTGATTATGCTTTAAATGTATTGAAAGGTTTTGAAGCTGCGAAAACTACTTCAAGATTCGCTATCAAAGTATTTGCCCATTTTAAAGGGTTATTCGCATTACAAGCCGGTTATGCTATTATTGAATCTTTCCTTGTTTTTACTCCAACTTTATTATTGAAACATGTTTTAGAATATGTTGCTGATCCAACCTCAATGCCAAAAAATGTCGCTTGGACTTTAGTTATATTAATGTCCTTCTGTAAGGTCATTGATTCTTTAACTTCAGGTTGTTCATTATTCATCGGTAGAAGAGTTTGTTGTAGAATCAAAGCTGTTATTATCGGTGAGGTTTATGCCAAAGCTTTAAGAAGAAAGATTACTGTTTCAAATTATGATGGTAATGATAAAGATGACGATAAAAAAGATGATGACGATAAAAAGGATAACAAGGATAAAGATGAAAAAACTACTGCTGAATTAGGTGCCATTATCAATTTAATGGCCATCGATGCTTTCAAAGTTTCTGAAGTTTGTGGTTATTTACATTTCTTTAGTGGTTCTATTTTCATGATTTTCCTTTGTCTTTACTTATTATATGATTTAATCGGTTGGAGTGCTTGGGCTGGTGCTTTAGTTATTTTTGCTGTTTTACCAATCAATTATAAACTTGCTATCTGGTTAGGTGATTTACAAAAGAATATGTTAGCTATTACTGATAAAAGAATTCAAAAATTGAATGAAACTTTACAAAGTATTAGAATTATCAAATTCTTCGCTTGGGAAAAGAATTTCTTTGAAGATGTTATGGAATTAAGAAATCAAGAATTGAAGAAATTAGCCTTGAGATATTTATCATGGGCTTTTGGTTCAGTTATTTGGTTCACTACTCCAACTTTAATTACTTTAGTTTCATTTTATTGTTATGTTATCATTGAAGGTAATACTTTAACTGCGCCAATTGCTTTCACTGCTTTATCATTATTTACCTTATTAAGAGGTCCATTAGATCAATTAGCTGATATGACTGCTTTAGTTATTCAATCTAAAGTTTCTTTGGATAGAGTTGGTGATTTCTTAGCTGAACCTGAAACTTCAAAATATGAACAATTAACTTCTCAACCAGGTCCAAATTCTCCAAAAATTGGTTTTGAAAATGCTACATTTGCATGGAACAAATCCGAAGCCAATTCTTTCAAATTAAGAGATATCAATGTTGAATTCAAAGAAGGTAAATTAAATGTTATCTTTGGTGCTACTGGTTCAGGTAAAACTTCTTTATTATTAGCTTTATTAGGTGAAATGGATTTAATTGAAGGTAAAGTTTTCTTACCAGGTTTCTTACCAAGAGATGATTTAGTTGTCGATAAAGAAACTGGTTTAACTGATTCTGTTGCTTATTGTGCCCAATCTGCTTGGTTATTAAATGATACCATTAGAGGTAATATTCTTTTTGGTGCTCCATTCAATCAAGATCGTTATGATGAAGTTATTGATGCTTGTGGATTAACTAGAGATTTACAAATTTTATCTGCTGGTGATCAAACTGAAATTGGTGAAAAAGGTATTACTTTGTCTGGTGGTCAAAAACAAAGAGTCTCTTTAGCAAGAGCTTTATATTCTAATTCTAAAACTATCATTTTAGATGATTGTTTATCAGCTGTCGATTCTCATACTGCTTTATGGATTTATGAAAATTGTATTTCAGGTCCTGTTATGGATAACAGAACTTGTATTTTAGTTTCTCATAATGTTGCTTTAACTGTTCAAAATGCTGATTGGATTATTATGATGGAAAATGGTAGAATCAAAGATCAAAATACTGCTGAAAAATTATTAGCTTCAGGTATTTTAGGTACTGATGATTTAGTTAAATCATCAGTATTAAATTCCAGAAATCAATCATCTTCAGATTTAACTAAAGCTGATAAAAACAGTGATTTGAAAGCTAAATCTGCTGTTATCGAAGCTAAACTTCAAGCTTTTACTGATTCCAATGCTACTGAAGCTGACGATAAAGATCTTGCCACTAAAACTGATGGGAAATTGATTGAGGAAGAAGAAAGAGCTGAAGGTGCTGTTTCTTCAACTGTTTATACTGGTTATTTGAGTTTCTTTGGTGGTTATTTCACATGGATTGGTCTTTGTGCTGTTTTCTTATTAGCTCAAGGTATTTATATTTTACAATCTTGGTGGTTAAGAAAATGGGCCATGCAAAGTGAACAAGCTACTATGATTAAATCTGTTATTACTAATTTCAGTGGATCTCCTACTGCATTCGGTATCAAAAGCAATTTTGTTGTTCAATCAATGATTCAAGTCAAGAATTCTGTTGATCAATTAGCTGCTGAACATCCTCCAATTTATTATATCATTATTTATGGTGTTATTGGTTTCCTTTATGCATTCGTTTCTTCGGCTAAAGTTCTTATCACTTTCTTTGCTGGTATCAGAGCTTCCAATAAAATGTTTATTAAAGTCTTACAATCTGTTCTTAATGCTAGATTAAGATTTTTTGATAAAACTCCTATTGGTCGTATTATGAATAGATTTTCAAAAGATATTGAAGCTGTTGACCAAGAATTAACTCCATTTGCCGAATATACTTTTGCTTGTCTTGTTACCTGTGGTTCAACATTATTCTTAATTACTTTCATTACCCCAGGATTCTTGATTTTTGCTTTCTTCATTGCTTTAATCTACTACCTTATTGGTGTTTTATATATCTCATTAACTAGAGAGTTGAAAAGATTCGAATCTGTTACCAAATCACCAATCCATCAACATTTCTCCGAATCATTAGCTGGTATTGCTACCATTAGAGCTTATGGTGTTGAATCAAGATTCATGAGACAAAACATCAATAAAATCGATGCTAACAACAAACCTTTCTTCTACTTATGGGTAGCTAATAGATGGTTAGCTTTACGTATTGATGCTGCTGGTGCTTTGGTCACTTTATGTGCTGGTATTTTTGTTTTATTATCTGTTGATTATTTGGATGCTGGTTTAGCCGGTTTATCTTTAACTTACGCTATTGCTTTCAGTGAAAGTGCTTTATGGATTGTCAGGCTTTACTCCAATTTGGAAATGAACATGAATTCTGTTGAAAGATTACAAGAATATTTTGAAATCGATCAAGAACCTCCACATGAAATTCCTGAAACTGAACCAAGAGCTTCATGGCCAGAAAATGGTGAAATTGAAGTTGAAGATGTTTCTTTGAGATATGCTCCTGAATTACCAAGAGTCATCAAAAATATTTCATTCCATGTCAAACCAAAGAATAAAATTGGTATCGTTGGTAGAACAGGTGCCGGAAAATCAACTATTATTACTGCATTTTTCAGATTCTTAGATCCTGAAACTGGTAAAATCTTAATTGATGGTGTCGATATTTGTAAGATTGGTTTAAGAAATTTGAGACAAGCTATTACTATTATTCCTCAAGATCCAACTTTATTCACCGGTACTATTAAAACTAATTTAGATCCATTCGGTGAATTCACCGATAAACAAATGTTTGAAGCTTTAAGAAGAGTCAATCTTGTTTCTTCTAATGAATTATCATCGTCCCCAGCATCACAATCATTGACTGAAAATAGAAATCAATTCTTGGATCTTAATTCTCAAGTTAGTGAAGGAGGTTCTAATTTATCTCAAGGTCAAAGACAATTGATGTGTTTAGCCAGATCATTATTAAGAAATCCAAAGGTTATTCTTTTAGATGAAGCAACTGCTTCCATTGATTATGAATCTGATGCTTTAATTCAACAAACAATTAGAGAAGAATTTTCTAATTCAACTATTTTAACTATTGCCCATAGATTAAGATCAATTATTGATTATGATAAAATCTTGGTTATGGATGCCGGTAAAGTAGTGGAATATGATGATCCTTATACTTTAATTGCCAATAAAGATAGTTTATTCCATAGTATGTGTGACAATAGTGGTGAATTAGATACTTTAATTAAGTTAGCTAAAGAAGCTTTTGTTACCAAGAAGAATACTAAGTAAATATTCAATCTATAGAAAATCTTAATATATGTGAAATGTAATTGAAGAATCTAAGTAACCAGCCTTTATGTCATGCTTTGTAAAAAAAATGTAAATGTGGCAGGAAATCCATTGAAGTAGTGCGGATGTGGCTCACATTCTCTGTACAACCGATAAGCATTTATCGCGGATTTGTTATCTTCATCCAACTTTACCAAACAAAATTTCTTCAAATCCAAGATGAATGGCGGTTATCAACATCTAAAGAGTCAGGATATCATACTAGAAGAAGAATTGTCTTATAACAATAGCAGATCAGCTTTACTTGATCCCTTGGATACTCTTCAAGGGACTACCATCCCAATTGGAGAATTAGAAGAAGCTCCTCAAGGTAGACATATGGGGGTGTTTTCTGTGATGGTGATGTATATCTCACGAATCCTAGGTTCCGGAATCTTTGCTACTTCATCAGCAGTATATGAGAGTTGTGGAGGATCACCTTTTCTTTACTTTTTAGCATGGTTTTTTGCTTATATTTTGGCGATAAGCGGTCTTTATATCTACTTAGAGTTAGGTTCTTTGATTCCAAGAAGTGGTGGTACAAAAGTGTTTTTAGAAGTTATTTATGATAAACCTTTCATGTTAGTGTCGGTGATATTCCTGATTTACACTGTTTTATTTGGATTTGCATTACTGGGAGCTTTAATCTTTGGTGAATATTTCCTTGATTTCTTAAATATTGAGGTCAATGAATTCAGAAGTAGATTGACAGGTTTCATGTTTGTATTGTTTGCTTGTGTATTTCATAGTGTCAGTCTTAAACATGGATTGTTTGTTCAAAATTTCATAGGTGCTTTGAAAATTGTGTTATTGGTGATCATGACATTAACTGGATTATATGTCTTTTTACCATCATCATTCACTGGAATAGAACGTCAGTTACATAGTGAAACTTTTTTTGAAATTAAGGGTGACGTTAGTGTAGCATCAATGACCAATGCAATTATCATGGCATCATTCACTTTGGCTGGTTGGAATTTAAGTCATGCTAGTTCTAATGAAGTAAAAGATCCGAACAGAACTTATAAAATTGCTGGTCCGTTATCCTTGTTAATTGTTATCTGTGGCTATACAGCTTTCAATATCTCCTACCTTTGGGTATTAACTGATGAAGAAATGGTCAAAAGTGGTAATTTGGTAGGTGCGGCTTTATTTGCAAAAATCTTTGGTTCCAATTTTGGGTCTAAATTTTTGACCTTTTCCATAGCTGTTTGTACTGGTGGTAACATTTTTGTGGTCATTTATTCGATTTCAAGAATGAATCAAGAAGTTTTCCGTGAAGGTTTCTTACCATTCTCGAAATTTTTAGCATCGAATCAACCTTTTGGAACTCCAATGAGGTCGATAGGTGTTTCCTTAGTTTTAACTGGATTCTTATTAGCCACTGTGCCTGAAGGTAATTTTTATAGATACCTTGTTTCTGTGGAAGGATATCCTGTTCAAATCTATACTTTAGCAGTTGCTGTTGGTATAATTATACTCAGAAAGAGGTACCCTGGTAGCAGAGCTCCCATCAAAACTCATATGGTTGGAGTTATCATTACCATAGTGTTCTCTTCATATTTATTAATTGCTCCTTTCTGTTCCAGGAACGGTGGTAATCCAAAGGGAAGTGAATCTTGGGTACCTTATCCGATCATTTCACTTCTTGTATTATTGATTTGTATCATATATTGGCTGATCAAATTTGTATTCTTTCCCTGGTGGAATGGCTATTCGTTAGTACCTGAAGCAATAGAATTAGAAGATGGCTTAAAGGTAAAACAATGGAATAAAGTATCTGCTAGATATTTTGGGTGATTTCATATACATTTATAGACAAATTAACTACCAAATAGAGCATTCTCCAATATTTCTATAGTCTTGACAAATTCCTGGTCTGACAATAACTCTTTGACATAATCCTTTATTTGAGCTTTATTCATTTTTTTCAAATCTGTCGATTTTTTGGAGATTTTCCCTTTGGTTTGAACACCTTTATCAATCTTTCTAGATTTGGGATTAAAGATCTCTTCTTGTATTTGGGACATGATAGAAGTATTGGGAGTTACTCCTTCTGGATATTGAGATGAATAGATATTGTATATGTTGTCGTCAATTGTCAATCCTCTTGTGGATTGATTTGATGGGAATTGATGTCCCACATAATTTGAAACGAGGCCCTGACTTTGGTGGATAGGTAATTGGCTCGCTTGCGGCTGTTGATAGTCAATACTACCAAAGGTTAAATCATTGGCTGACCCTTCCAATTGATTGGGAAAGACCGTATCTAATTGACTTATCTGAGTGTGATATAATGGTGTGTCTCTTACTTCGCTTCCGATCTGTTTCATTGATTCCGGCTGCAACGACACTTCGCTCACCACTTTTCTTGTTCTGTGATGTGGATCTCGACTAGGAAGTATAAACTCACTAACTACGGGAATCGAATTGGAAATATTTTGAGTGGGAGTTTCTTTGGGTGCAACTTCATTGACGATCAAGTTGTGCTCCTCTAAGAATTCTATGAGCTTATCGTAGGTATTCTTCTCTTCAAAGCTTACTTGAAACCGTGATACAGTTTTACCTTTCTCATCAGTAAGTTTGAAGCCTACCGCTGGGTATTTAGTCATAAATACTGCCCTTGGAATTCTAAATGGTTCCAAATAAACTTTTTCCTATTGAATTAGTACAAACGCCTCAAAATCAACTGCAATGGTTGAACTTACTAATCTTTCACCTCTGAAATAAACATATATACCAATATTCCTATTATTTACTACAAAGGTTATCATTAAGGAACTTCTCTGAGGAAAATGATACCAAGTGTTGATGGGAGTGTTGACTGGTATATTACCGAACTCTTCTGGAACACTTAAGACATATTTTGAAAATTTCTTCATATTAAATGAACAAACCTTAGACATAGCGGTTAATAGTGAAAGCTGCAAAAAACGAGAATCGGAAAGTAAAAATACCTGGAAAAAAAATTCCTTGCTTTTGTTTGTCCGCTATTAAACCAATATGTCCAATCGATGGCTAGATGTCACCAAAATCCTATGAAAGAGTAATAAATACTGGCACTGACGAAATTACCCTTTTGGTCAAATGAAGGTTTTTTGCAACTTATCTAAAAAATCAAACGATCTCGCGTTATTGTGCCTACATACAATTCTCGTTCTGACACCATAAAATCATGAATCTGAATTTATTTGAATTGACAAAATACTATTGGAATGAGGTTGATATCTGCCTAACCAAATTCATAGGCTCGACAAGTATAACCCAGGATCTATTAAATACTCCTTGGAGTAAATATATTACAGAATCAATAATCATTACTTCCATTGTACTTATAATTTACGAACTGATATACTGGACAGGAATTCATTTTAAACTATGGGAATACCATGCCAAGGATATATTTACAGAAGTCCCAATACATTGTGCTCATGTTTATGTTAGATTGAACGTTAGTTCACGAGATAAAGCCAAGTATATTGATGAATACTATGAATTGAAACAAAATTCCAAATACAATATTTTGAACTGGAAATGTTTGAGTGATAAGAAAGAAGAAGCTTTCACTAACGAGGAGTTTGTAAAATATCATTTTGAGTTCAGCCCTGAAGATTTTGAAATGAATCAAGAGCCTGAATTTGGTTCGACCATTTCTCACTTAAGATCTAAGATCTTGGAGTTATTCAAGTCATCTAAAGTATTTGAAAAATATGTAGACGGTCAAGATTCGAAGGATGTGATAATCTTCAACAAACATTCAGAAAAAATAACCAATGACAAAGATAATGAATATTTAGTCAAATGTTCGATTGAAACCGGTGATGTGATAGATTGTATTATAATCTGTCCTTAGAGCTTTAATATATGTATATTCTTGAACCTTCATTAAACATGCTTTTTATCATTAGAAAGATATTTCCAATTAGAAATTCTACTTTCAGTCACTGACCAAAGTTTGACCAACCTTTCTAATTTGGATTCTAATGCTAGTTCTTGCAATTTCAAATTGCCTTCATCATTAGATTCATCATTAGATTCATCTTTTTTGGATGCTCCTTCTATTATTTCGTTGATATCTATTTCTTCATCATTAGAATCATTATATTCCCGTATTTCATCCATATCAAGATCTTCCATATTGAAGTTTGTATCGTTTGAATAATTGATTTTATCGAAATATTTTTGATCGTTTTCAAGACTTTCGGGGTAATCATCAAATTCGTATTCCTTGTTCAAATCTAGAATAGCTCTATTGACTAATTTATAACATTGTGATCTTAAAGATAAGTCAAATAATGATCTTAATTCTTCAGGTAAATCCTTTTGTTCATCAATGGAACCTAAACTGGGATCAAAATTGAAACATAACAAACTCATAGTAATTTCCAATTCTCTTAATAACTTAAAAGACTTGGTAACTTTATTTATCAAATTCTGTCTGACAAATAATAGAATATCATTTAAAAATTGTTTCTCAATATCGTTAGAACTGCTTGGGTTTTCAAGCTTATGATTCCTAATCATTTCAATTACATTCAATCTTAATAGTTTAAAATGTAAGAGATTGTTTGAATCCAATACCATGGGGAAATATTCACTTATCTTTTCTATGGCTTTGGTTATTTCACCTTTCAAAATCAAATATTTGATTTCTCTTCTTTCGTTGATTGTTGAATACCCTTTCACAGTCTTCACATTCTTGTCATATACTTTCAGTTCCCCTTCAAACTTGTAATCTTCAATGAGTTTTAATAATGCACTGTTATCATCAATTGCCTTGAGCTTTTGTAAAAATTCATTGGATTTAGTTGATGGACTGGATAATTGACCGGTCTTATCTATCAAGTCTATATTGGTTTCTTTGGAGAACATTATGGCTGCGTCCTTATAACCTTCTTGAATAAAATAGTTCAATATCAAACTATCTATCTTCTTCTTATACATCATGCTTGATAGTTCGCAAATCGCATTTCCTTGATAAGAGAGAAATCGTAAATGTTCTATATTTATAACTTTTCTTAGAGATTTTCAGGAAGTTTCATCATAAGAACCACACTTGAAGTCCAACCAAGGAAATTTTTAGCACCCTTGGCTTCACCGGTAATATCATCGTATTGTTCCCAAACAAATCCTGTTCTTTTCCATTCTTTAAAGATATTATTGACCAAGTTCAAACGTAAATCATGATATGTGGTAGCTAACTTGGTTTTCAAAGTCTCTGGCATGGAAGGACTCGATTCGTAATAATATTTCAAACCATCAACGATAAGATAGTTGATATTAATCCAAATAGGTGATCTCCAATAATCTTCTCCTGTCTTATAAGTTGGATCAGATTTAGATACTGATCTAATACCATAATCTGACCATAATCCTTCCGGATTAGAAATGGCATCCACAAGTTTTTCCAATCTTTCGAAATCAGTGGCACTCATCATTTTGGTAATGAATGGGAATAAGGAAACGTATCCTTCGAAACATGCATGGACTTCTTCGTCATCCTCATTAGCAGTAACATCACAATAGATACCATTTTCTTCTGACCAATGAATAGAGTTCAAATTTTCAACTATTTGTTTTTCTATAGTTTCGTAATATTGGTAATCATCTTGATTCTCCAAAACTCCAGCGATTAATTTAATAGATCTGGTCATAACACCTATCCATGAAAGTAAATCAACATTCAATTCAGCAATATCTGGAGGTAAAGGTCTTGGATAATCATCCAAACCACTAGCTAAACAATGAGTAACTGTTCTACCTCTCCATCTATAAGCTTCAAGGTTAGGATCCCTGTTTAAATCTTCGAGAAATCCTTTTTGAGTTCTACGGAACATTTCATAATGTGACTTCAATTTTGGATAAATGGATTTGGTATAGTTTGTCAACACTTCAGGGTTATTGAGTACAATATCCCCTAAATTATCTTTGGTGAATGATCCATAATCTTCGACAACTTTAGGTTTATCAATATCTGTTTGTAAGTTATCGAGGAGGTATGTAAATACCAACATCAACGTCGGAGGATTGACAATATTAGGACTTTGAGTTTGGAAATCAACAGGAACTCTAGCCCTGGATTCAGGTCCTAAGATTTGTTCTCTGGCAATCCACCCATCCTCATCTATCAAATTGAACCAGGACTGAATGATTTCAAGAACTAAGTCGGAATCGTAATCTAACAAAGGTAATAAATGGAACCCTTCATCCCATAAAAATCCTCTAGGGAAGAACGGTCTTGAAGGCACCAAAGTGAATAATTCATGTGGTCCTTCAAGTTTACCTGTTAATTCGAACTTTTCGAATCCTTCATCATCAAATTCTGTTTCTCTATCAACTAAATGGTCACCGTAGAAATATGAAATACCTCCCAACAATCCTGACACAATTTCTTTAGCGAATGGTTTGTATTCATCGGTATTGAATGGAGGTTGTAAAGCAAACTTATCCGAGAATTTATTGTGGAATTTATTCAAAACAATTTCTAATTTTGACTTGAAATTATCGGATGTGATTTTGTCATGAATAGATGTCATAGCATTATCGAAGATAATATCGAATTCACATTCTCCTTCATAGACTTTCTGAATAAAATGAGTATTCCCATCAAATTTGTTCAAATCTCTGAGAGTGAATGATTGGTATGGGAGAATCTTTTCACTTTTTCTATCTTCAGCAAGTTTTTGAAGTGAATCTTGTAAAAGAGTAATGAAAATATCTTTGGCTTGCCAAATTTGATCATTAGGAATTCTTAAACTCACATGATGGGTCAATGACGAGTCAATGTCTCTGCCTTTTGCTTCGGGTTTAGGATGCTTGTTAGTAGAAGGTCCATCGTTGATGGTAATTGAGAAAAGTCCCAAGTCTTCAGCAGCTCCTCCCAATCTAATAGGTTCAGAATAAGCACTATCGGGATCTCTTTCGATATCTAAATTCAAAATTCCAGACATTTTCTCATGTCCTAAGATGTCAATCTCAGTTACATCACTTTCAAGAGCCGAATACCAAACAAAACAGGTTTTGATGTTTTCGTGGCCTTTATGAGGTTTAGCTCTAACTTTTACCCCCCAAGATTTTCCGTCTTCACTTTTGACAAAATCTATGACCAAATTTATATGTGAGGTTTTGTCATTGATAACTTGCCTTCCTCCGAATCGGGGGTCATAGTAGACCCAATTGGCTTTTTTCATTAAATCACCTTGTTCATAAAAATGTCTCATAGTCCTTACACCATTGAAGTCATCAATGTTAAACCACATCAATCCTGAGAGAAGTGATCTTGGAATTCTTGGTCTGACTCCAAAATAAAGTCCTGATCTATAGGGTCCCCACAATAATGAAGAATCTGATAAATTCTTATATTGACCAGCTAATGATGTATCAATTTCTTGGACCTCTTCATCATACATGTCGAACATTTGAAATTCAGCTACAGTAAAATTTGCTAGGATCCAGAAGCAAATGAAGCTCCCGATGTTGAATAACCTCATGGTTTCTCCGAGTGAATCAAATGAAAAATGCTACAACAGGTAAGTAAAATGCGAAATCTTTTCAGTCGACTTCAGGTCAATGGTTCAGCATTTCTTTGATAAACGTCTGATTTCGGGCCCAGAGTTCTATAGGCATTGACATTCACTCTCTTTTGATAAGAGGATTGTGTATATTCCAAAATAATTCCCTGCAGTATTGGCTGGGACATCATAAAATGTTAGCAGATTCATCTAATCGAAAATGATATTGTGGCTCAGAAATATCCAAACTTATGGTCGAGTGGTTGAGTGGATATCGACTTTTCTTCTAGAAGCTGCTTGTTAAGAGTATTGTTCTGTTGGCGCTTGGCTTACTAAAGAGGCTATTTCCCTAAATTAAAATGTTCCAGCTCGCAAGCTGTCGATTGATGATCCAAAGGATATACCGACTAATACTTCTTCTCCACCTCTGATTATAAGAGATTTCTCTTCTGTATCTACATTGGCCGCCATTCGTTTGTATGTGTAACTTTAAAGGAGGAGGTCTTGAAGCAGTGCGAATTTGAGAAGACTTTTGTACTGATCTCATATTTGAATAACCATTCCCTGGCCGGAAAATTGTATATATGTGGCCCCAGAAGAACGGGCTAGGACAACAGCTAACCTATGGTGTACCTGGGATAGGAACTATCATACCTAGCACAGAAGATCAACCCGAACTACGAATAGAATATCCTCACAGTAATGGTGCAAAATTAAAGAAGGTGCTTGAAAATGCAACAGAGTTACGACCCAGGCAGAACAATCGTGGAATATCAACCGCTAAACAACCAGAAAAGCACAAGAGTAAAAAGAACATTGATCAAACAGTTGCGGGTTTATCTTTTACCGATGATTTAATAAAGACTTATAATAATACGGGACATTCACTCAGTGTAAACGCCTACGATCCTACATTTGGTTCATTACTACAATTCTTTTTCATAAAGAATCATCAGGGTATTTTTCGTAACCGTAGAATGGCTGCATTTGCGTCTGGAGAGAACGGCAATATCTTGGAAATTGCAGCAGTGGAACCAACTGGTGTGGTAGCATATATGGACTTGGAATATCCTGAATTGAAGAATAGCGTGACCCTCACCCTTAAGGAACCTATAAGACAAATATTAGCATATAACATACCTAGCAATGCATCGAACATGAAAGATTTGATCTTAGTAAGATCACAATTCAAAATTTATATATTACACTGTGTTTATAATAAAGCTCATGATGATCTGAGTATTATACTGCTTGTTGGAGAAATTCTGTCCACCGAACTCAAATGCAAACAGTTTGCTGATATTTGTTTCAGTCCTAAAGGCTCACAAATAATGGCTGTAGATGTTGAAGGCACACTTTTCACTATAAGAGTGGATGACAAATTTATAATTACGTGGAAGAAGATCGAAGTCAAACCTGAGTACGCCGACATTTACATTAACAGCTACGAACTCCTGATCTGGCGACGAATTATATGGGTATCTACATCTACCGTTTTCATAGCTTCTAGGTCTTCTTTGATTAAGTTGGATTTGTTACAATCATCAGTACAGAAGATAATCACTTCCGATACTTGGTCTTCGATAAGAGATATCAAAGTTCCCAATGCAGAGAAGGAAGACATGTTTATTTTGACTTCAAAAGAAATCATCTGGGTTTCTACAAAGGACTCCATTCCTCGAAGATTGATAGCTTGGAAACATTTTTTAACTGATAAAGATCCTTCATACAAACTTGAGGTGAAACATACTGAAGGAAAGTTCATCTGTTTAGCTTATTCGCAGATATCTCCTTTAGCAATCACCTTCACATTCGGAAGAGTGGACAATAAACCTTATATTTTATCTTCCCCGTCTATCATTCACGTTTCAGGCAATTCACTGGGGATCCAAACAATAATCATGGAAGAATTGGAAAAAGATTTCTTCAGAAGAGTCAAATCTTCAAAACCCAGAAAAGAGACTCTTTATTCACTTTTCGATATCAGACAAAACTTAGCCATAAGTATTACTACACTCGGATACAAAGAACGTACTCAAAACTATAAAAACCCCCATGAAATAAATTTCGATCAATATTTGGAAGATATAACACTTACAAGTTTGAGACCCTTTGCAGGTAAATATTTTGCAAACCTTACCAAATCTGAAGTTCTTCCATTAATAAAAGATCTTATCAGAGCTCCTGTTTCTAAAGATGACGTTTCCGTGATTCAAAACTTTGCATCGGAATTGGGAATGGGAACATCCAGAATGAAAGCCTCTGAAGAAACTGGTGATCTACAGTATTCGTCTTTGCTTGATTTATCAGTAAATCCACCACCATTTGCCGGTGATCTTGAAGAATTCGATGATATGATCGAGCAGTTAATGGATCATGTTCTGGGTAATAACCTTGAAGCTTCGGAAATTGCTGATAGATTCTTATCAAAGATATTGAATGGTGATGTATCCAACATGACTGTCACCGGTTTGTATGAAGTTATTGTCAAAAAGTACTTCAAATACAGATCTATTAAATTACAAACCAGAGGTTCGTCAACCAAAGTTCTTGCTGTTTTGCTAATTGCTGCTTCAATTAAAATTGGATCTCCGGCTCTACATCAACAATATGAGAAGTTGATCACTAATAATCTTGAAGCTTCCTCGTCAAGTACAAAGGCTATTTTGAAGGATTGGGATAATTTCGGTAAAGTTGTTGAACCAGAGGTATCAACCCAGGCAGGAAGGCAATTTGTTATACCATCGATCAATATAGCATCCCAAGATACTTCCACACAGAAAAGAAAATCGAATTCTAAATCTAAGTCTTTAAGAAAGCGAGCATTGACGGCATCTCAGAGACCATCTCAATTCTCGAGTTCCCAAATTCCAAGTTCCCAAATTCCAAGTTCCCAAATTCCAAGTTCGAATCACCAAATTTCATCACAAATCCCCTCATCACCACCACACCCACCTTCATCATCACCACCAAGATCTTCGCAATCTTCTCAAGCAAATCATTTCAACAGTCAAAGAACATCGCAAATAAACAGCCAAAGACCCTCCCAAAGGAACAGTCAAAAGTCCAAGAGAAAAAGACGTGGGTTCTAGTGTATATTATGTATCATTAATTCATTATCAAATCTGTCTCACTCTTGATCTTTATTATTTGTGATGCTAATTGTTTGGGATCCACTCCTTGGTCCAACAATTTGATACATAATTGTAAAGTGGACTCATCTATCTCATTCACTCCTAGGATTCTGGCCATCTCTAATACCAATCCATTGGCATCTTGTTTGGCAAAGGAACTATCCATTATATAGAGAAATCTAAACGCGAAAAACTGTTTATTTTATTTCTAACTTACACCCGTACACCTACTTAGTTGGATCAGCTTCAAATCTTAAATCCCAACCAATTTTTTCACCGAGAGTTGGTAAAGCTTCAGCTACACTTTGGACATCTTTATCACCTCTACCTGAGACGTTGATAATGATATGTTCATCTTTGGACATGGTTTTAGCTAATTCAACTCCTCCGTAAATAGCGTGAGATGATTCCAAAGCTGGAATGATACCTTCTAATTGTGATAATAATCTGAAACCTATCAAAGCTTGAGCATCAGTGGCAGCCATGAAATCGGCTCTTCCAGAACTCTTCCAATAAGCTAATTGTGGACCTACACCTGGATAATCTAAACCAGCAGATATAGAATGAGTATCATGAACTTGACCATCGTGATCTTGTAAAACATAAGTTCTGACACCGTGGAAAACCCCTGGAATACCAGCTGTTAAAGTGGCAGAATGTCTTTCAGTATCTAAACCATCACCACCTGCTTCAACACCCAACATCTTGACTTCTTTGTCATTTTCAAATGGTGCAAACATACCAACAGAGTTGGAACCACCACCAACACAAGCAACAACAGCATTAGGTAATTTACCACCATTTAATTCTTTGAATTGTTCCTTGGCTTCGCTACCAATAACACTTTGGAAAGTTCTAACTAAAGTTGGATATGGATGAGGACCAATAGCTGATCCAACAACATAATGGGTGGTATCAAGATGAGAAACCCAGTATCTGAAAGCTTCTGAAGTAGCATCTCTTAAAGTTTGAGTACCGTTGGTGACAGCCATGACTTTGGCACCTAAAATTCTCATTCTGAAGACATTCAAAGCTTGACGTCTGACATCTTCAGCACCCATAAATACAAGACATTCCATACCAAATTTAGCACAGGCAGTAGCAGTGGCAACACCATGTTGACCAGCACCAGTTTCAGCAATAATTTTCTTTTTACCTAATCTTTTAGCAATTAAAACTTGAGCTAAAGCATTGTTAATTTTATGAGATCCAGTATGATTTAAATCCTCTCTTTTCAACCAGATTTGAGCACCTCCGGCATGTTCAGTTAATCTTTCAGCTTTGTGGAGAGATGATGGTCTACCAATGTAAGAATATAATGATTTGAATTCTTCCCAGAATGAAGGATCAGCAACGGCGCTTTCAAAAGCTCCTTCTAATTCAGCTAAACAAGTATATAAAGCTTCAGGAACGAATTGACCACCGAAATCACCGAATTTAGGATTGTGTTTATGTTCTTCTTCTAAAACAGGAATAACTTCTCTAGCTGAACCAATTTTATGTTCGTAAGAAGCTGGAGGAGTGAAATCTGAAGATTCACCTAAAATATCTCTAGCGTATTGGTATGCAGCTTCACCTCTTTTACCTGGTTCACTTTCAGCCATTAAAGTGACGAACTTGGATCCAATAACAACAGCTTCGGCGTCTTTACCAACTTCTAAGAAATGTTCTCTAGTAGAAACCCCGAAACCAACAGCTAATGGAGACCCCTTGGCATACTTTCTGACTCTAGCACATAATTCTGGAATTCCAGTAGAAACTTGAGCAGATGCACCAGTTGAAGCCATTCTAGATACAACATAAATGAAAGAATCAGCAATTTCACCTAAAACTTTTAAACGAGCATCGGTAGTAGCTGGAGCCACTAACGGAACATAAGTAATACCACATTTGGCACAAGTAGATCTGAATTGAATGGCTTCTTGTGGTGGTAAATCAACCACAATGAAAGCATCAGCTCCAGCTTCAGCGGAATCTTTGATTAATTTTTCTTCACCATATCTTAAGATTGGATTATAGTAACCCATTAAAACTAATGGAATAGTAACACCTGAAGCTCTGGCCTTTTTAACCAACTCTAAAACCATTGGAACGGTAACACCATTTTCTAAGGCAGTGGTGTTGGCAACTTGAATAGTTGGACCATCAGCGATAGGATCAGAAAATGGAACTCCAATTTCAACGATATCTACACCACCTTTTTGTAATCCTTGTAAGATTGGAATAGTATCATCGATGGTAGGATACCCAGCAGTAATGAAGGTAATCAAAGCACTACGGTTCTCTTTCTTACACCTTTCAAAAGTTTCTTTTAAAGCAGAAGACATTTTAATTTTTTATCTAATCTATCAACTTTTCAGTTCAACTTTTCAACTTTATAATGCGATTTTTCAATGAGTCAGTTCAGGGTAACAAAATCAGAGTGTTACCCTTAACTAACTCTCGCCATGTGGATATGTAAGCAACAGTTCAATGTGAGATGAAGAGGGTGTGAAAGGGATTTGAAATAAAGATGTTTTTCGTATATTATGTCATCAATCGTGGTGAGAGCGTTGGCAATCTTCTCAGTAATATTTTCTTATCGAGATCTCAACATTAACCCCATCAAAAACCTATCATTAACTATGGGAACCAACATATGGCCCCGAGTCCAATTAAAAAATTGAAATGTTCATGCAAATGTGTCTATTTTTTGGCGAACTTATTGATTTGTGGTGTACCATTTGGTTTCTTTTCGTTGGGAATTACTTCAGCTTCATTACCTAGTTTAATTTGAGCTAAATTTATTATTGGTAGGAGTCTATTATATTCTTCACAATAGTTCCTGATGCTTTTTTGAATTGTCTTCAATTTTTCACTTACATTTCTATAGTAATCACCTTGACTTGAACCTTCAGGTATGGTAGCTAATGATTTAACTAACGAAGACATATCATTTCTTAAAACATTGATCTCAAGCTTTAATCTTTCAATCTCATCATAGATCAATGAAGGTTCTATTTTCCCCGACGTTATGTCATCAATCTTTATTATTTCAGGTAGTTCAGCCATTTCAATTAGTTGTTTCTTTGGAAGTTAGCTTGGGAAAAGCGAGCATGGAATTTTTTTTATTATTTGACTTTCCTTTCTCTGATGATAAGATTTTTTCCTTCTACTTTCCATGTAACATTATGATTCTTTTGGAGATTATCAAAAGTTATCCCATTAGGTAATGATCTGTTGAGATAATCTAAATCCAAATGGAAATAAGAAACATTTATTGTTTGAATCATTCTCTCAATTATAGCATTGATTCCAAATCTCATGATAGTAGATTTGGCACTATCATTTTCATTATTGTATAGTCTGATCCAGTTAAAACAATCTTTGGTCGACCAACTTTTCAAGGTTCGTAAAAGAGTTGGATCTTCCTCATCTTTGAAATATTCGAAATATTCTTTAAATGCTTTCAAGTTATTCTTACTGAAGTGACTCAAATGAAGGATAAGTAATGTTACAATCTCCCTCTTCTCCGGTTTTTGTAAGAGTTCTTGATCTTGCTGTTGTAACAAGAAGTGAATCGATGGTAAATATGTTTGATAATGTCCAATATTTGCTGATATTCTTATAGAGAATAAGAATACCTTTACCGTGAATTTATCACATTTTCCATTGATCATAGATTCTCTTAATTTCCTCAATGATGATAAAATCGAATCCATGGTTACGTTCTTTATCTTCTCATCACTTTGGTGGTCTTCAGTGAAACGTTTGAGTTCTTTACTCAAGGTTGATGTATCATTAGATTCACAATACGCAATGAATTTCCTGATAATTTTATCGAAAAACTTTTCTCTCTCTTTACTACTCCTTTGTAATCGATCGTCTTCACCACGACTAACGAATCCGTATTCTTCTGCTCCAAATTTGTTGGATTCTCCAAATCTGGCTGCTCGTTCTATCTTTTTTGATTCATCTATAGATTCTTGTCCATCTTTCGGTTTCCACGATGTATTGAAACTTTTATAACCTCCTCTACCTTGTCCTCTACCCCTACCTCTGTTTCCTCGTCCTCTGGTATTATTTCCTCTCCAGTTTCCACTCCTAGAGATCTTATCTTCACTCATACACAGATACTTTTTGCAATCGCGGATTTCTATATTACACAGACTAAGTCTTTCTACGTACTTAATTTACTATATTCTACTCTCTTCTTGGATAACCAATGATATCCAAAATTCAAAATACTGGCTGTTAAAACCGTTGCCAACGTCACCATGATATTCCTGTCGAAAATTGAAGAATAACAATCTTTTCCCAAGGTACATACATGACTACCATCAGGAATTGTTGAAGAATGGGAATCAAATATTTCACCAAACAAATTGGTAAAATAGAAACTTGGAAGAATTGGAGCAAGACAAACAATACCCCAATTCATAGAGAAATTTTCCATACCGAAAATATCCCCCACCACTAATGGTAAAATGCAAAATGTAAAACCATAAAAGAATCCGGTTGACAAAGACATTAATCCCAAACTTCTGTAATCATCAATCGTTTTACCCATTATCTGAGTGATGGTTAAACCAATTGAAGGTACAAATAATAACCATGATCTTCTTTTATTAAATGATTGAGTGATTATATCTCCACACATTCCTGAGACTAATCTACCAATGCAATTGGTGGTTGATAATAAACCAACTTGTAGTTGTTGATTGGTTTGAATCAAAGCTTCCAATTTGTCTTTCGCTTCTCCAATGAAAGTTTCATCATATACTATACCTTTACTGATTAATGCTTTAACAATATACCCCACACAATAAATATACATTTGACCCATTGATGATAATGCACCCGTTAAAAAGAAAAGAAGCCAGAATTTTGGTGATGATATTAATTGGAATCCATGTATTTCTCCATCTGCTTGCAATTCAGTATTTGAATATTCACTTCTACTCGATACTGGTCCCACTCTAGGACTGTTGGGTAATGTTCTTGTACCTATCCCTGGTAAAGGCCTTGGACTCATAGGTGGAGAAATCATTGGTGATAATGTCACCATTTCAATACTTGACTTATTGGCCTTTTGTAATGTTTTCCTCAACTGATGTTCCCTATCGGTTAAAATAATGCTGGGTGCACATATAGCAAATATGAATAATGAAGAATAAGCCAAGAACCCAAGGAACTTGGACGTATCCCCTGGAAAGAATATTGATCCTATCACTGAATAAAACAATGCACTTAATCCATATAAGGCTAAAGGTAATGAGGTGGCTACTCCTCGAAGACTTGGGAAACTGATGGCACAACATTTCAAACACGCTGAGTTCATGAACGTGGACCCTGACCCAATAAGGAATAACATCAAATAACTTATCGGTAAGCTTGAGTGGCCGTAATCGAATTGTTTTTTCAATCCCAAATAACCACATAATATACAAAGACCCCCAATTATCAAAGGGAAGGTATACCCTTTCTTATCTACGACTCTGCCAGAAATTGGCCCTGATATTGCCACCCCAATGGTACCAAATTGAGCGATCTTGGAAGAATCTGCTGCTGTGTAATTTAACTTTGTAGCTAACTGGGGACTGTATGAGGAGTATAAATAGTTCGTTCCGCATATCAACCCTAGAAAGGTACAAGATAGTAACACAAAAGCTTTTGTAACTGTTGGCAGTAGACCCATAATGTTATAGTTGTATTATGTCTTACTCCCGCCACGAATTGAGCTTAAAATCAATAGATCTTTTCAATCTCCACTCCGAACAATAAAATACTTGTAGCCAGATTTTCGCGAACCATCTACCTATGAGAATTTGGCGTTATGGTTAGGATAGCTTTTTTTGGTAGTGACAAGTTCAGTGTTGCGTCTCTTCAAAGCCTTATAAATCTCCAAAAACAGAAAAATATTATCAAGTCCATAAATGTAATCACTAGGAGTGTGAAACCCACAGGGAGAAGGTTAAATCAGATGGTGGATCTACCCATAGGAAATTTTGCAACTTCTAACGGTATTGAAATCTTCAGGGCCGATACCAAAAATGAAATAATACAGTTGACTGAACACTGTAAATTTGATTTGGCAGTGGCAGTGTCATATGGGGCATTGATACCTAGTCAATTTTTGAGTAAGTTGCCTTTTGGTGGTTTGAATGTTCATCCTTCGTTGTTACCTAGATATTCTGGTGCTTCGCCTATTCAATATGCATTAATGAATGACGATTCGGAAACAGGAGTCACAGTTCAAACTTTACATCCCACAAAATTTGATAGAGGGGATATTTTACTTCAGTCCCACCCAATACCAATATTGAACAATGATGATTATCAATCTTTGGAAAGTAAATTGGCTGAAAAGGGTGGTGAATTATTGGCGCAAGTAATAGACTCAAAATTGTACATAGATAAGCCAAACATCCAATCAACCTATTCATATTCCCCAACTTCCAAGATCAATGGTAAAGATACTATCATTTCATGGGATCTCACGTCTAGAAAAATACGAAGACTTTTTGACGCTTTGGGTAATTTATCCACCTACATATACTGCCAACCACATAAAGGTAAACCTGGTCATTATAGAAGCGTTAAACTTCATGATATAGAAGAAAGTAGCGAAGTGATAGATGGAGATGTTGGACGATTTCAGATATCCAAAGACAACACAATAATCATTAAAACCATTGATGGGTCTATCAAAGTCACAACTTTGACCTTCCAAACATTCAATAAAGAGACTGCTGAGATATTCATGAAGAGACTTAATAAAAGAACGAATAAGGGAGAGGCTAGATTCGTCAATGAAAAATGATGTACATATATATTTATAGATTCTTAAAGAATGACTTGACAATGCTTATTGTAATCCTCAACAGCAATACTAATCTTGCTATACAAGAATGCTCTTGATGACTTTTCAGGAATTGGTATAAATGGACCTTCTTTCTTCTTCAATCCGATATTGATACCTGTAGATTCCATGGAAATCGATTTTATTTGATCGAAGGTGATCACCCACTTGACCTTCAATGAATTAACATCAAACAATATCATGTGTTTGAAAGTCAAGATCAAGGCTTTTTCTTCTCCTGGTAACAAGAGATGTGCCAAATAAGCTTCGTTGAAATAAACTCCTCCTTCTATTGATTTAAGCCAGAATTGACCTTGAGCTTCTCTTTGAGAGTATGGTCTAACTACCTTGTCGTAACTGATATAACGAGGCAATCTAACTTTATCTAAACCTTCAGCATCAAAAACAGTGGTGGTGTTACGAATCCCTTCACTAACATTGGAAGCCAAATCAAAGAAACCAATAGCTGTTTTTGTAGGTAATCCGACTAAACCTTTTCCAACACCCTTAAAGAAACCAGCTGCTCCTCCAGTATTGGCACCTTCAATAGGAGCAGTAGCAAACCCGGTCACACCTGAAGACACTGATTCAAAGAACGAATTGGCACCGCTAGCGAACCCATAGAGGGCATGCTTTGGTTTATTACGACGTTGATTGAAACGTCTACGTTCTTGAAATTTATCATCCAAAGTAACGACCGATAGTCCTTTAGCCAAGGAACCCGAAATTTTAGCAAACGAATCACTAAATCCAAAAATCGATTTTTTCAAGAAACTTAAACCACCTTTAGCAATACCGATACCCAACTCTTGTGGACGGTCATTGATTATGAAACCTTGATAAGGTTCGTAGAATATATCTAAAACCCCTGAAGACAAATTATTGAATAAACCAACAGGATTACCAATCACATCAGCTGACCCTAAAATCTTATGAAGTTGATAGAAGAATGATTGACCATAATGAGTCTGGATAGATTCCAAAAGAATAGGGGTTGGAACTCTAATATTTTCAAGGAACAAAGCATTCAATTTGATTGGAGCATCATTAATATTACCAAGAGCCATGGTAAGAACATTGAAGAAGAACATCAACGTATTCTGACCATTAGATATTTTATCTTCAGCATTAACTCTTTCAGTTCTGACAAACGATAAATTTGTCAATGTTGGTTGTAAATGTAAAGCTTCGAAGTAAATATCACTACTTTCCGATAAAGTTTTAGGTTCAGGTAATTCCAAAGAATCATCGCATAGTTTATCTTCAATCTGTCTATTCCAACTTGCACCTGGAAGTTTGGCGAAGTCTAATAACGCAAATAATATATCTTCGTCTATCTCAATAGTCATTTCTTGTAAAAGAACGGTAGCATATTTGATGAATAATACACCATGAGAATCATCTTTCACCTTACAAACCGACGCTGAGAATGATGGATGGTTGTTCATTTCTTTACCTGACTTAGGAACAACGGTCGGATAAATTATAATAGGGAATATACCACCATATAATTGATTATCTACCTGAATCCATTTCAATTTGACACTCAAGTTTTGATACAAATCTGACTCGTTATATCTTAATTCTAATCCTCTCAAAGTGACATAGATTAACTCTTGGTATCTGGTGTTGATTAACGATATACCAAACCCTTCGAACCTAGTGATAATTCTAGTATGGTAACTTTCATCTTCTTCGGGAGTTTCGAAATTTTGCTGGGATGACGTAAGAGTAGTTCCTGTTTTAGTTCTTTGTAATTTATACATGCTCAATGATGGATCGTAATCTGATATAATCAAAGATTGAGTGGGTCCGTCAGCAACGACATTCAAATCAACAATCTTTTGATCTTCTGTCAGGGTCGGAGGTAATCTGAAAGGTTTCAAGTTTCCTATCTCAGAAAGATTGATAGCTCTTTCTCTTCCATGAGATCTGATAATCAATTCTTTAATCACAGCATTTGGATAATCATAAGCATAAGGCATAACACTTTTTGGTGGTATTTTGTAATATATCGGCTTATAAGTAACATCAGTCTTGATAACATCACCATTTTCATTGATATTAGGATCAGCTTGATAGATATAAAATTCAGAATCACTAAAATTCCTTATTGAAAATGGCCAATTATTATTAGCATTTTCAACTTGGATGAAAATTACTCCATTCTCTGTTAAAATATTGACTTTGAGAAGGATTTGTCCGAAATTTTCCTTATAAACTTTTAAAAATATTTGACCAATATCATCAATGACAAAAGGTGATGACCAATTTTTTGATCCATGGGCAAATTTAAGAACTAAACTTCTCTTTTCTAAACGACGTAAACCGTATAAGGGATGTAGTTCATTAGGCGCAACATCTATAACATTATTTGATCCGTTTTCAACGATTTGTAAAGGTTCCTCCAATGTATGCTTGAAAATGTACCTTGGTGCTATGGTAATAACTTTGGTCAAATTATAAACTCCCTCTCCATCAGCAACTGAAACCCCAACATTCATTTCTGATTGTTTACCTGTCAATTGAACGCTTACTGAACTCGATTGACCAATAGCATCGAAACTTATTGGTGCCGACCATTGACTATCCCCGACCTTCAACAAAGCTCTATTCTTTTTATCAGCATCTCTATCAAACGAAAACATCTTAGGGGTTATCTTTTCCAAGGCTGATCTCCCGTTGGACTTCAACTTATTGTTTCTTTCCATCACTTCGATATTTTGACCTGTTCTATTCAAAACAATGTAAGGTGAATAAATCACCGCTCTAAGTCCTGAGAATCCTTGTTTCTTTCTTGGATAATAAATCTTCAACTTCATTACTTGACCATCTTCATGTCTGGAGGTCATAAAATCCTCTCTTTTAAATTCACTCTTGGATGGACTGTTGATGATAGCAAATTCCGACTTATTGAATCCACATTCTTTAGGTTCCACACTAAGTAGTAATAAGCTTTTCAAACTTGCAACATGGATATAATTCTCCACCCCTTTTGCAACTGAACCGTTCCAATCTTTCCTGGTATCTTTATCATACAATCTATAATCTATATCAAAAGGCAACAAGTTGACTAACTGGATAGGTGCTGAAACGACAATCTTCATATGTGGATAGATTCTTGCCAAAGGTTCATCTTTATCATAAGAAGCTTCGGCTTGGAAATAATAAGCTGTCTTGTCACTCGAATCAGATGAAGCGCAAGTCAAAGCACTACCTCCATAAATCATATCCTTCCAATAAAGGCTTTCTTTAGACCAGCCATATTCTGCTTCCATTTTTGGTTTAAATTTCAAACTTCCATTATAGACATGATCAACTGGTAAGGCTTTACTTTGGCCTGGTTCAATTTCTATGATATCAACTGACTGCTTCGATTGTGGATCTTCGAAAACATTTACTGAGATAGCAACATCAGCATTATTCTGGATTTGAACAGCTGACCTGACCCAAATGGTTTTGATATTATCTGAACCTAATGAGATATCACAAATTAATCTAGTGTGAACTCCATCTACTGGTGGAGTCATCATGATGATGTCTTCACCTTCACCCGAAGCTGAAATTTGATGAATTTCATCGTATTTCGATTCGAGTAATCTGATTCCTAAGATTCCTCTTTTATTGTCAGTATCTAAATTAGCACGAACTTCTCTCCAATCTTCAAAAGCCCAAGGAATTTGATCACCATTACTGATCACCTTCTTATTTTTGTTTTCATCTTTATCTCCATCTTTCCAAACTTCGATGTCATATCCAGTTTCGTTTAAAATCTTGTAAGGACTTGTTTCCTCTCTTGATTTGAGTTCAACCTCTTCACTAATTAAGGTGGAAATTTGAGAAAGTAATGCAATCGATCTAGATGTTACAGTGATTTCTGCCAACTGTCTGGAAACAATATCCACCATGATACCATTCTTTTCGTCACTTGACTTGGAAGCGTAGATAGCAATTGGCCATGGCTCAATAAGAGGTTCCCAAGTAGAACGAGAATAATTGTAAATCTTGACAAACGATTCCACATGAGTTTCAGCACTTAAATCCGTTGACCAATTGATAGCTCTCGTGTCGAATGGTTTCACATTCATATCAATCACAGGTAATTCATGCACATCACCGATCAACACAAATCTCAAACCACCGAAACTAACATTCAATTCTTCTCCCTTTATTATAACTCTGTCTTCATTAGACTCCTTTTTGGCAACTTCAGTTCCTGAAATATTAGATACAAAAGAAGGGGCATACTTTGATAATCTCTTTTTGAAGTTATCTGAAAAAGTGTAATCATCTTCTGGAGAAACTTCATCTTTACCTTGAGACTTGGCATAAAGTACAGAAGCTATATTAAAAATGCTTAAAGCTAATCGGATATCTCTTAAAGAAACTCTAACCAATAAGGGATCCACTGATGCCTGAATATTTGTTAAGAAGTTGGTGGGTGTTGATCCTCTAGAATCATGAGCAAATGAAATTGAAAAGTCGTCTATGATTCTTAATCTCTGGTCATTCAAGTTATCGGCGGTACACAAGAATAATCCCACACTATTGGCAGCCAATGAAATAACGTTTTGACTGGTGAGTAAAACTTGTTCGATTTTGAACACAACAGCTTCAGTGTTAGCTTTAGAAGGGTCGGCCAATAATATGATGGATGGTCGTAAGATATTTACTGAGAATCCAATATTGGTTGTTGTTCCTTCATCCGTTGGCTTTGAGGACCCAGTATTAGCAACCTTGAGATTCTCAGCATCCAAAGAGCTTCCTTCTGAACTTTCATCATCAGCCACTAATTCGGAGATAGTTTCTGGTTTTTCAAGAGCCTTATCGACGAAATTTTGAAGTTCAAACAAATAATCGAGTGATAAAACAACTTTCGGATTATCAACACTCAATAAAACAGTTATATTTTTCTTCTCCTCTGTTCCTTCAGATGAAGCACTGACTATAAATTGATCATTTCCACTTTTAATCAGAGGAATTATTTCCTTGAATTTACTGTTACATTCTGCTCTGATATCCTCCACAACAAAAGACTTGACAATCAATTTAGAATCGAAATGAGTATCCTGGGTCATTTTGAGGTTAACATCTATTCCATTCAATGAGAATGATCCCAATTTATTTGTAGAAACATCCTTAATACCAGATGTATGATTATAAATTGTCAAAGCCAATTTAGGAACATTGAACTTGAAAATTAATTTCTCATGTTTTGCTGGAATCTCAGATTGCTTTACTTCACCCACACTCTGTGGTTTACTTTGAGTTGGGCTATTTGCTTCTTTCTCTTGATTTTTTTGCTTCATAACTGCATTGGCATTGGTGGCATCTTCTTCAATTTCTTGCATGTCAATGTCAGAAGTGTCAAAGACATTGGTAATAGCATCTGAAAGGCCCATCAAGAAATTTAATTGCAACTCAGTTAAGTGTAAATTGACTTCTGGTAATCTACCATTGACGACAATTGAAGGTACTCCTTCAATATAATCTTCCAAATAATCTATATCAAAGGACATATCAAAGTCTTTAACCATTTCTGAAAACTGCAATATATCATTGATGAAATTGAATTCAGAACTCATGTTAATATTCCGTAATCCTGACTTAATAACATTCTTAATTTTCCCGTTTGTTTCGATGAAATCGTTAGTGGCATACAATTCACCTAACTCTATGGTTAAATTATCATATTTAACTGTCGAATGTTTGACTATTCTAGGAAATACGACGATTGGGGCTGTTACTGAAAAATTAAATTTCATCTTATTGGCATTTTCGATCTGGTTGGCTTGATTTATAGCAGCTTCTCTGGTACTGTCATATATTTCCTTCATCTTCTGGAATTGACTCAAATAGTTGAAAATTCTTTTGAACGAAGATTCCACAAAATTAATCTTGGAAGATCCTGTTTTGAATTCTACTAAAGAGCTGTATAAATGGTCGTTCGTTTCTTGATCAAAGGTTTTGTAGGTAAATTCAGCCAAATTATCACCTTCAATGTTGATCAAATTTCTCAAGATTGAATCTTTGGGTGATCCAGCATTGATGTCATCATGTAATGATAAAGCTCCCAATTTCCCATGAACATCAAGAGCTTCAGGTAACACCAAAACAGCGATTTGAGCAGTACTTAATTGAAGGGTAGCTAATTTCACGCTATCCTCATTCAAAACACAAATAATGCTATCCAAATTGATAACCACATTAATTTTCTGTGGGGCAACTTCCAAGTCTTGAACATCATTATGTTTCAATTCATCGGCTGGCGTGGTTTGAGCGTTGGGGTCGGTGAAAGTGTTTAATACAAAGTTCAAGATACTTAATATGGACTTTCTGGTAATAACAAACTTAAGGGTTGCAACATCTAATTTGATATCCTGATCGAATACTTCAATTTCCTTATTGTTGAAGTCCACGATTCTCTGTTTCCTGGAATAATCTAACTTAAACAATTCTTTGGATTTCTCAACATCACCTTCTACAAAGTTATTAGAAGAAATCAATCTTTCAAATTCAGGGATTCCTGACCTTTCTATGTGATCTATAAGGTTAATATCATCCAATGTTAATCCTAAAAACAAATCATTCATTGTCTTGATAAGATTTAAGTTGACTGAATCACCGATCAAATCAATAAATGGTTCAGCCTCGAAAGTTACTCCATCAATACATCTCGAGAGTGAAAGATGTACAAGGTCTATCTTCAAGTCAAACTCAAACATATGTTGATTAAGGGCTGCTTCAGGTATTGTTTCATCATTCTTTTTAATTCTAACTTCGTCAGTTGAATTTTCTAACTCTTCAATTGGCGATTGATTGTCAGGTTGGAAAGCATTGAATATACTGGAATCGTCATTTTCAATGTTATCAAAATTTGGTATGGCAGCATCAATGATTTGCATGATTATTTTGTACTGCAAATCGTTCAATTGTAACTTAACGCTTGGTACCTCCCCTCCGATTTTAAATCTGGATAAATTGTACACATCAGGTAAGATCGAGATTCCCAATAATAATTTGATGTTGAACTTATCCAAAATAGAAGATTTACGCTGTTTAGTATCTTCGAGATGAAGTTGTTCCATAGTATCTTTAATGTTAGATCCAACTAAAAATTGGGCATCTTGAAGATGTAAGTTGAACTTGTCATACATCAATGTGTTTAAATTATCCCAATCGGCTTCACTATAACTCGTTTTTGATTTCAACTCTTCGATTTTGGCTTTCTCGACTAAATTACTTATAACACTTATATGACCAGCATCAAGAATTGCCACAGGAGATTTCCAATTGTGTGGTTCCAAAGGTAAAATAATCAAGGGAGCTTGTAAATCTAACTTGACATTAATAGTTTTATGTTCTTCCAAGGCATATTGTAATCCCATCCTAGTTTGCGAGGTAAATCCTTCAACAGTAGCTTCAGCTGCATTCATAATAGCACCTACGGTATCCAAATGAATCTTAGGGGGTTTGAAGAACTTGATCACTTCTTCAATGAATCTGGGGTTATAGAATATCGTCATTGATTTCAACTTACCTAAAAGCTTGGAATCAGCAGAATCATCTAAAGGATTTCTTTCAAATGAAACCCTGAAGAATGGATCGTTGTCAGCTTCAGTTGATTGACCTCCGTATTGCTTGACACTCACAATATGTTTATACAAAGTGGCTTCTGTACCATCTTCAATTCTGAATTCCTCGATCTGGAAATTAGTTAAAACTGAATCTGGTCTTTGATAGAATTGAGCTTTACAACCTTCGAAAACAATTTCTGCTAAATTCGATGAATTTTTTGTTTTCTTGATGGAGATTCCACCTTTTTTCAAGGTTGCTAATATTTCCATTTTTATTGTATCTCTTGGTAAATCAACAGCATTTGCGATTTCATTGGTTTCAGAATAATCAATTGCCTCATAAAGAGCTTTACGCTGATTATCACTCAATTGAAGATCATCTTCCTCCACTTCACCTTCTTTCGGTTTTTGGGCATTGTTACCACCCCACCATCCACCAAACCAACCTTGTTGTTGAGGGTGAGCTTTTTCATTTTGAGCTTGTTTCAATTTATTGGCATTTTCTTTCTTGACTTCGGTTCTAGCTATCGATCTATAGAATTTTATATCTTCAAATGTCAAAGCTTCTTCTAAATTATCAAATTCTTTAATATCATCGGTATTTGTAAGTTTATTCAACAATTTAAACTTATATAATTTGACGTAAGCTTTTCTTTCGTCTCTTCTTTTTTCGAAATATTCCCAACTCCATTTGTAATGTTTTTCATGAATTTCATTCAATATGGATTTAGCTGCATATTGAAGCCATAATTTTGGATCTTCAGCAACAGTGACTTTTGGTCTAAATTTCCTAAACTTATGAGTTTTGATGTACCAATGAAACTTTGATAAAGTCCATAACATATCTTTATATTGTTGTGAATCTAAATCAATACCGAATTCCTCGAAGAACAATTCAGCCTTGATATGTGGAGTTGATTCTGTTGCTCCCAATTTATTAAGTGAAAGCTTACCTTGTCCACTGACTGGTTTCAATATATACTGGTAATCTTCTATATTCTCCGAGTGGATGGAACTCTTAAAAATCTCCAATAACTTTTCAGGATCTTCACTATAAATGGAGGGACTGTCAGTGTTCATATAGCATGTTAAATCTTGTAATTTCAATAATTTTCTAGTCAATTGTTGAGTTATTGAGATAAAGGATGGGATCCATGATTGATCAGTTGATACAGCTGATAATTCGTTCAATGTGATACCAACAGAATAAGGATCTTCAGTTAAAATTGAATCGTCCTCATATCTGATATGAATATTCTTAATTGTTACTTGTAAATTATCAATAATTTTCGTTACTAAAGATTCAGTGAAAGTTTCATTCGAATTGATATTGGAAGAAATTTCTTGATTTTGTAATGATGCATTTTCAATTACTGATAATTGTTCTAATTTATCTTTCTTGACTTTGAGTTCTTTTTGCTTTTCTTCATCAAGATCGAAATCATTCAATATTATTGGTGAAGCCAATAAGTAAACATCTTCAATTATAACTTTTACAGGCTGTCCCTTTAAATTAGACCAAGGAATTTGTAAAGTGAGTTCTCCTACATGACCAAATTTAACATCAATTGGTAACTTAAACCTATCTAATGAATCTTTCTTTAGTCTTAAATTTTTCAATTTCACATCCCCACTCCAAATACCAATATTCAATTGCTTGGGATCGAAATTCTCTATATAAGAACCTAAGAATCGGTTCAATAAATTTGCAACAAGTGACTCAAACATGTCAATTGGGTTTGTTCAAATCTACAATCTAAATCGCAATGATGCGAATATTTTTTGCAGTCTTGCTACAGACGATTCTCAAATTTAGGGGTACTATGGTTGTCAATAAGAATTTCACTATGAGGTTCAACAAAGTATAAAAATCAAAAATGTGAATTATTCAAAGGTTTATGAAGACTTCTTGTAGAGTTTTGTCTATTTTAAGAACCAAATAGAATAGAGTCAACAAAGCTGTGGTATACTTAAGACATGGGTGTAGGTCCAATAGTCGACCTGCATGCTATATATTGTGTTGAGGGTATCTACTGTTCTTCATAGTTCCTCTGACCCGTTATTCAAATTGGTCTGCCTCTAATTTAAGTATTATGAACTGTAATCATAAACTCTGGTCTCGGATAATTAAATCCCTGTGGAGATAAAACCCTTGATCATGTGACTGCAGTTCCGCAATATAAAGGTCTTATGACTCAAGATAGATAATGACCTATTAATAATCTGATAAATTTCCTAGAATTTTCATCATTACTAATTAAGAATATATATAACACATATCTTAGTCGTCATATATATTAACCCTTTCAAATAATACATCAACATTTCTTACCTGTGAAACATCCTTCAAAACTTCCTTGTGAGAATCACTATACACCTTATCAAAGTGTGGATTCTGAGTCATTTAATATATAAAGACCATAAAATAATCCACAAATTCAAATCTTTATTAAATAACCAGTAACAGCCTTAAGTTCCTTCGACTTTAAACATCTTATTAATTTCAAATTACTGGTGTTTTAACTGACAAGTCCTTATCACGTATCTTCCTGCATCCTGCATCAGTTTATAATCCTGAGAGCTCACAAAAAAAAAAAGATTGATCCTTATTTCCTTTAAACACTTCATTTATTGAATTAAATGAACATTATAGGAAACCACAATTGATAAGTACTTAAATTTGGATACAAATCCAAAGGATACTAATTCTAGTTGCATCAATTCTAAATCAAAACAGGTAATTTTTTACGTGATCCTTTTGCATCCCTCATCACACGTTAAGGATAATTATATTTGCCTTCGTTATTTTTATTATTTGAAGGCGTTTGATATATTCACAAAACCTAAGGGTCATTTTCAGTGATAAATTATATCACTAGTCACGATATTAAAGCTGAGGGTGAATTCCTATCATTGTTAGACGAAGGAGTTTTCATACGGGGATTTAAATCATCTTAATACAAAACAATAAAAAAACCACGAATTTTCGTCAGAAATGTCAGCTTCTGTAATATCGACGGATAGTTCCAAATCTACCCATTTAAAAAGAATAGGCAATTACGAATTCGGTAAAGAAATCGGTAAAGGATCTTTTGCTACAGTTTATAAATGTGTAAATGTTAAAACCAATCAACAGGTAGCTATTAAATCCGTAGTCAGATCCAAATTGAAATCAAAGAAATTAATCGAAAACCTAGAAATCGAAGTTTCTATTTTAAAGAATATGAAACATCCTCATATCGTAGGATTACTAGACTATGATCAGACTGCAAGCCATTTCCATTTAGTGATGGATTACTGTTCCATGGGTGATTTATCTTATTTCATCAGAAAAAGAAATCAATTAGTCAAGACCCACCCAGTAATCAGTTCTCTATTAGAAAGATATCCAAGTCCTGAAGGTTCTCATGGATTAAACCAAGTTTTGGTTGTTCATTTTTTGAAACAATTATGTTCAGCTTTAGAGTTCTTGAGAAGTAAATCATTGATTCATAGAGATATCAAGCCTCAAAATTTATTGCTTTGCCCTCCAATACATTTAAAATCAGAATTTGAAAGAAATGATTATGTTGGGTTATGGGAATTACCAATTTTGAAAATAGCTGATTTTGGTTTTGCTAGATTTCTTCCTTCTACTTCTATGGCTGAAACCTTATGTGGAAGTCCACTTTATATGGCTCCTGAAATTTTGAGGTATGAGAAGTATAATGCTAAAGCTGATTTATGGTCCGTTGGGGCTGTCTTATATGAAATGACTGTGGGTAAACCACCTTTTAAAGCTTCCAATCATATAGAATTATTGAAAAACATTGAAAAGTCAAATGACAAGATTAAATTTCCTTCTTCAGCAAAAGTTCCTGAAGGTTTAAAGAAAATCATCAGATCTTTGTTAAAATACAATCCAACAGAAAGAATTAGTTTTAATGAATTTTTTAGTGATCCATTGATCACAGGTGAATTAGAAAGTAATGATAAACCTTTGGAAACTAGTCAAATGGATGAGAATCTATTCATTAGTGAATATATCTCACCTTTGCCAAAGTCCGAAGGGCCCATTGAAAGACCTAGAGTTGAGCCTCTAACAATGACTCACAAATCTATTGAAGGCTCCAAGTCGAGTGAGAGAGATGAAGAGATCAAGAGAATCATCAATAAAAGCAGTCCTGGTCCAGAAAGTTCAAATCATATTCAACCAGGACAGAATGAATCTAATCCAGGAAAGCAAAATCAAGAATTATCCGTTATCAAAAGGAATGATGACGTTTTCTTGGAAAAGGACTATGTGGTTGTAGAAAAGAGGGCTGTTGAAGTTAATGCTATTGCTGATGAATTAGCAAAAGCAGGTAGTGGGGCTTTAGCAATGAATCCGAGAAGAAATTCATCCATTTCCAGTAATAATAGTATTGAATCAAGTAATTCAATCAAACATACTTCACCCCATTTTAGACGTTATTCCAATAACAACACAAATGCCAGACCTAACACTGGTGAGAGAAGAATTTCTATTTCCATTTCTCCAACCAATGCTTTGAGTAAAGCTATTGGTTTGGCTTCCAATAGATTGTTTGGATATAATTTGAATCAATTAGAAACTAATTCCAAAATCATTCCCGATGATTCTAATATTGAAATTTTCCAAAAACACAAGAGTCCAAATTTTTCTAATAATTTATTGTTACAAAAAATTAATTTACCGAATTCAAATTCGAATCAAATCCAACCACAAAATCAATTAGTCAATCAACTGTCAAAGAGTTTGACAAACGATGAAATGATTTTGATCAAGTTAGAGTCGATTGCAACCAAAGCACATGCAATCAATTTATTTGCTGATGTTAAATTCAGTCAGTTGATTCCATCGCCCCCATCTAATGATGATTTGGATGATGATTTAGTCCATCAAAATGATTTATTGCCACCCAAAATTATCAAAACTATTAGTGAAGAGGGTGTCGTTTTGTACGTCAAGACATTATCATTATTAGCAAAAGGTATGTCCATTGCTAGTGAATGGTGGTACACTCAAATTGACAATGGTCTCGATCAATCATCGATCAACGATACCTCGTTCTCCAATTCTAATAGTAATATTGCAAGAATAAATGAATTGGTTCAATGGATTAGAGACAAATTCAACGAGTCTTTAGAAAAAGCTGAATTCATCAAATTGAGATTACAAGAGGTCGAAAATTTAGATACTTCAAATTTTGAAGACTCTCAAGGCATCCAGAAGGTTATTGCAGAGAAGTTAATTTTCGATAGAGCTTTGGAAATGTCCAGAAATGCTGCTGTTAATGAACTAGTCAAAGAAGATTTGAAAGGTTGTGAATTGGCTTATTCAACTGCAATTTGGATGTTAGAAGCTTTACTCGACGAAGAATCTCAACATGGTGACTCAACCAAATTAGATAATGAAGACAAGCAAATGATTGAAAAGTTTGTTGTCAGTATTGGTAACAGATTATCAGTTTTGAAACGTAAGCTTGATATTTCAAGCAATTAGTGCTATGTATGTAAAGAAAAAGAAAAAAAAAAAAAAGAAGGAATCAATGATTCCAATGCATTGGGTATGGGCAGGAAAGGATAAATACATACGGTGAAGTAAGGGTACTTCAATACTTAGCTTTTATAAATTGTGTAAATATAAAATTTTTAAACATCTGGACTCTATACGTAAATTAACTATACATCCGGTTCGTGTTGAAGTAAACCAATAGTAATTGAATTCGACCTGTACTGATGGGGTCTTTCTTGTTTATTGAATGTTTTGTTGCTTGTCTCACGATCAGTTTCATTGTGAATAGCATTAGGGAATGGGAAGCTTATGGGCTCTTTCTTGTAATGATTATTGAAGGTCAGGTGCCTTTCGGACAGAACTGGCTGAACTTGGATCCTATGGGAATTGGTTGTAGCGTATGGACTTGCTGGGGCATTCTTGGCCAAAGGTGAAGGTCTTCTTTGTTCAATTAATTTTTCAAATTTCATCACAGGGATCGTAGGAATTGGGGCTTGGGTGATGGTTTTATTCAGGTCGTTACTTGAAACAGAAGGACTTGATGCCATAGGAGTATACGTTGAATCGGTAGGTCCTGTAGGGATCTTTGGTGCGATTCCTGGCTTTAACGCAGAACTTGAATTATTACTCAAAATGGGTGGTCTGGCAATAGACATGCTTTGGTTAGGCACAATTTCCATTAAACCAGCAGGAATATCCTCTAAAACTTCATCATCTTCTACCTGTGACACAACAACTGGGGATGGTACCACCTTACCTAAATTAGGTAAGCTTGATTCATGAGACTTGGCTCTTTGATCCAAGGTCAAGAATTTTGGTCTTGCATTGACCCTAGAAGTGAATGCAAGGGTCAAATTTCCATCCTCATCACTTTCGCTATCACTTGAATCGCGACTATCTTGTCCACTATCTGACAGAATTCTATTGATCGAAGACTTGGGGAGTCTACTGTCAGTAAGTGGTTTGAACGTATCCTGGAAGTTACCTGAGCTTGAACGGCTACTTGAGCTAAAACTTGAACACAGAGAATCTGATCCCAATCTGAGAACTGGATCCTTTCTTCCATTCTTATTGATAACAGTATTAGGAGCAATATCATCATCTGTCTCGTTGTTCTTTTTGGTAAAATTGAAAGAAATGCCCTTCGAGTTCATCGAATCGTTCAAATTGAAATTTTGGAACTTCTCACTAATCGATGTGGTATTCGCATTTGCCTTACCATTCCCTTGAATGGTATGTGTGGGGTTTGACTTAATGGTTTCTCCACCACTCTTCTTCTTGGTAGAATATTCTTTATACTTCAAACTCAAATACTCATCATTAATACTATCTAAAGAAGCAAAACTTTCTGTTAATGGTAAAGACATTACTGATGATGGTCTCCTGAGTTCGTCACTTATAGGTCCGACTTTGATTTTGGTTGAAGTCTTATTAATAGATGATCCAGGAATGTTTACTGGCTGTACAGGACTAGTCTCATGAGATAAACTTGGTTGTGACCCAAGTGAGTTCTTGTTGGTAGGGTTCGATGATAAAATTGAAACTCCAGATAAAGCACTTGATTTTCTCCTTCTTTCGTCCATTTCTTGAATGCCTTTGAAGGTCTCAACAACACTCTGGTTTTTTAGGTAAAGATCACCCCCAACATTTCTCTTGGTTTCAATTTCATTGGCACCTGTGATACTCCCTCTCCTACTCGAACTTGAGGTAGTAGATTCAATTACTTCTTGTAAAATTGGATTGGCTATTTTTCCTTCCTTGATTCCAGCAAGGGTGTAGGATCCTCTCGGGGTGCTTGGTTGGGATGATAATAACGGGTGTGAGGTATAATTGGATTGATTCAAGTTGAGTCCACTATGATTGATATCGCTACTGAAACCATTCAAAACACTGTTGAGTCCACTATGGGTACCTATCCCAGATGAATTTTCGGTATATTGAGATGGGTTTTCTGACATCAAAGGACTTTGAACGGGGCTGTTGAAATTTGTGTAAGCTTCAGAAAAAATAACAGAATGATCAACATTGATGTTACTTCTGAAGTTGTTGGAGACTGATTCATCACTCGAAGAATTCATACTCGAAGACGTCTCCATTTGAGTGAAGAATTTCTTCCTGATATCATGATCTTTAGCCCCTGAAGTGATAGCCCTTACAATACTTTTCTTTATCCTTGTTCCAATTCCTACTACAGCGTTATCTATATCCTCTCTTGTTATTTGTTTATCTAGGTTTGTGAAAAAGTTATTTGAATTATTGATGTTATCGTCAGGATAATTCAAGTAAAGTAGCTCATTCAACGAGTCAAAGTCATTTTCTAAATCCATTAAAACAAACGGATGATCTTTGATCTCTTTGATATCAATTCTAGTTCTTGAATTCTTGTCGAGTAATTTAGACAACAAATCCTTAGCCAAGTCAAATTCAGTCTCGCTTATGTTTGTAGGTGACTGGAATGAGTCTTTATTTTTCGGAAATTCCAATGGCTGGTTCACAATCACTTGAAATAAATCATATTCTGATTCGGCGTAAAAGGGTAATTTACCGAATAGTAAACAATAAAAGGTAACACCCAACGCCCATATATCAATTTTATGATCAATTTTGGGTAACATTTTCGTCAAAGTCAATTCACTTTTCAAAATTTCCAATGAAGATGCTGACGATGTTTTCCTTTGACTGCTCATTATGGTTCCGTTCTTTGATGATCTTCTTGATGTTGCGGGGGAAGACGAAAAATTAGTTTGACAAAGTTCTGGAGCAAAAAATGCAGGGGTTCCTGCAGTTTTGGCTAATTCGAGTTCATTGACCAAACCTTCATCGGCTTCATTCAATGAAGATGCGAATGATACACCAAAATCACTGATTTTTACGACGTTATCGGAGCTTACTAACAAATTGGCAGGTTTGATATCTCTGTGAACAATGCCCTGTAAATGAAGGTATTCCAATCCCAACAAAACATCCCTGAATATCTTTCTTGCCTGTTTGAAAGTTAAGTTCGGAGCAAAATTGTCTGACAATAAATCTTCTTCTTCATTATGGTGTGTCCCTCTACAGGGTATCAATTCACTGTTTCCTGGAGAACTTCCTGAATCCACATCATGGAATTTTCGAGTAGACTTCTTCCACTTTACTTCACCTTTCTCCAAGTATTCGAGAACAAGATAAATTTTGTGAGTGTTGGAATCATCCAAAACTTCTCTCAATTGCACTATATGCTTGTGGTTGCATTTTTTCATAATTGCTATTTCTCTCTTGATTTTCAACTCATATTCACTTTCTCCCAGATCTTTCTTTTCACTAAACCTTAGCTTAGGTCTTTCCTTTTTATTCTTACGATTGACGATCTTTATTGCTACTAAATCTTTATTCACTAGATCTTTAGCCAATTTCACTTTACCATGCTCACCTCTACCTATCTCTCCAAGTATTTCATATGTATTGAGAACCTTACGTCTCGTTATTGGGTCATATTCTAGAAACACTCTTTTGGTCTCCTTCACGGGTGATGCAGTTCTTGATAATGGTAAGGATCTCATGGATTTGGTGTTGCTGTTCAACTTCAAAGTGGAGTCAGAAACCTTGTGATTGACCTTTTTAGTATGACCAGGGGAATGGTATGAGTATGAGTTACTCTCAGGTATAGAAGCATTGTCTACTTCATAATCCGAACCCGTAGACATTATATCCCTGGATGATAATAACGATTTTTGAAGTAACCCTGTTACCTTCCCCAAAACATCATGTCTCAAGTCTTTGTCCTTTTCTTCTACACTGGTGCTCGAAGGTGATTGAGGATCTACATTGGATAAGGTGGGTGTTATGGTGTCATTCCTTGATACTTCAGTAGTAGCTATCCCAGCTTTATGAACTCTCAAAGAGTTTTGCCTGCTTGAAATTGAATGATTCAGGGCCGCCGACATTTATACTTCACTATCAAAGACCACTCCAGAATATTCAATTTCAACAGTTCAACCTTAATTCAGTCTCCAATATAATTATCTCAAAGAACTCTATGAATCTCTAATTCTTTTTTTATGCAAGATTTAATATGCATATATGATTGAAGTACGTAATTTGAGTCAAAGGGAATTGGCTTTGAAATCTGTTCGATAAATTTTCACGTATCCTCTATATGCTAGTTGTTAATTTTAATCTTGACTATTTTATGGCAAGTTATATTAAAATTTAATCAGTCTTCTGCGAAAAAAATTTAACCTCTCGTGAGGGTTAAACAATGAACCACAAAATCACATACTCGATTTGATCTTGATTCGACTTTTCTTGTCAACCTGTTTGATTTTACAAATATCTCTTTGGAATTTAATGTGGAAATGTTGGATTTTTGGAGAGTTTAGGACTATTGTTCGAGTCTAAACTCTAAGAAGAGAACCTTGTGGAGAGAAAAGTATGATGGGTAAAAAGAGGGGGTCTTTTCGTATTTATTTTTTTTCATGATTGGATTTTCTTAAGGCTTGTAAGAAGTTACCTATGCCTTCACCTTGGTAATTGAGCTTGAATAATTGAGCTAATAAAAATCCAGAACCATTATTTCTTTTCAAATGATTGGATAAATTCGCTTTTGATTGTTGGAAGAATCCTGATCTCATTAAATCATTGAACCCTTGTTTGGTTGGATTTGATTTAATTGTTTCTGGTAAATCATTGGAATTATCTTCGATAAACTTTGCAAATTCTTCTTCCGATAACTCATCGATGAATTGTTGTAACACTTCAAATGGAAATGCATCATCTAAATCCAATATAGGTAAAGTGAATCTATCGTTAATATTCCGTATATTTATAAAGAATTGATAGAGTGTTATACCCCAAGATAATTGAACCCCTGGCTTAACTCTCTTCAATGCAATGGTGATCTTATTAACTATTCTGAAACAAAAATTTGAGTTGAATCGAAAAATAGAAAAATAAAAATGCAAAACTTATACTTACTGTTGTTCTTGTTTGACTGTTTCAGTCTCCGATGGTAATTCACTTTCTTGTTCCATATCTTCGTCGTCGTCAAGAGTGATAATATCTTGAATCTTCTTGACAATCTGTTGATCTTTTTCAGTGAGTTTGTTCAATTGTTCATCATCTCCTACGTCTTGTAACCAGTATAAGTATTTAGCACCAGAACTCAAGAATGTCAAAGCAAACACTCTACCTGTCTTACAACTAACAACTTGTTTGAAGCTGATATCGCCAGGAATTATCAATAATTCATCTTTTTCCAAACCACTTGAAGATTTGGGTGTCCAGATAAAATCGAAAAAGCTCTCTTCGTCAGCACTTGGCTTTATTGTTATAGTACCTTTGTGTGGTAATGGTGTACACCTCTTTGTATCTTCGTCATACTGGACTTTACCTGCGTTAAATTTGATAGTTGACATGATTGCCACTAGTTTTTCGCACTTTGATATTTGATCGGTTCGAGTGTGGACAATCCTTCAGCAGTCTGAATTAGATAAATCCGAACTGTAAAGGTATTTAAATATGGAATTTCCTCCATCGGATGTCAAATTGATTTTAGAGAAGATAGCTTCTATTCTAAGAGAACGTAATTTCACTTTAGCCGTATCAGAGGCAGCTTGTGGAGGTTTATTATCATCATATATTGTTTCCATACCTGGTGCTTCCGACTTCTACATAGGTGGTAAATTGGTCTATTCTTTGAAACAAAGATTGAAATTGTCCGGATGGAATGAAGAAGAAATCAGAAATTATATGGGTCCCAGTGAACAAGTGGCTTTGAAGTTAGCAAGAACTGCTAAATATGAGCTTGGCTCTACATTTGTTTTATCAGAAACTGGATTTGCTGGTCCAACTAGTGATTTGCATCTAGGGAATGACGAAACCAAGGCTAATGATGGGAAAGTTGGAACGGTTTATCTTGGATTATTTGGTCCTAATCTACAAGTCAGTTGCAAAAAGCAAACTGGAAGTACTGTCAGGTCACATAATATGGTTGAGTTTGCAAAATCTGGTTTAGTTTTTCTACTAGAAGAATTAGAGAAGTTGCCATAATGATTTAATGATGTAAATAGAATATAAGTTTTTCATGCAAATTCTACACAACTCTAATACTTCAGAATGATTTCCATTAGGTCTTGTGACTATCCGTCCATGCTATATTTGTCCAGGAGACTAGTATTGTAATTGCGCCATCTTATTTATGTGTTCTTGACGATTACTATCTAAGATTTAGTATTTGAAAATTGATATTTGCACGACCTTTTGTTACACGCTCGAATTTTTTTTCAAGTTTGAGATATTGAACGAAAACACAAATAAACATTTATCAATTATGACTGGTATGTTTGTTTGAAAGAAACTATTAAGGGGAGTTGAACACTGCGTGGTTTAATGGCCACGATGGTATTTGATGCTCAGAAACACTAATTGACCGCGTTTCAATGATATGGATTGATAAATTTTTGTGCCTTGTCAGATCACAGACACATAAAATAAAATGCTTCCCCTTAAAATTTGAAATTTACCATTATAAATGAAATTTATACTAACAATATAGCTGAAGTGGATACTATGATGCCTGAAGTTCCTGACACCAGTGAATACGAAAAACCGGGATTTTTAAATGACAAACCTTCAGAAATTAAAATCATAAAAAGAAAGTTAAATGGTTTTGTCGGTTTCGCCAATTTACCAAAGCAATGGCACAGAAAATCCATAAGAAGAGGTTTCAATTTAAACTTATTGGTTGTTGGTGAAAGTGGTTTGGGGAAGTCAACTTTGATTAACACCTTATTCAATAAAGAAATTTTGGTCTCAAATGATGATTTAACAAATGATGAAGATACTAGCAGTGAGGATCAGGTCAAAATTGAAACAACCTCTTCAGAAATTGAAGAAGATGGAGTCAAGTTGAAATTGGAAATTATCACCACCCCAGGTTTTGGTGAATTGACCAACAATACCGATTCATGGAAACCAATCATCGATGAAGTTAACAGTAGATTCGATCAATATTTGGAAGCTGAAAGCAGAGTTAACAGATCAACCATCGATGACAAAAGAATCCACGCTTTGTTGTATTTCATTGAACCAACTGGTCATTCTTTGAAAGCTTTAGATATTCAATTTATGAAACAAATCCATGAAAAAGTTAACTTGATTCCTGTTATCGCCAAAAGTGATACTTTATCTGATGAGGAAATTGTTGATTTCAAAACCAAAATCTTGAACGACATCAAATTTCATGACATCAAATTTTTCAAGCCTTTTGAATATGAAAATGATGAAGAAGAAATTTTAGTTAACAACAAAAAAATCATGGATAAATTACCATTCGCTGTTATTGGTTCAATGAAAGAAGTCAAAACTCCTGATGGAAGATTAGTTAGAGGAAGAAGTTATCCATGGGGTACAATCGAAGTTGATAATGAAGAACACAATGATTTCATCAAATTGAGACAGTTGTTGATTAGAAACTTCTTGGAAGAATTGAAAGAGAATACTTCTAATTACTTATACGAAAAGTATAGAACTGAAAAATTAGCAAAAATGGGTATCGAACAAGATCACTCAGTCTTCAGAGAATTCGATCCAGTTGCAAGACAAGAAGAAGAAAGAGCATTACACGAAGCCAAATTATCCAAGATGGAATCAGAAATGAAAGCAGTTTTCCAACAAAAGGTTAGTGAAAAGGAAAAGAAATTACAAAGGAGTGAAGCTGACTTGTTCTCAAGACATAAAGAAATGAAGGATAAGTTAACTAAACAAATTAAATTGTTAGAAGATAAGAAGATCCAATTGGAGAAACAAAAGTCATTGCCTCAAGATCCTCCCTCCACCCAAGCAGCTCCTCAAAAAGCTAGAAAAGGGTTCTTACGTTAAATTAGCTTAAATGAATGTGTAATCGGTAATGTTTTTATTTCGATCATTTCTCTTAACCGACCTCTTCCGTAATTTAGAAAATTTAGGTAAATTGAGACACAATTGCTATCGTTGCTTTAGTGGATCAATTACAGAATGAGATGTCGTGATAAGCGCGTTCTTGTCTCGTGAGAATTTCAGAGCAATTTCTTAAGGATAAGTCATCAAATAGAACACTTAAACTTGAATTGCAACTATTGAATAATACTTTTGAATTCGACCGATTAAATTTTAAGCATCGAATTAGTGAATTAGTAGAATTATTATCAGAAAATGAGTTCTAAAACCGATGATTTGAAAAGTGGAGCTGAAGCTGCCAAAAAAACCGCTGATACTAGTAGAGAAAAAGCTAGTAAACCTGCTGTTTCTCCAGGAAAATTTGCAATCGACCATGAAAAATTGATTGAAACTGTTCAAACTGTTCAATTTGCTTGGTTTATTGGTCACTTGTTTACCTTATTAGGGACTTTCTATTTCATCTTAACCTATTTTGGAATTTTCAGTTCATGGTATAAGATTTGGTACAATCTCGCTGTATTTGGTATTATTGAAAGTTTCGGTATCTTGATCTATCAACATTTTAGAAAAGTTGGTACTAAGAATTTAATCAATGACGATAACGTTCATTATTATGGTTTAGGTGTCATGTTATTGATTTTAAGACCATACATTATTTTCCCAATTTTACCTTTCCAATTATATTCGTTGTTCCATGTATTATCCTACACCAAAGGTTACTTACTTCCTATTTTCAATCAACAAAACACTTCAATTGAAAAAATGATTACCAATTTTGTTAATCTGAATAATCAAAAATCAATCCAATTAGCAAGTTTATTAGAATTAGTCTGCTTGGGTTTCTTGGGTTTGAGAGTAATCTTCTTTAGAAAGAGATCTTTGACACCTTTCGTCATCTACTTAATCTTCATCAAATTAAGATATGAAAAATCTCCAGTTACCAGAAGTTATTTCAAATTTATTAGTACTAAACTCGATTCTACCATAACCGGCTTGAATAATCCAACTGCCACTAACATCTGGTCTCAAGTCAAATCAGTTTTTGCCAGAGTTGATAATTTTGTTTTAGTCAACGACTACAAGAAGAATAAGGTCAACTAGGCTCAGTATCTAGAAAGTGAATGAATGTTTCAAATCAAAACCACTCTCTTTCTATGAAGATTCGTTCCAATTAAAACTATCTCGACTCTTTGTGCCCCAACATACTATCCTGTTTGAACCCTTATACCCTTAATTCTCTTTGGCTGCAAACTTTTGACTGCGAGACGACTCTGAGGTAATGAAAAAATCTGTCGAAAATTCTAGATACAGTTATTTATTACACACATATTTGGTTTTCTCACGACTTATAGAATATTCTTTCAACTTCCAATATGTCGATTAGTAGAAGTGTTATTTAAAAAGGCAATTTGCTGGTAAAAATTTTTCAATTAATTGATTTTTTATTCATTTAAATAATTCTTTTAAATTAATAATATAATATAATAATCATGTCAAAAGCCGTTGGTATTGATTTAGGTACTACATATTCTTGTGTAGCTCACTTTTCAAATGATAGAGTTGAAATCATTGCTAATGATCAAGGTAACAGAACTACTCCATCTTTCGTTGCTTTCAACGATTCAGAAAGATTAATTGGTGATGCTGCCAAAAATCAAGCTGCTATGAACCCAGCTAACACTGTATTCGATGCTAAAAGATTAATCGGTAGAAAATTCGATGATTCTGAAGTCCAAGGTGATGTTAAACATTTCCCATTCAAAGTTGTTGACAAAGGTGGTAAACCACAAATTCAAGTTGAATTCAAAGGTGAAACCAAAGTCTTCACCCCAGAAGAAATCTCATCTATGATCTTAACTAAAATGAAAGAAACTGCTGAAGGTTTCTTAGGTGCTAAAGTCAATGATGCCGTCGTTACTGTTCCAGCTTACTTCAACGATTCCCAAAGACAAGCTACTAAAGATGCTGGTTTAATCGCTGGTTTAAACGTCTTAAGAATCATTAACGAACCAACTGCTGCTGCCATTGCTTATGGTTTAGATAAAAAAGATGAACAAGAAAAAAATGTTTTAATTTTCGATTTAGGTGGTGGTACTTTCGATGTTTCTTTATTATCCATTGAAGATGGTATTTTCGAAGTTAAATCAACTGCTGGTGATACCCATTTAGGTGGTGAAGATTTCGATAACAGATTAGTTAACCATTTCATCAATGAATTCAAGAGAAAAAACAAGAAAGATTTATCTGGTAACCAAAGAGCTTTAAGAAGATTAAGAACTGCTTGTGAAAGAGCTAAGAGAACTTTATCCTCATCCGCTCAAACTTCAATTGAAATTGATTCATTATTCGAAGGTATTGATTTCTACACTTCAATCACCAGAGCTAGATTCGAAGAATTATGTCAAGATTTATTCAGATCTACCTTGGACCCAGTTGAAAGAGTCTTAAGAGATGCTAAAGTTGATAAATCTCAAGTTGACGAAATTGTCTTAGTTGGTGGTTCAACCAGAATTCCAAAAGTACAAAAATTAGTCTCAGATTTCTTCAACGGTAAGGAACCAAATAAATCAATCAACCCTGATGAAGCTGTTGCTTATGGTGCTGCTGTCCAAGCTGCTATCTTAACTGGTGATACTTCATCAAAAACCCAAGATTTATTATTATTGGATGTTGCTCCATTATCATTAGGTATTGAAACTGCTGGTGGTATCATGACCAAATTAATCCCAAGAAACTCCACTATTCCAACCAAAAAATCAGAAACTTTCTCAACTTATGCTGATAACCAACCAGGTGTCTTAATTCAAGTTTTCGAAGGTGAAAGAGCTAAAACCAAAGATAACAATTTATTAGGTAAATTCGAATTATCCGGTATCCCACCAGCCCCAAGAGGTGTCCCACAAATTGAAGTTACCTTCGACATGGATGCTAATGGTATCTTAAACGTTTCTGCCGTCGAAAAAGGTACTGGTAAAACTCAACAAATTACCATTACCAATGATAAAGGTAGATTATCCAAAGAAGATATCGAAAGAATGGTCAACGAAGCTGAAAAATATAAGGAAGAAGATGAAAAGGAAGCTTCAAGAATTGCTGCTAAGAATGCTTTAGAATCATACGCTTACTCATTAAAATCTTCATTAGGTGAAGAACAATTAAAATCCAAATTAGAAGAATCAGAAGTTGAAGAAGTTACCAAAGCTGCTGATGAAACTATTGCTTGGTTAGATGAAAATCAAACCGCTACTACAGAAGAATTCGCTGATAAACAAAAAGAATTAGAAGGTAAAGCTAACCCAATCATGGCTAAAGCTTACCAAGCTGGTGGTGCTCCAGGTGGTATGCCAGGTGCCGCTCCAGGTGGTTTCCCAGGTGCTGGTGCTCCTGATGCCGGTAACGATGGTCCAACTGTTGAAGAAGTTGATTAGATTATTCATAACGGTAAATCGATTATATAGATTGTAGAAATTAGATTTAATTAAATTATTTCAGTCAAATGTTTTCTCTTCAAGTACTACTAAAATTGCTATTATCTCTAAACTTCCTCTGGTCCTCCCGTTTATCCAGAACAGTCCTCACAATCACTTCAAGTCGTGTGACGCGTAATTGACCAATTGTTGAATTTTGTCCCTCACCGTCCCTCACTGTCCCTCAATGTTTCCCACTACTGCCCCCCCTCATTTATAACCGTTATTTGTCGAATAAAGAAGGTGTAAGAGTTTGATTTTGGAAACTCCACCAATGACCGGCTATTGAATTGTAATTTGGGTTCAAATAATTTTTTATAGAATGGGATTAAACTCCGAAAAGGAGTTAGGTTAAAAGGATAATTGCCTGAAATTAGTATATAAATTCCCCAGATTTTCTCTATTATCTATTCTTAAGTCCTAACGCACAGAGTATACTGGTTATATTGATCTCAAGTTTGGAATACAATCATATCATATATTCAATTGTCAATTCTAAAAAGAATTCAAATTGTTGGATAAATTATTTTGGGTGAGAAAATTCAACAAAATCGTATAAAAGTGAGAGTTAAACGATTTTCATCGATCTGAAATATACAAAATCGAAATTGATTGTTAATTTATTCAACTAAATACACGTTAAGTTTTAACTAATTAATTTCCAAAATATTCAATCATGTCACATAGCGTAGTCCATGAAGCAAATAATTGTGAAAAACGTCCTACTCCGGAGGAATTTTTCAAAAGACAACCAGAACCAGGATTTATTAAGTCAATAGATGAGTACCATGAAATGTACAAAAAGTCAATTGAAGATCCTGAAGAATTCTGGGCTCCTTTAGCTAAAGATTTAATAAGTTGGGATAAACCTTTCGAACAAGTCACGTCAGGAGATTTAAAAACTGGTAATGTTGGGTGGTTCTTGAATGGTGAATTAAACGCTTGTTACAATTGTGTTGATAGATGGGCTTTTTCAACCCCTGACAAACCAGCTATCATCTGTGAAAATGACGATGAAGCTCAATCACACGTCTTAACCTACAAAGAATTATTATACGAAGTTTGTAAAGTCAGTCAAATCTTAGATGACTGGGGGGTTAAAAAAGGTGACACTGTTGCCATTTATATGCCAATGAACAGTCAAGCTATCATTGCCATGTTAGCTGTTGCAAGAATTGGTGCTATCCATTCAGTAATTTTTGCTGGTTTCTCCAGTGGTTCCATCAAAGACAGAGTCAATAATGCTAGTTGTAAAGCATTGATTACTTGTGATGAAGGTAAAAGAGGTGGTAAAACTATCAATATCAAGAAATTGTGTGATGATGCTTTAGATAATTGTCCAACTGTTGAAAAAGTATTAGTTTACAAAAGAACTGGCAATCCAGAAATCTTCATGAAAGAAGGTAGAGATTATTTCTGGGATGAAGAAGCTAAGAACTTCAGTGGATACATTCCTCCGGTGTCTGTCAATTCCGAAGATCCATTGTTCTTATTATATACATCAGGTTCTACCGGTACTCCAAAAGGTGTGGTCCATACTACTGCCGGTTATTTATTAGGAGCCGCCATGACTACCAAGTACATTTTTGATATCCATGCTCAAGATATTTTATTCACTGCTGGTGATGTTGGTTGGATTACTGGTCACACTTACGCCTTATATGGTCCTTTAAGTTTAGGTGTTACTTCTGTAGTCTTTGAAGGAACTCCTGCTTATCCAGATTATGGTAGGTTATGGGCTATCGTTGAAAAACATGCTGTTACTCATTTCTATATCGCCCCAACTGCTTTAAGATTATTGAGAAAAGCTGGTGAAGATCAAATCGACAAATACAATTTATCAAGTTTAAGAACTTTGGGTTCTGTTGGTGAACCAATCAGTCCTGATATTTGGGAATGGTTCAATGAAAGAATTGGTAAAGATCAATGTCATATCGCTGATACCTATTGGCAAACCGAATCCGGTTCTCATTTCATTGCCCCAATTGCTGGTGTTATTCCAAATAAACCAGGAAGTGCCTCATTACCTTTCTTTGGTATCGATACCTGTCTTATCGACCCTGTCTCAGGTAAAGAAATTGAAGGAAATGACGTTGAGGGTGTTTTGGCCATTAAATCAACTTGGCCCTCAATGGCCAGATCAGTCTGGAAAAACCATACCAAATACATGGACACCTATTTGAATCCTTACCCAGGTTATTACTTCACTGGTGATGGTGCTGCTAGAGATAACGATGGATACTATTGGATTAGAGGTAGAGTTGATGATGTTGTAAATGTCTCAGGACACAGATTATCTACCGCTGAAATTGAAGCTGTATTGATCGAATTCCATAACGTCAGTGAAAGTGCTGTCGTTGGTATTAGTGATGACTTAACTGGTCAAGCTATCGTCGCTTACGTTGCCTTGAAAGAAACCGAAGGTGTCAATATTGAGGACTTAAGAAAAACCTTGATTTTACAAGTCCGTAAAGAAATCGGTCCTTTTGCTGCTCCTAAATCCATCATCATTGTTCCTGACTTGCCAAAAACTAGATCTGGTAAGATCATGAGAAGAATCTTGAGAAAAATTAGTTCTTATGAAGCTGATCAATTGGGTGATATCACCACTTTAGCAAATCCACAATCGGTGGAAGGTATTATTGAATGTTTCTCTCAACAATTTGTTGCTAAGAAATAAACCAGTAAATAGATATAATAGAAGCTTTATTTAAATTTGAATCAGATCTATCGCGAATTTCTCAGTGATGCTCAAGACATTCATCACCACAAAATTGATTCAATTGGTCATTTTCAATTATGCCCCCTCCCAATTTGATAATTCATCATCCTTAATAGACAACCCTTCCTCGTTGAGTGTCTCTTTAACCCAGTTTTTGCATAGATTCATCGTTTGGGATAATGTGTATTTTTTCAACTTATTTCATAATAACCCTGAATTTGAACACGAATTTGTTTTCAGTCCTGGTTGGGTTTCATTCATAAGGTTTATTAAACTGAAATTCGGTACAGAAGGATATTACAATGGTATTCTAGTTTCGTTACTAGTTAGCAACTTGCTACAATTGGCAACAAGTTATATACTATACTATTTTACAATCAAAGTTTTCAAAAATTTTGGTTTCTTTCCTAATTATAAAAGAATAAGTTATTTGACAGGTGTCTACTACTTGCTTTCGAGTGGTGGAATTTTCTTGACTGCTGGATATTCTGAAAATCTTGCGTCCTTTCTTTCTATTTCGGGTTTGTACCTCAGAGAATTGGGTTTATCGTATACCTTGAACACCTACCAAATAAGAAAATGGCACTGGTACTTAATTTCAGGTGTATTTATCGGCTTAAGTTTTAGCGTTCGAGCCAATTGTTTGTTGTTGGGAATAGTATATTTGTATGACTTATATCACTTTCAAGTGTCACCCGAAGGGTTCCTTAGTATCATTGGAGGTATGCCCTTATTCTTGAATTTGTTAATATCCAACTACAACCTATACAAGATTTTTTGTCCGGGAAGAGAATGGTGCGATAGCTCGATACCATCTTTGTTCTCCTATTGCCAGTCTGCATATTGGAATAACGGCTTTCTTTCATATTGGACACCCAATAACATACCAAACTTTTTGCTTGCATTTCCACTGATTGCTGTTAACTTTTTGGCTTCAATAGAGTTTGTCACTAGGTATCCAGTGAAATTAATGATTCCCTACCTGATACTTAATATGTTGACTTTGGCAGGTGGGGTTTTCTTCTGGAACGTTCAAATATTGAACAGAATATTGAATTTCAACCCTATTGTCTTCTGGTATCTTGGGGCTACCAACAATCAGTGGGTAGCAAAGGGTCTTCTCTTATGGACTTATTTCCAAAGTGGGCTTTTCGGCAGTTTTTTGCCGCCTGCTTAGCACGCAAATTTCACACTTCTAATATACAGAATAACAGAATAGTGGTGCTTGATCGATTGACAATAAGCCCATAAATCTGAATAATAGAACCATAAAAATGCTCTGATCTAGTCTTAATCTGGTAAAGTTATCCCAAATCGGAAATGATATGATGCAAACGACATGGTTTGTTGAGAATCGCACTTATGTCGTAAAATGATGTCGTGAGTGTGAAGGGAATGAAATACTCAAAAGGGATAAGATTTACTGAGATAAGAAGGGAGAGTAATTGTATAAAATAATGGTGGATTTATCAATTATGTGATCCACACTGATAGAATTTGATTGTCCAAGATAAATTTTAATCTTTAAAGACGATATCCCCGTAACATCAAATCTTACAATGACTGACCTAAATGAAACTTCAATCAATAGTGTTGAAGCAATCAGTTATAGGTATTATAATTACGTTGCATTAATAATCATTTTGGGAATTTTGATTATCGGAAAACCTAGAAAGAAGGTGGACAATAAAAACAGAAAGTTGGGTCAATGGACTGCAGAAGACTATAAACCCCCATCACCCGCCCCATATCCAAATTGGGATTTGAATAAAACGGGACCCTTACCTTATAGAGCATTTAAACACAAATACAACATTACAATGGGTATCAGAAATATGGACTGGAGCTCCTGGTTTGAAATTGATAATCAGTGGTTTAAATTTCATAGGGAAAAATTGAATCGTTTGGAAAAGTATGATACTAGCCTTTATGAAACTACTAAAGAAGCTCTTCCAGCAGCTTACGAATTACTCGAGGAAATGAGAGAATATTTGCCCAAAAGGTATCCATCCATGTTTGAATCCACCGAATATGGAATCCATAATAAAGCAACAGACGAAGATGTCAACTTCATGGGTAAATATAGAAACTTCAATCCTGCTAAAAAAACTGGAGTTGATCCCATGAAATTAGCGGCATTGTTAGTACAAGATGATTTGGCTATAATGATGGAAAGCAAAGACGGTCAATACATTTTAAAAGGAGGTGCCATAATTTTACCTGGATTCTGGAAATTTAGAGACAAATTCAATATGACTTTGGAAAATATTCACACTTCTGGAGATGTTCCAAAATTCAAGGAAAAATTACAAAGTGGTATGGAAAAGTTCTTTGTTAGGTTAACATGTGACAAACCTGTTGTACGTAACAACTATTTCCTTCAAACTGACGATCAGTTGGGCTGGTCTGTTAGTATTGGTAATGAATTTAAAGGAAAAGTTGGTTGGGGTACTGCAGATGAAGCGACAGAAATTGAAAAAATCCATTTGAGAAGTGAAAGACAAAGTTTAAGAAGATTGCCTAAATCGGGTGCAATAATCTTCACAGTGAGAACATATTTCATTCCTATCACAGAGATTGTTAAAGAACCTTTCATTCCTAGAAGATTATTGAACGGTATCTTAAGTTGGGAAGAAGATGTCCAAGATTACAGAGGTTTCACAAAATTCAAAGATGTTTTATTACCTTACTTGGAAGAAAAAGCCTTAGAACAAGAAAGATTAGGATTCTTACCGGAAGAGGGACCTAATGTTTTTCCATTTTAATAAAAGTATTCTTGAATTCTGACTCTCACAAAAATCCTCTCGCTTATCAGTTCCGGATTGTAAGCCGCAATATTTTGCAACCCGACGTCACATGACTATTTTCAGAATACTAATTAGAAATTATTCCAAGAGACTATTTCATAATTCATTCACCCATATATTAACAATAATATACACTAATCAATAAAATGATTAAAAACCTAAGCTCTTTCACCTCTTAATCTTCTAGCTAATTGGATATCTTTCTTTTGGATAGTAACTCTTTTAGCGTGGATAGCACATAAGTTAGTATCTTCGAATAATGAAACTAAGTAAGCTTCAACGGATTCTTGTAAAGCACCAATAGCAGATGATTGAAATCTTAAGTCAGTTTTGAAATCTTGAGCAATTTCTCTAACTAATCTTTGGAAAGGTAATTTTCTGATTAATAATTCAGTAGATTTTTGGAATCTTCTAATTTCTCTTAAAGCAACAGTACCTGGCTTATATCTGTGAGGTTTTTTAACACCACCTGATGATGGGGCTGATTTTCTAGCAGCTTTAGAAGCTAATTGTTTTCTTGGGGCTTTACCACCAGTAGATTTTCTTGCAGTTTGTTTAGTTCTAGCCATTTTAAATTAAATAAACTTGATAAAAAAAATATACTAGAAAAAACCAAGGTAATTTATATGGTAACATTCCATCAAGTTTATTTTGAAATTTCAAATGTAAACAAATATAACCATCACTAACTAAATTACCGCGAAGTTACCACAACACTTGTCCCAGGAACGTATGAGACTAATCATGAACTTCGCATTATCCAAGAAGAAACGTTTAAAATTCTCGATGATAATTTTTACGCGTGCGCATTGAGTTTAAATTATCACGCATAGATAACATTCTTAAAATGAATCTTCTTGATTATCAAGAAGCTGTCAATTAATCAAAGTTTTTACCTCATTAACATAAACAAGCGACATTATTTCTTATGAGTTTTCCCTTTATAGTAATTATTACAGTCATCATAGTTATATCTTAGTGATTATATCATCTTTCCCATAGTTAAGAAAGTCTCTGATAATAATTGTCGCGATCGCGGAAGACAAAAACTCACTAAAAACGAATCTTTTCAGTAATGCGGAACAATAAATGTCTGTACTGAAAATTTCTTACTGTCTTCTTAAGTGAGAAAAGTCACAAATTGTATTGCCATTTTTTGCCTCTCACTTAATTCCCTATTTGTGAGTATTTCACAATCTGTGTAAAATAAACAAGTGAGGGTTAATCATTTTTTCTTCTCCAAGTATAAATAATCTCCCAAATATCCCTTTTTTCTTTCCTCATTAATTTTTTAATTAATTCTTTTTTATTAACAAATTAAATTAAATAAATATGTCCGGTAGAGGAAAAGGTGGAAAAGGTTTAGGAAAAGGTGGTGCTAAAAGACACAGAAAAATCTTGAGAGATAACATTCAAGGTATTACAAAACCAGCTATCAGAAGATTAGCAAGAAGAGGTGGTGTTAAACGTATTTCTGCTTTAATCTATGAAGAAGTTAGAGTTGTCTTAAAATCTTTCTTAGAAAACGTTATTAGAGATGCTGTTACTTATACTGAACACGCTAAAAGAAAAACCGTTACTTCTTTAGATGTCGTTTACGCTTTAAAGAGACAAGGAAGAACCTTATATGGTTTCGGTGGTTAATTTATGCTTTGTATATTAGTAATATTATGGTGATGATTGGATTATTTCTTACTCTGATTCCTCTATCTTGAAATTCTTTCTAAAAGATCAATTGATTCGAAATTGTTCTGTTGTACGACACTTCATGTTATCGAAGTTTCGCCAAAACTGTGAATTCTGAGATCGATACTTTATTTATAATACATTTTCTTTCTATACAATCATTCTATAAATTCTATGTTTAATCTTCATTTTCTAACTAGTTCGACTCCCGTTCTTGGTGCTTTTGATTTGGTATGCATTCATTGGCACAAAACCTCCTCCACTTCTTCTTCAGTCAATGGTTGACCAGGTGAGTATAACAATTCATCCAAATCCTTTTGTGATAACCCATGGACGAGTACATGGACATGGCTCAAGTTTTTAACACTTTGTAAACTTTCCCAATTCTTAAACCAAAGTAAGTTATCCCACTCTACATATTTATCAAAGGTTTTGTGCAAATATTTTTCGATTAATTGTCTAGTTTTCAAGCTAATGTCACCAACCAGGGATTCTGGGTCGGTGGGAATTCTAAATTTTGTCCATATACATAAATGAAAAATCCCGGTATCAAAGTTATAAGGGAAATCATTCATTAAAATTTTCAAGTCTTCTCCTTCTTTAAAATTATTGGATTTGCTTATTATCTTGATCTCTTCATCCTTCAAGTCCTCTATTTCTGACTGTTTCCCCCATTGTAGTTGGTTGATAAGCAAGTATTTGAAAACCGTCAAATTAGATGATGCCACCAATTTTTTGAACTTCAAATATTTATCACTACCCTCTTGCAGTCTGGCGAATTTTTCCAATTGATTAGTTTTCACTATATCTTGAACCTCTTCCCATTTATATGGGACAGTTCTTATTTTAAAAACTGGCATATTGGGTATGTTAATGTATTGAATGCTAGTGGAAGTTTCAGTAATCATTTCCGCGGGACCAATATGACCTTAATTGAACTTGAAGTTTTTGATTACGGAGAATTCAACAGATGAAATGAAGAAAGATTTTGAAGAACTATAGTTCTGCTTTGAAGGAAAGAAATAGGAGAAAAACCGAATGGAACCTAGGCTAATATTTATATTTTATAACTATTAATGTAACATCGCCGATATGTTGCATTTGAATTTCTTTTTTTACTAGTTTACGATTTGCCTTTTGGAGAATTCTCGAGATAAGATCTACTCAATCTGTCTATCATGGTTGTGCATAAGTTTTTACGGCTGGTACCTTTAGATAACCCTATATCATCAAAAAAATACCCATATTTCCTATTGTGATTTTTCAGTGATTTTTGGGTGTCATTTGATTTTTTTTTAGTTTTTAGTTTATAATTACTGTTGAGATTATTTTATCTTTGTGAAAATTGCAATTTATACAATATAATTTGAGAATAAAGAATTACAAAAAAAAATGTGATGTTGAAAAACCACCAAAAAATCACCTCTTTTAATTTTCCATTCTAACTATATATAGCAAGAATAATAAAGATTAATGAACTATTTTTCTGGTCGATTTGTAAGGATTTAATTTCCATACTTCATCAGTTGATCGCAGTATCGCAATTTATCCTCAGCACGCTATCAAGTTCTACATTTTCAGACGATCAAACTATTTTTGATTTTTGATTCTTAATTATGAAATTGATAGTTCTTAGACACGGAGAGAGTTTGTGGAATGATTCCAATAAATTTTGTGGTTGGGTAGACATTAAACTATCAGACAAAGGTAAAGAAGAAGCTCGTTTTGCTGGTAAGTTAATATCGAAGTATAACTTCCACATCACATCCATGTATACTTCCAAATTATCGAGGTCTACACAAACAGGGAACATTATTTTGGATGACCTTAATTTACTATTTATTGATCAATACAAATATTGGGAATTAAACGAACGTCATTATGGTGCATTTCAAGGCAGAAATAGAGAGGAAGTACTCAAAGAAGTGGGGGAGGATGTTTACAATCATGTAAGGAGGAGTTATGAGGGTAGACCCCCAAGAGATGAATCTGATGGCACGATAGATTGGAGGTACAATAATATTGCCGTTCCAAACGGCGAGAGCTTGAAAGATGTGATGGAAAGGTTTGAGCCGTTCCTCGACAAATTGATACACAAACAATTGCATGATTTCCAGGATAATGGAGATGTTCTTATGATAACTCATGGGTCAATTGTAAGGTCTATTATAAAATTTTTCACAAATCAGGACGAGAAAGTGGTAAGTAAGATTGAAATCCCCACAGGGGTTCCTATAGTTTTCGAGATCGAAAATGGAGAACTTGTGCAAAATTACTACTACCTCGATAAAGAATTGGCCAAAGAAAGCATACGTAAGTACGAGGAAAAGACATTTAGTAACTAATTTATAGATTAAAGCAGGCGAAAATTCCCCGTCAAATTTTAAGAAATACATAGACGCACGTAGAAATTAGCATCAAACAGAAGTACTCTGAACTCTCTCTCAGATTAGAATCACCACTGGAATCGTGGGAGATGCTATTTAACATGTGCATATGTGCATAAGTGCAAAATCATGCAAAACTTTCTTTTAGACCGCAAGAAAATCTAACAGTGGTTATGTCATAAATGAATAAAAAGAGTGGGAATGCATATTTTTCAAATAAATCGGTTCTTACTCCATCTTATGTTCTATCTGTAGCAACTACAAGCTTAACTCCTGTAAAAGTCACATGATGCGAGACGGAAAAGGAATAATAATAGTGAGACCAAATTAGTTTGCGATTGAAGACGTGTCAATCTCAATAAATCAACAGAATTGAACAGAAGATTCCAAAATTATTTATAATCATATCGCTGACCCTTTAAAATTATTTTGAGTCTTCTTTAATTTTGAATTAGTATTACTTCCAAATAGTTTTGGAATCAACGGGTAATAGCATTTGGAACATAAAGTAGATTAGATTTAGACTTAAAGGTCATTAAAGTCATCAAGAACATAATTTAACGCCGATAAGGTAAATAGGGATCATTTAAAATTTAAGAGGTTAGATTTTCAACCATCAACAACGGAAACATCAAAATTATAATAACAAACTATTACGACATGACTTCCATAATTATCCCAAAGAAATCTATGAATGATTTAATGGACGAGGAGCTTTATAAAATCCCCAGCAATGATACATTATTTAACTTCAGTAGCCCTTTATATCAACCACCAGAGGATAAGAAGGAGAAAAGCAACAAAGAAAAAGGCCTCAAAGAAAGGTATTTCTTCAATGACCAGAAGATTTTCAATGATTATGGTAATCCCAACCAATCTTTCATACAACCTAATAAGTTAATCTTGAACCACAATATAAATGAAATTACCAACCGTTTCAAGAATCGGAAACAAGGAAAATTGATCAATGGACCACCCCCTAAAAGAAGTTTGAAAACTTTGACGCCAATCGGTAAATTCGATGATTATTTGTTTAACCCAAACATCGAACCATCATCCTCAATCAACTTCAACTTTGGAAACGAGTCTTATGATGATTCTATATTCATTCAACCTAATAACTCAACAGAGATTCTCAATGATATTAACAATTATCTTGACGATGACTTGAGTGATTTCGATGAAGAAGAAGAGGACACTAATGATGTTTTCGATGATATAGAAGAGGATGACTATATGGATATGAATGATGACAAATTAAACCACGATGACAAAATGAATTTAAACGAATTAGCACTTAGTAATGACATAAACTTGGATTTAGGAATGAATGATGAGATAAATAATTTAGAAGTTGTAAATGACGGACTCAATATTGAAATGGATAATGACAAGTATTTCAACGATTTAGACTTAAACTTCGGATACGATAATAATAACGAAGACAAAAATTACTTGAATGTTAATATGAATGATATTAATTACCAAGAAATTAGTGACGTTGAAATGGATGACATGGATATGGATGACTCTTTCTTGGACCAGTCAGCTTCTGCGTCAGATAGCTCGGTAGAGACTCCTTTCGATACAGAGTATTCAGGGGAGGTATCCGGACAGGAATCACTCAATAGAGCCACTCAAGTCAAGATGGAACATATACCCGAAAGTGAAGATTCAGACAGAAAAAAAGACGAACACGTATGTCATTTGATAAATCCACATACTGATAAACCCTGTGACAAGAACTTCTCCCGTCCTTACGATCTAATCAGACATCAGGAAACTATCCACGCATCATTGAAGAAAATTTTCAGATGTGTCATATGTGAAGGCAGATTAAATGGGGGAAGTGGAAACGGCAAATCCAAAACCTTTTCTAGAGGAGATGCTTTGTCGAGACATATAAAAGTCAAGCATCAGTTAGTTGGTCAAGAAGCAGTCGATTTGATCAACAATGCCAAGGATAACGTCGAGTACGTTTCTGTAAATAGTTAAATATGATAATTAATTAACAATCCTATATACTCTGAAGATTTATTCTTTTATATTAGTTTATGTATTATATGTTTAATGCACTGACAGGTAATACGAGGGAATCCTCGTTATAATAAAAGAACTGTCCTACAATCACAAAATCCAACATCATTTGAAAAATAGCTGCTGCAAAGAAAACACCTGAAACTTCGGTCGTTCCAAATAGTAAGTACGCTAGTTTCAAAATGTCTCCACACAACCATGAAACGATTAAGATCCATTTGAAATTTTTCACTGATTTCAACCGGTAGATCAATAAAATTTGAGGTAAGGGTAACAAACTTTCAGTGAAAAGTGCCATGACTGAAACCACTTTAACAAAAAGCATTGAGTTTCGGAAAATGGTCAGTATGAATGTCATGAATACTGTGAATGTGGCCAAGAATTCCCAAAACTTGATGTGATCGTCAAACCACTGCCAAAAATTATAGGGTCTGATGTAAAAGTTATCGAAGATCATTAAATTATTCAAAATGATCTCTCCATAGTTGGAGGATTGATTTAAAATTTTATCATTTTCATACAACTTGGGTGTCTCGTAGTATTTTAAAGCTGTCAGTAACAAAATACTCTGAATGAAAATCATAATAACTGATTGTCTTAAAAGTGATATCTCAAATGGTTCTAACATGTAATAAATGATCTTTAAAATGGATGAAATGATCATTATTAAACAGACATCTATGCTGAAACCTTCAGCACTCTTCTTCACATGGATCTGGTAGCTTGTGAGTCCATAACTGAATAGAGGAGTGATCAGTATGATAAAGTTTACCAACAACTTATACTGCATGATTGTCCCCAAAAGCTGCGCATCGAAGGGAAAATCCTAGATCCAAATTCAGTATGAATAACTATACACTTGAAGAATACAATGTGAAAATTGAAGACGCCAAATCAAAAGTAGAGAGTATCATCGGAGATTTCAAACCTCGGATAATGATAATCTGTGGTTCTGGGTTAGGAGGAATTGTCAACATCTTATCGAATCAAAAAGTGGTTAAGTATGGGGATATAGGGTTGAAAGACTCTACTGTTCCAGGGCATGATGGTAAGTTAGTATTCGGAGAAATCGGAGCCAACAAGGTGCCAGTTATGTGTATGGTAGGAAGATTACATTTTTATGAGGGTTATTCTTTACAGGATACAACCTTGCCCATTAGGTTAGGTAAAGTCATCGGCATCGAAACTGTTATTGTGACTAATGCTGCCGGTGGAGTCAATAAAGATTATAGGGTCGGTGATTTAATGTTGATCAATGACCATATCAATTTCGTCGGTTTTGCTGGTTTCAATCCTTTGAGAGGACCAAACTTGGGTCAATTTGGACCAAGATTTTTGGGATTGTCTGATGCTTATGACTTTGACTTGAGGAGATTGTTTTTCCAAACAAAACAAAAGTTGAACATCCAAAGGAAGGTTCACGAGGGTGTTTATTTTTTTACAGCAGGACCAACTTTCGAAAGTAGAGCAGAGGTGAGGATGATAAAAACTTTAGGTGGTGATGCAGTGGGGATGTCAACGGTACCTGAGGTCATTGTCGCTCGTCACTGTGGGATCAAAGTGTTAGCTTTGTCGCTCATTACCAACGAAGGTGTTGGCAGTGAACCACCGAGTGCATTGACAGACCAAGACGTCAAATTAGATGAAGGGATGGCTAACCATGCTGAAGTTTTAGAAGCTGCCAACGAAGCATCTAAGGACGTTCAAAGAATTTTTGAAGAAACGATCAATCAACTCTAATCGTATTAAATAAATAGTGCAAGAGAACGAACTTCGTATATAAACTATCTTCAACTCATTGGTCAACTTCTCCTGCAGATTCCCATTTACCTTGTAAATTTTCTTTCCATAAACTAACCTTATTATCTCCCCCACTAACGGCCAATATATTACCTGATAATGACCAAGAGCATCTCCAGACAACATCAGGGAATTTTTCATCAGTCAACAATTGCTTTTCCCAAGCGCCTGACTTGTTTTGTGACCAAATGAGTACAGTTCTGTCCTGGGATGCAGTAGCAATATAAGATTTAATCAATACCGATTGTGACCAACTAACATCTCTTACCCAGTCTGAGTGTCCTTCCAATTTGGCTTCCTCTATGTATTTGTTGGTATTAGTGTCGAATTTCCAAATTTTTGCGAGGTTGTCTGACCCACAAGTAACGAACTTCCTTTCCAAAAGCTTTGAATTTACTGGGGCCCAAGAAGCAGAATTAACACCGATGGCATGAGCATCGAAAATGACATGCGAGGTTGTACCATCGTCATTGAAGTCCAAAACTGAAACTTTTCCGTCTGAAGAAGTACATAATAAAATTGCACCTAACTCGTGAGGAGCCCATGAAACAGAATTGACACTGGCCTGATGGACTTTATGTTCTGTGATGATAGACCAGGTTTTGTTGTCAGGTTGCTCTTTCCAGATCAAAACTTTACCATCATACGAGCAGGATGCTAAAATTGATCCAAATTTTGGATGTGCCCATGCAACTTGCCAAACTGGTCCTTCGTGACCAAGTAATGTTTCAATTAATTTGTAATTGTCATTTTCAACATCAAATAATTTGATGGATTTATCAGATGAGCATGTAGCCAATCTTTTCCCGTAATAATCTAATACTGCATCATGAATCAAATCATCATGAGCATTACCAATAGTTACCATGTTGTTGATAAATTTTCGAGATTCTCAAATTTTGAATTTGACATTTCGTGAAATTTGATCTCAACGGAGTTTAAATATTGAATTTACTGTAATCCAGATCGCAGATGGTGAACCCGATACAATGGAGGATGATATAAACAATAAGATATATGGCTTAGTTGAAAGTATCCTCGGTAAGTTAATCGAATGTGGTGAAGTGATTGATAAATTGTCAACTTCGAGTAAAAACTTGGTACCTGCTACAGAGTCTTCCAAATTTATCCAAGATTTCGAATCGTGGAGAAAAGATTTTGACCAAAGGAGTGGGCCCAATGCTGACTTTGATGAAGGAGAAATAGTGAACAAGATGATAGATCGCCTTGAAAGTCAAAGAATTGAATTAGTTGTATCAATCCAACAAGAAGACTTCTTGAGGGATAAGCTCTTGGAACTTATCAATCATAACTCTGAAATGATTTTGAGTGTCAAAGAGTACTTAGAGAATAAATCAAATTTGATCAAGGAAGACTACTTCACCATAAATGAGAGATTAAAGGTTTATCTCAATAGGATAAAATTGAACCTCGTTAATCTCGAATTCAACAACTACGAAATGAATAAAAATATGAAGAAGATTCAACAGTTGATACGAGATATAGAGATGAGAGACATCAAAGACATCGACTTTTTGATCAAATGGTTCAATGGAAACTGTACAGGTTCGAACCTGGAATTTTAACGAATAACGAAGCCTTTGAAATACACTAATATATATAATGATATATTGCACTATATCGAAGCCTTCGAATCATACCCCACGAAGTCATAAGCTCGCTCAATGTATTTTCTATTAGGATCCAATTTCCCCCAGTTTTGTCTGATTCTATCCAAATTCATTTTTGACCTGTCAAATTTGAATAACTCTAAAATAAAAAAAATCATATCCCAGATGAATGTTATAAGTACCCTCAAATATGTGGTTGGAATTTCATTATCCTTATGTTTAACTATATCCAAGACTTCTTCGTCATTATTAGTCAACTTCAAAATTAACTCGTCTCTCTCTGAACTTTCGAACACTCTATTGAACTTATTCAGATACAATAAATTATTGATGGTGGTTGACAATTTGTTCAACAAATTATCGTTCAATTTACTTTTCAAAGTCTTACACTCTGATTCCAAATCGTTTACTCTTTTAATTATAATTCTTGATTCGTATACCAATCTATCCAAATTTGTCGATAAATTACTCATATTGAATTCGAGGATGTTAGGCAAATCCTGATTCAATAAGCCTGTCTTACTATTGTCTAATAAATTGTGATTCACTCTAAGCTTTTCCAAATCCCTATTGAGCCTCGTGTAATTCAGGTAGAACTTCTCATGCTGTATAGAATTTTTTATTTTGTCTAGTTCTTGTAAATTGGACATGACAGAAAAGTATTTGGATGATACGGTTTTAAAAGTTTCATTGGAGTCTCTGTCCATGTTTTCTAAAGAAAAACTGGGGTTTCTCTTGATTTGATGCCTTTCGTATTCGCTGTTCAAAAGTTTATTCAAGTTTAGATCATTTGAAGGGAATGAGTTCCTCCTGTTCAATTCCGTATTAACATTACACACAACAGAGTCTTTCAAGTCACAAACGCTAGGGGAATCTCTAGACGCGGCGATCGATTGCTTATCAAATTTATCTTCAATTTGTAATAATTGATCAACTTTCGACAACCCGGTCAAATTCAAATGCTGATGAGAGACTTGGTGGTTCAAATCTAACTTCTGTTTGTTATAACGCCCCAACTTCATTCTGTTCAAGCCCTTCTTGTCGTAATGAATTCTCTGATTTCTTCTTATCGAGTCCTTTAAACTGACGAACTTGTACTCGTCTTGATAGTCGTAATGCTTCTGAGGATGATTACGGTGATCAACCGATGCATTATCGCTTCTTGCATGAATATGCTCCCGGTGATGGTGATGGTGATGTAAAGGTTTCCCGTTACTGTGGTGAGTCGAATTTTCCTGATTTATGGGGCCATGTCTGTCTGAGCCATACCACAACCTCTTCAAAGATTTTCCCAACAAAAAGCCTACTAACGCTTCTAAGTCTAGAGTCTCAATATTGTATTCAAATTTTGGATCATCATAAATTCTGTCCTGGACGGTGTTCTTTACAGCACTTGTCAACTTTCTTATTTCATTAGTATATGACGATTTTTTGTCAATGTTGGGTAACTTGAGCTTGTCATTGGTAATATATATGAGCTTGTGAAAGGTTTCCAAGTCAAGTTTCCTGGTTTTATCCAACTTGACTTGTCTTTGGAATTCGCCAATTGAGATCATGAAGTTTTCGACGTCAAAGGGATCTTTGGGAACGTCACAACCTCCAAAGATCTGTAATCTGATTTTCACACTAAGCACAGTACTGACAATTGCAGCAACAGTTCTCGAAGGTAATATTCCGGGGGGCTTGATATTGAAGTGTGGAAGTCCTATCAAGTTCCACCAAGTCACTATAGCATCCTCAGTTTTGTTGCACAAGAAACCATCACAGTATCTGATATCTAGTAAATCGAAGTAAAATAAACTTGTTTGAATGAGGTTGATGAGTTCTTTTATGGCAAACTTTATCGGTATATTCAAATTATAGATTTTGTACATTTGCCTGAACTTATCTTCATTTGCGTCCGATATTTTGGACGTTATCAAGGAGATGGATCTTCCACTGCATTGAAGTTTCTTAAGATTTGAGTTTATTATGAAATTATCTTCTATAGATTTATAGTCTCCGTTCAAAATAGGGATTAAACTCAAATTTGAAGGTAATGAAGTGATATTAGTTATGAATAAAATCTCTGTTTCCTCGCTATTCATGTACTTGATCTTAGCATGATTCACCATCAACTCATTCAAGTACTCTTGAAAACGCATGGGGTACCTTTTTGAAGGTAGCTTTCTTATAGTCAATTTGATGATATTGATTTCATTGTTCAAGTTACCTGTGTAAGTGGAGATCAAACTTCCAATATTTCTATTATTAGCCCATTGCTCAACTAAGTAAATATCGAAACCAGAAGACTTGGTCTGTTCAATAATGTGGAACTCCTCCAGGTTTTCGAACTCTTTCTGGAAATATCTGACAGCATTGATATCAGGAAACAAGTAAGTTATCAATTCATCCTCCATGACAATCAATGCGCAGGGAAATTATGCGGTGCAAAGAATGATGAAATGTGTGAAATTTTAAATATCCATATCATGATCATTGATTTTGATTTGAGGGAGAATAGAAATAGTTCATCCACAACGTAGCGAATGGTAAGTTCATCGTTTGAACATCCGTTTCTGAGGATACTTTTAGTACTACGATCATAATTACTTTGCAAAGACAGTTATATATGTGAAGCTCAATATGACCCATCATATCAGTTTGAACGGACGGAAATTCCCACGTCAATAATCAGGTTCAAAGCACCACATTGATATGAGAGTTGAAGAATCTATTGATAATACTGAAGATTCCCAAAATTCGAGTTTGACATCTCTTACGAGAATCTACATGTGTTAAGAACCTCTTTGTAAAAGTTGCTTTTTCTATTGTTAGTATGAATGCTTATCCAAGTAATTTTTCCATGGGTAGGGAAATTGTAATCTGGGATTAAACTCATACCCCATAAGATAACATAAGATAAGAAAGAAAAAGATAAAGCCATTCCATTTCGAATGATAAGAATAGGCTATCAAACTGAAAACTCTATTGAAAACCTACCAATGACAATGCAATTGTTTATCTATGGCCATCTCAGTTCATATCTCCATCGGGTCTTTTTACCGTTATCTATTGATAAGAAAATCGCCATTTAACTTTTTTACTATTTTGGATATCGTTGAGACAGAAATTATAAATTGGAGAGAAATCCTCTAAGAGAGAGTCAGAGATTTATGTAACGAGAGTCAAGGTAACATTGAGAAATTTTATATGTTTTAAAGAGCAATAAATAGCAATTCACTTTGATTTTATTAATGATGCCCTGAAACATAGAAAACCGGGGTACTCAATCGAGTACCTTCAATGTATATGATGTAGGTGATGAGTTGGTGATAATTTTTGACCCCTGAATCAGTACCATACCTTCGTGGTAATTACTGACTCTCGTTGCAGAGTTTGCTCTGACTCTCGTTAAATCTCGGCCCACAGAAAATCTTCAATAGATAAGGAAATCAATTGGTTGCGATAACGGGCCAAAATATTGTTCTATTCTAGTAATTTTTCTTTTTTATTATTCAGATAAAATAAACTTTAAATATAAGACAATCTCCATTGAATCATTCCAGAGATCATTATTTCATATATTCTTGGATTTCAAGTTCAGAAATTTTTTTATTGTTGCTTGTTATCCAACTTACCTAAATAGAAAAGATCAATTGAATTAACATGAATAAGACTGACGACGACAAAAACTCTAAGATCAAGTCAGTAGAAGAAGACGACTCAGTCGGAGAAATCTCCAGCTACGAAGAAACTTCTGGATGGAAGGGTTGGTTGAAAAAGCTCGAGGTTGAAAATCAAGCTGGCTTGTCCACTGCTCAAGCCTTTTTGATCAATCATGACTTGAAACCTGTCGAAGAAGCTAGAAGATTATGGAGTTGGTACAACTATGTATTTTTCTGGATAGCTGATTCTTTCAACATTAGGTATGTATTTTTCACGCAGACGTTAGCGAAGTGCATCTGATAGAACAAGTTGCAAAATCTGCAATTTTTTAGACGGAGGATAAGAACTAACAATTTATAGTACATGGCAAATTGCAGGTACAGGTATAGCCGGAGGGATGAACTGGTGGCAAACTTGGCTTTCAGTTATTATTGGGTACACCCTTTGTGGTATTTTCGTGTCAATAGGTTCAAGAGTAGGTATCTCATATCATATATCGTTCCCTGTGGCTGTAAGATCTAGTTTTGGTATCTACGGTTCTTTGTGGCCAGTCATTAATAGAGTTGTGATGAGTTGTGTCTGGTATGGTGTGCAAACAGCTATTGCCGGACCAGCTATTGGTTTAATGTTGAGATCGATCTTTGGTAAAGATTTGGATAAGACCATGCCCGATGGCATCGATAAACCTTATCTTTCAACTTACTCCTTCTTATGTATTTTCTTATTTTGGTTATTTTCATTGCCATTTTTGTGGTTCCCTCCACATCAAATTAGACACCTTTTCACCTTCAAGGCTTATATATCTCCTGTTGCTGGTATTTTGTTCTTAGTTTGGACTATCGTCAAGAGTGATGGAATTGGTAATGTTGTACACAAACCAAGTAGTTTAGAAGGTTCAGCTTTGGCTTGGGCTTTTGTCGAATCAACTATGAATGCTTTAGCCAATTTTGCAACCCTTATCACCAATGCTCCCGATTTTTCAAGATTCAATAAAACTCCTAGTTTCAGTATGAAGTACATCGTTTATACCGTTTCAATTCCTGTTTGTTTCTCGTTGACTGCTTTAATTGGTATTCTTGTTTGTTCTGCTGCTGATACTTTGTACGGTGAAAACTATTGGAATCCCTTAGATGTTTTGGGTAGATTTTTGGACAACTATACTTCCGGTAACAGGGCTGGTGTGTTCTTCTTGGGTCTTGCATTTGCCATCGCCCAATTAGGTACAAACATCAGTGCTAACTCCATCAGTTTTGGTACCGATGTAACTGCTTTACTTTCAAAGTATTTGAATATCAGAAGAGGTTCTTACATTTGTGCTGCTTTAGCTTTATGTATTAATCCTTGGTACTTAAATTCTTCAGCATCTAGTTTCACCACTTACTTGAGTGCTTATTCGGTGTTTTTGTCATCTATAGCTGGTGTTGTTGCTTGTGATTTTTATTATGTTAGAAGAGGTTTCCTCAAATTGACCCACATGTATTCCATTCATGCTCCAGAAAACCCTCAATACCAGTCCTTCTATTTATACAATAGATTTGGATGCAACTGGAGAGCTTATGTAGCTTACATTTGTGGAATTTTACCCAATATTACTGGTTTTGTTGGTGCAACAGGTACTCACAAAGTGCCAATCGGTGCTGAGTATGTCTATAGAATAAATTTCTTCTGTGGTTTCATTTCAGCCTTTGTTATTTATGCTGCCCTTTGTTACTTAAGTCCTATAGCTGGATGCCCAAAGGTTGGATTTTTTGAAAAGGGCTGGTTTGAGGAGAGTGCCTATGTTGAGGATTTCGACCAGGAGTTGAGAGGTGAAGTTATCAACGAGGGCATCGAAAGCTCCATGAGCTATACCTCTGGTAGAAAATGATATTTTAGTTCTTTTTAGTGTGTTATTTAATATATGTTTTTGTATAGCTTCCAAAGCTCCCAAGTTGTGCCATTTTAAATGATTGAAAGGATCATGCAGAGCAAATTCAAGATGCTAAATATATTAATAGTACAAAATGCTATGTTTTATTTTTAGATTCGTAAATTTCACTGGGTGAAGAAACATCGTTTTTGTATAGTGATAGAACCAGGTGCCCTGTATCATTGCGAGTAGCCATTGGCTGTGGAGAAGAATTGCCCAAATCATCAATCTCTTTTTCTAACAAATCAAGAGCACTTTGCAATGGGGGTGACGATGAAATGTTTTTGATCTTGTTGAGCCTAGGAGATCTCCTAGTGGAGAAAGTTTTCATTTGAGGTAAGGAGGGATGGACCTTTTTCTCTTCGACTTTGCCGAGTGGTGTAACGTGATCTTTGGGAGTTGGCCCTTCTGCATTGTTGACTTCATAGTCGATATTCGAATTGTTCGAATTCAAACTACTATTTGAGTTGTTTGGTTGGTTGAATAAACTCATCCAGCCGTTTTCCAAAGGACTTGATTTACTGAATGACTTGATTATCAATTTTTCAAAATCTTCTGTTCCATTTATGGCAGGTGAACTAGAAGAGTTGAATTGGGTGATATCTGGTGGAGGGCAGTTCTCCTTATTATTATCTTCATCCAAATTAATCAATCTGGTGTTCGACTTGGTTGCCATCATAGGAGGGGTAACACCCTCAGGTAAATCTATGTCCGTCAACGGGCCCCCGAAATTGTTCAACTGATTCATGAAGTCGTTCAACTCTTGATTTCCGATTTTCGAATTTTGAATCACTTGATTTATAGCTGAAGGAGTATGCGATGGAGTAACAAACTTATGTCCTATCATAGGCGAAGATGCAATCTGATTCAATTTCTTTTGAACGCTACTATTGTCATTGTGGATACTAGAATTTGGAGGCAAAGGTGCTTGGAATAATTTAGGATCTTCTTTAGCTTTACTTTTCTTATAACTTTGTTGTTGTAAATATTTTTTCACAACCATAGAAGGTCTCATAAAACCCTTCGTCCTCAAAAACAAATAACAAGCGTTACACATTGGCCCATACATTCCTTCATAATTATTCTTATCAAACTCTTCAGATTTATGTATGTCTAAAAAGTGAGGTTGAAAGTCAAGTTCGAAATATCGCCAGGTGATTGATGACTTTGTCAAACAATTCTGATTCACACAAACCAATCCATGGTTCTCTGGAATTTTATTAGAATGTATCATATGGGTCCTCTTACTGTCTAAGTCTTCCAAGTCAGGTAAAGATTCGAAATGATGGTCAATATTTGGTTTATACGGAGGTTGTTGGGGAGTGTAAGGTGAAGTTTCAATACCTGTATCATTTTCATCCTCATCTTCGTCATCATCATCATCACCTTCAACGGTCTTCGCATTATTATCATTATATTCAGTATCGTCACTGTCGTCACAATCTTCTTCATGGATTGGAGAAGAGATTACTCTGGTGTTGATCATTGATCTCGTCCTCACAGCTCTGGTTGGTTCGTTCCTTCTCCTTCTCAACACTTTGGGTTTATCAATAACTCTGGCGTCCAAGAATGGGGCCAGTTTGAATCTATTTTGAATACTTTGAGGATCATACCTAGATGATGTGTTCATTTTATCAGCATTCCGTATGTTGTACATGTTATTGAATGGTTGGTTATATACTGGTAAAGATTTGGTCCTCGTTGCTTTGGCTGGCTGTACTGATGGTGATTTGTGATATTTTTTGGGCTGTTGATCTTCATATTCGTTCAGTCTTTTGAAGTTATTGCTATTCGTATTATTGTTATAGTTTCTATTACTGTCAGGTTTCACTATAGTACTGCTACTTGCTGAAGCCGAATTGGCTGACTCACCGGTAACATACTTTTCAATCGTATGGAACTTCAATCTTATTTCAAGGGTTAATGAGTTTTGTTTTTTGTTACCGAATAAAAAGCTTGCTGAAACATTTTGACAAACTCTTCCTGGTATGAGATTACCATCAGTCGATTTCAATAAATCGGACAATACACCATTTGAAACAAATGGTTCATCGGGTTGTTCAGTAAGATCTTTGTAGTATACAGCGTAGTCATGTGTTGTCAACTGGAAATTCTCTGGAGAACTTTGTAAGATTTGTTGAATACAGCTTTTCAAGTCATAACCCCCTAACATGATATCTTCATTTAAACCAGGAATTGACGCCACTCTAACAGAAGTCATACCCAGAGATCTGGATAAGAAAACAGTGCTGTTGTCATTGAAGGAGTACAAGACCTTTACTTGCATTCTCTTACTTTCTACTTCTTCCATTATTTTTGTGTGTTTGTAATACGTTATGTTTGTTGTTTATATGAACCTGGAAGATTGTTTTTTTCTCAAATACTAATGCTCCTTTGGATGACCTGTTTTTGTCTGTGTGGTTTCAAACAAATTAAATTTCTATAATCTTAAACGAATGAACTGAGCACAAGATATCTTAAAAAGACTTCTATAATGATGATTTGGAATATTTGTTATTTTTTGCTTACCTCTGCCAGATTGCCCTTCTCAAATTATATAACAATAGCCCCAATATCAGAGTTCTAACTATTCTACTGTTGAACAATTGACTAACAAGCAATGTAAAAAATAAACAATAATGAGAAGTCTGAGAAATCAACCTTTTTGTTTATGGTGTATGGCGTCCTGATAAATTCGCGACGCGATGAATTTTTTTGCAACAATTTAGATTTTTTGCATCCAATTGAGCGTAATTGGGAAAAGGGTGCCTTCACCTTTTTAGAACAGCGAGAGCCGATGAAAGAGCCCCTGAGCTTTCGAGCAAATGTGATTCAAATTGGAGGAGAGATGACACAAGTATAGTTGCACAAAGAGGAGGCATTGTTTTGAGAGCCAAAGATTGGTGATGGTGGGAGTGTACCGGATGTTAAAGTAGAGAGAAAACAGACAAGTAAAAACACTCCATTCATTAATTATATACAAGGGACGATATTTTAATCAAGACCTATTAACTTCTCTACTGCTCTCATATTAACAGATGCAATCTTCTTTGCCTTTTCAGCTCCTCTATCTGCAATTTGATCGATATAAGATACGTCTTTCATTAATTCTTCGTAAACCAACCTTTGATCCTTGAACTCTTCAACAATCAAGTCAGTTACCAAGTCTTTCAATTGTTTATGACTTCTCATGTATTCCAAATCCTTAACTGTGTCCTCAACAGATTTCCTTGTCAAGCCTGAAACAATATTGATCAAATTACTAACACCTGGTCTTTCCTCTGGGTCAAAATAAAGCCTACCTTGAATCGAATCAGTAGTTGCTTTCCTTAACTTCTTGGCAATTTGATCTGGCGACTCAGTTATATATAAGCAGCCATTTTGATCAACATCAGATTTCGACATCTTCTTCTCTGAAGATCTAAGAGACATGATTTTCTTATTTGCAGTGAACAATGATTTGGGCATGGGAAAAAAGTTTGATTTATAAGTGCTGTTGAAAATCGAAGCAATGTTTCTACACAATTCAAGGTGTTGTGCTTGATCATCACCAACTGGAACGTGTGTAGATTTATAAAGAAGTATGTCTGCTGCTTGAAGCACGGGATAACAAAGAACACCGGCTTTGGTCTTCCCTAGAATTTCGTCACCGAAAATTGAATCAGTTTCCTCCACTTTAGCTTTCAGTTTCCACTGAGTCATTCTGTTCAATGCACCCATGCTAGTTAAGCAGGTTAATATCCAAGATAATTGACTGTGTTCTGCTATACTTGACTGATGGTAAATTATAGATCGCTCAGGGTCTATACCTGCTGCTATAAGACTAGCGATAGCTTCCCTTCGGGAATTCTTCAATTTTGCAGGGTCAGTAACAGATGTCAAAGCATGTAAATCGGCTGTTCCAAATATGAACCGAGATTCGCTATTTCTCTCATCATTAGAGATATCCCTCCAGTTAGATAAAGCTCCAAGATAATTACCCAAGTGTATTTTTCCCGTTGGCTGGATTAAAGAAAAAACAGTGGATCCAGATGGGAAAACTGCAGCGTTGGAGATTGAACTCAGATATGTTCTTACTGATCGGATCATCATCACCAACAAGATATACCAGACTTGAAAATTTTCAGAATCGAATGCGACAATACTGTGGGTCCATTCCTTGACCGTAATCCGACAGATGATTCAATAATTGAGAGAGAGAGACGAAAGAGACTGAAATTGACGAATTCTGTGTTTGATTTAGGCTGTTTAATTTTCTTCTTATAATACAATTAATTTTTTATTTCCTCTTTTTCATCGATGACGAAACCCCCAGGCTTGTTGTAAATGTCAATTCCTTTCTGAACCAAGGATTTTTCTAGTTTATTTCTCTGGAGCTCCCTCCACCTGCTAAGTTGGGAGTAATCATGTAACTTGAAACCGAAGACCCTTGGTGTGTAAATTTTTCTATCATGGACTGGAATGGCCTGAGGAAAATTTTGAAAAAACATAGCTGGAAATGAAGTACCAAAGTATGCACCATCAATTATAGCATGTCTACCGGATTTTGGATTATACAAATCTTCACACTTTGCACAATATAATTTGACGGATGCTAACCTTGGTTGGTCATTAAGGCCAATAGGTAATAAAGGATGCAATTGGCAATGTACTCTTGGACAATAGCCAAAATCTCCATTTCTATACTTTTCGAACATCTTGTTCAATCCTCTTGATGTTAAAATATACCTTGCATGTATCAAACCATACAAGACTCTTGCATTATGTTCTAAAGCATCTCTTTGATCTTCAGGTTGCAGTTCTATATCAATAATATCAGTCAATATATCTATCAAAACACTTAATTTACTAACTTCTTGATTTAAACCCGTCAAGTTAAACTTGTCACGAATATAGTCTTCATCGATGTCACAAAAGTACTCATGACCTTTGATACCTAAAAATAAATCAATCCAATACTCTGTAAAGTCCGAACTGGAGTCAGTGTGATACTCCTCTGTTATGCCGTTCCTGCTAGTCATGTAACCACTTAAAACTCAGATATGAAAAACTAAAAAACCGAAATTGCACCCCCTTGAGATCTTGAGAAATTCCATCAACGCTGCGAAAAAAGTATTCTGGTTGAGATTCTACGATCAACAATTTACTCGTTGAAACGGTTTATATTCAGTGAGAAAGAACTTCAGATAGACCAATGCGTGTATTGATTTTTCCCAAGGAGTTACACAGCGGTGAAATTTATTCTTTGGCCATCAATTTATCTGGTCATAGTTTATTATCTACGGGTAAAGATGGTATACTAAACGTTTGGAACGTAGAAGACTTGAAGAATTTGAACAAGACCGAAAAATCTGCAATTCAAGACAAAATAGAGTCGATAACACCTTCAAAAAGTTTCCACAATCACAAGTCTATAGTAAAGGCCATCAAGTGGTCTCCCATAGATCCAAATTCGTTCGTTTCGGGCTGTATATCAGGAAAGGTGATTTTGCACCATTTAGAGGGCGAACACAGACCGTTGTACCCCTTAGAAGGTGAAGCAAGTAGTGTTGTGGACATTACGTGGTCATTCGATGGAAGATTAATTGCATGGAGCACAGATGATGGTAAGGTCCATTTATTCGACTTAACGAAAGACACTTACCAAGAATTGACAAAGTTAGTACACCAAGAAAAACCGTCTATACAAAGGTCAATAGAATTTGATCCTACCAACAAATTTCTAGTCACTTTGGGGGATGACACCATCATTTGTGTATATCAGTTCAGATACGAAAAAAACAATTACCAATTCAAAATTTTAAATAAGATAACAAGATTTATGAATCAAAACAATGTGAACATCAACTACAGCCGGATATCCTGGTCATCAAATGGTGAATTCCTTCTGATACCCAGTGCCAAAAAAAACCGAACTACTTTGATAGCGCTCATTTCAAGATTAAATAATTGGGAGACTGCAATGAATATGGTGGGCCATGGTTCAGATTGTGAAGTTGTCAAATTCAATCCTAATTTTTACAAAATACCACATAATACCCCCGAAAGACTACAAGAAAAGCTTGATCCTCAGAAAATTCGAAATTCATGTGTTATTGCTACTGCTGGCTCAGATAAAACTTTGGCATTATGGAACATACACAATCCTTCCCCAATTATTGTATTGAAAGAGCTTGTTGAAAAGCCAATTGTGGATTTGTGTTGGGATAAAGCGGGTGAATCATTATTTTTGGGTTCCCTAGATGGTAAGCTCACAATTGTAAGTTTTGATGAAGGGGAACTTGGTATCAAGGAAACCGACGAGAGTTTAATAAAAGTTCAAGACCCACCTGAAACCAAAGCATTCAATGCCAAGTCCGAAATAGTGAATCCAAGAAGTAGATCCAGCAATGTAGTTGAAATTCTTGATCAAAAGGATTCGACTTTGGTGTCAGAAACAATTTCATCAACTGAAGGAAATGCCTCGAATAATCTAGAAGAAAAGAATGGCAACGACTCAATTCTCGAATTAGACAAGGAGCGTCACAGCTTCATTCCAAAGGTACTCGATTCTTCTAAATTTACAGACCACGACCAATCAGATGACCTAATGGATAATTTGATGGATAGACTGAAGAAAATAAAAGAAAAGGAGTCAGATAATGAGCCACCAAGAAAGTCTAGTTCCACGAATGGAACAAGTCTCACTCATAATGGATCACAAGCTAACAGGCTCGATGTCAGTAAACAGAAAACCACCACCAAAGATGGAAAAAGAAGAATTCAACCCATGCTAGTTTCCAATGGTAATGGCCACAATGATATTTCGAGTTTACCGGTCAGGACTAACCGTGCTGTTAACTCAACCAAAGAATCGATGGAGTTTGAGAAAGCATCATACAGTGTTTCTGATGATTTGTTCAGGCAAATAAAGCGTCAAAAAGGAAACGAAGAAACTAATAAGAAACAAAAGAGAGAAATGGAACCCACCAAATTTTTGGGCTCCGTAGTGGTGAATCCAAATACAACATTTTCAAAGACTAGATTGGCAGTACCGAAGATAAGATCCGGATTTTCGCTTACCAGTACTGTTGATATTGGTGATCAGTTTGTTCTTGAGGTAAAAAATGGTTCAGGAAATGACGAAGAGCCTTCCAGGTTGACCTATTTCCGAAAGGATAAACAAATCTGGTGTGATTTTATACCAAAACACATACACTTAGCAACAGAGGGTCAAAACTTCTGGGCAGTGGCTACCGTCGATGGCCAAGTTTTGACGTATTATCATATTTCAGGTATGAGGATTTTACCACCACTTATGCTAGGATCGCCAATTGCCTTTTTGGAGAGTCAAGGTGACTTTTTGATGGCCATAACCAGCATAGGTGAACTCTATGTGTGGAATGTGAAAAGCAAGAGGTCACATTTGATCACCCCTCTGTCAATCAATTCATTGCTTGATTCGAGTAACAAGTACCAAGATGAGGGTATTTCCAAATCAAACAGAATAACAATGTGTTCGATCACTTCCACAGGTACACCTTTGATAACGCTTTCTAATGGTACTGGGTATTTGTTCAACAAAGATTTGGGAACTTGGCAAACAATAAGTGAATCATGGTGGGCTTTTGGATCCCATTACTGGAACTCTTTAAGCACGGGTGACAAACCTGGAAAAGGTGAAAATTCTAGTCTGTTTGGAGAATCTGAGGAGTCCATAATTGGTTTATTGGAGAACAAAACTAATGAAGAAATTATAAGAAATACTAGAGCAGGAAGAGCAAAGTTTTTCAATAAAATTTCCAAGAATATGTTAATGAAAGAAGGCTTCGAAAATCTTGAAAATACAGTATCGTTGAGTCATTTAGAGAACAGAATTCTTTGTTGTGAATTATTGGGAGAAACCAAAGACTTCAGAGAATTCTTTTTGACCTACGTCAAGAGAATATGCGAATTGGGTCTCAAAGCTAAAGTTTTCGAAATATGCAACCTGTTAGTGGCCCCTGAGGGGGATTCCGAAGAATCATGTTCCTGGGATCACGAAATATGTGGAATAAAGAAACACGATCTTTTAAAAGAGGTTATTTTGAGCTGCAGTGAATTGAGAGATTCTCAAAGAATTTTTACTCACTTTGCAAAAAAGGTGGACTTATTGTGATATTATATACAAGTTTCTAGTTATTAAGTTTATATGTATTGGAATTGTCCCAATTTTTCTTGCCCAACAAACCACCGATTTGTCCCTGTTCATTCATGTCTCTCTTCAATGGCCCAGAAATATATTCTACATATCCATCGGGACCACAAACTAACGAAAGAGCTGGAGGAGCTTTGTTTTGCTTGCTTGTGACTTTGGCTTGTTCTATAGCATTATCGTACATGACTATTTTTCCCTTGAAAGCTGATTCTTGGTGTGGCTCCTCTTCTTCGAAAGCTTTTTGTCTAATCTTCAAAGCTTCTTGTGGTGAAAAATTAGATGCTTCAGCGGCCATCTCTTGTCTCATCGGACTCACAAAGTTGGGTTTTTGTGCTTTTGTAATACTTTTGGAGTCAATACGCTCTCCTTCGTTATCATAGTAGGTATGGACCTTGACTCTGTCAAGTTTTTCTAAAAAGAAAAGAAATCTCTCTAACGGTCCCAATTCACCTGATTTCCTTGCAGAATAATGCAAATCCACAAACCCACGATAAGGGTTTCTGGTCATAAGAAGTTGCAAAGCAGGAGCTATACCAGTTCCAGCGCAATAAAATGTCAAATTGTCAAAGTCTGGTATGTTATTAACGGACTTGATTTTGTCGAGGTAAATTTCTGGCTCGACCTTGGATGGTAGATCTTTGAATACTGGTCTATCGTGAAACTTTTTCAAAGGGTGGTACGGGAATTTGAATTCCGTGTTTGGGCCTCTCAATTCTAACTCGTCTCCCACTTTCTTATTGACTATGTATTTCGAAACTTCGCCATCGTCATACTTCTTGATGTAAAAAGTCATCACTCCACCTCTATCGTAATCTTCTTTTCCAGGGGTGATCACCTTCAATAAAGGTTTCTTCTCACCCGACCTAGTATACTCAGACTTCATAAAATATAAAGGTAAAGGAGTATATGATCTCACAACCATTATTTGAGGTTGCTTGATTTCAACTGACCAAATTTTATCCCCATCCCAGATTGATTTCTGTGAATAGTTGGAAAAGAGACTATATTGCCAATGATTATACTTGGGGGTAACTTCAATCAAATAATGATCATCATCTATTTGTTCTTTGTGGGTAACAATGAATTTGTGGAATTCTTCGGGATTTAATAAATCTTTTGATTCAGAATTTTCTTCACCATCAAAATACCAAACTTTAACTGAATATGCACCCCAAGCAACGAAAAGACCGGTTAAAATCTTGGGAATATATCTTCTCCATCTATTGACTTCTTTTACCTTGAGTTGTTTGGCTTGTTTGGTGAAGTCATCTTGGTTGGGTAATCCTGGGTAGTCGTAAGCAAGCCTCTCATGTTTCAACTTTGGTAAGTATGGTTTATTATTGCGCTTCATGTAACTGTTGACATCCTTATTATTCATTGGAGCAGGAGCTGCAGGTGATGAAGCTGACTTAACCTTGTACTCACTTACGTCGTTGGAATCTTTCTTTGATAACTGATTTGTTTCATCTCCATCTTTTTTCGAATTTTCCAGGCTACCGTATGCTTTCCAATCAGATTTGAATCTGACTAGAGATCGTGGTGCATACCTGATCTGAGATCTTATCATGAAGCTAGTGAAAAAAGTTCGCAGTAATTAGAATCTGACAGAGACCGATGGTAAAATTGATAAAATCGATACAGGCTCACAAAGACAAAGCATGGAGTGTCAGTAGTCACGCTAACTTACCATTATTAGCCACTGCATCGACTGATAAAACTTCCAATGTGTACAATCTTTCAAAAAAGAAAAATTTCCCTTTGATTACTAAGTTGGAGGACACACATAAAAGATCCATCAGAACAGTTGCATTCAAACCTCCTTTGGGTGGCGAAGATACTCCAGACACGGAATTTATAGATTTGCCAGCCTTGGCAACTGGATCATTTGACAGCACCGTTTCAATTTGGGGTGTTGATGAGCCAGAAGAAGACTTTGATGAAGATGATGAAGATGAACAAGGCAAATTAGACAAGCAAGTCCAATTATTGACAAGTCCTCAAAATGAATGGAACTTGATGGCCATAATAGAGGGACATGAAAATGAAATCAAGGCAGTGGCTTGGAATTATCAAGGTAATTTGTTGGCTACTTGTTCCAGAGACAAGACAATTTGGATTTGGGAAACTGATCCAGAAACTTTAGAAGAATTCGAATGTATTTCAGTTTTGAGTGAACATGATCAAGATATAAAGAATGTTACTTGGCATCCAACTCAAAATCTCTTGGCCAGTTCATCTTATGATGATACCATAAGATTATATAAACAAGATGAAGCTGATGATGATTGGTCTAGTGTAGGGGTATTGAATGGACACGAAGGGACTGTATGGTGTTCATCTTTTGAACACCCCAAATCTTTGTCTGCTAGTCAAGAAAAGATTAGAATCGTGAGTTGTAGTGATGATTCAACAGTAAGAGTTTGGTGTTGCAAAACCAAAAAACTCACTGAAGAAGACTACGAAAAGTCCAAAGCTTTACCTAGTTCCATCAAACATTCAAGTACCATGACATGGGAAGAAGAAACTGTTTTACCTAAGATTCATGAATATTCTGTATATTCAGTAAGTTGGTCCAGAAAAACTGGTAAAATTGTAAGCGGAGGATCTGATGGTAAAATAGTTGTTTATAAACAATCCCCAGACTCTGAAAAGTGGGAAATTGAATCCGTTCAGGAATTGAGTCACGGAGTAACAGAGATAAACTGCGTTTCTTGGTGTAGACTAGATGATGGAGAAGAAGTCATAGTAAGTGCAGGGGATGATGGAAACATAAATATTTGGGAGCCATGAGATTTTATATATTTATCGAATAGACACCAAATTATTGTATCATGAAATAAGTTGGACAATCACTATAAAAAACAAAAGTGCAAATAGAATGAAGAAACAGCATAACATTCTGCCGTTTGACCGTCTCTGATATCTTTCGGCCCTTCTCAATTCATTAGATGCACCTTGAGTGTCTGCACTATATCTCATAACATTATCTTCAATAGAATCTATGGTAAACTGCTGTTCTTGAACTATATCTTCCAAATTGCCATATATTTCATTTATGTATGAAATATCTTGATTGATTTGTTCGATTTCACGTTCTCTCTCTTGAATCAATAGTGTTTGTTGTTCCAATTCTTCAGCATTGACGGGCTCATAGTTGATTTGAACTTGCAGTTGCTGTACTTGAGAAGCTGTATCTTGATACTCTTGAGAATGGTCAGATAAAAGGTCGGGTTGGATGACGGCTGTGTCTTGAGGAATGCCATACTTGTTGATAGTTTTTTGCTGGAAAGATTCAAATCTTCTCTGCTGATTTTGGAATTGTCTCAAACTAGATTTTATCATCTTTACTACTAATGATTCCTTTTGTTTAAGATAATTTATGGTGTCGTTGTCTTCATGATTTGATTCACAGTCTTTCAAATATCGATTTACTTGTTGGGATAAATCGTTGATGCCCCTATACTCTTTTGTGACATCTTCTATACTGGAAGTAATTTTACTAGCCAATCTATTGAGCTCTACAGGTTTGGATTCATCATCATCCTTCTTCAAAAGGGCATCATATTCGTTTATCAACTTCTTGATAGATGGCAACTGAACAGTATTTATTTGATGTAGGCTGGTTTCGATAGTTTGTGTGGAACTTTCAAACTCGGGAAAGTCCTTATAATGGGTAGATCTAGCGTCCGACTCTAGATCCTGACTGAAATTACTGAATGACATTGTTAAGGGTTTGGTGATAGCTAGAAATCTCACACTTTCTCAATCTATGATCTTGGTGCACCCACTACCTGTCAAATATATTGGGGAGAAATAATCACTTAATTAACGTGATCTGATGAAGTCGACACCAAATAATTTATCACTGTGGTAGCAGGAAAGATGAGTACACCTTATCCCCAACGTATAGAAAATTTGGCATTTTCATCAGTAAACCGATCTTTCCCCAAAATGAGAAGCTTTTGACTAATAAATCCGTGAGGTTACACTTTACGAGTCTTAAAATGCTTGTATCTTTAAGGATCATCATCAGAATTCGACTCTCCAATAGTTCTGGGGCTTACATATAGAAATAACCCACTGCAAAAAAATCAGCTCAACGGGCCAGGAAAACGAAAACCAGTACTTTTTACGGAATCCGTGGGGGTTTGGTGCCGTAAGAACTTTTGGAGCCGCTCTCGTTTTGAAACTCCCCTATCATAATTTTTGTAAAGTGATGGACCAGAACAACACATTGATCAACAAAAAAGCACCAGTTTCGGTGAATATTACTGAGTATGAATCGTGTAGTCAAGAGGGTGAAGTTGCCAAATTCACTTTCGTCGATTGGATTAAAAAACCAACAGTTAGTAAGATCGCTGTAAGTGCAGGTCTTTATACATTCAGTACATTGTCAGCTCCAGTTGTTATTGAATTATATTTTGCCAGAGCTTGTGACAGTGTCCGGAAAGCTGATGGTACTTGCAGTGCTGTTGAAAGTCAAATTTTGGTTTCAAACTTCTCCCAGGCTAATCTCGTTTTGAGTCAAGTGTTAATAGTGTTGGCCATTTCACAACTAGGGAGACTTTCAGACTACATTGGAATGAAGAATTGTATGCTTCTTATGACTACGAGTGATTTATTGGGAGGTATATTGACTTTTCTTACTTTGGTAGGTTCAAAGAAGTTCAACTTTAAATCTTTATTGTTGTTTCAGTCATTGTGTAACTTATTCGGTGGTGTACCTGGTATTACTGCAATAGCTAGTGCTTACACAGCAGAAATAACCAGTTCACAAAACAAAGCAGCCGCTTTGTCACTTGTAGGTGCTTCATTAGCTATTGGTCAATTCTTGGGAACCCTGTTCTGTACCTTTATCTTAAATTTAGGCGACAAACTCAATTTTGAAAGAGAATCCTTCAATAAGATTCCATTTTACGTGCAATATGCAGTGTTGTCGATATTGCTTGTTTTCGTCATCTTTTTATTACCTGAACCATCCAAGAAAATACATTTGGAAGATCTGATCGAAGTAGAGAGTGTGGAGGTCACGGGTTGGAGAAAGTACAACCCGTTGAGACTCATCAATGTTTTGGAACCAATAAAGCTTTTAGCTCTCCCTGAAGATGTTGTTCCTGAAGAAAGGAAAGGAGAGATATCCAAAATGAGATTCCTGGTAATATCATTGGTTTTGTCCTCTACTGCAAGTCAATCGGTAAGTGCTTGTATATCAACAGTTCTTATACAGTACTGTGTTTATTTACTCGATTGGAAATCAAAAGAAATATCTACTGCCATTTTAATGGTCTCGGGGTCTACAATTTTTATTTTGACCATTTTCTTCCCTTTTTTTAACAAATACTTTTTGCTCAAATATTTGGGGTTGAACTTCAATGAACACCACTTTGATACCATAGACTTTATCCCATTAATTTTAGCGGCATCATGTGATTTGATTTTCTCGTTCCTTGTTATATTCATCACATCAACACCCGCTATGATGGGTTTATTGGTTTTGCTTGGTTTCGATGCTATAATATCACCCACAGTTACTTCAGCAATCACTAAATACTATCCTGAGCATTTAACTTCAAAGGTCGTGATCGCTCTAAACTTGGTCGGTGCTTTGATTAGGGTAGTGGGACCTTTAGTTCTTTTACTGATTTATAAATTCGGATTGAAACATAATTTTGCAACTTTGGCATTTTATTTTCAAAATGTCTTCTTGAGTGTGGTTTTTGTATTCTTGATAGTGGATAAGATAATTTCTAAATCTAGATAGAGATTCTTGTGATAAACATGTATAAGATAGATAATAAACTCTCTGATCTTATCTATTTGCCATTTTTTGTTAGGAGTCGTGAAAATTGCAAAAAGGTGAACTTCCGTAAAAATCTCTGGTAGAATAAAAACAAAACGAACTACTTGGTCTCGAATTCAAGAGGTGTACGACTCGAAACCTTGTGATAGACATGAAAAGTATTGAAAGATAAAGTGTAGTTGACGGGGTTAAGAGTTAGAATCTTGTGACGACTTCGCACAGAAATTATTGTCCTTAATTTCATTACGTTGGGTTGATGGCTTCCAGAACAGCACAAAAAAGATTAACAAAAGAGTATAGGTCGATTGATGCCAATCCTCCTCCATTCATAGTTGCTAGACCGAATGATGAGAATATTTTAGAATGGCATTACGTGATCACTGGTCCTGATAATACCCCTTACGAAGACGGCCAATATCATGGTATATTAAGATTCCCAGCAAATTATCCATTCCAACCACCAGCAATATCTATGGTGACACCCAATGGTAGATTTTCATGTAATACCAGACTTTGTTTATCCATGAGTGATTACCATCCAGATACTTGGAATCCTGCCTGGAGTGTTTCAACGATATTAACCGGGTTATTGAGTTTCATGACCAGTAATGATCCAACTACAGGATCAATAAATACGTCAGATAGTTTGAAGAGAAAATTTGCATCAGAAAGTAAGAATTGGAATAATAAAGAAAATTCCAGATTCACTAGGATCTTCCCCGAATTAGTCAAACAGAATGAATTAGATCTAATGAAGAAAACTATCGAAGAGGAAAAGGAAGATATTCCTGAACAAATAATCAATCTAAACGAGAATCTTCATTTATTAGATCCTGAAGATAAAGCCAGATTATTCGGAGATGATGAAATGAAGTTTAATTACTCAAGATTTACATTTTTTGGCGTCATAGTTGCTGCTTTATTTGCTTATTTGATTAAGAGTTTATGATTACCATATCTTTTACCCCTTTATACCCCAGTGCCATCTCAATATGCTAAGACAGTAGTTGCCATCTAAAGAGATTCAATTTTCGGTTTTTTTTACTAAATCCGATCTTTTGAGTTTCGATTTACGAGTTTTTTAATTGTATGAATATATGAAATAATAGAACCCAAGTGAAGCTCTCCATTATTCCTTTTCTCGAACATTTATGAAGGACGACGTTTGATATCGTATTTTCGTCAATTTATCTCTGTTTTGATTATTTGTTTCATGTCATCCACACGATTATAATTTCACTCAGGTGAAATAGTGCATAAAATTTCAACGAGAATTTTTTTATCCCAGATTCTCCATATCAACAGATTAATTGTTTGAAGTTCGATCAAAATTCGAAACTTTTCGTTTGTTAACAATTATAAACCTGTTTGACACGTGAACTATCAATTAATTCCAAGTTCTATTGAAGTTGATTAGTATTTAACACTTTACTGGGGTAATTATTAATTGTCTCATTAAACACAAGCATTTAAAAATAACTTCAGGAAAACAAAACCAAAATATCCTTGCTGAATTTATACAGCGAAACAATAGTTCAATATAATCATCAATGAGTAATCATCCATATCGTCAAAGAGTTCCACAGTCTGGTGGAAACAATTCCGGTACTTCATCGCCTTCCACGTCACAATATGTTTCACCTATGATTTTATCACCAAATCAATCACCTCAAATTAATCCTAATCAAGATAGTCATATGGATTCTATCAATACCCAATCCACCCCTTATCCCATGAACAATGCTATTCCAAGTCATGTTCAAGGTTATCCACAAAATGTACATAGAAATCAAGGTTCTCAAGGATCCATTCCTCATGATTTATTACATGATAATAGGCAATTCAATGCATCTCCTTCTTCAAATCATGTTCCATATCCTTCACAAAATGATGGCTACACCAACACTGGTACCCCACCACCAATTTTCAATAATCCAACAACCCATACCATGCCTATCACCAATGTCACATCACCTCAAGCACACTCCTTAAGTGCAACCTCATCAGTAACCAATTTTCAATTGCCCCCTAATAATAATGATGATGATTTAGCTAAACTGGGAAGCAATTTGGTTTTGTCAAAACCTCATCACCATGATAGATCCGTTAGTTCTACATCTTCATTTCAAAATGATAGTACAGTTGATTTCAATCAAAGTCTACTCACTCAGTATTTAGGTGATAATTCAAGTAACTTAATGCCTAGAATAAAGACCATTGAATTGTATAGAAAGAATGCCCAAAAATCAAATGATCCAACGGTATTATTCCAGTATGCTCAGTATATGTTACAAACTGCATTATTGGTAGACAAGGATGGTAGTCAATCAGGAAATAGTCCATTACCATCATCAGTTGAAAACAGTCCTGCTAGAGGTCCTCAAGATTCATCTCCACATTTCAAAAAGTCTCATAATAAATCAAAATCAACTCAAAGTTTTGATTTGTCAAATATTAGCGAAGATTCAGTTGATGATAAAAGGTTGAAAAAATCCTTGTTAAAGGAAGCTGCTATTTATTTGAAAAAATTGAGTGACAAAGGTTATACTGAAGCTCAGTATCTTTTAGGTGATGCTTACAGTAGTGGAGCTATTGGGAAAGTTGATAACAAAGAATCCTTTGTTTTATTTCAGAGTGCTGCCAAACATGGTCATGTGGAAAGTGCATATAGAACCTCTTATTGTTATGAAGAAGGTTTAGGTACTGGTAGGGATGCCAGAAAAGCCGTTGATTATTTGAAAATGGCTGCTTCTAAGAATCATCCTGCAGCTATGTACAAATTAGGGGTCTACTCATTCCATGGTAGAATGGGTTTAGGTCATGATGTGAATACTAAAAAAATGGGTATTAAATGGTTGGAAAGGGCTTCATCAATCGCCAATGAATTGATTGCTGCTGCACCTTTCGAATTAGGTAAAATTTATTTCGAAGGTTTCAAAGATATTTTAATTCAAGATAAAAAATACGCTTTAGAATTATACAGTCAAGCCGCTGCTTTGGGTCATATTGAAAGTAGTGCAATTTTAGGTCATCATTACGAAGTAGGAGAAATTGTTCCTCAAGATTCCAACTTATCAATTCATTACTATACTCAAGCAGCTTTGGGTGGAGATCCTGGAAGTATGTTGGCAATGTGTGCTTGGTATTTGGTTGGTAGTGATCCTTATTTACCAAAAGATGAAAACGAATCTTTTGAATGGGCTAAAAGAGCTGCCATGTGTGATCTACCAAAGGGCCAATTCGCTTTAGCGAATTTCTATGACAAAGGTATTGGTTGTGTGAAAAATCCTACTGAAGCTCAAAAATGGTATATTAAAGCCGCAGAAAATGGTGATGAAAAAGCTTTAACAAGAATTAGCGATAAAGAACTAGTAACTAAATTATCTAAAAAAGTTAAGAAAAATAAGGTGATTACCAAGAAGGATTCACATGATAAAGATTGTGTAATTGTCTAATAAAAAATTTGCATTTATCTCTAATAAAGTAAAATCAGATCGGGTCACGTGTAGAACCTTCGATAAGCCCCACTGCGAAATTTCATTTCAGAATTTCATACGATTCAAACATGTCCAACAGAGATTATTACAATCAAGGAAACCAAGAATATCAACCAAACCAAGGTGGTAACAATGAAAGACAAGATGGTCAAACTGGTGATAGAGGAATGATGGAAAGTGTTGCCGGTAGTCTTTTAAATAATTATATGAGTGGTGGTAAGCAAAATCACAGCAATAATAGTGGAAGTGGAATGGGTGCCATTGGTTCAATGATCGCTGGAGCTATGGGTTCAGGTCACGGTAACCAAGGAAGTCATGGTAGCAGTGGTAGTAGTGGATTAGGTGGTATGTTAAGTAGTGCTTTAGGTGGAAGTAGTGGCAAACATAACCAAGGTTACGGAAATGATTATAATAACAATTATGGCGGTAACCAAGGGGGTTATGGTGGCAATGGTGGCAGTGGATACCAAGGTGGTAACTATCAATCTCAAGGTCACCATCAACAACAGGGTCACCAATCACAAGGTGGTTTCTTAGGTAAACTTGAAAATATGATGGAACAAAGAATGGAAGGTGGAAGAAATGATGGATATGGAGGCGGTAGAAATGACTACGGCAGACAGGATTATGGTGGTGGTAGAAATGACCATGGTGGAAGAAATGATTATGGTGGAAGAAATGATTATGGTGGAAGAAATGATTATGGTGGAAGAGATGATTATGGTAGAAACGATGGAGGCTTTGGCGGTAGAAACGATTACGGTAGAAACGAAGGTGGATATGGTGGTAGAGATGATTATGGTAGAAATGATGGTGGATTTGGTGGTAGAAATGATGGTGGATTTGGTGGTAGAAACGATGGTGGATTTGGTGGTAGAAATGAAGGTGGATACGGTGGTGGATTCGGTGGCAGAGATGACAATGGTAGAAATGATGGCTACGGTGGTGGCAGATATTAATCGTTACTCGTTATATATTGAATGTATTCTGACTTTTCAATCATGCAACTATTCAACTTTCTCTGCAGATTGGCTATCAGCTCCTCTTGACCCATCGCCATGGAAATTCAATAATTCTGAAGGAGATTTGAAGCTAAAATTGGGAAATTCTTTAATTTCAAATTCAGACACTTTGGATGCCTTATTCAACAATAGTCTATCCTCTAATTTTCTTAATGATGTAATTCTTTTGGGCCTCCTCTTATAATCTACGATTTTGTTGATTTGGGGACTTATTTTTGAACTGCTATCAAGTTTCAAGTCCAAATCATCTAGATTATGAAGTATATTGTTTTGTAAGGGCGAATCATCATCAAGATCACTTTTCAATATGCTTTCATCCACGCTCATGTCACTTTCAACAGATTCGAAATGAACTTTTCTTGATCTGAATGAAGGAGAAGATTTGGCTCTTGACAATTTCTTGACAGACCTGGGTGGTGACATTTTCAAAGGTGAAGTGCTGCCTCGTTTCAAATCTTCGTGGATCTTTTGTTCAAGTGACTCCAAACGTCTAGCAAAGAACTGTGATGCCTTAGCCTCCAAGAATTGGTCAAATTCTCCATTAATCAAATTTTCAAGAATTCCGACCAACTTTGTTGATTCGAATTCCATGTTCTCCTTGTTATTACCATTATTGAGTACATCAATGAGTCCAAAAGTTGAGAAATTATATTCCTGTAGTTCCATTATCAATTGATCAAATAATATTGATGAGTTGAAAAGTATTTCTCTTTCTACATGATCTCTTAAATCGTTAAGGAGTGTCTCAAATATCGTGGTATGATAATGACTCCAAAGTTCCTGTTGTTGTAGATTGTTCAAGAATTGACCACTTTTAACCTTGAGGATGAAATCGGTTTCATCAGGTTTGTTGTATTGATTTTCCAAATCTCTGATCTGTAATGTCACTTTGGATAATAATTGCTCAACTAAATTTATGACGGACGAATTCTCCTTGTTTAAGTATTTCAAGAGGTTATCACAATCATTCTTCTGGATCAACAAAATTTTTCTCTTGGACAAAAGGAGATACTTTTTCCATTTATCCTGATTTTGATCAACAGACTGTTTTAAAGTTGAAATATTCTCGATAATTAAATTCAAATTCCTTTCATTCTTAAGATTTTGGTTTTGAGCGGCATTTGTTATGGTAGCTAATTGGTTGTTTTTCAATTCTTCGATCTCTTGCTTCTGTTGGGTAATCATTTTGAGATAAGAACCGACATGTCTATCTAAATTATGCTGATTTCTAGTCAATTTTGTTTTGATCTCTTTGGCTCTATTAGCATACTTCAAAGTATTCAAAGTTTCATCATAATGTGTGGAGGAAGGGGATACACAGACAATCATACATGTTTTACAGTTCCCTCCTAATGAAAATTTTAATAATCTAGTTAATTTAGAATCTCTATAAGGAATATGTTTCGATTTCCTTGGATCACATAATGCATTTATGCAATTCCCTAAAGCTAGTAGGGATTTGTTGATATTTGCCCCCTCGTTCAACCTTTGACCCCGATTTTTAGTTGCAGCAGCTCTTTCACTACCTGCTAAATCAATAATCGACAATGTAGCATAGGTATGCTCTTCGACCAAATCAACTGACCTTTTTTTTTTCGATATATTTATTTGTAATACAGCATGTGATCTTGAAGATGTCAAATTTGCTTCCGTAGGAGAGCAAGTTCTATTCTTGTTGCCTTCGATGATTAGATTCATTACTTCTTCAACATTTTGAGGTGAATGAACAGATAAATTTGATACCGTAACTTTCTTATTTGCATCTTCTCTTATAGCCAACCTTTTATTATTTGTCACAGGGTTGAGCAAATCTTTGATGGTTTCATTATAAATTTCCAAGAATGATAAAGTTATTTCGATTATATCGTCATTCATATCTTCAATCTTATTATATAATTCTTTCATTGTTAAGAAGATGATACCAGGATCATTAGGAGTACCCGAGATAGTATGAGTTTTACCGCAGCCAGTAGCACCATAGGCAAAAGCTGTAGCATTGAAACCATCAAGTATGCTATCCAATAAAGGTTTGGTAGTATTTTCAAAAACTTCTTGTTGTGTAGCTTTCATGTCGAATAGCCTATCAAAAATAAATCTATGTTCCCTTATACGTGAATTAGGAGATGAGAATACTTTTCGATGCATTCTATTCAAAGGATTTGTCTCGGGAGGGTCAAATATTAACATCTTATCATCTACTACATTGATGATATTTCTTATACCTAAAGGTTTGAATTTCTCAGTCTCTTTAAATGAGCCGTCACCTAAGAACACCAGATCTTCATACGTGACCAAATTCCTATTCTCATGCTCTGTAAAGGGCCGTACCCTTACAGAGACACTTATGCTAGATTCTTTTGAATCCATTATAGATCACAATAATATTCCTCGCGATTTGTAAACAAAAAGAGTGCGGCAGATGAATTGGAGATTAGATAAGCCAGATTAGAAAAGGTTGAACCCGACAATTGATTGAAGTTACAAACAGGTAATTAAATGGCCATTGAAATATGGGGTTAATTCGAAGTGAATGGAAAACTTGCCAATTGGAAAAATGGTGTGCATCCACAGTAATCAGAAATCCGCACAATTTCGCATCACACTATGAGTACGGGGGCATCATTTTCATCATCAACTGTCAGTTTATTGAAAACTATAGTAGGTGCTGGGCTATTATCTATGCCGTTAGCTTATGCTACTGATGGTTTAATCTTTGGGACTTTTGTGATTTTGTTAGCAGCTTTCACTTCGGGATTCGGTCTCTTTTTGCAATGTTATGTTTCGAAATTCGTACCACTTGGCCATGCCAGTTTCTTTAGTGTTTGTTCGGTGACTTATCCTAAATTATCAGTAGTTTTTGATATTGCTATTGCAATTCAATGTTTTGGATGTGCTTTAAGTTACTTAGTCCTAGTGGGTGATTTAATGCCAACTATTATTTCACCATCTTTTATCGATAATGGTAATTTAAGAACATTTTGGATTTTAATGTCAACTATTATAATTGTTCCATTGTCATTCTTGAAGAACTTGGACTCATTGAAATACACTTCAATCTTAGGTCTTGTAGCTATAGGTTATTTGTCATTAATTGTTATATTACATTTCTTGATAGGTGATATACCATCGGATTTAAAAGGTAACATTACATTTTTCCCACCTAATGTTTCTGGGGTATTCCAAACGTTTTCAATTATTGTATTTGCATTTACTGGACATCAAAATATGTTTTCTATAATTAATGAATCAAGAGATAAGTCAATCAAGAAATTATCCTTATTAGTTTACATTGCCATTGCTGTTTCATCGGTATTTTTCATAATCGTTGGTGTTTCAGGATATTTGACTTTTGGAACAAATGTCGAAGGTAATGTGATTTTACTGTATCCAAATCATTGGAGTACTACTTTGGGAAGAGCATGTATTGCATTTATGGTTATTTTTTCCTTCCCATTGATGTTACATCCAGCTAGAATCTCAGTCAACAATATCTATTTCTGGATAAAATCTGAAGAGTCAGAAGAAGCTGATGAAACCACTGAATTAATTTCAAAAGATTCACCAATTGTCCCCTTCCCTAACGATAGATTTTATATTATTACAATCGCATTACTTCTTGGGGGATACATATTAGCTGTTTCAATTAAATCATTTGCTTTAGTATTGGCAATTGTAGGGGCTACAGGGTCAACGGCAATATCTTTTATTTTGCCAGGATTATTTGGATACAAATTACTTGCCTCAGGATCTAATCCTTCTAAAACAGAACAATTATTAAAGATTCTTGCATATATTTTGGTTATTTGGGGATTCTGTGTAATGGTGTTATGTTTATATGTTAGTATTTTCTTGAATTAAGAGTAAAGATATTTCGAATGAATATATTTATCTATAATGCTCATTAATTTTTCACTTCTTCAACTTCAACTTCATCTTCAACATCATCTTTTTCATTTTCGTCATCAATTTCATCTTCTACTTCATCATCGTCTTCTGAATCAGATCTTACATCATCAGCACTAGCACCAGTTATAACTTTATAAGCAACTTTAAATATGAAATATAACCAAATTAAGGTAATTATTTGTAAACCACCAAGTAAACAATAGAATCCATCTAAAATTTTTGGTGACCAACAACGTTTTAAATCTACTCCCATATCACATCTTACAGAATCACTCATTAAATTTTGAGCATTTGACCATGCATGATAAAATATATAATTATAACAAATATGTCTTAAGATAATCCATGAAAATAAGAAAAGAATGAACATAATATCACATAATCTTGTATAACCACAATATTTCAATAATTTAGCTCCCGAGAGGAAAATATCAACAGGATCCATTAAAATTAAGATCAAATTACCTATTCTAATATAATAATAGTAATATGATCCAATTAACAATAAACAAGTTACAATATGATGACAGAACATTTGAATATAATCTTTTCTTTTCTTTTCAACATTCAATACGAATATTTGTTGGAACCAAAAACCTATTTGTAATAAATAATAAATCTTGTATCTTGGTAATAATTCATCATGAGGCCAATCAATGAAAAGATTATTTAAATTATTATAATAAGGAGAATGGCAATAAATGTACCAAGAAAAAGCAAAAGAAAATGCTGCAAAATAACAAGACCAACTTTGTTCAGCAAATCTAGTTACTTGATTGGATTTCATATTATAAAAATATGAAGCAAAAGGACCCCAAAAATAATTCATTAAGAAAGATCTCAAAAATGTTAATAATATGACCCATAAGAAAACGATGTAACAATCATCAATTCCAATATCATATAGATTGTTGCCATTTTCGTCTTCTCCTATTTTATATTGTAATTGAATGAATTTACTTGTATATGGTGTTAATGATGGTATTGAGGAATGTAAAATATAACCTAAAACTAATAAAGATCCAGATATTGACACTTGATTTTTCTCTAGATATTGCCATAATGATCCACTATATTCATCTTTAACTATTTTTTCATTCTTTTCACTCATATTATGTACTTGAAATCGATTTATCAAAATTTAAATTAAAAGGTTTCTACTTAAGGGGAAGTTTTTTGGAACAAAAAAAAATGCAAGGGAATAAAATTTGACTAAGATTTCAATCCAATAATCTACTTTCTCTAAAAATACACCTGAAATATTTATAAATATCAACAATTTCAAACGAACGAAAAGTTGTATCAAATTTTCAGTTTTTCGTCTGCTCACTACACGTTCGATGTTGAGGATTGCATCTCGATTTTGTGCGGTGCACCGTACAAGGCTGTATCGAAAAAAGGTTGGAAGGGATTTGAATAACTTAATTCCACTGGAAAAGGCTCTATTGGGGAACCATGAAGGAAAGAAAGTTTCTGTTATCAATTTATATTCATAGAGAAGGATTTGATTATCATTTGGGTTGCTTAGGGAACCGAGCTAATGGTTTGAATTTTAGCCCTTTCGCGTCAAAATCGATACCAGATCGACTGATGGCTTTTGCAAGGTACCTAATGATTTGAAGCATGATTTTAAAGATAATATACCTTGAAGTAAATTTGCTACTGACTTCAAATATCATCTGTGAAACTTGAAACTCCATTATTACCTGTTCAATAACATATATTGTAATGCTTTCTTAACATTACTTTCATTGTATCTATTCCAAATGACATAAAGGTTTATCAAATCTTGTACGGATTCAACAACCTGATCCAAATTAACATGGTTTCTGCTCAAGAAGTTCATGAATTTGTTAATCTTAATTGTATCTTCATCAGATTTGGAATCTAAATTGGTATTGATTTCATTTGAAGGATTATTATTGGTCAATGATATTAAATCATCAATATGCAAGTCTTTATCGTTACTTTCTACTGTATCTGATCTAATAGAATTCAAAGTCTTCTTCAAAACAATTGTAATATAAATTGACGACAACGCTAAAATATGGGGTGGATAAAGTAAATGTAAATCGGTTATATAACTATCGTTCAATAATGACCAACTGTGTTGTAGTTCACTACTTGTTAATTGTAATTGATATTCATCGAAATTTTCGTTCAAGAAATCTTTAATTTGAATCAATGACTTATATGGATGGTGTAATAATAAGTATAAATCCATTTCTTCGATAAGATAGAATTCAAACTCTGCTAATTTCGAAATATCTGAAGGGATGTATTCTGGCCATAGATTTCTAGCCTCTGATATGACTAATCGTATATGTTGGGGAGTCTCTTCAATTTTACATGCAACATAAATACTAGTAGTGACCATCAAATAAACGTTAATTTCTTTCAAAGATACTTTAAGAAGGAACCTAGTAACGTAGATTTCAGCTGTAGCTAAAGCAACTTGTCTAATATTCAACCTTCTACCTAATTTGATGATTAAATTGTGTAAATATATTCTCATATTGGAATCATAGTTGATATTGGGATAATCTTTTATGAACCCATTCTGGATCATTTTCTTCTCCAATATCAACAATCTACGTCGCTGGTCCAATAAGCTTTGCCTATTGAACTGCCATTTCTCTCTCTGCGTTGAATTCCAAAAATTTGCTGACATTCTTCGAAGGTCTTCAAGGTCTATTTCTACGATACTAAAATGCGATAATGTAAGAGGAGAGATCCAGAGGATAAGAAAAATCTGGATGATTTCATTCTTTAGTCGTATATGAACCTACAAATAGATGGTGAGATGTTTTAAAACTCCCCACAGTCAACAATGGTAATGTCTTCAACGGGTTTATCTCTATACCTCTTTATGGATAAAATATCGTCCACGATATTAAATCCTTCAATAACTTCACCAAACACCACGTATTTCCCATCAAAGTCCGGTATTTTCTTCCCTGTGATTCGAAATTGTGAAACGTTGGCGTTAGGATTGTCATGGAACATTGAAATCCTGTAGGGATCGTGATTGTGTATGAAATTCTCATCATCAAAGGGTCCATTATAGATAGATGTGGTCAATTCATCACCCCCTTGAAAGAACAGATGGTTCACTTGAGTGATTTTGCATCCCTTATACCCATAAGGTTGTCCATACATTTTGAATTCTCCCGTACATAATTGTCTGAAATTTTCACTTGTTCTTTAGAATTAGTTAGTACTAAACTCTTGTAACATCCCAAACTTCATATAATTCAGGCAACAACATCAACAAATCACCAGTATACATACACCTTGACATCATCGTACAATTTGATCTTTACTCTACCAAATTTGTTACCTACTAAAAAATCCAAGAATACGATCATAAAAATTGAGAATGAATTATCATACATCAAAACCTGAAACTGAAAGTGCCATTGATAGATCAATTCCAGATTTCCCTGGTGCTGAACCTATTGATGAAAAGAATTACTTCAGTGCCAATAAACCTCCTCCATATTTATCTGAAATTGAAGACCAAATCAAAGACTTCATAGAGGTACATGTTAAATCAGGTAAAAGAGTAGTATTAGTCACCTCAGGTGGTACTACTGTTCCATTAGAAAATAATACTGTAAGATTTATTGATAACTTTAGTGCTGGTACTAGAGGGGCCACTTCAGCTGAATATTTTCTTGAAAACGGTTATGCTGTTATATTCTTACATAGAGAATTTTCTTTGTTACCTTATTCACGTCATTATAGTCATACAACCAATTGTTTCTTAGATTATATGATTGAAGAAAATGGTAAGGTAGAGATAAATCCTCAATTCAGTGATAAAATGTTAACGGTGTTAAGGAAATATAATAATGCTAAAAACTCCAAACTGTTATTATTAATACCTTTCACAACGGTTAATCAATATCTTTTTACTTTAAGAAGTTGTTCCACCTTATTGGAAAAGTTATCCACTAAGGCTTTGTTTTATCTTGCTGCTGCAGTGTCTGATTTCTTTTTGCCAATGTCAAGATTACCCCAACATAAGATTCAAAGTCAAGCTACAGGGAAATTAGTGGTAGATTTAGAACAAGTACCTAAATTTTTGAGTAGATTAGTGGATGATTGGGCCCCTAGAGCAATGATAGTTTCATTTAAATTAGAAACCGATGATAATATTTTGATTTCTAAAGCTAAAGGTGCTTTAGAAAAGTATCAACACCAATTAGTGATTGGAAATTTACTTCAAACTAGAAAACGTGAAGTGGTATTTGTCACTTTAGATAACGAAGATTGGATAAGATTGTCTGATGATCAAGCAGAAAAGGCAATGGAGATTGAAGAGTTGATTATACCAAAAGTTATTGAACAACATGATTCATGGATTAACCGTAATTAAAAATATATATGTGTATGTACAAGAAAAGCTTCTATTCAATGTTTATAAGAAAGAAACTCCTATACCATATTGCAAACCTTTCCTGATGGAATCACGTTGATGACTGGTTAATGGTAAAACGAAGTTCAATTCAAATCTTGCCATGGGATGATTATACAAGATCCCGAACCCATAACCTATGGAAAATTGGTGTTTCAAAAAATGTTCATCCAACAACTTCAAGGATCCCCAATTGATAAAGTTATGGAATTTGAAGTTGGATTCTGGATAACGAGGGACAGATGAAACTAAACTGACTCCTCCGTTCAAGAAAATATCGCCACCTAAAGAATCGCCATAAGATTTAGGGCCTAAACCATTCAACATGAATGATCTTACATCATTTGGTCCTCCAATGAAGAATCTGTCCAAAATATATGAAGTCTTTTCACTAACCAACAAACCTGATTTGGATGTTAAGATTAAGTGATGATATTTATTCAAAGGAACAGCAAATTGTCCTTCTATCATGGTCTTTATGAATTTGTCAGCTTGGGGAATCAATCCATTGGCTTCGACTCCCAATTGGAAGAATCTCCCTTTAGTAGGTAAATGAACATTATCACGATCATCAAAGTTAACAGATGCTGACACAGCAGACTTGAAATTTGGCCCTGATTGAGTTATCACATCCCATGATTTAGAATTCAAATTGTGTAAGTTTCTCCATATGTTATCAATTTGAAAATTGAAATTAAAATGCTTGAATGAAGATGTGAACTTTGTTGTTATACCTCTATTGACAGTTTCGGAGTTTATCCATTCCATTGATCTGCTATTAAAATACGCCGAAGTATCAAATCTAATCAAAGATTTATTAAACCAAGGCATGGAATAATTCAAAAGATAGGAAGCAGTTGTTCTTGTACCTGTTGTAGCATCAAATGATAAGTTTTCCCCTCCACCGAAGATATTTCTCCATTGAAATTGAATGTATCCGTCTCCTTCACCGTTACCAATATTACTACCAGTCTTGGCAAAGAATTTCTTCACCGGTACTAATTTAAATATCGGTGAGGCTATTAATTTATCATTATTACCTTGAGTATTTAAATCAATTTCAAGATTCGTTAAAGCAGTGGATTTGGATAAATTAGTCGACACTTCATCTATAGATTGGAAAAATGACGATAATGTGAAGTGCCTTTTGTTCAAAGGTAAAAATTGTTTGATTAAAAATTCATTTCTGAAATCTTCACTATTTAGTATGTGAACATTTTGTAACACAATTGGTTTATGAGAATTCTCTTCGAATAACGATTCAAGATACTTCTTCGTTTGTTGATTCATAAACTGCTGTTTTTCCTCCATCAAAGACTCGAGCTTCTTCTCCTCTTTGGTCTTAGTAGCAGGAGCATTATCCATGAAATCAAGCATCTTTATAAGAAATTCGCACTCGCAGAGAATTTTAATATACATCCTAAATTACATGATTATACAAAGTCTTGTCGAAGGGATTTTATGACCTTTCATGGTTTAAGGTTCAGGAGGAGAAATTGCAACATGAGGTACGTTTGTTGGACTTAATAAGTGTCCCTGTTTTTCTCTTTCTTCCTCCTCAATCAACAATCTTATACATTCTTTACCTGCTTCAGTTTGGAAATGTCGCCTTAAAGCATCAGCTCTAGCAAACCTTCTTCCACATCCATAAGGTGTACCGTCTTTTAAGTTACCTTTACATTGGAACTTCTTTTCTCCTGAATGTAAATCTTCATGACGTTTCCTATCGTGTTGTCTGGCAAAAGCTTTACCACAGATATTACAAATGAACGGTCTTTCATCAGTATGAGTTCTTAAATGAGATTTCAAATTATAAGGTCTGGTAAATCTTTTATCACATAAATGACAGGCGTAAGCTGATGGATGTTTTTGAGTTCTTTTGGATATTTGATTTGGTGATGCCAATTCTAACATTTTCTCTCTTGTAGATATAACATTTTTAGGTTGATTTTCATCATCATCATCAAAAGAATTGACTGATCTTGATCTCGACCTTGATCTTGAACCTGATCTGGATGTAGAACCTCCCAATGATTTGGGATTTTTTGATGATCTTCCTCTTGACGAAGGATTAAGTAAATTATCATCTTCGTCATCATCATTTACTGAGGAATTATGGGATGAATTACTAAATAATGAAGGTGTTCTGTTGATTTCGTCTTTTGGAAATATGATAGTAGGTGGTTGATTATTAATATTTTTCAATTCATCTAATTGATGATTATCATAATATTGATACAAATCTCCATTATATTGTAAATTAGTAGAATTTACGTTCAAATTTTCATTAGAATTACTATTTGAATTCATTTGTTGATTTTGATTCTGGTTCTGATTCATATTAACTAAATTAGTTGAAGATATTGAACCTCCTAAAGCAATTTCATTATCGAAATTAGAATCCAAATACATATTTTGATTAGTTAAATTCATATCAACTTCTGACAACTGATTTACTGAAACATTGGATAAAGCATCATAGAATGGAGAATTTGGTTGGGATGAATAATCTGAATATAATGAATGGGTTGAATTTGCTGGTGAATGAGGGTTTAAATACATGTTATTTGAATTATCCATCAAATTGGTGTTAATTGAAGAAATATTCATTCGAGGATTCAAGAAGTTCATGTCATTTCCAAAGTTAGTATTTAATCTTTGAGATTGTAATTGTTCATCTTGATTTGTATTAGTTATTGAAGGTATTTGATTATTCGGGTTCGGATAATTTGATGAATATAAGGTATTTACATTCATATTTGGTAATCCTTGATACTCATTTGACGTAGGAGGGGGTGGGGGTGTTTCATTATTATATGGATTAGATTTCAATATATCATCAGGAGAAATATCTAAATCATATTCATACATTTGATCATCACCATTTTTTGACATCTTTAGCCAAATTTTTATAACGATGGATTAGGAATTGGATTTTTGAATAAACAAATGGAAAATTGTCTAGGAATGAATAAGCTTATTCGGAATATACCGTCTATTAGGGCCTGAGTAAACTCTAGAAGTTTTAATCAAATAGTTAATGGATTTATCCCTTTGGAAATTTCTCACTTTTCGAGGGAAGATGAAATCCATCCCATTTGGAGAATATTTTAAATACCGGAGTGGTATAATAATATCCGAAAGAGATGATTATAATTCAACGGCTTAATTTCGTTCCTGAAGAATTTTTCCCCAGTAAATATTGATAGTTTTTAATAAGTTACAACTAACAGTTCAGAGAATATTATGAACATTTTTACTTAAACTAAACAGATGTAATATTAAATACGATGCATTTCTTCATTTACACGAATTACCTAGAGTGAAAAGGTTTCTTAATTCTTGTCTAGGATGCCGTTTAAACCAATTAGAAAATTTTATTTTAACATAGCCTTTATTAATTGTTAATAGATGTGCGAATTGTGATGATCAACTTTTTTTTTGACAGTTATCGTCGTCGCGTGCAATGCACGTGAGATATCACATGCCCCATCACACACCTCAACGCATGATTCTTAAAGATCTCGGTTATCTACTTCTCACACGATCTTTAAATTGATTAAATGTATTAAATGTTAAAAATTATGCGACTATGTGTTCGGAATTAAATACATTCTTCTTGAAAAATATGGAGAACCCCGATTGCGTGTGATTTACTTATATCGAATAAATTTAAACCAATGAGATTTTTATCTTTAGCCATATTTTTATACATAACCATAACTCAAATCCGGAAAAAAAAATATTCGCCTTAATCTATCACTCAATAATTTCGAACGATTATCTCCATCAAGTGATAAAGCTCACGGGATTTTCCATATTCGATGATTATTTTTCTTAGTTTCATCATTTTAATTCTTGGAACCAATTCTTACTCTATTGACACATTATATGTCAAAAAGATTTCTTGGCCCTGTCAAAAATAAAACTTAATTCTGAACTCTTATGTTTAAATGAACACAAAAACCGTTTGTTCAACATTGAAAACTCATCTATTGAATTTTATCACAAAGAAGGACTGGGCCGAAATTCTATTGATCGATATTGAAAAATTTCGTAATTTTCTTTTATCAAAAATGGAATTTTGAGATAAGGAAAAAATTATTTAATGGTGAAGAAATCTACTCACAAATTGAAATAATTAAACATGAGTGAAATTAAATCATTTGGTAAAAGAATTTTAAAGAAATGGACTACCAGAGAAGGTTTTTTTGGTGATTATGATTATGGATATCTTTTCATGCCAGAAATTCCTTTCACTAAAAAAGCTCCAAAGACTCAACCATTCTTTGGACTTAATTCGGAGATGCCCTTATTTTTAGGATTTGTCTTAGGTTTCCAACATGCTTTAGCGATGTTAGCCGGGGTTGTCACCCCACCTATTATCATTGGTGCTGTGGCTAATTTATCCGGTACTGATCAAGGTCAATATCTTGTTAGTGCTTCATTAATTACTACGGGTTTATTATCAGCAATTCAAATTACGAGATTTCACATTTGGGGAACTAAATATTACGTTGGTACAGGTTTATTATCTGTTGTTGGTACATCATTTGCAACCATTTCAATTGTTACTAAAGCTATTCCTTTGATGTATAAAACTGGTATTTGTGAAACTATTAATGGTGTCGAACAAGCATGTCCTGATGCTTATGGTAGAATTATTGCTACCTCATGTGTTACTGCATTGATTGAAATCTTATTATCTTTCATTCCTCCAAAAGCTTTACAAAAAATCTTCCCTCCTTTAGTCACTGGTCCTGTTGTTTTATTAATTGGTATCAGTTTAGTTGAAAGTGGATTCCAAGATTGGATGGGTGGTTCTGGTTGTTATGGTGATGTTTGTCCATCAGCTCATGGTACTACAGCTCCTTGGGGTTCTGGTCAATTCTTAGGTTTAGGTTTTGTTGTATATTTAACTATCATTCTTGCTGAAAGATTTGGTTCACCAATTATGAAATCATGTGCTGTTATTGTTGGTTTATTAGTTGGTTGTATTGTAGGTTCAGCTACTGGCTATTTCACTCATGAAAACATCGATGCTGCTCCAGCTGCTACTTTCATTTGGGTTCATACTTTTAAATTGAAAGTTTATGGTCCAATTGTTTTACCTTTCTTAGCTGCTTATATTGTTTTAATGATGGAAGCTATTGGTGATATTACTGCTACCTCAGATGTTTCAAGATTAGAAGTTGAAGGTGAAGCTTATGAATCAAGAGTTCAAGGTGGTGTTTTAGCTGATGGTCTTAACGGTGTTTTATCAGGATTGATGACTATGACTCCATTCAGTACTTTTGCTCAAAATAATGGGGTTATTAGTGTTACTAAATGTGCTTCAAGATCTGCTGGTTATTGGTGTTGTTTCTTCTTAATTGTTATGGGAGTCTTTGCTAAATTTGGGGGTGTTATTTTATCCATTGCTAAACCTGTTTTGGGTGGTATGACATCTTTCTTATTCTGTTCTGTTGCTGTTTCAGGTTTAAAAATTATTTCAACAACTGAATTTACTAGAAGAGATAGATTTGTTTTAACTGCTTCTTTATTACCAGGTTTGGGTGCTACTTTAGTCAGTGATTGGTTTTCTTATGTTTTCACATACACTGGTGGTAATACTGCTAAAGAAGGATTCTTCAATGCCATTGTTTTAGTTATGGAAACTGGATTCGCCTTGACTGGTTTCTTAGGTGTCATCTTGAATTTATTAATTCCTCAAGTTAGTGACGATATTGAAGAAATCAATGAAGTTGTGTTAGAAGTTGTTGGATCAGCCGATCAAAGAGGTTTAGATGCTTACGCAGCCAAGGAAAATATGAAATTAGAATCCTTAAGATCAAATGAACAATCTAAAAATTCATCTGCTTAGGTAATGGGTATAATATTAATACATTCGTTAAAGTTTGGTTTACCCCAGATTTCTGAAATTGTGGGGAATATCACATGATGAAGATTAAATGTCTTGTCAACTTAAGTGAATTCCTACAAACCGATCTAATCATCTCTTTAAGCCTTAATATGGAAATCTTCCCTTATCCAATGAAAAGCTCTCAGCCTTTTATTATTTAAGATAATCAGATTCGCATTATTTGAATAAATCAGGAATCTTAATCCGAGGCCCTAAATGATAATTTCAATTGCACCCATGAATAAACCTAGAACCTTGCCACTATCCATCATCCTCAGATTGAACCAGTCCTTGAATAAGACTATCTTGAACAAGAAGTTCTATAGTGAAGTCAATTCAAAAATTTTAACAAAAGCTTCCACTATTGACGCAAATTTGTACTTTATCTGTTATTTCACTTTACTTGTTTCAAGTGTATTGAATAACAAAACCAGAATCAGGAAATTCTTACAAGATCAAAGATTAAAACTCGTGGCATTGATAGAGAAAACTTTTGGTGTTAAAGTCTCCGAATCAAATAATAAATTGTTAAATAAGATCGGGACTAAACACCCTATAGTTGAATCAACATCTAATTTAGCTCCTTATTTGAAAAGAATTTCTAGTTATCTTTCAGATGTTAGAATATTCAATAGATTGTTTGATACAGTCAAATATATGCCATGGATCATTGGTGAATATGAAGCTTTCATTTCCAAAACTTCCAAGGTTTCAAAATTCACCAGATTTATTAACTTGTTTCAAGCGTTCAATTGTATTTTATTAGAAGCCTTAGAAAATCTCGGTTGGTTAACCGAACATAATTGGATTGGTACCAATGATAATAATTATTGGTGCATTGAAACTTATATTTGGTGTTCAAGAGTATGGGGATTTTATATTATTATTGAAGTATTGGAATTATTCAGAAGAACACCATATAAAAATTGGGATAAAGCATGGAAGATTGAATTGTTCAAACAAGTAGTTCAAATTCCTTTAGTAGTTCATTGGTCTTTATATGATGGTTGTTTGACACCATTTTGGGTTGGTATTTGCGGTTCAGGAGCTTCATGGTGGGGATTTAAAGATTCTTGGAAATCATTAGATTTATAGTTAACACTTATTTATTATTATACACTTTAAATTAATCAATTTCACCCCTATAAGAAGAGATATTCCCTTAAGAAGATTTCTCCAATTGTCTGGATCTATCGAAGTAAAGATTTGGATGATTGATATGTAAATTCTCATTACCTTTCATATTCTTATGAGTTAATTCGAATACCTTGGTACATGCAACAGTATATTCGTTTTTATTAACATGTTCGATAACTCCATTAATATCTTTTTGATCATTAATACCCATATCATTTAAATTTGAAACTAATGAATCTAAATTTAAGTCCCTATAAGGACAACCATGAGCTTCTTGTTTATTAGGTTTTGGTTTGGATAATATGGTAGCACAATCCCAAGGTCTATATTTATTTCTAGCCCCTTCCAAACCATAATTATGTCTGATATTATATTTATATTCTTTATTGAATTTTTCCATTGTCATATTGGCAGAGAATTGATTTGACCAGAATTTCAATGCTTCATCAATATTTAATCCAATACCTTTTAAGAATAAACCTAATTGTTGACGACCTTGATATCTCAAATGATGATTTACACTCAAAGTTTTTTGTAAATGTTTTCCACATAATGGATAATGTTTAGTGATTTCATTAGTTAAAATAGATTGACTATTAATATCACCAACATTTTCATTATTCAGATCTACTTCATATTGAACACTAGCAAAATTTCTTGATAAACTATTTAATACAGGTAATAATCTATCATCTTCATCTAATCTTGGGAGTGATTGGAAAGTTTTAATTAAATTATTTTCCAACATATTTTGGAATTCACGAACTAATAAGTTTATTTGTAAAGTTGTTGGAATATAACCTTCACCATTACGAATAAATATTGATCTTGCACTAAGTAAATGAGGAATTTTTTCAAAAGGTAACTTAATGAAATTTTCCATTTTAACATGTTGTCTTAATTGTTCATTATTGATGGATAAATTTTCATTATCCATGATTAATTGACTTCTAATAGCACTACCAGTAGCGTTGAAAAGTTGTTCAAACATTTGTTCCTTTTCTTCATTATTGATATAACTCCAATTTAATTTATCATTATTATCATTAATAAAATTAGTTTGTTCCTTTGGTTGCATTAAATTATATCTTATTTTGAATAAAATTGATTCTGTTTTAATGAATTTTTTTCTTAAATCTTCACTTCTACAGAAAACCAATCTTAAAATGAAATGACTATAATGATCTTTCTTACGTTCTAATTCAATTTGTTTTTCATTACCTTTACTTAAAGTTGAAATAGGTAAATATTTCGATAATAAAGGTTTGATAATAGATTCCATTTCTTTAACAGATTTACTTCTAGCAATACATGATTCAATTTCAATTAAAACTTTCAATCTATCAATAGCCCAAAGTTCAAATTCTTCTAAAGTGATTTCATCTAATGGTGGTATATCATAAAATGATAATCTATGACTATATAATTTATCAAGCTTAGAAGACTGGAAGATCATTCCATTTTCGAAATTCCTACGTCCAGCAGTTCTTCTTTTAGTTTGTCTAATCATCTTGTATATCAGATAACTTTTATAAAACCAAAATAAACGCGAAGGTTAGTTTTACGCGTTGTGAAAAAATTCTCAAATCTTTGAGATTGAACGACGGCAACTAAAGATTTAATTAAGGATTAAATCAAAAGTAATCTATTGAAGATGTCAGAAGTTGTTATTGATTCCGAACAATTTCATAAAAGATTATCTATCATCCAAAAGAATTTGGTTGGTAGTGAATTCAAAAGTTTATTATATTTAGTAGGTGCTAGAGATGATGATAATACTTATAAGAAACCAACAGTTTTACAGAATTGGTTATTAGGATATGAATTCGTTCATTCAGGTGTTTATATTACTGAAGATAAATGTTGTTTCATCACCTCTGAAAACAAAACCAAATATTTAAAAGGGTTAGTTAATAAACCAACCCCAAATTCTTCAAGTTTTGAAATTTGGACAAGAACTAAAGATGTTGAAGTTAATAAAGGAATTTTCCAAAAATTGTTAGATCAATTAAAAGAAGATAAAAAAGTTGGTATCATTGAAAAGGCAAAATATAAAGGGAAATTTATTGATGAATGGGAAGAATTTGATAAATCATCAATTGAATTTATTGATTCATCTATTTTATTATCTAAATCAATGGAAGTTAAAGATTCCGATGAGTTCAACAATCATTCTATTGCTTCTAAATCTTCCATTGTAATGATGGATATCTTTATTAATGAAATGATGAAAATTGTTGATGAAGATTCAAAAATTACTCATTCAAAATTCAGTGAATCTTTAGAAGATAAAATTGATAGAAATAATTGGTATTCTAAGAATGATATGGGTAAAAAATTATTACAAAATAATTCATCATTTGACCCTGAATTGTTAGATTGGTGTTATAGTCCAATTATACAAAGTGGTAATGAATTTGATTTAAAACCAAGTGCTCAATCTTCTGATAAGGTTTTGAAGAATGAAGGAGTTATATTATCATCAATTGGTTTGAGATTCAAAAATTATTGTTCAAATATTGGTAGAAGTTTCTTAATTGATCCAACTAAAGAAATGGAAGATAATTATGATTTCTTAATTAAATTACAAAATCATTTAATTGATGAAGTTTTAGTTGATGGTAAAATTGCCAAAGATGTTTATGAAGAAGCCACTAAATTTATAACCAAAGAAAATCCATCAATTCTTGATAATTTCACTAGAAATTGTGGTTGGTTAATGGGTATTGAATTTAGAGATTCAACATTGATTTTAAACAGTAAAAATGAAAGAAAATTAGCTAATGGACAAATTTTTTCCTTAACCATTGGTTTCAGTGATTTGATTAATAAATCAAACAATAAGAAATATAGTTTAATGTTAACTGATACTGTTAAAATTACTGATTCCAAAGCATTGGTATTAACTAATCATTTAAAGAATAAATCTGAAATCACTTTCTATTTCAAAGAAGATAAAGTATTAGATGAATTGAATGGTGATGATAAATCTACCAAAATAAAATCTGAAAAAGATATAAAAATTGAAAAGAATTTAGCTGCTAATGAAGCTAATTCAAAAATTTTAAAACAAAAATTAAGAAATGAAACTACACAAAATGATGATAATTTGAATAATGAACAAATCAGACAAGAAATTCAAGGTAAATTACATGAAAAAAGATTACAAGAAGGATTATCAAGATTCTCAAGAGCTGATGCTGCTGATGAATCTGAAAATAAACCAATTTTCAAAAAATATGATTCTTATATGAGAGAATCCCAAATTCCTTCAAATGTAAGAGATTTAAAGATTCATGTTGATTATAAAAATCAAACCATTATCTTACCAATCTGTGGTAGACCAGTACCTTTCCATATAAATTCATTCAAAAATGGATCACAAAATGAAGAAGGTGATTTTACTTACTTAAGATTAAATTTTAATTCTCCAGGTGCTGGAGGTAATGTCTCCAAGAAAACTGAATTACCTTATGAAGATTCTCCAGACAATACATTCTTAAGATCTTTAACTTTTAGATCAAGAGATAGACAAAGAATGGTTGATGTTTATAAAGCAATTCAAGATTTGAAGAAAGATTCAGTTAAAAGAGAACAAGAAAAGAAACAAATGGCAGATGTCGTTAGTCAAGCTAATTTAGTTGAATTTAAAGGTTCAAGAGTTTCAAAATTAGAAAATGTTTTGGTAAGACCTCAACAAGATTCTAAAAAAACCGGTGGTACCTTACAAATTCATGAAAATGGTTTAAGATATCAATCAAATTTCAAAATTGATCAAAGAATTGATATTATTTTCTCAAATATTAAACATTTATTTTATCAACCAAGTAAAGATGAATTAATTGTTTTAATTCATTGTCATTTAAAAACTCCAATTATGATTGGTAAACGTAAAACTTATGATGTTCAATTTTATAAGGAAGCTAGTGATATGGCTTTTGATGAAACTGGTGGTAGAAAAAGAAAATACAGATATGGAGATGAAGATGAATTACAACAAGAACAAGAAGAAAGAAGAAGAAAAGCTTTATTGGATAAAGAATTCAAAATATTTGCTCAAAAGATTGCTGATGCTTCTAATGGTAGAGTTGATTTAGATATCCCATTCAGAGAATTAGGATTTCAAGGTGTTCCTTTCAGATCAGCAGTATTTTGTATGCCAACAAGAGATTGTTTAATTCAATTAATTGATCCTCCATATTTAGTTGTAACTTTAGAAGAAATTGAAATTGCCCATTTAGAAAGAGTTCAATTTGGTTTAAAGAATTTCGATCTTGTTTTTGTTTTCAAAGATTTCAATAAACCTGTTGTTCATATCAATACCATTCCAATGGAATTATTAGAAGATGTCAAAAATTGGTTAACTGATGTTGATATTCCAATCAGTGAGGGTCAAATGAATTTGAATTGGCCATCAATTATGAAAACAGTTTTAGCTGATCCTTATCAATTCTTTGTTGATGGAGGTTGGTCTTTCTTAACCGGTACAGGAGAATCCGATGAAGAAGAAGAGGAAGAAGAAGAAAGTGAATTCGAAGTCAGTGATGAAGATCCAAGTGATGAAGATGTTGGTAGTGGAGCTGAAGAAAGTGATGATTATTCTGAAGGTTCAGCATCAGGATCAGATTTTGATGAAGATGAAGAAAGTGGTGAAGATTGGGATGAAATGGAAAAGAAAGCTGCTCGTGAAGACAAAGCTGCTTTCAGAGATTAATGTAGTTTTATAGTAATTATAGTACCTTTGCTTAAAACCTTTAAACCTATATCCAAACCTATTTTTAGTTAATAGGAGTATTTAGCATCTCCCGCAACAATTAGATCCAAAGTGCGTGTACGATTGTCAACGAAAATGTTTTCTTTTTTGTGCGCGAGTTAGGTGGTGATTTTTTGACATCTAAGGAGTGTTGATATTATTTATAGAATATTTGAAATTTTTTACTACAGATAGACATTTAAATAATTGAATATTTACTCAAAATATAAGAATAATTGATAACATCAAAAAACATTGAAAAAATCCCGTCATTTTTAAACAAATAATTAACGATTAAATATGGTTGATAATACTGATGATTATTCATATGACTATGAATATTTATACAAAATAGTCTTAATTGGAGATTCTGGAGTTGGGAAATCTAATTTATTATCAAGATTTACCAGAGATGAATTTAATTTAGAAAGTAGATCAACTATTGGGGTTGAATTTGCAACCAGAACATTGGAAATTGATGGTAAAAGAGTTAAAGCTCAAATTTGGGATACTGCAGGTCAAGAAAGATATAGAGCTATTACTAGTGCTTACTATAGAGGAGCTGTAGGGGCATTAATAGTTTATGATATATCCAAAACTGAAAGTTATGAAAGTGTTTCAAGATGGTTAAAAGAATTAAAAGAACATGCTGATGCTAATATTGTAATAGAATTAGTAGGGAACAAAAGTGATTTAGATCATTTAAGAGCTGTACCAACTGATGAAGCTAAGAATTTCGCCAATGAAAATAGTTTATTATTTACTGAAGCTTCTGCTTTAAATGCTAATAATGTTGATTTATCATTCCATCAATTATTAAAGAATATTTATGAAATGATCAGTAAACATCAATTAGATAATGATGAATCCTCAAATCAAGGTCCTTCTTCAGGTCCAACAATTTCTTTAACTCCTGCTCCTCAAGAGAAAAAGGGTAAAAATAATTCAAATTGTTGTTAATAGGAATAAATATTTTTCATTTAGTTTAGTAGAATTACAGATATATATTACACTTTTTTATTTTATTTAAATGTTGCTGATGATGTTTATTTTGGTGGACGATAGAATGGTCTGGATGTTGGATTACGTTCTTTATTTGATGTAGCAGATTTACTTTTACTTGGTGCAACAGGTTGTTTGATAGGTCTTCGTACTCTTGAACTAGGATCTGAAGGTCCTGGTCCTTCTACAGTCACATCGATAATTTGCCCACCTCTTAAGATGATTAAACCTAAATTTCTTCTCAACTCTTTTGTATTTCGTTCGTCTTTTGAATTGGCATTTAATTGCTTATTTGGGATTCTTCTTTCTTCACAGTCACCTAATATTACATTCATATGTCCATCAAATGATAATAATGTACCTACGAAGTAACGATTATCAATTGTATGAACTTTAATTCTCCAGTTAATTAAATCAGAAAATCTGGTTTTTTTAGAAAACGACTACATTTGTTAGTATTATAAGAACATTTTAAACACTCTTAGATATATCAGTCATACCATTTCACCCAGCAAAGAGCTAATATACCGTAAAATCTTTCATCTTAGGGATGATACATACCATTCTTAATTCGCACTTTTCAAAAAATTTTCAATTGTCAATATGTCTGATAAACCTGAAATTGTTGAAAGTGTTGAAGAAACCAAACCTCAAACTGAAGTAGTTGAAACCAAAGCTGAAGAAGCCAAAGAAACAACTGAAGTTGAAGAATCAGGAAATGATGATAAAAAAAGACCAATTGAGGATGGTAAAGATAAAAAGAAGAAGAAACAAAGAAGAAGAAATTATGATGATAATTTACCAAAGGAAAAATCCGAAGATGAAGATGAGGAAGAAGAAGAGGAAGAAGAAATTAATGATGAAGATGAAGATGAAGATGATGACTTAGCCGAAATTGATACTACCAACATTATCACTTCTGGAAGAAGAACAAGAGGTAAAGTTATCGATTTCAACAAAGCTGCCGAAAAATTAGATAAAGAAAAAATCGAAGAAGATGAAGAAGATGATAAAGAATTCGAAGACAACTAGTGTAAACGAGTACGTAGTCTGTAGAATAATGTATAACATTGATGGACCACGCGACTCGAAAGCAATCTAATCGACGTGAGTTAAATTCTCAATTAGGATTTCCAGGTGTGAAAGATTTCAGAGACAACAAATTAAGAGAACACGATCTATAACGCATATATAACATATAAGCCAACTTCACTAAAAAAAAAAATTAAAAACATAAAGTGGAACGAAACGATGTACTTAAGTACTTTTTTTTTGCGTAGAAAACCTACTCCCCTTTCCCATTACTTGAAAGTCAAGTATAACTGTAAATTAAATTGATTTTTTTTTTCTGAAAAGAACATAATTAACATGAAGCCATGTTATAAGTGTAATAAGGATTAGCATAACCAACAAAATTTGAATTCACATAAGGTGCTGGAGCAACATAATTCTCATTATTGTATGACCAAATATTTTGGTTTGGTTGATTTTGGAAATTGTTTTGTGAGTTCATTGACCAAATTGAATCCTTAATTGGAGATACTGGTGAAGTATCATTCAAATTAGTTCTTGAACTTGATAAATTCAAATTATTTGAATAAAATTCATTAATTGAAATTGGTGATGACGGTATACTTGGTTGATATCTATAATCAGGGCTAGTTGATTTTTCATTATTATAATTGAAGAAATTTGGACTTGAGGGTAATGATTCGTTAGTGTATTTATCCAACCAAGTTTTCCAACATTCTTCTAAGGTTAAAATATTAGATTCAAAATTAACAACATTTAATTCCCAATTGATCTCTTTTAACCAAATTTTTTCTTCACTATTAATTAATTCAATTTCTAAACCTGTAGCCCCACACCATGATCTATTAGTGAAAGTATTATCATCATTGAATTTGTTACCTAAAATCAAAGCAACAATTAATCTGATAAAAATTTCTGATTCATTTAATGAATCGATTTCTTTCTTTGAAAATCTTTGATTCAAATATTCTAATGCAATGATAATGGTGGATTTTGGTAATCTTGTAGCAATTAAAACAGAATTGATTAAATTTTCAAAATCTTTGGTTGGATTTCTATTTTGTTTCAACATACCAAAAGTACACCAACTTAAGAAGGTTGACATAGTTGGTAAATCATATTCTAAAACAGAATTAATTCCACCAGTAACTGCATTATCATTATTTTGAGGAGGGAATTGATTATTCAATTGACCACCTTGCATATGATTTTGATGATTTGGAGGCATTTGAATTGGAATTTGATTTTGTAATGTCATCATTGGTTGTTGATGTAAAATAGGAGGAATTTGATAATGAATTGGTAAAACATGATTCATTTGAGGTGCCATCATTAAATTAGGCATATAATTATTTTGTTGAATCATTTGATGTTGTTGAGGTGGAGGTGGAGGAGGAATCATACCAACCATTGTAGGTTGTAAAACTTGAACTGGTTGATTTTGTGATTGACTTGAAGGTGGTAAATAATGTGATGAAGTTGGTTGAGGATGATTCATTGGGAAATAATGTGATGAAGGTCTATTAGAACCTAAATGATTGTATTGATTTTGATACATTTATCTTTAAATCTTTGGGTTTTAACGATAACTTATTTAAAAGCTCGTTGTGGGATTTTTTTTTTCTAAAGTGAATTTATTATCAATCGATTATCAAAATATTCAAACAATCAACACGAATGATTCTTTGAAATGATATGATATGATTGATGAATGGTTCCTTTCTTAAATAAAATAAAACTTAACTAATTAGTAATTAGCCGTTAATTTAAATGGAAAGGAATAAATAAAACTTCAACTTCTGAGAAAATTACTACTAAAATTAATAAGTCGTAATAAATCCCGTGTTAAATATTATAAAAAATAATGAAATAAAGAACCTTTCAGTTTAATATAAACTAAAAGAATTCAATGAAAAGGAAAACACTGTTAAAGTATTGAAGATTTTTTCCTCACTTGATGAGAAAGTTGAAAAGAGGAAAAAATTTTCATTGGGGCTGAGACGACATTTTCCCTACGACAACCACGACACCGTCATGATTTTTTTTTCTTCCCTAGTAGCGCGTGCCTTGTGACTTGTGACTCTGACAAAAGCGGGAATTTTCGGCAGTCGTGGACATACCGATATTTTTTAAGTTCAAGATTTAATGAGATTTATTTTAGCGAGTACAAAAAATATCAGGAGTAACTTCCAGCATGGAAGACATTCCACGACATGTTTAAGATTTTTAAGATATTCTACGACATATAGGCTCTTTTTCATTAAGCCAAGGTGCTTAGTGACGACATTGGGTGACTACTTACTGACAGGGAGAGGAAGTTAGCGAGATTCTAGAACCAGATGGGGATCTAAGAACTGAGATATATTTCGTATTCCCGGATCATACATACATAAGTATTTTTTCAAAATTTTTTTCGGCAACCATCTTGACCAACATTATTTTTAATCTACGTAATAATCAAGGCTGGTTGATTATTATTATGACCTTATTAAGGCATTATTATAATTATTATTATAAAGTATAGAGACGGGAGTGTTAATTATCATTAATATTATACATTTAAACTGAAATTAAAATATTTTCTTAAACCATGTTTAAGCCTGATTCTTTATAACAATTCTTCTACCATTTTTACCTTTACAAACTTTATGATTTAAAACTTCTTGAGCAGCAATAGCAGCACCTTTACGTTTAACTAATTTAGCATGGAATAATCCACAAGCATTACATAAAGTCCTTACACCATTTGGACCTCTTCTCCATTCTGGAGTTTCGGTAGTACCACATCTATGACATTTATTAGTTGGTTTATTTATAATTTCCGGTACTAAATAATTGTTTTGTGGATAATAATAGTAGCCATTTGGTTGATTAGTTGAATTGTAGTTATAATTAGGTTGAGTATAATTATAGTTATAATTATATGGTAAGTAATTTTGATTTGGATAATAATAGTAACTATATTGTGGGGAATGAGGGCTTGGAGGTAAATTTGGACTTGATTTATTTGAATTATAATTGTAATTAGCGGGAGTATAAATTGGTGAATTATTTAATGAACCATTACTATTATTGGTAACATTAGTTGATCTTTCATTAATTATTGGGGTCTTATTTATATCATTAATTGGAATGTTAGATCCTGATCCATTATTTCCTGATCCAGTCTTTGATTGTAATGAATATGAAGATGGGGAAGTATTTGGTACTTTCAAATGTTGAACATTTGGTAATTTTAAATTATTAAAACTGGTTAATTCAGTAATGCTTGGTAATTTAATCTTTTCTGACATTATTGTAACAACCAGTGTTGGAATTAAAAAATAGGTATATTAAAAAAGGGAATTTTAAGAACGAAAATAAAGAAAATGTTTAAAAAATTCAAAATATCCGTATGGGATATTTCAGTTTTTTATATTGTTTAATTTAGCTCTACAAAAAAAAAGGTTAATTTATAGTTTCAATTAAAAATAATCAAATGATCCCAATTAAGCGCAAAATATCTGCAAGGAAACAAAATGAAATTTTTACGGGAAAGTCAAACGCATAACCGAAACAATAAAAATAAAAATAGAAGATGTGGGACATTTTCTCTTCATCTAGTAAATGGTTGGGTTTTGAGTCATTGACATTGGTATTGTTGTTTTTGTTTTACATAGTATTTTTAATGTATTACAACACCTTAGTTTATGTTTAAAAATATAAGTGGGTCAGATCATACTTATGAAAATTTTTTCGTCAACAGGAAAAAATATTTGGGGATTAAAATAAAAAAAAAATTTGACGTATCACCAATGAATCATTATAATTGTAATTTGTTGAGTATTGGTTATAAATAGAGAAGGGTTAATGGTACATGCGTCCGCTTCTGATCTCAAATATTGAGACATTTTCCATTTCGAAGAAGGTGAAATTAATCTGCGATCGAACAACGCAATTCATTATCTCAATATAGAAATTTTTCCTGACCCTTCTCGAATGTACAATAGGTTAAATTTTGCGGTGTTGTTCAGATCCAAAAATATTTGATCATTCATATGATTTTGTTATAGTGTAAACTTGAACGCATTACTATCAACTAAATGAATGATTGTAGTGAAACAATAGATTTATTGTTTGATATTACATGCGTTCTTTTCTTTTAAGTCTGCATCATTATGCACCAAGAAATTATCATATGCTCTTGATAAAGGTTTTATGTAAAGTTTTCCTTCTCGTACGAACTTACCTAAATCTCGATTGCGATTAGATTAAGTTATTGGTCAACCAATACTTTTTTTTTTTAACCCATGAGACATAAGAATTTCAAAATCTTTAATGATAAACTTAATTAGAGTGATTGATCTTTAACCTTATCTTCCGTTGCTATTTCACTCACTAACAACGCAACTTTATATATTTTAGTAGATTTTGTACTCTAACTTTAATAAAGTTTCCATTTTTTGTTTGGGCTTACAATGTAAAATCAATCGTTTAATTTAATTGTGGCTTTGTTGTCTTTTGTAGTGGAAACCCTTAAACAGATTTCATTTTTGCTCTTCCTACTTTGATGAGATAAGCAATTCTCATAAACGCATGTTAAATAAGCTTCTTCGGATACAGGGATTCCCCTCCAAAAGATACAACCGAGTGATAATTACTGTTATTGGAAATATGATTTTCGGATTTCCCTTCCATGATACTTGATTACGATAATGCAATCAATCGGTAGCCATTTAGCTGGCATATACGATAATGATTGTTGGTTTTATTTTCTTCCAACTTTAAATAAGAAGCGCTCAAGTTGCGTTACATGAATGTGAATATTTTAGTTGTTAGGTCATTAATGAACTTGTATCAGTTGAAGACTATCCCCAATGATCTCAAAATCTGCCGTCCCCAGTCAATTTCTCACTATGTAAAAAAAATGAGTAGTTGAATTCTCACGAAAATTTCTCATCCAATCAATGTCTGACTATACATTCCCAGAGGTTCGTATGTAATACATTTTGAAGGTAACTAGATTATGACGAGTTGTGTGCTATTTGACAAGACTATGTTTGACACCTAGTGTTTTTCCCCTGATTAATTGATGAATACTAACCAGTTTTTAGCATCACAAAAGGAATTAGATGAACATAATGTTCCATTCTTAAACAGAGATCATTGTGCTTCTCATTTAATCAATTACTACAAATGTTTAGACAAAGGTACTAGTTTCTGTTCAACCACCAAAGATGAATTCTACAAATGTCAATATTATAGTTTGAAACAAAGATTACAAAAAGCTGATCCTCATTTCCATTAAATCATTCACAACTATAGACTTTTGCAACTATAGATTTATGATTTCATATTTGTCTGGTCATATCAACAACTTCAATAGACGGTATCTGTTGGTTTTGAAAGAGAGTAGAAGATATGTAAATTGATCATAATTTCCCAAAAAATCTCACAAGTCAGGTACTTTTACCTGATCTTAATGTCATACATAGAAATATATTTATAACTTATTGATTCATTTGGGTTCAAGCACCACCATCACCCTCTATTGCTCTGAAAACCTTCATTATCAGTCTGATCAATCATATTTAGTATTATGTTGATGAGCGCTCGAAAAAATAATCTTTCATTGGATAATGACTGTCACTAACTTTCCACCACTTTGTATGTAAAATTAAAACTTTGAGGGTTCATTGAAGTTGAATCGATGTTTATATAGATTGTTAGATGTGCTGAGAGACTTTAAGAAAAGTGTTTGAAGGATTTTAAGGATTAATTCATGTCTACCAATAATTAGTATATGATTAGTATATGGAGCGGATTGAAGAATAAGTTCAGAGAGGAAGAGTTATGGAATTGTAATCCACAACGGTGAGTTCTGTATCACCATACCACTGAACAACCACCGCTGGATCCCCAAAGGAACTGATTAGATCAAATACTACTTCCGTCTTAAAGTATAACTGTGTTGAATTATCCTGCAAACTATCATTCATGTAATACTCCAATCATCCATATCCCATGATCAACCAGAAACTTCGGAACCTCATGTAAAACTCCTTACCTCCCAACAATTATAGTTACTAACCTTTTAGTGAGTGAAGATGATATGCAAAAATATAAAGTTCCATTGAAATGGAGAGACAGATGTGCAGCATATTTCGTTTTATTCAATACCTGTCTTATCAGACAAAGTGCTAACTCATCAGTTGATTGTTCAGGTGATAAACATAGTTGGGAAGAATGTGAAAACTTAGATTTAATCAGAAGAACTAAACAATTAAATGATAAAAAAGAAGAATTGAAAAATCAAGATTAGCATAAATAGATATTTATATTATTAGGAACTTTAACTCTTCATCTCTAAGATGCCTTTCGTCCTACTACGTTCATACAAATTTGGTCAGCCAAAGAAAAATCTAAAGAAGTCTGAAATTCACTTATTGCTCATAGAGTGATGAGATGGTTTTACTTTCATAATTAAAGAAATATATCAGATATTTGTAGGAATTCAAGATATTAGAATAGTATTCGTAACAACTATAATCTATTTTGACTTCCATCAATATTACTCTGGTGTCCACACTTTATAACTACAGTGAATAAATTATAAAGCTCTATCTAAATTCAGAGTCCACTAAAAATTTTCTCACTGATCACCTCTCGAATTTATATCCTCGCGAAAACTCACGATAAGACATGTCTGATCAATTAAAAGTGGTTTCAAGCGAACCTGTCGAATTAGATGATGATAAAAAGACTTCACCAAACACTGAAGAAGTTAAAGAAGAACCCAAAACTGAAGTCAAAGTTGAATCAAAAGATGAAAAACCTCAACCAATTGATAAAGATGAAGATGCCCCACCAGCACCTCCAAGACCTGTTGATCCTGTCACTCAATTAAAGAAAGAATTGAAAGATGCTTTCCCATCAATTGATGATAGATTGATCACTGGTATATTAATTGCATCTCAAGGAGACTTAGATTTATCATTTAATGCGTTATTATTCATCAGTGATGAATCTATGGAAGAACCACCAATCCCCGTCAAACCTCCAGTTCCAAGTAAAGCAGGATTAAGTAATACTAAACCTGAATTAACTGACGATGAAAAGTTGGCTAGACAATTACAAAAAGAATTCGAAATGGAAGAACGTAGAAGAAGAAGAAGAGCTAAACGTCAAGAACAACAATTACAAGATGATGATTCTCCAGATGAATTTGAACAAATTAAACAAAATTTCAATCAAGGATTAGAAGAAGCCAGATCAACATTAAACGGATGGATCTCAGGAGTTGCTAAAAGATTCGATAACCCTAGTGGTCAATCAACTAATTCTAATCAAAATCCTAAATTATTCGGAGCTTTAGGAGGTTCTCAATTCAAAAAGAACAAATTTGATGAAGATCCAGAAATTTTAGATCATAATTTCCATGAAAAGATTAAATTGAATGACAACGAAGAACAAGGTCCAACATTACCTAGAAGAAAAACTGATCAATCAATCAATAGTAATCCTGCTCCTGTTAATTCTGATGCCTTTTTGGTTGATGATAGTGACGATGATGACGACAAAAAGGATATCAAATTATAGTGAATTTTTTTAAGGTTTCTTTTCTTTTATCTGTATCTCTAACAGGTTGTTCGATAAGACTACCATAGTAATCCCCAGGATTTGTTTCATCTTCTATCTAATGTCGCAAAATTTATGCGAACCAGCGATCTGGCGATAATCACTTGAGATAATTGTAATCTTCATATCGCATCGAATTTTCAACGTCATTAGCTGAAAATGACGTACTATGATCCAAAGATTAATCTTAAATCATTGAATGATAAGATTCGACATGGATTCCAAGAAGATTATGATGATGAACAATTGAAAATTTTAGCTAACAACTTTTATATATACTTTGATGATAAAAGGCACAATACCAATGGTAATCCTATAACAGAAGAAATGAAACAACTGTCGAAATATTTCAAGAATTATCAACCAATACCCGACTGGAAAATCATGAAAGAGCGTCAAAAAACCATTAGTGCTATGTTAATGTTATGTTTGAATTTAGGTGTTGATCCGCCTGATATAATGAAAACTTATCCTTGTGCAAAACTCGAGAGTTGGATAGATCCTTCGACTTTTTCCGATACAAAGAAAGCTATCGAGTCTATTGGGAAGAATTTACAGAGTCAATACGAAAACTTGACTTTAAGAACAAGATATAAATTATCATTAGATCCCAGTGTTGAAGATGTTAAAAGGTTCTGTAATACATTGAGAAGAAATGCCAAAGATGAAAGAATCTTATTCCATTATAACGGTCATGGTGTACCACAGCCAACCAGTTCAGGAGAAATCTGGGTATTCAATCGTGGTTATACTCAATATATTCCAATATCATTATATGACTTACAAACTTGGCTAGGTGCTCCTGTGATATTTGTTTATGATTGTAATAGTGCAGGTCATATCGTTCACAATTTCAAGAAATTCGTACAAAAAAGAATCGATGATGATAATGAAGGCAATCATGATTTAAGTTCACCATCTCCAACATCTAATTACCTAGATTGCATTCAATTGGCGGCTTGTAAAAGTAATGAGATTCTACCCATGACTCCCGATTTACCAGCAGATTTGTTCACTTGTTGTTTAACATGTCCTATAGATACAAGTATTAAATGGTTCATTATGCAATCACCTTTAAAAGCTAATTATTATAATCAATTACCAACAAATTCTATCGGAAATGTTATAATACCTGGGAAATTAACCGAAAGACGTACACCTTTAGGAGAATTGAATTGGATTTTTACGGCTATAACTGATACTATAGCTTGGACTTCATTATCAAGACCAATCTTCAAACGATTATTTAGACAAGATTTAATGGTAGCTGCATTATTCCGTAATTTCTTATTGGCCAAAAGAATCATGCCTCATTTGAATTGTAATCCAATAAGTGATCCTCCATTACCTGAAAGTGTAAGATTTCATCCTATGTGGGATAGTTGGGATTTAGCTATTGATCAAGTTTTGAGTCAATTGATTCATGAACAATCTACTCCTATCAAACAGGAAATAATCCCACCCACTCCTCAACCAACAAATCAAAATCCAATGAATACTAACATCAATCCTGTTGTTTCAAATCCTCCCAATAACGTAGTGGCTGCTAACAATGCTAATAATGCTTTGAAAAATACCAACTACCAACATTCGACTTTCTTTGAACAACAATTAACTGCATTCGAAATATGGCTTAAATATTCCGGTCCTTCAACGAAAAATCCTCCTGAACAATTACCAATAGTATTACAAGTGTTATTATCTCAAGTTCATAGATTGAGAGCTTTGATTCTTTTATCTAAATTCTTAGATTTAGGTCCTTGGGCTGTTTACCTTTCGTTATCCATTGGTATATTCCCCTATGTTTTGAAATTATTACAATCACCAGCTCAAGAATTGAAACCTGTGTTGATTTTCATTTGGGCTAGAATTATGGCCATAGATTATAAAAGCACTCAACAAGAATTATGTAAAGATAAAGGATACAATTATTTCTATCAAATCCTTAATTCCAATAATGCTTCAATGATGGTCAATGATGACCATAAAGCTATGAGTGCCTTCATTTTGACATTATTCATCAAAGATTTCAAAAATGGTCAAAGATTATGTTTCTCAATTGAATTGATCAACAATTGTCTTAAGTTCATATCTTCAAGTGAAAACCCGTTATTAAGACAATGGTGTTCATTACTTTTATCTCAATTATGGGCCAATTATCCTGATGGGAAATGGATCATCCATAAAGATGGCTATTTGAATAAATTATCATTGCTAGTCAATGATCCGATTCCTGAAGTAAGAACTTCGATAATTGTAGCTTTGACTTCATTCTTAACTGATCCAAGTGTTAAGACCGTCAACTCTTCTCAACATCAACAGTTAATGCAACAACAACAATTGAATAATAACGAATTGAGAAAAGATGAGTTGAGACAACAAGATTTGAAATTAGCCAACATTATTTTGAATCTTATGGGTGATGGTTCAAGTATGGTACGTAAGGAAATCATTTTCTTCATGGGTAAGTTCATCAAGAATTACATCAGATTTTTCTTGGTGGTCGCTTTCAATCAATTAGAAGAAGAGATTGTTTTAATTGATAATCCTAATAATTTGAATGATTTCAGAAAGAAATCTCCAGCTTATGGATCTATTTTCAGTTCTGTGTGGAAATCTCTTTTGATTTTATCAGAAGATCCCCATTTAGAAGTGAAACAATTGGCTGAATTATTGATTGATTCAGTGATGGTGAAATTGAATGAAAGTGAATTAGGTCCGTTAGTTAAGGAAACTCAAGATTACCTTTTAAGTAAATCTACTATCAATATTTCTGATAGTTTCAAACCTAAACCTGTGGTCAATAAATTACAAGCTTCAGGTAACAAGAGACAAGTATCAAGTGGTTCGGTATTACAACGTAAAGAGAATGTGTTGATGATTAATAGTGGGAATAGCGTGAAACGTTCAGTATCAACTAATGATGTTGGTAGAAATGGTAATACTCATGGTGATACTGACAGTATCAATTCTCAAGAATCAATAACATCAAGATTGAAGAATTTGTCCTTTTCTAAACTTATAAAATCTTTACATATACCTGAAGAACCCGAATTTCCTAGAATTTTAAATTCCACACCAGTAACTTCAAGTTATGCCAATGAATATCAACCTAAAACTCCAAGATTCAAACCCAGAGATTTAGAAAAATTCGAATTACCTGCTAATTCAGGATTTTTTGACTTCTCCTGTGAATATTTCCAAGAACCTCAAATGTCAAAGAGTGAAATTGATGAACCAGGATCAAAAGAATACATAGAAAGGTTATGGAGAAGAAATAGGAATGAATCAATCATCCAAGAAACTCAACCACAAAAACAAATGGCTATTAGAGGTGATTGGACTAAGAATTTGAAAGTTTTAGATAATAAAACTCAACCTAAATTGATAAAATTCACTCAATTTGAAAAGATTTTGGTTTCCAGTGATGAAAAAGATAATGTCACAGTGTGGGATTGGGAAAATTCAACAACTCTTCGGAAATTTTCCAATTTGAATCCTCCAGGAACTAAAATAACGGATTTAAAACTCTTGAATGAAGATGATTTGCCCCTTTTATTGACTGGTTCATCAGATGGAGTGATAAAGATTTATAAGAATTTCCATACCCCAAACAACTATATTTCTAATGGAAGTATACTTAATGGACATAAAAGTCTTACAAATGGACATATTGAAGATGACGAAGAAAATGAAATTCAACTTATTGCTTCATTTAGAGCGTTAACAGATTTATTATTGACTTCAAAAGGTACAGGTCTTATCTCTGAGTGGCAACAATCAAGAGGTTCATTATTGGTAAGTGGAGATGTTAAAATCATTAGGATCTGGGATGCTCCAAGGGAATTATGTTTGGTAGATATTCCTGCCAGATCGACTTCCTCAATCACCGCTATCACCTCTGATCAAGTAGCAGGAGATATATTTGTTTCAGGATTCGATGATGGTTCAATTAGAGTTTATGATAGAAGATTAGATTCTCGTGAATCTATGGTTAAAACATGGCATTCTAAAAAAGGTAAAGATCAATACCCAGGATTTGGTATAGGACCTTCTTCAGCATCAATTAGAAATGTTCATATGCAAAGAGGAGGTTATAGAGAATTGGCCAGTGGATCATCTGATGGTACAGTGAATTTATGGGACATCAGATTAAATGATCCAGTTTATACTTTTTCAACTCCAGAAAAATCCCTTCGTTGCTTCGAAATTCATGAACATGCTCCTTTAATAACTACTGGTTCAAAACAATTGGGATTCTACACTACTCTGGGTGATACTATTAGTAATTTAAAAAATCCTCATGAAGGGTTACTTGGTAATAGAACTTCCAATTATTTATCCAACATTGCATTGCATCCTCATCGTATGATGATTGCTACAAATTATAATCAAGATGGTCATATTAATGTCTATACTTGTTCCGATATTATTCAAGAATATTAATATATATCTTCTCATATCTTTTTTGCAGCAAAATGCGAAGTTGATCACTTTTGCAGCATTTCCGCGACCGACTACCGCAAAAGATCTCGATGAGTCTTAAGTTAATGAAAGAAGGTATTAGTTTACCTCAACTGAACAAGCCCGATGTTCCAATAGAGACTTCGTTGACGGTATCTCAAAGAATGATGAGTGCTAGTGCAGGATCGATTTTAACGGCTTTTATACTAACACCTTTTGATGTGATTAGAATTAGAATGCAACAACAAGAGATCTTACCTGATTCTTATCCATGTTGTGTTGATAAGATCAAAAATAATGAAATCAATGGCTCAAGTAATTTAACAAAAGTGCCAGCATCCTCCTTTAAACATATAAAATCCCCTGAATCAGATTTGTTCTGGTTAGATAAAGAATATTGTAAATCAAGTAACAATTGTTCTAAAATAGATTCAACATTTCAAGGATTTAAAATCATAGCTAAGAATGAAGGTATCAAGACCTTATGGAGAGGGATGCCTTTGACTTTGATCATGGCAGTTCCTGCTAATGTAGTATATTTTACCGGTTATGAATATGCCAGAGATCATTCCCCTATTAAAGCATCATCCATCAATTCATTACTTTGTGGTTCGATAGCAAGGTTAGTGGCTGCAACTTCCATAGCTCCTATAGAATTAGTCAAAACTAGAGTTCAATCCATTCCATCATCTTTATCATCCACATCAGCTTCATCAATCTCAAGATCAGTGATGTCAGATTTGTGGAGTCAAACTAAAACCAGAGGTTTACATTCATTATTCACTGGTTTATCTATAACTCTTTGGAGGGATGTGCCTTTTTCGGGTATTTACTGGTCATTATATGAAACGCTGAAATCACATATTGGTAGTTTATTAGCAGTAGACTTTAATAATACCACCACAGAAAATAATTGGAAGGTTTTCACCACAAGTTTCTTATCAGGATCATTAAGTGGATCAGTAGCTGCTATAGCCACCCATCCTTTCGATGTAGGTAAAACTAGATTACAAATTACTCAGTCTGAAAGTCATCTGAATGTAGGTAAGTATTTATTGAACATTTGGAAGAATGAAGGTTTCAGTGCATTATTCGGAGGTTTAGGACCAAGAGTTTTAAAGGTAGCTCCATCTTGTGCTATAATGATATCTTCTTATGAAATCAGTAAACAATTCTTCAAAATGAGTGCATTACAAACTTTATAGATTCATGTATATATATATTTTAATAAATGACAACGCATATGAATTCAATACCATGATTCGTTAGGTTGATAATCACCCAAGTTCAAGTCGGGAACAATTCTTGTGGCTTGAGATACATCATAAGGATGTTTATGTTGACTGTCACATTCGGGACAAGGAGTTCCTGGGAAATGACGATGTTTTCTTCTGGGAATATTTTCATTTTTCATTTCAAAATCTTTAATTATATCAACCTTGGATTTCTTCTTTGAATCTTCGTTTTTAACCACATCAAGAGGTGAATCTCTTAATTTTTGAGGTGATTGTTCTAAGAATTCTAGTTCAAGTTTCTTCAACATTTCAAGACTTGTTCGGGACTCATTTTCTAAAGAAATCCCAATAGATTGTAGGGTTTGTAAACAATCATAAATAGATTCTTTCAAACCACCTGAAATAGCTCTTTCATATTGTCGAACATAAATACTCTCGTTCCAAATATGAACTTCTAGTTTCTCTCTTTCAGCTTCAGAGGTTGATGACATGGGTCCCGAAGAAGCTATTACTTTAGTAACGGTTTCTCTCTGGGAAACTATGGTTTTCACTAACTTGCTTATTTGTTTCTCTTTCTCTTGAAGAAGATTTAAATTGTGGAATAAATCTTCAAGTCTGGCATTGATTAAAGATGAACTTTTGCTTTGGAAAGCAAACATGTTTCCAAACTCTTCTAACAAGCGCTGATTGAATTCATAAGAAACTTTTGTGCCCCATTTCTTAAAAGAGAACTCTAAATTATCTTCAACTGATGCCTTCTCACCAGTTCTAACTTGAAGCTTTTTGATAATAGGAATGATTTTCTTGGATATTTCAAACCCTCCGCTTCTCTCAGAAACAGTTACATATTCTTCATCATCTAAATCCTTATTTGGAGAAGCAGGAAAAAGACCAGTGAAACCTACTACTTTCTCTACCACTCTATGTAAAGCTGTTCCTGGTCTATCGAAAACTGATGACTTGACCTTTGAATTTGCGATGTATTTAGCGGATTGTGTTGTTGTAAATTCACCTGCCATAGATTCGGATACCTTTGTGGGATTTATGGTAAAAGAATAAATGTGGTTTTTGTGGATTTTGACTGCAAAATTGAGATCTCGTAAATTTTGCAACTTTGTATCCCCAAACCCCCCAAATTTTTATCCCGTGAACCATAAGATGTTGAGAGTCTCAACTACCTTAACTCAAGAGACATCTAATACCATAGGAGAACGAACAGAGAACAAGAGAACTCATGACATTTATTCTATTTACTTTTTGGTAGCTTCATCATCAAGATTTAAACCGGTATATTTCTTTATGTTAGTTCTTAAACTGTCAATGGATGAGGATATGCTTTGAGAACTTTTATCAGCTGTCGTTTCGATGGTATCGATCAATTGTGATGATTTGTTGTATAAATTCTCTTGTTGATGAGCAATTTCTGGGACGGTTTTCTTTTCTAATTTCCAAACAAAGTTCTTAGTACTATTGAAAGTTTGAGGTAAGAAGTATTTAAATGATACCAAACCCATAATCACTGGAAAAGTTATTTTGGAAAGTATACCCCTTTGACGTGACATGACAGTTCCTGATAATGCCCCAACAATAACATAAATCCCATTAGGGACTAAATCTTCATTTTTATCATGCAATTCACTGACTGTGGTGGTGACTGATCTTTCGGTTTTATGATATTTATCGTACCCACTATTGACATAGTCTACTGAACTACTGTAAACATTATAAATTGATTGTCTTACAGATTTGAAGACTGATTGCACTGATTGAGGAGAATCTACCAAAACTCCATTGACAATTTTTTGCCCTTCTACGGGTTTTATTTCTTCATCTTCATAGAAGTTACGAGCCATCTTGAATTCTTGTTCTACAATCGTTCCTTAAGAAAATGGTTAATGATTCTCAACACTCAATATTTTCATTGGACGTAAATCTGCTGCAAAAGTGTGCGACTTGCGACACTCATCACATTAGATCACTAATATGTTTAAACAGCTAAGGCTAGATTATAGTCCGAAAAGTGCTCTAAGAACAGGTTGGTGCTATGCTAAAAGGTTTAACTCGAACATAAATAGTTTCAAATTTGATTTTGGAGCTGGTGATACAACTTTTGGTGAATTAGTGGATAAGAACTCATCTGATGTCTCAGATTATTCACCTTATAGAAATGCTGACGGTAGTTTTATTAAAGGTTCAAGCAGTGAAGAAGCTAGACTTCACGACGATACTATAAAGGGAAGAGTGAATCACAATGTTATTGCTCTACCAGATGAAATATCCAAGGTGATCAATAATAATATTCTCAGTTTAGTGTCTCCCGATAGACTTAGAACCAAGCTGGCTGAAATCTATCAATCATTATCCAAAGGTCAAATGTTACAAGCTCCTACGAATTCTATTGAAACTGATGCCCACATAGCTTCGTTGTTCTTACAAGATTATGCACACACTTTTCAAGTTTTAGATGAGCTCAAAAAACGTACTGATGCTAAACCTGATAGTATTTTAACTGTCGGATACGGGCCAGCCACTGGTATGGTTGCCGCCAATGAAGTTTTTGAAGATTTCAGACCAAGTGTAAAGCATGCGTATATCGTGGGAAGATTCAATAGAGAGATGAAGAAAAGGGCTAAAATTATTTTATCCAGACAATTATGTGAACAGCCTTTACAAGTTGAAGAAGTTGAAGAAGACGCTGTTGCTGAAGTGGAAGATAATGAAGTTGTAGAAGAATTTGAAGAAGAATTCGAGGAATCACAGGAGCAAGTGAATGATTATGTGGGACCTGTTGATACCTCAAGAATCAATATCGTCACCAAAATCAAGGATTCCCTACCTTCCAGAAGTTATGACTTGATCGTCGTTAACCATGCATTACTTACTAAAGAACATCATTTCCCTAGAGATGTTGATATCAATATTCACATGTTATTGAATTTACTTAATCCAAAAGGTCATATTGTCCTTATAGAAAGAGGAAACCATACAGGTTTTGAAATCATTTCCAGAGCTAGACAATTAATGATACGTCCAGAAAACTACGATAAAGAGATTGGTAAGTTACCCAGACCTTATATCAAAGGAAGTAAAGTAAAACCGCAAAAGTTGAGAGGTATTGATCAATTGATCACTGAGGATGACATTGAATTTGAAGAACAAATGTTGGCTGACATAGAAAAGGAGATTGCCGAAGAAAACGAAGTGTCTGAAATGCAACAATCAGATGATTTAGAAGACCTCGACCAATCAGAAGATTTCGAACAGTCGATTATCGAGAAACATGGTGAAGTTTCTGAAGAAGATTTGAAATTCGAATTCGAAGATGATGAAAATTTCGAACTTACAGAAGTAAAGGAAGCTGAAGATGTTGATGTGGAATACCATTTGAAAATCATTGCTCCTTGTGCACATCATTCCAAATGTCCCTTACAAATGGGAGATCCTAAATATTATAAAATTCCTTCTCATAAACATAAATTAAGTTGGTGTTCATTTGACAACATCGTTGAAAGACCCAAGTATACTATGGAATTGAAGAAAGGTAAAAGACTCGCCACAAATTGGGATAAGAGTGCCGACGATGGATTTGGTTTAGATAACTTGAATAAAGGAACTTTGAGAAACTTACAAGGTAAAGGTAGACCTGGAGGAAAGAATACTGAAAATGGTCAATTTTCATATTTGATCGCCCAAAGATCTTCAAATTCACCTGAAGAGATCAAAAAGATCAATTATGAAAGAGAATTTAATAGTTCTAAACTACTTGAAAATAGTGAAATGAACTGGCCCAGAATAATCAGTATACCCACTAAAATCAAAAACAACGTCAAGTTGAAGACCTGTGCACCATCAGGTAATATTGAAATCTGGCAAATTCCTAAGAGTATGGGCAAACAGATTTATCATGATGCCCGTAAAGTGAAACAAGGAGATTTATGGGCTTTAGATAAAAAGAGCGTTCAAGTTAAAAATCAATTAGGTGATGTTAAACGTGAAAAATTAGATATTTTGTCTAAGCTTGAAAAGAAGAGTTTCATCAAACAGCAAAGAAAGAAGACTTGGAAGAAGTTAGTCAGTCATTCTGAAGAAGATTTTGATGATGTTGTTAAATTAAGTGATTCCATCGCAACTAATTTGGAAACTTCCAAACAATATAAATGGAAAGGTAAAAAGGCTAAATATGATGTTGATCCAAGGAAATATGACGGTAAATAGAGAATGTAAATAGATTTGTAAATAGATATTGAAATAATAAGAAATACTTATATTACCCATCGTTATCATTTTATCATATCCTATATAATTGAATTAGTATTCTAATTACTTTCTTCTAAATGATGAACCTTCAGTTAATTTGGCTTTACCCCCGGTTGGAGTACATAAAACTGTTGAACAGTTATCACAAGTGACAGCAGTTTGAGCATGGGAGAATACAGTAGTTATAGTTAAACAACCTTGACATTTAACGTCCATGAAGTATGATCTTGGAGATTGAACTAATTGTTTTTTCTTATGTGCTTGTAATTCAGATGCTGGGTTTGGATGTAATAAATCTTGAACTAAAACCATCTTTGACTGACTCCTTAATGAAAATTTTTCATTTTTACTTTGTCGTGTGAGAAAATAATCTACCGAGACATTTTTGGTGATGCGACATGATCTTTCTTCTTTTTTCGCGGTAGCCCGCGTTGGAACCTATGCAAGCCATGACTGTGATATATTACCCAATTGGGCAGTCTTGGTTCTTTTTGTGATAGGTTGCAAAAAATTAAAGAAAGATATATCGATTGTGTGATCCTTTAACTTTGAAGATTAAGCGAAGGAAAGATGAGCAAGCCAAGTAAGAAGGGTAAAGGTAAAAGCAATCTTGAACGTGGGCGAGAGGTTGACTCTGTATTATCGTTCAATAACTTTGACTACGATTATTCTAATCCTCGATCAACTTACTTAACATTATCGATTGTATTGTTGCCTTCAATTTTAGCAATTGTGATACCCGTGATTCCCAATAGCCCTTCTAACAATGATATTGCCGTGTTAGTTACCGACACGTTGATTGTTATTCTTATGACATTCACGGTTAAGTATGTGATTGAGTGGCCATGGAATTGGTTGAGGAAGATTAGATCCTCCAAGGAAAATATCTTGAACAACATAAACTCCAAATACCTCATCCACAATAAAGACAAATCCAAGTTTCAATCTCAATTGAATGGAAAGATCATCTTGATAAGAAGATTCATCAAGTACGAAACTATAGCTTTAGGAACAGGGGTCTTCAGTCATTGCTTAAGTTCTTTGCTTATGATATGGACCCGAAATTATATCATTGTAGAGGAAACAAGGAAAAATATAGTTTTCAGTGATTTGAACGTTGGTTTATTCTTCATTTGGGGCTGTTTCAAAATACTTTTGGTCTTTCTACAAAAACTCAAAGATGCATCTCTAGCAGGGGAAGATGAGTATAATCTTATAAATGAATGGAATTTGGACGAATTCTATGTTTTAAGAGTCGATGAACAAGATCACGTAGAACGGACAGAAGTCTCCAGAGAAGATCCAGTACAAGTACCAGACCCGATCAAGGAGCAACAATCTCCTATGGAAAGGAAGATAGACGAATTGATGAAACTTTACGAAAAAATGAATGAAGCCAAAAATAATCAAATGCAGACTTTTCTTATGAGTAGTACTTTAAAGGAGACAAGAAAGAGACAACATTTGCCACGGGATGAAAATCAAAAAAGATATCATTCCATAGGCAGCAGTTTGAGTACCATTTTCGAAGATAATGAATTGAAGCAGGTTCAGCCAAGGAAACCGATAACGTTAGATTATTCTTTACATGGATTGCCTAGCAAATCAAGATTTAGACAAATTGTCACTCGTGAAGAATCCATCAAAGATATCCTGGAAGTGTCTGATATACCTCTGGACCGCTTTCGTGAGTTGATAGAAGACGTGATATCAACGATGAAAGATATCAGAGATCAATACACAATGTCTGACCTTTTCTATCAACCTATTATCATTCGGAAAATCTTTTACAACGACGTATTTCCTTTGATATTGAAAATCGATAATTCCTCGCTTAAGATATTCCAGAAAACCATCATTATCAAAACAGTTATTCGGGAGATTATGGATAAACACTTTGTGGGAAATATCCGATCTCTTACTTCCTACATGTATTCTTTACTAGAAAAGTATCTAGGCTCATGTAAGAAGATTGTCAAGTTCTTAATCTTTGTGAATTTCGAGATTCCCATAAGAATTCTTATTCGAACTGAATACCTAATTTTGTCCATACCCAAAAGAGCTGTCAGCGTATTAAAATACCCCTTCGTTAAACTTAGTGAAGAAGAATTCAAAGCAAGAGAATTCAATTTACAACCCAAATTCGATAAGAAAAAAGAAAACCAGATAAGCGCAATGAAGAAATTGAATCAAAAATGGGGCTCATCAGTCCCCAGAAATCTTCAAGATCAGTGAAAATAGGTTCTATGGGTCTACCGATGAACAATAAATTTGTCTGGCACTTTTTTTTGCAGCCTCCGCTCTTAAAAAATGATCTTCGCGATAACGTTTATCATCTTACAAAATTGCCAATAAAAGAAGACCCAAGAAGATACGTCCTCCATATAGGAGGTATGTATACAAATCCTCATACACGCAGAATAGCAGTGATGAAGAATCGGATGGCGAGGATGAAAGAGATTTTGCTGTCAGTAAATTAGATGTGAGATCAATTTATGTTTTGACACCATCGGAAAATTATGGTAAAAAATGGCCCATGTCACAATTCGAAAAAGTCGATGTTCTAAGGCATGCTTTAACCCCTGGAACTCTAGAAGAGAAGAAAGATGGTAAAGTGGTGGAAGTGTTTTCCAATAATGTGGAAAGTCCTGACGATCTAATGGTTTTACCTACAGAATTGATATTGTATATATTTGAGATTCTTTATTATAGGAATCAGTTAAAACCTAAATTTTTAAGAATAAGTAAATTGTTTCACATATTGCTACTACCGATGATATACAACTATCCGGTACTAAAAGCTACCAACTTCTTTGCATTCGTTGAAACCATTTCAAATAATAAAAAAATCGGAGAATACGTCAAACAACTTGATTTGTCATATATAATACAGCTGGGTAAAAATGCTTTTGTAGCTAAATTATTGAAAAGATCCAAGAAGAATTTGATTAATTTTGTTGCTCCACAGACAAGTTTTGGTCTAGGACCATTATTTGCCTTGAGGAATTGTGAAAAATTGAAAATTTTAGATTTAAGGTTAGTTTCAGAGACTTTAAATTTGAATGAATTATTCAATTCCATAAGAAATTTGAAAGATTTAGAGAAATTATCATTCCCGAGGTCATCAATTGAAATTGATGCTGAAATGATATCACAAATTCATTGGCCACCTAAATTATCGGCATTAAGAATCAGTGGAGGTATTTCTGATGAATTCTTAGTTAAATCTGATTTACCCCTTTCAATTACCCATCTTGAATTTGCCCATTGTCCAATGATTAAAGATTACAGTGTGACTACATTATTTGCTAAGTTTGGTAAGAACTTGAAAACCTTGAAGATTGAATATCCAATGCCAAAATTAAAAGAAGATTCTTTGGATTCAATATTCAGGTTCTGCCCTAACTTAACCACATTATTGGTTTATGTAGATTATATTTCAGGAGGATTCTTTGATGATGATAATTTATTGTACTATCCTGATAGACCATTGAGAAACTTGTACATTGATAGTAGTGGTATGTTAGGAACATCAACTAAATTACATCCTTTAGATTTAGCATTAGCATTAACTGATGGGAGATTACCCAATGTTAAAAACATTCGATGTACTGCTAAATTAGGTTGGGATCCTCAATCTGAATATGTTAGTACGATTATTGAAATATTAGAGGAAAGAAATGGTGGACTTTATTTGGGTTATTAATATATTTATTCTCATTGATCTCTAAGAACACCTATTGAAATTTCTCAGGGTTTAACGCGAACTACATATGAAACTACCATCGAACTATCATCAAGGTAAATCACGTCCCTTCTTCTCGCCAGTAGAGAAGCTCACAACCTTGACCTCCAAGGATCATTTCGTGCTTTTTGTCCTTGGAGCTTTAACAATTTTAGTTCGATTTTATAAGTTACCTATTCCTGATGAAGTGGTTTTTGATGAAGTTCATTTTGGTGGATTTATGAAAAATTACAATGAAGGCAAGTTTTTCATAGACAACCATCCACCATTGACAAAATTATGTTATTATTGGATAGCTAAACTAAGTGGATGGGATGGGAAATTCGCTTTCAGTTCCATTGGAGATCAATTCATAAATGTACCATTCATTCAATTAAGGTTATTCCTGGTTATTTTGGGCAGTTTGACTATTCCTTTAACATATTTGATCTTAAGAGCAAACCATTGTGATATCATACCTTCAATGTTTGGATCAAGTTTGGTACTTTTTGAAAATTCCATGATTACTCAATCGAGGTATATATTTTTGGATTCAAGTTTGATCTGTACAACATGCTTGACTTATTACTTCTACAGTAAGTTTAAACAATATAGGCAATTCACTTTTGAATGGTATAAATTTTTAGTATACACTGGATTCAGTCTTGGATTAACTATATCTACCAAAATGTCAGGATTGTTGGTATTACTTTGGTTAGGTGTTGTAAGTTTATTACAAATGTGGGTGTTATTAGGTGATTTGAGGGTAAGTGATTTCTCGTGGTTCAAACATCTTGTTGCAAGGGCTATTTGTTTGATTTTAATACCCTTCACTATCTATTGTTCAATATTTGCTATACATTTGGATCATTTACCTTATTTAGGTAAAGCAGGATTGTTATCACCCAATTTCAAGGCTTCATTCAAGGACGCTGGATGGTTAAGAAATGAACCCGTAGAAGTATCTTATGGAGCTTCTGTTACCATCAAACATAATGAAATGGAAAGTTACTTACATTCTCATCCTTATAAATACAAAAATACCAAATTACAACAAGTAACATTATACGATTCACACACTGATTTCAGTAATGAATGGGAGATTCATCCAAAGAATAAAAGAACCAATGATTGGTTATATGACGAGTTCAGGCCTATCAAAGATGGTGATGTTGTTAGATTATTCCATAAACATACTAAGAAGTTTCTTACAGTTAAAAGAGATGATAGACCTCCAATAACTGAAAAAGACTATGCTTCACAAGTTGCTTGTAATGGTTCCAGAGACATGTTGGCTGATATAGAATACGATTTCAAAATCAGAATCTTGAACAAGAAACCTCATTCAAAAACCAACTTGCCAATGTTAAAATTAAGAGCCACAGAATCAATATTCCAATTGGTCCATCAAAGTACTGGATGTCATGTCATGAGTCACGAAGGAAGATTACCTAACTATGGATTTGGACAAAATGAAGTGTTATGTATTAAGGAAGCCACTATTCCTAACAGTTTATGGTACATCGAAAAGAACAGTCACCCTCAAATGAAGAAACAAACCCTTGCCAAAGTTGACCTTTCAAATTATCCATTTTATAAAAAATTCATTGAATATCATAAAATCATCTTCAGGTTAAATAATGGTTTGATTAAACATCATCCATATGAATCAAGACCTGAAAGTTGGCCATTTACTATTCAAGGTGTAGGATATTTCTCAAGTGATGCTCGTCCTAAGATTGGTAGTGAAGAAGGAAGTACTGTTTATTATATTGGTAATGTTGCTGTATATTATTTTTCCATAATAGCTATTGGATTAGTTATCTTGAAACAAGCCTTATACTATATCGACCATTTGAACCCTTTCTCGTTGGTCAATGAAACATGGGAATCAACTGTTTTCTACCAAACCACGTTAGAAGCTATATTAGGTTTTATCATTAACTATATTCCCTATTTCCAAATGACTAGACAATTATTTTTACATCATTATTTGATATCATTGTATTTCGCCATATTGAATTTGACTTTTGTGGTACATTATTGTAAAAAGAAAGGTTGGGCTATGATGGTGGTGATTATGGGATTAACAGGATTTTGCTATTATCAATTTTTCCCTCTTATTTATGGTAGTCCATGGACTCAATCTGGTTGTAATTCAGCTAAATGGTTTGAAAATTGGGACTTTGATTGCTCTGCTTATAAAAACTAAATAAACATCAAACTTTTGCTGAAGATATTCCATTAGCTACATCACCTATCAATTCCTCTGTCCATTTAACAACTTCTTCTTTTTCTTTGATTTTTTCAACTCGCTTCTTTTCTACTTGTGCTAACTCTTCACTTAAATCCCTTATCATTTGTACCTGGGTCTCTTCACTGACTCCAACCCCTGGTAAAGAATCTATCAACATGGTTATTTGTCGAGACTTCAATATTATATCGGTACTTAATTCATTCAATGTATTGGTGAAGTCAGACCTATTGTTTATCTGTGGACTGTTGGTGTCTTCACTTTTATTTACCTCCTGCCTGCTTATGTCAGGTCTACTGCCATCATTATTACTTTGTCCTTGCCTACTATCTTGAACTTCAGGTTGCCCAGCAATAGGTGCTTCAGCCGCTATATTGATTACACTCTTAGGATCTTCATCCAATAAAGCCTGTTCACTGTTGCTATTTATATAATTGACAGCTGCATTAAACTGTTCGATCAATTGATCTAAACATATTTGTAACTGCGTTAACCTATCTGACATGGTTTAAATTCTCGAAATCGCATTTCCAAGTTTACTGTGATGAGTCCGTCCCGATGTTCAATGTATACGATTCAGATTTATGCCGCCTTTTTCAATTTACGATTGCTGATGGAAAGAAATGCATGAGAGTATCTGTGTAGAGATGGCTTGGTGGGTGGGAGAGATGGGGTATTTCAAAGATTGGCGAATTCAAAGACCTTGATCGAATACGAGATGAAATGACATCCATCACAGACCTCTTTGGGGAATTATTACCTTGATCATTGGCTCTAAGTCTTCGAATCCAATGGTTCTTTGCCTTCTAATGGATCGATTCTTAGTCTTCTAACGCATCGATTCTTAGTCTCCCAAATCAAGTATGTGTCATGTTCTAAGTTATTTCCACTTTCTCTTGTCCCTCCTGCTTTTATTGATAAGATTTTCAAAATACAACACAATGATATGGTGACCACAATTCACGTCAAGATATTTTTGTCTACCAAGACATATTCTCTATCGCACTACTTCATTCTCCTTCCTAGGCTCCACACTTTCACAGATGGCTCATCGATTTCGCACTTAACGACAATCCCGCATTTTAAGTGATCCCTGTCAAACCTGTCCCTTAAATCAAATACACCATGGACCTTAAATGGGAGAATGATTGGGATGTGCTGAACTGTTTCTTATGCCATTCTTTATTCAATTTCTTCAATCGTAGACACCATTGTAGAAAATGTGGAAAAGTGGTTTGTGGTAATTGTAGTAAACAAACGATTAAATACTTCCCTAGAACCATGATTGTGGATAATGGATATGTTACCAGATCAAGTCCCTATGAATCCTACAGAACTTGTGATAATTGTGTGGATGAGATCAATATGATCAGAAGAGCTTTGAATAATGACGATTCAGGAAGTTTGATTAGTAATAACAGTGCTACTAAATATTCTACAAGAATGACTACAAGAACAGTCAGTTCATCTCATTCAAGTTTGAGTAATGACAATGTTAGTGATGATAATTTATGTCCTATTTGTGCTAAAAATCTCAGAGATGTTTATAAATCTAAAGATGATTTTGAACAGTTCAAAGAAACTCATATAAATGAATGTTTAACAAGTTATGATTTCAGTTTGAATCATCAAAGGTATGAAGGTAATCATCCCAAAAATAAAATGTTGGTTTATAATATGCCACCGATTCCTGAACCAAAGTTCGAATCCATCGTTGGATCAGTGGATACTATTAAATTAGATTCTGATTTATATAGGGTTGGCGAAGGGTCTAAACCCGAATCAACAGAAACGATTCAAAAATTTGAAGAAACTATTGGATCTTTAAATTCAAACAACACCACACAAACTATCAAACAATTCGATGAATGTGTAGTTTGTTTAGAAGATTTAAAACCAGGAGATAAAGTTGGTAGATTAGAATGTCTTTGTGTCTTTCATTACAAATGTATTAAAGATTGGTTTAATAAGAAAGGTTATGGAGAATGTCCCGTACATTATCTTCAGAAATAGATCATAGAAATTTTTAGTTCATTGTTCATTGGTTTTGGTTAAGGTATTTTATAGGCATTATATATTATTCGTTTACTTATCGTCTCTTTTTCTTCTGTCTCTCTTTTCATGCATATCTTTTAATTGTCTAATGGATTCGGCCATGGCACGATCCACATGACTATGTAAAGTATCCAAAACTTCTTTCAGCACTGGATCTTTTGGTAATTTCTTACCCAATACTGATTCAATTCTTAAATATAATTCAGCATCATATTGAGTAACCAAACTAATGGATTTACCTGATTTCCCAGCTCTGGCAGTTCTACCAACTCTATGAATATAAGCTTTAGAATCAGTTGGAATATCATAATTTATGACCATATCAACCGAAGGAATATCTAACCCTCTAGCAGCAACATCAGTGGCAATTAAGATATTAGATTTCCCCGATTTGAATTTATTCAAAGCTCCCAATCTTTGAGTTTGTGATAATTGTCCATGTAATGGAACAGCATGAAATCCTAAGATTTTACATAAGATAGCTGTTCTTTGAGCATGAACCACAGTTCTAGTGAAAACTATGATGGATTTTCCTTGATGTTCATTAAGTAAATGAACCAAAACAGTATTTTTATAACCATCACTAACCAACATCATTGATTGAACTAAATTATCGGCAGTTTGATATTTTGTACTAACAGAAACTCTGACAGGATTTCTTAAACTTGCTCTTTGTAATTTTGCAATCTTATTGGTCATGGTAGCACTGAATAAGTAAGTAGTTCTATTCAAAGGTATAACTTTTAAAATTTTATCCAAAGCAGGACCGAAATCCATATCTAATAATCTATCAGCTTCATCCATAACTAAATATTTCAAATTCTTTAAATTGAAACCTTTTGTATGTTCCAAATGATCCATGATACGACCAGGTGTAGCTACAACAATGTGAGGTTTTCTCATAAGATCTCTAGCTTGATCCATCATGTCCATACCACCAACAATACAAACACTACGTACACCCATAGAAGAACCCAAAGCATCGAAAGTTTCTTTGATTTGAAAAGCTAATTCTCTGGTTGGAGCTAAAATCAACCCATAATATGGTAATTTATCTTCCCATAATTGATTTAAAATAGGTATAGCAAAAGCAGCAGTTTTACCTGATCCAGTTTGTGCTAAACCAATAATATCCTTCCCTTCCAAAGCATGAGGAATAGCTTCTGACTGAATAGGGGTTGGAGTTGTGAATTTCATTTGTTCGATAGATTCAAGTAATTCTAGCCTGATATTAAGTTGATTAAATGAAGTGAATTTACTTTCAGTGACAGCATTTTCATATCCTTCTTCTTCTTCAACATTGGCTTTTGAAACGGACTTTTCTTCTTTTTCTGGTTTCAGATGTTTCTCCTTTCTTTCCTTCTTCTTCAATTTATCCTTGGATTTTTCTTCTTTCGCTTTTAAAGCGTTTTGTTTGATTTTGTCTGCTAAAGCTTTAGTATTAATCATTGATAAATTCGCATCGCATCTCATCGCAGATTTTCTCAGGTTTACTATCAACGATTGATTTTATTCATATCCCTTATTATTACTTAACATGAAGAAAAGAACTAAAACTAGAACTCATAAGAAGATATCTGAAGAAGAGGAAGCTTCCATTCCAAAATCTATGGTGATTCATTTGGGTGCTTCATTAGCAAATCATTCATTAAGTCAACTTGTTAAAGATTTCAGATTAGTTATGTCTCCTTATACAGCTATTAATTTGAGAGAACGTAAGAATAATAAATTAAAAGATTTCATAGTTATGGCTGGACCTTTAGGGGTTACAAATCTATTCGTATTTAATCAATCAGAAAATGGGAATCTTTCGCTAAGATTAGGTAAAATGCCTAGAGGTCCAATGTTTCAATTCAAAATCGATCAATATTCTTTAATGAAAGATGTTGCTAAAGTTTTGAAACGTGCAAAATCCATTAGTAAAGATGGTATTGAATATATGCATCCACCTTTATTGGTAATGAATGGTTTCCTGACTAAAGGTGCTCCTCATGAAAAATTATTGTTAACAATTTTCCAAAATTTATTCCCACCAATTCAACCACAATTTACTAAATTGGGTTCCATCAAGAGAGTATTGATGATAAATTATAAAGACGGTAAAATAGAAATTAGACATTATTCTATCGATACTAAAACTATTGATAATTCAAGAAATATCAAGAAATTAATTCAAAGTCATCAACTAAATAAGAATTTACCGAAATTAGGTAAAAGTGAAGATATTGCTGATTTAGTATTAGATCCTTACAATGTGGGATTAACTTCAGATTCTGAAGTTGAGGATGATGCAGTTTTTGATCAACCAACTAATGTGGTTAAAAAGAAAGTTGTTGAGGCTGAAGAAGGAGAAGAAAAGGAAGGTAAAGAAACTAGAAAGAAAGCTATCAAATTAACTGAATTGGGACCAAGAATAAACATGACATTAATGAAGATTGAAGAAGGCTTAACTGCTTCCAAGACCATTTATCATTCAACTGTTACTAAATCTAAGAAAGAACAAGAACAATTGGAAGCTAAAGCTCAAGAGAAACGTCAACTCAGAGAAGAAAGACGAAAAAGACAAGCTGAAAATGTTGAAAAGAAGAAAAAGAAGAAGGTCAAGATTCAAGGACATGAAGATGATGAAGAGGAAGATGAAGAGGAAAATAGTGAAATCAATCCTGATGATCATGAAAATGACAGTGATTTATTCAGTGATATTGAAAAATAGATTCGTAATAAACGCTATACATGTAATTCGGATAATAACTCTTGTAATTCGGTACGTTTCTTATGTAGTTCAAGTGTTGTTGTAATGCTATCGAGGAATTTTTGTTGTAAAGGTTTCATATTCACGAGTCCAAATTGATCCAACGGATTGGTGATGGGCAATGTTTCTTCTATTTCCTTCGTTGGTTCTTTCAGGATTGTGGTTTTGGACAAACGATTTCGTATCAGTGATATATTTGAATCTTCTTTGGTGTCTATTAGACCGTTTGAATCAGTCTTGGGGCCTTTATCCTTGTTCACATCACTTTCATTGAGTAGATTTACAAGTTTAAGATCTATAACATTTAACGCTGCCAATCTTGGTCTCAAATCTATAACAAAGTCGTTGTTCAACTTTTTTTTCGACAATTCTAGGAAACTATCTTGATATCCCGCTTTGAAAGTCTCAGATAATGTTTCATATTCATCTAATGATTTGAGTAGCTTGATCAAAATTTCATCTTCCTCTTTAGTCTTGGAGTTATCCGTCTCGTCTACCATGCCTTCTACGTTAACAGACTTCTCCTTGTCGCCAAGTTTACCTGACTTATCGAGCGGTTTATCCAAGGGCTTCACCATCGTTCGCGAATATATATTAATCTACTAAATTTTATAAATTCTTTTTAAATCATTGAATTCCTGACGACTCAAAAGATCATTGAAACCAATTTCATCCAGAATCAATTGCTTTTCAGTTTCATTCCTTTCTTTCATATAATTGTTTTTGAATAGAGAATAAATCAATTCTTCTTCTCCCATTTCTCCTTTGGGTTCACTATATGCAACTACTGCTAAATCATGAATTATATTGGCAGTTAAACCCCAGACATCGAAAATCTTACCGGCGTCTGATTTCGAAGATCCTAACCTTCCCCATTGTTGTAATCTCTCCTTCTTAGATAATTTCTCTGACTTTTTCTCATTAGGTTGTGGGGTCTTATAATTTGGATCAAGTTCCATATCTGATTCACTTTCTTCAGATAAATCAATAACGTTGGAAATCCAATCTACGTCATCATCTCTACTAACCATGTAACTTCTTAATTTCCAAGGTATACCTCCCCATTTGACTGGTTTGAAATCTCTTTCTATCAATGTAGACTTATCGATTGAAATTTCGGAAATCATTTTTTCTGGCCAAGTGAAATCTTTTAAAGATACACTGAAAACACAACTCGTTTCTCCAGGATTAAGTTTAAGATCAAGACCTTGAAATCCTTCGAAAGTTCTTAAATATCCAATACAAGGTCTCACACAACTTAAAGTTCTTGATAGGTAACTTGGCATGATATTTATCTTTTCAATTTCACAACCAAGGAGTCCCAACCCATCATTAGATCGTGGAATACCTAGTTCTTCTTCCATCTCTCTTCTACTTGTCATCCATTCATCTTCTAAAGGTGTATCAGCTCTACCACCGGGCAACAGAACATGTCCTGGGAATGATCTTAATTTTGAAGACCTTTGAGATAACAACACCTTCAAATCATCGTTATGATGGAACAATAAAATGAATACTGAAGATCTCCTATTCAAAGGTAATCTGTGGTAGATTGAATGGGATGAACTTTGGTAATTCTTGAATTGATAATTCTTTATCTTTGTTAGTACGTCCATGATTCGCACTTGATTTTGAATTGTTGCAAAAAGATGGGGTTAAGAGAGAAGATTTTGCTAAAATGTAGATATCTATAAATCTATTATATACCTAAACCAAACTAACCAGTAGACTATTTAATGCTGTAAAATTTATTCTAAGAAATGAGGAAATTCACGGACATCAGCCTTTTCATAAATGACGTTATAAGTAGCTTCGAATAATGGGAATTCTGATTGTAATTGATAATTTTCCAATAATTCGTGAACTTCTTTAGCGGTCAAGATACCTTGAGATGATTGACCATTTAATAAGGCTTTTTCAGCTTCCCAGGCATCAACATTTTTTTCGACCATATATTTGGCGACCTTGACATTTCTACCACCTGAACAAGTGGTGATTAAATCAGCAACACCACAAGATTCTTCGGTAAAAGTAGCTGATTGAGGAGGTAAGTTAGATTTGATACCGAATTTTTCGTAGTATGATGCAAATTTTATGGTTTCCTTGATACCGATTCTCATGATGGCAGCTTTGGCATTATCACCCCAAAGGTGTTCAACCCATCCAGCAGCAATAGCAACAACATTTTTAAGTGCACCAGCAATGGAAGCACCAATAACATCATTTATAACTCTGACATGGAAGTATGATCTGTGGAATAATTGTTTTAAGATATATTCATCGATATCTTTACCTTGACCTCTGAAATCTTCAGGGATGTTATAAGCAATTGAAGTTTCTGACCAATTTTCTTTAGCAACTTCATTAGCAATGTTAGCTCCTGATAAAACACCACAATATATACCTAAAGTATCAGTAATAGAAGTGGATAATAATTTACATCCATTAGAATCAACTTCTAAACCTTTCAAACATGAAATGGCTCTGACGTTAGGTTTAACTTTACCAACCAATTGTTTACAAACTCTTGGTAAAAATTGATGTGGAATATTGAAAACCAACAAATCAGCATCTTCAACAGTTGAGACTAAATCTGGGTTGGCAATTAAATTTTCAGGTAATTTGATTCCTGGTAAATATTTAACATTTTCGTGTTTAGTATTTATGATGTTAGTTAATTTTTCACCATCAATGTCTTCTTCAAATACCCACATATTGACTTTTGGTTCGAATAATTCAGTCTTTTCTCTGGTATTTTCGGAGATTATTTTTGCAACTGCAGTTCCCCAATTACCGGAACCAATGATGGCAATTTTGAATGGTTGTAAAACTTTATATGGATTAGTCATTTTAATATCTTGTACTTGTTTAATAGTATCAACACTCATGGGGATTTCAAGTCTTTTATAGTTTTTTATTCCTTAAAAGAAAATTTTGGGCTATTTTTGAGAACCCCTTTTTATATGCAGGAGGGGTATAGAAAATGTACTTTATTACTTGATGGCTTAAGACAGTAGCAATCGGAGCTATGACGATACTAAGGAAGTTCGGAGTGGCTGAAGAGTGTAGGGAAAGCTGGAAGAGGTCAGAAGTAGGAGAATTGTAATGTAGACTAGTTGGTTAACAGGTATAAATTGAAGGTTTCGGTGGTGTTACCGAAATCGATCTTACCACTATTTTCTTTTACTTTAAGATTATTTGCAGTCTTAATGTCATAAAACATAGATACTGCAGACGGGTAAAAAAAGGAGATTACCACCTTTTGTTTATGACGTCAGATGAGGTTTTTAATTCCTTATTCCTATTATATTTATCCTAGTTATTCCTGATTCCACAACCTGAGTTACTATATGATGTCATAGATAATTGGATATGAAAGATTCTCATATCGTTGAAGTTACTCTCAGGATTGGTTTATTGATCGTCCAATTACGTTAATCGATGAGTCAACCTCGTCTTCTGACCATAGATTGACTACTTACTTATTCTCTAAGCTTCAAGCAAAAAGCAATTGGACACTCCTAAAACGGAAACAAAAGAAAATTTCTACCCAAAATAATCTCTACATTATTGGTAATGCCACGCAAATCCATCCTCAAAAGGAGGGGGGATTTAGTTAGTACCTGTTGTATGATGAGACAATTGCGTGGTGAGTAGAGAGTAATGTCGTATACTATAAAGACATGACATAATTACCAAGTAAATGCTACGTCATGGATTAATATTCTTCCTCAAAAGTAGATTAAATGAAATTATCAATAAGGTAACTAAACGGCACGAGATGATCATCGGAAGATATGGGAAAACAGAGTTTCGTATAGCATTTATCTATATATTCGATTAATGGTAATCGTCATCATGTCTATAATCATCGTAAACTTCTTGCCAATCACCCATCATATTATTTCTTGGTGGTGGAACAGTATCCATGGAGTAATCTTCAAGCCAATCATTGGAGTTGACTTGGTTTCCACTTACGATTCTTGCTGCTAACAAAGACTCATTGGCATCTAATTCTCCTTTCAAGTGAGCTAAAGGATCAGGTAAATTATTTTGAATAGATTCTCGTTCACTTTCCTTGACTGGCGGATGCATATTTTCACCTATTTTGTTACCATAATGATCATATTGAAATATAGGTTGTTCAGGGATTTTGTTTTCGTATTGAGGTACAAATTCATGAGGTGTTTGATGATAATCTATCTGTTCTGTATCTACTACAGTTTGATTAGCTTGATTTTCATCCAAATCAGTTTCCATTTCGTCTAACTTCACTTCATTTCCTTGTTGATCGACTAATTTATCACCTTGATCATTCAATTCTACGGTCTTATTGGATATTGAACTCATTAATTTCAAAAAGTTCGAGTTTTTGAACTTGCCATTGGACTCTAATGTTTGTTTTATCTTTTTGGCAGCATCTGCAAATTGTTCATTGTCTTGATTACCAACTTTGGTTTCATTTTCTTGATGCTCTTGTTCAAGTAATTTAAACTCTTGCTCGAATTGTTGATCAGTTAATTCATGTTCGATTTCTGGTCTATGTAATTCTTGATGTTCTGTCATACCATTTTGAGTCATACTCATTTGATTCATTCTATTCATTTGCATGGGTTGATATCCACTATTCATGTACATACTATTAGCATTATTTTGGGTCATTTGATTCGTGTGATTCATTTGGTTCATCTGGTTCATTTGGTTTACATTACTCACTTGATTCATTTGATTAGTTTCTCCATGTCTGATGGAAATTTTGGAGAAATCTTTGACCCAGTCATTTTTGAATTGATCTCTGGATTGCACTTGATCTCTTGTTACATTCCTTTGACCATGATGATTCTGAAACTGTATGTTATCTCTTGGAAGTCCTTGGAATTGTGGGTTGAACTGGAAATCTGGTTGATTATTCTTGAAACTTTCGAACTGTTGGTTATTTACTTCATTTGTTGGTTTAAACTGACTAAACTGAGGATTTATCTGCTGGTAGGTTTGATTTCGATTAGTAAAGGAGTTCAAATCCTTCAAAGAATTAGTATTACAATCCATCTTTGATAATCTTTACTATATGCGTAATCAGTTCAGTGCGCATCCGGGGGTCATTACCTCAATTTGGTCATATGATCCAGATTCATGTGACTTTATGAACATGATGAAAAAAGTAAATTTTTAGTGGAATTAGAGTGGGTAGGGGTGTTAGGGATGTCTTAAAGATTCAAATAAATGTCAAAAAATCTATTGTTTAGTATTTCGTATCTTGATTTTTTTTCAAACATATAACGAATCTGTGAAATCTGCAATTTCCACATAAAATTCAAAGATCTAGATGATGAAACCTTAAACAAAGTTTGATCACGAAAAGCTTTGTCACCAATGGTTCTAAAGAGATAAACATACATTTTTAACATCCTTTCACGTCTCAGACTCATCTTGAACCCTCTCCACGTCTAAATCAAAGCCTTCTCTTAAGCGAGTTTACTCGCTCAAATCTAGATTTAGTGTTACATAAGAGATTGCAACACGAATTAAAATAACAATCCAACGGTAAAAAATTATCGCAAAGAACTCACATCCTATTGTATGTCATTTCATATGTACAGTTTAAATGTGTGGTTTAGAGTTTGAATTCTTTATAGAATGGAATATTCAAAATTTATTCTGATCTAGATCAAACACATCACACTTAAGAACCTTACTCATTCTCTTTCTGTAACATACCACCGTTATTCACCCCTTCTCTCCATTATTCATTTTCAAACCGTTTTGTTTCATTAAATAATTGATTATGTAAGCGAGGGTTGTCGATGTTTTTTTTCTCACTTTTTTTTTATCGATAAATATTGACATTGTTAACTGTCAGTGTTATTTTAGGAATTTATACCGTTGAAAAAATATTATCAATAAATTAATATATTATTGTAAAGAACAGAATAGATAATTTTTATATAAGGAGAGAACAAGTGATATCTAAAAGAATTTTCTGATTAGAAATAGTTGTATTATAAATTAAAGATGACGATGGATAATTTATATTTATGTATAAAACAGTTTAATTCACGATTAGGAGATGAATTAAACTTGAAAGTAGGTGACAAAATCGAAGTTTTAGCTGATGACTCTGAATATAATGATGGATGGTATATGGGAAAGAATCTTAGTACAGGTGAAGCTGGATTATATCCAAAAAGTTTCACTCAAATACTAGTAACTGAAGGACCACCTCAACCAAAATTACTTAGGTCAAGAAGTAGAAGATTAAACAATTTGAATAGTCCTAATTCAACTTTTGATGAAGATAGTAGACCAAATAGTGTTTTAATAACACCTAAACAATATGGAGAAGTTAATAAAACTATGGATGATATCGATAAAGCTTTAGAAGAATTACAAGTTTCAGTACCAAGCAATCAATCATACCCTCAAGTTAATGATGATTCAAATGCCAATATTTCAAGTAGTTCTATTAACAATTCCAATGGTAATGATACTACTTCAGGTACTGTTGATAGATCTTCAATTACCGATTTAAATCCTAAAGATGCTATAAATTGGAACCCTTCACAAGTTACTTCATATTTTGCTTTAGTTTTAGGTTTCGATACTAATATTGCAGGGAAGTTTTCAAGACATAAGATAACAGGAGAAATTTTATTCCAATTAGATTTAAGTCATTTAAAAGAATTGGATATTGATTCTTTCGGTACCAGATTTGAAATCTTCAAAGAAATCGAAAAATTAAAGAAATTGTCCAATGGTTCAAGTGATGATATAAAAGAAACCAAACCTAATTATAATGAAGTCAAAACCCCTCAACAAGTTCAACCAGATCTTTCAATGGAAAGAGATTCAAGAGGTCGAGATAATATCAAAAGTCATTCACGTCAAAGATCACAATCTTTAGATAAATTAAATACTAATTTCAAATTCGGTGAACCAACTTTAGACAGACCAGCATCTTCAATTTATGATTCTGTACATTCTCATTCAAGACAACATTCAAGACAACAACTGAAAGATGTTGATTATTATCATAAAAGAAATTCATCAGTATTATCCAACTTGGATTACAATAATTATCATCATCGTAAGAATTCTTCGAAATTTTCTTTTGGTAAAGAAGAGAAATTGATTTCTCCTGCCAAAATAAGGAAAGACCCTTATGCCAATGAAGTTGGCCAAGGTTATGGTCAAAACAATTCAAGTAATGGTAATATCAACACTATTGTTAGTATTAGTGATAGTACAGGAGAAAGTAATAAATCTGAAGATGTTACACCTATTGACGACATTCAATTATCACCCAAGAAGAATTCAATTTCAAGTCCTATAGTCACAAGTTTACAATCCAACAATTCATCACCAGCAATTGAAAATAAAAACATTTCAAGATTTAAGACTTTAAAGACTGCTTCCACTCAAAATTTCAAAAATTTCACTAGTTCCAAAAAACTGAAAACTTCAGCATTCCAAGAAGGTATTAGAAATATCACACCCGATGAAGCTATCAAAACAGCTAATTATTCCGGTTTTATGGCTAAAAGATCAGGGAACAATTTATCATGGCGTTCAAGATATTTCACCTTACATGGTACTAGACTTTCATATTTTACCAGTTTAAAAGATAAGAAAGAAAGAGGATTAATTGATATAACTGCTCATAAAGTTATACCTATTTCAACTGAGGGTGAAGATAAATATATTGCATTATATGCATCATCCACAGGTTTAGGAAGATATTGTTTTAAAATCGTCCCACCAGCTCCAGGGTTCAAAAAAGGATTAACTTTCACTCAACCAAAAGTTCATTATTTTGCTGTTGATACAGCTGATGAAATGAGAGGGTGGATGAAAGCTTTGATGACTTCAACCATTGATATTGATGATTCGGTACCAGTAGTTTCATCATGTTCAACACCAACAGTTTCATTAGCAAAAGCTCAAGAATTATTAGCCAAAGCAAGAGAAGAAACTAAATTGAAAGATATTGATAATGAATTTAGTGAAGCTCAATTAACTAATTTTATTGGGAATTATACTTTAGATCCAAATAGCAGTGGAGAAAATAGTCCTTTAGTTGAAACCAATGAAGATAGATTAAGATATCAAGCTAAAATCAATAACAGTCATAGTAATTTATCTCATTATACTAATGGAAGTAGTGATCCATATCAAAATCATCAAACACACCAAACACCTTTACAACCACCGTTAAATGTTAATGTTAACATTCCAACATCCAAAACCATGGATTCTCCAAATACTCCAACATCCCAATCAGGATTCGCATCACCATACTTATTGGCCTCAGGATTATTATCACCAAAAAGTGAACTGCAATCAAGAGTATCTACCATTAATTCCGCTCAACATCCTCATCCAACTAATCGTATTTCATCATCAGCAAGTATTGGTAATCATAGTACAGGTACTAGTATTATTCCAAGTAGTGATCATGGATCAATTCCTGGTAGTAATAACGGTAGTGCTTTAACAACTCCAGTTGAAAGTAAAGATTATTTCGAAGTTAGTCCTAAAAAAAAGAGAGGTAGTGAAAAGTTAATGGCTTATTCTAATGATGGTAGTGGTAACCATACTTTTTTTATCAAACAAAAGAAATAATATTTCTTCTTATTACTTAATTTTTTGGTCATGTGACTGTGTATTATAATGTGTATTATCGCGAAAGTTTTTTATTTACTCTGATCTCTCTTTGTGAGTGTTATTATGGAGTTTGTAATTCAACAATTAAGGTCAGTGATAATTCATTCCATTGATACCTTCAATTATTCAAATGCAGAATTCGCTGGCGAAAGATTATTAGCACTTGATAATTCTTCTCATTCAATTTATTTATATGCCATAGTATTATTTCATCAAGGTAAACATAAAACCGTTTATTCTAAATTATTAGATATAGTGGATCATTTAGGATGTGCATATTTATTTGCTAAATCATGTTTACAGTTGGGGAAGTATAAGGAAGGGATCTATCAAATATTGAAGCAAGGAAATCTAGATGATGAAACATTTTTCAACAAACCAGAAATGAGATTTAGTTATGAAAATAATCGATCAATGACTCCTGATGCTTCAGCGGTGTATCATTTACTAGGAGATTTATTCAATAAAGTTGGGGACGTTAAGAATGCCAGTTTGAACTATAGTTCCGCTTTAAAATGTAACCAGTTTGATTTTGAAGCATTCACGAAATTATGTAAATTAGGTGTTGAAGTCAAAGTAAAGAATTTATACAAACAAGATGTGGTTGATGAATTCTTACCAACATCCCCCAATACCATTTTACCACCTAACCATTTAAATACTCCGATAAATATTCATGTTAACACTCCCTTACCATCACATGTTGGATCACCATTTAATGAAGATATTTCAACTCCACGAATAAAATCAACTACTGTACCTATGGCACCTAAAAGAGAGTTTATTAAACCCAAAACCAGTTATTCTAAAGTAACGTCAAGATTGATAAATCCCCCAAAGAAACCAGAATTGAAATTTACTACTAATAAAGATATTGAAAACAGTAATAATTATTTAATTCAATTGTATATAGTGTTTGCGAAAGCATATAAATGTTTCAGCAAATATGATTGTTACAAAGCTATTAGAATACTAGAATCCTTACCTGATAATGAAAAAGAAACTCCTTGGGTGTTATCCAAATTAGGTAGATTACATTATGAAATTGTTAATTATAAACAAAGTGAATATTTTTATAATAAATTAAGACTTATTGATAGAACTAGATTGAATGATATGGAATATTATTCAACCTTATTATGGCATTTACATAAAAAAATCGAATTAACTTATTTATGTAATGAATTATATGATTTAGATAATACATCCCCCATTACATGGTGTGTTTTAGGGAATTTATTTTCATTAAATAGAGAACCTGATGAAGCTATTAAATGTTTCAATAAGTCTATTAAGTTAGATAAGAATTTCACTTATGCATACACGTTGAAAGGACATGAATATTTTAGTAATGATAATTATGAAATGGCATTAGAAAACTTTAGGACTAGTTTAATTATAGATAATCGTCATTATAATGCATTATATGGAATTGGGATGGTTTATATTAATCTAGGAGATTATGAAAAGGCAGATTATCATTTTAAGAAAGCCGTACTGATTAATCCAATAAATGTTATATTGATTTGTTGTGTAGGGATGGTATTAGAAAAATTAGGTAAGAAGAACCTTGCATTAAGACAATATGAATTAGCTAATAAACTACAACCTTTAAATCCATTACCAATATTCAAAAAGGCTCAATTGTTATTTACTATGCAACAATTCCAACAATCATTACAATTATTCGAGATTCTTAAAGATTTAGCACCTGATGAAGCATCAGTTCATTTCTTATTAGGTCAATTATATCATCTTCAAGATGATAAATTCCTGGCTATTAGAGAATTCACCATTGCTCTTAACTTAGACCCAAAAGGGAATTATCTTATCAGGGAAGCCATGGAGGCTTTACAAGAGAAATAAACTTAACACGCCAATCAAAGGTTTAAATCCATAAATAGTAAATTTCATCACGATTAAAATTTCATGCTCATATTTTTTGTAACAATAAAGATTTCTACATTAACAATAACTATAATAATACATAAGATTTTTTTCCTCATTTAACTACTACAAGGCGTAAATTTTTACGTGTTTTTGGATAACCCTTGGTACAGAAGATTTTTTTTTCTGGTGCGACTGGACGATCTGTAATCGGAAAATCGTCAACGGCCCATCGAGACAAACTTTATAATATAACCCTTTAATTGGAAAAGATCTTAGATTAAATGTTGGGCATACTAGTAATATTTCAATTATTTGTCTATGTTTTATCATTTGATTTTGGATTATCGCCAAAATATTATAAAATTGGTGAACCTGTTGATTTATTAGTTAATAAGGCTGAAAGTGATCATACTCAATTACCTTATGCATATTATGATCTTAGATTTGTATGTCCTCGTCTGAAGGGTAAAAAGGCTTTACATTTATCATTAGGTGAAATCTTAAGAGGTGATAGAATTTATGAAAGTGATTATAAGTTAAATTTTGGTATTGATAATCATTGTACGAGATTATGTGATTTCAAAGCCAAAGAAGCTCAATTGAAATTCGCTGACCAATTGATTAAATCTGGATATGTAGTTCATTGGTCTGTTGACGGATTACCTGGAGCTACAACTTTTGTTTCCAATAATAAGAATTCAAAATATTATGCTGCAGGATTTCCTTTAGGTTTTTTCAATAAGGATCAAAGTTATTTATATAATCATTTCATGTTGGTTATACGATACCATACAGAGAAACATGATCCAAGCTTACATACAATTGTTGGTTTTGAAGTTTACCCTAAATCAGTGGTTGATGAGACGTGTCCTGGATCACTGAAGGATTATAAGAATTTAGCTGTTAATTTGAAGAAAGATTCCAAAGGTAAAATAGCTCCAGTAAGAATTCCTTATACTTATTCAGTTTATTGGAGAGAAGATAATTCAGTTGATTATCAAAACCGTTGGGCTCTTTATTATCAAAATGATAATATCGATCATTCAAGAGGTATTCATTTAGTTTCATTCTTAAATTCCATTGTTCTTTTATTCTTAGTTTCATTAATTGTAGCTATAATTTTATTCAGAATTTTGAAATCAGATTTATCAAAATCTTCAACTTTGCCAACAACCGTTGATGAAAATAATGGTTGGAAGAATTTGAATAATGAAGTAACTAAAAAACCTCAATATCCTTTGGTTTTATCAATGTTTGTTTCTTCAGGTTTACAATTGATGATTGCAACTGTTGGTATAATATTCACCACTATCATCAAATCACAATTTGAAACACAACCTCAAGGTTCCCAATTTAATAATTATCAAGGTGCTTTTACATCATTTGCTTTATCATGTTTTGTATTATCAGGAATTATTCCCTCATTTATTGGAATAATTCTTTATAAGATCTTTAATAATGATGGAATCAATAATCCATATCCAAGATTGGCTAATTATAAATTATCAATATTATTCAGTGGTTTCTTACCAATACTTATATTGAGTTTTATGATATTCTTTAATTTCTTTGTTTTTGCTAAAGAATCTTCAAATGCCTTACCATTTGGTACAATTGTTGTATTATTGGTATTATTCTTATTAATTATGTTACCTTTGGGATTAATAGGAGGTCATTATGGGAATAAAACCAAATTTAAAGATTCATCATTTTATCATTTCGCATCATTACCTAAATCCACCAAAACCTTGAAACCTTCACCCATCACCAATACACCTAGTAGAATCATCAAAAATACCGTGTTCTTAATGATTATGTATGGTTTAATACCTTTCGGAGTTGTTTATGTTGAATTATCATTCATTTTAAATTCAATTTGGTTAGAAAAGACTAGCTTCTATTATATGTATGGATTCTTATTCATTACTATAATAATGTTAATGGTTATAATAGCAGAATCTGCAATCATCGGAATTTACATAAATTTAATTGTTGATAATAATCCTTCATGGCAATGGTTATGTTTTAGAATTGGTTGCAGTATTGGGTTATATATTTATGGTTATTCATTTTATTATTTCTTCAATCATTTATTCTTTAGAGATTTTGTTTCCATACTTTTATATTTTGCTTATATGGGATTAATAAGTTTATTAGTTGGAATAACTTGTGGTTCAGTATCTGTTATAACGGGATTTATTTTCATTAAGAAGATTTATAGTTCGAGAAAATCCGATTAACCATAAGAATGATTTGATGAAACTTTTTTTTTTATAGACTCTTTTCATATATAGAATACAATGTATTTTTATCTAAAATTTGTATATTTTTTGTTAATGAGAGATTATGTTTAATCTAATGATGAAGCACCAGTAATGATATCAACTAATTCATTAGTAATAACAGCTTGTCTAGTTCTGTTATATAAAATAGAATAAGAGTTAATCATTTCACCAGCATTCTTTGAAGCATTATCCATAGCATTTCTTCTAGCTGAAACTTCTGAAGCGTAACCTTCAGCCATAGCAGTTAATAATGAGTTAGCTAATGAGAATTCACTGATTATTTCACTAGTTTCTTCGGTTTCAATTTCATATTTTGATAAACCTGGAGCGGAATCAATAGCTTCTTTAGCGAAAACTCCAAAAGTAGTTGGTTCAAATGAAACACCTGAAACGAATTTGTTGTATAAAATTTCAGTATTTTCATAAGTACCTAATTTAACAATTTCATCAGCAATTAAAGCAACTTCATTGAAATTTGGTGCTTCTTTACCAACTCCATTGAATGATAATTTTAATTTGTCATCGTGAGTTCTTAACATTTGAGTTTTAACTTTATCACCAACAGTGACAACATCAACATTACCACCTAAAGCTTCAATTCTTTTTCTGGCAGCTTTTGAAACTTGAGTATGGATTGATCCACATAAACCTTTATCAGATGAAACAACAATTAATAAAGTTTTGTCGGCTTCTTTTGCTTCAAGTTCAGCATTTTCAATAAATTCAGAGTCGGATTCGTGGAAAACTCTTGAAGCTTGCATAGCTCTTTGTGCTTTGTTTAATCTAGTTGATGCAACAATTTTCATGGTGTTGGTAATTTTTTCAATGTTTTTAATGGATTTTAATCTCATTTCAATTTCACGTAAAGTAGCATAGTTTCTACAATTGTTAGTAACTCATTTCAATGAAGATTTCCTAGTTTAATAGTTCATTCAATTAACGATTTGTTGGGAATATTCGAGATCGCAGGTATATTAATTAATGTGGTATAAAATCTATGGGATTTCGTGTTTTTTCGATACAATTTTGACACTATATGGAATATATGAACTAATGGATTGAATCACCTTACATACCTTGCTCCAATTGGAGTCATTTGCTTTAATCCTAAACGAAACATATCAATTGAATATAGATTTTTCAGTTTTTTTTTTCAACTGTCCGAGTGCTCGCTGTTTTTCATTGGCCCAAAAAGGTGGTCCATACACGATTCAGGGAGATCTCCTAAGTATCCATGATAGATATAGAAGTGATTGGGATGAACACCAGGAAATGTCTAAACATGAATATGATCATTTTAACTTCATTCGAGAGAAAATATAGAGCCAAAGAACCTGGATGGTAATAGTTTGTGCTGTGTATATTATGCAAGAGCACTATTAATCAATAAATACGGTGCTTTGTTACTTCCAAGAAGTGATGGTTTCAAGGAAGTAAACAGATATATGTCTAGATTGAAACAAATCCTATCATACAATGTAATTTGCCTATGTTGGTCTAAAATAAAAACTTCTCTATTTGGATGGATCGATTTTTTGGTAACCTAAGTAACCTTCTAATGGAGCCTTTTCGATCATTTTCATATATTTCAACAATATTGGTCTACAGTTTCTTTGGGCATCTACTCCATGATATCTTTTACATTGTCTTAAAGCATCATGGGTGACTTTAATTTCCATCGTCTTGATCCATTGTTCTCTTGTCATTGAAGCTCTAGCTTTTTGTACTTGTGAGAAATCATCGTAGTCAATATCATCAAACGATGTTAATTCAGGTCTTTTGTGTGATTCGTAACTCATAACTAAAGATATTTAATTTTATTTGATTGTCTTTTGATGTTGATAATGAAAATTTTCTCAATTTTAACTGGTCGCATTTTTGTTAGTGAGAATTTCATAAAGATGGAGAGCTCAAAAGAATGGAGGTCATTGCATGTGTGGTGAAGCAGTGGGTCAATAGGTTGGCAAGGTGGACAGGAGTTCGAGAAGGGGATGAGCTCAATTATTTACCAATGATCGCTTATCCATCACGTATAATCTATGAGATGCTGTCGCATACTATCTATTACATCCTATCGCATACTATCAATCACACTTCTATCATACGCTACCTACCATAAATTGTTTATCATAGAGATTTTCAGTTGCTTTTAACTGCATGTAAGATAAACCAGTCAAAACGTTTGTAACCAAACGATTGAAAGATCTATCTATTAATATTCCAACGCTCCGTTAGTACTAATTCTCTAAATAAGAACAGTCCTGCAATCCAAGTGACTGCATCGTTGGGTGAAAAGGTTAAAAATCAGGTCAATAATCAGGTCATGTAGATACAAGACAGAACGATAAATATTCATTAACATAACCCAAATCCATAATCTAAATCTCCTCCTATTCAATAGCAGCAAGAGAATCAAATAATACAGAAATTGATTCACCAAAATGATCTCTTCTAATACACTCAGCGAAAATTGGGGAAACATCAATAACTATTAATTTTTTATTTCTGGTAAGTCTTTCTTTGGTGATTGGGTAAGTATTGGTGACAACAATTTTATCAATACAATCACAATCATTTAAAATTTCTAAACAATCGTCATTGAAAACTCCATGAGTACCTAAGATATAGACCGCATTTGCACCACAGTTTCTTTTTAAATGCTCAGCAGCTGCAATAAATGAATTTGGTTTATCAATCATATCATCTAATATGATAGCTGGTTTATCATGAACATCACCGACTAAAGTGATTAATTTTTCAACCACACTTGAATTTAAATCATCTTCATCATCAGAATTTTCTGCATCATAAGAACCTCCTAAGGCATCGGAATCAATGATTGAAGGTTGAGTTAAATGTGATCTATCAGGGGTTTGAGGTTGAGCTGGTTTTTCAGCAACACCATTTTTATAATCATCATCAACAACATGTCCTTGTACAACTCTGGCGGTTTGCATTTCACTAACAATGTTGTCTTCCTCTTCTTCATCGTCACTTTTGACTTTATGTTTACTACTTAAGATTTTCTTCTTGTTTTTACTGGAGAAATCATCATGAGTTCTTCTTCTATCGGTATGAATCATAGCAAAATTGATTTTCAAAGAATCAGCTAATGCAGTAACTCTTTTAGTACCACCGGGATTTTTTGAAACTACAACAGCTTTTTCCCAATCATCGATATTATGACGAATCCATCTTGATAATGTTGGAGCTCCCAATAAATTATCAACAGGTTTGGTAAAAAATCCTTGCATTTGACTGGCATGTAAATCCATAGAAACGACATGATCGGCACCAGCCATAATCAATAAGTTAGCTAACATTCTCGCCGTAATAGCTCCTCTATGTTTTTTCATTTTTGATTGTTTAGAATATGGGAATTGGGGTATAACAGCAGTAATTTTGTTGGCTGATCCACCTCTACAAGCAGATATTAAGATCAATAACTCCATTATATGATCATTAATGGTTGGTGAACCACTTTGAATAATATAAACATCTTCATCTCTGATAGAAACTCCAATTTGAACAGATGTTTCACCATTGGAGAATTTCTTTAAAGTAACAGGTGCTGGGTTGACACCTAACCTTTCACAGACTAATTGCCCAAGTTCTGGGTGGGAGGTACCAACAAATACTTTACACTTTCTCATCCCGTTATTTGAATTAATTGTCGACACTTTGAATTATAAGGAAGAGTCCCTAATTAATTGGATGAAAATTTTGTGCGATGGATTTATCCGCTGTATCACGTGATGTTGTGAATGAATAAATTGATGATTGTTAGGAATTGGAATTTTTTCACCGTTGAAATTGGTGAAGGGTTGAAATGACAGGCCTATAAGATTTGTATGAAGTACTGAGGTTATTTGAATACAAAAATGTTGGGATTACTTGGTAATTTATGGAGATGGAACATTTTTCGCATCCAAAGGAATCTCCAGACTTTAAATTCATCGGGTTGATAACAAAATCATGCCGAAGGAACAGGTTAAAGCAGAGACCATGAAGCATGAAGTGCCAGAAAAGTCACCGAATCAAAAGAATGATATGTTGAAGATACGACAGAAACTTGGATCGTACAAAGAAATTATCGAAAAGACTAATGCTTATAAAGAATGTATTGATAAAATACCGTCTGTGAAAACATTAAGGTGTTTAGCATTGGGATCTCCTTCAGATAGCAACATTGCCATGTATCAATTGGCTTTCCTAGTACTATTGCAAGAAAAATTCAAATTTGAGGTCAGTGCTTATGATCCTATATTCAATGATAATGATAATGAATTATTTAGCTACCTAAAAATCACTGTAGAAGAAGACTTTGAAGCTGAGATGGAAACTACATTATACTATTTACCCCATGCACCTCTAGATTTAACAGAAACTATCATTAAGACCGAAATCAAATACATGTTAGGTAACAATATAGCCAAACATACTGAGAGATTAACCAAAAGTAAGTTACACCAACAATACCCTACATTGTCACATCTTGTCAACTTAACTACTCAGGAAACTAAAGATGAATTTATCACTGTCTCAAGAAGAAAAAAATATGTTCCACCCAAAATTGAATATGATTATTCCACCACATACTTTAAATCGCTTCAGTTAACTGAATTTGACAATGATGGGCCGTTGAATTGTTTTTCCGACATGACGTTACACGTAATAGAATAATTTTTGCGTAACACGATATCATATGAAATAGAGTAGGTTGAAGATACCGCATGATAATACAATTATATTACATATTTACATTACTCTAACCTCTGTTTTTTTAACACTTGATCTTCACCCAAAAATTCGTTATTTATACCCACAGCATTGACTGGTTCATTCCCCAATAAGTGTTTGGATAAAATCGAATACAAATCATCTTTTGTAAAAGGTTTTGCCAAAATATCACTCATCCCATTTTGAAGATAAGTCACTAAATCATTTTCTTCAATATTACCTGTCATGGCAATGATAGGAGTTTTCGTGTCAAAAGATCTGATGACACTAGTGGCAGTAGCACCATCCAAATTTGGCATAACTATATCCATTAAAACCAAATCATACTTATGATTTTCAACTGTTGAAATAGCATTTAATCCATCAGTGACTACTGTAACCTGACATCCATATTTAACCAAGAATTTCCTACATAATTGTATGCAAACATTATCATCTTCAACTAACAAAACATGGAATTTAGGATTAGGAATATTAGTAGACAAAACAGATCCATTAGCAGTTAAATCATGAACACTATTACGTGGAGATTCTAAAGGTGATTGATCATTAGAATTTGGAGTGCCAGTTGCAAATGTAGGATTGGCAGATGATTGATTTGCAGGTATAGGTGTGGTACCTGAAGGTTGAGGAACAGGTTGTGAAGTTGATGGAGGAGGAATTTGTGGGGATTGAGTTATGATGGGAGTGAAATTTGATGAATATTGACGTTTATGTTCTCTTGTAGGTTGAGACGTAGGAGGGTGAACCTCAACAGGTTGGGATTGTTGTATTGGTTGTTTGATCATATCTTCATTAGGATTAGGGAAATCCAAATGAGGGAGTTTCATACCTCCTTGTCTTAAAGTATTAAGTAAAATAGTAATAGAATTATAATATCTCTCATTTAATGATTTCACCACCACCAAATTATCAACGATGGATTTATTTTTCAGTTTTAAAATATTAATTTCTTGATTTATCCTTGAATTCTCTTTTTTCAAATATTCAAAATTGTCCAGTAAAATCTTATAGTTAGTAACTAATTCTGGGTTTGCACCCCCAACAGAACTATCAGCACTTGAAGGAGGTTTCTTTGGATTAGGACCTTTCCTTTTAATATTATCTAAAGCATTTCTATCATTTATCCTGAATTCAGGATGTTTAAATTCCCAAGCATCATCTCCATATTCATAACTTTTCTTTGCATCATTACTTATTTTAACCTTATGAAAATCATATTTATTCAATTGTCTTACAAAACTTGCAAAATTTGAATGTTTGAAATGCCTTGGTAGTATATCTTTTGTAAATTCGTTAGTATCAATCACTACAAAGGAATCTCCATTTTTTGTCCATCGAACTATATTTTTATAATTATCTTGTTGTAGCATTTGAAATAACTTCTTTACGAAATCATTACTACCACTTTGATTAGAACTTGCATTAGTATGTAAATGATCTAATTGGTCTTCATTCATTTTTTTGGGATTGCGGACTTATCTATTGTTTCACGATTTTTTGAAAAAGATAACCGGTGAAATATTTAAATCAAATTATTCTTTACTTTTTGAATATACCGAGAGTTTCCTTAATTGTATAATAAAATTATCAAACTAATTAGTCAAGTAATTTCAATATAATGTTCGTCCAGTTGCCAATAGTAATTTAAACTTCGCACATCGCACTGTTAACAGAGTTTATATTTAGATCGCAGGGTCTGTGCCTTGGGTTAACAGTATTAAATATTTTCCATGTACGTAACTCCAAACTTTTATGGAGTTTATTTATTAAAATCAACGGTTAAAAATGCTTATTACATTGGATCAACTCCTGATCCTCAAAGAAGATTAAGACAACACAATGGGGAGATAAGTAGTGGAGCATTTAGAACTAAGAGAAAAGGCTATAGGCCTTGGGAAATGGTAATCATTATTTATGGATTTCCTTCAAAAGTTCAAGCTTTACAATTTGAACACGCATGGCAGCATGCTTACCAAAGTCGTCATATAGATGGATTAGGTAATAAAACTAACCATAGCATTCATTATAGATTAGGAAATTTAAGAAAATTATTATCTTCGGATTATTTCAAACGGTTAATTTTAGAAGTAAATATTTTTAATCGTGAAATAGAGAAAATTTGGGATGTTAACAAATTTGGGTGTTGTCATTACCAAATCTCAACAATTTCATGGCATGATTTTATCCCTCTGTTAACTAATGATGAACAGTTTGATATAATTAAACGAGAGTTTTTAAGAATTGTTAAATGTAAGAAATGTGATAAAGATATTGATATGGTAAATAATCCTCAATTAGTTACCAAATGTGTACATTTCTATCATTTAAAATGTTTATGTAATGATTTTCTACCGTCAACAATAACCGTAGATGATCAATCTTATCATTGGCGAGATTTGATTAAAATTTCCACTAAATTACGTAATTATTTTAACCAATAGCTATTTATAATTCATCATGAATAAGTTCGTGAATGTGTTGGTTTTCAAATTTGAAGGTGTAATTACCATTTAAGGAAATTTTGACGTTGAAGGTTTTGATATCTTTACCAACAACAATCACTTTATTGATGTATTTGGCGTTCCATGAGTTTTCAACGACAAAGTTGATTCTGGATTCATTTGCTTCAACATGAACTTTGAGGAATTGTCCGTTTTGGTAATTGAACGATTCCCCATCGTCAGCGTATAAATCTCCGTCAGCCTTGTTATTTTCGTCAAGAAATACGGTAATGGTGTAAGGGTCATTGACCATTAATTTACTAGAACGTCTATATCTCGGTTGAGTAAATATTATATGTCCTCCTTTAACAAACATTGGAATATCATTCAAAGTAACGGGTATGGAAATGGTTTCATCACCTTTGTAAGTGACAGTAGAAGGTATTCCGTTAACGAAATTATAATATTTTCCCGATTCTGGAAGTATGATTTTCTGTTCTTTAACATCCGGTTCAGTTACTGGTTTAACTAAAATACCCGAGTTTCCGATATAAAACTCATCTTCAATGTCGAAATGTTTCCCTGTATCGTAAAAAATTGGTTTCAACACTGGTGCTCCATTAATAGACGATTCATAGAAGGATGTGTAGAATACTGGCAATAATGCATATCTTAATTTGATGGCATCTCTTATGTAAGAAGTAAAGGGATCTCCAGGAATCCATGGTTCACGACGACGTGAATCAATATGGGCATGAGCTCTAAAGAATGGGTAGAATATACCTGTTTGGTACCATCTAGTTAATAATTCTTTAGATGGATCACCAAAGAATCCCCCCACATCAGCCCCAGCAAATGGCATACCAGCCAATCCATTATTCAAAACCATGGGAATCGAGATTTTCAAGTATTCCCATTTACTCATATTATCCCCTGTCCACATAGCAGCGGTCTTTTGACTACCGGAGAAGTAAGAACGAGTTAAAATGAACGGTCTTTGCCTTGTGGTTTCTTGTTGACGTTTGATTAAGGAATCATATGTGATTTCATGGAATTTCATTCCATTAATATTATGGACTGATCTATCTTCCCATCCCCCATAATGTAAATTATCTTTAGGACTTGAGGTTTCGGGTCCATCAAAAACAGAGATTTCATTCATATCATTCCAAATGTGAACATTGCTTGAATTACCCATGAATCCCGATGATGTATGTAAACTATCCCAATATTGTTGGACCTTGGGGTTCAATGAGTCCACCCAAACTGATTCTCCTGGCCAACAATGTCCGTAATATGTGGAATTCTGGGAGTTCATTATCGTTAATTTATTTTCTACCAAATAATTAGACACATCATAATCCTTTTTAATATGTGGATCAATAATGACAACCAAATTTCTACCAGTATGATCTAAAGCTTGAAGCATTCTCGTAGGATTAGGGAAATTCTCATTCCAAGTAAAATACTTCTTATTATCAGTATACTCAATATCCAACCAGATGGTATCGTAGGGAATTTCATATTCATCGAATTTTTCGGTTATATCCAAAACGTCAGCTTCGTCATTGTAATTCCATCTACATTGATGATAACCTAATGAGAACAACGGAGGTAAGACAGTAAAGCCAGTGATATCACCATACTTCTTTTGGATATCACGATTTGAGTCTTTAGTAAATACTATGAAATCCATAACCCCATTTTCACTAATCCAGTGTGTGGAAGTGTCTTGATTTGAATGTTTCACATCTACGTAAGTGTCAGCCGCATTGATCCAAAACAACCCCATAGATGATTGTTCGTTCATTGCAAGAAGAAAAGGGATAGACCCATACATAGGCAAGGTAGAATTGATTTCATATTCGAAGATATCCACATTGAATAAACGATATAATTTATCACCCAATTCTAAACTATCACTATGTTCAGGTAATCCGTATAAATGTTGATACCCCTTGAATTTGAAGTCCAAAGCAATAGATTCTGGACCCAATGGAAGTTTATCATCCCTAGAATCTTTAAAATCATCTTGAAACATATTAAAGTCTGACTCTGGAGTATTCATTTGTCCTTCATTATTCAACCTATAATGTTCAAAGTTTAATAGATTATCGTCATTTATTTGCATTGTGAGTTTCTTATCATCATAGACTTCTATCTTGAACTTAGGATAAACTTTAATCACTGTTGAGTTGTATGAAATATGTAAAATATCTGATTTTTCAATTGAAACTTGATCTCTGGAAACATACTCAATATTGAATTCGTTTGCTGGACTGAATCTTTTCAGGTTAACTATACCTTTCACGTGTCTTTCTTCATCGACAGTGAATCTGAAACCTCCATTAACAATACCCAACTGCCAATTCAAAGAGATTTCACCTTGAGGTATGGATTTGATTAAATTTCCAGATATATAGGCTTTTGTTTCGTCAATATTGAAAGAATCAATTGTATAGTAATTTTCCTCAATATTATGTGCATAATGAATATTTCTTTTACAAAACCCCGACTGTTCACAAGTCTTGAATAAATAATGTTTAGCTCCTAGAACCAAGTGATTTTGTAGAAATAAAATGAATATCAAACCAACCCATTTCATTATAAAATACTCAGAATCTTGAGTGCGGAAAAAAATTTATCGACAACATGAAAAGAGTTTATGATGAATTAAGTGAAGATGGACCCATAACTCAAGAAGATGTTAAGTATTTTAAGAAACAGGCCATTTGGAGACAAATGAAATTTTACAAACAAAAGTACCAAGTCTCTGAAAAATTATTAAAGTATAAGGAAAATGGTGAGAAGTCTGATAATGCTGGTAATGATGACGATATAGATAAATTGAAATTTGAAAATGATAAATTGATCAAAGAAATCGAAGAATTAAATATCTTATTAAAACAGCAAGACAGAGAAACTAGTGATAGCGTCAAAAGAATCAATCAAGCCCAAGTTAAAGAAGAAGTTAAAACTGAAGTTATAGAAAGTAAACCTGATGATAATAAAGTTAAAGCATTAGAAGAAGTAATTAAGAGTTATGAAGAAAAATTAAAGAGTAATGAAGTGAAAATAGAAGAAAAAGTGGTTGATGTGGTTAAAGTTGAAATTATCAAAGATTTCAATATGAAAACACCAGAAGATTTAGATAAATATCTTGATAATAAGAGAGTTAATTTTGAAGAATTGATAAATAATAAGTTAAAAAGTGAAAATGATGAATTAAAACAACTTTTATCCAAAAATGAAAAAGATTTGGTCAGAATAAGAAACATAAGAGATGATTTGATTGGTAAGATTAATCAATATGAATCAGCAAAGACCAATGAAGAATTAATTAAATTGAACGAAGAATTAAATAGTAAACTAGATTTCCAAAACAATTTGAAAGATAAAGAAAATGAAGATATCATCAAAGAATTAGAAGAAAGTTATAAGAACTTAATCAGTAGCATTAATGTTAAAATCATGAATAAACTAGATCAAGATAATTTAGTAAAGAAATATCAAATCGAAAAAAGCAAAGCTGATCAAAAGTATTTCCAAATAATGAAAACCAAAGATACTTTAACTAATGAAAACAAACTTTTGAAATTGAATCTTAACAAATTGAATGATATTATAAGTGAAAAGCTGAACATTGAAACCAGCCTTAATGCCAAAATCAATAAGTTACAAGATATTATCAAAGACTTTGAAAAAGTCATTGCTAATTTGAATATCAAAAATAATCAACTTATTGAAAAAGAACAATTTAAAGGTAAAGAGATGAATAAATTAGTGTCAAAAATTGATAGTTTAGTTGAAGAGATCAACAACTTGAAGAGAAAAGAAGGTGATTTCAAGAAACAATTGAACTTGAAAGATTTAGAATTTATCAAATTCAAACATGGATTAACCAGTTCAAGTCCAGTTGATAATAATGAAGAGTTAAATGGTTTCAGATCAATGGTGAAATGTTCAGTGTGTAGTAAAAATTGGAAGAATATGGCTATAACTGTGTGTGGACATGTATTCTGTAATGAATGTGTTAAAGAGAGATTGAATGCTAGATTGAGAAGATGTCCAAGTTGTAATAAAGGTTTCAGTGCTAATGATTTACTAAGTATTCATTTATAATCATGAAGTCTTCCTTGTATAAATTGTATTTTATTGTAATATATAGACTTGCAAATATTTCGTACACTGTAAAGGTATTAGTGCCCTGAGGTTTACTTTAGTACCCCTTCTTGACATCAGTACCGCAAAGAAGAAACTCTTCCGGGTAATCCAGCTGAGATGTTCTAGAAATGTCCGGGTAAGCTTGCGCCGCAACACCCAGTGCACGTAACTGCACGACATTGCGACATATGACTAACCCGGATTGTATTTCATTATTATCATGAAAAATTTTCAATAGGTATGGATGATGGTCATATTACGTGTTTTCAAGTATAGAGGTATTTGAGCATGTTTTAAGATGCAATATCTTTGTGATAACGCGTGAAAATTTTCAAATAAGAGTGATTTTAAACCAGTGGCAAAAGATTCTCTATCGTTAAATTTGAGGATGCTCGATTAAGGTCATCCCTTTAGATGTATCCATATCTCTTTCATACCTTCATATAATATAGCTTGGCCAACATGTATACTGTGAAATCATTACACTTCTGTCCAGGTGTTCATAAAATAGTCGCTTTCCACAAGATTTCTCTCCACCCCTTAATTAGTTCAGGTGAAAAATTATCAACCCAAAAGTTAGGGGTAATTTAATTGAATCAACTTCTAATATAACCCTCCACACCTTAAAATATTCTCCCCATAGTCATCCATAGTTCTATACCCCATTTTCAAGTGAATATAATCGATAAGTTATCTATCACAATGTGATAAGTAACAAAAACGAAAAAATTCATCCAGCGTAAAATGTCTCAAATGCTGGTGAATGAAAAATTATTTAAATAATTCGATTTCCTCATTTTTCAACATTTTGGATTGCAAAAAAAAAGTTGATTGCGTAATCACATATAAATTTTTTTTTTTAATTTTATTGTTAAAAATCAAAGGTTATATTGGGATTAACATTAAAAGATGAGTGAATTTCAACAACATCCTTTAAGTCCACCAATTCCATCACCTTCACCAAAGAATGATAAATTTTTATCGCAAGATATTGATCCTCAATTGAATGATTTTAATGATAACGATAACGAGCATAAAAAAGATGAAATAAAGGAAGAACCTTCACAAACTAATCAAGATGCCCAACCTGGAGTTGCGGTTCCAGGAGGTCCTTTACCTACTGTACCTGCTCCAACACCTCCTCAAGAACCTGACATGAATAATTTACCATCAGATCCAATTCCAAAACATCAACAGAAATTTGCTTTGAATATTATTAAAAATGTCAAAAGATTAAAAGATGCTTCACCATTCTTGAAACCTGTTGATATTGTCAAATTAAATATTCCATTTTACTATAATTATATTCCAAGACCAATGGATTTATCAACTATTGAAAGGAAGTTGAATTTGAATGCTTATAGTGAAAAAGAAGAATTAATTGAAGATTTCAATTTAATGGTTGCAAATTGTGTGAAGTTTAATGGTGATAATTCTTCAATCTCAAAAATGGCTAAAAATATTCAAACCTATTTTGAAAAACATATAATGAATTTCCCTCCTGATGATATTTCTTTATATGAAACCGCTAAAAGATCATCCAAATCTCCATCCCATGTTGATTTACAAGATCCAAATTCAATTGCTTCCTCAAGACCAAAAAGAGCCAGTCATCCACCAAAATCAAAAGAATTACCTTACGATAATAGACCAAGGAAGAAGAAGTTTGCTGCTGAATTAAGATTTTGTAATAATCTTTTAAAAGAATTAATGAGTAAGAAACATTTCAGTTATAATTTCCCATTTTTGCAACCGGTTGATCCTGTAGCTTTAAATATTCCAAATTACCATGAAATTGTTACTCAACCAATGGATTTATCAACAGTTCAATCAAAAATTTCCAATAATCAATATGAAAATGGTGATGAATTTGCAGCCGATGTGAATTTGATTTTTGAAAATTGTTATAAATTCAACCCTGAAGGAACTGATGTTAACATGATGGGTCATAAATTACAAGATATTTTCCAAAAGAAATGGGTTAATAGACCAATTCCTAAAGAAGTTGAAGATGATAGTGATTCAGAATTTGATTCAGATTTAGATAATTCAGATATCGATGAACAAAATTTAAGTAACGTTCCAGCTATCAAATTCTTAGAAGATCAAATTATCAGAATGACTCAAGATTTGAAGAAGTTAAAACAAGATCATTTAACTAAATTGAAACAAGCTAGAGAAAATAGAAGAGCTAAATCTCAACATAAGAAGAGAAGAAAGGGATCTATAAAGAATGGTTCTAAACCTAAAAAGATCAAAATAGCACCAACAATTCATGTTACATACGAAATGAAAAAGAAAGTGTCTGATACCGTACCAACCTTGAGTGACAAAAAATTAAATCAATTCATTGAAATTGTCAAACAAAACCTTGATGTCGTTCCTGATGATGAAGAATTAGAGCTAGACATGGACTCAATGGATGATAAGACTATTTGGAAATTATATAATTTCTTATTCCCCATTGATGAAGGTTTTGATAAAGTCAAGAAATTAAAAGATCAATTAAGTTTATTTGACAGTAAAGTGGAGAGTAGCGATGAAGATGATTTGAGTAGTGAAAGTTCTGAAGAAGAATAATCATTTAAGTAATTAAATGTAAATAAGATATCAGTTACTTAATGTGTATTATTAATGTATATTATAGAGCCATCCTATATCTAAAAAAACTCCTGGTAATCCATTTTAGGCCATTTCTATTAAACTCCCAATTTATCCATCATGGCTAAAATATCTTCTTCCTCTTTATCTTCCTTCTCTTCTGCCTTAGGTTCAACTTCAGTAGAAGCAATCCAAGCAACTACTTTTTCAACATATACTTTGGAATTTGGAACAAAATGTCCACCTGGATGTTTAAGAATATCACCTCCAAGAACATCTACCAATGATAAAGCTCTGGATTCATCTATAACTGTATCCAATTCTCCAATTACATGTAAGATCTTACCATTAGGTTTTGAGGGATAATATTGTTTCAAATCTTCATTTCCTGAGTTTTTAGAGGTATCGAGTTTGAATCCAGAATAAAGGATAGAAAACTTCAAAGTGTGGCCGAATAGTTCTTCGAACTTATTATGAATTAATCCACCTAATGCTGCACCTTGGGAGAACCCTATCACTCCTACAATATCTTGTTTAGTGGTTTCCTTTCCCTCTGCGTTTTCTTCATCGACATATTTCTTTACAGTATCTATGGCTTCAGTGATATCAATACCAGCGTTGGTTTGACCAGGTTTAATCCACCAAGCTCTGAAATCATCATCACCACTTTGAAATTTTCCAAAATCTTCTCCTGGGAAATCTGCAGGAGTTAAAAGTAAAGGTCCATTCAAATAAACTGGTTCATAGCCCGACTTGATTAATTTCTTTCTTAACGCAGAAGTCTTTGCATAGAATGTTTGGGAGTTCTGTGTATACCCATGAATAAATAATATTCTTCCCTTCATCAGTAAATTTTTCGCTGGTTGTGAGAGTTTCTTATCAGAGACTTACAGATCTATGTCTAAGCAAATTTTTCTAAATCTAAAATATCTCTAAGAACGATGATTTTATCTTCACCATAAAATTCATCGAAATCTTCTTTGGCTTTAATTTTTTCATACTCCTCATCAATTTCAATGTAATGGTAAACTTTACCCCAACCTAATTTGAAAGCAGCCTTAACATTTATTTCACTATCATCGATGAATGAGATCTTCTTAGCATCTTTGCTTCCAGTGATGTTGACAACGTTGTCAAAAAATGGTAACATAGGTTTACAAATAATTGGAGATTGTGAGTAATCACAATATGTCAAACCATCGAATAAATCACCGATTCCGAGGAACAGAACCACTCTGAGAGCATGGTTTTTATAAGCATTGGTTAATAACCAAAAAGTATCATATTTTCCTGACTTCTTGATGTTAATCAACATATTACGTAACTTTTCGTCGTAACTTAACACGGAATTTAAATCTAATGCATCATCTACTACTGAATTATATTCTAAAGCATCTACTTTATGATTTCTAACGAGCCCTTCTAAAGCTAACCCGTAAGTCTTATAATAGTTCATATGTAAAGAATGGGCATCTTCGTCATTTAAATTTAAGGTTTTGGTAAAATAATCATGGATTTTCACTTGCATCATATCGTGAATCTTAGTTGACCTTTTGTACAAACAATTATCGATATCAAAGAAGAAGATTCTTGGTGATTTCAAGTCAACAGGTCCAAACCCGAGTGGTAAGCTAACAGTTGAACCCGGATGGGGAGTGGTGATTTCTGGGTTGGTGTAAGTAATTAATTTGGACATGGTGCTAATTAATTTCCTTTGATGAATCATACCTACCACGATCCGCATATTCGCGGGTAGAGATAAGATCATGTGACACAAGACCCGTTTTACGTCAATGAGCTTGGTCAGTTTAAATGGGGGAAAGAGGGGCATAAGATGTTCATTATTCATTAATAATCGTAACTAGTAGTGGGATCTTGGTACTGTTTGAATTTGATTTCATAATAATTCAAATATAAATAATCTTCATGTAACATTTTAAGAAGATCTTGTTTGGTTTCGTTAGATTTATCACCAAATGTCACTCTACTCATGAGTTCTTGGTACTTCTTCTTCAACTTGAAGATGTCATTAGTGTTTATATCCTTGTGGGTGAGAACGAAGGGTAATAATCTGAGATCCATATGTGTTTTATGTACAGTTTCAAGTGAAGGTTTCAATGTAAAGAAATCTCTTAAATCTGTGACGTCTATGAAATAAATGATGGAAATTTTGGTCTCAGGACTTGGGTGGAGGTTCAATATATTCAAAATATGGTACCATAACTCATATTTGATATGTTTGAGGTCAGATCGTGGATTATCAGATTCATTGGTCTCGTAATAATACTTTAACTTCCAACTATTGACCACATCACCGATATTTTTAGGGCATTTAGCATAAATTTGAGTAAAGAATTTGGAGAATTCCACTAAAAGTTCATGACAGTACCGATTAAGATTATAATCACATAAAGTCCAACAAAATATATCATATAACCCATCATCCACAGGTCCATATTGTAATTTATCTAGAATGAAGATCGTAGTTCGGAGTATATTCACTTCACTAGTAGAATTATAGTGGTTGTACTTCAAAACTGGTTGGAAACCTTTGATCATTCCTATATCGAAGGTTTCACCAATAGGTACAAAAGTTTTAGTCTTCCGTCTTCTAATATGATTTTTGAGCACCGCACCATCAAGAGAACTCCACCATTGTTCAGAAGATGAATTCTGTTCTGGTGGTTCGAGTTTCAAATCTCTATAAACAAATAGAAACCGAGGAGCTCCATGTTTCAAGATATTTTCAACTTCTTCATCAGATTCTTTGAACTCTTTGTGGGCACCATTATTATTCAATTCTTCTAAAGTCACCATAGCCCTTGTATCAACCACTGGAGTTGCTTGCTTCTCCAAGGCATGTTGGATCAATTGATCGTTTATCTTACGTGTATCTTTTAAATACCCAGTATCTATCAAATCCATCTCATCTTCAGAAATCAGACTTCTCCTTCTCTTTACCAACCTTTTGGCCCCCTGATAACCACCCTTCATTGTCTTAGATGGTGGTAATAGGTCATCTGAATCAGAACCACTATCTGCATTTGACATCCGTTGTTACTTTCCAAATATTAAACTGCCATATGTTCGCGGGGCCATCGCCAACTCCTGAAACCAAATTGGGTAAAGAAAGGTTATTGAATCTCATCATTTTTACTCAAAGAAAAGAAGATGTCACAATTAGATTTAGATAAATTATTCGCTAAGATCGAAGAATTAAAACCCAAATTCATTGAAAGATTAACTGACGCTGTTGCTATTAAATCAGTTTCAGGGGATGAAAGTTTAAGACCAGAAGTGGTTAAGATGTCGGACTTTTTGGTTAAAGAATTAACTACTTTAGGTTTCAAAGACATCGTTCAAAAACCTTTAGGTACCCAACCACCACCAGTCGTTAATCCTGACATTCAATTACCACCAGTTGTTTTAGCTAGATCAGGTTCTGATCCTTCTAAAAAGACTGTATTAATTTATGGACATTATGATGTTCAACCTGCTTCAATTGAAGATGGTTGGAACACTGATCCTTTTGTTTTAACTCACGATAAAGTTAAAGATATCTTATATGGAAGAGGTTCAACTGATGATAAAGGTCCAGTTATGGGTTGGTTGAATGTTGTTGAAGCTCATAATGAATTAGGTTTAGAATTACCAGTTAACCTTGTTTGTTGTTTTGAAGGTATGGAAGAAAGTGGTTCATTAGGTTTAGATGATTTAATTGCCAAAGAAGCTTCTGATTACTTCAAAGGTGTTGATACTGTTTGTATTTCAGATAACTATTGGTTAGGTACTAAAAAACCAGTCTTGACTTATGGTTTAAGAGGAGTTCATTATTATGAAATTGCTATCAAAGGACCAGGTGCTGATTTACATTCAGGTGTTTTTGGTGGTATGATTGGTGAACCAATGACTGATTTAATTAAAATTATGTCCTCATTAGTTGATTCTCAAGGTAAAATCTTAATCAAAGGTATCGCTGATATGGTTGCTCCCTTAACTCCAGAAGAAGATAAATTATATGATACCATTGACTTCTCTATTGATGAATTAAATGCTGCCACTGGTTCCAAAACTTCTTTACATGATAACAAAAAAGATGCTTTGAAACATAGATGGAGATATCCTTCATTATCATTACATGGTGTTGAAGGTGCTTTCTCAGGTGTTGGTGCTAAAACCGTTATCCCAGCCAAAGTTATTGGTAAATTCTCAATCAGAACTGTTCCAAATATTGAACCAGCTAAATTAGACAAAATTGTTATTGATCATTGTAATGAAGTTTTCAAATCATTAAACTCAGTCAACAGTATTGATGCTCATTTATTACATGATGGTAACTATTGGGTATCTGATCCTTACAATGATTCATTTGCTTCAGCTGCTAAAGCCACCAAACACGTTTGGGGAGTTGAACCTGATTATACCAGAGAAGGTGGCTCCATCCCAATCACTTTAACTTTTGAAAATGAATTAAAAACCGGTGTTTTATTATTACCAATGGGTAGAGGTGATGATGGTGCTCACTCAATCAATGAAAAATTAGACATGTCTAATTATATTAATGGTTGTAAGACTTTAGGTGCTTATTTACATTATTACTCTAAAGTTTAGTAAATCTGGTGAATGTATTTATTGAAGACTTTGGGTATTCAAAACCTCTATTCTCTTGCCTCTTTTTGGTGGGTATTATTTTGCAGCATTTTTTGCATCCGAATCGAGACAATCGCGATATCTATGCTTCATACAAACAGTAAGATATACTGTCCTTGTACGGTTCATTCGTCTGAATATGGCGATGTACTTCGACAGGATTTTCATCAGCATAATATCAATGATACTTATTTCTGCCCATCTTGTCAATTAGTGAAATGTAAGTATTGTGTACAATCAACTGTGGTAAAGAAATACTGTATAAATTGTATGACAGATTATACCAATTCTAATGAAACTCATTGTGTTAAAAATTGTTTCAGCTGTCCTGAATGTGAATCAATGTTATCAATCAGGGTCAAGGATGATATGGTTGAAGATAGAAAGGGGAAGAAATTCTGTTTTACTTGTACATTTTGTGATTATTCATATAACTCCGAAGTCATACTTAAACCTAAATCTGTTTGGAATATAGTGAAAGATGAGCATACTAAACTGGTTAAGGATGTGATATCGTTCAATAAGGCAAAAAGTTATTATACGAACCTACTTAACCTTGAAACATTAACAGACCAGACAGTGAGAGACTTGAAATTGGGGAAAGAGGTCTCTAGTCCCAAAAGTTTGGAACATTTGAAAACATATAATTTGAACATAGACAATGCTGACGACACAGATAAGCTAAAATACCTCATAGATCATATGGAGTTTGAAAAAGATGAATATCAGAACGAGCCTCATCAGAATAGTGGTGTTAGTATACTTCAAAATCCATTTCCTGTTCCCAGAAAGCTTATTACTCGAGAAACCATGAAATGTTGTGATTGTAGTCAGGTACTACAATTACCCAATGAAGAGATGATTTCTACCAAATTCATCTGTAAATTTACCGCATCTGATTATATTCCTACCATAAACATCTCACCCATGATAAATCATTCCTGGCCAACTTGGCAGAAGGGAAACTTTACTTTATTAGTGAACATTATAAACCCTTTAAGATCATCGGTTACAGTTACGCTTTCGTCACCTTCTAGTGTTACCACAGGCAACGGTACCATTAACACTACAATTCCCGTTTCAGAGATCACAATAGGGCCATATAATGATAAGGACCATCCTATAAGGTCTATTCCAACACCATTCTTAACGAAGAGTACGAAACTCTCACGAGCTGAAATCGTCATGAGGACAGGAAGAATTGGGGCTCAATCAACTAATCAGATTGAAAGCTTGATAGAGAAAAGCGATAATTGGGGTTGCTTACCAATTGAATTGACTTTGGAAGATACTTGTGATATCAGAATACCCATCCACGTATCAGTGAAGACTAAATTACCTGATGCCATAAAATCATTGAAACTTTCAAGACCAGAATTATTATTTGGATTTTGGACTGTAATAGAATTGCCCTGTAATAGAGATTAAACACGCATACAAAAACATGTAAATAGACTTACTTAGGAGATGTTCAATGATAGAATATACATTAATGAGATCTGGACTCCTTTGGATCAATTTGAAAGATCTTGTCGGGGTTTAAAATTCTTGAAGGATCCAAATGTAATTTGATGTTTCTCATCAAATCAACGGCATCACCACCAACTTCTTCGAGTAAAAATTGTCTCTTACCTAACCCAACACCATGTTCCCCAGTACAGGTACCTTCATAAGCAATGGCTCTTCTGACCATATTATCAACTACTTTTTCCGCAAGCTTATACTGATCAGGTTTATAAAGAATGAAACTATGGGCATTACCATCACCAATATGAGCTACTAATGTATTTTCTAATCCATTATTTGCTATATCTTCTTTAGTCTCTTCGAGGAATTGTGGTAATTTGGAGATAGGAACAGCAGCATCAGTAGTCCATAACTTTATTGACGGATCAGTAACTCTTCCTTGATTAATGGTAGACCATAGGGCGACTTTACGTGCAGACCAAAGTTCTTCAGTTTCCTCATCATTTCTTGCAAATTGGAAGTCAATGGAATTATGTTGGGAACTCAAGGTTTTCACTTGATCAACAGTTGATTGGACAACTTTATCATTCAGCCCACCTATTTTTAAGAACAAAGTTGGAGCTTCTGTCCATTTTCTTGAAGTTTCACCTGAAGCATTGATACAACTCATCATTTTATCATCAAGTAATTCGATGGCATTTAATTGCATACCATTTAATAAGTAACTATTTACAGAATTTGCAGCATCTTGAATTGATTTGAAAGGTACCACAGCAACTCTTTCAATTTTAGGTTTCACATAAAGTTTCAAAGTGGCTTCAGTAATAATACCAAGAGTACCTTCACTTCCAATAAACAAACTATTCAAATTATAACCAGCACTTGATTTTCTAGGTCTGTTCTTGGTTTTGATGATAGTACCGTCAGCTAAAACCACAGTCAAACTAAGAACATTCTTATAACATTCCCCGTATCTGGAAGCATTAGTTCCGGATGCATTATTAGCACAGATACCTCCAATGGAAGCTCCTGGACCGGGGTCAATAGGGAAAAGAAGATTATACTCACTCAAATAATCGGCTAAAGTTTCCCAACCCAAACCAGCTTGAACCTTAATATCCAAATCTTGTTGATTTAATTCAATTACTTCATCCATTAATGAAATATCGATACAAACACCACGTCTTGTATTGATGAAATGACCTTCAAGTGAAGATTTTCCTGTTATTGGAACCACGGGAACTTTATACTTATTACAAATTTTCAACACTTCACTGACTTCTTCCGTCAGACGAGGGTAAATGACATATTGAGGTTCTTCATTGGGTTCAGGATGATAAGAATTGAAGTAAGTATCTGAATGGGAATCTTTATCTTCTTGAGAACTGTTGATGATGAGACTTTCGTCATAATCTGGGGTATTCTTACGGAAAACTTTCTTTACTGCTTCAATTGCTTGGGCTAACTGTTCTTTATTGGCATACTCTGGAGAAGTAACTTGGTCAATTGGTAAAGTTGATTTAGTGGATTGTTGTACCTCACTCAGATATAAATAACCACCAACAATAGAACCAGCAGTGAAAATTAATGATTTGATTAAGATGTCAGTGTTAGGAGGTTTAGGTTGGGCTCCCGAATAAAACCTAGACTTCAAAAGTGTTGTTGGTTTCAATGGACCAAGTCTTCTAACAAGTCTGAACATCGATGTTATCAAAGATTTAGTCTGCGAAATTCAATATATCAATAATTGCGGAATTTATATACAATGTCCCAATTGATGCTGCATTCAAAGATGCGATTTACTTTCGGGATCTGATGGCGATTTAGCAGCGAAAAAGTATCAAAACCTATTTTTACTATAGGAAATAAATGTCACGTGAGTGTATCTGTTAAATTCTTACATACATTATTGTTTCTACTTACATGAATTATTTACAAGTGGGATTTATCTGCAGGTCAGATTGGTTTAATCATTTGATTCTTGGAACTTCCCCAAGATTTTGTCTTCAATATCCCTTCTCCTTTGTCTTCTTTCCTTATTTTCAGCAAAATGGTGGTAAACCATACATCCAGCAATTACACCGAAAAATGGAACGAAGAATCTTCCTCCTCTATAACCACTTCTCCAGTAATGTGCATTATAGTGATGGGGATAGCCTCTCATACCATGGTAACCACCAAATTTACGGCCATGTCTTTGTATATCATGATACTTTTCCAAATCTCTGAAAAAACTTTTGGATAATTCATCATAAGCTTTTTTATATTCTTCGTGTTGCATTTTAACTATGTGGTTGTGGTTTAAATAATTGACTGATTCAATGTTTTAGTGATACCAGTTATAAGGGATTGTGTCAATTTAAATAGACTTTTTCGAACGAAATACGTGAAAACCTGACATCCTCCTTCGCTCGGTGATACATCCAAAATAGGTAATGAGGATGATCTAAAATCCGATTATGTGTATTTACGGAACTGAACAAACAGCTACGGTACTAGACGATCCGAACTACATTGACAGAACTAAAACAACCGAAATGAAATGTGTAATTATATATTAAAAACTAATTATTATCACCGTTATTTCCTTGGTTGTTCATAAATTGATTGGCCATGTTTTTCAACATTGGATTGTTCATTAATTCTGACATATCTGGCATTTGACCATTTTCACCACCTAAACCCATATTTTGAGCCATATTTTTTAACATTGGATTATTCATTAATCCTTGTAAAGCTTCAGGGTTTTGCATCATTTGTTGAGCAGCTTGCATAATTTGAGGATTATTCATCATACTGGCTAAATCTGGCATTCCACCACCACCAAACATTGATGAGAAATCTGGTAAACCTCCAGCACCTGCACCTGAACCTGCATTTGCACTAGTACCTTCAGTGGATTTTTCAGAAGTGGCAACATCAGATTTTGGAATAGATTTTTCTAATTCTTCTTCATATCTTTTCTTAGCGGTTTCATAACCTCTAGCCATAGCATCGGATCTTTTATCACCTTCAATATCTAAACCTTTTTTATAAGCTTCCATGGCAGATTTAGCATCACCTAAAGCATATTTAGCTAATCCTAATCTGGAATAAGATTTTGAAAAGCTTGAATCCAATTTAATAGCTGATTCAGCATCAACAATAGCTTTATCATGTTGACCATTGGATGAGAAAGCAGCAGCTCTGTTAGATAAATAAACCACATTTTGAGGATTTAATTCAATGGCTTTAGTATATTTATCAATAGCAGTGGCAAAATCTCTAGCTGCCATAGCTCTATTACCTTCTAATTTAAATTCATCAGCTTTGACTTTATCTGATTCGTCAACAGTAACTGATTCGGCTTTAGTTTCGGAAACATTGGAACCTCCTTTAAGTAAATCTTTTAATGATTTACCCTTAAGTTCTTCATCTTTATCGATTTCAAAGGCATCAGCGATACAATCAATAGCTACATCCATAGAATCAATGTAATCTTCTGAAATAGAATTATCCTTGACGGATGATTTTAAAAAATCAATGATTAATCCGGCAATTTGTTTATTATCAGACATATTTAAGTATTTAGGAATTCGTTGACTTTACTGCCTATTTAAATTAAAATGTTCCTTTTTTGAGTGCGACTTCTGGAAATTTCCATCACCACGATTTTTTTGCAACTTCAAGCCTTGAATAGTCAATTGAGTGAATTGTTTAAAACTGAAAAGGATGGAATTAGCTTTGAATGTGAGGAAGTTGGATATCTCTGAAGCAATTAGTTCATGGTCGTATTTGATTTCCAGATTAAGGTTAATGATAGTTTTGATCTCATCGTTCTTCAATAGGAGTAATCTCTTATATCTCAGTTTTTTATTCTCAAGTCCAAAAGTGAAAAACGATGATTCGATTGGGCTTTCTGGTTCTTCTACAGGATCAAGAAGTCCTTCATTCAGATCTCGACGATGAAGTTCAGGTGAAGTTACAGGAGTTATATGATTATCATGGATTTTGTTCTCATATCTACGAAGTTCATCATTGATACTTTTGATTCTACCATAAACTTGTTTCCATTTATCTAGTTTCTTCAAAGTATCTTTGATTTTCTTTGTCATTTGATTATTGGAGAATTGTAAAAATAATACAAATTGGCCTAATTCCAAATAATTCACACACTCTTCTTCTTCGCCTATCCATTTGAATTCATCATTTGGTACTTCACTGGTGAATAATTTGCCTAAAAACCTATCCTGTACAATTCTCACATCTTGTGATTTCATATTATACATGATGAATAGCTTGTGTAGTTTTGTTAACTTAGTATCGTAGGCTTGTAAGTCACTCAAGGAATAATTAAGGAAAGTTTCAATTTCTGAAATTTGGTGAATAGTTAAGGTGATTTCCCCTAATTTTCGTTTAGCTAACTCTTGATCTTTACTCGATTGCTTCATAATTTCCAACGTCAGATTATTGTCTTTGAACAAAGTGTAAAAATCCTTCAATCCGTTTGGTGAGTATAGTGACAATGCTACCAAATAATGATTGAAATCGGTGATGAACCTATTGATCTTGAACTTAGAATAAAACGGAACCAGATGTTGACCATTGTAATTAAGCCAAATCTCTTCTTTACTGGGTAAACCCATAAATGGGTTCTGCATCTCGAATAATTGAAATATCAGTTTGAGTTTACTAAAACTTTGGAAAACTGTGAATCTATTATCATTATCCATGACTTTGAAGAATATTATCCATTCTTTCAATCCACTATCGTATCTCCCATTGGTGGCTAGGATCTTTAACAGCTGATTGGATGGGAAATAATTATCGAATGCAAAATTATATACCAATGACTGTATTTTCTTGAAATCTTCACTATTAGAAGTTGGTTTACTGGCCAGGAAACTAAGGTAATCAAACACATTATAGAAATTCTTAGGTTCTTCATTCAAGAACTTCAAAGTTTCACACTGAAGTAACGTCTCAAGATTAGCTAATCGATTATACTTGACGTAGATGGTCAATGGGGACATGGACTTGTTGTTGAATTGATTAACATCTACGCCATGGTCTAAAAGCCCAGATTTATCCAAGCCCTTTAGGATTACATGCAATAAAGTATTACCATTTTTATCTATGTGGTTTGCGAGGTCTATGGTTTTATACCTTTGGAAATAACAATTGAAACCGGTTTCAACAAGTGCGGTGTAGTCTTGATGATCATAACATCGACAGGTACTGAAAAGCGGGGTATGGTGATTGGTATCTTTCAATTCCCAATCTACTAAGTGACCTATCTGTTGCATTATTTGGATATCATGGAATAAATAATGGCCCACTGATCTACCCAAAAAATCAGTCAGATTCAAGTAAGCAACTTGCTCACCATATTCCATGGTGAATAGTATTTCTACTAATTTATGTGAAATTTCATGACATTCTTCAATTAAAGATACCATGAGTAGATTTTGACCGGTGGTGGTATTCTTATCAAAAAGAAGTTCTTCAACAGTAAACCAATCATCATTCGAATCTACTAAAAGTTCGAAAATCTCAAAATTTTTGGCCTTAATAGCAAACATTAGACAACTTTCACCATGAATATTTCGACTTTTTATGAAATGGTTTGTAGGCAACTCGCCAGGAAATTCCTCTAGAACTTCAGAAACCATTTTTCTTAAACTTTCTAAGTCCTGTCTTTGAATGGCAGCCCAAAACTCATAATTCTGTTGAGAAAGATTCTCCAAATACCCAAATTCACCCATACTTGATAGATGATAGATCACAGCATCCAAATTACTGACTATATAGCTGAAATATCCATCCTGTGACTGATCTGACGATTGGAAATTCCGAATATAGTATAAATGAGCTTCTAGATTTTCCACTTTGGAATGAATTATCACCATGATTAACATACCTACCAAGGTATCTGCATCTACAACAAGATCTTGAGATTTTTCATCAATAATCTCTGTTGTTGGTTCCGTTAAAACTTCGATGGTCTGCATCAAAACTTCTCTCTTTGACGATTGACTTATGACCGAACTATCGTCAAGTTTGGAGAAAATCTCAATCGCCAGGGAAACTCTCTTCAAAATCAAATTTATATTCCAAGGTTCATAAACAGGGATATCTAGATGATTCAATGAAACACATGATAGTAAAGGATACTTCTCAGAAGTCAATACTTTAAATGCTTCTTTATCGAATTCTTGCTTATCAGAATTATCATGATTGAATTGAAATATCAATTGGGACCAGATTTTATCGTAAAGGTTAAGTTCCACATATTCATACACCAAACGGTTTAAATCAATCTCAGGGTTATTGCTGAGTAAATTTTGTATGAGATGATAAGTCTTCTCAGATTCAGGATTATCTTCTTTTATACTCTCCAGAATTATCACATATGCTTGGTCAACCATTCTATGGAATTCATCTTTGATGAAAGATAATGATTTCCTCGTTTGGGTTCTTAAGTCATGGAAGTCTTGGTTATTGTGATGGAATAATTTATAGTATTTCTCAGACACAAGTTTCAGAAGTAACGGAACACTCCTTAGTAGCATTTCAAAGGTAACGTAATCTTTCTTCGTCTCTGAAACTTTCGGTTTATCCTCGATAGTAGGTTGGGCTTGGAGGAACTTATGGTCAATATAATCCACCATATTTAGGAAATTACTTCCTATCAAAGTATCTTCTATGTAAATAATCATGAACCTACTACCTTTGGGGAAATAATCACAAAATGAATGGAATTGACCTACACCTAGTATATTCAATCGAAGACTCTTTTTAAATCCCCTTCCAGTGAAAACCATTCCATTCTTTATCAAAATTTGCTTATGGTTCAAGGTATTGTATACGATCAGATGAGTTTTACCACTCGGCGTTAACACTGGATTATTACTTCGTATTATGTGTGATCGTATGAAATCTTCGTTCGTATAACACAAGTCTCTAAGAAATGATTTAGTGGTACCTGAAGTACTTGGATCATAAGCATCATTTAGGATATATGAAGGTGGTAGAAGGATAGTGAAGTCATTATGATTATTTAAATCCACGGTAGTATTCTTGAACGGGGCATTGTTATGATGGGGGTTATTAAACAAGGCATTTAGTAGGGGATTATATAGCAATGGTAAGTGTTTGGACATCCCCCTAACTAAAATGTGCGATAGCCTATACAAATACTGATGGGACGCACAAATGCGGCGCAAACCAGAGACAAAGAAATACCTCTACATGAACCTAGCACGAGAAACACTCAGCACAAAAACCTAGCACGAGAAACTCCAAGCACAAAAACCTAGTAACAGTGCAGCAAAGATGCTCTTAGAAAAGAAAACCATACAAACCAGAGTTCAGTTCAATAAATATGTATATTACGTTATTAATTTTGTTCTTGCATCATCTGTCTCATTGCAACAGATCCAGTAACATTGTTACTAGTTGGTTTAATATTATAGTCAGCTTCAGGTTCAGTATTAACTTTACCGAATCCTCCACCTCCAGGAGTTTGAATTATAACTCTATCACCTTTACCTAATTTGACTGAACACAACCCGGCTAAAGTGACAGGTTTATAACCTTTATCAGTTTTTTTCAACCAGGTGTTTTTACCTCTGGCCCCTTCTTTACCACCTAATAATCCATAAGGTGCTGAGGTTCTTCTTCCCATAAGACATGAAACTTCTAAATCAGGATATGTGAATTCAATGTCTCTGATGACACCGTCACCTCCTCTATGGAAACCATCACCTCCTGATCCATGTCTTACACTGAATTCATGAACAATAACAGGATATCTCTTCTCAAAGATTTCTGAATCAGTCATTCTAGTGTTGGTAGTATGACATTGGACAACACTTTGACCATCCCAAGTAGCACCAGCACCTGATCCACCACAAATGGTTTCATAATAACCAAATGAAACATTGTGTTCTTTATCAGTAATACCAAAAGTGAAATTATTACAAGTACCTTGAGAACCTGAAGCAGCTTCGAAAGCTCTTAAGATAACATCAACAACTCTTTGAGAGGTTTCAACATTACCTCCAACAACAGCTGCTTCATAAGATGGATTAACTACTGAACCTTCTCTATTGATTAAATTGATAGGTCTTAAACAACCATTGTTCAAAGGAATATCACTACTGATTAAGCATCTCAACACATAAAGAACAGCAGAATTAACAATGGCTGGAGGACAATTCAAATTACCATGGATTTCATCACCACTTTCAGTGAAATCAAAATCAGCAGTACCTAATTCTGGATCAATGGTGATTTTAACTGCAATAGGTGTACCATCTTCTAAATAGTCAATGGCTTGCATTGGTTTACCACCGAATTTCTTATAAGCTAATTTCAATAAATTATTAACAGCAACTTCAGCAGTTGATTGAATGGCTGACATGTATAAGTCAATGACATCTTTGGTATATTCTGTTACCAAAGCTTTCAATAATGAGATACCTTTATAATTGGAGGATACTTGGGCTTTTAAATCGGAAATGTTATCACTTAAAGCTCTAGTACCCGAACCACCAGGATGTTTGGCTGGTTCTTCCAATAATAATCTTGTGATACCTTCTTCATCAAATTTACCTTCAACACATAATTTGTGAGTAACAATGGCTGCACCTTCATCATAAATGGTTTTGGAGTTTGGTGGCATGGAACCAGCTGAAATGGATCCAATATCAGCATGATGACCTCTTGAAGCTGTCCAGAAAATAGGTTCATTATTATCATCTAAAACTGGAGTAATGACAGTGATATCAGGTAAATGAGAACCACCAGCACTTGGGTGATTAGTAACTAAAACATCACCTTGTTTTAATTTTCCTTTCCACATATTAGCTTGAGCCTTGACAGCAAATGACATGGCACCTAAATGAATTGGAACATGAGGGGCATTGGCAACTAAGTCACCATTTTTATCGAACAATGCACAAGAAAAATCTAATCTTTCTTTGATGTTAGTGGAAATAGAAGTTTGTTGTAAAGTTCTACCCATTTGTTCAGCAATAGACATAAATCTATGACCGAAAACTGATAATTGAATTGGATCAACAATTGTTGAACTCAAGGTTGTTTGTTGCTTATGAATAACTTCAATTAAAACATGATCATCTAAGATAGTGGCTATTGATTCAGGTTCAATGATTAAAGTTTGAGTAGCATCAATAATGATAGCAGGACCATTAACTAAATCACCTTTTCGTAAATCACCTAATCTATAAATACCAGTTTCACACCATTGTTTACCGAAATAAACTTGTTTAGTAACTGAAGGGGATTGAGTGGTTTTATTGTTGATAGCTTTGAATTCTTCAAATGGATTGTAGTATTTCTTATCTTTACTTTCAACAGTTAAGATGACTTGAATATCATCAACAACCACTTCTCTACTTAAAGTGAAACCAAATTCATTTCTATGACGTTCAATGAATTTCTTATCGGCATCATCATCTCCTTTAGGTATCAATAAATGAGTATCGGAACCAACATATCTCATATTAAGTAAGGTTTCGATTTTGGTGTTAAAACCTGATAATTTTTGATTTTCATAATCTTCATAAGCAGCTTTAATTAATTCTTCACATTTATCATTCAAGAATTTAAAGCTTGAAGTTTGATAGCTCATTGAAATTGGTGATTGTTTTTCAATAACAATATCAGCTAAGAAAATACCATAAGCTGATAAAATAGATGAATATTTATGAATGGCAACATGTTCAATACCTAAATTTTTAGCTAAAGAAACTGAAAATTGACCACCTGAACCACCAAAACAAGCTAAATTATGTTCAGCAGTACCATACCCTTTGGCTTCAGTGATAGTTCTGATTGGTCTAGCCATTGATTCAACAGCAACGTTCAAGAATCCAATAGCAACTTCTTCAGGAGTTAATTTAATACCATCTTTGGCTTTATCATTATTGATTTTTTCGGTTAATTCTAAGAATTTAACCTTGGTGATTTCAACGTCTAAAGGTTGATCTTGATTTGGACCAAAGATACGAGGAAATTCTTCAGGAATTAATCTACCTAAGAATAAATTTGCATCAGTAACAGTTAAAGGACCACCTTTTCTATAACAAGCAGGACCAGGATCAGAACCTGCACTTTCAGGACCAGTGACAAAGATCCCATTTTCATAAAATAACATTGAACCACCACCAGCAGCAACAGTTGAAATATCTAATTGAGGAGTTTGTAAAGATACTTCACTAACAACAGTTTCATAAATATGTTCTAAATGACCAGAATATCTAGCAACATCAGTTGAAGTACCACCAGCATCAAAACCAATAGTAGCTTTTTGTCTTGAACCAGTTTGTTTATCATCATAACAAGTAGAACCAAAACCAACCATTCCACCAGCAGGTCCTGAAAGAATGGCTTTTAAACCAGTAAATTTATACCATGGGCATAAACCTCCATTACTTTGCATGAATAATAATTTGTTACCGAAAGAATCTAAACCTCCTTCAAATCCTTGAGCAAAACTTTTTAAATATTGTTTAATAACTGGTGATAAATAAGCATCGGCAACGGTTGATGATGTTCTGTTAACTATACCAATCATTGGTTGAAGTTCATGAGAAACTGAAATAGTGAAACCAATATTCTTACAAATTTCAGCTATTTTGGATTCATGTTCTGGGAATGCATAAGAATGTAATAAACATAATGCGATTGAATCGACTTCTCCGGATTTATATAATTCCGTTAACTGTATAGTGATTTGGTCGTAATCTGGTTTTTTTAAGATCTTGATTTTATCACCTGTTACACCTTCAATTAATTCTGGATCATCAACAGTTAATTTATCACCACCACCTTCTGAGAATCCTTCAATAGTGACTCTTTCATCGATTTCAATAACTTTGGAATATAAATGACCTAATTTCTTAGCAGTTAAATCAAAAATATGAGGTCTTGTTTGATTACCAATCTTTAAAACATCTTTAAAACCTTTGGTAGTTAATAAACATACTTTAGCACCTTTTCTTTCTAATAATGCATTTGTAGCTACTGTAGTACCCATTCTAATACTTTCGATGGAATCTAACTTCAACAATTCTGATTTAGGAATATCTTTACCTTGAACATGAGATAAAATCTTTCTTATACCTTCAGTTGGAGCATCTTTATAATTATTTGGATCAACTGAAAGTAATTTAAATACCAAATCTTTTTGACCCGGGATTTTAGCTATGAAATCACAAAACGTTCCACCTCTATCAACAGCAATCTGAATCCCTGACATCTTTTACTTTATTATTTAATTGGATTCCGATGACTTTAAAACTAAATAAATTTGAGAACTGTCAGAACTTTATATCAAGACTGATCGGTAGATCTTGGTAAAATGCCGACGAGATTAATGAGCCGCATTATTAAAAATTTCGGAACTTTTATAGTTTTTACCTAATTTTTTGATACCAATTATTGATAATTGATAAATTTTTGAGATAAAGGATGTTTTTAATTCATAGAGTTTCAAATTCCAGAGTCACGTTATCGAATCATGATTATATATTTAATTTTTGTAGGTTCTCATTAATGTGAAATTCCGTTGTTTCGGAATCATTATCTTCACTTCCATCCTCATCGATTTGCGCAATAGGAACTATTCTATTGCCTAATGCGTCATATTGTTCATCGTCGGTGTTTTCATAATCTTCTGAATCTTCTTCTTCGGACTCTTCTGATTCTTCATCTATTATATTCCCGAATTTATCTATTTTATTACCTAATGCATCATATTTTTGTATTTTGTTACCTAAAGCATCATATTCACCTTCTGATTCCTCCGTTTCTTCTTCATAATCTTCTTCTGACTCTGAAATGTCATCTTCGGCTGTTCTATTAGTATTACCCATCATCCAAACATCTTCAGTTTTAGTTTGTTCTTTCCTGGCTTTACTTTCTTCGGCCAATTTTTCTAAATATTCATCTTGGGCTTTAGTAACACTTTCGGCATCACTACAACTTTGATATAATTCAATCAATTCTTTGTTTACTGATAAAAAATTGAGACCCCAAGTGAATTTCTCTAAAATTAATTCTGCCCAATCTTCTCTTCCCACAATTGCCAAACATGCAGCCAAAGCTTCTACACAATTAAGTCTCCAAGGTCTTCCATAATTAACAGGGTTAGTTGCTACGAAATATGGTAATAATCTTTCATGCTTACCACCAATTTTATTAAATGGTACTTCATCAAGTCTAGCCCAACTACATTCAACAACTGCAGCACCGAATTTTTCCACAATTTCTTTGTCATCAGGACAAACCACTCCTTTACCATTGGGTGAAACCACTATACCTTGGAATTTTTGACCTATTCTTAAATTTTTTATATATCCTAATCTTTCAAGCTTCTTACCAGAACATCTTTTAGGATCACAATGATCAAAATCCCACATTGCTAATTTGAAAGGTAACAGAGAATCTATATGATTCCTTGTTTCTTGACGTCCCTTACGAGCATGATGAAGCTTTTGTTTATGACCATTAGAAGTTCTTTTGGATTGAGCTTTAGACTCCTTCATCGCGATGATTTAGAATTTTCAGACATCTCAATTGCCTAAAAGAATCGTATATATTACAAACATTAACACATCAAGTGTAACTTTTTTTCCATTACCATAATGATCTAAAAAATCTAAAAATCTAAAAATCTTCATCAAAAGCGAAAGTATCTTTCTTTGCGCTATCAGTTGAAGCCATAACACCAGCTTTTTGATAATCTGAAACTCTCTTTTCGAAGAAGTTGGTTTTACCAGCTAATGAAATATTTTCCATGAAATCGAAAGGATTAGTGGCATTATAAACTTTGTCATTACCTAAAGCAACTAATAATCTATCAGCAACGAATTCAACATATTGACACATTAATTTACAGTTCATACCTAATAAACTACATGGTAAAGCATCAGTGAAGAATTCTTTTTCAATAGAAACAGCTTCAGTAATGATTCTTTCAACAATTTCTTTGTTTGGTCTGTTTTGTAAATGGGAGAATAAAAGACAAGCAAAATCAGTATGTAAACCTTCATCTCTACAAATTAATTCGTTTGAGAAAGTTAAACCTGGCATTAAACCTTTTTTCTTTAACCAGAAGACTGAAGCAAATGAACCTGAGAAGAAAATACCTTCAACAGCAGCAAAAGCAACTAATCTTTCACCGAAAAGAGCGTCATCATCATTAATCCATCTTAAAGCCCATTCAGCTTTTTGTTTAATACATGGAATAGTTTCAATAGCATTGAATAAGAATTCGGATTCTTTTGGATCTTTAATATAAGTATCAATTAATAATGAGTAAGTTTCACTATGAATGTTTTCCATCATAATTTGGAAACCATAGAAACATTTAGCTTCTGGGATTTGAACTTCAGCAGAGAAATTTTCAACTAAATTTTCATTAACAATACCATCTGAAGCAGCAAAGAAAGCTAAAATTCTTGAGATAAAATGACGTTCATTATCATTTAATCTATTATTCCAATCATGAATATCTTTACCTAAATCAATTTCTTCAGCAGTCCAAAAAGAAGCTTCAGCTTTTTTATACATTTGCCAGATTTCATGATATTTGATTGGGAATAAAACAAATCTTTTAGTGTTTTCAATTAATAAAGGTTCATCTTTTTCTAAATCTTTTAATTTATGTCTGAGTACTTGATGTTTTGATAAGAATTCTTTATGTTTAACTTCATCCTTGGCATCAGCAGCTTCAGAAGTTAATAAAGCTTTACCTGGAGCAGTAACAGCAATATCTTTAGCTTCAGCAGCTTGAGCTAATTTATCAGTTAAAGAATTACCTTTCATTGATGACATATCCAAGTTTGAAATTTTACCAGTTAATCCGTTAGTTGGTGTTTGTTGTACTGACATGGTTATATTAAAATGTGTTTCTATTGAAAACTGTTTTCCAAAATGTATAGAATGATTGAAAACAAGGGAATTAACGTGTTTAAATAGTATTCACGTCTTGAAATATCGCGTTGACTTGCGTTAATTTTACGTGATGACTTGAGTTTCGCATTTTACAAATTTTACTTCCTTTAACTCCTTTAAAGGTAGAAGTTATTTACATGAAAAGATACCTCTTTCTATTCCGTAAGTTATCCGAACATTACCATCAATGATCTATGGTTAATACTAGAGCTTTTGATCATTAAAAGTAGTAAATTCCTTCCAATGTTTATAAAGACGTGTAACGCGATTTCGTGTTTATTTACTTATCGATTATCACACAATTACTAAATTCGAGTGTTTGTTTTTTCTATTCATAATGAAATTTAATATTCGATTCGTTTTTACGATTGATTGGATATATTAACTGATTAATTAAGGTTTATTTGGGAAGAGCAATCGGATTGTAAAACAGGGTCTAATTAGCTGATTTTCTAACCGTGATATTTTAGTGATATTGAGATCCTTTGATTAACCCCTTTTTACCGCCCCGTATGAGGTTTATGTATGGAGCCTAAAAGTATATAACGTAGGGCTACTGTATATGAATGCATATGGGTGAGGTGATGAACTGATTAGAGTTTTGAGGTGATCAACTGATTAGATATTCGAGTTGATCAAGAGATTAGAGATTTGAAGATATACGATGCCATGACATCAAATTGAAACTTTCCAATATTCATAGTCTATAAATCAAACAATCTATAAAACAAAACAAGAACTAAATTTATGCAAAGGTATCTCTTATTCATCAAATCTTCCTAAGGATTGAACTGGACTTTTAAGTTCAATATTATTCAAATTTTCGAAATTTTCAAATTTGAACGAATGAACCAGCTTAGGACTATTCAATGTTGAATCCAAATTATTTGGAGTAGAAAATCTATCTTCAAATCCTGAAGGTGATCTTTGAGGAGTTGTTGGAGAATCAGGGTAGGCTGATTCAGGTAAATTGATTGAAGGTACGGATTTAATACTTCTAATATCATCATCATCCAATTCCAAACTTTTATATAAATCTAAAATATTCCCACTACCACGATAATCTTCATTATTTGACTTATATTCTAAAACGGTCTTAATTTGTTTATACCAATCATCGAATGACCAATTTTCACTGATGGAATCTTTTAAAAACAATTCTAATAAGGCATAAATTTCTTCACTGGGTAAATATTGATAATGAGGTAAACTTGGTAATCCGAAAAGTAAACTATCTTTATGTAATTTATCAGAAATCAATTGTTTTGGTCTACCATATAATTTGAAACAATCCATAATTGGTATTAAATTTCTTATCATAGTTTCAATTTCTTGAACTCCGGGATGATGATTTGGCATCAAATAAATATAATTGGTTCTAATAAAACGGGAAGAACTCTTGATTTTAGGAGTTGAAGGTGGAGATGAAGAAACTGAAAAGAATGATGATTGTGATGTGGTTCTTCTGTGACCATTATAACCTGGTGGAGGAGTAACTTTAACATCTTCATGGAAAGTTTCATCAAATAAATGTTCGAAATCTCTATTGATGAAAACTTCACCATTTAATTTCATAATTGAATTATATTCAATCATATTTGGATTCTCAGGGAAGATATTATAAATGTTAGTTAATGATGAGATATAACCAACTAAATTCTTCTTACCTAATTTATCATTGACATAAATTTCAATATTCCCATCTTTTTTAGAAGTTGAAGGATTAACAATAATAAATACTTTCAACCATTTGTGATTAACTTGAGGTAATCTTATGTTGTACCAATCAGATTTAGGATACTTCTTCTTAGATAATAAAGTATGAATATCTGATAATTTAGATCCAATCAATGATAATGTTACAGCAGTAAAACTTTCATTTAATGAAATTCTTTCAAAATTTGATAAATAAAAGTTAGCTAACCATTTAACGAAATCTTGATAATCGTTCAATTTGATAATCAAATTATAGAAATTTTCATTGAAATCATTAGAAAACTTGATAACCAAATTTTCCAAATCATAATTGATATTATAATCGAACAAGTTGAAATATTTTGGATTAAATTCATCATTTGACCAAATAGCTAATTCATTACCGGTTAATTTAGCTTCAACACCAACCCATTGTTCACCGATCTTGATGTCGAAAAATCCATTACAATAATGTCTAAAATTATGACAATTAAATAAGGTCAAAATTGGAGACAACTCCGGTGGTACTTTATTGGTTTCATTCATTAAATTGGTGAAACTGTTCTTGTTCTTACTCTTAACATTACTATTATTGAATCCAAGACCGAAATTTTCACTATAAATTGAATTTCTGACATAATGGGAAGGAGTAAATTTTAATTTATTGCTGAGCTTTCTAGGAGAAATTGGTTCGTCTAAAGATGTTGAACTGATTGACTCACTCGAAGGATTCTTCTCTTTAAGTTCTTCTTTACTACTTTCTTTACTACTATCGGAAATCAAAACTGATTCAGAAGGAATTGATTCACTTACTTTCTCGTTATCGCCATACTTGGCCTTGATACCCCTTTTATAATCATCGATATTATCGGTTTCTACTTTCAACCCAATTTTTTTCTTAAACCTACTGGCACTGAACATTCTAACTAATCTATAATAAAACCGACTTAGAAATCACTTGGATTTGAAATAAGATGACTTTTCAAAGGTTTCTTTTAACTGGAATTTCTCACTGGAATTGATGGATAAAAAAAAAAGAGTTACCCAGTTTGATGTTAATTGGGAAAATCGATTTTTCAGTTGCTTTTTGCAAAAATTTCTGCTATTTTAAATTATCAGAATTGATTTAACGATGGTGGTTTATAGATGATTTTCAGGATTTGAAAAATCTTAAGTATTAATAAAATTTCAACCTTTTTTTTAACCACTGAGCCTCAATGATGTAATGAGATAATGGGAAATCAGATTTTTTAGATATGGTTTTTTTCTGCCCTTTCTTCTTTGATTAGAACAAACTTTGAGTTGTCTTAGATCAATATTGACTTTACGATAAATTTTCTAGTCTTAGAGAAGTATAAAGCGTACAATACATATATATATAGTCAGTCAAGACTTATCGTATAAATTCTTGTCATCGGAAAAAAGGGCAAGGAAGTTTTTTGCAGCAAATTCCATTAAGCAATTTAGATTGTTTAAACGGCTTTTGGTCCTAACCATTTTAATTTATTCAGTTTACACGACAAATAGCCTTTCATTATTCAAGTAATCTAGGAGTTTACCAAGAGTTGATCTGTCCATATATGGTCCAAGGATCTTGTGAGTTGTTCCTTATCGCGGAAGTAAATGAGATCCTTAAACGATTGTTCCGTGAACACCTAATTAGAATCATCAATACTTTTTGACGTGACCTATTGATTACATTTTGCATTTACTATCCCCTCCTACCCGTCCGTGAGCCACTGAACTGCCTATAGTATGAGGCTATACTAAAGAGTGCATTATTTTTTCTTACCCTTGACTACATTTTCTTAGATCCTTTTCTTAACAGTAACCCAGAAATCTTGGTATTTTTCTCCAAACACGATGGCTTATAAGAAAACAGAAGGAAAGCTTATTAGCTTTTGTTTGTGGAGAGGTATGTACCTTGATGATGGCAACCTTATGTTATGATCCATTTCAAGCAACCGAAAGTATTTGTATCCTTTGCCCGGTACCTTGGTCATGTGACCTTTTTCGAATCATGGAGATAATTATTTTTTTGATTTATTAGATCTATTGCTCTTATAATTTACGGTAGTCCGAAGTATATCTCCTACCTATTTCGTCTTTTGATGATGATGGTCCCCTCCATTCTTAAGAGTTATCTAATATGTGCGAATTTCACAGATCTCAATGGATGTTATACCTTTTGATAGTTACCCGAAACTAGAAAACCATCAAGACCCTGAATTCAATTATCTTATAACTGAGGTTTTTGAACCAATAGATTATATATCATTATCCCAATCCAATAAATTTGATACTAAAACAGGGAAAGTATTTGCCAAATTCAATGATTTCATTAAAGACTATAGGGTACATATTGGTCCTGATTTATACCCTTGCGCAAGATTGATCCTTCCTGAACAAGGAACGGGTGTCTTATATGTAAGAGATGCCACTATTATCAATATTGTCAAACATTTATATAATATTCCCAAGAAAGGAGTTCACGCTAATAAATTGAATCATTGGAAACGAAATAAATCTACCAAATATAGGCAAAATCAAATATCACTCCCCCAATTGATTGCACAGACAGTTAAAGACTATAGAGAGACAGACTTCTCTCTTGAAGGGAAATCTCCAGTAACTGTTGGAGAAATCAATAAATTCCTTGACGAATTACCTTTGAGAACTAAAGTTGATAAACAAGTTGAGTTATTCAGACCCATCTTTGAAAGACTCGATATCAGAGGTATCAGATGGTTGATTACTATCATCTTAAAGGAATCTACTATTCATGGATACAAGAAGGTATTTTTAAATTGTTACCATCCTCAGGCTCTTTCATTGTATGGTAGTTGTAAGAAATTAGAGACTGTTATCAAGTTTTTGCATGATCCGAATAAATTTTATCCCCAGCAGCAGTTTAACCCACAATATGGACATCCTTTCAATCCTATGACATCACAAAAGCTTAAGAATTATCAGGAAATTGTCAAATCCATGCCATCGGGGTTCTTTATCGAGGAGAAAGTTGACGGCGATAGAATGATTCTTCATTACAAGGATGGAAAATTTAGATGGTGGTCTAGAAGGATAAGAGATTACACCAATTTGTATGGGGATTCATTTTCTCATGGTTCATTAACAGGGAATCTCAAACCACTGGATCAGAAATTGTTCTTTGAAGGAGAATCTAAACCAGATCAAAATGCTTTTGATGGTCCGTTTCACAAAAAGACAAAATCCATTATTTTAGATGGAGAAATGGTAGCTTTTGACCCCGAAAGAAATATAATTTTACCTTTTGGGACTTTAAGAGATGCTGCTGTTCAAGAAGGTGTAAGACAATTTTCCACCACCGATATGTACAAGAATGTCAATGCTCATCCATTCTATCTCGTATTTGACGTTTTGGAGTTTAACGGTACCAGTTTCATCTATGACAAGAAGAAATCCAATGGTGATGATAAGGAGTTAAAGGGATATGGACAAACTTTAGAATGGAGAAAGAATTTTTTGAAAAGTGTCATCAATCCAATCTCCACAAGGCTCGAACTACTTCCATACACAAGGGGTAATACGGTGGTAGATATAGAAAATGCTATGAGGAAGATAATAAGTCAAAGGTGTGAAGGTATTATGGTCAAATCAGTGAAAGGTGTATATAAAATCGATACCAGAAGTTTCAATTCCATTAAAATCAAGCCAGAGTATTTGGAAGAATTTGGTGACAATTTGGATTTACCTGTAATTGGGATAATCAAAGGAAAAGAGAAACATAGTTATATGTTTGGATTGTATGATGAAAACAAGAAGGTGTGGAGAAGTTTTTGTACAGTAGCTAATGGATTCAGAAGGACTGAATACAATACTATTGAAAATCTTTTGAGATCAAAATATGTTAAGAAGTGTCCTGAAGGAGTTGTATTCGGTTCTAAGAAGCCCGATCTATATATTCACCCAGATGATTCGATAGTAATTGAAGTAAAAGCAAGAAGTTTAGAAAGCACCATTGATGGTAAACATCATACGAATACTACTTTACATAACTCATGGGCCAGGACAATCAGAGACGATAAGTCTGCTACTGATTGTCAAACATTTCAAGACTTTTTAAGATTGAGGCAAGATCATTCTACTGACATTTCGAAAGATCAAGAGAGTAATAAAAAAAGAAGAAAGTTAAGCTCTCTCAAAGAAACCAAGGTGACTGCCAAATCCGATCTATTCAAGGATTTCAGCTTTGTTGTCTTATCTGACTACTTGGAAGCTGAAAGAATAGATATAACGAAAGTGAAAAACATTATTATCACCTACGGAGGAAAAATCATCCATGATCCCAAGAAAGGAGGTAAAGTATTAATATTGAGTAATTTGTTGACTCCTGTTGTGAACAGATACTTGGAAATGGGATTTGATATCGTAAAACCACGTTGGGTGTTTGAAAGCATTAAGAACATGACAATACTTCAATTGGATGAGAAACTCATCTTCAAGACCAAAAATGAAAAATTGACCCACGAAACTTTGGATGAATTTGGTGACAGTTATTCTGTTATGCCGGAATCGGTTATAGAGTTCCTAAATAGTATAGAGCCTACGAGTTCCACTAAGGGCCAATCAGATTTGACCGTTCCGTTACTCAAAGATCTATTTCAAGGCATATCATTTGAGATTATCGGATCTCCCATGGAAAAGAATTTGATGACGAAAAAAATTGAACAATTTCACGGGTCAGTAAATGGCAATCCTTCATTTATAGTGGTAATAAGTGATAATGGTGACGTTGACAGAATACTGAAAGACTTGAGTGAAAATTTTAAAGAAGGCGATAAAATTCCCAGAATCGTGAGTGATTCTTTTGTTGATGATTGCATCAAAAACGAATGTTTGGTTGATGCAAGAGATCATTTATACCACCGGAAATCGTAATTTTATCAGATCAATAACCTCAAAGTAATTTAGTTTGATTCATACCAACATCCGATGGATCATAAATCATGAATCATCATTTTCAGCCTTCTAATTGACGTGATTCCCGAAATAGATCGGTTAACCTTAATTAATGTAAATAACTATGTAAATTAGCAATGTATAATATGGGGTAGCAATACGTTTCTGTAAGCAGCAACGAAGGACCCCTGACACATCGAAAATTTTTTGTAACGCATTACACCGAAATTGCTGCAAAAAAAACTATTTTTATTGATCTGTTATCGCACAATACACGCAAGTTGATAACGCATTGATAACGAGACGATTTGTAACCATTTACTGTTTAGATTTTTAAGGAGCACCGGTTTTAACTAAATATTGAGGTTTCTTTTATTTATAAAGTCAATTATCAACATTATATTTTTTAAGGATTTAGTATATTCATAATCATAAAATCATAAACAAGAACATTTTTCATGTTACTGAGACAACCATCATTTGATTTCTTGAATCATCATCATTCTTTAACGTTCCATTTAGCATGGGCAACTATTGTAGCCAGTATAGGGACATTCCAATTTGGGTATCATTTAAGTGAATTGAATGCAGCATCATCGATAATTTCATGTAAATTTCATCGTCCTGGCCCTCATAAAAGTTATGATCAAACTATCTGGTACCAATTTGGATTGGAACAATGTATACCGATGACTGAACAACAATCAACTATGATGACGACGATGTTTACTTTTGGAGGATTGATAAGTTCAATCATAATATCTTCATCATTCTTTCATTGTTTGGGAAGAAAAACAACCTGTATTATGAGTTCCTTGTTTTTCATGTTAGGTTCATTTTTCATGATGATCTCTAATAATACAAGTTTTATGAATGCAGGAAGATTATTATGTGGTTTAGGAGCTGGGATTTCTGTGGTTATTTCACCAATTTTAATCAATGAATTGACACCCATTAATCATAGAGGCTTCTTGGGTTCATTCTTGCAAGTTTCTTTATCAGTTGGTATTTTCACTTCACAGTTGATTTCAATTCCTAATGCTAATGATCAGAATTGGAGATATATCTTCCTTACATCATTCTTGATCTCATTAGTACAATTTGTTTTATTGTTCACTATCGTTGAGAGTCCTAAATGGTTAGTGATCAATAAGAACGATACCAATAATGCCACAGATATCTTGACATCTTTGAGATCAAACGTTCAAACGGTTCCTCATGAAATCAATCATTGGAGAAGATTATCAATCACCAAATCAGAAGTATCAGAATCAACTCCATTGATCGAAGATTTATCGGTTGATTTCCATTCTTTGCAACCAGTAAAATCTCGTAGAGGTTCTATTGATCCTTCAAACTTGACATTATACGAATTTGTTACAGAAAGAAAGTACAGAAAGGAATTATTAGCAGTGATTTTGATTATGAGTGGTAATCAATTATGTGGTATGAATTCAATCACTTTTTATGGAGTTTCGTTCTTAAGTAATATTGTCCCTGACACTACCAATATTTTATATTTGACATCATTACTAGGATTATTCAATGTTCTTGGTGCAGGATTAGCTACTCCATTATTTGACAGATTGGGTAGAAAGAAACTTTTATTATTATCATGTTTGATCATGTCAATAACATCATTTGGTATATCCATGGGACTTGTAACTAATTTTGAAATTTTGGTTGCAGTTTCTTGTTTATTATTCATTCTTGGTTATTGTATTGGACTTGGACCAATAGTTTATTTAATGGTACCTGAATTCACTAATCACAATGTTGTTGCCATTGCTCAATCTTTTGGTACCACATTAAATTGGATTTCAAATATGTGCATTGCTTATTGGTTTCCTGTTATACACGATACTTTAGGTGGATATGTGTTTTTCGTATTCACTTTTATAAATTTAGCATACTTATTCTTAATTATACTTTTTGTACCTGAAACCAAACTTAAAACTTACGATGAAGTTTGGAATCATTTCACATATATTTAAAAAAAGGTCATATGACCCGTCTGTTCATAGTTTAATGACTTAAATAGTAATAAAATATTCAAATTGATCATATTTAACCCCTTTGCGTATATTTGGCATGCATTAACTCCGGTAGGTTAATCCGCAGTGAATGTCCCAAAAAAGCAAACCTGCTTATATAACCGCTTATGTCATCAATGTGAAATTTCGTGTCAAGTATTTTAACTGGGGACATTGGACGAAATAGACAATTGAATTTTACATCAATTAAGAACAACTTATATCGATATAAAAAAACAATTAAGTGAAAAATGGTTAACTATAAAAGATGGATGAATGAAGTTGATGAAAATACCAGTATTGGTAAATTATCAATTCCAGGTACCCATAATTCAGCAGCTTGTCATGTTGCCTTACCATCAGTTCAATGTCAAGGGGAATCAATTACTGAACAATTAGAACATGGTGTTAGATTCTTAGATATCAGATGTGGTAAATTATTCTTGAAGGAAGGTGATGAAGCCAAGGATTTACAAGTTATTCATGGTAAATTCCCTGTTAAAATCCCATTCCCAAAGAAATTGAAAGATGCATTGGAAGAAGTCTATGATTTCTTAGATGAAAACAAGAGTGAAACTGTTATTGTTTCTTTAAAACAAGAAGGTACTGATGATTGGAATAATGATCAAGATGAATTTGCCAATTGTATCTGGGATAATTATGTTAACCCAAACAAAGATAAATGGTACTTAGATGATAATGTTCCAAATTTGAGAGATGCTAAAGGTAAAGCCATCTTATTCAGAAGATTTGGTGTCAAAAGTGATAAATATAAAGGTCATTTTGGTTTTGCTGCTGCTTCATGGAAATATAACACTACTCATGATGACCATGATAAATTTGCTGTTCAAGATTTCTGTGAATTAGATAATGTTGAAGCTATTGATAAGAAGGCTGAATATGTCAAAAATTTCATCAATGACGCTAAAAGTTACAATTCTTCAAACAATGATCCTAAATTATTCATTAACTTCAGTTCAGGTGCTAACTTCTTCAATACTGATTGTTGGCCTGAAAAAGTTGCCGATAAAATGGCTTCAGTCCAAATTGATAGAGATTTTGGTAAAGGTAATGGTATTGTTGTCTTAGATTATGTTGAAAAAGATAACTGGAAATTGGTTAAGAAATTAGTTGACCAAAACTTTTAATTTGATGATAACGATATGAATCTGTAGTTTTATGTCCACTATATGTTTTGCGTTTCTCTGGATATATCTATAACTCTATAGCGATATTTTTCTTGTGCGGAAGATGTTTAGACTACGGTTGGTTAGATTCAATTCCACTCATTCGGAGGAGAAATTAAGGAAGATAATAGAGTCTTCCAGTATCAAACCATCTCCTAAAACTATCCCATCGATACCAATACCTTCAACTGAAAGAATTGATTATAAGGTTGGTGAAAAACAACTGTCTAAAGATTTTGAAAAATTCAGAGTTAGTCTAAAATCTAAGATCGAAGATCTTCCTTCACATAGAGAAGCCGTCAGAAATAATATCACCAAGAACTTATCGAATTATATGGAATCTTTCCAAAAAGCCATTTTTGAAGCTACCAGAACATTGAATGACGTAACTGGATATTCTTCAATTGAGAAGTTGAGATCAGATGTGGAAGATTTGGAAAACAACTTGAAATCAGCAAAGGCTGAAGTTTCGAAAGCTAAGGAAGCTTATGCACAGGCAATCCAGATAAGATCTCAGCTGCAAAAGGATATCAATGAACTTCTAACCAGGAAACACAATTGGGATGCTCAAGATTTGGAGAATTTTACCACATTATATAGGAACGATCATACCAATGAACAGAATGAAGTCAATGCTCAACAGAAATTAGATGAATTGGAAAGTTTGGTTGATTCAATTCAACTTAAACTTACACAATCTATATTAACCAGATATCATGAAGAACAAATATGGTCAGACAAAATCCGAAGAGCGTCCACCTGGGGAACATGGTTATTAATGGGATTCAATATCATGTTATTTTTCACCGCTACGTTCATAGTAGAGCCTTGGAAAAGAAGAAGAATGGTCGATTCTTTTGATGCCAAATTGAAAACTGCTCTACTCGCATTAAAAGAAGGAGATACTGAAGCATTGACACCTTCACCTCCAACAGAATTGATCAAAGACACAAAGGATGTGTTCAATGTAACTTTACCTGTGAATTCATGGGAGAACTTCAAACAAGGAATACTAACAACCTATCATGCCATTACCAATCCAGAAATCACTGATTTAAATTTCAGCAAAACTGAATTGGGATGGTTGTTCTCCATATTCACCTTATTTGCCACTTCACTAGGATCATTGATCACTTTTTACTTCAAATAAAAAACACTTTCTGTGACAATTTGACCTCTCAAACATTTCCTCTTTCGCAGCCTTTTTGAACCAGAAGTTTCGCGATCGCCACTGAAATCAAATAATGGAAGACTTGGGTATTCATGATTCAGTTGCAACACAACTTCCTACTCCAATCAAGTTCAAGAACTCAATTGATGAGAGCGATGTGTATTTGAAATTGAAGAAATTACAAAAAGAATTGGATTTATTGTTATTACAAGAAGATTACATCAAAGATGAACAACGTCATTTAAAAAGAGAATTAATAAGAGCTCAAGAAGAAGTTAAAAGGATTAAATCAGTACCTTTGGTAATAGGACAATTCTTAGAACCTATTGATGAGAATACTGGTATTGTATCATCAACTACAGGATCAAATTATGTGGTAAGAATTTTAAGTACTTTAGATAGAGAATTATTAAAACCTTCATCATCAGTTGCATTACATCGTCATTCCAATGCTTTAGTTGATATATTACCACCTGAAGCTGATTCTTCTATTTCAATTGTTGGAGAAGATAAAAAACCTGATGTTACATATGCCGATGTTGGGGGTTTAGATATGCAAAAACAAGAAATTAGAGAAGCTGTTGAATTACCTTTAACTCAAGGTGATTTATATAGTCAAATTGGTATTGATCCTCCAAGAGGGGTTTTATTATATGGACCTCCAGGTACAGGTAAAACCATGTTGGTTAAAGCAGTTGCTAATTCTTCAACTGCTTCATTTATAAGAATAAATGGTTCAGAATTCGTACAAAAATATCTTGGTGAAGGTCCAAGAATGGTAAGAGATGTTTTCAGATTAGCTAGAGAAAATTCTCCTGCCATTATATTTATCGATGAAATTGATGCTATTGCTACTAAAAGATTCGATGCTCAAACTGGTGCTGATAGAGAAGTTCAAAGAATTTTATTGGAATTATTAAATCAAATGGATGGTTTCGATCAAGATTCAACTGTTAAAGTCATAATGGCCACTAACAGAGCAGATACTTTAGATCCTGCTTTATTAAGACCTGGTAGATTAGATAGAAAAATTGAATTTCCTAACTTAAAAGATAGAAGAGAAAGAAGATTAATCTTTTCAACAATTGCTTCTAAAATGGCTTTGGCCCCTGAAGCTGATTTAGATTCTTTGATCTTAAGAAATGATCCTTTATCAGGAGCTGTTATTGCTGCTATTATGCAAGAAGCAGGTTTAAGAGCTGTGAGAAAGAATAGGTATATGATATTACAAAGTGATCTAGAAGAAGCTTACACTTCCCAAGTTAAAACCGGTAGTGAACAAGATAAATTCGATTTCTATAAATAAATTAATGAACAAGTTAAAATTTCTATAATAATTCGTAGATTCCTAATCCTGGTTGAAGACATTTTAATGAGGTAAAGTTCAAATGATCAAGATCGATGTGGTAGTCATATTTCCACAATAATTTTAACTCTGGGCCGTTATAATCACAGTTGATGGTAGCTACGGGGGCTATCAAGATGGATTTCTCTGTTAAAAGATCGTTGATGACTTCATTATCACTTCCCATAGCATCAATAATGAGATTATCATAATCGATTAATTTGTCTACCGTGACCATTTTAACAGTTTTATCCCCTAATAACCATGTTGGTGGGGAATAAGTTCTCCACCAGATTTGTTTTGATGTTGGAATTGTTCTTAAATGGTCCAATGTTGGAACTACACCCCCTTGATGGAAGATTCCCATTAATATGCACATCAAAAAGTTGAAAATATACCATGCCCATAAGATGTAATTTCCTAATTGGGAGAATGAAGAAAGAACTGCTTCCGGTTTGTTGAATAATTTCTTTTTGATTTTGTCATTTTGTTGTTGGTTGGAAGGTAATGAATTAAAATCAAAGCAACATGTAGCTACAGGTAATAAAGGTACTAAGAACCTGAGTTCTTGATGAGGAACTAGGGACATGAAAATGATTCCTGAAACAAGGGTTAAGAATGGAGTTGTTCTATAGTAAGTATTCTTAAACTTGTATGCCAAAAGTAAAATAGAAGGACCAAGGATTTGTGGTAAATTTATAATGAGATGAGTGTAATAAGGATGAATGCCATGTTGAGATAAATTGTCCAATTTTGAATTGTACACCAAGTTGTTCCAAGGAGTCATGATGAGGTTATCAACATCCAACTTACCAGTAAACTCATACGTATCTATAGCGATAAAACCAATGGTAGGTAATATGAATCCCAAAAATCCAACTAATGTTCCTATTTTATACTTCCAAATATACTTGAAGACATAGAAAGACGGTATGATAAAATAACAAGCAAATGTTATTCTGTTGAATATCCCACAAGCTACTATAATACCAAGGTAAAACAACCTTTCATAATCACATTTACCTGATTTTCTAACCTCCAAATCAAATCTCAAATCATTGATTAGCATAAGGCAAACCATAACCAATGGTGTCTCTATACTATTACTAAAACAGTGGGATTGATAAATCAAAGTAACATAAGAAGTCAGGGTGAAAAATACTGACTTTATTCTTTCAGGCTTTGTAGGTAAGATTCTATATAAACACATATCGACCACTAACCAACTAATTACTATAAATTCCACTCTTATCAAATACCAAATCCCTAAAGGAGTAATATTCACGTTAAAATAAGACAAAAACCATAACACTGGACCATAAACAATATATAATGGGCCAAAGCTTCTCAGAGGTAGTTGAGAAAACTCCCATGGAATTGTAGTTGAAAACCCAAAAAATTTCGATGCTAAGACTTCAAAGTTTTGGAAATGTTCATCAGGATGAATATATGAATTAGATAATCCAAAAATGAACCTTAAAATAATTGTTAACACATAAATCTGTCTCCAATTTGGTCCCATAATTTTTCAGAGAAAATGGATGCGAATTGTATGTCTATTATTTATACAGAGAGAGGGACCAAAGGTGTAAATTTTGGAATCTAATCTTCATCAGATTCAATGTAGTCATTGGTAACCATTCCTATTTCTTCGTCATCTTCTTCAACTTCTTCATCTTCTTCACTATAATCTTGTAATTCCTCATCGCTTGAACCTGCAGGAATATCATCCATCATCTCATCTTCGATATCTGAACCATCATCTAATTCTTCAATATACTCGACGTCAGTATCTTCGTCTTCTTCAACACCGTAATTCAAGTTCTTTTCGTAACTCTTAATCATTTCATTGTTTTCATAAATAACTTCCATTTTAGATTTTAATTGCATTAATCTTGGTAAAGTATCTGATTTTTTGGTTAAAATCCCATGTAAGTTGGATAATTTAGAAGTCAATCCTGGTAATGATGCTAAAACACTTCCATGAATGATAATAATCCATTTAATCCAGTAAATTAATTGGTCGAATTTAGTTGATTGTCTTGCAAGTTTTTCCGATATTCTATCTAACAAAAGGATAGCTAATGATGAATCTAATCTTAAGATGGTGTTTTGAATTATTTGTTGGTCTCTGTTACCTAAAACAGTTTCCAATAATGCCATATCATTATTCCTTAAAGATTGTGATAAAATTGTAGTTAACGTATTATTACTCAACCCTTTTTTCTTTTTAGCGACTGAAGGTTTGATTTCAGTTGACAATTTTTCCAATTTTTCAGCAAGAGTTTCTGAACTATCTTCGTCGTCTTCAACGTTATTCAAATTGAAACCATCACTTACTATGGTGTTTCCTTCGTTATATTGACCAATAGATGAAACATCATTACCATTTAATGAATGGTGAGGAGTGTTGGTTACCATCTTCTTCTTTGTCAATTCCATGGTATTGATGAGGTAATTATCAGTTTCGTCAATCCATTGAACTTTATCGAATCTTACATCACTAACGTTTTCTAACCATGAATAGAAAATTTGATTCTTCACCGATTTGATGGTTATTATGCTGATTTCTTCGGTCATGTTACCTTTTATGTCTTCGGGGTGTTTCTTCAATACTAAGCTACCATTTGGAGAACGTGACTTTGACATTTGCTTCCTCTTCTTTTTGGAGTTTGTAGATGAATGATCTTCTGATAATATAGCATTGAAAATTTCCAATTTATTTTCAGTTTTGGCAACTAACACAACATTACCATTATAATTACCAATATCTATGTCAATTACTGGAGCTTCGGCTACGAAAACTGTTTTGATGCTTTGAAGTTTGAGGGAGTATAAATTAATGAATCTGTCACCTTCAGCACTGGTTATGAAATATTCTTCATTAACGTCGATTATTGACTTCACAGGTTGAATGTGAGCTGGGAAAGTCTTTATCAATTCTTTTGTCTTGAGATTTAAAAGATGGATAGAATGTGATCCTACTAATATATGGGGAGTTTGATCAAGATTGATAATTTTCAAATTATTCACAGATTCGTTGGTTTCTAAGTATTCATTGATTGAGAAACTTGATGATAAATTATAATAAATATCGAATTCATAAACTTGACCGGAATTATCTGAAATCCACAAAGAATTGGTGATGGATGAGTATTGGATACTTGTGATTAATGAATTTTTGGAAGTGGCTAAGGTGGTGATGATACTCTTAGTGAATGGGGAATATATTAATACTAACCCGTTGGTTAACCCAATACCAATGAATTTCTGTTCATTATAGTCTAACCAATTTATTACTGAGACTTTATTATCTTTGTCTAAGTTATATAATGAATCAAAACTATCGATAGTATTTTCTGTGGTTGAAACTCTAAGCTGATGAGTATCTAAGCTGACTATTACACTGGCATAATAGTTACCTGACTCATCATACTGTGAAGTTACTAAAGGTCCTGACATTATGAGATTTAGGTCTTCTCAAAATTTTTCAAGATGAGATAATGTACAGTATATTCTCACTATCGCACATAATGATAAAATACCAATATTGGGGGAGTTTCCGTAGAGTGTTGAACTTACAACGATACGTGGGTCAAAATGTGGTGGTGGGAAGATTGAAGTTAAATAATGCTGTAGATTCAAGAACACCACTTATCACAAAAGTTTTCATCAGATCAATACATTATTCCATACCTCCCAGAAAGGGCCCTCCTATATCTATGAAAGATATTGATTACAAGATCGATGACCTTCACTTGGATAAGATTAGCATGCCCACTGAGAAAGTACCTATCACTTTACATCATGAGGTTTATGGAAAAAATACAAACCAATCACCTATAATATTCCTTCATGGTTTTTTAAATGATGGTAGGATATATTCCTCTGTGGCACCTCAGATCAACACTAGAACAGGGAAGCCATGTTATACGTATGATTTGAGAAATCACGGTCAGTCTGGAAGAAAGTTCCCCCATGATTATCAGAGTATGGTAGAAGATGTGATCTATACTATTGAGAAACAAGGATTAAAAGATGTATCATTAATAGGACATTCAATGGGTGCTAAAGTTGCTATGCTAGTATCATTGAAACGACCTGATCTTATATCTGATCTTATAGTCATTGATAATTCCCCAGTGGTCAACGATGTGTCCAAATTAGATCGTATGATAGAGAGACTCTTAATTGGCTTATGTCATGTAGAAACTCAACTCACCGCTAAATATGGTAAGGATATTGTTGATTATAAGCTCTTATATGATGATACAGTTAAAATATTAAGACAATTCAACATCAATGATTTGGTGATCAAAGCTATTCTCCCAAATATCGTTGTTGGTAAGCCTCATAAACTCACAGCATCAGTTCTTCCTTTTATGAAATACGATGTAAGAAGTAAATTGGGTGATTGGCCAGTTTCTTATCTTCAACCTTTGAAAAAGTTGGATAAACCTACCTTGGTTATTAGGGCCAAGAGATCAAGATACATAAATGATGATAATCTCACAAACGATTATCCTAAATACTTCAACGATTTGACAGTAACAGAAATGAACACTGGTCATTTTGCATTTGTGGAACATCCCACACAATTTGTGAAAATTGTAAGTGAATTCCTCAACAGACCAAAAGCATCATAATCATTAAAAGAAACATTTAAAGGACCACCATCTCCATGCATTCAAATCTCCGGTAGCTCTTCTTGAAAATCTCACCTGTTCTGCGGCTTCAATTATAAATAGATCCTGAGATACACTAATTGGAACAAGCACCCCCACGGTTCTAATCACCTAGCTAGCATATACATATATTCAATTCTGTAATTGTAAACCTCTTTATGAAGTTAAATATCATGAAATTAACGGTTCAACTCCATCAATTTAAAGAGTTTCACGAAACCAAATAAACAAACGTGCCTGAACCAGAAATACAAATCGAATATTTAAACAATTCAATTTCTCACTCATCTTCATTAATGTCAGAATATTCTGGAGGTGAAGATTTATCGTTGCCGAAGGCAACAGTACAGAAAATCATTGGGGAAATCTTACCCAAAGATATAGCCATAACCAAGGAAGCTAGAGAAGCTATTACCGAATGTTCAATTGAATTCATCATGATATTATCTACACAACTGAATGATATAGCAGAAAAGGAAGCTAAAAAAACCATTGCTTCTGATCATGTGGTCAAAGCCTTAGAAGAATTGGGATTTCACAGTTACTTGGAAATAATAAATAAAGTGCTAGAAGAACATAAAGAATTATTAAAGGGTAAGGAAAAGAAAAATAATAAGTTTCAAAACTCAGGATTTACTGAAGAAGAATTGTTAAGACAACAAGAAGAATTGTTTAAGAAATCAAGAGACAGATTACAAAACACTAGTTTCAATGCCAATGATGATATCAAAAGTGAAGTGAAACCTGAAATAAAGAATGAGTTATAACGAATTATGATTGTATATTAAAAGTATTCTTTTTTGACGCCCTTTCATCTCTGATAATTTCCCTCTTTTGTTAAATGTTTTGGTGATCCTGTTGATTGATTATGATGATAAGTTTAACCCAAAAGAATTAAATATACTATAACTACCATATTGAGGACAATTAAGGGGAATCTCAGTACAGTTCGGGTGGCATTGATTAAACTTATTAATCTTTCTTTCACGCTTGATCCTCCATATTGGTTATAACCTGTTTGTGATGTTTGTGATCCCCATCCAATTCTTTGTAAGAATCTATCTTCACTTAATACGGCCACAGCATTGGTCAACAAAAGACCTAAATATAAGATATTAGAAAACCCAAATAACATTGATGATTTTTATGAAAAATCGCACTGTTTATATTTTCCTCATATTTACATACAGATCAATGGAAGTTAAGACTAAGGGGAGGAAGAAAGATTCCATTGAACAGTTCATAAGTCAACCACAAATGTTTGTTGAAAATGGGCTCTCCCAATTACGTTATATGATTTTAATTGAAGGTTTATCAATACCCAAAGGTTATGATCTGTGCCCTTATAGAAACGTTGTTTGGACTATACTAAGTAGAATACCTGTGATTCCAACTCAAGAGTACTTATCTTTAATATCTATGGCATCTGAAGATTTAAGTCCAGAAATTCAACAAAAGATTCGTAATGATACTTTTAGAACATTAATGAATGATAGACAATTTCATAATAAAGTACTGGAAAACTCATTAATTCGTATATTATCAGCCATGGCTATATCAACTAATCATTCTACAAATGGAAAGGGTGGTTATGTTCAAGGACTAAATGTATTATTGGCTCCTATTGCCTATACTTGTTCAAAATCTGAACCTCAAGCTTTTGCAATCTTGAATCATTTGGTGACTAAACAAATACCTTTATACGTAACTCCAAGCTTGGATGGTGTTCATACGGGTTTATCATTAATTGATGTGATATTAAAGATCATAGATCCATCATTGAGTGAATTTCTTGCATCAAAGTTCTTGAAACCTGAAATTTATGCTTTCCCTTCGGTTTTAACTTTATGTGCATGTACCCCATCGTTGAACTCAGTTTTGAAATTATGGGATTTTTTATTTGCTTATGGAACTCATATGAATTTACTTTTCATTGTTGCTCAATTGATAAAAATGAGATCAAAGATCTTAAGTTCCCCCCAACCGATGAAATTATTAAGAAACTTCCCCAGTCTAGATGAAAATGAAATCATCAAATTGAGTTTAAGTTTTGTTCCTGAATTACCTGAAGACCTTTATGACCTCATAGTAAGGCATGGCTTTGACCCTAATGTTCCTGAAGAACTAAAGATATTCCTTAAAAACAATAAGATTTAATAGATCCCATATTTGAAATCTTCTGCATCATAATATGAACAAATGATTGTTCTATCATTATAAACCCTACCTGAAGTACCAATGATTGCATTGAATGCAATATCTTCAGTTTCAAATTCAATAAATATCCTACCCAACCCTGGTTCACTGAATTGGGACAAGCCAGGAGTGAAATCATTAGCAGGTCTAGGAATTTTAATTGTCTTAATAGTTCCGAATTTTTCCATTTCATTCAAAATATCCTTTTTGATGAATTCAAAATTCCCATCATCCACCAAATCTTTGGCTGTAACCGTGTTGATTAATTGTATGACTGTCAGTTTCTTGGTTTGAATGACAAATTCATTTTTTACAAGTTTCTTCAACGTTTCAAAGTCACTGGATTTGGTTTGTATAGTAGTCTTATTAGGTATAATACATGAGAATTCAACTTTTTGAAACATATCATGAGTTTTCAATTGTTGGATTGTATCTTCGAGCTTCTTGACAGTCTCTTCAACATCACCAGCTTTATATTCCAAGAATGCGATTCCCATCGATATCCTAGTGGATTTCTCCACGAGCAATTGGAACTTTTCCACTTCTCCATATTTCTTAACAATTTCTAAGATATCATTACTTTCAAACTCTTCGCCTACATTCAAAGTTAACTTGAAAGCACTGTCGATGACGATTTCTTTTTTATCTCTTTGTTCATCTTCATCATGATATCCTTGAGCTATGTAACTGTTGGGTCTTCTGAAATTTAACACAATATTGTTCCCATCAACTTTGACTTTTGATCCGTTCATGGCCAAACATATCGTGGCTACCTCGTTATTTGTGAATTCAATAATCAAAGTCTTATTATCCTTCGTTTTGAACTTGTTCTCAATGTTGGAATCTTTGAGTAAGGGGAAATCTATCTTGTTCAATTGTTTATTCAAATATTCTGTTACTTTCAAATAATCTACTTGATCAAAATTTATACCTTCTAAGATGAGTAATCTACTAGCTCTGGATTGATTAGGAATGATTTGACTGGACTCATTCAAAATATCATCACCTTCGGAGATTCTGTCTTTGACAATACCTTCTAATTTTGTGAAATCAACAGGTCTAGGATATCCAGGTAATGGGAATAATCCAGATAATTTGGCTCTATGAGATGAAACATTCTCGAATCCTCTAGGTTTAACTCCCCATTTTGAATCTACATTAACTTCACTGAGAACAGGTACATCGCTGAGTTTGGAAAGTGCTTCCTCAAGCTTAGGTAATAAAGTTTCTGCTGGTTCTTCGGGTTCTTGCTTTGGTTTGTAATGGTCCACATTTTCCCTGGGTCCTCTCTCTCTAGGTTGATATGAATTGGTACGAGATTGATATCCGTTATATTTTTGATTATAGGATTTATTACTGTGATTGTTGTAATTATTGTAGTTGTTATAGTTATTGTAACCATTGTTGTTATTGTAGCTATTATTGTAGTTGTTATAATTGTTATAATTGTTATAATTACCTTGATCATATCCATTATAATTTTGATACTGTTGATGAGATCTTCCACCAGGTCCACCAGGTCCACTTTGACCACCAGAATTGGGCCCATTGGGTGTTCCATTAGGGCCCTGTGGATATCTTCTTCTATCTTCACTTCTATAGGAATCATAATCTCTTTTCTTTGATTGATCATCTTCTCCATATAAAGTCGGTCTTCTTCTTTCTTGTCTAGGTCCTGAAGGTGTGTTCATCAGATGGGAATTATTATTGGAATTATCATTACCATAGGAACCTCCACCTCTTCGGCTATTACTATAGGCGTCAAGAGATTGACCTGAACCGTTAGTATTATGAGATTTATCGTACTTGTTATAATACATACTGTTACCACTCATCTTGGATTTTTCAGTGCGCAGAGGATTTAAGATCTTATATATTAGATTATAATTCATCGTGGTCGATTTCTTGTGGTTCTTCGACAGATTCATTTGTTTCAACTTCGGCATCGACTTGTTCTTCAGCATCAGCCTCAGCTTCAACCTCGGCCTCAGCGGCTTTCTTATCCTTCAACTTTTGTTTTTCTTCTTCCTTTTGTCTTCTACTAATTAATTTTTGAAGTTTATTTTCAAAAATTGAAAGTCTTCCCTTGTGACTTTGTTCAACAATCAACAAATCGGCTAACATATCGACAATACTATCAGAAATAGATTCGAATCTTTCCAATAAATCAATTTTTGGAATGGAATCAAAGGTTTTACTTTCAAGAATGGTTGATAAATCTGTCAACTTTTGTTTATAAGAATCTAAAGTTTTGTCTAAAGTTAAAAGTTTATCATCACCTCTATTCATTAACTTAGCTTTTGCTCTGTCATTTTCTTTATCGAAATCAAAGTTTTCAGCAACATATTTCTGTCTGATAGCACTGATTTCACTACCAAAGTCTAACATTCTATTTTGGATCTTCATGATCATATTTGAACCGTCTTCATAAAGTTTTTGTAATCCTTCTTTGGATAAATCAGTTTCCTGGATTTTGTTGTGTTTATCGATTTCATCTCTTTTGGACTTAATAATGGATAATTTTTCTTCGAAATCTTCCATAGTTGCATCGTCACTTTCAAAGTCCAACCATTCAATGAATTCAGAAACCATTGATTCAATAGGTTCAGTATCGATTTCCAATTCGTTGTCTTGAATGTAATTACGTAAACTGTAACATTCACTTTCCAACTTATTCTTGATGTTATCAAGTTTGATCTTCAACTCATCACGAGAGTCTAAATAATTCAACTTAGAAACCAATCTTTGTTTCAATGGTTTACTCATAGGTTTGACTGAAGGATAAATTGGTCTTGACAAACTGATTTGCACTGGTCTTAAAACCTTGATAGATTTCTTTTCTTTAGTAGTTGAATTCTTAGCTTCAACTGATTCATCTTCATCCACTTCAATTTCTTCCTCCTCAACTTCATCTTTCTTCAATAAATTCTTGAAAAATCCTGATTTCTTAACACATTCAGCTTCTAATTTCTTTAAATTGAAAAGCTTGTTGGAATCAACTTCGAATGAAGCAAAGATTTCTTTGGTGTAAGATTTATCATTGTTACAAGTCAAAGATTTAGTCTTATCTAAGATTCCATCAACTTTGTAACTTTTGATTAATTTCCCATCCTCATACATTTCAATATTCAAATCGTCAACTAATTCACCTAAGGAAACTTTTTTAGTTTGATCGATGGTTGAAAATTTAGGGAAAATTGATGATTCTTCTTCATTGACGATGATTTCCAAATTATGATAATTCTTTTCAATGATTTCAAAATCCTTATTGATGGAATTACTCAATTTATTCTTCAATTTAAAACCTTTAACAGTGGTACCAATGGCACAACTTTCATCAGCATTAACAGTTTTACTGATTTTATCTTCAGTTAAAAGTGATACCAAATGTCTTTGAACAAATGGAACTCTTGAAGATCCACCAGTTAATACCACAGATTCTAAATCTTCAACTGAAAGTTCAGATTCTTTCAAAGCATCTAAAATTGGTTTAGTAATTCTAGCCATATTATCACTATTAATATCTTCAAATTCTTGTCTTGAAATAGTGGTTTTGAAGTCTTCATCATCAATGACGGATTCTAAGCTGACACGATAATCACTATTGGCACTTAAAATGGTCTTGGCCTTCTCGGCAGCTTCCAATAATCTAGCATTGGTTCTGGCATTCAATTCTTTTGATTCGTCAAACTTGAATTGTGATGATAACTTTTCGAAAATCAAAGTATAAATGGATTGAGTTAAGAAATCACCACCAAATGTTGAATCATAACCGATATTTTGCAATTCTAAGACTTTAGTCATATTAGAAAATGCTGTTATGGAGAATAAAGTGGCTTTGGTTGATCCAGCTCCCATGTCATACACCATGTAATATTTCTTTACATCATTGAAATCTTTTTGATCAAAGTTCAATTTGGTCAAGAAATTAATAGCTACTGAAGTACCATCATCAACCAAACCTAAAATATTAGAATATTCAGCTAATTCCAAGGCATTTAAATAACTTTGTCTTTGAGCTTGAGATGCAAACCCGTTGATGGATACAGTGACATCATCAGCAATAGCTTGGGCATGAGGATTTTCATGTAAAGCTTTCACAGCTCTTTGTTTAATATCTTTGAGATTCATAGCTAAAATTTCTTCAACTGAAAATTGGTAGGATTGATTAGCTAACCCTAAATCGATCTTGATACCACCATTATCATCATTTTCCAATAATTTCACTCCGTAGTGATTCTTCAAATATTCTGTTGTTTCTAAATCATCAATTGATTTACCTAAAATTGATTTAATACCAGTAATACAATTTTGTGGGAATCTTATACATAAACTATTGGCAGCTGATCCGAAAACTCTTTCCAAATCATCTTTACTACTTGACCTTATACTTAAACCTGTTAAATCTTTCCTCCTTGCTTCCTCAGTCAAGAGAATTTCATATGAAGCACCTGGTGCTAAGATAACTGATTTGGTGAATTTTTCACCAAGATCAATTCCTACTATGGCTCCAAGACTTACAGTGAGCATGTAAAACACCGTCAATAAACCTTCAAATCTCATGTTTGTTATGATCTTCTAGTGAATGTTGTTTTCAAAAATTGAATCAAAGGTGTGAAAATGTCAATTCGAAATATATAAACGTTGAAGCTGTTCTTTAGAATTCTAATGCGCATAGTTAAATTCTATGACATAATTTGGACCATTTCAAGGGGAGGTCTTACCAAGTAAGTATAATCGGCTGGGAATGATCACAAACTATTCTTACATTTAAAGTTAGTGATATTCAGAAGTAAAGAAAGAAAATGTGGAATTTTGATCGAATTAATGAATTATGTCCAAAAACCAAATTTCCAGCTCAAAATTTACACCAAAAAGGGATTTAAAAATCGGGTGAAAACGTTGCTGTTATCTCAGAGATAAACGGATGTATTACATCACTCGGATTCGTCCAATAAGATTTCATTTCGGCCCATTTTCTTAGAATTATTTCAGTCTGGGATTCCCCTGTATGTGAGAGAAGGTCTCCGCGGTGAGGCTCTAAAATTACCCTGTAAAATCTCTACATAATAGCCATCTTCGACAGTTAAATCATTGTTGAAGACCACACTAATGAGCTGAAAGTAATCAATAAATCAATATGAAATTAACCCCCTGAACACTCTCTTCTAAACTTGCCTAAAATTCGAAAAATTCCTGGTAACAGTTTCCTCGGGAACATATCTGCGATGGGATAATAGGAAAAACTATAAATTGAAGAAATTTTCCTTATAAAAAATTGGGTTTTCATTAACTCCAACTCTTTGCGTTGTAAATCAAGTAAAAAATAACAATATGGATTCTGCAGACATTGAAGCTAGTAAGATGTACATTTCTTACAATAATGTTCATCAATTATGTCAAGAAAGTGCTGATAAAATTAAACAATTTAAACCAGACTTAATCATTGCTATTGGTGGTGGTGGTTTCATCCCAGCAAGAATGTTAAGATCATTCTTAAAAGAACCAGGTCAACCAAATGTTAGAATTATGGCTATTATTTTATCACTTTATGAAGATATTGATACCTTCGGTTCAAATGCTGAAAATATTGGTACTAAAGTTGTCAGAACTCAATGGATTGATTATGAACAAAGTAAAGTTGATTTAGTTGGTAAGAATATCTTAATCATTGATGAAGTTGATGATACTAGAACCACTTTACATTATGCCGTTTCTGAATTGAAAAAAGATGTTGAAGAACAATCAAAGGCTAAGGGGGCTGATCCTTCATCAACTAAATTTGGGATTTTTGTCTTACATGATAAACAAAAGACCAAGAAAGCTGATTTACCTGATGAAATTATGAATACTGGTAATTATTTTGCTGCTAGAAGTGTTCCAGATGTTTGGATTGCTTATCCTTGGGAATCAACTGATATTGTTTATCATACCAAAAGAGCTATAGAGCAAGATAATGATGTTTTCATACCATCAGATCAAGTATAAACTCCCCTGTATATTATATGTGATACTTCCCTTATTTAACTTCTAATCAATCTCTATATAATCGGGACTTCGTGAATGATTTTTTAATGGGAATGAATCATTATTTTTATCTTTCCTTTTTTTACTTTGTCTTAATGATTGACCTTGGCCACTAAATACTTCTGTTTCTTGTGCTTGTTGCTCATCTACTATCTCAGGTTTGGGTAAAACAACAGGGAACCCGAAAAATAATTGATTTTCAGGTACAGGGAAAGGTGCAGGAGGTAAATTAATATCTAAATCATCAACATTTATGGTTTTCTCTTCAACAGTTTTACCTGATAATTTTTGCCCTGAACCTCCAAATGTATCTTTGGAAGATGAAGCTATGTTAGCATAATTTAATGATTTAGCCATAGTTGCTGCACCAGCACCTTTATTAACACTTGAAGGCGTTATGGATTCTGTTGGTGGCTGAACTTTTGGTTTATATTCTGGTTCAACATATCCTTTAGGAGGAGCGAAATCAGTTTCTAAATCAGTTTCCACTACACAAATACCTTTGTTTTCACTTTCAGGTTTTGCTTCCAAAACTTTGATTCCATAAATTGTATCATTATAATTGACTTCAATAATATCATTAACGGTTAAAGTAGAAAATTTTCTTAAAACGTTTTCCAAAACAGCTTTAGGATCACTGATATCTAAGAAATCAACTGATTGGGGCTCAATTTTAACAAATTTACCTAAGGGTAAATCACAACTTGAAATTTGAATTAAATGACCAGGTTCAATCTCTAAAGTATTCATCATCCATTGAGGTATATAAGCTCTTCCTTCTTCAGCTACAAATTCCAACACCCCACTGTGGGTTGTTATTTGATTATTTTCATTTAATAATTCAAATAACATAGGATATCTAATATGTAACATAGTTAACTTATTTAAAGCTGATTGAGGTAAGAAGATTTTACCTCCAAAATTAGCATCATCTTTCCTTATATGATCAGGCATCATAGCAATTGGATAAACTCTGAAGTAATCTTCAAATTTGTTGTTCATAGGAACACCAAAAGATCCAATATTACCAAAACCTGAACCAAAACCTGAAAACATCTTTAATCCTACTGATGGCAATTTCGCGATAGATCAAAGAGAGAGACAAGTTAAAAATGCGTTTATTTAGATGCGACGGTATGATATACTAAACAAGGAACCTTAATTACCACGAACAGTACTGTGAGTTTGGAAAACACTATTAACAATGTTTTGTTGATCAGGATCTAATCTCGAAATAAATTCTTGATAAACAGTTGGGTTTTGTTGTTGTAAACCAGTGATTTTATTAACAAAAGCTTCAAATACATTAACTCCATCAATTGGAGTAATTTTCATAGCTTCTAATTCAGCATCATCAACTTCAAATTCTTCATCCAAGTAATTTTCATCTTCGTCATCATTAAATTTAACTCCATATTCTCTATTTTGTAATTCTTGTTTGGTTTTTATAGCTACTGGTAATACTTCAACATTTGAAATTAATAAATCAATCAATTCACCAACCAAATCTCCATTGATTAAAGTTAAGTTACCATCACATAAGATGGATAATGATGTTAAGATTTGTAATTTACATCCGTAAACACTTTGGAAATCTGATGAATGTTCAATCCATAATTTGAAGAAATTATTGGTAAAGTTTTGTTGATTTAAAAATTCTAAAGTAGTATTTGGATCAACAATTAAAGTACTAAAGAATGTCCTTATAATTGATAAATAATGTAACATATAACCATCAAAGGCATCTTGATTCTTTAATTCGATGAAAATACCATAAATTTCGGTTAAAAATCTAGTTAAAAATGGTTTGAATCTATCACCTAAACCAATAATGATCAATTCTAACACTTCAAAAGAAGAATTTGCAAAAACTGGATCAACAGCATCACTCTTTAAAATTTTGAAACAGACAGTGATTAATGATTGAACGTATTGGTTATCAATACCAATATTTCTATTATTGAAACCGTAGCAAATAATAGCATCGAAGAAAGCTTCAAAATTATCAAAGAATTCATCAGCATAAGTATCGAAAGCTTCCATAACTAATGAATAACATTCCCAAATAATAGGGGAAACATTTTGATTGGTAACGACTAAACTTTCTAAAATTTCCATAGTTTCTGGTAAGAAAGCAACTTGAGCATTTTGAATAACAAAAGTGATTAAATCTTTCAAACCAGGTTCTAAGCTTGAAGCTACTGAAGGACTTGTTGACATAGCAACAACTAAAGTAGTGATAGTGTTGATAATACCACTTGCTTGATATTCTTTATCCATGTCAGTACCACCAGAATTTGAACTTTGCATTTCTAATAATTCATGGGCCAATCTTAAGAATTGTTCTGATAATTTACTACATAAATCAACAGCATAAGGTTCTAAACTTGTAGCAAATTTTTCAACGAACGATTCCATAATACTTGTTAAAGTATCACTTTCAATTGTTTTAGACATTTCAATCAATGTCCCCATTAATTGAGGTACTTGAGGTGATATGTGTTCAGCAACAGCATCATTATCAACTAAAGTTCTTAAAGCATCAACAGCTGTTAATCTTATTGGTAAATGATCTTGTTTTTGGAAACAATTGACAACTCCAGTGAAAATATCTTGTAAAACTTTAGTATCTTTATAACTATAAATGAACATAGCAATAGTATCACAAGCTCTAGCAGTTAAGAATGGGAATTTTGAAATGGTTTCATCTAATAATTCAGGATAAACAAAAGTATATAACAATTGATCAACTTGATCATGAACTGGTGATTTCTTCTTATCTAATTTATAAGAAATTGTTGATAAAATTCTGAAAGCTCCTTCAACTTTCTTAGCAATACTGATATCATTCTTATCTTTGGCTCTTTGATTGAAAATATCATTTATCAATGATAGCAATAAATTACTTGATTCATCGAATTTTTTTGATGATAATCTATAAACAAAACTTATAGATGCAACATCTGAATTATTACTTTCTCTATTAATATCGAAAAATCTTCTATAATATTCTTCAGGATCGTCTTCATATAATTCGATTGTTTCATCATTGGCACTTAAAGTTGGTAAGATAACATGACTTAAGATAGCATTCATTTCATTAGAAATCAAATTCCAACCTTCATTTTCGATCAATTGTTCCAAGAATGAAATCATGTGATATAAAGAACTTTCTGACAACCAAATTTTTTTCACTGACCAATTTTCAATAATTGTCCAATAAACCTTCAAGATTTCAGGAACAAATGTCTTTAAGAAATTCTTTGAAAACTGATTTTCTGATTTATCTCTTGTTGCAAAACCACCACCATGTCTGCTCAAAAATCTATGTAAATTACCGAAACACCATTTTACTGCTTTGATTCTGAAAAGTGTCATTCTTTCATCTTCTTGGACTTTCATAACATAATCAGGTAATGGTTTATTGATCAACATGATTTGATAATTACACCATTTACTTAAATTTTCATCATTCTGTAAATATGATGGTAATGATGAGAATGTTGTAAATTTGAAGATCTTAGTGATCAAATACATCATTTCATCAGTAACTGGGGAATCATTGTTCAATAAGTTGCTTAATAAATTCTCTAATGATGGGAAAGTTTCAACAGTTATTTCTTCCAAGATTGGATTTGATGAATTAGCTCCTTCTAAATGTGAAAATCTATAAGCTTTGGTATATTGGTATAAACAAATTAACCCAGCATTAATATGATCAATATCATCACTGATAATTAATTTCTTGATGATTTCAATCAACTCATCCCATTTCTCTAAGTTAACAATTTGATTTATAGCTGTAGATAATTGTAACTTGATCTTATTATTCTTGTTAGTTTTGATTAATGTTTCAATTAATTTATTCTTAATCAAATGTTTTTCATCTTCTTTGATACTTATAGGTAAATATTTATTATCATTAATGATCCAATAGTTATTAATACGATTTTTAAATAAGATAGCAGCACTTATTTGAATACCTGGTGAAATCGAATCATCGTTACATAATTCCAACAAATAAGCAGTGAATCCCGGTTGTTGTTCGTAAACCTTCAACTGTTGTTCACTTTCCTTACGTAATTGATAATTGGAAGCATCAAGCGTTCCTGATAACGCTTTTAATAACGTTTCTTTATCCATGTTAACAGTGCAAGTAAAAATTGATTTGAAAAATTTTCGAAGCTCGCTCTCAGTAAACTAGGTTGGTGTAACACTATTAAGTTGAAGAGTTGGGTAGTAGATTTGGATAGAATCGTTAGATGAATAGATGGATTACAAGACTAAGCTTGAAGCTGTTTGGATTTAGAGTTTTTTCAATTGTTTCGAAGTCTGTTGAAAGAGAGTTGTTTGTTGTCAATGACAATTCAATAGCTTACTGTAACATATTCAAATGTTCTCTTGAACGTTCTTCTTAAATCCTTCGACGTCTCTCGAGGTCTCTCGAGATACCTTAATTCAATAGTAACTGCCTCTAGTTAAAGCTCATAACATGCCAAATCTAACGCAATCCTGAAACTTCAATCCCCACTGTGGTTCCCCATTCTCTCGCTCTTCTCACATCGAGAAATTTTTCAAGATGAGCTCCAATATGAAAGATATCAAAGGATATAAAATATTGAACATTAATTTGAATGGCATAAGGCATCATGTACTCTTCAAGAAACACGAAAGTAATAAGAGTGATGACCGTTCTATATTCTTATGTAATTTACCCATTGCCACAGATTTTAAAACATTAAAAAAATTTTTTGAAAAGCATAGTATTGGTGCAACTATTGAAAATTTCACCAACAGTTATTTAACTGATTCTATAGAAGATATAGTTATTGATTTACCATCATTAACCAGTGATTTAAAAGATCCCGAAGTCAATGAAAGTTTTAAATTACCTAAAAACTGTGGGGTTTTAACATTTATCGATAAAGCAGCATTTCAATTAGCATTCACAAACTTAAACAAATTAAGTAATAAAGAAGAAATAATAGATTGGCCCATCAATAGCAATTCTTTCGGATCCTCCTATTTCTTAAATCAATATCAATCACAAATCCTCGATATTCAAGAATTATCAAACGATGTCAATCAATCCTTGATTGATTTTGACCAAGCAGAAAAGGAATCCATGGAGAATTTCCAAAATCAAAAACAATTGGTTGATGATGATGGTTTTACATTAGTTGTTGGTAATCAAAGAAAGACTAAAGCTGGTATTTTAGGTAATCAACAACAATTGAAAAATAAATTAAATAGTGAAAAAGTCCAAAAGAAAGAAAAGACTAAAGAAAAGGAAGATTTCTATAGATTCCAATTGAGACAACGTAAGAAAGATGAAATGAATGATTTGTTAAGAAAATTCAAAGCTGATCAAGAGAAAGTCCAACAAATGAAAGAAAAGAAGAGATTCAGACCTTATTAGTTAATGCTCTTCGTCCATCCATACCAAACTTTTTGTATCATAGTCATTTTTTGGTTCTTTTATGTCGTCTATAATGAAAGTCTTTATGTTCTCACCCTATCTCATTAAAATCTCTGGAAATCAACTTATGTCTAATACAAAGTCTAAGTCCAAAACCAATTGGTTACTGGAAGATGAACAACAATTGTTAGCTCAAAAATTGTATGATAATTACATCAGATGCACTGATGAAGAGCAAGATTTCCAAATATTGTCTACCATTAGATATGATCCAAAATTATCTGCTTCAGTACCTGAGACTGTAGATGAGATAAGTGAACTGAATTTTTTCCTTTTACCTGAACATTATCATAGACTCCAGTACAGTTTCGAATTCTTCACTCAAGGACAGCTTGATATGCTGAAAGAACTTATGGTGACCAAATTGATAGGTCTTATAAGGGATTCCAAGGTTGAGGTAACGAAACCATATAGAATACGATTCTTAACCGGTTTGAAAGGAGAAATCAATATGGAGATCTATGATACAGTAGAAAGAAAATTATTGGATGGCTTAGAAGATAACCTCGATAAATACATTGTGGGATTGGATGATGATATTTGGGATGTTTACGTGGATAGTGAGCCAACATTGATTTCTCCTTTTACTTCATTCAAAACCACTCACCGTCCACATTATACCAAATCTAGACAAAATCATTTGCCAGGAGTAAAGACTCAAGAAGAAGTTTTGATTTGGAATACCCAACAAACTTTAATGGAAGGTTCTATAACGAATTTCGCTATAAAGCTTGATGGGAAATGGGTAACTCCAGAATTAGCATGTGGATGTTTATGTGGAGTTATGAGACATTTCCTTTTAAAAAACGATTATATAAGTGAAAGTACTATCCATCGAAGTGAAATCTTAGTGGGCGATGAAATACTTTTGTTCAATGGAATCATGGGTGTAGTTAGAGGTAAGATTAAGTCTATTCCTGATATATAACCGAAGTTATGCATTGATCTATACTCTATTAATTTCTTCATCTGTGTAACCTAAGATGTAAAGAACATCAGATAAAGTATTGGAGTTCAATTTAGATGGAGCTAATTTTTGAACCTTAGGTTTGGCATTCCAAGCAATACCAAAATTTGCAACACTCATCATCTTTAAATCATTTGCACCATCTCCAATAGCCAAAGTGGAATTGTTATCTATATTGTGTTTCTTGGAAATCTCTAATAATAATTCGGCTTTTTTATCACCATTGACAATTTCTCCAATTACTGTACCATCTAAAACACCATTGTCATCAACACCTAAAACGTTAGCATGGGCATAGTTTAATTGAAGGGTCTCTTTGATATAATTGGCTAATTGAATGAATCCACCTGAACAAACAGCCAATACGAATCCCTGAGATACTAAGAATTTACAAAGTTTTGGGACACCTTCAGTGATTTGAATCTTGGTTTTCAATTCATCCCAAATTTTAGTTGAGTTGATTCCCTTTAACAATTTTACTCTTTCGTACAAAGATTGGTTGAAATCTAATTCTCCATTCATAGCTCTTTCAGTGATTTCTGCTACTTTATCTTCGATATTAGCATAAGCAGCTATTAATTCAATAACTTCTTGGTATATTAAGGTTGAATCCATATCGAAAACCACTAATTTCTTTGTTCTGGTTTCAACTGATTGTAAAATGATATCAATTTTAGTGTCTTTAGTGATCTCGTCTTTAATCAAATTGGAGATGCGTTCTACATCTTGTGGAGTCAAATCTGTGAAGTAGTCAGTTGCACGAGATGATAGCGTCTTTTCTGAAGTGACTGTGACTTTCCATTCGGAGAAAAACTTGGAAGCGATACTCTGATCAAGGGAATCAGTATGAGAAATAACTGTTAATACGTGAGTCATGGTGGTAATTTTCGCATTGTCAATCTCATTCGATCTTACCTTATTGATTCATCGTGGGTTTGTCTTACAAGACGATTCCAAAAGTTCCAGACATTGGTTTTCTTGTTGACCTAATTTAGTAAGAAATCGGATCAATCATCGAAGTTGAGGAGAGAATTTATCATCTTCTCCAAAAAATCTTAATGGTTGCAAATTTCACATCCATTGCACTATGAGATAATCTCAGTAATTTATGTTTTTGAATATGGTATAGGCTCTGGTATAGGCTCTCCGATAACCACAACATTCCGGAGACTCTTCGAGGTATTTTTCTATTAATTTTGGTTTTCAGAATTATTATAAAACTTTTTTCATTAGAATATGTGAAATTCACACTTACCAGAGATATATTAGCTGCAAAAAAACTACAAAAAAAATGGTTAGTAATGGAATAAGACTAGGACTTCTTCAATTTACGGCAAAGAATGGATAAGCATGTTAATACCACCATTATCTACCATATTCTTGCTTCTCCATGATTGGTGGGAGCATAGATCACGCCGCTAAATGATTTCTCGTTTAAAGAGCAATTCTCCAGTAATCTCATATAAATTGAGTAAAACACAGAGTTTAGGAAAAGCAAATGTTAAATAATGTTTAGGAAATTTTCAACTACAACCATTAAGATGGGTAACAAGCCATTGAAAGAGACTAATTTATTCAAACCAATCAAGGTCGGTGACAATACATTGAAGCATAGAATATCTCATTTACCATGCACTAGATTCAGACCAGAGAATCAAGTCCCCAGTGATTTAATGTTACAATACTATGACGATAGAACTAAATACCCAGGTACTTTGGTTGCCATTGAAGCTACCTCAGTATCTAATGAAACAGGTAGTGGTAAAGCACCAGGTATTTATACAGATCAACAAGTTCAAGCATGGAAGAAGATTGTAGATAAGGTTCATGAAAATGATTCATTCATAAGTGCACAATTATGGCACATGGGTAGAGAAAGTGATCCAAGATATTTACAGAAAAACGGTGCCAAATTTGGGTCAGCATCTCCTATATATTGGAGTGAACAAAGTAAGAAGTTGGCCGAAAGAGTAGGAAATCCTATTGTTGAATATACTCAAGATGATATCCAAGATATTATCAATCAATTCGTCAATGCCACTAAAAACGCCATGAAAGCCGGTTTTGATTATGTGGAACTTCATCATGGTAATGGTTATATTTTTGAACAATTCTTGTTTCCTGCTTCAAACGTTAGAACTGATAAATACGGTGGATCCATTGAAAATAGAGCTAGATTAACTTTAGAAACCTTAGATAGATTATTTGAAATTATTCCTGCTTCGAAAATTGGTATTAAAATAGCTCCTTATATTAGTAATCCAGGTTTCTTAGGGTTCAACGAAGAAGTTCATCCCATCGTTACTTACGGTTATTTGTTATCAGAATTACAAAAGAGAGCTGAAAAGGGGAACCAATTGGCTTTCATTTCAATCAGTGATGCTAGAACTGATGAAGTTGATTTGAATCCCGAATTAAAATCCATTGATTGGATCAAAAATATCTGGAAGGGTGTGATTATCAGAGGAGGTAATTATTCTTATGAGACTGGGGAAATGACAAACATTTTCAACGATGTTAATTATGATGACAGAACCATGATTGGTTTTGGAAGACATTTTGTAGCCAACCCTGATTTAGTCGAGAAATTAGAGAACGGATGGGACTTGAATCAATATCAAAGACAATACTTCTATACTGGAACCAATTTAGGGTTCAACACTTATCCAAAACATGGAGAAACTTTGGAATTTGATGAAACAACCGAGAAGGCAAGAAAACCAAAAGCTTTGGTATAATGTTTAGATGAATAAATTTATTTCTAGAATATCTATATGCTAAACATCTATTGATCATATCCTAAACGTAAGTCGTATTCACTTAAACCAATTGATTTCCCTAATTTGTCGAAATTTTCCAAGTAATTACTCCATTTCCTATCACCCATTCTATTCATTTCTCGCCAATATTCATCATGGTTGTATTCGAAATCAATACCACCATTAAATTCTTTATCTAATTGTTCGTAAGGCACGAAATTTTCGAAAGGTTGATCATAAATGGTTTTCAGTTTAGTATATGGATCAATGAATGGACTTACAAGTTTGAAAAAAGTATATCCAATCCACGGGATGTTAGTAAATAAACCTCTTCCCAATCTTTCAGGATAATGATGTTGTAAAATATGCAAAACTTGTTTCGAGATTGAAATTGATGGTAACTTTGATGATAATTTTAATTCTGCTGGTGCCAGTTTAAAATCTGTCATTAATGCTAATTTATCTTGACCTGGTGGCATAAACTGAATCACTCTCTCCAACATGAAAACTAAATGTTTAACTTGTAAAATTGAAGGCTTAGTATTTTGATAACCATTTCTTAAGTAAAGACATGGTCTGTTATCGTTGTCATAACCAATGATTAAATTCTTTCCTGTAACATTTTCAGCTTCCACCATGTCTGGGGTAATAATATCAACGTCATGGTTTGATAATGGTACAAGACCAAAAGATCTTCTCCAGAGTATGGTTTCTTCGATTCTTTTTATAGCATGATCCACTTTCCATTTGGTGGCATTAAGGTATCTCAAAAAACATTCTTTGGTCAACCAAGCTTTTTCTAAATCCACCAATTTTTCAGTTTTGTTAGTATCAGGGATGGCAAACTCTTTATCCAACAGATTTTGGAAATGAGCTAAAACTTCATTGTATTTTTCAGTTTGATCTGCAGTTAATTCCAATGAGGGTGGTTTTATAGGATTAATGGGAGTGTTGAATGGCACTGATCTTTTGACTAATTTTATATTGTCCGAAGGAGCCACCGAAGTTTCTTTGGTACTGTAAGACCCTTGTTCACTATCGGACATATTCGTATATGAAAAGTTGCAGCTTCTATGCTTCGCGTATATTTAGAATGGTGTACGGGTCTATATATCTTCATTATAGTCAACATTGTTTAAAAACGATGTCAAAGTATCATTAAGTTTATGGAGATTTTGTGATCTTTTCTGTAAGTCGGTTAAGTTGTTGTTCAAGTCGGTCAAAGTCGAGGAGAATTCATCGTTTTCTTCAAATTGAAATCGACTATCTTCCATAACATTAACCTTCTCGTGTTTGTTTACTCTAACATGAGTGAATACTTCTCTTTTTGACCTTTCTTTTGACATTTTGGACTTATTTACATCAATAGTCTTCTCCAAATCTTTCAAATAGTTTTTATCTGCTTGAAAATTGTCATTCAATCGTTCATGATACTTCTTCAATTCCTCTAGTTGTTTGATTTCAGCTGATAAGTATGTTTCAAGCCATTTCTTTCGATGATTCAAATGATCATAATTCAAAATATCTAGATTCTCGTCATTTTTGTAACTGGTTGAATGCATGGAATGTGATTTTGGTAATGTTGTAGAATTCAACCTTGTTATGAAAGATCTTGGATCATCCAGGACCCATGATTTGAGTAAATATTTCTCTGCAACTTTAGATTTGTTGGCATTAGACAATCTTTCCAACGACTTCACTATTCCGATATCCATGATTTTAGTCAATGATGAGATAGTTGCAGAATCTAGATAATCCCAGAATTTCTCCATCTGGGATGGTGGGATTCGCTTCTTGATAGTTTCATAATGAATTGAATCAGGACTGAAAGGACGTTTCCTTGAATCTGTAATGGTCGACTCATTGGGTTTATTTATGTTGTTATCTTCATTGTTATCATTATTGTCATCACTCAAATCATTGGCACTATTTTTTGCTGTCTCACTATTCGATTCGGTATTTTCCACCCCCTTAGGGATATCTTGATTGTTCTGTGCTTCATCGTCATGATTTAATGGTTCCTGTAGATTTATTCTATCATCATCTTCCATCTTGAACGCGTAGATCAAGTTCGCATATATTATCTATTTATGTGCTTCACAGCTTCCTCAACTTCCAAATATTTCTTGTAGATGAAACTTTTAGAAACGAAAAATCGGCTACTGAAGTGACCAAAAAGGAAATCTTCAATTACGAAAATATCTCTTTGAGTGATCTTTGGAGGATTCTTGAAATAATCTAAATATTCTCTGTCTTTATCATTATTCTCATTATCATTATCTATGTCTATATCATTAAAATCATTATCATCAACATCATCTAGATTAAAGATAAGTTTCAATCTGTCTTGCATAATTGAGCTACCTAAATTTTTGGTGAATACCTTTTTATTAAGATATTCCAAATAACTTTGAATTTTCTTATCGTCATAACGTACCAATTGATTGATATCCTCATAGTTGGTCTTATTCATAAACTGATATACTTCATTGGATTCGAAAGTTTTGGTTTTAAGATTATTGAGCCAAGTCTGGTAGTTGATCTGAGGTGACAAATATATGAAGTATATCTTTATCATGAATATGACTGAGGAAACCAACATCAACTCAGGGAATTCTAAAGTGAAATCCATCTTCGAGACCAAAGAATTTGTTAAGACAAAGATCTCAATACTATTGGGTAATAAAAGCAGCATGGTAGTTTTCAACAAGAAAGGGATGTAGTAGTTATATTTAGGTCTACTCAAGGATATCTTGGAAGCAAATTTGAGATAATGCAGTATAATCCATGCTTCACTAAGACCAGCAAATTTTATATTGGTGTAATAATCGAAAGGGATTCTAGCCAACTCTTCGGGGGTCAACAAGTGATAAGTGTCATGACTAGGTAGCACATTTGTTCCAATCATCTCTATCAAGTCATCAAAGTATAATGGAACATAGTTCAATTGTACGATTGAATAATATATTGTAAGAATGGTATCATTGATGTTAGGTAACTTAGTGTTTGACTTGATTTGGAAATTTTCACCATCTCCCATACTGTCTTCCAGTAAATGGAACTCTAAAAGCTTAATCCAGTTTAATTTCACCACTGTCTTTAATGTGTTGGTGAAATCATCAGATGTTTGAAACTCTTCATTGAGGAACAAAATAACACTTTGAAGTTGTGATTGAAGTATTTTCTGTAATATTTTGAGGTAAAATTCTTTACCAATATTACCCGTCAACCTGGCAACGTGAGCCTTTTCCCGTTTCTTTCTTTTTGCAACAAGCTCACCTGTTTCACTAATTCTCAAATCCAACTTTTTGGTTACTACAACTTCTCCATCTTCATCGTCATTGATTTGTATATCTCCCTCTAAAACATGACCAAACTGACAGATTTTAAGACCATCCACCACTCTATAAAGTCTCGAGGGACAGTTATTAGTCCCACAGACCGGCCCCTTGATATACGATTGAGACATATTTGCAGTACCGATGAGAATCTCATAATAAAGACAACATCACGTGATTAGGTTTACAGCCTCTTGAAAAAAACTGCGACTTTTTTCTTAGTTAATTGGGGATGTGGTCTAGTGGTATGACATTTGCCTTGCAAGCAAAAGGCCATCGGTTCGATTCCGGTCTTCTCCACTTACTTTTTTTTTCTTCAGTTTTTTTTTCGTCAAGAAGAATTCAAACAAGTTTTCTTGAGTTGGGTAATTAGACAAGAACTACAATCCAATGGTGACCTTCGTTATGTAACGTGTGTGGTCAAATCACATACATCAAAAAAGTTGATCTGAACGCAGAATAAACTTATGCGTCTTCAAGTAGAACTCAGGTCTGTCAATTTGAGACAATCGCTTATTATTTCAGCTTGTTATCGATGGCTCTTAGGAACAAAGCTTAACTATATTCTCAGGTCGATCACACCACCACACTAAACGAGTTGCCGATCTCGCATTTTAGGATTACTGAAGTTATGGGGTTTTTGCAACCGAAAAATGTTTGACTGGGGTTCGGTTGTAAACCCAAACTCCAGAAAAAAGGAATCGTTTACATGGCGAAAGATGGAGAAATGCAATATTTAACGGCTGAAGGGCTTTTGGAAATGAAACCTGGTGTATCCGACCTTGCCAGCATCTCTTCACCTAAATCCACATCAGCATAATTTCCGTTTTGTTTAAGCATTGTAGTAGTTATAGAAAATAGCCAATGAATGTGACGGTATCTCTCCGATCACCAGAGATTGTCGGATCCGACATGTTCGTTTTTGATTTGGAAGAATTTGTCATTCCATATGAACTACTCTGACAATCTCTGAGAATTGTGCAACAATTGACACACAAATTATGTCTAGGAGGTGTTCAATTCTTAAAGAGAAGAGAACTCATCGGAGAATTGAAATATGGGGTAAATCGCGAAACGGTAGTTCATTTGCCCGATGTTGATTGATCAACAAAAGAGCTAAGGGTAACCTTCTGCTAGTTAGAAGATGAGGTGAAAATGCCAAAATAAAAACGCTAAAATCTTGTTTTACATTCTGTTGGGATTTGGAAGCATCGGTGATTGAAAAAATTGGGGTCAACCTTAATCTGGCATTTGAAGGAGTGCTTAATACCGAGCAGAAAATCAAGAAAATGTCCCTTATTTTTTTGCGCTCTTATCTGTCACCCTCTATGTTCATACGAAGATTGGCTACATATTACCACCACTCTTGAGCTTTTGATAGTAATCAGAACACTCTAAGGCCAAAAGTTGAACTTTAACTTTAGTGGCTTGAAAAATAGTCCATCTCATCTATTTCAAATCAAGGAATTCATCGGAGCTAAAGACCGAAGAAAAAACTTTCAACGTCCACGCGTTAAAGAAACACCGAGCTTTATAGTCCCCCTATTTCTATAATATAGAATAATGAACAACAACGAAATTAAATGAATCACTAGATCATGATTCCAAGTTTCAGAATTAGATAATGAATACATTAGGTAGATCATTACGTCAAAATCATATTTGATTTTAGAGTGGGAGCTTAAGTCCTTCGTATTTATTGATTAAATGTTGAGGTGATAGCGAATCACAACTCCGAGCCCCCGGACTTTAGAACTAAGAATTTGGTAGTTACAACAATGAAATCCAATTAAAATTCAACTTCTAATTCCCCTCTTTGATGATTTATGTGGCATCCCCAGATTTTTGAAAAACTATAAATTCTGAATAATCTCCCGAATTATTTTAGTTGCTATATAATTCTTCTGAATTTTTTTTAGTTTATTCAATTAGTAAAATGTTTAGAAGTTCTACTTTTTTAAAGGCAAATCTTAAGAATGTTAGATTTAACTCTTCATTACCATTGTCAGTTAAATTAAACTTACCAAATGGTATCAGTTACGAACAACCAACTGGTCTTTTCATCAATAATGAATGGGTTAAACCACTCCGTGGTGAAACTTTAGAAGTTACTAGTCCTTCAACCGAAGAAGTCATTACTAAAGTTTACCAAGGTTTAGAAGATGATGTTGATGTTGCCGTTGCTGCTGCTAAAAATGCTTTTGAAACCACTTCTTGGGCCACTGGTGACCCAACTGCTAGAGTTAGAGCTTTATTAAAATTAGCCGATTTATATGAAGAACATGCTGAAACTTTAGCTTCAATTGAAGTTTTAGATAACGGTAAATGTATTGCTAATGCTAGAGGTGATGTTGCTTTATCAGCCAACTATTTAAGATCAGCCGCTGGTTTTGCTGACAAAATGCACGGTGAATTCATTGAAACTGGTAATACTCACTTAAATTACACTAGAAAAGAAGCCATTGGTGTCGTTGGTGCCATTGTTGCTTGGAATTTCCCATTAATGTTGTTATCATGGAAATTAGGTCCAGCTTTAGCTGCTGGTAACACCATGGTTATCAAATCTGCTGAAGCCACTCCATTATCTGCTTTATTCGTTGCCAATTTAATCAAAGAAGCTGGTTTCCCAGCAGGTGTTGTTAACTTCGTTACTGGTTTAGGTCCAACTGTTGGTGAAAGAATCTCTACTCACCCTGACATTGGTAAAATTACCTTTACTGGTTCTACTTTAGTCGGTAAAAGAATTATGAGAAATGCTTCTGAAACTGTTAAGAAAGTCACTTTAGAATTAGGTGGTAAATCTGCTAACATTGTCTTCCCAGATGCTGATATTGACAGAGCCGTTGAAAACATTTATCCTTCAATCTTCTACAATACCGGTGAAGTTTGTTCTGCTGGTTCAAGATTATACGTTCATGAAGATATTTACGATGGTTTCATTTCAAGATTACTCGAAAAAGTTAAAACTATCAAGATGGGTAACCCATTCGATGAATCAGTTGTTATGGGAGCTCAAAACTCCGTTGCTCAATTCAAGAAAATCTTGAAATATATTGAAATTGGTAACGCTGAAGGTGCTAAATTATTAACTGGTGGTAAAAGACATGGTAACAAAGGTTATTTCGTTGAACCAACCATCTTTACTGATGTTAAACCAAACATGAGAATTGTTCAAGAAGAAATCTTCGGTCCTGTTTTAGCTGTTTCTAAATTCTCAAGTACTGATGAAGTTATTAAAGCTGCTAACGATTCTACTTACGGTTTAGCTTCAGGTATCCACACTTCAAACATTAACACTATTGCTAAAGTTTCAAGTCAATTGAAAGCTGGTACTGTTTTCGTTAACACTTATAACGATTTCAACCCAGCTGTTCCATTCGGTGGTTTCAAACAATCTGGTTTCGGTAAAGAAATGGGTAAAGATGCTTTAGACTCTTATATCCAAATCAAAGCCGTCAGAGCTGGTATTTACTAAACAATCGATCAAAATTATTTATGAATAAAAAAGTCATGATTCAATCCTTTGCCGTTTCGTCTCTTCAGCTCTTTGCCTCTTGACGCTTTAAACAAGCCGTTGAAAATCTCTTATTTAGACAACATATTTCTTGGTTTATTTACTACATCACTTTGGTCTCTATCTCCGAGACCTTTATCGGTTTCCCTTACATTATAATCTGATCCTGGAAAGATCGCACCGTTGATCACATGATGCTGTGACTGTTTTTTCTCAAAACGCACAATTGAACCATACACGATTTTGTAAGAAGAATTTTTCAAACTTGAAACCTTCTCACACTGAAAAAAATTTCATAAACTAAAGAGATATCATCAAAATGGTATGTTTAATTAAATGAATTACTGAATGACGCCTGTTCATTCTTTTCTAGTTGATAACTTCAGACAGTCTATATGTATGTTTCCAACTGTTTATCATGAGAACAGTAGATTATAGTCTCCAAATAGATTATGTAAAAAAATTGTATTAATGATTGGAAAAAATGAAATAAACCATGTCAACCACCAATGCAAGTCATTTTATTGGATTCATTGATAGAGAAATTCTATCTATGAATGATACCCTTCAAATTATAGCATTTCATTTCACTTAACAAATCATAGCATCAGTAGGGGAAGACTAGATAAAATATAAAGAATTTTATACTAACAATTATAGAGTGACTCAGTTACTATCAGAACTCGTAAAGTTATTTCAAACCCATTATTAGCCAGAAGACAATTCGTCATTGATGTTTTACATCCAAACAGAGCTAACGTCTCAAAAGATGAATTAAGAGCTAAATTATCAGAAATCTACAAATCTGATAAAGATGCTGTTTCAGTTTTCGGTTTCAGAACCCAATTCGGTGGAGGTAAATCAACCGGTTTCGGTTTAATCTATGAATCAGTTGCTGATGCCAAAAAATTCGAACCAAACTACAGATTAGTTAGATACGGTTTAGCTGACAAAGTCGAAAAACCATCAAGACAACAAAGAAGACAAAAGAAGAACAGAGATAAGAAAATCTTTGGTACTGCTAAAAAACACGCTAAAAAAGTCGCTAAAAGAAATGCTGAATAAGTTCATTAAATTGTTAATATGTATATTAACCTAATATAAAGTTCATTTGTACGAATCAATCCATTCTTAGTTTCCTCTACACATCTGTATAAGATGTTGTTGTGAATAGTAAAAATTCTCATCGCACTCCATGTCAGAAAGGAAAGCCATAAATAAATACTATCCTCCTGATTATGATCCCAGTAAGGTTTCGAAGGTCAAGAAACCTACGAAGATGAAAGTCAGGTTGATGTCACCTTTCTCTATGAGATGCTCAACTTGTGATGAATATATCTCATCTTCAAGGAAGTTTAATGCTACTAAAGATAGTACAGGAGATTCATATATGGGGGTAAAGATTTATAGATTCACATTACTTTGTCCCATGTGTAATGCTAAGATAGTGTTCCGTACAGATCCCCAAAACAGTGGGTTTGAGCTAGAGAGTGGAGCTATAAGGAATTTCCAAAAGAAGATTAAGCCTTCAGTGATTGAGACTACTGAACAGACATTGGAAAGGTTATTGAAGGAATCTAAAGAGGACAACAAGTATAAAGAATTGCAACAATCAAGGAAGAAAGACCCTTTTGCTAAGAATCAAATAGAAGATAATCTTGAATTAAAATTGCAAGAACAACAACGACAGAATGAAATCAATGATCAACTTGAGTATTTGAAAGCTAAGAATGAAAGAATTCAAAATTTGAATTCCCTGGAGATAAAGATAAATAACAAGGAAGACGAGTTGATCAATGCATTCAATAAATTTCAGAAAGAAAGGTCTAATAATCCAGAACCCAAAGTAAGAGTAAGCAAAATCAAAGTGGAAAAGAAGATGAAATTAACCAAACCCCTGAAGAGCCACAAGGCCAGTACAAGTGAAGCGATTACAGAGAAGAACAGCACCAAGACGAACCTCCCTACAAAAAAGACCACTGAAAAGAAGTCAAAGATCGAAATCAAACAAGGTTTAGATTTAGGGTATTCTTCAGAATCCGACTAATGACGTAATGAATATATATAATACAATACTATGCTAATTGAAAGTGAAATCATTCAAAGTACCAGTGACCATCAAAGGTGGTTGGACTTGTTGATGATAGGTTTTTTGAATTTTGATCAAAGAATTTATTAATAAATTGACTTCATTTTTATCCATGTCCTTCCTACATAAACAAATACCTCTGATATATTCAACAGAACAATAATAGAAAGATCCAAGGATTTCATTTTCCCACATTTGAGGTATAAATTCCATTGGTTGTTCACAAGTAGCCAAATCTGATAAGAATTCAATAGCTCTTAAACTATTAAGTAAATAACCACTATCTTTTCTTGTGAATAAGGATTCCAAACCTCCATATAAAATCGTAACATCCCTACCAATAGCATCATTGAACGATTTGAATTTCTTTGTATTTGAAGGATCAATCTTCTTACCATCTCCATGTAAAATGTTTTCATAACCTATCCTTATATAACTTGAAATAAAACTATCCAACAAAACATTGAAAGTTACCGAATATATATCATAAGTGGTATATCCCCTAAATTCTTCCATATATTCTCCTATGGTTTCAACAATCCTTGCAGCCATTGGTTGAACATCAGAGAATTGGGATTGATTATCTTCATACCAAGATTTAGTGAATAATTTCGATAAAGCTGGGTACAAATCATTGATTATTATATCAACTATAGCTCTTATAACTTGAGCATTCAATTCAGTACTTGGAGTAACAGTATCTTCAAAAGCTTGTTCTATCTTCAATTGGTAATTACTATGAACTTTTTCTTTATATGTGGGTAAGAATCTGTCTTGTAATCTATCAGTATTGATTTCAAAAGTGTTCCCTAATGCAGCAAGATATTCAATTAAACCTTCTTTTGAAATTGCCGATAATTGCTCTTGAGTCATTTCATCTAAATTGACAATATCTTTTTGACGTCTTCTGAATAATCTTCTGGTTTTACTTTCGTTGATTAAGAATCTTTCGTTATTATAAATCGACATATAATTATCAAATTCCTCATCAATAATTTCTTGATAATTTACTATACGTTTAATATAACAATGACTCCAATGTTCAATAACTCCTACCAAGATTTTACCATAACCTGAATCAGCAGCTACATCAGCTTGTTCTTTCAACATGGTTAAAGGAGTTTTGAAGTCAGGTAAAACATAAACGTTGGTTTCGATATCAAGCATAACTGGTTGATCGTTGATATCTTCATCATCAATAACTTGATGGTAATTATATAAATCAGGAGGTCCTTCACGTTGATTGAAAGTTCTAGTTTCAGTTTGAATAAGGTTTTCATTCCATTCTTCCATTTTTTGTAAAATGACCTTCAAATAATCATCCAACACCACATTCTTTAAATCTTCACCAATAATTGATTTATTTTGGGGCTTAATGACCGATTTCCTCTTATCACTGGTTTCAACAGTTTGTAATGCAAGTAAGAACTTATTATAATGAGTATCATAACTTAAAATACGAAGTAAATCTTCAGCTGGAGGATCAGTTTTAATGATATCCATGGTAAAATTATGAAGTTTATTGTAATAAACGTTCTGTATAAAATTATTGATTTCCCAGGATTCTGGAAATAACAATGATAAAGTATCATTAACGAAAAGAATCTCATCTTCTAGCCATTCTAAATTATCATAAACTAACATTCTATCTTGAGAATAATGATTTATACATAAATCAAAAGTTTCAATCAATGATTCTTCCAACTTATCATAAAAAAACTTCTTATAATTACGTTTAACAAGTCTTTTCATTCCATAATTAACCGTTAAAACGTTTTCTTTCAAATCAAGATTGTTCTTTAATAAAACCTTCAAATCTTCATTGGTCTCATAATCGATGATTTTGATTAATTTGAGTACTAATTGTAAATTTCCTTCTTTAACAGCTTCAGTCAATGAAATGATGATTTCTTTCAATAAGTCATCGAATAATTTAATGGTTTTACGTAGTGGGGATAAAATTCTTATGATGATTGATTTCATATCGTCAGAAAGTGATTGAGAATACGTTTCAAGATAATCTTGAAAATTCCTTACTTGGGTAAGATTATAATGGATTTTCAACATGTTACTCAAGGGATAAGTTATATCGTTGGTAATAATATCCAATTCATTATCAATTAAAGCATTTATATTGTCTAAGTTTCTCCTAAAGTTAGTAATATCATCGACCAAATGGTTAACTTGATTGAAATATTGATTTACTTTGGTCATTTTCATAACATCTTCGTATCCTTCAATTAATACGCTATCACCATGAATACTATTAACTTTATTGATTTCTGATTTGATGGTGGTTAATTTTTCACTGGAAGTATTGAGTTTGTTCAAATTCAGTATAATGGAATCGATTTGAAGTTTGGTGACATTATTCAATTTGGAATCAATGGTAGATTTTTCCTTTAAGAACTGGGTTCGAAGTTGAGATATCTTATTCAAATCATCTTCAATACTAATAAGATTCGATATCCTATTTAAGGCTCCTTCACTCATGATCTCTGAATCGATAAACAAATCGCGATCGCAAAAAGATTCAAAGGATTCACAGATTAGGAGATTCCTCGAGTAGGAGATTCCTCGAGTAGGAGATTCCTAGAGAAGAAGATTCCTAGAGTAGAAGAGTGGAGAACAATAGACTACGTAATTCATTACCTTTTACTATACCTTCTATGATTGGGTTGACCTTGATATTTATAATACTCATCGTCATCGGTTTGAGCTGAAATGGGTTGAGGAGAATTATAAGGGGAATAATTGGGAGAATATCTCACCGGACTTTGAGGAAACATGGGCATGAATTGCATGGGCATTTGTACTGGCATTCCTGGCATTTGCATTTGCATTGGTTGCATGGCCATACCATTTTGCATTGGCATCATCATTGGATTAACTCCATTCATCATTCCTCCCATCATTGGATTATAACCCATTGGCATCATTTGATTATTCATCATTCCTCCCATCATTGGATTGGCGGTTTCAGGTGGTGGCATTAATTCACTATAACTTTCATCTACTGTTAAATCCCACGTTGGTGGAGTTATAAAAGCTTTTTCAACGGTTTCACGATCAATAAACATATTAAAACTAGTTTTAAAGTTTTTAATTTTTTCAATTTGTGATTCTTTAGTTGGTATTTTAGATGATCCCCCAAAGAATTCTTGAGGTGAAATTTGATAATGACGTTTGTTTGAATATGGTCTGGATTGTGATAATCTAGGGGAATTATTTTTATAATCTCTATGATTTTGATTTTGATTTTGATTAGAATGATGTTGATTTTGTCCTGGTTGACTAAACGATTTAGGTTTAGTATAATTCTTATTATATGAATTATTACCTGATGATGTTGGTGCTGAAGGTGTAAAACTATTTACATTAGGATTAAATGAAACAGCATTAGGATTGAATGCAGGTTTTTTAGGATCCATTTTCTTTTTACCATCATCCTTTTTAGGTTCATCTTTTTTAACTTCAGTCTTTTTGACTATTTCATCTTGTTTAGATTTATCCTTTGATAATATTGGTAATAAATCATTAGGAATTTTATGAGGCACTTTGAAAGTTGCACTAAACTCTTTTAATGAATTGATTTCACTTTGAGCATTTAATCTGAAAGATTCTGTTGGTTTTGAAGGCAATTTACTGGAAACAATTGCAGGATCATTATGACCCAGATTTTTAGATTTTGATGGAATATACTTTTTATCCAAATTTACTGATTTCAAAGCTGCCATTAATTCATCACCTCGAGTATCCTTTTCTTCTCTTTGAACCCCACTGTATTTATCTTCTTCATCAATGCCACTATCGTCAATTTTACCTCTTTCTTCCATAATATGAGGGTCTGAAGTTATCGAGTGTTCAATCTCAAATGCCACTTGTTCAGCTTTCTTCAATCTTTCTTGATAATCTTTAGCTTCAGTGTTGATTCTAGTGGTATATAAATGCTCGTCATATGTTGATTCAATACCAAATTTATCTTTATTGGCTTGAAATTGATCCCAATCACCGCCGTCATTATCCAAGGTTAATTCTTTTCCATTATCCTCTGGCACCCATCTTTCCAATTCCCTTTCTTGGAATTGACGATTAGAAATATCAGAATCTGTCTTGAATCCTTTCTTCATGTTGCCGCCTTGTCAAAAAAAACCCTTCAATGTCTTCAATCTCCAGAACCAAATTGTTCAATCAAAAAACAAGTGGTGACAGTGGAAATGTTTTTTTGTTGACCGCGCGCCGGTAAATATTCGTCAATTGATCTCATAACGTTATGTTAGGAGATTTGCAGGTGAACCCTGGGGAATAAATGTTAACGGTCAATTAGAAATGTCAGAATTGTTATTTTATGGAAGAGATGACCTATGCCATTTTCTTGCAGAAAAAAAAAAAGTTCTCTAGATGGTGCAAGGAAAGAACAAGAATCTATGCCCAGGAATAGAGATGAAATTTAATCGTACATTATCATTACTTGTCCATAGTTTAACAGAAGAATTTCAAACCTGAAGAAATTTCAACACTATCGACATCCCAATAGTTCATTACAAATTCCTTCAAGAATTCAATATCACCTTCCGAATAAGGATCTAATTCTAAATCAACCAAATCAGAATAGTTGATTTCAACTTCTCCATGATATAATTCATCCATAACTATCTCATTGATGAGATAAATCCATTTTTTTGTTAATTTGTGGAAGAAACCTACAATTTCCACAAATTCCAAAACATCACCTTCAAACATTGTCAATTGAGATAATTGTGAATTGAAACTTCCTCTATGGTTGATGACTGGATGTTCGATCGATGGTACTGTATCTTCTCTTGTAACCACTCTATCTACTACATCATCATTCATTTGACCCGCAGATGCAAACCAACTAAATGCTGACCAAATATATTGAGTCCATGAAACTGGAGTAACGTTATCCCACCAACTAGTTTCATAGCCCCATCTAGTATTATTTACTTGGGATAAGTTTATTGATGAAGATGAGTTGGCAATGGAAGCTGCGTCATCCTTTAATTCTTCATAAATAACCTTAAACTTCAAATAATCATTGTATGTAGCTTTTGAAATGATGTTTTTACCTGATCTGATGGATTCATATGTCATTATTTTAGGTGTTTCATCAATTATGATAGCTATGTCATACACCGGTTGATTTAAAATGATTTCATCATTGGTAACAGCAATATAATGGGGAGGTAATTTCTCGATATCATTCAAACTTATGTTATAAAGTGGTTGAGAATAATGAGGTTGTTTGACATCAATTTTCATCGAAGGAATTAAAGATATAATTGATATTAAGTATGTGAATATAGCCAATTCATAATTATCTCTTTTGGACTTATTGACAATGATTATATTCTTACGGAGAAGACTCAATTTGAATATTCTGAAAATCAAAGGTCCAAATCTATTCAAAAAGGAAGGTAAACTCAATAACGGGGAGACAAATTTCCTTGGTCTTATATCTTCAAATTTAAATTCTGGGACTGTGAGTCTATCATTACCATTGATATAATCTGACAATAAATCATCTAAACAAGGTACGTACTGAAATCCATTGGAGATGAAACTATTTGGCATCCATGAATTGTTTTTAGGTTTACATAATACTCCAACACTGAACATTTTGATTTGATCTCTATCAGTCTTCATATTTTGACGGAACTTACTAACCCCATAATAAATCTCGTCATTATGGAAATGAGTAAAGGGAATTAAATCTTCAGAAAATTCTTCGATTCCTGAAGGTAAACATTTGAATTCAATACCGTCAAGAGAAATATCAATCGTTGACTTTGACCACACGATTTTATAACCCACTTTAACGTCAAATTGAACGAGAAATATCGATACTATTTCTGACATAGTGAATGATCAACGCGAAGTTTCTGATGAGATTGTTTTAGAGAGTTTCTTCACATTCGCCAAGGGATCGTATCAGGAAATGTATAGTTTATCATTATGCGAAAACTGCCTTCCTACTGATGCATTCCTTCATCTTCATGGATTAGTGACATTTCGAATTTACGACAAATTCATAATACCGTACATTGACTATTATGTCTATTAAATTAAATATTGGGAATCTACCTTTTTCTTAGGACATAAAGGTATGTATGACTGTGTGGATCATATGAGGTTCAATTGAGTTGACTCTAACTTCTCATTCTTAAAACGAAATTTACAACAACAGCTACCAATAAGAAGATACATAACATGGTTGGACCAAATCTATCATCATAAGGACCAGTACCTCTCATTCTGATAGCTTTAGCTCTCCAATGGTAAGTTATCAAAGCATAAACCATAGTTAACATAGCGATGAAAGTGAATAAACCAGCAGAGATTCTACCAACTGAATCACCAAAATTTAATAAACCAACACCTAATGAACCCAAGATAACAGTGAAGTTTAACCATGAAAGGAAGGTTCTTTCATTGGCGAAGAACACTTTTGGTTCGACTCTGGCTGGTAATGCTATTCTTTTGTTAGTTGACATGGATAATTAAATTTGGAATTTCTCAATTTCTCAATGAGCTTTAGATAAACGTGGGATTGTCACACGAGCGTAAAAATGGTATTAAGTTTAGTGATGTGCGGAAGTAGAAATACTGCGAGCCTTAGGTCCACGATAAGGGATCTTAATTTAGGAAAGTCTAACCCATTGCGAGCGGATTTAAAATAAAAGTATAGAGAGTTAAAACGTGTAAAGAGTTAAAAACTAAGAGGTTGAAATTCAAGAATCATTAGCATATATCTAGAAATTCTAGCAATAAATAAATAAATAAATAATAATAAATAACGTAACCTAAGTTCTGGTTAATTGAATGGAATGAGGAACAAAGTAACTATTGGTCTTATTAGCAACCCCAGCAAAGGCATTATAGAAACCTAAGAATGCAGTAATAACACCAAAAACACCACCAGCCCTAGCAACAGCAACTTTTCCTGTAAATTCACCAGCAGCTAATAATACAAAAGTCATGGTTAAAAATGAAAATAAGGCACAGAAGGCAACAGTTGATTTTAAAGTACACAAGGTTAACATAAAAGTAAAGATGGCCCAACCAACAAGGAAAAATCCAATTGCACTTGGTAATTGATCTTCATTATCGGCATAAGCAGCAACAATACCAAAACTTTCAATATGAATAGCACCAAAAGCTAACCAAAATCCACCATATGAAGATAATGCAGTAGCACCAAAAGTGTTACCAACCATCATTTCCCATAAACCTGCAAATAATTGAACAATACCCCCATAGAAAAATGTTAAACCAACAACAACATTAGGTGTGGTGATACCCATAGCTTGAGCATTATACATTGATAAAACAAAAGTAGTTAAGGCAAAGGCACTTAAACCTAAAGGACCAGGATTGGCAAAATTATGTTTTGGTGGAGGAGATAAACCAGGATTTAAAGAACCTCCAAATGCTTGCATTAATTCATGTCTTAAATATTTAGTGTTACCGATAACAACGTATTCGTTGTTGTCACCAGAAGTTTGAATTTTACCAACATTTTCACCACCGCTTTCAATTGATAATTTAGCTGAGTGGATTGAGTCGTTTGATGATACCATATTTGTGTGTTTAATTTTTATGGTCATGTTGCTGCGATTGTTTGAGTATTTATAATTTTTTTTATTAATGGGGAAGAGGTGGGTTGATTTTTTTTTTTGTTGAGAAAAGTCCGAATCCCTTTGAACGAGATTGACGGTGATTGAATAATCTCCGGGTTTTCAAGGTTTTGAAAGTTTAAAAAATATCGGGAACCAAAACCATAGCACTATATTGATGATATATCGACTTTTTATAACGATAAAATGAAAATTGTGTTGATGGTATGTCACTTTATGTTTGATATAAAATCCATCAAATTTGAGTTTCACTAAATTTTTTGTGGGGTTCGGTGCGGGCACTACGCGAAACAATTATACGAGATAATGACCAAGGAGTTAAAAACATAGTGGGTGAGAAAGTGGGTGAATAAGAAAAATTATTTAACATGAATAAACTCTATAAAAGTGGTGGTGGATCAGATGATGACGTTCTTAAACGGTATTGTCAAATTGTCTTATCAAATTCTTGTAATGTTTTTTACTTGCTCTTCTTCTTCTAAGCTTATATAATTTGGCAAAGATGAACTCATTACAGATATAAAGTGCCATATAATTAACCACACTTAATATGACCATGGTGAAATAGTATTTAGTGGGTAAGTTACGTAACTCAAAGATTTTACCAATGAAGGAATCTTCATCAGTTGCAAATAAAATCATTGAAATGATTATGAGGACAGTCAAAGTAACGAGATACCATTTATTCTTGATCATAGGTTCTCTATAAGGTTTACCTTCGTTCAATAGTATGGATATCATGATGTATTGGAAGTTTGAGAATAAGAATAATATGGTGTTATCGAAACTTTGAACCTCTTCATCATTACCAGGAACTGGAGGGACGTACCACGATTCAGTCTGAATGAGTTTCCAAATAATCACTTGATTGATCAATAAGATAACAATATCTCCAATCAAATTACCTAAAATCTTGACACTTACCAAATTTGCCGTAGGACGTTTTTTAATAATGAAATCACTTGGTTTAGACCATGACATGAAGATAGCTAAAGGTAAAATAAGCACCAAATCAATATACAAGAATTGGAAATCTCCTAAGTTGATTCCTCTTTTATATAAGATGGTGACAGTAATGAACTGGATAGCTGAATATAATGACATAAATTTGAAACTTGAAAAACTGGTAACCAAACTAGATCTTCCTTCTTTGATAACATCCAATAAACAAGAGATTTCGAAGATTCTTGAGGTGAAAGGAGCAGCAATAGAAGCCTCGGCTTCACTCAATGAAACTCCGACGTTAGCAGCTTTCAATGCTCCACAATCATTGGCACCATCTCCGATGAATCCCACAGTATAATCCAATTTTTGCAATTGATTGACCAATTCATGCTTTTCATCAGGTGACATTCTGGCAAAGATATCACAATTTATAAGGAACTTTTCAAAGAACTGGAAATCCTTGAATTTGGTCAACATGATTTTGAAAAATTCTCCTGTTATAGCTAACTTGAACTTGGTGACTTTGAAATCAAGTGGTAATAAAGTACGTGAATCAAGGACATTGTTTGGGTTGGTGATATCCTCCCAAACCAATTCTTCAATACTTTCATTATCATTGAACCTTGGAATATAAATAGTTTCCTCACTATCAACAATTCCACATTCTTTTCCTACACTGATGGCTGTTAAGATATTGTCTCCAGTACACATCACAGTTCTAATGTTGGCACTTTTCAATTTATGTATGGTTGGAGTTGTTTGAGATTTCAACTTATTTTCAAAAATAATAAATCCATTGAATTCCAATTGACTTTCATATTCTTCTCTTGAACTGTCGAATGTTGGAATTTCCTTAGAAGCACATGCAATTACTCTATATCCATTGTTGGTATAATGGTATAATAATTCATGGAAATCTGGTGGAATAGATTCAGGTTCACAAATATCCAACATAACTTCAGGAGCTCCTTTACAGAAGATATATTTGTGTTGCTTGTCAGTAACTAAAACACTCATTCTACGTAAATTTGAATCAAATTCGAATTCTTTAAGAATTTTACATTTACCGATATTGTTAACGATCAATGGGTTTACACCTTCAATCAATTGACTATCAGTGAATTGAAACATCTTCAAATCCAAAGGATCACCTAAAATCTCTTCATCAATTAATCTTAAGGAATGGCAAGTTGACATTAATTGTATTAATTTAGGTCCATTATTGGTTTCATGATCTTTAAACCCTCCTATTTTAATATCACTAATGGATCTACTTAAATCTTCAAACCTCATGACCTTTCTACCAGGTGCATTATTCACCACATGAACACCTAAAACATCTAACCCATCTTCAGTTAAAGTACCAGTCTTATCGAAACAGATAACATCAAGTTTACCACCAATATTAACTCTGGTGGGAGAAATACAGAATATTTGCAGTTTTTTCAATCTATTAATGGCAAATGTTGTACCAATAGTTAATGTTGCAGGTAAAGCTGGTGGTACTACAATTGTGATGATATCCAAACCTCTAAGAATCATTATTGATTTTGGTAAACCCAATTTGATGAAATTGTAAGTTGAGTAAAGGAACCCTAAAAAGGCAATTCCTGTCATGAAACCAATGTATCTGAAAGAATCTTCATAAAACTTGAATCCTATAGGTTTTGGGAATAACATGGATCTGATCAATGAACCTTTAGTGGTGCTAAATCCGGTCTTGACAACTAAAGCTTTAACTGGTTCATCATTAGTTGACTTTTGTTTCATTATCCTGGTACCATTATATAAGAAAGAACGAGATAACCCAACATGGAGGTTGTCCTTGATATTGAACAATTGATCATCACTTACAGCGACTTTCAGGATTGGCACTGATTCTCCGGTAAGCATAGATTCATTAACAATGGTTTCACCATTAATCAATAAAGCATCACAAGGCATAGCGTTCAATGAAGGGTCGATTTCAAAAATATCCCCAGGAACAAGATCATCGGAGCTGATGGTTTTCCAGAATTCATTTCTCCAAACTCTGATCTCACAACTGAATTTCGATACTGAAGATAATTTCTTCATGGTTGACTTGGTCTCAATCAAGGTGTTAACAATTGAAACTAATGAAATAATGAAGATACAACTGGCATAATAATAATAGTCATCCATTAACCATAAACCAATGGAAAATATTTGGAAGATATAGAACGGATGTAATACCTCTTCAACCAATAAGGAGCCAATAGATTTTTCTTCAATTTCAATGGCATTAGTTTCGAAGATAACTTGACGTTCTTCATAAGTGTTTTGTGATAAACCTTGCATTTTGGCAGTATGTAACCAAAGACTATCGTACCAAGTACCGTTGGTTTTGAAAATGTCTTCTAAAGGATGATAAAAGAATTTCAAATAACGATATTTGAAACTACATAAAGTTGGTACCACGGGATCTTTCTCTTCGTTTTCAGTCAAGTTGAAGAAGTTAGAAAGTCTTTCGTTATATCTTGTCTTCGAAACCGGAGCAATAGTCAATTCCCCATACTCATTTTCGATAACACACCAATCAGCAATTCCTAAAGGACAAGGAGTACCAATGAGATTTATACGATACCTGGGCATCCATCGAAGAATAAGGTATCCGATACCCAAAGTGAATATACAAATAAGATAATATCCCATCTTCTTGAGTAAATTATCTCTATATCCAGCAATACCAATAACTAAATCCTCTTCAGCCAAATAGTACCTTTGATTGTGAGTAACACAATCGAAGTTATCATCGACAACATAATCTTCAACTATTGGTGACAGAAGTGAGCTTTCACTATCTCTTCGTCTTCTTTCAGTTTCATAATTATTAATTTGCTCTTCTAATTCCCTTTCATCTTCTCTTTCTTCCTCCCATTCAACAGCTTCATCATTGATTTCATTAGTATACTTGGGATACTCCCAATCGGTATCATAATCTACATCTCTATCACCATAAGTAGAACCTCCAGGGGCTTGTTGGATTTCTTCCAAATTGAAAAAACGGAAATGTGTTTCTTCATTGGACCCTACACTCGAATGTGATTTTACACTTTCACCATCTAACAAGGGAGAGTTTTCTCTCGAGTACCCTTCTGTAGGTTGGCCAGTTAAACTATGAGTCCCATAACCATTGTTTACAACACTCGAAACTGGACCTTGACTGGTGCTATGTCTATGAGTACTTTGACGTCTACCTAAACTGTGAGGGTAATGAAATGAAGTTATAGATGAAGGTAAAATTTCCAGCCCTGCACCCGAAAAAATTTCATTATTTTCTACAGAAATATTAGAATCTACCGATTGCCTTCTATATCTGGACAACGAAACAGAAGAAGTAGAAGATCTGGTTCTAGTAATCGACCTAGACCTTGAAAGTGATCTTTCTCTAGACATGAGATGAAGTGCGATTTTTCTCAAGAATCTAAACTAATGGCAGGACTCAAATTGAAGTTAAGTTTGAAACCTCCGAAGGAATCAAAGGAATCGACGCCGAAGGAATCACTTCCAAAGTTGAAGATAAAACCCCTCAAAAGAGAAGATGAACCTAAACCCAAAAAATTGAAGATAAATATCAAAGCACCTAATTCTGATAAACCAAACACTATAATCATTGATGGGAAAAAACGTCGACCACCAAAGGTTCGTATTAAACCAACAAGAGTTCCAGGAGAAGGTTATGATAGTGAAGCACCTGATTTGGAAGATGATCCTTTGATAGAGAAAGGAATTGTTGTAAGGTTTCTTGATGATTCAAATCTTGATACTGTTCATAATGCTGTCGAAAGTAATGATTTAAGTGGACTTCAAATTGAATGGATATCCAAGAACAAAGCCATAGTAAAAATCTACAATTCGTGTTATTCAGCCAGATTGGTCGACTTACCTACTGTATCAGAGATTTATAAGACTGTCGATAAAAAGAATATTTTCAAAATTATAGATTTAAGTGAAATATTGATGGTAATTAAGATAATAAATCCTAAGGATTTTCAAGAAAAAGATTTTGAAATACCTCTGGAAAAGTTATATAACCATCCATTGTACAGACATTCACCAGATCATGAAATAAAGAAGTCCAGAGAAGTTATGAAAGATGGGTTAACACCACCATTAGAAAATGTATTTAGGAGATTTAAACCTAGAAAGTTAAATCATAGAGTTATGGAAGATATTGACAGTAAAGTAGATGAATTGATTAAATTGGATGCTGAATCCATTGAATCACATTTCGAGGTTGTTGATCCAAGACAACAACAACCCGCTACTAGATTTGCTTCACCTTCACCACCTCCTCAACAGCAACCTGTATTCGATGATGTTATAAGTCAAGATGGACTCGATAATTCAGATAATGACTTAGAAAATGAACTTGCCCAAGCCTTAGGTACTGATGTTGAAGATATCACTATGGAGGCCGCAACTCCAGGATATGAGGATGAAGAAGACGCCGATGACGATGATGGAGTCTCCGTAGATAATGGAGAAGATGAAGATGATGAAGATGATGACGACGATGAAGATGACGATGATGACGATGACGATAATGAAATAGGTAAAGGAGATAATCAACATATCAAACTTTTGGAAGAAGAAATATCTGATCTTTCTAAAGCTGTTGAGAATCACCGTAAGGGTTTAGAAAATGCTACCCAAAAAATGATGAGAATGAAGTTTCAAAATAACTATAATATGTTGAAAGCATCTTTAGATAGTAAAAAAAGGGAATTAGCTAAATTAAAAGAGAATTCTAATGCGGCTGATACCGAAAATCATTCTTCAGATGAACTCGTTGAAGAAGATGAAGACGAAGAAGATGATCCAGAATCTGACAATAACAATGCTGATGTCCCAGCTGTCAATGATGAAGACAATGAAGCCGGCATTGATGATCTTGATGATTTATTTTGATGAATCTAATGAATGTAAGGGAAAAAATTCTCAAATTCCGCACTCTCAGTTTGAATTCTCATCTCATTGAAATTTTTAGTTATAGTAGTGAACTATTCTAACTTAAGACTTATTGGTGAAATCCCAGAAGGTCATTTAACTAAATAATAAATCTTGGTTGTTCAAAATTTTCTTACTTCCTTCAAAAGGTTCAGAAAAAATCAATTTTTATTCCATCGGAAATCCCATCATTGAATCATATTTAATTGGGTAATAAATTCGAAAAATAATTATCATATCAAATGTCGACAAATTCAATCAAATTATTGACTGGTGATATTCATAAAGGATTAGCTGAGTTAGTATCCAAAAGGTTGGGATTAAAAATCACTCCTAGTGAATTAAAAAGAGATTCTACTGGAGAAGTTCAATATTCCATTGGAGAATCAGTTAGAGATGAAGACTTATTCATAATTTGTCAAATAGGTAGTGGGGTTGTTAATGATAGGGTTATTGAATTATTAATCATGATTAATGCTTGTAAAACTGCAAGTGCTAGAAGAATCACTGTGATATTGCCAAATTTCCCTTATGCTAGACAAGATAGAAAAGATAAAAGCAGAGCTCCAATTACTGCTAAATTAATGGCTGATATGTTAACTACTGCTGGATGTGATCATGTTATAACTATGGATTTACATGCTTCACAAATTCAAGGTTTCTTTGATGTTCCAGTTGATAATTTATATGCCGAACCAAGTGTTGTTAGATATATCAAGGAAACTATCAATTATAAAGAAGCTATTATAGTATCACCTGATGCTGGTGGAGCTAAAAGAGCTGCTGGTTTGGCTGACAGATTAGATTTGAACTTTGCTTTGATCCATAAAGAAAGAGCTAGAGCTAATGAAGTCAGTAGAATGGTTTTAGTTGGTGATGTATCAGATAAAATCTGTATAATTGTTGATGATATGGCTGATACTTGTGGTACTTTAGCTAAAGCAGCTGAAGTTTTATTAGACAACAAAGCTAAAGAAGTTATTGCCATAGTAACTCATGGAATTTTATCAGGTAAAGCTATTGACAATATAAATAATTCTAAATTAGCAAGAGTTGTTTGTACTAATACTGTTCCATTCGAAGAAAAATTGAAATTATGTGATAAATTAGATACTATTGATGTTTCTGCTGTTATTGCTGAAGCCATCAGAAGATTACATAATGGTGAAAGTATCTCCTATTTATTTAAAAATGCTCCTTTATAAATGTTGATGATTTGGTTTTCTCTCTATGACTCTAAAATCTCACAGAAATTTCCATTATGGCTCCAAAATATAAAGCATGTCTTTTTGACATGGATGGGACTTTACTTAACACAGAAGATATATACACTGAAGCATTCACCGATTTATTAGCTGAATTTGGTAAAGGTCCTTTAACCTGGGATATCAAAATTCAATTGCAAGGATTACCTGGTCCACATGCAAATCAATTGATGATTCAACATTATGATTTACCAATTTCCAGTGAAGAATTCCTTGAAAAGGCTATGGCCATTCAAGAAAAGAAATGGCATAAATCTGGATTTTTACCTGGAGCTTTAGAGTTATTGAAATATTTAAAGGAAAATGATATTCCAGTAGCGTTAGGTACAAGTTCTAATATGATCAATTTCCAAAGAAAGACTGGTCACATTCCTGAAATTTCCGAAGTTTTCGGTGATCATATAGTAACTGGTGATGATGCTAGGATTCCAAGAGGTAAAGGTAAACCCAATCCTCATATCTGGTATGTTTGTTTAGAAGGTATCAACAAAGAAAGAGAATCTAAAGGGTTAGATACCATTAAACCTGAAGAATGTTTAGTGTTTGAAGATGGTATTCCTGGAGTCAGATCTGGTTTAGCTGCTGGTGCTCATGTCATCTGGATTCCTCATAATGACGCTCATCCTTACATCGAACCAGTCAAACAAGAATTGTCTGATCATAAGATTGAAATCATCAACAGTTTAACCGATTTAGATAAATCCAAATACTTATAAAATTCAAATGTTCAAAACTCCATAATCCATATTAGATTGCCTTATCTATTGAGCCTCTCTGTTAGCATCCCCCCTATGGTTTCTCTCCATGGTAACAGTAATATTCTCCATCATCTCACATTTCCCAAATCTTATCTGCGAAAGATTATGATAGGAACTGACTGCTATCATATTATCATTGAAATTCCTACAGACAGCCAATCCAAGAACGACTATAGATATTCAGATTTACACATAACTACAATTGATAACACAAAGAGGAAACCTTTGAGGAAAATGAGTCGATCCACTGAACCTATCAAAGCAAAATTCTTAGGTCAAGGTATAGTAAGACTATACAGAGAATTCGATGATGATAGTGATTTAGAAGATATTAACGAAGATGAAGAAACTAAACCTCATAAGATTGAACAAGATGTATCGGGTGATGATACCATGTTATCAATTGTTTCCATACCCACATATTTCACTGCCACCGATATTCTTGGTTTTATAGGTGAAAGTTTCATAGAATCCATAACTCATATCAGAATTATCAAAAGTGAAAGGGCCAATAGATTTTTGGTACTATTAAAATTCAATGACATTCTTAAGACAGCCGAATTTCAATATAAATTCGATGGTAAACCTTTCAATTCTATGGAACCTGAAAATTGTCATGTGGTTTTTGTCAAAAGTATAAAGATTGATGCAGGCAATCATGAAGACACTAAGATGTTGAAATCAGTCAAGGATTCATTGATCCCATTTCTACTTAATGATCCTTTTACTTCTATCAAAAAAGACGATAATAAGTTATTGGAATTACCTACATGTCCTGTATGTTTAGAGCGAATGGATGCCAATATCACAGGTTTATTGACCATCCCGTGTCAACATACTTTTCATTGTCAATGTTTAAGTAAGTGGAAAGATGACACTTGTCCCATATGTAGATACTCGAATAATGTGTCTAATCAGAAAGTCAGAAGATCGATAAGAAGATTATCTCAGTATAATGCCAGACAAGCTTCAGTTGGATCTTCCAGCAGATCAGGTTCAGTATCTTCTGCTGGTCCTTTGAGTTCAGGTTCGGCCCTAACTGGTGGTTCTGCCATAGGTTCAAGTTCGTTGTTAGATTCAGCAATTGATAATGAATTGGAGCATTGTACAGAATGTCTGATGGCAGAAAATTTATGGATATGTTTGGTTTGTGGTAACATAGGATGTAGTAGATATGCTCCTGAACAACATTCCTTGAAACATTTCATAAACAGCGGCCATTGTTTTGCTATGGAAATGAATACTTCAAGAGTTTGGGATTACGCTGGTGATAATTACGTTCATAGATTGATAACTAATGAGAGTGATGGTAAGTTGGTTGAATTACCTGATAAAAATTTCCAATCTGTAAATGAAAAATATGGGAACACAGAAAGCTTCGATAAAGTTGAAGAAGTTGGATTCGAATATAGTCAACTTTTGATCAGTCAATTAGCAAGTCAGAGAGAATACTTTGAATCATTGTTGAAAGAAAATAATGTCACCATCCCACTTTCAAGAAGAAACTCTTCAATAGTTGAAGTCAACCATAAAGTAACAGACTTGGAAGTGAAAATTGATGAGTTGACTAATCATGTAAGTGTACTCACTACAGAAGTCATCCCATCATTGAAAGATAAAATCAAAGCCAAAGACAGTAAAATCAACATCTTATCTAAAGAACTCAATGAATCCAAATTGTTCAACGACAGGTTATCTGAGAAAGTCGAATTTCTTCATAAGACGAAGAAAGAAGTTGAAGATCAAAACACTGACCTTCAAGAACAAGTGAAAGATCTTATGTTTTATCTCGAAAGTCAAGAGAAATTCAAAGATGAACCACAAGATGTCAAAGACGGTACGATATTGATACAACCAGAAGCCTCCAAATCCAAGAAGAAGAATAAGAAGAAAAAGTAGTTTTATGTGTGTTTCTCTCATCAATCAGACCCACCTATCAAACTTTTTACTCAACCCATATAAGAATATACGAACTATTCCATTACTAGTTGGACTAGAATTTGTGCGATGGCTGCAAAATTACTCTTACCAAAAAAGGATTCGCAACTTGCAGCATGTTGCACCAACTCACAACCTTGCAAATGTTTCAGGATCATTTTAGATAAACTCCAGTTGAAACACAATAAAAAAGGGAAATTTTGAGAAAGGGTTCATTGTTTAAACTTTTCCTATTTTTCAATTCCAACATATCTTTCCCTATATACGTATCTGAACTCGTTTGAGGTAACAATCTGAAGAGATTGGTGTTACTCCTGCTTCTGTATCAACGATATGCTAATATTGAGAGTGTTGATTTTTTATATATTTAAACATAGAATAGAATCGGGGAATATAAAAATTGATCTTATTGTGGTTGGTTTATTTTTTTTGTACTTAAAAATGTCAAATATTACTGAAAAGAAGGTGTTACCACCTTTTTCACAATTGATGGAAATGGTTCCTCATAACGAAGCTGTAAATGATAATACATCCGAATTGACATCACAGTTACCTCGAGCTTCCAATTTGACTCAATTTTCATTAAATCAATTCGCTTCATCTCATCCTCCCAAACCAAATCTTTCTCCATTCCATTCCCAATCCAACGGATTTTCCCCTAGAACTGTTTACCACCCAAATCCAACTTTTAAAGCTGTGAATCAACATCTTAAACCTTCCCATGGCCATTCAAAAAGCTTACCTACAGATCCTTTTAAAAATAATGGATATCCAGTGCAGACCTTGCAGGGGAATTCAAATCCATTCCTTAGACCAGACAACAGTTACATGGGTCCCCACCCTTCAAGTTATCAATTTCCTCCCCCCAAGCAGACTCAAAATGGAACCATTCCTAACCCAGAAAATGTTAGGCAGCTCACATCCAATAATCAATGGGATCCACGAAATACTATCACTACTATGTCCAGAATGGTTCCAACTTTTAAGGAAATTGTAGATGGTTTGGGAGCTGTACAAACGGTTTTCAACTATATTCAAGTTAACAATGTTCCCCATCCTTCCAGCACTGGTCAGATCTTAGTCGATGGAAGAAAGTATGAAACAGCATTTGTCAAAGATCAAATCCTATCAATACCTCTAGAAGCCATGAATAATTTGGAATTTTTTTTGAATTTGAATTCAAAATTTATCAGACAACTAAGAAATGATCAAGCCTATTTGTTGAGAGAAAGCACTATTAGCAGTCAAAACCTTGCCATACATTTGAGATCCAGATCTTTCCCTCAAGCTTACAACCAATATCCACCAATTCCTAATTTTTACTATCCAGTTCAACTGATGAGGTCATTTAATGAAGAATCAAAGAACTCTTCAATCTCGGGGTCTCTCAGTGTGGCATCTTCGCCTGGTAAACGATCCAAGTCTTCAAGTAGATCTCCAGATCGGAATGGATCTTCTAGGAAGAAAAGGAAAGCCACCAAGTTAGATAAAAAATTGGATTCTCCTATTGAATGTAAACACTGTGGATCTGAAAATACCCCCGAATGGAGACGAGGTCCTGAAGGTGAGAAGACTGTGTGTAATGCATGTGGTATATTTTATTCGAAGTTGATCAAGAAATACGAAACACCTGCCGAAGCTGCAAGGATCATGTCTGAAAGAAAACAGGCAGGTTTAGCCATGGACAGACATGTTTAACTTTGCACCCCTGTAGAGTGAACAGTTTTATGTATATTAGTATTGTTATTTATGTATTTATGTCTTGAGATAGTTTTGTCCTTAATTAGCCTCTCTACCATATATTGTAGTCTTTTCTTCGTTCCCATGATCGAAATGTGTGTGATGTCGTTCGATGAATGTGTTGATTTCCTCCATCCTTAATTTTCTTGAAAATTACCCAATTAGGGCTTCAAAGGGTAACTTGAAACATTCACACTTGATTCTTCTTTCCACCTTCATTCGCTTACCCATGGTCCATGTAAATCGAGTCACTTCATTGGTGATTACCGAAATTATTTTAGACACCCCCTATAATTTTGGGAATATGCAGTAATTAGGCTGCTTATCTTGTAATCGAAGCCCCTTGATTGCCTTGGGTTATTTCTTATCATTAAAAAATATCATCTCCAATTGTAAATTGTGTTGCAAAAATTGAACAAAATTACCCGATTTGGGTGCAAAAGGGCATCCTGAAACACTTCAAAATTTCACACAATCGTTTTAGTGGTGATTTCGATTCGTATAAGCTTAGCCTCAAAACTATAAATACAAGGGATTCCATTAGTTTTTACCCATCTACCATTCCTTGAGTTTAATTCAATTTATAATGAAATTTTCAACTACTATCATTCTTTCAGTTTTAACTGTATTTGCTATTGGAGCACCAGTGGAAGAAACCAAAAGAGAAGCTGATGCCGATGCCGTTGCTAATGCTGATGCCGATGCCGATGCTGGGTTTTTCAGATGGCCAAAACTTCAAAGATATCAACCTATGAAAAGAGATGCTGACGCTGCCCTTGACTTTTTGATGGATTTCTACCAACAATCCAAAAGGGATGCTAATGCCGATGCCGATGCTAACGCTGATGCCGACTTCTTCAGATGGCCAAAGCTCCAAAGATTTCAACCCATGAAGAGGGATGCTAACGCTGATGCTGATGCTGATGCTGATGCTAGCTTTTTTAGATGGCCAAAACTCCAAAGATACCAACCTATGAAAAGAGATGCTAATGCCGACGCTGACGCTGATGCCGATGCTGAATTCTTCAGATGGCCAAAGCTCCAAAGATTCCAACCAATGAAGAGAGAAGAAGAAGAAGCTCTCGTTCAGATGATGGATTATTTAAAACGCATTTGATCTCTTGTTAGGCCATGACTCAAACGACCTTTTTGCTGGACAAGAAGTTCTGATCCTTTTGGGTCCAAAAGTTCGGCATTTTCTTTTTCTGTTGTTTCCCCCAATAAATACCGAACTTACCATTCTCTTTAGAGTCTCTAGAGTAAACATCATTACTGGGTATACATTTAATTATAAGTGGGTTCTTGTTGTGGTTGTTGTTTTCTACTGAAAAAGAAACGTCTTTGTTGTTGAGGTTGTTCAGTACCGGTATAGGCATTATTGTTGTAACCAGGTTCATCATACATTAAATGGTCTTGGTGAGAAGAATCGGTGGAATTGACCTTTCTTTCAGTGTATGATTCGTGAGAATCAGCATAATGTTTGTTATACTTTTTAGTAGCACCTTTACCACTAACAACACACATCCATATGAATGAAAGCAATAAACAAGCCACAGCAGCCCATAAAATACCAAAAGTTTTGGTATCTAAATGGGAAGACATACCAGCATCATTAAAAGCATTTCTACCTTTAACGTGAATGGCAGTATTGAAAGCAGCACCTGCGGCTGTGAATAATAAAGCAATTCCAACAGCTACTGAACTTAAAATACCAGTAATAAATCCACTAAGACAACATGATAATATTACAGGAATTAAAGCAATAATTGAGAAGGCAATACCAATTAAAAAGAAAGCGTAAGCAAATCTTGATAAATAGTAATAAAGGTCTCTATGTTTGATGAAAGTATCTGGGAGACCCCTAGAAGAATCGAAATTGTCACTTGGTGAATATGGATAAGCAGGAGATCTACTGGTACAACCAGAATTTTTACCATCTTTGACATCACAAATTGAGTATAAAGTCCATCTTGTTTTATCACGAGAAGAACTTAATGAACTAGAATCAACTTCACTCCAGTAGAAATCTCCTATAACTCCACTATTATTAGTACCAATCAAATTAATGAAAAATAACAATAAAGCTGAACCAGCTAATAAAAGTATGGGGATAAACGTGAATACTCTTCTCAACATTGTAAGCTATTTTTTTGCAGCAATATTTTTTTATGGTATCTTTAATTGGAAAACAATAAACTCAATTCAATTCAATGAAAACTTTAAACGTTCAATGGTATTGGGAGAGCTATTAAATTACTTTTGAATGAAAGAAAAGAATAAAATTATTAGGAACAGGTCACAGCCTTATATAATTTTTTTCATGTTTGCTTATTTCAAGCCCTCCAAGTCATGAATAAAATCCTAAGTAGGAAAGAAAAGTTTGTGCATAAAATTCCTGCACTTACATGTAATTTCTATTTTTAAGGTATTCACTCTAAATTTTTCGTTGCTGTGTAAAAAATCAAATGATCAAAAGATGTCTGAACACCGGTGCACCACGACAAAAAATGGAGAATTGATAGAATTCACCGAAATCTTCAGTAAATATATCTGCAGTAGGTTATTAATGGCTTAAGTGATATGTAGTTATACGCCATTGGTTCAGGGGTATCACTCTGGGCTCAGTTGAACAAAATGTTAATCCATTTTGAGAGATATTTTTAGACCTAGATCTCAACATGGCCCCTGGGCTGATCATAAGAGGCTATTCATCAACTCTTCAGTATTCTTGTAGACAAATGTCAAGCAGTGCCTCTAAGCCTATTTATAGGTAATGGAAGTATCTCTAGTCAGTTTATGTAAAATTAGAACCCAAGACATCTTGGTTGCAAATTCATTTCCGTAAGAGTGATACAATGTGGAGAATATTCACCTAGACAACAGGTGTCTGAACAGTTATGGTCGAATTACATATTTCAATTGGAATCTAAAAATTTTGAAATTTGAAATACCTGAATTCTGAAATATTTGCAGATTTTGAATATTCGGCCACAACTTATTTCTAATATCATGAGAAACTGTTACCCAGACATAATATGATGAGTATAGTCGGATCATGGCCCACCACATCCAACACCGTGTGACCATAATATCTCGCTACTAATATAAATTTCAAGATAATTTAGGAGCCCACGCCACGAGCATATTAAACCTTGAAATCCAATGAAACCACCATCAACTTATGTCAGTTCTTATGTAATGGGGGGACAACCCAAAAAAAATCTATGCGAAAGTTAATAAAAAAACGGTTTGCAAGGAACAATTGAACAATCGGATTTTACTTTTAGCTTGAGAAGTTCAATAATTAATAGTTGTCATACATATTGATTTTGAAACTGAGTGTTCTTCAACTATCAATATTGTCATCTAGGTAGTGAGAAGAATCGAGCCGCTTCACACGGGATTGGTGTGTGATCAGATTCAATAACTTGATCTCAACCTTAAGTTTCAATATCACAGATTAGTGATTTCAAGTAGCTTCTCATGGTAATGTTACAAGAAAGCCCTGTCAGAGATAAACTGGCTAAATCTTTAAATGGTATGATGAATGCTATGGCAGATATATCTATCCAAGATAAGCGGTCAGTCCAAGACAATGACTTAATGGAAATTTCTCCAAAGAAGGAAGACGAAACCCCTAAATTAACTGAAACTGAAAAAGAAGAAATCAACTCATTGTCAGTTTTGGAAGAATTGTATAAATGCCTGGAGAAATTGATTTACGAAGGTGCAAATGGTAAAATTATCAAAGGGCAGGATAAAAGAACTAAACAGGCCATTATTATCAAAATAGTGAAATTAAAGAAGTCAAAGTATTATTACCAACAAGTAAAGAATGAATATAATTCCCTTAAAGATTTGAAAAATAAGAATTTGATTGAACTTTTAGATTTGGTGAGAAGTGAGGGATCTAATGAATTAGCTTTCATTATTCCTTATTACCAGAATGGTGATTTATTGGACTTATTATCACATTTCAGAAAACAGAAAATCAAAATCAATAGTAATTTGAAAGACTCCATCTTCAAACAAATCGCTAAAGGTGTACAATTCTTACATAATAACAATCTCATACACCGGGATATCAAACCTGAAAACTTGATGATAGGTGATGATGGGAATATTAAAATTGGAGATTTCGGATACTTTTTGAACTTAAATGAGATTGAAAAAGATCCATCAAAGTTCTGGAATCTAGAGAACGACCATCTTTTATGTGGCACCAACTCATTCAAAGCCCCAGAGATTTTCAAATGTGAAGCAATTTTAAATGAATCCAAAGATCTAGAAAAAGTCAAATCTATGATTGATTTTCAACAATTGGATTATTGGAGTTTAGGGATAACGTATATACAGATCTTCTTAATGAAGAAACCATGGAACACTGCCACCCATGATGATTCTAATTTTAAGCATTTCAAACTCAATTATCCAGTATCTGATAATCTCATCAAAGATTTGAATAACGATTTAGAAGATTCTAAAAATAACTTTAAATTAAATCCTTGTATGAACATATTTAAAGATTTACACTATGGTTCAAGGTTTTGGATTATCAAATTACTTCATCCTACTAATTCGAAACGTTTAACTATCCAAGATTTATTACAATCAGATTGGTTGAAACAAGTATATGCTGATCCAAAGGAATTGATTTCATTGAAAGCTAAGCATTTGTAGTTTTCTGGATTGTCTTTGTTAAATTACGTGTATTTATAGATAAGTATGTAGTAGGTAAAATTTATGATTTCATGATAACTTTTTTTTGCAGCAATTGGTTCGCGAACTAAACACATCGACAAATAAATTTTTCAAAAGATGTCAAGTGGTATGTCAGTAATTAAAGATTGATTGATGATAATTTACTAACCTTACAGCCAAAACTGAATCAAAAGTCGATTATACTATCGCCAATTCTGACGTAGTCCAAAAATATAAAACTGGAGGAGAAATTTCTGCCAAAGTTTTAGCTCATGTTAAAGAATTATGTATTGAAGGAGCCAAAATCTTCGATATTTGTGAATCTGGTGATAAATTAATGGAAGAAGAATTATCAAAGATCTATAATTCCAAAAAAGCCTCTAAATTATTGAAAGGTATTGCTTTCCCAACCACTGTTAACCCAAATAATTACCCAGCTCACGTTTCTCCAGTTAATGCTGATGATGAAACCAACTTCACTTTAAAAAATGAGGATGTTGTTAATATTATGTTAGGTGTTCAAATTGATGGATTCCCAGCTATTATTGGTGAATCAATGATTATTGGAGAATCTGAATCAAGTCCTATTGAAGGTAAAAAAGCTGATTTATTACACTCAGCTTGGAATGCTAGTGAAGCTGCGATCAGACAATTTAAACCAAACGGTAAAAACTGGGATGTTACCAAAATCGTTGATCAAGTTGCTAAAATCTTCGAAACTACTCCAGTTGAAAGTATGTTAAGTCATAACCAAACCAGAAACACTTTATATGGACCAAAAGAAATTTTAATAAATCCAACTAAAGAACATAAGAATCAAATGGATACCTACAGATTCGAAGAAAATGATGTTTATGGTTTAGATATTTTAATCTCAACTTCAAATGATGGTAAAGTTAAAAAAACAGACTTCAAAACTTCAATTTTCAAATTAACTGGTAATTCATATGCTTTGAAATTAAAATCAAGTCATCAAGCTTTAGGTGAGTTCAAACAAAAATCTTCAGGTTTATTCCCAATGAATGTTAAGAAATTCGATGATCCAAGAAAAACAAGAGCTGGTTTAGGTGAATGTGTTAACCATCAAGTTGTTTTAGATTATGATATTATGACTGAAAAAGAAGGTGAATTTGTTGCTCAATATTTCACCACTTTCGGTATAACCAAAAATGGTATTGTCAAATATACTTCTCCATCATTCAATCCAAACTTATATAAGACTGATAAAAAGATCGAAGATGAAGGTTTAACTACTTTATTAGCTCAACCATTAAAAGTTAACCCAAAGAAGAAAAATAAGAAAAAGACCGAAGAATCTAAATAAGCCACTTATATAATTTAAAATTGTATGTTCGACCTTAACTCCTCTTATTCCCTCGCATTTCGAGATCTTATCGAAAAATCTGGAGATCTCGAGATAATCTGATAATCAAAAATGTCAAGTGATTTCATGAAATTTAAATCAAGAAGATCAACAGTCTATTCGTCCAAAGGAATTGTTGCATCTACTCAACCATTGGCCAATAATGCTGGGTTAATCATATTGAATAAAGGTGGAAATTGTGTTGATGCGGCCATAGCAGTGGCTGCAGCTTTATGTCTAACTGAACCTCAGAGTACAGGTATTGGTGGAGATTGTTTTGCATTATATTATAAGAATGATACTAAGGAAGTTTTAGGTTTGAATGGTTGTGGAAGAGCTGCTAAGAATTTAAGCATTCAAGATGTTTGGGACGCTTTGAATGATGGTCAACCAATGGCTAGAATCCCCCAAGATTCGATTTTCTCCGTTGTAGTCCCTGGTGCAATTGGTGGATGGTATGATTCTTATAAACAATGGGGTTCAGGTAAAGTCACTTTTGAAGAAATTCTCCAACCTGCTATCGATTTAGCCGAAAATGGTTATCCAGTATGTGAATTAGCTGCCAGAGGTTGGAGAAACTCTAAAAAGAAAATCCTCAAACAGAATCCAGAAATGGATCCTAAGGACATCCCTGTTCTTATAAATGGTGAAGGACCAAACGAAGGTGACTTTGTTACTAATGAACCCATCGCTGAAGCCCTTAAATTAATTGCCAGTAAAGGTAAACTGGGTTACTATGAGGGATCTGTTGCTGAAGCCATTATCAAAAGAACTGATTCAAAAGGTCACAAAATGACTTTAGAGGATCTTTCTACGCATACTTCGACTTTTGTTGAACCTATAAAGTTTGAATTTCAAGAAAAGACTATTTGGGAAATTCCACCTAATGGTCAAGGATTAGTTGCATTGGTTGCATTAGGAGTTATTCAAGAACTCCATAAGCTGGGTGTTATTGATTTATACAAAATTGAACATAACTCATTCGAATATTGGCATTTAGTCATTGAATGTTGTAAAATTGGATTTTACGAAGGTAATGATTCAATTGCTGATCCAGAATTTGAACAAATTCCTGTTGAAAAAATCTTGTCATCAGAATATCTTCAACAGAGAAGTAAATTGTTTTCAAAGAATAAAGTTCTTTCAGGTAAAGATTTTGGTGTACCAATTCCTGATCCTAAATTTAAAACTGATACTACGTACTTTACAGTGTCTGATTCAAACGGAGATGCTTGTTCATTCATCAATTCAGTTTATGAAGGATTCGGAAGTGGTATTGTAGTACCAGAATACGGATTTTGTCTTCACAATCGTGGAGCCAATTTCAATTTGACTCCAGGGGCTACTAATTGTTTAGAAGGTGGTAAAAGACCTTATCATACTATCATTCCGTCTATGATTACCAATAAAGATGGCTCACTTTATGCATCCTTTGGTAATATGGGTGGATATATGCAGCCTGTAGGGCATGTGCTCCATGTTCTCAATATGGTCATTTTTGGCCATACTCCTCAACAATCAATTGACCTGCCTAGAGTTTGTCTTGAGGCTGATGTTACTTGCCCCGATACAGGTTTAGGTGGTGATGGGCCTGTAAGTACCACAAGAACATTTGTACTTTTAGAAGACGGTATTGACCCTAAGGTTGTTCAGCAATTAACCGAATTAGGTCATGCCACCAAGGTTTTGACTGATTATGATAGGCAAACCTTTGGAAGAGCTCAAATTATCAAGAATGTTTCCAAAGGTGGTAAATTGGTTTATGCTGGAGGTTCTGAAATCAGAGGAGATGGTGCTGCAATTGCCCTTTGAGAGGGATACTTACCTTGCTAGCAATTTTCAGAGGCTAGTGTTTCACCTTCTTGCAATGAAGAAATGTTTAACAATTCAAATAGTTCTCTGTAATAGCTCAATATTCAATATTCAATATCTTATTCGATTCTTAGAAAATTACCTCATTTCTACATTTAAGTATTACACATCTACCAGAGATTGATTTCTGAATCTCCCTGTACTAAGTAGTTCAATAATTGCACATTTTTGGCTGTATCTTGATGATCGGTTAGTGGTGAAGATAATAAGTGGATCAAAGATCTTAATTCTGAATTCGAAAATGATCTAGTAATTAAACCCGCTAAATTAAACTTTGCACTAACATGTTTTAGAAATAACAGTTCATCCATCTCAAGCTCTTGTCTGATGTATTTCAAATATGTATCAAGCAATCTGGATTTATGACCAATATCAGGATTTAAGCAATGTGCAATAACCTGTTTCTTACTTTCATTGATAGTTACAGCTCTCATCCTTAGGTCTATAGTATTTAACAAACTCTTCAAATCCTTACATTTTACAACACATTTATTGAGAGCAAATAGCTGTGCTTCCAGTGAGTTCTTAGTTACAAACTTATGACCTCTATTTTCCCAATGAATTAAATTCTTATTCAAGTAACAGACCATTCCAGAAATCAATTTACGATTTCTAGTAGGAGAGTATGAAGCGTCTGCATATGCAAAGATCTCGAGATCGGAGTATGATCTGGTAAAATTTAATCGTTGATCAGGAGATCCCTTAAGATACCTGAAACACAAGTTTAATTTGTTGACATCAATGTGAGTGGGATTGTTACTATTCTGATCTAATTCATTAACTGCATAACTAATGTCGGGCCTAGTATGTCTAGCCAACCATAACAAGGCACCAACTCCTGATCGGTATAACTGCACTTGATCTCTAGTCAAAGATTGATCTTTAAGATTGGATTCACAAACATAGTTGTTCCTGTTATACGCTGGTACACTAGAATTGGGCATGTCATTGATATTGAATTCGGCAAGAACTTTCCTAAGAAACTTCTCTTGAGACATTGAATAGCCTTCCTCTGTTCTAGCAAATTCAATACCTAAGAATTGTTTGATGTCCCCTAAATAGTTCAAATCAAGATATTTGCTGAGTGCTTGCATTAATTCGGTAATTAGATCAAAGTTGGATGCAGCCATAAATAAATCATCCACGTATAGAGCAATATATATGACATCTTGGCCAACTCTTTTAAAGAACAAACCTACGGTGTTGGAATCATAGTCATACGACAATTCCTTTAGTACTTTTCCAACACAAATAAACTTTGGGTTATCATTCCCGAATCTTTCTGTAACACAATGGGTTGAAGCTTTGAAATGAGAAGACGAGATTTCAAGATGTTGAATTTGGAAATTGAACTCTGTGCTAATAGCAGTTAGTAATCTAATATCGGACAGTGATACTGCAGGATATGATAATCCCGGCTCATCGAAAGGGACCTCGTAATCTTCCTCGAGCCCTTGCAAATCAGATTGGGTTTCAGAAGTATCACTTCCCAGGGCATCAAACTCATAACTATAGATACTTTCATCACTGCTTTGACAATCAAATGTTACAGCATTACCTTGAAAAGATTGGCCATCATACGAATTCGTTTGGAAAGTCCATTTTCCGTCCATTAGAACCTCTTGAAGGAAGCTGCTATCCTGTTCAAGATAGAGACGGTGGGCTGCATCCTCCTCCCAGATACTGGCTTCTCTGTTATCATTTTCAAAAATTTCATAAACCGATTTGGGTTCACAGTCTTGTAGATGTCCTGTTTCTTTGTCATAACTGGCATGGTAAAGTTTAATAGTAGCCTTGATAAATTCTATTCTTGGAGTACCCATTTCATAGCTGATAATATCAGATATGACTTGAATATTTGCCCACACTAATAACTCGATAACTTTAGTTGGTAATAAAAAAAATTCATCAATGGCAATCCCTTCCTTTCTATCTTTTTTGAAGAACATATTAATTTTATCAGCAGCCATCTTTCCAAACTGATCTTGAAGAACTTCTTCAAGGTCTTCAATATACTGAATTTTTTCAGGTGAGTTAAAGTGAATCATGTTTTTGGATTTGACTAAGAAAATCAACTTACTTTCAATCTTTCGGATTTCTCTTTCACTTTCACCCGATTGCAATTCATAAAGCTCTTTTAGTTTTTTGAGTAGTTCACTCAAAGACATTTCAAGAATTGAACTCTCATATATCAAGTCAGAAACCGTAAAGTAGTATTCCATGATTCTTTCATCGTGAGTGTTAAATTTTCTGTTTACCACTTCATCAATAGTATCCGTAATGTAATTAATGTAAATGCTAGCCATATTATTAGCATCTACCAAAAAGGGGGTATTGTTAAGATCCATTTTGTTCGACTTTTTGGGAGGTTAGTCTGTTGAAATATAGAGTATTCACTTAATTGATTGGTAAAGGAAATTGAATGTGTTTAAATAGTTTTCTAGGAGGACATATCTTCCATTGAATCATCCTAAAAGAGTAATTTTTTTCTTATCTGAAACACTTGTAAATCTTCAAAGTACCACATTTTATGTTTCAGATTGACCCTTTACGATCCCGATTTGGTAATTTCTCATTTCTAGATTTGAGAGTATTATAGTATTTGATAACTGACTGATTACTAACCAATAGATATTGTTCAAATGATTTGCATAAACTAACCATATGGAGGCACTTCTTGTTTGACCGTTTAAATGGTACCAAAGCAAAATCATTTTCGAAAAATTCCCAAAACCTAATAGGTCTTTTTATTGAGGTATTAGAACAGTAAAAACCCTTTGCAACCACTGTCGGTCAAGTCTTTGTTTCTCTATTTACTTCACGTTGCCCTGAATAACAGTTTATGATATCAAGGTTTCAAGAGAGCATAAAATATATTTGAAAAAGTTGCTTCAGGCATATGGACTAAGAATAGCCGGGGCTCAAGATCTTCAAGGACAATCTCTGGCAATGTGTTGCCACTCATTAAGGGTTTTTTGGGTTACAGCGTTGGGTCAAAAGGGGTATAAGTTATGTTTAAGTGTTCAGGTTGGGATTTGGCTTCGACCATAACCACGAAAGTTGTAGTTATCTCAACGAAAAAGTTCATATTGGTGGGAAGATTTTGAAAGTATTTAAAAAGCTAATCTAAAAATGAACTATTCCATAGATATTCTTGGCAGACTAATGTATATCCGTAAATGAAATTATCTATACTGTTTATTTCCCTTAAATATGTTACATTTCAATCGATCAATCTTCGAAAAATTTTTTTAATGATTTTTTTGATATATGATTTAGAAGAAACTCTCACCATATAACAAGTAGTTGCATGGTGCGACGGATAAGTTCTCATTTCCATCAAAGGTGTTGAGTTCGATCTGGCACCGCGGAATGTACTACTGAGAGGTTCATACAACAACGGTTGTATAGTGTAGTGGTTATCACTGTCGGTTTTGACTTCAAAACTTCCGACCAACCCCGGTTCGAATCCGGGTACGACCTTTTTTTTCCAATTTTTTTTGGCTGTCTTAGACAATCTAGAACTTTAACCCCTCGTGCTTTATGTAGAGATCTGTATGTCTGATAGGTCAAACTCGAGAGGTAAGAGAGTCAGCTCATTCTAAAATTATTATTATATACACAAAAATTAGTTGTCATTTAATGCTTCAACATATTCACGAGCCTTAGCATTAACCCTATTAACACCCTTTTCATCATTCAAACTTTCTTCATATTCAACCCACTTGTTGAAGAAGAATTTTGCTTGTTTTCTTGAAAGTTTCTTAGTTATCACCCTTTCAAATAAATCTTCGACTTTGTCCTTGTCATCACCAGCTTTAATTTCTTTATCAATATAAACATTCCATAAATCAATTCTTTTAGGAGCATCACTAATCAAACCTTCGAATAATGATCTACCTTGTTCCAATTCACCTTTTTCATATTCAAGTTGAGCGAATTTCTTGACCACTTCGATATGATCACGTTTTGGTAATGATTGTAAAGCTTTAGCTAAAATTTCATGACTTTCATCATTTAATTTTCTATCTAACAAGTTAGAAGCATAGCTGACCCAAATTTGGACATTTGAAGAACCGAATTTTTTGAAAATCTTCTTATAAAGGTCATCAACCTTTTCATAATTTTCAGACATGATGAAAATTGATGCTAATTTTTGATGCATGGTCAAAGAATCCATAAATTGACAAGATTTTTTGAAAGTTTCGTCCAAAGTTTCTTCAGTACCGAAAGAATTTTCTAAATTCAATAAGGCAATCCAAATATTCAATTTTTCTTGTTCATCATTATATTTGATAGTTTTCAAAGCTCTTTCACCAATTTCTCTGGCTTTATCGATTTCACTTAATTGTAATTGGAAAGACATATAGTTCATCCATAAGATTGAAGAGTTTGGATTACCAAGAATCAATCTTTCGAAATCACTAGTAGATTGTGGAGCTCTAGTATTGATGTCACCTGTTTTATCTTCTGTGAATTTCTTACCTTTAGATTTCTTCTTTTTCTTTTGAGTGAAATCTTCTTCTTCGTCAGATGAAGAGTCATCTTCGGCTTGATCCAAGATAGAAGCAGTCCAGTCGAAACCTCCAGTTGAAAGACCTGATGATTTAGATTCTTTGACTTCATCTAATTCCTCTTCGTCAGAAGATTCATCAGCTTGTTCGACTTCAATAATTTCGTCGTCATTGTCTTCTTCACTTTCATCTTCGCTTTCTTCACTGGCCATTTCAACGTCAGAGTCATTGACATCATTATCAACATCAGCAACATCTTCAGCATCTTCCATATCAACATCTTCAGTGAAATATGAAGCTTTCATTCCTAAAGATAATTGTTTTTTGGATTCATCGATCTTCAAGATTTTAACTTTGACTCTATCACCTTCACCAAATAATTTGGATAAGTCTTCTACAGCATTATCAGAAATTTCAGATTTGTGACATAAACCATTAACATTCAAAGTTCCATCTAACTTGACGAATACCCCGAAATCAGTGACAGATTTAACTGAACCTTCATAAACTTCTCCGACTTCTAAGTCATCGAATTTCTTGAAAGTTTTCAATTCACCATTAACTTCAGATTCTTTCAAAGTTAATTTGATCTTACCTTCACCATCACAAGCGGAAACTTTACCAACAATTGGTTGATGAGGTTTGAAGTATTTCTTCCAATCCTTTAAGTAAGAATCAGATAAATCTGTAACTCTCACTAAAGCATGAACAGATCTACCTAAAGAAACGTAAACTCCATTGTTAGCAACATTCTTAACAAAACCTTTAACAACATCACCTCTTTTCAAGTCTTCGAAGGTGTTGATTAATTTGTCATTGGCAGTTTCAGTTCTTAATGAAACAGCAATTTTTTCACTATCTTTATCAATAGCCAAAATGGTAGCAGTAGTATAATCATTTGGTTGGAAAACTTGATCTAATTTTTCATTATAATCATCTAAGGCATCAGTTATGAATGAAGAAGCAACGATTTTATCGGCCAATTCGACCAAAACGTAGGTATCTTTGACTTTCAATACTTTAGCAGGGTATTTGTTTCCAACTTTGACATCATCAAATGAATTGATGACAGATTTACGTGATTTCAAGATAACAACATTATGTTCATGGTCAATTTCTTTGACTACAGCTTTGACAGCAGTACCGATAGGTAATCTATTATCAATATCATTGAAAATTTCAACATCATCACTTAATTCCATGAATGAGATTCTTCCTTTAACTGATGGAGTTAATGAAACCCATACAAATCCTTTAGAAATATTGTTAATGAATGCAGGATATTCGTTATCGACTTCAAAATTGGAGAAATCCAAGACTTCGGCTTTACCTGCAACAACATCTTTCAACATACTTAATTCTAAGATTAAATGTTTGTTTGATTTACGGTGAGTAACAGGTAAGAATTTATGATTTCTTGGATCGTGATAACCAATGACTTTAACATTGATCTTTTCATCTTTGTGGAATTGTGATAAAGGTTGATGGACATCTTTGATTTCATCCCAGTTATTGAAACATTGAGTGACATCGATTCTTCCTTGTAAATTATCAGCTAATTGAACATTTAATTGAGTACCTTTAACTGACTTGATTAATGCAGTAGTGATTAAACCAGGTTGGTAATCACTGATGTTTTTGATTTTCGAATCAACTGGGTTAACAGCTGGTTCGGTATTGAAATCATCAGTATTTTTGATATCTTTCAAAGTCAATAAAAATCTTTTATTTTCTTCATCAACCCTGATAACTCTACAAGAAATTGATTGATATTTATAGAATTTCTTGGATAAATCGATATCTTTCTTGTCAGATGCATATTTGGCTAATACTAAACCAGTTAATTTTCCACCGAATGAAACGAATAATCCCATGTTAGTTACTGATTTGATGTAACCTTGAATCATAGTATCACCAACTTTGATATCTTTGAAATTGACTGGTAATTGATTAGATTTACTAGCTTCAATCAAAGAATTTTTACATGAACCGATAATGGATTTGTTCTTCATATCTTTTTCCAAAACCAACACTTCGAGTTTTTCACCGATGGTTAATTTCTTATAAATAACTCTGTTTTGCTCAAAGTTACCATCAGACAAATGACCGTTGAAAATGACACCTTTGATTTTACTTTCATCAAGTTCGATAACAATGGATTCTTTAGCTTTTTCTACTATAGTAGCATTAACAATTGATTTACCAGATACAATTTCATTATAACTTGATTGACTCTTGGTTAAATCACTGGCTTGTTTCAAAGTAACTACTAATTTTTCATCCTTCTCATTGACGGACATGATTCTTACATTAAGTGATTGGCCAATCTTGATGAAGTCTTTAGCTTCGTTAACGAAAGTTTCAGAAATTTCGTTTTTTGGTAAAAAGGCAGCTAAATTTCCGAAGAATGAAACAATAGCTCCATTGTGAACGAATTTTTCAACAGTGGCAGGAGTTTTCAATCCTATAGTAGCTTTTTCGAAAGAATTAAGAACTTCTTCATCTTCAATGTTAACTAAAGATTTTTTCAAAGTGACTAAAAGTTTTCTACCTTGTCTTTTCAAGACTCTTCCTCTTACCTTGGTACCAGCTTTGAATTTTCTTTCAGGATAGATTAATTTAACGTCAGACATATGCATTGGTGGTACGAAACCTTCGAAATCACCTAGTTTAACGTTAATACCTTTTTGATCCGGTAAGACTTTGATAATTTCTATATCTTTGAACAATTCACCTGATGGAATTTCATCACCATTTAAATATCTTGCATTGATGGTTTTTGGGTCCATTGATAAGATCAATAAATTATCAAGAGCATTATATCCAGTAACTCTAGCTTTATGTTTGGTTCCAATGGAATATTCAACATCAAATGTTTTATCACTATCGACTTTTGAAAGATGTATTTGACCTTTTAAGTTGTTACCCAATTCAACATACATGTAATTGGTATCAATGTTCTTGATGACAACTTCATCGAATTTGTAACCAATAGGGAAAGCTTCTAATACTTCTTTTTGCAAGTCATTAAGGTTTCCGAATTGGGAAATGTGAGGAGCTACAGATAACATTAATTTCTTAGTACCACCTTTCAATAAAATACCCACAACTCTGGCTTTGATGTTATTACCAACACCATATTTATGTTGTAAAGTTTTGAAATCGAATTCGTTGGTATTGGCTAAATTTATGGTACCATCAACAAGACCAAAAACTTTAGTAACAATACCATGCTTGGTAACTTCTGAAACTAATGCATTAACTAAGACACCAGTTCTGATGGCATCAATGGATGAAATGGTTTGAACTGTAGTTGACTTGGCAATATCGATTGGTTTTAAATTTATGGCTCTAGCATCTTTAGAAACAATTGATGTTAAGATAACTCTACCTGGTTTTAAATCACTACCTATGGAGGATTTCTTCAAATCTTTCTTCAGAATGAAACCATCTATAGATTTTCCAATATTCAAAATCACCACATGGTCTTCGATGGATTTAACAGAAGCTTGAATTGAATTTCCTGGGATTAAATCATCATCTTCTAATTCTTTATTCAAAGTTTCAGGTTCAATTGATAATTCGATTCTTTTCTTTTGTGATTCTTTGGTTGGTTCAACAACTTTGGCATTTATCCATTGACCAATTTGGAAAATTTCTTGAAGATTAGGGAATTCAACGTTTTTGATTGTTCCAGTAGTAATTTTTTCATTATTTTCGTCATCATCATAAGCTATTTCATCATCACTTGATTCTTCTTCATTGGCAGCGTATTGTTCTACTTGTTTGGTGATTTCTTCACTGATATTTGTTATTGGCACATAACCAACTAAATTATCACCAATGGAAATGGTTAAGTCGAGTTTACTAATTTTAGTGATTTCCCCCAAAATTTGAGTTCCTGGTATAAGATTCTTGTAACCGAAACTTTCAATTCTGACGGTCTTAGTTTCCTCTTCTTCGGCATCTTCAGAGGCATCAGTCTTTTTACCTCCTCTTCTGGCTTTCTTCCTTTTATTATTTTGGTTACCTGAAGATTTCCTTTTAGATCCTGCATTAGCAGTTTCAAATAAGACATCTTTGGTAACTTCATTGGAAATTTCCTTAACTTCTAAAGGTGTTAAACTGGATGATCCACCTCTTGGAAATGCAATGTCATTACTTGTGACGGTAGGAGCTGAACTTTCTACCATAATTAATTGAGATCTGTAAGATTTTTTTTTCAGCTCTTCCCTCATCGCATCAAAAATTTGGACTAGTGTGGTTAATGCACTATTCTCAATTTATCAAAGTTAGATAAGTGAGAACCCAGACTGAGGGGTCTTTGAATTTCTAGACGCTCTTGACACCGCCAGCAATAAGATTGTCAAGAATGATCGGCAGCATAGAAAATTCGAGCTTTTGACACCATTGTCTTTCAGACAGGCTGTCTTTCAAACTTAAATAGATATTCAATTCTTCAGTCGGATGAGAGCTTAAGGATAGAGTCGATAGTTCTTGTCATTACGGGTGATTTATGCTCTATTGAGTATGTGGTGGCTCCTCATCTCATGCTTGAATGATGATTTTTTTCATATTTGAGTGTGGATCTTTGATCAACATGCATCAGAAAGTATAGGGATGAATTGAAGAATGAGACTTCACTTATCACCAACTTTTACCCACTATCTTATCTTTCATGCTCTAACTGGTGACGACGGACTTTTTGTTGACTTTTCCTTATAGCATAATGCTTACTTCTAAGTTAGGAGTGATAAACCCACCTTATCACCCTTTATCTCCAAAATATTTTTGCGCTACAAGAAAATATGCAGAGTCTGAACCTTTATCACTTATCGCAAAGAATATAGGATTTGGAAACAAAGGAACAAGAAATTACACAATGAAACTAACCAAATTTTTTGGATAATTAATCCACAGTTAGGAACTTTTACCGACAATTATATACCAAAGCGGTGGGTTGCATCAATCTCTTATCTTTGAAACTGGGTCCCTGGATCTATTAAATGCCCTAGAATCTCCCTCTATTTAGACTTTTTTAATTAATCTTATATAGAGACATTATAGAATGGAGACTGATCCTGAAAAGAACGAAAAGAAACAAGGAATTGTAATTCAAACTGACATTGAGTCCATCATTGACAATGAGTCTCATGATGGAAGTACTGTTGGAACATCAGAGGATTACACTGATCACTTTATGCACGATAAGAAATTGAAGAAAGCTTTAAACTCAAGACATCTTTCAATCATTACTGTGGTCAGTGTTTTCGGTACCGGTTTATTTTTAAGTTCAGGTGGTACTTTAGCCAAGACTGGTCCTGTAGGTATCATTATCTGTTATATCGCTGTGGGTACTATTGTCGCTGCATCTCAAATGTGTATGGCAGAGTGTAGTTGTCTTGCACCTTTCACTTCTGGTTATATCAGACATGCCAATATGTTTATAAGTCCTTCTTTAGGTTTCACTTTGGGATGGATCGATGTCTACGGAAGTATCATTCCAACTGAATTATCTGCTATTACTGTGGTTATGAGGTATTGGTCCGACCTCAACCCTGCTGTTTGGGTAACAATATTTGGTGTTGCCATGGTTGTTGTAAATTCCTATAACGTTAGATGGTATGGTGAAATTGAGTTCGTGTTTGGTTTATTGAAACTTTCATTGATTATTATATTGGTTGTTGTAGGGCTCGTGATCGATCTTGGTGGTACTGGAGATAGAATTGGTTTCAGGTATTGGGTAGATCCTGGTCCTTTTGCTGGTAGAATCTTTCCTGGGTCTTTAGGTCATTTCATTGGTTTTTGGTCAGCTATCAACTCAGTAGTTTATTCTTATGGGGGTGTTCAAGCTGTTAGTTTATTAAGTGGAGAAACAACTTATCCAAGGAGATCGATCTACAGAGCAGCCAAGAAAGTGTTCTTCATCACTTTTTCCTTTTACTTAGCAGCTGTCTTCATGTTGTCATTGATTGTTCCATCGAATAACAAAGTGATTGCTTCCCCAACCGGTACAGCTAGTGCTTCTCCTTTTGTTGTTGCTATGTCGGGACAAATCGATGTCTTACCTCACTATATTAATGCAGTGGTTGTAACTTCTGCTTTATCGGCTGGATTCTATTCCATTACTAAGTCAAGTAGAGTATTATTTGCATTGGCTGCAAAAGATCAAGCACCAAAAATTTTCCTCAGAGTTAATAGAAATGGTTTACCCTATGTTGCCGTTATATTCGTTTGTGCTTGGATACCTTTAGCTTACATGGCATGCAGTTCAGGTTCAGCCAATGTGTTTAGTTGGTTCCAAAACATTACATCTTCGAATCTTCTACTTGGTTGGATTATCATCTCACTTAATCATATTTTCTTGAATAGAGCATTAAAAGCTCAAGGATATAGTAGAAAGGATTTACCTTATACTTTCCCAGGTACCGTATTTGCTTCATGGTATGCATTATTCTTCTCGGCCTTATTTTTACTCACTGGTGGGTTCATTAATTTTATTCATGGTCAATGGGACTTTGGTTCATTCTTCGGTGCTTATTTCATTATTCCTTTATCCTTGAGTGTGTTTATTGGTCATTCTATCTGGAGTAAGAAGTTTATAAATAATCCTGCTGAAGTTGACTTGAAAAGTTTATTCCAACACGTTCAAGACAATCCTGAACCTCCGTTCCCAAAATTGAAAGGGTTGAAGAAAATTAACTATCTTTGGTCCTGATTTGGTAATATATTTGTGGCTTATCTGTGTAGTCAAATTAAACTTCTATCTGTAAAATATGTGGCTGAAGAATATCTATCCACAATCCACAATTATGTGGATCGCAAATGAATATTTAAGGATGGCTCTTGTGGTCAGAGGAATGTGTTTCAAGAAAAAAAAATGAAACAATGGCTGTGCTACGTTACATTTTTATTTTTGGGGAAATTCAAATATATCCCTCCATATGCGTATATTTGATTTCGATGTTTCAAGATATTTACCGGGTTCTACCTGTGGAAGATCCAAGAATGTGACCTATGCATATCAGATAGGCTACCTAGTAAGCGTGATAGACAGAATAAAGGATTCCTTCAAATCTCAATCAATGGGTAAATGAACAACAATAAGCGGAGCCTTATCGTGAATTTTACCACGGCGAGCCTTATCTATGGGTCGATAAAATCAATTGCCTTTCCCGAACTCACCCAATTATTTCATATATTCGAAATCTTCTTCATTAGGAAAAACTGTCTATTTATCCACCAATAAAATAACCTGAAATTATTTGGCATTCCTGCTTATGGTAAAATAATCCTGGAGATAACACTGATACGCACAATTACCTAACTTGCGCATTTGAACCTGGAGGTATCTATCCTTTTGAACTAGATCTTGGATAGATCCTTAATAATAATCGAACAGAGATTCACCATATCGGTCAACTAATCCAATGATCGCTTCATGCTATTAACAATAGCGCCGGCTAACATCAAAAATTATTATTGTTCAAACCTTAAAAGTTGATATTTTTCCCCTTATCAGAAAATTGCGATTTAGCCAAAATTCAAAGATAAGAGATAAATTCGAATGAGAAGGTATTGTCGAGGTTTACAAAAATGAACAATAGGCAAACAATTGATTTGGGTAAACAAATGTTGGGCATTTTGTAATGTCTTTCTTCAGCATAGAAATTATTTGACATGCCAGCCAAGATAATTGGATGTCATTTTTCTTGATTGACCGGTGTTGTTACCAAGTATTTCGGTGGGGGGTTTTTCGTACGTCAATCCTGTCAAGGAATCGCAAATCTCGAGTGGCACTTTTTTTCATATTTTGAATCTGTGGTCTCATTATACAATCTGACCATCACCACACTTTCCAAACTTTAATCTTAAAAGGTGACCGAGAATGATAAAGGAGGTATTTGAACTAGCTATTGATCTTGGAGATATACAAGAGCCTTTCCAAATACTTTTTCAAATTTGGGGTTTGATAAACATAGGAGCTTATACCTAAATCCTCCTAAGACCGGCATAATGGAGTCGTTTTTTTTAGCGCAAATCCGAAAATGCTCTTATCTTAACCTTATCGATCAATGATCCTTATCAACCACAATTTTAGGTTCACATTTCCCCTAAAAGTTCTATATAAATCAGCACATTCTTTTATTTAAGAATTTTCTTCCACAGCTTAAAATCATGGATATTGATTTAGAAAAAAATAAAGAAAAGACAAATGGTGTTGTCGTTGAAAGTGACCTTCGTTCCTTGGACGATGGTAACTCTTTAACTTCAGACGATTATGTTGATCATTTTGAATATGACAAGACCCTTAGTAAGTCTTTAAAGCTGAGACATCTTTCTATTATCACTGTGGTTAGTGTTTTCGGTACTGGGTTGTTTTTAAGTTCTGGTGGTACTTTAGCTAAAACTGGTCCTGTAGGAATTATTCTTTGTTACATCAGTGTTGGTGTAATCGTTGCTTGTTCACAAATGTGTATTGTTGAAGCAAGTTGTTTTGCCCCTTTCACATCTGGTTATGTGAGACACTCTGAAATGTTTGTTAGTCCTGCTATGGGGTTCATGATGGGTTGGATTGATGTTTATTCCAATATTATTCCTTTCGAATTAGAGGCTGTTGCTGTCGTCATGCAATATTGGTCTGATCTTAATCCTGCTGTTTGGATCACAATTTTTGGTCTTTGTTTGGTAGTTATTAATGGTTACAATATCAAATGGTATGGTGAGATCGAATTCGTTTTTGGTATATTGAAACTTTCATTGATCATAATCTTAGTTATTGCTGGTCTTGTCATTGACCTCGGTGGTACTCCTGATCATGATAGAATTGGTTTCAGATACTGGGTTGATCCTGGTCCATTCGCTGAAAAAATCTTTACTGGTTCTCTTGGTAAATTTGTTGGTTTCTGGTCTGCCATCAACTCAGTTGTCTACTCATATGGTGGTGTTCAAGCCGTTAGTTTACTTAGTGGTGAATCTGAATATCCTCGTAGATCCATTTATAGAGCTGCTAAGAAAGTTTTCTTCATCACCTTTTCCTTTTACTTAGCTGCTGTTTTCGTTTTATCATTGATTGTTCCTTATAACAACGAAGTCATTGCATCTCCAAATGGTACTGCCAGTGCTTCTCCATTCGTTGTTGCTATGGCTGGTCAAATTAACGTCTTACCTGATTACATTAATGCTATTGTTTTAACTTCTGCATTATCTGCTGCTTCATATTCTGTTTTGAAATCAAGTAGAGTTATCTTTGCTTTGGCTTCCAAAGGTCATGCTCCAAAGATTTTCCTTAGAACCAACAAACATGGTTTACCTTATGTAGCTGTTGGGGTTACATGCTTGTTTATTCCTCTTGGTTATATGGCTTCCAGTTCAGGTTCTGATGTTGTCTTCAGTTGGTTCCAAGCTATTACATCATCAAACATTTTATTGAACTGGATTATCATTTCAGTTAATCACATCTTCTTGGTCAGAGCATTAAAAGCCCAAGGATATAGTAGAAAGGATTTACCATACACTTTCCCAGGTACTGTGTTTGCTTCATGGTTCTCCTTATTCTTCTCATGTCTTTTCTTATTAACTGGTGGTTTTGTCAACTTCATCCACGGACAATGGGATTTTGGTTCATTCTTTGGTGCCTACTTTATCATTCCATTATCCCTTGTATTATTCTTTGGATACGCTTTGATCAGAAAAGTATGGTTCGTCAAACCAACTGATGTCGATTTAAAGAGTTTATTCACTCATATTGAATTAAATCCAGAACCACCATTCCCAAAATTAAAAGGCTTTCAAAAAATTAACTTTCTTTGGTCTTGATTTGGTAATATATTTGTGGCTTATCTATGTAGTCAAATTAAACTTCTATCTGTAAAATATGTGGCTGAAGAATATCTATCCACAATCCACAATTATGTGGATCGCAAATGAATATTCAAGGATGGCTCTCGTGGTCAGAAGAACTGTGTTTCAAGATTTGAAAAAAAGAAACAATAGCTGTGCTACGTTACATTTTGAAATCTCCTCAAAATTTAAGTATATCCCCATATTCGTTTCGTTTTGACGTTTTGATGTTTGAAGAATTATACTGGGATCTACATGTCAAAGTACCAATGCGTCATATGCATGCCAGATAGGTTACTCAGTAAATTTGATATAAAGAAAGAAAACATTCGTTCAAATCTCAACTAATGGGTAAATGAACAACAATAAGCGGATCCTTATCGTGAATTTTACCACGGCGAGCCTTATCTATGGGTCGATAAAATCAATTGCCTTTCCCAAACTCACCCAATTATTTCATTTATTCGAAATCTCCTTGCATTAGGAAAAACTGTCTATTTATCCACCAATAAAATAGCCTGAAATGAGTTGACATTCCTGCTTAAGGTAAAATAATCCTGGAGATAACACTAATATGCACAAGCACCTAACTTGCGCACTTGAATCTGGAGGTATTTCCCCTATTGAAATGGATATTGGCTAGAACGTTTGATTAAAAGTGAATAGAGAATCACGTTGTCGATCAAGTAGCCCAATGTTCGCTTCATTCTATCAACAATAGTGCCGGTAAACATCAAGACTTATTATTCAAACCTTAAAGTTGATATTTTTCTCCTTATCAGAAAATTGCGATTTAGCCAAAATCCAAAGTTAAGAGAATAAAAATTCGAATGAGAAGGTATTGTCGTAGTTTACCAAATGAACAATGGGCAAACATTGATTTGGGTAAACAAATGTTGGGTATTTCTTTAAGGTCGGTTTTCCAATCTGGTAATTATTTGACATGCTAGCCAAGATAATTGGATGTCATTTTCCACATTTCATCGGAGTTGTTACTAAATTTTCGGTGGGGTTTTTTTCGTACGTCAATGCTGTCAAAAAATCGCAAATCTCGAGTGGCACTTTTTTTCATATTTTGAATCTGTGGTCTCATTATACAATCTGACCATCACCACACTTTCCAAACTTTAATCTTAAAAGGTGACCGAGAATGATAAAGGAGGTATTTGAACTAGCTATTGATCTTGGAGATATACAAGAGCCTTTCCAAATACTTTTTCAAATTTGGGGTTTGATAAACATAGGAGCTTATACCTAAATCCTCCTAAAACCGGCATAATTGAGTGGTTTTTTTCAGCACTAATCCGAAAATGCTCTTATCTTAGTCTTGTCGATTAATTATCCTTATCAACCAGGGTTTTAATCTCACCTTTCCTCTAAAAATTTTATATAAATAGGGGCATTTTATACTTCATGTATTTTCTTCTATAGCATAAAGTTATGGATATTGATTTGGAAAAAAATAGAGAAAAAACAATTGGTGTTGTCATTGAAAGTGACCTTCGATCTTTGGATGATGGTAACTCTTTGACTTCAGATGACTATGTTGATCATTTTGAATATGACAAGACCCTTAGTAAATCCTTGAAGCTGAGACATCTTTCCATTATTACTGTGGTTAGTGTTTTCGGTACTGGTTTGTTTTTAAGTTCTGGTGGTACCTTAGCTAAAACTGGTCCTGTAGGAATTATTCTTTGTTACATTTGTGTTGGTGTAATCGTTGGTTGTTCACAAATGTGTATTGTTGAAGCTAGTTGTTTTGCCCCTTTCACGTCTGGTTATGTGAGACATTCCGAAATGTTTGTTAGCCCTGCTATGGGGTTCATGATGGGCTGGATTGATGTTTATTCCAATATTATTCCTAATGAATTAGAAGCTGTTGCTGTCGTCATGCAGTATTGGTCTGATCTTAATCCTGCTGTTTGGATTACCGTTTTCGGACTTTGTTTGGTAGTTATTAATGGTTACAATATCAAATGGTATGGTGAGATCGAATTCGTTTTTGGTATATTAAAACTTTCATTGATCATAATCTTAGTTATTGCTGGTCTTGTCATTGATCTCGGTGGTACTCCTGATCATGATAGAATTGGTTTCAGATACTGGGTTGATCCTGGTCCATTCGCTGAAAAAATCTTTACTGGTTCTCTTGGTAAATTTGTTGGTTTCTGGTCTGCCATCAACTCAGTTGTCTACTCATATGGTGGTGTTCAAGCCGTTAGTTTACTTAGTGGTGAATCTGAATATCCTCGTAGATCCATTTATAGAGCTGCTAAGAAAGTTTTCTTCATCACCTTTTCCTTTTACTTAGCTGCGGTCATCATGTTGTCATTGGTTGTTCCTTATAACAACAAAGTCATTGCATCTCCAAATGGTACTGCCAGTGCTTCTCCATTCGTCGTTGCTATGTCTGGTCAAATTAATGTCTTACCTGATTACATTAATGCTATAGTTTTAACTTCTGCATTATCTGGTGCTTCATATGCTGTTTTGAAAGCAAGTAGAGTTATGTTTGCTTTAGCTTCCAAAGGTCATGCCCCAAAGATTTTGCTTAAAACTAACAAACATGGTTTACCTTATGTAGCTGTAGGGATGGCATGCTTGTTTATTCCTCTTGCTTATATGGCTTCCAGTTCAGGTTCTGATGTTGTCTTCAGTTGGTTCCAATCTATTACATCATCAAACATTTTATTGAACTGGATTGTCATCTCCCTTAATCATATCTTCTTGAATAGAGCATTGAAAGCTCAAGGATATAGTAGAAAGGATTTACCATACACTTTCCCAGGTACTGTGTTTGCTTCATGGTTCTCCTTATTCTTCTCATGTCTTTTCTTATTAACTGGTGGTTTTGTCAACTTTATCCACGGTCAATGGGATTTCGGATCATTCTTTGGTGCTTACTTTATCATTCCATTATCCCTTGTATTATTCTTTGGATACGCTTTGATCAGAAGAAAATGGTTCGTCAAACCAACTGATGTCGATTTAAAGAGTTTATTCACTCATATTGAATTGAATCCAGAACCACCATTCCCAAAATTAAAAGGTTTCCAAAAAATTAACTTTCTTTGGTCTTAGTTTCAATTCTTGTCAAATTAGTTTGTAATAAAAATTCTGTGAAATGGCTGCGAAAACTCTAAATGTAGAACAATATGAATTTTCTTTTCTCAAGTTGATTCAGGGAATATGGACTATATTGTGTAGTTCTCTAGCCTATAGTTAACATGTACCTCTTTAATACTATCTGCAGTTTTCAAATTGCCAAAAACATTTATAAGAAAAAAAAATTGAATAGGTTAGGGACCTTAATTTTCTGGATTATACTGTCGAAGGGTTTCAATAGTAGTCACATATAATGTTTCAGTTGAACATTATACTAATGTGACTTGTTGGTATCAAAAGCTTTTAGTATTTGTGAAGTAAAAAAAGTCGTTCACTTTTTCTTAAATTATTCCAAAGATATTTGGTAATCTGTAGATTTCACATAATTTATGAAATAAATAGGACTGAAAATACAAAAAAAACTAGAGCATTTTCACCCCTTCATACGGCAAGGAACTCACCTGAGGTCCATTCCGAAGACATATATATCACAATTTCCTCGTTCTAACTATATTTTTCAACGCATCATAGATATACATGGAGTGTATCCGCAATTCCCTATTTACCGCACTTAATCTCACACACCTCATTTCAGTTTAAAGTGTACTAAACATGTCAGTGGGCAAGATAAAGAACAATATCACCCATCTTGGCAGCTCAATTGGTACTTCTATCAATAATGCTAGTAATAATGTTACGTATAGTGTGAAAAGTACAATCAAAAAGAAGAAGTACGATAGTGATGATGAATTGATTAAAGAGTATCAAGAGGATATTAAAAGATCTATCAAAGCTTTGTCATTCATTTCAAAACAGATTCACATAATATCAAATGTGGTGCTACCAAAACTATTCAAGTCACACATGAAAAGTGTTGAACTATTTGCAAAATTGATAGGAGCCAATGCTTTGCAATTTAAAGGAATTGATGATTACTATCGTGATTTTGATATTCTGCAACAGCAACAAGAAATTCCAATGATCCACCCAAAGGAGTCCATGTTTGAGATTGAGTCATTGAATGAAGAATTGTATAATTATATGGTAACAATAGATAAGTTGACGCTAGGTATCTTGAATGATTGGGATTTATTTTACCAGGAGAACAAATTAAGAATTATCGAAATGAAAGGATATTTGAAGGATAGTTTGAAACTCATTTTCAAAAGAAATCAGAAACAAGATCAATATGAGACTTTGTACAAAAAGCTTGACAAAATCATGAAAAAAACTACTCCTTTAGATGACAAAGAACAAACAAAAATGAATAATTTGGAGAAAGAATTGAGAGAAGTGAAGAAGATCTATGAAGCCCTTGACGAAAGAACAAGAACCAATTTACCACATGTGTTTGTAAATTTGGAAGAATTCATCGATTCCATATCGAAAATTTTGTTTTTCAAGCAATTGGATACTTATAAATCATTCTATAAAACCTTGAGCCACTTTTCTGAATATTATGGGTTTTTATCATCAGAGGGTACAGAATCTGATTATCAACACATAGTCGATCAATGGGAGAATTCAATGACTCCTGTGAGATTACAGATTGAAACTTTTATTACCATAATTCATGACAAAAATCCTGAACTTCTCAACGAAGAAATTGATGATGAAGATAAAACACTGAAGTCTGCAAAAATGTGGAATAATCTTTCGAGGAAGATGACGGACAAGAGCTTCAAATTGAAGGCCAAGGACCATAAAAATGGATTATTTAACGGACATTTAATTGTTGATCAGTTGGACGCTTTTTTGGAGTACAATAATCCCACTGCTAATATTTCAGAAACTTACTTGCCCACCAAGCCTATAAGGAAAGATGAAGTTATGATCCCAGACATTGAAGTAAGTAATGTGGTTGCCCCTCCTTTACCTCCGAGAACGAACACTGCCGGTGCCTTGATTGCCCCTCCTACACCTAGAATAGGATTGCCTGTTTCTCTACCGGGATCACCTATGCCTTCTACACCCATGTCTACAAATTACAGTTTCGAAAGAACTCAATCAATCACCGATATCGACTCTGTAGAATCTGCAAGTATACGGAGTGATGATGATGATCTGGATTTTGAGGATAAAGAATCAATGGAAAATTTAAGCTCTGTTGCTACATCTCGTTATGTCACGGACAATGCCAAAGAAAAGATGTCCAGACACTTAGCTAAAATCTATAATTCGAGTAAAAATCAAATCAAGGAGTCACCTATCCATATCGATCCCAACGATCTTACTAGTTTCTCACCGAAGGGAGATGCGTTTGACAGAACTTCAACCATCACCCACAGATTGAATGAGTTTGATAGTTTTTATCACAAAGTCAATTTTGTAGAAAGTGCAATGAATAGGAAAACTTTAGTAGCTAAGCACAACTTCATGGGTGAACAACCAGGAGACCTTTCATTCAAGGAAGGAGATGAAATCGAAATCATTTTTGAATTTAATCCTACAAAGGCTTCCTCCGATGGAATTTGGCTGATAGGGGTTATACAAAATCAAGGGTCATCTAGGATTGGCATGGTACCAAGTAACTATTTTTAAGCGTAAAAATATATATTCTATAGCTTTAACTAATCTATTTCACTCTCTAACAATTCGAATAAAGTACCAATTATCCCCACAGGATCATCTCTAGCACCTGAATGGAAGTATTGACTAGAGACATATGGTCTGAAATTTTTACCCTGGAAAGTCTCGGTGATAACTTTATGGCCAAGATTGAAATCGACGTATAAATCTTTGAAGTACATGGCTCCAACGATAGGAACATCTTTAAATTCCAAACTACCGAGAACTTTGGCATCATATAATTTCGGCCAATTAGTATTAGAATGTAAAGCGTCAGCCAATTTTTTGAATGGTCTTAATTCAACGTAATCATCATACATTGATTTATACACCATTTCACCAGTGAAAAATACAGGATCAGTGGTTTTTTCATCGAATACAAATTGGGAATGTTCAGGCAAGTATCTTAATCTTTCAGCAGACCAGTTGGATGTATTAATGGTTGGATTATTACCATCGCAATAAATGGATTCTTGGAAAAGTGCATATAAAATATTGGTATCAAAACCGAGTTGGCCTTGGATTGTGTTCAAAATATTGTAACCTGGTTCACCAAATAATTTCAAATCATTATAGAAGGTGTTAACAATAGTGTGAATACTATCAGTACCTCCTTTCCCTCCGAAATTTAATCCAATTTGTTGAAACCTTTCCACTGACAAAGTACCAGAATCTGGCAATGTCACCTTATTATGTTTCAAGTACTTCATGATAACTCTGACTCTCTCTACATCTTTTGGATACTTTTCATAGTACTGTATGTTTCTTTCCTTACATCTTTGATAAGTGGCAGTATAAACATCATCAGGACCATGATTTACAGGAGGAATACCACCAGTTATCAAAGATTCTTTGATGGAACCAGGATACTTTGACAAATAAATGAACGAGCAGAATCCACCAAATGATTGACCTACTATAGACCATTTATTATTCCCGATCAATTCTTTCCTGATAAAATCCATATCTTCAACAATTGAAGCTCCTGTGAAATTGAGTACGTAGTCAAGTAAAGCTTTAGTATGTTCATCTTCAGACATATCATTCTTTGGTACCAATTTTGATAAACTTCTGGAGTTTAAAGGTGTACTCAATCCGGTACCTCTTTGATCCATGAAAACCATTTGATAACCTCTGCTGATGAATTCATTGATATAACTCAAATTGCTAGCTGGTGGGCTACAAGGAAAACCTGGACCTCCTTGAATGAAAGCTATCAATTTAGGTTTCGAAGGTAAGATATCGGTCTGATTGGCATCGTATTTCTGGACTAAATTGGCAACTACTTGGATTTCTACACCAGGGAAAGATTTGTTGAAATAGCTTAATGGGAATTCAAACTTCAATGTCTTCACATCAAGGTTCTTGATTCTATAGGAGTCTATAATTTCATACGTTCTCATCATATTAACTTGTACGGCTCCAAAATCGCACTGATAAGAAACTAGAGTGGGACTAAATTTTGATGATGGATATCCTTTTACAGTTGTGTTTCAAGATCGGTTTGAAGCAGAGAGATCTCTAACCTTCTTATAATGAACTTGAGCTGGTATAACTTTTGGGCCAACTTTTCCCTGTCCACAATTAAAGAATGATATACTTTTTGGCCAATTGGTCCCTGGACCTCCTTGGATCTTCCTTATGGGACACTCTGCCGTAAGGGATTACCGGAGGCCATCCCATCGGGTCTCAAGAACATCCAATTATTGACCTGTTTCCACCTTTATCTGTGAGATGATACCCCAAACCTCAGAGTGCGAACGCGTCAAATATATTTAACTATCTATATGTCAGGTACCGTAGAAGAAGGAACTAAAACCTTGTTAACGTTCAACAAACCTATAGTATCAACACCTTCCAACCCTATTGGTACGAAGGATTTGTTGATCAGGCTTCAACAGCTTAGTGATGAATTAACGGCGATAGATCAAGATGCGATAGATTTGAAAACCTTGGATACTATCAAAAAGGACTTAATCAGCCATAAATTATTAAGAAGTAACAACCCAGGAGTTCAAGCTTACGTGTGTTGTGCCATTTCAGATCTTTTGAGGATATATGCACCTGATGCACCTTTCACTTCGAGTGACTTATCACTAATATTCAGATCATTCTTGCAACAATTCAAAAGGTTAGCTGATTCAAACAATCCTTATTTCCATCAACAATGTTACCTTTTGAAAAGGTTGGCTGAAGTAAGGTCGGCGATCTTAATCACAGATCTTAAGGATTCAGAAGAATTAATGGAATCTGTCTTCAATATATTCTATGAATTGGCAAAAAAAGAATTCCCTTCTAGATTAGAACCGTTTGTTTCTAGTATCTTATCTGATGTCATGCAAGAAGCAGAAGTAGTACCTCATAATGTTTTAAAGATGATTCTTGAAAGTTTATTGACTAATAACGCATCTTCAAGTCTTAATATTTATAATCCAGCATTCAATTTTTCTGTATCAATCTGTGATAATAATTCCGATAGAATGTCACGTCAGGTAGCTCAATATTTCTCCGAGATGCTTTATGAAACTTCAAGTCAAATTGAAGATGTAAATGATTCAAGAAATTCTAATTCAATAAAAGCAATGGAAAGTTTAAAGAAGATTCATAAATTATCAGTAGAGATTTGGAATTATGTTCCCAGTTTACTTACTTCCGTCATGGGACTCATAGAAGAAGAATTAAATGCTAGTGACGAAAGAATAAGGGTATTGGCCACAGAGACCATAGGTAAAATGATAGGTTCATCAATATCATCCCAAAATTTTGTAGTTAATTTTGAAAATGTATGGCAAAACTGGTTGAAAAAGACTTTAGATATTTCCACCAATGTAAGATGTAAATGGGTAGAGGAAGTTTCTAATATTGTCAATAATTGTGCCACCTCAAGTGAGATATCCAATGAATTATGTAATGGATTGAACAAATGTTTAATAGATAGCGATGAAAAGGTCAGATTGGTTAGTTGTTTAGCAATTGAAAAGATTCCCTTTGAAAAATTGACTAGATTTTGTAATAAGAATATCATGATAACGTTAACACAGTTAATGAGAGAAAAGCACCAAGATATAAGGAGTCAGGCTATAAAGATTTTGGGTAATCAATGTAATAAGTATTTTGATTGTCTTTTGAATAATGAAGTTATTGACTTTGGATCCAAAAATCTGGAAGAAGTTGCACAACTCGAAGAAGAGATATTCCAAAAAATTCCTAACCAAACGTTATCGTTGTTATATATCAATGACAAGGATATCAATGCACAAGTGGATATCTGTTTATTTGAGAAGATCTTACCATTTGAAAATAATGATAACAAAAGAGTTGAGAGACTTATCCAAGTTTTCAAATGTTTAGATGATAAAAGTAAAAGATCAGTGTTTGCTATTAATAAGAGACAACAACAAGTGGCAAAAGTGCTTGGAAATTTTGTTTCCTTGAGTGAAGAGTATGGTAAAATAGGTTCTTTGAATGATAATAAAGAGAATTTGAAAGAAAAGGCTAGCAATGGAGATAAAATTGCCATTTTAACCAATAAATTGGATCAAATCATCAAATGGTTAAGTGAAACTGTTCCTGATAGTTATAACTCTATGACATGTCTCGAGAGATTTTATAAATTGAAGAACTTTAGATTTTTGAATCTAATCAAGCAAATCATTTCATCAGATTCTGACTTTTCCACCATTAAAAACTCCATGAAAGAATTAATGACTAAGTTATCCAACAACAAAAATATTAGAGTAGAAGAAGACAGAGCCAGTGTGACATCCAATGATATGGTTTCAACCTTCAAGCTCATACTATATAGAGGATCCAACCTTATGTTCAACAAATCAAATTTGGCTGAGTTGATAAATTATTCCAAAAATGCTTTGAATGAACAAGATTCAACTAGTAGTGGCTTCATTGCTAATGAATTACTTGAAAGTATTTCTGAGATTAATCCCGATGTATTCAAAAATCAAGTCAAGGGATTATTGGATATCGTTAATGACCAACAAACGGACCAATATTTGAGATCAAATTGTCTTAAGACCATCTATAGGTTTGTTAGAGTCTACCCTGAAATGTACCCTGAAGATCCAGAATTCACCGACAACTTGTTCCAACTTTGTGTCAACGGTTCGCCAAGAGAGGCCAAATATTGTATTAAATTGATTGGATTATGTGAACCAAGGAAAGCTTTCCTTTGTACTGAATTAGTGGGTAAGTTGTATCCCTTAGACTGTAATCATGAGAAGTTCACCACTCATTTATCGGCTCTTTGTGAAGTGTTCTTGGTTGATCCCATGGCTATAGAAGACAAAGCTAGTGATTTGACTGCTCAATTGATTAAAGATGTTTTGTTAGTTAATCGAGACATTGAGGAGGGTGACGAGTCAAAGGATTCAATTATTGAGGATTTGGAATTGAATACCAATTATCGAAAGCATCAACAACTTCATGGTAAGATTTTGACTATAAGATTATTCATCAATAGGTTGAGATCGATCGATGAAGATAGTAAGTCCACAGAGGAAAAATTAGAAGTCTTCCAACCAATTTTGAAACTTTTACTAAGCATAATCAATAATGGTGGTGAAATTGTAAAAGATAGGTCGACTCCAAAAGACTATCAACTGAACTTGAGATTGTTTGCTGGCTTATGCATCTTGAAATTAAGCAGATCCAATTTTTTCAATGGTTTTTTCAATAATAATGTATTGATGAAATTGATCTATCTTCTCCAAGATCAGAATGACAAGATCAGGACCAAGATGTTGGATAAACTTCAAAAGAAAATTGGTGATCAATTACTTAGTGACAAGTTCTTGACTATTCTTTATTTCATGAATAATGAACCCGACAATGATATTTATTTCAAAGTTACCACATGGATCAAGTCAAGTTACAAGAAGACTGACACCAATGAAGATCCTGTTTTCGAAAGATCTCTTTTAAGATTGATTCACTTACTTAGTCATGATCCTAATTTTGCTGATGTTGACAGAGAGACTGGTCTTAAGTACGCAGCGGAGATTATTATATTCTTCTATAACATGATAGCCAAACAGGAGAACGTTTCAACGTTATACTATGTGGCAAGCAGAGTCAAACAATTCCGTGATGGTACTATTGATAGTAAGATCTATGACACTTTAAGTGCAAATCATGAATTAAACGAGACCGAAGAATTCCCCAAAGAGGTAGAGAATTTATATATGATCAGTGAGCTTAGTCAATTGATAATTAAAGAATCAAGTGATTCAAAAAGTTGGTCAATTTTGAGTTGGCCAGGTAAAATTCCTATGCCCAATGATTTGTTCAGTCCTATGACAACAACATTCGAAGCACAAATGATCATATCCAAAGTTTATATCAATGATGACTTGCAACCAAAGATTAAATCGTTCATATCACAAAAATTCTCCAAATCAGCAAAATCCAAACCAAAGGCAGGCATTAAAAGAGTAAGAACCAAATCTTCAAAACCTAGGAAAGTAAATCCACCCAAGAAGAGAAAAATTGAAGAAGTTATAGAAGTTTCAAGAAAAAGTAGTCGTTCACGTAAATCGGTGAATTATGGAGAAGTAGAAGAATCAGATAACGAACTGGTTGACCAAGAATCCAGTTCAGATGATTATGATTAATGTATAATAATATCTATAAGCTCGTTATCGTTCCATCTCTTTGAGAGTGTTCATATTAGGTGAAATACCTTCTTCACCCAAAATTTTCAATCTGGTTGCTGCAGGTAATGATTTGAAATGGTTAGTCATTTCTAAACTCAATAAACTCAACAATTTGGCTGCTTGGTTTTTATAAACTGATACAAAGAATCTACCTGATGATTCCCACCAATTGGCAACACAGAAAAAATGTACGTTTGTAATTAGTTTTAAATCAGTGTTAGCAATTCTCGCTAACATGGACCAAGACATTGATATAGGATAGTAAGGGTTATTTAAACGGGTTAATACTGCAAACAATGAACATATACCAGATACTCTTTCATCATATTTATCAGATTCTTCCCATTTGTTAGTGGATTTATTTCTTTTCCAACCCATTTTCATTCTTCCTTCTTCAGTATCAATGGAGCAAGAATATCCTATAATAATTGGACATTTTTTAACTAATCTGGGTAACAAATATTCATTCAAAGCTGGGAATCTCTCAAGAAGATTCGAAACCAATCTGGCTAATGGTAATGCTGCTTTGGGTTGTACCACGATTTCGGTCTCAGCTTGAGAAACTATGGCTTTACATATGAAATTGAAAATAAAAGGTAATACATATGGAGCATCAGGGGGAATGGAGCTAAGAATTTCCACTATGTCATTGGTGATCTTATTAAGTTGGGTCATACTATTGGATAATTGACCGAATTTAGGATTGATCTTTCTTCTGACTACACCAATTTGTTTTTTCAATTCCTTATTTGCATTAACATGTTCAACTATATCGGTCTTAATGCTTTTGATCTTTTCCTTATGCTTTATGAATTCCTTTTCAATCTTTAAAAATTTATTATTCTCTTCATCGATTTTTTGTTGTTTAAGTTTGGCTTGACGTTCCAATTCTAGCTTTTGAGCATTTTCACGTTCCTTCTTCTCTTTCTCTAATCTTTGTTTTTCTTTTTCAGCTTCTTCAGCTTTCCTTCTAGCTTCTTCTTTCAATTTTCTTTCCTCTTCTTGTTTCTTCAATGCTTCAGCTTCTTCTTTTCTACGCTTTTCTTCCAACAAACGAGCTTGTTTTTCTTTTTCTAATCGAATTCTTTCTTCTTCTTCCTTCTTTTTCCGTATTCTTTCAGTTTCAAAGGCTATCAACTTCTCTACTTCATTGTTTTGTAAAGTAACTAGATTTTGGAATTTTTGAGTAAGAATATCCAAGTCAGTCAATTTGGGAGCATCAAACTTGGAGAACAATGAGATCTCCATCTTATGGGGGATCAAAGTAGGCTCTAAGTCTACTTCAATGTCAAAAGATTCAGGGATACCAAATATCATAATCAAAGTAGTAAAATCTCAACTTTCAATTCGCACACATCGTTAAAAAAATTTTCAGTGTAATGAACAGAATTAGATTGTTTAGTACCACCACCTCTCTTTGTAGAGCAGGTTATAGTACAGTCGAACCAGTTCATCATTTAGTTCCTATAAGGAAATCAGCATTAAAACCAGGCTACAAAGAACTTTTAATACCAAAAGATGATATTAGATCTGTTGGTTATAAACCAAAGAACATTCAACATGATAGAGTTAATGATTATTATGAAAATCAATTAAAAAGTGACTTAATGTTAAGATTATATGAACATGATTCAGAAACTGTCATCGGATCAAAATTAAGACCTTGGGAAACTGATTCACCTTATAAATTATACAGAAGAGCTCGTAAACCAAAAGGTTTCTATAGACCACAAAAAGATATTAAACCAGTCACTTTCAAGAATGTTCCTGAATTAACTTCTATCAGTATAAATTTATACAGTAAAGAAGCCTTGGAAGAATCTTGGGTTAATATTTCCACCCGTTTACAAATCGCTCAAATCACCAATGCTAAACCAAAAAGAATCTATAATAAATCAAATGTTTTACCTTGGAAAGTCAGACAAGGTAAACCTTGTGGATGTAAAGTTGAATTAGTTGAGGAAGATATGACTCAATTTTTATCAACATTGACTGAATTAGTCTTACCAAGAATCAGAACTTTCAAAGGTATAAGTAAAAAATCTGGTGATAAGAATGGTAACATCACATTTGGTTTAAATCCGGATGATATTAAATTCTTCCCTGAAATAGAAAATTTCCAAGATTTATATCCTAACTTGTTTGGATTCCACATCACTTTTAAGACTTCAGCCAGAACTGATGACCAAGCTAGATTATTATTAAGTAGTTTAGGTCTCCCATTCAATTAAATTTGTATATAGTTAAATAAATCAAATAAACCTGTAACATTTAGAATCTAAATCGCGACATGTTATCAGAGATCGATGAGTATACTGTACTTTTCACTACGAGGATACATCAGAAACAGAAGAGTTGGCAAGACGGAATAATGAAACATTATAAGTTGAATAATAAAATAGAGATTTTGAATGATGATGGTGTAATAGTGGCTTCAGAATTTCGTAAAGTAGCCTTTGTTCTTGATGAACAATATGTTGTGGGTAAAGTTATGATTGAAATTTTGCTGTTGAATGATAGTTATACGCGTGAGGTCACCATAAAAAAGGAGAAAGATAATGGGGTAATCATCAAAACAGGACCAAGGGTAACCAAAGAGGAAGTTCCCATAATCAAAACGGAGCCTAAGAAATTGTTGAAGGCCCCTAGAATTCCTTTGAAACATACCATCAAACCAATGACAGCTGGATTGTCAAAAGTTTCCAATTCTTCCCCTAATTCAATTAAAAAGGAAAGTTTTCCTAAAAACGTTGAAAACAATGTTAAAGCAAAACAAGAAACCCCACAATTGAAATTCAAAATCGTTGAACCTTTAATAAGAAGAATACCCCCAAAATCAGCATAAAATATATTCAGATAAAAGTTTCTACACAACCGAAGTCATATCTACTTCTTTTCTTTATTTTTACTCTCCCTATATATCATTAAAGGAACCGCGTTAGAAGCGAACACTTTAACGACAGGGAATGAAGAAATCAATCCATTGATTGCAGCCAATCCAGGTTTGTTGGACATTCTAGCTAAGTAAGTTTGAGCAGGTAATTCGTTAAGCATAATAATTTGGTGTATATTGAACAAAATATTTTTGCGATAAAGTTTTGCAGCCAATTAGCCACAAATATTTCCACCACAAAACAGATCAAACAGGGTAATATTTACTATTGATTGGAGGTGAAGTTAACAAAGGGATATGCAAACTCCTGGTATTAATCTCCAACCATGAATTCATAAGATTGTCTGATAATAAAGGACATAAAAATTCCCCATTGAGTAACAAATTTCCCAGTAATTTATTGGGAAGAAAGTTACTGGAAAATTTCGTTATCGTCAAATTGTTCCCGCCGATTCGGAATGGTTCAGATAAGGATTTGACAGTTGATCTATAAATAAATTTGTTATCTCGACAATAAATCAATGTATAGTTTGATTTGTTAGGGGAAATCTCCAATTGAAACTTATAGCCCGAGAATGGGTGTCTAGAATAACAATACTTGGAAATATCATTGGCTAACACACATGGCAAGAGTACTAATAATAGAATCAACATCGTGTGAATTTCAGGTTCCTGTCAAATTTCCGCTTTTGATTACAAATAGAGTATAATTAGATTCGATTGATATCTCCTTTATGGTTATATGCACGAAATCATGGCTGAATACAAGGTTTTATTCGAAGACACGGGTTTATGAGCGGAGGTTATCCCGAAAGGCTATTTATGTACCTTAAAGCAATCCTATTTGGGCCTATCAATCTTTTCAACTCTCAGGGCCAAATAATTTGATGGGGCCAAGAGGTTTTTTCCATTTAACCACTACAGTAATATAAAGTAAATGGTTATGTCACAAAAGGTTCTCTCAGTGTTCTTTAATTGTGTCAAATGGTTACCTGTTCCGCAAAAACTAATACAAATCCGATCTATTTCCTTCATATCTAAAAATACCTGCAACGGTTAATTGTTCTTCGGTGCAAAAACGGAATCTAAAAATATCTTTCAAAGCCACTCGCAGCGAAAGATCACCAGATTAATTTCCGGAGACAAAAATACGATTCGATGTGACATTTACAGCGAGAATGGAAATTGAAGTGCAACAATGAGACTTGGCAATGATCAAACTAAGAGATTTTAGAAGTTCTCGCTGCATCGCCTATCGATATAAATATGGGGCATATTTCCCATTTTTTTAATTCATCAACCAAAACATATTTCATAAAACATGATTAAACAAATTTCAATTGCTACCTTACTTTCTTTAGCTTCAACTATTTCAGCCCATAATGTAGTTGATTGTGTTGCTAATGACAAAGTTGTCAAAAGTACTGATGTTGAGAATGGTGTCTGTTACTTTGAATTACCAGACGAATATCAAGCCAAATATAGCTTCACTTCCGATGATGACTATGACGTTAAATTCTACTATGCCACTGTGGGGGATAGAATCTTCTTTAGTGATATTAAGAAATCTGGTACTACCATTCCAGTCCCAGCCAGATATTTAGCTCATACTGACGACGAATTAGTGGTCTACTCAGTTGAAAGAAACGCTCAAAGCGATGACAGTCGTCGTACTACTGATTATGATAGTGATGATGATGTTGAAGATTATTTCACTGACAATGATGACGATGAAGATACCGACGATGACGATGACGATGACGATGATGACGATGATGACGATGATGACGCTGACGGTGATGACACTGATAATGACCATGATACCGAAGGTGACCATGATCACAGCAAAAGAGATTTAGGTGATGTTTTGGATAGACTTAAAGAGCAACAGGGTGAAGAAATCAATTCCGGATACTTCAAAGTTCAATCCGCCAGTGGATCATCAACTGTTGCTTCTACAGCTACTACCACCGGCTCAAGTAGTGGATCTAGTAGTACTTCAAGCACTTCTGGAAGTAGCTCTAGATCATCTAGTGGATCATCAACTGTCACATCAACAGGGTCATCAACTGGATCATCTACCAGATCATCAGATTCAACCACCTTATCTTCAACTGCCACTTCACAATCAACTAGTTCTTCTTCAGACAGCTCAAGTTCTACTTCAGAAGAAAATGCCGGTCACAAATTAGAAGGTTCATTGATGGCAGCTGCCTTCATTGGATTATCTGCTCTTCTTTGATTGAATATATTTACTGTTTACTATTATTATCTATATCAACTCTGATTGCGATAACTTCACGATTAGAGTCGTGTGACCTATTGACTATCTTGGATACATCTTCCATCCCCTGAGAAATGTCGCACATCTTGTATAAGATACAGGAGATTGTTACTAAAAATAAATTGGGTAAAAAGGGGTATCTATCATTACCTGTACGGTCTTGAATAGTTGCATTAACAAGATTACCTATCCAACCAGTTGCAATACCCAAGAAAATTTCCAATCCAAAATATTGAGCTTCGTCTCCTTCTGGTAAAAGTGTACTATAAATAGTTCTATTTAATGATCTCAATGAAGATCCTGTAGCACTGTAGATAACTTCGAATACCCAGAACTCCCATCTATGTTTGAACCCTATTGAAGTATTTGAACTTATACCTAAACATCCCCAAAATGTGCTAAAAATTTGGAAAAAATAAAATCCATAACCCCAGGTTTTTATGTTCAAACCTAATCTCGGATATAAAAACATCCATGTAAGAGAGCCTAAACTCCCACAAATATAGGACATGAAGGTGTAAATGGTATACTCAGCATCACTAGAACCTAGTCCTAAAGTGGATCGGAAAAGCAAAACAAATACACTTAAAAAGTTAGAGTAGCTTACATTCCAAATAACCCATGCAATACAATATAAGAAAGCGTTGGGATATCTTCTAATGTTGCACAATAAAATGTACATTCTTTTCATGGTTAAAAGAAGAAGAAACTCTTCTTTGGGTTTATCCTTACCTTTTACACTCGGAATATAAAATGATGCAACAACAGCCGATACCACAGTCAAACATCCAGCAATGGTGATGGCAAGCAAGAAGTTATGATAACCATCTTCCATTGGTCCTCCTCTGGTGTAAGAGATAATAATACCAATCAACAAAGCGGTCAAACCCCCACAGTTTCCCAAAAAGAGACCCATGACACTCACTTTAGACCCTTTGTTCAAAACTATGGTTTTTCTTATTTCTTCAGCATTTTCACCTTCAACACTTTCACCAGCAGCTCTCATGAACAATGGTATGTACGAGCCTTCCAAAATCTGGTAAATTGAATCAGTTATTTGTAGTAACATGTACAATACCAGGAGACCTATCAAATGGGCATAGTCTTTTTCTACTAAGCCATAAAAAGGTAGAGCCACCATTCCATAGAATAAAATTGATCCGATAAGAAATAGTTTCCTATAATTTGAGTAGTCAGCAATACCCATCAAAAACAATGCTACAATACCTTCAATAGCTGTAGCTATAGCCCTAATATAAAGCACATAGGAAGTAGTGTGAACTCTACCTGAACCAAGCTTGACATAACAATCGTTTCCTCTGAAAGCACACTTGGTACCTTTACTTGTTTTTCCCACCAATGTAGCAACAGATTGTATAGCAGCTGGGACATATGTTCTGGACATTGATGCAACTGGCCCCGTGCAATAACATAATAATAACCAACTTCTATAAATCTTCTTCTTATTCCAAAAACTGCCCCTCGTCAGGGTATATACAACAGCTCCCTCGTTGTACCGTGAAGACTGGGTAGACATGTTTGAGTTTTAAGAGCAAATAAAGGTGTTTTTATATGAAAAAACCAAAGCTTCGAGCAAATTTTGCAACCAAATGGAGATAAGTTCTGACCAATAACTTTATTTCGTGAATTGATCCAATGGTTTCATTTTAAGGATAAAAAGGGAAGGTTTTACCCACTTGAAGAAATACTTATGTAATGGTGCTACACATATTGTAGTATACAAGAAAGTAAAGGAAACTATAAAAAATTGAGTCAATTCTTTTGCCAAATAGGAAGGCTAATAGAATATCGGAAAGAGTAGTATTAAGGAAGTTCTCTAATATTTTGAAATAAACTATTTAGTAAAATTTGATCTCCATTTTCTACCCCAAACGCATAAACTTATCAAAAGAATAATATTGATGACATTCAATAATCCCAACCCTGTAAAACACCAGCCATACCCAAGTTCTTGTTCTAATTTATAGATTATGAAAGAAGCTATGGCGGCAGCAACATTTCTTAAAGCATTGGCTATTGCAATGGGAGTGGCTGGAGCTCCTTCTATTGATTCTGCTAGGTAAGTGTTACAAATAACAAATACCCATGTCATTCCAATACCACTAAGAAATGAAAACACATAGATTAAAGCAACATGACTTTTGATTTGAACCATCCATCCATAACATATCAAACCTACTAAGGATGAAATAAATCCGAATAATTGTACCACAAGTCTATCTTCTGGTACGTACCCAGCTTCCGATTGTGATTTCTTCCTATAGTATCTATCGGTGAAACGTCCACTCAAAAGAGACCCAATGATCAATGACCCTCCCAAACACAAATAAGACAAACATACTTGAGTTGTGGAAAAGTCATATTGTGATTCAAGAATAGAAGAAAACGAAACACTCAAAGCATAAAAACAAGCAAATAATAAAGCACTGGTGATTGAACACAAGAGCACTGGGGGGTACTTTATAAGTTTGTAGTATACTTTTATGCCGGGTTTAGGGGGTTTGACATAACGTGGATCATCAACAACTTTTTTCTGATACAATTTTGGTAGAATGACCCAATTTTTCCCACCATATATTTCACCATTCCCCACGAGATATCTTAGGGTTTCAGGAACAAAGAATAGAATCATTAAATAGACCAATCCTCCTATGATCAACAAGATCCCAAATGGCCATCTCCAATTACCTTTAGATGCTGAAAGACTCAATATAGGTCCAATAACAGGCCCCAATTGTGGTCCCAACATAAATAATGCAATTGATTTCCCTCTGTGCTTTGGTTCGACCAAATCGACTACAGTTCCGATACCCAAAGTGGTCACACTAGAAGCTCCAAAAGATTGAAGTAGTCTTAAAACATACAAGGCTCCAATATTTTGAGGAACCACGATAATTAAGATATTTGCTAGTAAGAAGAACAATAGTGAAATTATATAAAGGTTCTTTCTCCCACCAAAATCAGCCATGGAAGCCCAAAATAAAGGGAAAAATGCAAATCCAATCATGAAGATGGAAACTGTACCATTCATAACTGTTTGCGATACAGCAAACACTTTACTTAATAAAGGTAATATTGGTATGTATATATTACCTGACAATGGACCCAAAAATCCTCCCAAAGTAATTACTGTTAGAATAAGTAATCTTCGATTTTTTGGAATAGCAGAATAACATATCTGACCTTGCTCTTTTCTGATCTTCTGACTTTGAGATTCTATCTTATCGAGTGTAATATCTTGAAGTCCTTTCAGTTTTTCCAGTTCCATGTTACAATTCAAAACCGTGGTTTAGTATGGGGATGGGATATTACCATTTATATTTGGGAACAGAATGTCCCTTTGCCAGAACTACTCTTTCCAGGCAGCGACTAACAATTCTATGTTTCCCCTCTGGGTAACTTTAATAGCTCAGACACCGTTACGGGAATATGAGGCTATTAACATTACGAAACAGGAACAGAATAAACTTTGTGACACTCGTATATTATATCGACTACTAATCTATGTTGCGAGAAATTAAAGGGCTTCAAATTTTACTTTGAGCTTCCAAGGAGATACAGGACCACCAGGAGTAAGTTTATTTTCCCATTCAGGATCAGGAATGACTCTGAAACTTTTCAATAATTGGTTCAAAACTTGTTTCATCTCATGAAGAGCAAATTTTTCACCCAAACAAGCTCTTTTCCGTCCATGAAATGCAGGAAGTCGAGCTGAACCTTTAGCTTTTGAATAACTTCGGTTAACTTGAGCAATTTCAATTCCCCATCTGTCAGGACTGAATGAATCAGCATCTTCCCAAACAGTTCTATCTCTTCCTGTAGCAAAATTATTATACCCAACATAAACTCCTTTCGGTATTACGAAATCTCCCAATTTCACAGGTTTAGTGGTAATTCGGTTAATGATTTGCCCTAAAGGAGGAAACATCCTTAAAGTTTCGTAGATTATCGAGTTCAAGTAGGGTAATTGATCTAGAACCTGCTCATCGTAATCAACGGAAGTCAATTCATCTCTCAATTTCTGTTGGATATCTTGATATAATGAGAGCACATATATAAGCGAGGTCAACAATAATTGAGGGTTCTCATGACCGGCAATCATAACTATCATCGCATTATCAGTGAACTGTTGTTCCGTGAATACACCATCGTTTAAGGCTTTAGTTAAGCTACCAGCAACATTGGAAACATTTTCAGGGAGACTTCTTATCAACCCAGAATAATATTTTCGGAAGCTACGAACAGCTTGACGGGCTTCTATTCTACTAGGAATGGGAAATTTATCCAAAAAAGGAAAATTCAAGTACATAGGTTTGAATATATGTGACTTGACAAACTTGAGCTTCTCATTCAAGACAGAGTGATCATTTTCAAAAAGTCGAAAGTCTATCCCAAGCATGGAATCACCAATGTTTGAAAGAGCGAATTTTTGAATCACATCAGTAACTAACATACTTGACCCAGATTGTGCTGCATGGGCAATGGACCTAACAAACTTTCTTGAGTTACCGACGACGGGATTTAAATCCGGGAATTGTATAACCGTGGTAAGAATTTGACGGTAAAGCTTCCAAGTGCTACCATGAGCACTGATTAAATTATCACCAGTATATTCACTTAATACAGAATAGGGAATTTTTATTTGGTTCCCACTCTTAGCAAAAGTTTCTTCATCTCGAAATATTTCAACTAAAAGCTCTGGTTTTGTGACCAAAATGTTCCACCTTGAAGCAAAATAAATCTTAACAGCTCCGTACATTTCTAAATGATCTCTCAAATAGTTTTCGAATATTTCCTTCTGATCCATGTTGGTAAATAACCCCAAAAACGAAACGTATATGGGAACAGTTGGGATATTTCTAGGAAAATTTGAAGGAGGCAATAGTTTTCTGACAAGATGAAGGAACCATGCCAACAGCAATAGTAAAAGAGTTCCTAAAAGCAGTGAAGAAAGATTTCTCTCCATGAAGCCTAAAATCATGTTAGTTGAAATTCCAATTGACCAGAATACTCTATTTAAGAGAGATATACTGCAAACCTAATAAGCAGGTTATTTCCCTTAAATAAAGATTGGCTGCGAAATTATTATTTCCTTTTTCAATCATACTGCTCCCTAGTATCACGTCATGCCCAAGGAGAGAGCTATTTTGGAGGAAATAGTAATGTACACAGGATCTAAAGGAATATCATATAAAGTCAGTCCAAATTCAGCATACTCGGTTGCCTAATACAGAGATGAATTTCGGTGGATTACCTATAGCTAATGCGGCTAGTGAACTATCAAGTTCAGGAAGTTCAACAACTTCACTTTCATCAGAGTTCAGTGAAAGCAACGAAGAAACGTTTTTCGAAAAGGTGGTTTTGCTTTATTTCCGTGATGCACAATGTAATTTGGTAAATTATAGAGTGTATCATAATTTTAACCTTGATATTACCCAATTCGAGAAAGCATTGAAACATGCTGTGATAAACAAGAGTAGTATTTCCACTGAAACGTATTTTGGGAAAACTATGGATATTACAGAAAAACATCATGAAGGTAAAGGTACAGTTGGGCTAGTAACCAAGCCATTGGAACCCACCCAATTGAATTTATTTATGGTTAACATCTTATTGAATAAATCACACAATATCCACTTATCAAGACCTTTAAAAATTGATAGTGATTTTGATCTCCCATCACACACTGCAGGTTTGATTGTTGAAATCTTTGAAAAAATGTTGAAGAATACAAGTACTCACGATCAATGGCAAAATGGAGGTAAGGACTTCCTCATGGAAAGAGTGGAATATTTCACCCAAAGAAACCTTAAGGTGGAATGTGTTCTACCAGCGTTCCCATGTAAGTCGTCTAACATGAAAAAAGTTCATGGATGGTTACCAGATAAAGGTGAAGAAATGGCATTAAGAAAGATTTGTGATTTTGTTACTGCTGTTCGCAAGATATACATTCCAGGAATTGTTGTTTGGATCGTTAGTGATGGCCATGTTTTCAGTGATTGTATTGGTGTTGATGATTTGATGGTGAATGATTTCGGATTTGAATTGAAGAAGATGTATAAGAAAATCGTTAAAGATTACGACCAAAAGGTTGATCATAAGTACGATGTAATACCTCGTAAAGATTCGAAGAGATTTATTGAAGAAATTGATGAAAAACTTTCTTTTCAACACGGGTATAGAGTGGGAGCTACTGTAGGCTATGAAGAAGGTGTATCACAGGCAAAAGCCATCTGGGGAAATACCTTTGGTTACGGATATGATAGATATTGCACTGAAGATTCCAAAGTGAATACTTCTGGATTAGAAAACTTAAACCCACAAACCCAACCAACTGACGCTGAGTCTGGAAAAGAAGGGGAAGACCAAGCCTCTATTGAAATCAATATCCAAAAATTGAAACTCAACGCCAAACATGATGAAACTGATGATATGATTCGATTTGCTTCATTGACTGACATATTCTCTATCCATGACACATATGTCAAGGTACCAGATTTATCCGATATTCAAGTACCTCATCATGTCGAAACAGAAATTGATTATGAAAGTGAAATCTGTAGAAAACTCTTAACTGCTAGTTGCGACACAGATAGTGGTCAATTAAAAAATGATGTAAACACACCTAACCACCCAAGGTTGGCATTGTACAGGGGATTTGCAAAATTCATGGAAGAAGATTTAGCAACTCATCCGACCATATTGAAATCTTCCAAAAAAAAACATAAGAAGATAGTTTCAAAAGTTGCCTTTGAAATGATCAAAAGAAACGATGCTTACTCCAACTTAGTAGAGTTAATCTTCCCTATGCATTTGAGATTCAGTATCCATGCACATAATAATAGAGGTCCTAAATTCGGGATTAAATTATTAAGTAGTGACGAATGCAAAGTTATTAAATCCTTAGATGAATGCATAAGTCCGAACTATGATGACTTATTGCACATTCCAACTCCTTGGCACAATACGATCTTGCAATATGAAGGACAAAAAAATTACTTCATCACCAAAGCTCATATTATTTACGATGCTTTTAGAAATGGTTCTTATTCAGGATTTTGGGATCAAGAAAAACGTCAATTCTTCGTTAAGAAAGAGGAGAAGTTGCAATATTAGGAAATTGTTAAGAACACTCGCAAGGTATTTTTTTAGATTCTTCGGAGTCATAAGGGTTGTTGCTGCAGCAACTTTGCAGCAACTTTTTTTTAGTTTAGTCGTACATAAAACAAAATATACATTAAAACATCTTAAAATAAAGGGTATAAAAATAAAGGGTATAAAAACGAGTTTAAACTGAAAATTCTGGAACATCTTCACAGGTCATACAGATATCTGGTCTAGAATTTTGAGGTGTAGAACCTTTATAGACCAATCCACCATTGATAACAATACCACCTGAGCCATAATCAGCAGTGACTTTTTGCATCAAGTTGATATCGTATCCTTTACCAATGTTAAAGTTGAAATTTAAGAAACCACAGGTTAAAGTTAAAACACCTGAACCTGGAGTGTAACCGAAACTACTAATAGGTAAAGATAAACCAATGATATTATTTCCACCCCAATTTTTAACATTAAATGTTTGGGTACCCGAAACAGCTTCTACTCTAATTGAACCATAATCGGAAGAAAAGTAGAAAACTTGATCAGTTGAAATCGGTAAAAGGGAAGTTTTAATCCAGACATTTGAATTTTCACCAATGTCAAAACAACCTTTACCTTTAATGGCAGATTGTTGATCAAAAGCTTGATTTCTTAAACAAACAGTACCATCATTAGTGAAACTTTGCCATAATTGACCTAAATCAACTAAACCACTATTCTTCTTATCTTGGTATAAAGCGATCAAACCATTATTGGTAAAACTTCTAGGAGTTATTTGGGAGATAGGAATACCAGATTTACTATTTCCACTAAAGAAAGCTTTACCATTATTTTCGAAAGAACCACCATTAATCGAAAAACTTGGAGAAAAGAAAGAACTTCCTGAAGAAATAACCATTCTACCATTATTAGTAGTTTTACTCTTAAAGTCAGCAATTTTGAAGTTGATAGCTTGATCCTCTTGAGTTGAAGTAACAAAGAAGTCTCCATTATTTAAGAAATTGTCATGGAAATGAACATAACCAACATCAACAATTTTCCAAGTTGCACCAGAATCAATAGTAACATCGGAATATTCAATAACTGCTTGACCCCAAGTTTTGGTATCAGAAGAAATCTCTATATTATCACTCAAAGCTTGAGCAATAAGACATAAAGTAGTGAAAAAGGAAGTGATTTTCATTGTTGATTACAATTGAATTACAATTGAAAACCCAGTGAATCCATGGGTATTTATAGTTTGGAAAACAACTCAAGTAACTAAATTCATCAGATTCCATTTTTTGCAGCAAAATGGTTCTCACAGCAAAAAATAATGGAGTTAACAAGATTTTGAGATCTTCACCACATTGTTCTGTCGTAATATTTTCTAAAAGTAAGTAAATCGGTTATTCAATAGGTAAACCTAAATAGAAGGATATTTCCATATTGAGAAATTTAGTGTATATAATCGGAGATTGAAGATCTTAAGGGTTTAATAATTTTCCACCGAGACTATTATGGAGGTAATTACATAAGAGGACCAACATCATGAGAACTGTATAAAAACGGGAATAGTTATGAGATCTCGTGGGTACGGATTAAATTACGGAGTGATATAATTGCTGAAGTGAAATTTTCAGGGAATCTAATTCTGATATGTGTAGGCTTTAAATTCGTAGATTTCTATTATGAACGCAAAGGACAATTAAGCCACTGAGTGAACGAAAAGCCTTTGTAGGAAGTAAACACCATTCAATATACGACTGTTGGAAAGGTAAATTGAATGTTTGGTAGGTTGTTTGTACGATTATTTGGTTATTTGTTTATTTGGTTATTTGATTATTTGATTATTTGATTATTTGATTTGGTGATTACTTAAGTTGACATATTTAAGTAGAGAGCAAATGAGATAAGAACATTTAGAAAACTAAACTATTGAAATGAAAGTGTCATTGAAATGCAAATAAGTAATTTCAGGGTAATGCCATACCATAGAAAACAATCAGAGATACTGAAAAACCAAATTATCCCCCCATCGTCACATGAATTCTGTCCATAACCTCATTAGGCATATGAGACCAAAATATAAATATGGGGAAAAGTTGATGAATAGACCGACCAACCGAAAAAGTTGAAGTATAACCTAATTCGTTAATCACTAGTCTAAACCGGTATTTCAATTAGTTACCCATTAAGTTATTTGCATTACAATAGCTTAAAAAAATCATTCAAACTGTATACTAGGGCTATCCCGCTTTTCAAAATCTTTCCTTTTTAGGAAGTTGAATTGAAAATTTTTTACGTTGAAATCTCCAGGAAATTTTAAATAAAAAGTTACTACAATAAAATTTTCAATTACTTACCACTTCTTAAGTTATATAGTTATCATCAGTTCTTTAATCTTTTGATATTTTTTTATATTTAAATATAACTTACATTGTTTTACATTTGAGACTGGACAAAAAATTTTCAGGATCAAAAGTGAGCGTGAATTGAGAAGTACCTTAAACGAAAACAGTAAAGGTTTTGTGAAAAGATAGCAAAACTTGAAAGGTAAAAACTCACAATAACAGTTATTGAAATCAATAACTCCTTATATTGATAATAAATAACAACCCAATCTTTTCAGTTAGATTAATAATTGAATTATAAGAAATAGGTTAGTATGGCCAGATTTAAATTTGGTAAGAAGAAAAGAGATGATCCCAATGGATCAATGGATGAAGAATCAAACAATCTGATGAACCAATCACCTAAAGTATCAGAAGAAATGGCCCATAACAATTTTAATGGATCACCACAAATCAAACCATCACCAGTTAAATCTCAACAGATCTTATCATCAAATGATTATAATGAAGGAGCTAATGTTGGTAATGGTTATGACACCAATGCTAACATAGTAAATGAAGGAACTCCTTGGGTTAAATTCAAATTAAGAAATTCACCATTTCCTCGTTATAGACATGCAGCATCTAACATTGCCAGTGAAAAGAATGAAATCTTTTTAATGGGAGGTTTAAAAGAAGGTTCAGTGTTTGGTGATACTTGGAGAATTCATCCAGTTTTAAATGATGAAGATGAAATTGAAGGATATTTCTCAGAAAATGTTGTTATCTCCAATAATAACAACCCTCCAGCAAGAGTTGGTCACTCATCAGTTTTAATTGGTAACGCTTTTATTATTTATGGTGGTGATACTGTTGATACTGATTTTAATGGATTCCCTGATAATAATTTCTACTTATTCAACATTAACAATAATAAATATACCATTCCAAGCCATATTTTAAATAAACCTAACGGTAGATATGGTCATACAATTGGGGTGGTATCATTAAACAATCAAAGTTCAAGATTGTATCTTTTCGGAGGACAATTAGAAAATGATGTTTTCAATGATTTATATTATTTTGAATTGAATACCTTTAAATCACCAAAAGCTAGATGGGAATTGGTTGAACCATTAAATAATTTTAGACCTCCACCATTAACTAATCACTCAATGTCAATCCATAAGAATAAGATTTATGTGTTTGGAGGGGTTTATAATAATGAAAAAGTATCAAATGATTTATGGTGTTTTGATATCGGAAGTTCAAAATGGAATCAAATTAATACTACTGGTAATATTCCATTACCAATAAATGAACATTCAGCTTGTATCATTAATGATTGTTTATATGTTTATGGAGGTAATGATTTTAGTGGTATTATTTACAATTCCTTATATGTTTTGAATTTACATAGTTTAGTATGGTCCAAATTAACTACTGAAGGAGAAATTGATGGACCAGGTGCTAGATGTGGTCATTCCATGACTTATATTCCAACATTGAATAAATTAGTGATTATGGGTGGTGATAAAAATGATTATGTTAGTGATGATCCAAATGATTTCAATACTTATGAGACTAAAGATTCTAATCAGAATTTAGATACAATGATCTATCAATTAGACTTAAATTCAGTTGAAGGATTTTTATCATCTAAATCAACAGTTATTAAATCTACTCAAAAGGCATTGAATGCAAGTTTATCTAATGCTAATGTTATTAATTCTCAACCAGTTTCAAATTCAATGGTTGGTGGTGCAGTAGGTGGCATTGTTGGTGGAGGTATTGTTGGAGGAGCTATCAATGGTATTAATGGTACTAAAGATAATTTACAAAAAGAAGATTTTCAACGTCATGCTAGAAGTTTTTCAGCTGGACCTGAAGATTTCAAAACTCCTCAAGCTTCACCTGAAATCAAACCTCAAGAGGAATTTGTTGAAGTTCCATCAACTGCTCAATCTGAAAAAGATTTAACTACTGAAGATGAATTAGATTCTCCTGTTAAGAACTTTATACCTCAACAAAATGGTAAAGCTATGGAAGTCGATAGATTCAATAATAGTGCAACTCCAACTTTCCCTACAAGAGAAGAACCAAAGGTTGAATCAATTGATACAGCACCAATTTCAAAAGGTAGTTCTTCAATTTCAAGAGGTGAAAATGAAAAAGTTAAACAATTAATCACTGAATTAACCACTCAATTGAATGATTTGAAAAAATCAACCAAATTAGAAATGCAAAATGCTACTGAAAAGATTCATCAATTGGAATTAGAGAACCAATCTTTAAGATCAAATGATTTACAACAACAAATCACTGAAAAAGATGAAATCATTAAAGATTTGAGACAACAAATCGATCCAAATTTATTAACCATCAAAGAAGATGATGAAGTTAATGATAAACTGATTAATTCATCAATTAGTGATTTGACTAGATTCAAATTAGAAAGAATTAATTTGAATAATAAATTGATTTATTTGACCAAAGAAAATCATGAATTGAATTCCAAACTTACAAATTTTGAACCTTTCATGAATAATCAAATAGGTGAATTATCTAAATTCCAAAAGATTATCAAAGTTCAAGAAGAAAAGATCACCAAATTAACAAGTCAAGTTAAAAGTGAAGAAAGTTTAAGAAAAGAAGTTAATGAATGGAAATCTAAATATGATAATTTAGAGATTGAATTTGAAAATTTCAAAGCATTTAATGGAGATGATGAAATTTCTGATGATGAAGAAAGTTTACATGATATTACTGATAAATCAATTATAAGTAATTCAACTACCAGAAAATCTAAAAGAGATTTATCTAATCATTTGGAAAATTTAGTTCAACTTTGGTCAATTAATCAAAATAAAATCGGTGAAACTAAAGAGATTTCTAAAAATGATGCAGTTGATCCAATGGTTATTGAATTACAAAAACAATTAGATCAATTAATGAAAATTAGTAAAGAACAAGAAAATGCTTCAGCTTTAGAAATTAATAATTTAAAGACTGAATTGAATCAAAGATTACAAAATTTGAAAACTTTTGAAGAAAATTATAAAGATGCTTTACAAAGTGTTAATAATACATCAAAAGCATTAAATTTAACTCAAGATGAATTGAATAATCAAAAACAATTAATGGAAAAATTAGTTAAAGAGAATAATGAATTGAAATTATTCAAAAAAGCTAGTAAAAGAGTCAGTACAAGACAACCATTATCATCCCAACCAAGTGTTGATAATTTCAGTTTATCTCAACCAATTAAAGAAGAAGCTGAAAGTGATTTTACTAATGAAGATGAAGACGATGATGATGCTTCAAATATTGAAAATGCTCATTATAATATGAAGATTAAAGATTTAGAAGCTGATTTATTCATATTGAAACAAGAAAGAGATCAATTGAAAGATAATATGACTTCATTACAAAAACAATTATATTTAGCTCAAAATAATATGTAGTAATTTTTTGTAGTTTTAGAGGGTAACGTAAATGTTAAAAAAAATATTTTATCTCATATATCTATAAACTCATAAAAATTTGTATCATTATTCATAAAAAAGGGACTAAGGATTTGGTTGAGATTCAACTAATTGATCATTGGTAGATTTTTCATAATTTGGAACATAATCAATTGTTTCATTATTGGAAATTTCGAAAAAATTAAAGTTATCATGCATTTGATAATCTTGTTGTTCTTGTTCTTGCTCTTGCTCTTGGTGTTGTTGAATTTCTTGAAGGTCTTGAACTTCAGGTTGTGATTCACCATCCATTAACATTCCATCATCTCTTTCAATTGGACTTATAGATTCAGGTGATTCTTCTTGTAAGTCTATTTGAGGTTCTGATGGTAATAAACTAGTTTCATGAGCTTTAACTCTTTCCTTTTCTGTTAATTGTAGGTTTGGCATGGGTATTAAATTAACATTGACTTCATCATAATTTGGTATACTATTATCAAGTTCATTATCATGAGAAATGTTATTGAATTCGATGGGTTCTACTTCAGGAATTGATGGTTGAATTTGTGTTTGTTGATGTAATGGTTGAGCAGGTGAATTACTTGATGTTGATGATCTATGAGATGCTGGTGAATTTGAATCTTGAATATCCATCCTGTTAGTAGTTGAATTGAAATTGGGTGATCTGTGAGTTCCTATAATGACTTCTGAAGTTAATTGTAAAAATTTCTTCATTCTCTTATATTTATCAGTATTGATAAAACTTGATCTTTCCTTTTGATTGAAATCAAATGATCCTGATAAATATTGAAATTGTCTTTTGAATTCATTCAATGTTTTAGCTTCATTATTATTGTCATTATCTTCATTAACATTAGCTGATGATTGATTTTGGAAATCAATTAATGGTGATGGATGTCCGTTTTCACTCGATGATGGTTTAGCAGTATCATTAACATCCAATAATACGGACTTCCCCGATAAATTGATTAACACTTCAACAAAATATTGAAATGAAACTAATGGACACCCACTAATAGTTGGGAAAGCATCGGCAGGAACTCGAATATTGGACTTGATTTCCGATTTTAATGTTACAGGATCAACATATAATGGGATAACTGATTGGGATAAATCTTTCCTGAAAGAATCGAATAATCCTTCGGGTCCATTATCCAATCTACAAACTCTTACGAATGTGAGTATTATTCCATTGATATCTTGAATTTTTCTTAAATGACTGACATTGATTTTAATAGGAATGTTTTCTCCACGAAGATAACCTCTTTGGGGGATGGTCATTGATACTTTGATAGTTTCAGGTTTTGGTGAATCGTATGATACTGACGAAGGAATTGGAGTTGAAGGTCCATGATCTTCTTCAAATTGAACTTGTAAATGACCATTATTGAAATTTGGCACTGTAGTGACATTCGACGATGAGTTGGTGGTTGGTAAGGGTGGTTGCCCATTGGCTGTTGATGCAGGGGTATCTTGAGCATCAGTTGTTCCTTCGTCATCACGAGTATGGGTTGAAATCGAATCGTTAGGATCGGAATTATTCGATGAAAACGTACTATAAGTATTGAATGTATTTATGGTTGAGTTTGACGATTGAGTCCTTGATAATTTCCTATTAGCTCTTGGATCTTTAATAATCAATTTTTTGGGTCGAGGTGGTGGTAAACTACTCACATCTATAGGATTAATCAAATTGATTATCTTCTCTGATGTGAAATTGGAATTATGTAAAAACTTCAAGTTTTTGGTCTTCGATAATAAAGAACTTGAATTGTTTTCAGAATTTATGGTATTAAGTTTCTTCAAGTTATTCGACGTTAATTCGTTTTGACTGGTGGAATCTGTCATTGAGGCTTTTAAAACATAACTAATAGATCCTTTACCAAAATCAATACTTGTAAATACTCTCTTATTAGGTAATTTGACAATGAAAGGGAATCGATGTTCACCTTTAAATAATCCATTGGAATATTGTTGATTATCATCTTGAGGTTGAGGGGTGGCGTTATCACCATATATCTTGATAGTATGATTAAATAAATTATGCCTTATTGGTCTTAATTTAGAATGTGAAGATGCATTGATTTTAACAAATCCAATCAACGATAAGGTTATAACCACATTGGCAAGGTTTTTCTTTGATATAAGAATGATTTGTCCACTAACTTCATCTCCTGGTAACCAAGAATTATGAGGATTATCTAGTATTATATAAAAATCACTTACTGATTGGAAATCTATTTTAAACGGCGAATTCAAAGAACCTTCATTCTCTGATGAGCTTCTTGACCTCGAAGGTATTATTCTAGAAACTGCTTTTCTCATATTAATATACAACAAATTGAACTGAAATTCCTACTGACATGCAAATGATTGAGGCTAAGGTCGTATAGGCTGTTACTTACTTTGAATCGGGAGTACTTGACTATCTGATGAATCCGTGTAAATAACGTTCTTCAGGTAAGTTGTTCCGATGATCAAATGATTAAATTTACGGTGGGATTTGACGTATCTCTAACTTCAACTATCAATAGAAAATCGCCTTATGAAACACCTGACCGGTAAAAAAATCACTAAAATTTGACTAAAGTGTGGCTAAAAACTGTCTTATTCAATAAGTATTTGATGATCTTCTCTATATATCGCCTTCTGGTGATGATAAATGGTAATCTACTTAAAATATAAAGAACTTAAATTGACCGCTTCAAGGATAATATGGAGAAATTCTAAAGATCGTTTTTTTTTTGACAGAATGAGAATCATGAGAATGTCGAATATCTCCTATAAAATAAAGCCTGCTTATATAATCGGGGAAATGATGTTACTGATAGGAGAATTAGAATAATAAAGTTGATGATAGAGTAATCACAATATTGTAGATTAGAAACAAAGGGAAAACATACGAGAGTATCGGAGTTGCATTGACATATGAATAAGCTTATTTCGTGCGATGGTACGATAGCGACACCAATTTTTTAAAGTTAGCGAGAATTTTGAGGCAGTAATCCGACATTCATCCATAACTTTATTTTCGAGAGATAGATTCAGACAGCGGAGGAGCGGAATTACACAATACAAAATATGACATTATATGACCTATGACGAACTATAATACAACCCTAATCAAATGTTTTTTTAGTACCTTTAAATTCATTTCTTGGAGTTTGAGGTCTTGGAGAGTTTGATGCTGATCTACCACCAAATCCACCACGGCCACCGAAACCACCACGGCCACCACGACCACCAAATCCACCACGAGATCCACCTTGAGATGGTTCTTTTGGAGTGGAGAAATCTAATCTACATGGTCTACCTTCGATATATTCACCGTTTAAAGCGTTTAAAGCAGTTTGAGCTTCTTCAACTGATGAGAATTGAACATATCCGAAACCTTTTGGTTGTTGAGTATCTGGGTGAGTTGGGATTCTACATGAAATAACATTACCGTATTCAGCAAATGCATTTCTGATGTTATCTCTATCAGCTTGGAAACTTAAGTTACCAATGAAAATAGTATCAGATGGTTGAGATGGGACATCACCGAATTTTTGAGCTCTATCATTTCTGTTTGGAGTTTGAGGTTTTGAGGTTGACATATCTAAATTAACTGGTCTTCCATCAATTTCTCTACCTTGGAATTCTTGTAAGGCTTTTTCAGCTTGAGATTTGGTTTCGAAATCAACGTATCCGTAACCTCTTGATTTACCAGTAGCTCTTTCGAAAATAACTCTAGCACCAGTAACACCTGGTAAACTTTCGAATTCTCTCTTTAACCATTCGTCATCAACATTCCATGATAATCTACCAACGAATAAAGTACCGGTTTCTTCATCAGTTCTTTGTTTCTTTGGTGATGGTTCTTCATCAGCAGTTTGGAATTCTTCATCACTTTCGGATTTTCTTTTCTTTTCAACAGGTTTTTCTTCTTCTTCGGATTCTGAATCAGAGTCTGAATCGGATGAGTCTGAATCTGATGATGATGAATCACTATCAGAGTCAGATGAAGCTTTCTTTTCTTCTTTCTTTTCTTCTTCAGAATCAGAATCTGAGTCTGAGTCTGAGTCTGAGTCTGAGTCTGAGTCTGAGTCTGAGTCTGAGTCTGAGTCTGAGTCTGAGTCGGAATCAGAAGAGTCTTTCTTTTCTTCCTTCTTTTCTTCTTCTTCATCGGATGAATCAGAATCAGAGTCGGAATCAGAACTATCACTTGAATCTTTCTTTTCTTCTTTCTTTTCTTCTTCTTCTTCGTCAGATGAATCTGAATCAGATTCACTGTCTGAGCTATCATCTGAAGATTTTTCTTCTTCACTTGATGAATCGTCACTTGATGATTCACTGGATGAAGAGTCACTAGAACTTGAACTTTCTGGTTCTGGTTCTTTAACCTTCTTAGAATCTTTCTTTTTAATATCTTTAACTTGTTTAGATGATGATTTAGCCATTTTCAATTATTAAACTATTGGAAATATTTTTTTTCACTTGAGATGCTCTTCTCAAAAAACTGAAAAATTGTTGTGCATATAAGCTCACGTGATGTACAGAGTATTGAAGACCAAATGTTGACGATAATTTGAAAGTTTGAAGGAGATAGTAAGGAGATAAGAAGAAATTCAGGGTATGATCTGAGGTTTTCAGATATTATCTCATATATGACAATATTTCCTTGATTCTGATTTCTTGATAATAATAACTTTATTCTTAAAAAGAAACTATATCACTTTTTTCATCTAATGACTTGAATAACTTAACTAGTTCAAAAACTTGAGCTCAAATGTCAACCTTCTCTCAAACTAAAAGTAACCTCAAAGGTTTTGATGACTGAACCGGAGTTTTGCACGAGAGGGGATTTCTGTTCCTTTCGTCAGTGAAACCTTCATCGGGCCTTTTCCGCAATGAATCATACTCGCTCCACAATATTACAATTTGAAAAATTATCACTTGTTGAAAAGTTTCAAACTAAGCTAATCAGAAATTTAAACCTTTAAACATGTTTAAACCTTCTAGAATTCTTTTTCAAGTAGGTCAAACTACTAAGAAATATGCTACGATGTTAAAAGATCCATCAGTTAAATATAAACCTTTCAAAGGTGTAAAGTTAACTGATAGAACTTGGCCAAATAATTCCATTACCAAAGCCCCAAGATGGTTAAGTACTGATTTAAGAGATGGTAACCAATCATTACCTGATCCTATGACTATCCCAGAAAAGAAATTATTCTTCCACAAATTATTAGATATTGGATTTAAAGAAATTGAAGTTTCATTCCCATCAGCTTCCCAAACTGATTTTGATTTTACTAGATATGCCGTTGAAAATGCTCCTGAAGATGTTAATATTCAAGTTTTGACCCAATCTAGAGAACATTTAGTTAGAAGAACTGTTGAAAGTGTTAAAGGTGCTAAAAGAGCAACTATTCATACTTATTTAGCTACATCTGATTTATTCAGAGATGTAGTATTTAACATGTCAAAAGAAGATGCTATTGCTAAAGCTATTGAAACCACTAAATTAGTTAGATCTTTAACTAAAGATGATCCAAATATGCAAGATACTATTTGGTCTTATGAATTTTCTCCAGAATGTTTCAGTGATACTCCAACTGACTTTGCTGTTGAAATTTGTGAAGCTGTTAAAAATGCTTGGGAACCAACTGCTGAAAATCCAATCATCTTTAACTTACCTGCTACTGTTGAAGTTGCTTCTCCAAATGTTTACGCTGATCAAATTGAATATTTCTGTAAACATATCACTGAAAGAGAAAAAGTTTGTGTAAGTGTACATCCTCATAATGATAGAGGTTGTGGTGTTGCTGCTAGTGAATTAGGTTTAATGGCTGGTGCTGACAGAGTTGAAGGATGTCTTTTCGGTAGTGGTGAAAGAACTGGTAATGTTGATTTAGTTACTGTGGCTTTAAACATGTATACTCAAGGGGTTTCACCAGAATTAGATTTCTCTAATTTAGATGAGATTGTTGATATTGTTGAAAAATGTAACAAAATCGCTGTTAACCCAAGAGCTCCTTATGGTGGTTCATTAGTTGTTTGTGCTTTCAGTGGATCTCATCAAGATGCTATTAAGAAAGGTTTCACTAAATCTGAACAAAGACAACAAAAAGAATGGGCTATTCCTTACTTACCTTTGGATCCAAAAGATATTGGTAGAAGTTATGAAGCTGTTATTAGAGTCAACTCCCAAAGTGGTAAAGGTGGAGCTGCTTGGATTATCTTAAAAGCTTTAGGTTTAGACTTACCAAGACATTTACAAGTTGAATTTTCAAATATTGTTCAATCAACTGCTGATTCTTTAGGTAAAGAATTAAAATCTGAAGAAATTGTCAACTTATTTAATGAAACTTTCATGTCAAATGAAAATGCTGTTCTTAAATTGCAAGAATATGATATCTTCAGAAATAAATCTAACGATGAAAGAGAAATTAATGCTGTCTTAACTATAAATGACAAATCAATCAATGTTAAAGGTAAGGGTAATGGTCCAATTTCATCATTTATCGATGCTATAACTTCAAGATTTGGTACTTACTTTGAAGTTTTATCATATTCTGAACATAATATTGGTTCAGGTACTGAAGGTAAAGCTGCTACTTACATTCAATTAAGTTATATTAACTCAAATGGTGATAAAGTTTCCAAATGGGGTGTTGGGGTTAATTCTGATGTTTCAGAAGCTTCAATTCAAGCTATTATTTCGGTTGTCAATTCTTTAATTGAAACCAGGGAAATTATTATTTAGGTATTTAAAAATTCATGGACTAATAAATCTTTTTCTCTGTTATATATGTCTGCCATATCTGTTATATTTATGATAAAGATAAAAGGCTTAAGAATATTTGTCATGTGATCATATAGGGCTCTCGCCCCAACATTTACGTGACTGGTAATTAAATGGACATCTCAAAATTCTGAGTTAATACACTACTTAAAAAATCGCACTAACTAAACCTTCTCAGTGAAAAGTTTTTAAAAAACTAAAACTTTGTAAAACCACTTTAAAATTAAAAATGTCAAGTTTTGAACCAGTCGTTGTTATTGACGGTAAAGGTCATTTATTAGGTAGATTAGCTTCCACTGTTGCTAAACAATTATTAAATGGTCAAAAAGTTGTTGTTGTTAGATGTGAAGCTTTAAACATCTCTGGTGAATTTTTCAGAAACAAATTGAAATACCACGATTACTTAAGAAAAGGTACCAGATTCAACAAAACTCACGGTCCTTTCCATTTCAGAGCTCCATCAAGAATCTTCTACAAAGCTATCAAAGGTATGGTTCCTCACAAAACTGCTAGAGGTAAAGCTGCTTTAGAAAGATTGAAGGTTTTCGAAGGTGTCCCACCTCCATATGACAAAAAGAAGAGAGTTGTCGTTCCTCAAGCTTTAAGAGTCTTAAGATTAAAACCAGGTAGAAAATACACTACTGTTGGTAAATTATCATCATCAGTTGGTTGGAAATACGAATCAATTGTTGATAAATTAGAAGAAAAGAGAAAATTACAAAGTGCTGAATATTACGCTAAAAAGAAAGCTTTAACCAAAAAAATTGAATCAGCTAAACAATCAGTTGCTTCATCTGATGCTTCAAAAAAATTAGCTGAATTCGGTTACTAAACATTTAAATTTTTTGAATAAAAAATTTCATAGGGTATGAAGAAATGTTCTAAATAGAATAGTAAATGGAAATATTCCTCATGTATATTTAAATACATAATAATCTGTATTTTATAATTTGATTTTCTCTTCGTTTGATTTTTTGTTTGGTTTATTTTCTCTGGCTAAAAAATTCTCTTTGGTTCCATTCTTGCTTCCAAAAATCTCCCTAGAAGTAAATTTTATCGTTCTCATTTCTTCACCCATTTCTTCCCCCCATTTCTTCAATGTATACCAATGATAACATACGTTATTTCTAACAATGACAGTGGGATTGAAAAGGTATTAAAGCTTATAGACACAGATTATCAACCGGTTTCTTATGTTAACAATACTTTACCCAATAAATTATTTTCAATTATAGATCATAGAAAGTACAAATTTTGTGAAAATGACCAATTCATGTCACAATTTAATTATTTGAAATTAAATAATGTTGATGAATTATATGATTTCATCGTTAAGAAACAAGCAGGTCTTGAACAGAGAACATCAAAAGAATTTGTTGTTATTGAAGATTTCCGTCAGTTGGTTAATTCCAGTAATAATATCTATGGCGATTTAAACTTTAAGATAATAGAAATCCTTATCGGCCTTAAACGATACGAAAGTTTTATCATCGACACCCAACAAAACAAATTCGTCAGTTATTATATTGATCATTTAGAAGTGGTAGATTAGTCCTGTAAGCATTAGTTAGCATATTTAGCATAAGTATACATAATAATCACTTACTGATATCTCTATCTTAATACCTGGACTCTGGTACCGTTGTAACTTTCAAATATCTAGATCCTTAAACAATTAAACCGCCCCATACCATTGACAACCACCAAAACCCGAAATATACCTTTTTTGGTGAAGTCCAGTGTCCATAAAAAAAAAGAAAATTTCCATACCCCAGAAAATATGAGGGTGGGGTTGGGTGGAGTGACTTAAAAACAATCCTTTAAAAATATATATAAACTACTGCACTTTACGTCTAAATAAACTTTGAAGACATTTAAGTGCTGGAGATCAAGTTCGAAGTACTTTTAGATAGTAAAGACAACATTTTTCGAACCACTCAAGAGGTGATATAAAAAAAGCCACTTGAATATACGAGTTGGGGAATTTCGATCAAAAAAAATTGAGATAAATCGACAATGGAATCGAATTCCAACAAGAAGGAGATGGACGAAGGAGATTATATTAACGATGAACAGGTTTATAATGAGTTCATGAGTAGCCTAACACCTTGTTCATCTAACAATACATTCAACGAAGATCCTATAACCTTTGATCCGGTTGAATATAATAATTTGTTAAGCGAAAGGAACGAATTAAATAAGACAGGTACATTAACTGATGAGTTATATTTGGAAAAATTTGAACCTTCTATGACTCAAATACTGATACCCCCCAATTTGGCAGGCCAAACGTCATCTGAAGATCAACAGGGATTGAATCTGAGATCTAACCTGACATCCACGGCTGTAGAAAGAGAAACTCTTGTTAAAATTATGGTAGTTAATAACGAACAAGATAATTTCAATATTAATTTGTTTGCATTATTGGATCATATAAATAGTTTGGGATACAAAAAGTCCTTGAATGATTTAACTATCAATAATTTGATCATATATATAAGCAAAAGGATGAATCTTGCTGTGGAAAATATCAAATTACTTCATTTGGGGAAAATCTATAATGTTACTTCATCCATATCATTAAAAACAAAGCATTATTTATTACCTGATATGAAATTGGATTCATTTCCTACTATTCAATTAATAAAGTTAAATAATTCATCATTACTAAATTATAATGAACAAAGATTATACGAGATTCTGTTTGAGACAGATGATCATTATAATGTTACTTATGCTGATGCTATCGTTCATAAAATGAAAACCATGAAAAAACTGAGGTTCAGAAATAGGTTTAAGAAACTTTTGAAAGTTAGTGTGTAATATATGTCATTTTTATGCTCTATTCATTTAAAAAACTTAATAATAAAGGTACCATAAAACCCACCATGAAAACCAATCTTTCATTGGTATCACCAGGTTTCTTGATTACCATTAACAAATATAAAAAGTTCCCTAAACTGAATAGTAAACATAAGCTGATAATAAAGTCATTGATTTTGATAAGATACAAGACCAAGAAGGTTAAGATTGAAGATATTGGGGTTGTTATGGAGAAAATACCAATATAAAGTCTTATTAATCTCAAGTCTGTCTTTCCTTCTAGTAATAATCCACTCAAACTGAAACATGTTGGTAACTTATGAATGATAATCACCAATGAAAATAAGAAACTGATATCTTTATTGTGAAATGATGATCCTATAGCAATACCATCAACGATGGAATGTAGGATCAAAGTTAAAATCAAAGTATTATGGAAAATTGATTTAAATACTTCATAGTTAGTTAATTCATGATCGGGTGATGGGATAGATTGATCTAGATTGACAGTTTCTTCTGTCCTATGATTATACAATTCCAATTGGTGCATACATAGGAATCCAAAAACTATCATAAAACTAATCCATTTAAGACTTTTGTGGGTATCAATGAATAATTCTAAAGTTTCAGGTATAGCTAGGAATAGTAATGTTCCAAATAAAAGTCCATTGGATATTTGTATTATACTTGAAGTTTGATGTGATGACTCGAGTAGAATAGGAACCATTCCAACACCGTAACTTAACAATGTCATGGATATTGTTATTATGATGATATTAAGCCATGATTCTTCCATCACTAGATAAATAAAGTTTCCAGTCGCGATATGTTAAGAAGAGGTGCAACAACTATCAAGTTAACCCCTGAGGATATTTCTGAGTATGATCAAAGTGTAGTGAACTCAGCACAATACTTAAAGGAGGATAATTTACAAGAACAAGAGCCAGATAATTCAATCACCAATTATAAAGATAGAAACGAGAGAATCTTGAATCGTGATCGTAACCAAAACCACAACCACAACTAGAGTACTGGGGCATGTAAATTATCACAGAGGGACTTGGAACACCAGTGATGGATTTATGTTCTCACAAAAACACCTAAGTTGTCCGTGGAGTACCTTGAAGTACCACCACGCCAGCCTATACCACTTTAATACTTGAATCACCTAACATCACTCCACCGCAGAGAATTAAAACTTCGAAAGGCTTAAAGAGAGTTACATACCACATACTCCAGAGCAAATCGTTATGAATGTATATGAATCTATTTTCTTCCCAAAGCTTTTCTCTTCAACCATTTATCCCTACTTGCAATAACTTTCTCAGATTTTGGAACTCCTTTTATCCTTTCACTTACAACTACATGAACTGGACCTTTCTTGACTTCAGACTTTAAATTCTTCAATTTTTGTAATTTGATTTGTTTTCTATCTTCAAAATCATCGAGTTTCAAATGCTTAGGTTTGATTTTATCTTGTTTGATGCTAGTAGTTGATGCTGAATTTATTATATCTTCTGGTAAAACGTCGGGTATGACTAAATCATCAACCTCTTGTTTCTTTTGTGACTTTAATGATTGTTGTTGTTTGTTGTATAAATCTTGGTTTCTTCTCTTTTCTTTATTTATTTCATTTTGTTGTTTCTCCAATTGTTTCAATTTTTGTTGTTCCTTTAATATTTTACTTTTGGAAGCTGTGTTTGATTCTTCTTCTGGAGCTTCATCTGAGTCAGACTCAGAGTCTCTGTCATTAACAATGGGTTGCTTGATTTTCTCCAAGATGGGTGCTTGGGGTTCGTTATCATCAAATTTAATCTTCATCTCATCTGAAAAATTTCGCGATGCTGCTAAGAGGTAAATGTGTTTATTCTATATACATGCCCACCTACATTATACCTGGAATGACCTAGTCTAAGACATATGAGTTGACTCCAAAACGTCTCCATTTTATTAATAAAGGATCGTTTTTCACTAAAACCCCATAATTTCTCTCAATAAGCTGTAAAGATTGTTGATTTATGGATATACCATCAATAACCAACACTCTAATAGCATCGATTTTTGAAAGTAAGTTGAATAATCCAATCCCATTGATGTTGACATTGAAACTCAATTCTAATGTGAGTCCTTGAACTTGTCCTATTTTGGAAAAGTTGGTTAAATCATGGTTGAACTTCCTGCAACTGACATTATCTAGGTTTAGATCTACCAATGAAATATGTTTAAGTTTGCAACATCTTTCAAGTATTTCGATCAATGAAATTTTGGGATAATTGTTAATGATATCGTTTTTGAAGAATAAATAGTTGGATGATCCAAGAACTAAAGATTGAAGATTTTTCGTCACTCCAAGAAGCTTCAACAACCCTCTATTGGTCAAAGATGTAGAATATAAGTCTAGTTTGGTCAATTCGGTTAGATTGTTAAAATCCAGAAGTTCAAATTCTGACAAACTTGTTAAACTTATAGAATATTCTCTGAACATTAAATAGTTCAATTTGAAATCGGACTTATAGTTTATGAGATTATTCATAAACATTTTGAAGGAGAAATCGTCGTTATTCTCTAAAATTAAATCTTTCAAATTGGAGCATCGTTGTAAAAAAATTCCAAATTTGTGTTGAATGTTTTCAAAATTGAAGTTGACTATCACCAACTTTGTGAGGTTGAAGGAATATGATAAAAATGGAATTGGTTGTTTCAAATTACTTATCAAAACCAAAGTTTCTATCGGCGGAACGTTATCGTATAGCTTCCGGACGAGTGATTTATTATTTATAACCAAGGAGTCATGATCTTTGGAGTTATCAGCTTTAATGATCAATTCTAAATGAGTGAGATTAGGAAATAAATGAATAATCAAGTTATGAGGTGATTTATCCACATAACTCTTGAACGACCGAATATTCTTGAAACCAAAATTGAAGTTGAATTTGTCAAATTTTGAAAAAAGCATGTTTAATTTGATAATTTTGAATATTTCAAATTTACTGATTTTTAATCTATTGTTCACTATGAGTTCCACAACTCTATAAAATTCTGTATCGTTTGTAGGTAACATTGTGAGTTCGAGTTCCTTCAAGGTCTTGAAATAAGGTATCCCATTGGCGAATTCTCTGGATAAAATTCTACTCTTCAACTGTACGGATCTGTTTAATCTCAATAATTTCAACGTTTGATACCAATTTTTACACACTAAATGATATTTATAAGTGTTGGGCAAGAGCTCAAAAACATGCTCAATAACATCATAATTCAAGTAATTCAAAGGATCAAGATTCTTTATTCTGGGTTTCTTCAATGGAGGCTCAGGAGGTTTGGAATTCCTATCGCTCTTCAAGAAGGAGTTTATCTCATTATAATTAGAAACAAGTTTATGCCACAAATCTCTATTGAATTTGAACTCAGGGTATTTCTCCTTGAACTTTCTGATAGTATAAACACCTGTTTGATAGATCTTGAAACATTTCAAATGGTCATTTCTCAACTTATGGATTTTACCTATTCTCAAATATCCTTTGACATCAAAACTATTGATTTTCAATATCTTTTCACCATCTCTTAACGCCTTATCCAAAAGATTTAGTTTCTCATAAGTGGCAGCTCTTTGATCAAGAATAGATATTAATTTGGGGTGAAATGTCAGTATAGGATGATTATAATTATAATGTTCATTAACTTTTTTCAAATCTTCTAAGGAATAAGATTCTATCAAAAGAATTAATTCAGTATAAGTTTTCAAAGCATTTCTATAATCATTGGATTTGAAGTAAAGTTTACTTAAATGTAGTTTATCATTGATTAACTCTTCATTCATACGCGTTAAATCTAAATTTGAGACTCTATAACCATGCGATCACGTGATGCAAAAAGTTTATTTCCAATATGCATACAACGGGTTAATGCCAAGTGATGGAATAAAGTTTGAAAGGGGAATTGAAGTCGAATAGCTCGAGTACAAAGTGAAAGTCAAATCGAGAAGATTTACGATGATCCGAAACGGTAGGTTGGATGCGAGAGTTGGGAAAAAGGTCCAGAACCCCCCAGAACAGCAATTTATGGCTGCCTCAGTTTACCTAAAGTAGATCATTTATACTCCGTCTATTAAGCCTATTTACCTATTACAAATCCTTATACCTGAGTTTTGGACAATAAGGGCACATCATATGTTGACATCGATGACAACTAAATCGTTTGGGTCCATTGATAAGTAACTCATCTAATTCACTATCATTTTCTTCACTTGATAAGCTATCATTTCGGGTGTACTCTTTTTGATTAGATGACGATGATTGATTATGTAGGAGTTGGTTATCTAATGTATTATTACTATTATTGTGATGGTCATGATGGTCGTTAATATTGATATGATCTTTTATTTGTTGATGAATCTTTTGGTTCCTTGATTTGGAATTATTTAAATCTACTGTTCTTACTTTGAAATAATCATCTTCTTGGGTTTCAATAGTTGGACTTAGGAAGTCTTTATAATCAATTATGATATTATTATTGTATAACATTGAACTATAATATTTAACATCTGCATTAGGACTATCCTTCTTGACATTCTTGTCCTTATAAATTATTGTACCGTAACTTTGACCACAGTCACAACAGTACCATTGACAAATTTTCTCATCATCCATGACTAAACTATCCTATCCCTTCAACTTCTGTGGGCTTATATATCAATAATTGCTTTAAAAAAATATTCAAATTGGATTATCAGGTCTATAAATTCGATCTTTGCCTTGATTCTAGATTAAACTTTTTTACAGGTTAAAATTCTTGCATGTAAGTTTAAATTTCGATTTATTTATAACTTTTTCATTTTTTTTCAATCCGTGTGATGTTATTTGGTAATCTACGTCACAAAATTCGTAATTCAACTTGTTGAATGTTTGATTTATAGTAATTTTGCAACCGATATAATTCGCAATGTTCGTTGCATTTGTCGCCTTGAATTTAAATTTTCTTCACATATTATTTTTTAGACATATTTCCATGAAAGGAACTGGGCTTATTCGGAGTTCAAGTTTTTAACACCTTTTACGGGAAGTTGATGTTAGTTTATGTTTTATGGTAATGTCCGGCTCATAAGTTTAAAGAGAATGGTGACTCGCCGCACAATTTTTTTTAATATGATGCAACTAAGTTTCAATGCAGGCAACGCCTGGAATATAAATTATACGTATATATTCGAATATTTTTTATGACTCTAAGTTGACTCTAATAATGTCGTCTATATTTGAATTGGATTTAAGTCTCGATCTGTTATGTTAACAAAGTATTTCTTCTCCAAAATCCCATTTACTCCTTCAGTTAAGTAGACATTATTTTCACTTTTATAAAAAATAATATCATCGGCCAAACATTTTTCCACATCAATGAAAATAAGGGCATTGCATGACTTTCGGATATATTCGAAATTATCCGTCAAATGTATATGATTTCTAGACATTTTATTGAGTCCAGTGTTTAAGATTTCTGGTAATTTGTTTTTATAAGTACCATGGAATATTTTAGGTATTTCATTGGGTTGTAATTTTACTAGATTATTATTGGAGATTTCTATTGAATGTCCTTGATTAGCACAAATGAATGTGGTTTCTCCTAAAGTTCTCAAACTAAATCTTTTCTTATTATTGGTTTCAACCACTGTTTGAATATCTTGAATTGTTGTCTTGTAAGATTTCAATCTTTGATGATTTAGAACTTTGTTCAATTCTATGAAACCATTTTCATCAATAGGCAATTTCTCTTTAACAGCTCCATGTCTTAAGAGATAGGATAAACTCTTGGAGATCTTTGTAAGTCTATCTTCGTTCTGTTTTTTATTCATTACTTAGATATATTTATGATTCATCACTTAAATGCGATTTCTCAGAAGGTATGAGTAATAAGATGAGGAATGAAGATGAGTAAATAATTTATTATGATTTCGTATATACAGATTTAGGTTTCAGGACGACCCAGGACAATTCAAGAGGAGGTGTGTGGTGACTTATTGACAATATGAAGTTACATGCTTTAAACAACTTGATACTCTCACACTCACGAACATTTCTTAATAGAACTACCCTTTTTACCAACTAATGACCCCATTTCATCATGTTTTTTCCCCTGTTTGATGGTTTCATTATCACCTAATTCAGTTTGTTCATGGAAATTCAAGAAATATTTCCCTTCTGTCATCTGTCCTTGAACAATGTTTTTGATTAAAAACTTACTTATCTCATTTAATTTTTCAATCTCTTCGTTAGCTTGAGCTTCAGGTAAATGTTTATTCTTTATGATACCATCTTTAATTTGTAATCTAGCAGCTTTCAATATTGGCAAATCTTGTTTGAAAGCGATTTGTGTAGCTCTTAAAGCTGTTCTGTATGCGTTTAAACTCATCAAGATTGAGAAAATGAGATCGAAAATTTGAGACTCATGATGATGTATATTAAACCAGAAGATATCCATATCTAGTGATTTTATTTGCAAGATATCTAATGGGATCAGAAGATATATTCAATGGATGACCACCATATATCTAATGAACGATGCATGTCTATATAATTAATTTTTCATAAGAATAGTTAGGTAAAGATTCTGATTTAACGAAATCATTGGAATTCAATAATGTTAAATTAAAGTTATTCAATTCCAAGATATCGAGTTTATCATTAATCAATAAGATTAATTTATCGATGAGTTCATTGGATAAGTTGAATAATCCGTTGATATCAATGATAAGTTTGATTAAATTCCAACTGTTGATGGAATCCAACTCAATCAAATTATTTAATAATTCATCAAATTCAATATTATGGGATTGTAAGTAACTTTGGAATCCTGGAAGAATTTCAATTAAATTGTTTTCACAAATTCTATTAACGGTCTCTTTGAAGAAAGTCTTGTTAGTTAAGTTTTCATACAATTCTTCAACAGGTAAGTTTGAACATTTAGTGATACATTGTTTGATTAATTTTGGATTTTCCAATATTTTGATTAATCCTATGGTCTTTTCTTTGGGGAAGAATGGATGGGAAAGTAAATAATGCATTAAGAATTCCATTTGACTTAATTCTTCAATGGTTTTACTATTGAATAATGAAGGTATTAAGTTAATATCGATTATACTATCAGTATCTTCAAACAGATAATAATCCAATTTCTTGATATTTTTGAAGTATTTTAAGATTTTCAATTCGTCTGAATTTTGGAAAATATCTGGAATTTCAACTTCTTCATCAATATCGTTAATATTTTTCAAACTCTTTAATTCAACTAATTTGGTTTGAGGTTTTTCGAATTTCTTACCTAAATTATTTACCAAATTATTCAATCCTACATTGATGTTTGTGATATTCAAAGTGGTTTTATTCTTCTTATTATTCAACTTTAAGAATAATCCAAAGGTATTTATACCATTGGGTTCAGTGATCTTTATAACATTATCGATATAAATATCTTCATTGATATCCAAAGTATCCAATAAAGTTTCAAATCTCATATTAACTAACATAATTTTCTGATCATTGGAGATTATTAATCTATCTTCATTTGAAACTGACATTGATGTTATGTCAATACCGATATCCCATTGTTTGACAACTTTTAAACTTAAATCCATCTTACTAAGTACCCCATTACATGATTTATATAAAAATTCATCATTATATTCAAACAAACTTTGTTCGAATCTTTCTTGTAATTCATTAACGATATTTCCTTGAAGGTCAAATACTTTATAAATAAATTGATCTTTAGTTTTGGTGATGATAATGATGTTTTCACCAACATTTGAGTAAATTAATTCTGATTTGGATTTTGTACTCTTTGAACTATCATTTTCAAGTTCATTTATATCATTAATGAACATCAATTCTCCATCTTGGAATATCATTACTATTCTATCACCCAAATATTTGATACTCTTTACACATTTATGTATTTTGAATTCTTTAGATTGTTCACCTTCTTTGGTTAATTCGATGACTTTATGAACTTTTCTATCGGTAACACCAACAATGTATTCCTGATGATCTTTGGAATCCATACATTCAATGATACATGATGGAGAAATAGGATGAGACCAGATTAATCTTGGTGATGGTTTTATGATATAACTGGATATATTAGATTTGGAAATCCCCACATCAATAATGGTTTCATTGATATTAGTGATAGGAGGTATAACAACCTTGTTAGGTAAAGGAATATCACTCACTCTAGGGAGTGTTATTATAGGATAGTAATCTATAAAGGACATAGCTTTTGAAAAATTTGCGATGAGATTTTTCGCACCTTAAACCTCATCATCAGAGCTTAAGAGTTGTGGGGGATTACAATTGGGCAAGCTTTAGATCAGCTATGTTTTGTTCGAAGCATATTACACACCGACATTATTGCTTTATAGAAGACTCTAAAATCATTTTTTAGAATAACCTTATTATTTGCTATTCCCTCAGTATTACATAAGCGCTTTACCCAACCTTAAATTTACAGCTTGGACCGGAGATTCGATTGATCAACCTGATATTCCGAGTAGCAATCGGATTTACTTCAAAGAGAACTAGACCCTTGTAAGTTCGAAGAAGTGGCCATATTACGTAACAAATGATGTGAAATATTGGAAATCAGATCATATGCAACGCATCTCAAAAATAGAAGCTATGGAAACAAGCCATCGGATAAAACCTTCTTTGACCTAAAACTTCGTTCTACACCTGTCTATAAACTGGTTAATTTCAACCTATTCTTAGACCAACCCCGTAAGAATTCTTAAACCTATCGCAGATTTCACCCCGAGGGGGCACCGACTTTCGATAACAACAAATCATTTTTTGCAGCCGAAAACTCGGATCACCTCAAAGTAAAGTTTGTGCGAACCATTTCAGATCTTGAATTTGATATGAACTTTTTGAAAACTCCCATCTTCAAATACTCCAATTACTTCAAGCCAAGGTCCATACAGTTTATGAATTATTCCAAAAACACCAAAATTAATATGAATACTCAAAATCCCCAACAGAAAATCACTATTACCGATACTCACAATAATCACAGTCATACAGAAACTACTGGGCACACAGAGTCTCATGGTCATAGTCATCAAGAGGAACATGGCCATAGTCATGGTGGTATGAGTATGCTTTCACATTCCCATTCCCATTCCCATTCTCAACCCAATGAATTACTAACGGCTAGTTTTTCTAATCCAGCTGTTCGTATCACTTGGATAGGACTAATTGTTAACATTGGTATGGCCATTTCTAAAGGTGTTGGAGGTATTTATTTCCATTCTCAATCATTGATTGCTGATGCTATTCATTCTGTAAGTGATATGATAGCTGATTTCTTAACTTTGGCTACAGTAAATGTAGCAACCAAAGTAGGATCACCCAATCTTTATCCCTTAGGTTATGGAAAAATTGAATCTTTTGGTTCATTATTAGTCAGTGGAATATTACTTTTCGCTGGGTTATCAGTTGGATGGTCTTCATTATTACAAGTATTTGAATTTGTATTACCAAGTGATATTTTCCATACTGTTTCTCAAATACAATTTGGTCATTCTCATAGTCATAGTGATCACAGTCATTCTCATGAATTGGGTGATTCTCATGTTGAAAGCAAAATGCAAATCCCTGATATAAATGCTGCTTGGTTAGCTGGGGGAAGTATTGTCATCAAAGAAATCTTGTATCAGCAAACTATGAAGGTTGCTAATCAAACTAATTCTAAGGTTCTTATAGCCAATGCATGGCATCACAGAGTTGATTCCTTAACAGCTTTGGTAGCTGTAGTGACTGTAACCGGAGGTGTGATGTTCAATCTTGCATGGTTAGATTCAGCTGGTGGAATATTAGTATCAGCATTAATCATTAAAGCTGGTTGGGGTAGTTTCAAATCAGCTATTTATGAATTGATTGATAGAGGTGAAAAGTTCCCTAATGAAGAATCAGATAAATATTTGAATATCTTGAAGGAAAAAATCCCTGAAGGTTTCAAAGTATCCAAACTTTCCTTATTAACTAGTGGAGCCAATTCCAATTACTTTATCACTTTAGTAAGTAAAGATAATAATGACTTGAAGTTCTTGAACCAATTGGAAAATCAATTGACCGAAGAAATCAAAAACAAAGATAAATTTATCCGTAACGTATTCATCCAGTTTAAACAAATTCCAGTCGAACAATTCAATGAAATGACAGACAAAGATATTAACATGTAAAAGAGACAACAAGTTAGATAATAACATGTTCAAAGTGCAAAAAAGACAACAAATAGATATATACATGTATATAGATTATTTACCTTCAATAAATGCTAAAATATCATCAACTGATTGGTTAGCAATCTCTTCATTGATTTTGACAGCTTTCTTACCATTCTTCTTTTTCTTGTTTTTAGTTGATGGTGCAGGTACTGGTTTATTTACAAGTTTTTTATCGTTCTTTTGATACTCTAAGTAAGTAGCTAAGTTGGTTTTAAAATTTAATGATTTCTTGGTGAATTGATCATTTGGTCCCAATACTTTTAAGAAAATATCATAAGCTCTTTCGAATTTTCCTTTAGCAGCTTTGAAGTTACTATTATTAATTAAAGATGAACCATATCTGAAATAGATCAAAGCAGTAATATCACAATCACCACAAATTTGTTCACATAATTCAATAGATTTTTCAAATAATTTGAACCCTTCGGAAAAGTGTTTGGCAACAGTTAAGTTTTCGGCCAAGTTAGCATAAGTATTGATCAAAGAAGGATGATCTTTACCATAGATAATACCCCAAATGTTAATAGCTTGATTATATAATTTGATGGATTTGGATAAATCATTGGTTTCAAAGTATCCAGCATTAACATAAGAAGTAATGGTATTATAAGAATCAACACCAAAAGATCTTTCACTTAAAATACAAGCAGTATGAGAAAGATTGGATTCGATGTTCAATTCTGAATATAATTGCGATAAGAATCCACAATATGAAGTGGTTTCTGGATGTACACGGCCATAAATTTGTTCATAGAATGATAGTAATTCATTGAATAAAACAATAGCATCGCTCTTCTTTTCTTCCTTTTGTTTCTTTTCTTCTTCACTGTCTTCGTCTTTGATTTCAACTGATGATAATTCTCTTTGAGCAGTGTCGGAGATTTCATCTAAAATAGATGCTTTATAAGTAGAATCTTTGACAACAGGAACAAAGTTAATGATATCTTCACCACTGAAAGTATCGAAAGTTTTAGATTTCCATTGAATACCGAATTTCAAGGAGATTTCTCTCATGATAACAGTCTTATTTAATTCTGACCATTCATAGTCATAATCGAATCTGCTCTTGATTTCAGAAACAATCATGGATTTGACTTCTTCAGCGGTCAACTTAGTGAATTCACTAGAATATAACGCTTGAAGGTTAGCAGGAATATCAACTGAACCATCAGCTAATAAACAATTAAAGAAATGAGCAACAAAATATGGCATCATCACAGGATCAATGGTTTCTGAAGATTTACGTAAAATATGTTTGGCAGCTCTGGAAACCATTTCATTGATAGCAATCTTATGGATGGATTCAAAGTTGGCAATAATTGGAAGGAAAACACCTTTACTTGGTTCTTCTTCTTTTTCATCTTTCTTTTCGTCATCTTTCTTTTCATCTTTCTTTTCAGTGTTCTCAGCTTTGGAAAGTTCTTCAGCTAAAACTTGATTTTCTTTGATGGTGGTTTCTAATTTTTCAATTTCTTGTTGTTTCATTTCTAAACAACGTCTGGTCACATGACCTAAGTATCTCATATTAATACCATGACGATGCATTAAAGTACTTAAATGTTTACCATCAAATGGTGAAATGTTCTTACTAATATCACCTAAGAATTCATCAACTAAAATATGGATGAAATCACCTAATTCTTTAACCTCTTTTTGATCGATATCAGATTCACTGAAACCAGTGAAGGTATCAGGGTTGATAGTTACAGTATTTGATTGAATCAAAATTTGTTCTTTTTCTTCAGTGGATTTCTTTTCATTTTCTAATTTTTCAGCTTCCAATTTTAAGTAATTGGCAATTTTACGTTTCCACCATTCTTCAACAGCTTCATGTCTGATCAAAGGTTCTTTATGAATATAATCTTTATTCAAGAAATTAACATCCATAGCTGAAGTTCTGAATAAATCAATAACATACTTACGTCCGTCAGTTCCTTTAATACCTTTGATATCTTTGGAAGTAACTAATTCAACATCTTCATCATTGATGGTGACAGTATGAGGTTTGAGATGGAAAATATCAGCAAGATTAGTTAATGGGCCAATAAATTCTTTATCGTTATTGATTTTAGTACCTGAAGTATTGATACCATAAGCAACCTTTTCATTGGCTTCTTCATCGATATTTGATTCTTTTTCTCCTTCAATTTCTCCATTATCAGCAGATTCTCCTTGTAATTCACCTACTACTTCATTGAAGATTCCTGGAATTGGTGCTTGACAAACAATTCTCTTACCTAAGTAATCTACAACACATGTAACTAAACATCCAATAGATAAATCTAAACGGTTGATTATTCTTACAGCGTTCAAGTCTTTAGAAGCGGCATATCTAGCAGCTTCATCTCCACCTCTTTCGGTGAATGAACCATTGTCAATAGCATGCCAATAAAAGATTCCATTACGTAAGTAAGTTAATTGGTTGGCATCTTCACTATAATTCATAGGAGGAATTGATCCATTAACAATTTCAATGGCAGTTTTAGTAGCGACATTATTGAAATCGGTGATGATCTTGATCAATAACTTCTCACGTAAAATACGCTCATTAATATTCAGTTTAGGTAATTCCCTAATACTTTGGAACTCTTCATTCCAATCCTTAACAAAATCAGCTCCATCAACACCATTTTGTAAAATTGGTAAGATTGGGAAACTAGATTCTGGAACTTTGGTAGGTTCATTAGTAATCCATGGATAAGCGGTGTTTGAAGGTAAAAGATAACTTTCAGGATGATCATAAACACTTGGGAAAACAGCAGTATTCTTAGCTAAAGCAGCTTCAAAAACTGGACTCAAATTTCTAACTAAATCGAATAACAAATGATAAATTTGACTTTTTGGAGCTGGGTTAAATTTGATGTTGGAACAGCTGTTCACGTAAAAACCTGAAGCATGACAAGTAACGGTGAAAGTTTCATGTTCTAAAGTACTAATGGTGAGGTAAAGTAAATCACCAGCAGTTTTACGAATCAATGGTACTGGGTTCCATGGGGATAAACTAATCTTTACTGGAGAAACATAATGACTATAAGGATCATTTAATTTACCAAGTTGTTCAATGTCATAATTAGAATCATTGATAGCATCGACACATTTTGAAAGGTCAGATTCTTCATTGATTTTCAAATCATCAAACTTAGCAACTCCAGCATTGACACCCAATAAGTTACTACGTTTATCTAAGAAATGTAATCCAATTACTTGTCTAAACTTATTGATATGATAATAAATATCAGATAATTTGTAACCTTTTTCTTGAAGTTTCAAGCTGATAGGCTTTTCCAAGTCAACTCCTAATTGATCGAAGATTTCACCAAATGTAGTGAATTCATCAAATTTACTTAAATCAGTTTCTTTGAAGAAAATTGAATAATTGGTGAAGTTTTCACTCTTTGGTATGACACTTAAAGATTCTCTCAATTGAGTTAAAGTCTCTTCAGAATTGATATTGACTTCCACTAAATCTTCTTTAGTGGTGGAGATGACCTCAGGACTTTCACTCTTCTTCTTCCCCTTCTTAACCTTCTTAACCTTCTCCGTAATAACGGTTACAGGTAAGGTGATATTTAAACTGAGTTTCATTGGTGCTGAAAAATTTTCTGCGAACTTGCAGCCAAATTCCCCGGATTATCATCCCAGAAGCAGGAAATAGATAAGGGAGAGAAGGAGGTTTGTGGATGTATAGGTTATGATTGGGGTCAGTAATGGAGATTGGGATCCCTGGGAGAAGAAATGAGTGGTGAAAGAGACTTGATAGAGTTGTTGGTGCAATGTTCTGGGTATTTATGGATATGAATAGATATCCAATGATTCCGTTTATAGCTGATTAATTGCAATGGATAATGCTTAACATTCGGAGCACACGATACCCGGATGAAGAGATAGACGATACTTCACTGGATGTCACAGAATCTATCAGGAATATAAACAAGAGGTCATCTATGACTTGAGACCACAATCTCTTCGTCGTCCTTCCCAACCTCGACCAAAAGCTCCATTCCCCCCAAATCCACATCGAGTAATATCCCCAATCGATCATCTCTATCTGGACTCAATCTCCGGATCAATACATCTCTTCTCATCGTGGTCGCGATTCTCATATATATGACTGACAATCTAGGAAATACCCTAATAATACACCAACCGTCGACACCGACGTTTCATATCAATGAGTTACCTCCAGAGATTCTAGTAGAAATATTCGGACATTTGGAATTAACTCAATTACCCCAAATCCAATTGGTGTGTAAATACTGGGCAGGTATTATTTCTAATCCTAGTATTTGGGAACACCTGTTTAACACTAAATTTGGTGCCTCAGAAGTATTCCCTTCATGGTCAGGGAGTAGCAGATGGGTGGTTGAGTACCTCGCCCGGTCTTCGGGTTTGAAAAAGTGGAAGAAAGCACAAGGTGAACACACTAATTATCAAATATTGAATGAGTTTGCTGATAATATAACCTTAACCAATTTCGTCGGTGATAAACTAATGGTTTACTCTAGGATTGGTAACAGTGTGAATATCTGTGGCTTAAGATGGGGTAAAACCCAGACATTTGTCCCTGGGGATAATAATCATGTGACGTTGGCTGATATAAATTGGAATCATCTCGTTTTTGCAACTCGAGATAGCTTACATGTAAAAAGTCTTGCTGGGGCCACGGTTAGCTCCAGTAGACTGTCTACCAAAGAAATCATACAACTAGGAGGAATAAAGAGAGTTAAGGTACGAGATATATGTGATAAGTTTAAGGATAAACCAGATATCATCATTTGCACTTCAGATAAAGTAATGATCTTCAATTTGAACGGGGAAACGATCAAAGTATTTGAAATTGAAGATATCATTGACTTTGGAACCGATTTCAAACACATCGTTGTTGTTTGTAACACAAAAATTTTGATTATAAAAATGGAAGATTTTAGCATTAAAGAGATAGACCATGAGGTTGGAGCTGAAGACGTCCAAGACATAAATTTTGACTTTGATGATGATAATTTGATCATACATCATTCTAAAGACGCTGTAGTATTCAATTATCGAGATGAAACTACTTCAACCATCACATTCCCTATGGACGTTAAATTTGGTAAATTACAAAATTCGAGAGGTAAACGAAATCCCTTGTTAGTGGGTAAAGATGGTTTGTTCTACGCCACAATATTGATTGATGATACTATAGTGATATGGAGCGTAAGGGACAGTCGAAAAATCATCACCAGATTCAAATCAGAGTTTAAATATAAGAATTTGGGCTTGGGAGACACTAATGAAGTTTGCAGTATAGAATTGAATAGTGGAGTGGTTATAGTAGGAGGATATAATGGATTTGCCAACGTTCACGATTTATTCACTGGGAAACATCTTAGAGAATGTTCAATCAAGTTTCCTAAGAAGTATACCCACATGTACCAATATCGTATACCGGTAAGGGAGATCAAAGTCAATGGTAACCATAGTAATGGGATTATTATCTGTGGAGATTTAATCCAATACTTCCAATTTGGTGAAGATACCAACAAATCATTAAAATCCACCAAAAAGAAAAAGTTCATTGCAGAGAACAGTTATAAGAACAATACCAAAAAAATGATTAAAGACCAACTTGAGGACTATGAGATCAATGAATATCATACGAATCAAATGCATGAGATCGTAGACAAGTACAATGGACAAGGAGATGGAGAAGATGATATAGAGTTAGCTATTGCTTTGAGCAAAAGTACTCTACAAGATACCACTGGTGAAGAAGAAGAGGATGATGAATTGCAAAGAGCTTTGGAATTATCCAAGAATCAAGAATCATCCGAAGACTTCGATGAACTTCTTAAAGAGACATTACTTGCATCAACCCAAAATGAACTCCATAATCCACATGAATTTGACGAAATCCAAACTGGTTCAAGTAAAGCTGAACCTGATGAAGATGAAGAATTAAGGAGAGTATTAGAATTATCATTATTAGAACAGTAAATAAGAATATCATGTGACCAATGTGTTACGTCTCTATTGGTAAAAGACTATGAATTTTGACAGGTTAATGACTCTCCATGACTCATGGAATTTGACCAATAACGTTTTTTCTTTATTCCTAAAAGTTCCTCAAAAACTTCCGATCCGTTGTAACCGTCGTAGATTAGACGGAGCAAACGTTATTTACCGCGAGTGGCTCCGTAAATGTCCCTAAGTTAGACGGAGAGTTTTTGGATCCGCATTTCTTGAAAAAATTCTTTAAGGAGAAAACTTCAAAAAGTAAACTAAAGTTCTACTTATTCTACTAATAAACGTTATAGTAGATACCGTAATAAATCATTTTCGTCATTTTTATGATAATATTATTAAATTAATATAATCATGGCGTTTAGATTTATACCCAGAGCTTGCCCTATTTACAAGCTCAAATTCTTTCAGCAAACGTCCCATTACTCCCGTTTCAATAAGGCTGTTGTCAAATATCATTTTTCATTCTTTGCTAGACCTCACTTTGCTAGTAATGGGCCACAAAATCCTAGTGGCAAATTCTTTGGTTTAGATATCGGACATTATGGATTATATTATAGTATATTCAATAGAGATGGTCAAAAAGTTGATACCATTAACATCTTACAATTCAATCCTATTTGGATTAATCCTTTAGAGATCAAGTTTTTCGAAAATTTCTTCATCAATGATTTAAATGCTGGTATTTACAATGATATTGAAAATTTGAAATCTAGATTCACCACTCCTTTGGTGTTTAAAAGAAACTTATCAACCAGAAGAAATACTGGTAAATTGACTGTTGAACCTATTTTAAAAGATCCCAGAGTTATTGAAGGCATAGAAGATTTCAAAGCCCCAGTTCAAGATGATTTTGAAGATACTTTCTTGGGCAGTCAAATCCAATTGATTGAAGAGCATTTTGATCAACAAAAATTAGAATTGATTTACCCTATTTATCAAGCCATCACCAGAAACCATTTATCCTTACCAACCACCGAATTATACAATAAAGTATTAAAATCATTGGTGTTTAGAAACTTGAATAGTCAAAATAAACTTGAAGATATCGAAATTAAATTAACTAATGTGTTAACAGTTTATCAAGATTTTTTGAAAAATTCATCTCCCGACTTAAAACCCGATAATGAGACCTTTAATTTGGTTATTAATGAATTAATGGATGGTAGTTTGAAGGTTTTAAGTATCAGAGATTCAACCAACTTACCTAACTTGATTTATAATGAATCTTTCATTAAAGTTCAAGAATTCTTATTGATTTCTATGGAATTGATGTTTTCTATTGATATCAAGAAACTCAATCTTGATTTGATTTATCCAAAGATGTTTAAATTATTGAACAATTATCCAAATTTGATCAACAATGACATTTTGAGCTTAATTTTCAATAATTTGATCAAAAATTCTTCCCAATTTGAATATTATAACGAGTTAATCAAATTATCTAAGCATTTCCAAAAATTTGAAATCTTAGCTTCCAACAAACAATGCTATGATTTCATCTTACACATTTATAATCAATTCAAAGAGAATAATGAACTTATTGGTTTAAACACCATCAAAAACTACGAGATCTATAATACCATGATCATGGAATTATGCGAAACTAAAAACATTAATGTTGCAACCAAGTTTTTGAATGACATTCTCAATGAATATTCTCATAATTATACCAATTTAACTGAAGTTAAAGGACAAATTTCCGAAATTTTATCCAATTATTTAACTAAAATCAGTAATGAGAATGTAAATAAAGCCATTGAATTGACTAATGATTTCAAAGCTGTTAATTATTTACCTGAATTGACTATGAGTTACTATAATCATATAATTGGCTTGTTAGTACAAAATTACTACCAATCAACCAACGAAGTTGATTTATACAATATTTATAAACAAATTTGGTCAATAGTTGATTATAATTTGATTCGTAAAGATTTCAAATTATCATCTTCATTAATCAGTTTTGCCCTTAATTTGAATGATCACGATAATATCTTCAAATTAACCAAAGTGATCATTTTGAATGATGAATTGATTGATCCAATCACTTTCAAGAACTTATTGAGTTACTATAGAGAACAACCTTCAGTATTAACTAATTTGATTGAACATCAAGCTAAATATTATTCAGACTTTGAAAAATTGAATGATTATTTATGTGATGTTGTTAATTTTATCAATACTCCTAATATGTTCAATTACTTAGTCAATTCTTTTATGATCCGTGATGCTTTTACTTTAGTTGATTTGACCAAAGATAAAATCTATGGAATTGTTCAAGTTTCTAAGTACTTTGTCAATTACATTGAAAACAATGAAGTTACCATTGAAGATTTAACTAAAGTTTTAAATTTACAAGCCATGTTAATTGAACAATTTGAAGATCCTGAACTTATTTATATCAATCTTGATGAAGATTTAAGTATGTTTAAGAACAAGTTGATTGAAAACTTCAAACAAAATGTCGGAAAATTAAATGGTTCAACTAGTTCCATTCAAAACATTTCAAGAATATATGATATTCCTGTTGAGACCAAAAAAGCTAATGTCACACCTATAGTGGACTTGAGTGTTTTAATCAACATCAACAATCATTCAGGAGTTCAAAAATTTGTTGAATTGTTCGACAAAGGTTTCAAATTTAATGATTTGACTTATTCTATGGTCATCAATAAAAAAATGACTTTGGAAAATTTGAACTGGGATAGATTTATTGAACTTATCAAACATAACGAACAATTGGTTTTACAATTGATTTCTCAAGGTAATGATAATATTACTGTGAAAACCATCAACAAGGTTAACATCACCAAATCAGTATATGAAGAATTATTGAAGACTGTCAGCAATTCAGATAATGTTTATTTGTATGAGAAGTTCAAAACCATCAATCATGAATCATCTGATGAACAATTAGTCCGTAAAGCCAAACTTATGATCAAATTCAATGATTTCAATGAGTTGAACCAATTAATCACTTCAAATCCTCATATAAAGGGTGAAGTCCAACAATTGATTAGATCAGATGTTTCTACCGGGTTAATCAAATTCCTCGAAGATGATGAGAAGTTGATGCAATTTTATTCCATTCATAAGAAGTCAGTAAATCAACAAAAACTCATCAGTGATTTGTTAACTCGTTTAACCACTTTAGGAAACGTTAGACTTGAAAAGTTAATCCATGGGTTAAAAGTGATCAAATTGAATTATTTCAGTGTTGATAATTTTATCCGTTTCATCAAATTATTAACCTCCACCAACCAACAATCAATGTTATCAATCTTACTCCAGAAAGTGATCAATCTTGGTAACATTGGAGGATTAATCAAGTTCAATGGTCTTGAAATTTTAGTTAAATCTCAAGATACTGCTAGATTAATCAATGAATTAAAACAAAGCTTTACTGCTTTAAACTGTGAGATCAATTTATTGAAAATTGAAATCAACCAACCGTGTACATAATGAGTAATGAATATTTATAAATTTAATGTTTCTCTCTCTAATAGGGTGTGGAGCCCAATCCATATCAAAGTGCGGGATTATCAGTGCGTAAATATCATGTCAAAACCCCATCCAACGGCTGTCAAATCGTTCAACTTAAACCATGTGTCTTACGATAAGTTCAGACCTTCGTTTCAGAAACCTTTAGTGGAGAAGTTCTTAAGAGACTTAAAATTAATTGACGTTAAACCTTTAACATCGAAGAAGATCCTTGAATTAGCTTCAGGTACGGGGAAGTTTACTGAAAATTTGGTTAATTATGGATGGAAGGACAATTTAGTGGTTGTAGAGCCGAGTGAAGGAATGTTGGATAGTTTCAAGAAGAATTATCCTCAAGTCAAAGCATTCCAAGGTTCTAGTTATAAGATACCTGTGGAATCAGGGAGTTTTGATGCTGTTATTATCGCTCAAGGATTCCATTGGTTTAGTGATTTAGATTCTCTTAAAGAGATTAGAAGAGTTTTAAAACCCGAAGGGAAGTTTGGATGTGTTTGGAATTTTGATGGAATTTCTAATGCTCTTCAAACAACTAATCCTTATAGTTATTTATTAGATTCATCATTAAAAGCTGATACTACAGATTTACCCCCTAAAGAATTCGCCAATAACATGATGAGTCAACATGTTTGGTATCAGAAAGTTACGGAATTCATGTACAACTTTGATGCTAAAGTACCCCAGTATAGACATGGGAAATGGAGAAAAGTCTGGGAAGATAACCCATATTTCAAACCAGGTGTAGAAAGCTTTTATTTCTATCCATTATTGATTCAACCCGAACATGTTTTTGATTATTGGTTAACCAGATCTTACATTACAGACTTACCAGAAGTCGAACAGAAGAGAGCTAAAGCTAAGGTTGAAGTGATCATGAGTCAATGGGTAGAAGACAATGATAAGGTTAAGGTTGAGGATATAGAATATTTACAAAGAATTATGGGGACTCATTGTGTAGTTAGTGAATAAAAAATGTCTATATTACACTCTAGGATTGGCCGTTGACCATAATTTACCTAGATAATCATATTTAGCTATTGTATCTTCATCGAATGAAAAGAGATGGCCCTTTGATTCTCCTTTTCCATAACTTTCAATCTCATCATAGGCACAGTAATAGTACCCTGAACAGATCCCATTCTTAACCCAACCTTTTTGGGGCAAGTATTCCAATTTGGCAGTAAATTCTTTCAATGATCCGAAATCTTTAATTTCGTCACTGTCCGGTTTCCTATCTTGCCATGATTGAATGAAATCAATTTCTGGTGTGATATCCCAATCATCATTATCATGTTGTCTTAAATCAGGCAATGATGGGGGCACTAACGCATGGGTGATTTTTAAAGGATTCTCATACAACTCATATAATTCGTTACCTTCGATTTTACTGAAAGGATACTTTTCTCTATCACGATAATGGTTGTTCTTCTTACAGAAATGGAAACCTGAATTAATCCATAATAATTGACCATGACGATCCACATGACCAGGATGCGTTGAACAAACTTCGTTAGCGTTACTATTGTACACCTTAAGCTTATCAGGAGTAACTTGTCCAATAGAGGCAACTTCATATTTGTTGAAGGAAATTTGGTCATCACCATTCATTAATAATCCAAGCCAATAAAATTCTTTATCACCCCAAACTGAAGTTTTGATGGGTTCTCTCCAGATAGCTAAGGGTAACATCATCATTAACCCACCAAAATGTTGACGTTTATTTAAGGCTACCACTCCAGCTTCTTGGAAATGTCTCCATCCATGCATATAATTGTTTTTCTCTAAACAATTGGATTCCATTTCCGGTAAACCTAGTAATCTGTCGATAGAATCAACTCTATCTTTGAAAGGCATCATTTTTTTGAAGAAATTGGTTTCTAAATAATCATTCCTATCACGAAGACTTCTATCTTTGAAAAAGAATGACGATGTAGCAGAATATTCCTCACTATCAAAGAATTTCTGAGGATTTACCAATGGAACTGTATCAGCGTCCATTAAAATAATTTCTTCAAATGATGAGAAGATCAAACTAATCAATTTATTATTATAATTCTGGAACATCCTATTATCTCGGATTATGGGTTTGACACTGACGAAACTTATTTTCTGGGTAGGGTAAAGAACTCCAAATTTTGAGGGGTCCATGATATTCACTTCCGGTAAAACTTTTTCGAAATTTGAAGAATTAACCAAATTGGAGAAATCTTCAAGGGCAGCATTCAAGATGATATTACGAGATCTATCACTCAAATGGCCACGGTACACCACTTGAACAGGTAATTCATTATTCAATGCTCTAAGGACTCTGAGTAACTTAGCTATGTCTCTAGCATGTCTTGAAGTAGTAGTTATAACTATCCCTTTACCATTTATAGATTTATGATAAAATTCTATAAGATTCTCAGTCTTCTTACCGGATTGATCCAATTCAGGACCTTTGACTTCACCGTTGAATCTTCCTGTGGAATAATCAGGTAATCCGTTATTGAACCTTACAGGAACTTGATGCATATCTAAATTTGGATCATAAACATCGAAAACAGGTAATTCAAATCCCAAGTAATGATAAAGTTTGTGAGTCCAGTCGTTCCATAAAGTATGATTCAAAGGGTATTCTTCAATTGATTTTGAATCTCTCAAGAAGCATTGGTTATAAATTCTTAACAAACTAATGTTATCTATCATTTTTTGATCTATTTTTAGAGTGTTATCTATCTCTTGAAAGAACTTCTCCTTGATAGATTTTTTCTCTGATGAAGATAAATCCCCCTCTATCCCTTTCTTTCTTCTTCTATCACGCTCCCTGGAGATTTCTCTATTCATGAAATTCACCATTTTATCTATATCTTTATTATAATCAAAAGATAACGGAAAACTATACTGAGGATCCGTAGCATCAAGGTACTTTAAAAACGATTCACATCTTTCAAATTTGGACTTGGAGATGAAATCAGAATCAACCGTTTCCTTGAAACCATCCATATGACTGAATTTATAATTCTTATGATTCATGAGCTTTCTGATATACTGATCATTCTTGAAATACCTTTCATCAGAAAATTCCTTATGAACCATATAACCATAAGTCATATAGATCAACCCCAATATTAAACATCCAGTTATACCAATCAAATAAGACTTCCTCCTCATTGGTATGCAATTGAAAGTTAATAATTTTTCATCTACACGTTTCCTCTCATAGAAACAAGGCTTTGGTGCGACTGAAGGGAAGAATGGGACGATGACAGGTTAGAGAAGATCTCAAGATAATTAAGATAAAGTCGTGTGACATGTTTACTTTTCTAAGTACTTTTCATAACCAATGGTTTCTAATCTATCGGCTTTACCCAAAACTTCATTTTCCATATCATTCATGTATTGGGTCATTTTATTCAACCATGTTTCATTACCAACACCTAAGATTCTAACAGCTAATAAAGCAGCATTGGTGGAGTTATTGATAGCAACGGTAGCAACAGGTATACCTCTTGGCATTTGAACAATTGAGTGTAAAGAATCAACTCCATCTAAAGTTGAACCTTTAACAGGAACTCCAATAACTGGTAATGATGTCATAGCAGCTACCATACCTGGTAAATGAGCAGCACCTCCAGCACCTGCGATTATACATTTGATTCCTCTAGCTTGAGCTTCAAAGGCAAACTTTTGCATACGAATAGGAGTTCTATGAGCACTAACGATGGTTAATTCAAATGGAACACCAAATTTCTTCAAGATATTAGCACCTACTGACATCACAGGTAAGTCTGAGTCTGAGCCCATTATGATAGATACCAAAGGTTTATCCATTGGCTCAACAATTGATGAAAGTTGTAATTTTTCATTCTTATAGATATAATTTAACTTCTCTTTACAATTGGATAATGAACTATCAATGATATTTATGTGACCCATTTTTCTCTTAGGTCTTGATGATTTTCCATACAAGTAAACAGTAGCATTTGGAGTTTCAATGGCTCTTTTACACATTTCTAATTCTTTATCCTTTTCATCATCACCAAGAACATTTAACATGATGGCATTAATAGAAGGATTAGTTAATTTGGTGAAATCTTTAGGTAAAGGTAAATTGGTAATGGCTCTGATGTGAGCTTCAAATTGAGAAGTAACACAAGCATCAATAGTGTAATGACCAGAATTATGAGGTCTAGGGGCGATTTCATTGATTAAGATATCACCGGAAGGTAATAAGAACATTTCAACCCCAAAAATACCACATCCAGGGAATGATTTGATAGCATTACGGGCTAATAATTCAGCCTTACCAATGACGGTTTGAGAAACTGGGGCTGGTACATAAACAGTATGACAAATATTATCTTTGTGAACAGTTTCGACAATTGGATATGAGAAAACTTCACCTTCAATTGATCTAACAACCATAACTGCCAATTCATTAGTGAAAGGACACCATTTTTCAACATATAGAGGTCTATCCTTCAAGAATTCCAAAGCTTCTTCAATATTATCTTCAGTTTTAATGACATAATTACCTCTACCATCATAAGCCAAAGTTCTAGATTTAAGCATCATTGGGAACCCAAACTTTTGTCCAATAGCTAAAACTTCTTCCTTAGTGTTGGCTTTCAAGTCTATTGATTCAACAACATCAATTCCATGTTGCATTAAATGTTTCTTTTGTAAAAATTTATCTTGAATCAATCTAATAGTTTCAGGAACAGGGTAAATTTTGATTCCAGTTTCCTTTTGAACAGTTTCTAAAGCACTAACATCAACATGTTCAATTTCAACAGTTAAAACATCACAATCTTTAGCTAATTTTCTAATACTAGCTAAATCTTTAAATGATCCATCAACATGTTCAGTAGAAGCATTGATTTGTTTTGCTGATGATAATCCTTCATCTAAAATTTTCGTGGTGATATTGAGTCTATTGGCAGATTCCACCAACATACGACCTAATTGGCCACCTCCTAAGATACCAACTACTTGTTTGTCCATTATATCGTCAACTATTTTAATGAGAAAAGATAAGAAAGATGAGGTTGCGAAATATATTAATGCGGAAGAGTCAAATTAGTATTCTAAATAATTTGGATCGTAAAAAAGTTGGTAATCATAATCAACCATGGGTTGACCAGCAGCTTGACCAGCATGTTGCTGATGACTGATAGGTTGAATTGTTTGAGGATTGGGGATTTGAGAATGTAAATGATGTGACTCTGGAACAGGTTGAGGTTGAGGTTGACCGTTATAGTAATATGGATAATATTCATATTCATTTTGTAATGCTTGGAATTTCTTTTGAATCAATTGAGGTTTGGAAAGTTTCTTATCGTAAAAGTCTTCTTCCATTTCTGGTAAATAGTTCATTGTAGTTGAAGATGAAGGTACTGCACTGAGGGTTGATTGAGGCATTGAAGGTATTGAACTTTGTAATGGAGCTTGTAAAGATTGAGGATTCAAAGGATTTATTTCATTTGAATTCTCATAATATTGAACTTCTTGAGCAGTTATCTCGTCCGGTAATGTTAATTTGGATGTGGTGGTGATGGCGTCTTTTAAATCGTTGACTTTTAAAAATTCCCATAAGAAAATCGTATTTATCTTCGATTTTGGTAATTTTAAACTATTGGTAGAATTGGTATTGGTATTTTCATAGATAATTTGTTTAATGGTTAAATGGTTTAAGTTATTGGAATTGTTCAAAATCTCATTGTTGAAGAAATACTTCCAAAATTTCAATATGAAATTATTGTTACCATTTATTTGAACGTTATTTTCATTGATTTTGAAAAACTCTTTACCATAATTATAGATAATGGTGAACACAGATACTTCCTTGATAGCTTCATTTTGACATTTGATAGAAAAATTGGTCTTCAATCCATTTTCAATAGTATAATTGATAGGTAAATTAGGTAAATTCAATTTAACTAAATTATGGATTATAGGAAACTGTTTGAAATCATTCAAATCGGGGAATCTATTGGAAATATTGGCATTAGGTTTCAATTTCAAACTCTTAATCTCTTGGTTGTTTTGTAATGATAATATTATAGGGTTTGTCAATAAATTATCATAAACTGACATGTAAAAGTTTTCAACCGAGAATTCATGATTGGAGGCAGAAAAGCTATTCTTTTTAGGTTTTTTCAAAATATGGTTCAATTCATTGAATTGTCTTTTCTTGTTTAATCCTAAACTCTTATTCAAATTGATTTTTGAGAAGATTTCTTCGAATTTTTTCATATTTTCTACTTGATCACTTTCATTATTGAAAGTTGGCCCTTCATTGATTAATTTAATGATATGATGTTTTTGTCCCAAGTTTTTAATAACTTGTATATGACTTGAAACTTGTTTTCTGGTTCTAAATTTCCCAGTTTTGGTTAAAATATAATCAGATATTAATTCATTTCTACCACATGATCTACCACTTATCTTAATTTTATTCAAACCATTCTTTGGAATTATAGATAAAACTTCTTCAAATGCTTGTTCAACTTCATCACTCCAAATATCATGAGATTTACTTAAATCTTCTTTAATCATGGGGTGAGAATGAGATCTTTCCCTAAATTCTTCATTATATGTTGGAGCTGATAATGATCCTGATAAGGAATTAGGTAATGACCCAGGTAATGAACCTGGTAATGAATTGGGTAATGATCCAGGTAATGGTACAGATTGAGGGATCGATACCGGTAAACTTGAATCACCATGCGAATCAAACTGATAATTTAAAAAATCATCTTTTATTTCAGTTTTCAAATCTCCTTGTTGGAAATTTTCGAAATTTTCATAATGATCATCTTCATCGTCACTACTCTTCTTATTCAAAGTACTTGGACTTATTGTTCCTAAGATTTTTCTAATGGGAGTTTTATCTTGGAAATCTTCATCTACTAGTTCTTGGTTTTGATAGAATTTAGTTGATTTTGGCATTTCCTTCCTGACAAATTTTGAAGATTCATGAATTTGATACAATTGTTTACCATTATCATCAATTGCAATATCAACAATCATAGGTAACTTTTTGTTCTTTGTCATGGGTGTTATTGGTGTGTGTGACATTTTCAATGGAAATAATTACAATTCTATTTTACAGTGATATATATATCTTACAAAGTGTTTAAGAATTAATAAATGAATCCTATAATATTGATGATACTATGATAATGATAAGTAAATATCAGAGTAATGAATGAATATAATAAAATCAATAAAATGGTAATGAAAAAAAAATAGGGTCCCGAAAACTGGTAATGGAATTGGTTTTATACTTTTGATAAAGTCTCCTTTTGATTTGAAAAGTTTTTGAGATTTGTTGTTATTTTTCAATTTGAGTATTGGTGCATTAAAAATCTCAAAATGGTAGTCTTTTTATCAAAAGGTTACAAACCAGTTAAACTGTAAATCCGTGAGATTTTTTTAGAGAGGTTTTGTTTGAAAGAGGTAAAGTTTAAACTTTCCGATAAATATTCGGTAACTAAAAATGACGATATAAATCATGTTAAGTTATAGGGAATTGATATATTTGATATAAATAATTTGGTTTAACATGAAATTAGGTTAATTCCTTATATTGTTAGCATATTCAATTAACACCAATCGTATAATAGGACTTACTTTAAGAACAAAGACAAGGGTTGTTTCAAAAAACGGTTAAATTTTGTTGGTTTCCTAATTAGGAGATAAATAGCATCTCGTCAAAGTTCTCCTATGAAACAAATATTTCTTAGATATTTGCACTGGTCGGTGTGAATTTTTTTCTAACTTTAAAGTGTTTCATATGATTAGAGGTGGGGTGAGGTTGCTTTCCGAAGGGTATTATATATGCATTAATCCTACTTGTTGTTGTGTTATATTCTCATTGAGGTAAATGCTTTTTGGTTTTAAATCGATTGTATTGCGATTTAGACACGTTGATAAGGTTGTTTTATACTATAATTTACCTCTTCTGTGTTTATTGACCCTATCATTCCATGTATTAGCCTAATGGTTATGTTGGGTTGGGTTTACACTTCAAACCTTTCAAAACAAAATTCCGCACATACTTAAGCAGCAACTATTCAATCATCATGAACCCCAACTTCTACTCTCTTTTTATGGTTTCGGAACCTTATCGATGGAACATGGTTACTTAAAGCCTAATGTGAAAGTTAGAGTTCTTCGATCATACGGTTTTGACTTGACTAATAATCCAATTAACCTCCTATTACTCTACATGTTAACTCATGATAAAACAGAAACTTTACCCTAGACAATCGGCATTTAATTTTTCAAAATGTAAAGAGAGCACTAATAACCTGGTAACTTTATAGCCATGCATAAAAACATACGTAATTAATTTTTTGGTCTATCGGAGTTATTACCAGATAATTTATAGGGCAAAATGAACGAAACGACCTCAAAAATAAAACTTTATCATTCTACATCACAAAAAGGGTTGTAAGGGTTTATTGATTGGTCAACAATCAAAGGGTCGAATTCCTAATTTCAAAGGGTTAAAAAAAGTACCAAAGGTGAATTTGCAATTATGTAAGTAATCGTACTTCGACGTACTTCGAGTTTAGTTAGATATTTTCCACTACCGGGTCGAGGATTTGTCTTAATAGAGAACTTTTGAGTCTGATTAACGAAATACAACTTTAAGCTCACCCCCCTTTCCGCATCTTATGGAATTACCGATCCTCGATTAGGTAAAATTCCTCACCTTATGATCAATAACAGTATGAGGAATGTATCTCCAGCAGGTCAAAGGCGGGATTCGATTGCTCGTACTGGTCATCCATATGATACATCTTTGTTCCTTATGGTTTACTATAGAAGTTTGTAATCTCGGAATCTTATCAGGTTGCAAAATTTAATCATTTAGTCGAAACCTAAAGTTTAAATTTCTTTTACTAGCCCCTGAAAATATAAACTGTGGATCTGATGATTGAATATCTATGAAAGCTGCTTTAAATTGAATAAAGGGTATTTCGTCTAAACCAGATGCCGTTTAATCATATCTTTCTTATATCATTCTTTATATGTAGCCAAATTCATTCATCAAACATTCGATTGACGATAGGGTTTTAAATATTTTTCAGTAGGTTTCCTACTTACATGAAAATGGACAGATGAGAAAATTCTTCTTAATGGGATTTTAGATGATTCTTAGTTTTTAACCTTTGAATTTTGGCCTGTCATATTGTGGAATTGTTCCTGAATGAGAAGTTAGGTCATGTTTATTATACAGAGATCTCGTGAAGATTGCTGCTGATGATTTCCATATTAGAGAAGATCTTCAACCACGCCCTTAATTTTACAATTCTTGTGATAAGATTTTTTACAGTTTATGTAACCTTTCTCCTATTGTGATTTCTTTTTCTTCAGGTACCCTATTATTGTAAGTTTATTTTTTCAAGCAAGTCAAAACCATATATTGATTTACTGTTCTTTTGCATGTTCAATTAAACTATAAACTTTTATTCTCTGATGTTATTTCACCGTTAGATAAGATTTTACTGGTGATGTTTGCTTTACAATAATTTCCCAACAATTCCATTCAATCAACGACTCCGCAAAATTGTTACACCTCAAACTGAAAATCTCGACGTCCATGTACATAAACCATTTTTACACATTAGGCAGATTTTATGAGTGAGAAAATATTTTTTCCCTCCACTTAATACAGTTTCTGCCATAAAATCTTTTCTCATCCTGCCAGTTTAAACAGGTTTTGTATCTAAGAAGCAACCCTCTAATACTTTACTTGAACTATCTAATGGTAGTGCGAGAATGATTAGAATTTTCAGGAAATTTTATTACCGTTTGTAGAAATGATACTTTTAACCGAAAAATTTTGCGTTTTAGCCAACACTTTGCCACATTATCTACAGGCTTAGATCTGGGTTTACAGATTGATGGGTAAAATTGTAATAACACCGAGTTTATTCAACAATTGGTTCGTTTCCCATGGTTGAAGCTTGAGTCTAGTCTCATTAATCAAGGCTTATTCAATTAAAAACGAGAAATTTTCCAAACCTTCATATTAGAGTGTATAAAAAGATTCGCTTGAATCTAACATTATTTTATATGTATTGTGCATGACTGTATTGATGGACTATACCTTATTTTGTAGGAATTTACCTCTTTGGTTGGAATTTACTTAGATGAGAATTTACTTATTATGTAAGAATTTACTTAATTTGACCTCTTGAACTTTATCGAGATTTTCCAATTCACTTAACTCGCTTTCATCCATATGATCTCCATTTAGATGGCTCACTTGAAATTTCCTGTTCTTAAAATTTTTCATATACTCGAGGATCTTCTTGGAGGTTTTCTTGAGAGCGTTGCTTTGGATATTTGAATCAAGTTTCTCAATATCCTCTACCAACTCTCTCAAACTATCATATTTGAATTCTTTATTTTTATTAATAATGTCTTGAAGGTTGAAGGTTCTCATATGTCTTAATAGCTTTTTGTTATCTATGAGAATGATGTTATTTAAGATATGATCAATAAACTTCTTCAAGGGGAAAGTTTCAAAATCAATCAATCCTAGATCATTTTGTAGTTTTTCCTTCATTAACAATTGCCTTTGGAAGTTCATTTCACTGATATTAATTAATTTTACCAAGTCATTTTTCAAGATTTCAGAAAACTTTAACTTTTCATCAACCAATTCATTACCTCCATAAACAATATTATCTATAAGATTATTATTTTTCCTTATTAATGATGCTCCATTTTTTTGTTCTCTTTTTAAACACCAATATTTACAAATATCATTACTCAATTTCTCTAATTGTTGATAGTAATCTTCTTTTGTCAAAGTGAGTTTATTCCCTAATCCCCTCAATTGACTTCGTTTCTCTATAGTTTCGTCTAATTTAAAACTGACCAATTTGTTAAGTAATAAATCACTAAATAACTTTGGTGCTATGGGTGTGTTGAGATCAGTTTTCCACTTGAATATGTTCAATTTGTTATTCAACTTTTTCGTCCTATTTAACTGATCATTCTTTATGTTGATCAATTTCAAATCTCGATAATATTTCCTTGTCTTATTTATACCTTCTATGATTTGCTTTTGGTTAAGATAATAATTATTTGGGGTATGTTTATCACAGTAAGATTTTAATGTTAGCTTATTATGAACACCACCCTGAACCCCTTTGGTCATTTGCATGCATAATTTGGCTCTCTTAGCACATGTTACATGATATGCCAGAAAACAATTTTTATTTACACATTGGATACATGCTCCTACTTTCAACTTACATATATAACAGTTCAATCTCCACCTACTTTTGGGTATGAGATCAATACCTTCAATCGGTTCCATATATATGGGATTAGCAAAATATAATTCATTGATCCATAATCCACATACTAGATGCGACCAAAGACTGTTATCTAATTGTTTGAAAGCACCTGTTTTTGATGGACAAAATGTACAATCGAATTGCTTATGCTTATTTATCATACATTTTCGGCATAACCATTGACCTTCAGGTATAAAAGCCACACCATAACACTCTTGATGAACAGCAATATTACATCCATCACAGAAAACAATAGCATTACTATTATCACAATCAGAATCATTACAAACAGCACATTTTTGATCATCCGGTAGCCCTCCCACAATTCCATCATCATTTCCATATTCTTCATCATTTATAATCCCTTGATAGTCCACTCCAGCTGTTATAAGAGACTCTTCTTCGTTGGCATTCATTTCCAATTCAATCTTTGACCATTCATTTTCCAAAATAGTTATCAAGATTTCAAAATATGCTGGATGTAGTTTAATAGATACCAATTGATCATTCAAATGATTCAAGTACATGAAATCTTGTTCGTCCATATCATATTCTACTAATCTTCTCTTCTTATCCACCACATCAGTAATACTCTCATTGTTCTCACTCTGATAGGGTCGATGATAATGGCTCAATGTACGTTTGTTCCTTCCCACTGGATCTTCGAATCCATAATCTATCAATTTCCTATCAAATGACACGTTTTCCTCTCTGGATTCCGGTAGTTTTACGAATCTTACGCTATTCAAAGGTCCTACTATAGGTTGGTTCAATTTGATCTTTTCTTCATATTCCTCTATTGTATCCTTCTTATTGTTTATGATGAACACTGGTAATGCCTTACATTCATCTAAATCAGGATAAATCTCTTTGAAATGTCTTTCCTCTCGAGGTTTTGTCTCATACCCCATTTGGTTAGGAATGTTTATTGTGCGATCGCGATGTAAATTTCTACAGATCTATAAAATATCATAATGTCATGAAAAGGTAAAGTTAAATTTGAAAAACGGCTTCGTGGGTTTGATTGGTACTGGTCAATGATTTTATACCATCCATCTTCTCCCAACTTTGAACCCGTGATACATTGGCTGATGTTAAGGGTGTAGTAAATCTTGATATCATCTCAGGAGATTCACATAAAGCTCCTGATAATGTTCCTGATAAGATTTCCGATAATGAACCTGAAGGATTAAGCATGGTATTGGACATTGTTCCAGACAACGATTTTTGGGATAATGAGGTTTTCATTAGATTTAAGTTGGCTAAGTTATTATAACTTCCATTTCTTAATTGATTTAAATTTGATGATGATTTCATAGTAACTAATGATTCTCTCAATTTATTGATCAAGCTCATGCTCGAAGAAGATCTGTTTAGAGAATTCAAGAATGGGTGGTCTAAAGCCTCATGGCAAGTGATTCTTTCTGTGGGATCAACTTTGAAACATTTACTCAAGAAATCCTTAGCTTCTGCCAGTATGTGATCCCAATATTCGGGTGGATCAAATCTATAATCCGCTGATTTGATGGCATCCATGGTTTCGTCATCAGTTTCACAATCAAAGGGGAAATATCCACATAACATAAAGTAAACCAAAACTCCTAACGCCCATATATCTATTTGATAATCATAGCTTTGGCTGAACATTTCTGGTGCCATGTAACTTAAAGTACCACATTTTCCTGTTAACTTATCGCCATTCAAGATCTTGGATAATCCAAAATCTGCTATTAATATCTCACTAGAATGGTTATTCTGAAATAAAACATTCTCTGCTTTCAAATCCCTATGGACAATATTGTTTTCTTTCAAGTAACATAATGTATCTAAAATCTGACTGGTTATGTTGGCAGTCTCGAACTCTTTCAAACACATCTTATTTAAAATCTTGTCATGCAATTCTCCACCTTTAGCCAAGTCCGTTATCAAGAAGATGTATTTCTCCGTTTCAAAATAATCCACGAGTGTAAGTAAATGGGAATTATTTCTACTAACGGTTTTCAAAACCTCGAACTCATTTTGTAACATTGGTTCCATACCAAACATAAGTTTCTTGGTATATCTTTTACCGGCATAATGTTTGGAGGTTAAAGTATTCTTACATTCGAAAACTACACTATACGAACCTTGGCCAATAGGTTTCTTACAAATAGTATAGTTACAAGGTAAGTCAAATTTGTTTTCCTGATTTCTCTTGATATTAGTTGATGATGTAGGAGGCCATATCTCATCACTTGTTGTCATTTTTGTAATGTAATCCCAATTTAGATGTAAATTATTGCAAGATGATTTTTTAAAAAAGGAGAAAAAATGGAGAAAAATGGAGCAAACTGGAGATAAATAAACGGAAAAACAATTATCCAGTCTGGTGATGGGAAATTTTTATTTGATCCCGGTACACGACCTCCGTTTATTTTTTGTTCTTGCTGAATTGCTGTAAGGAGTTGATTTTGGAGGTGAACATAAAAGTGGTGAAGTGATGTGGGAAGGTCCAAAGTGGAGTAATGCATGATACTATCTACTTGACTTTGGAAAGTCTTATTCTTACTGCATCTCTTGAGTTTCCCCATTTCTTTTGAGGCTCGGAAAAACTCAGGTGACCATCTGATTATTATTACATCACTCGAAATCATGATAGAATTGGATGATTTCCTAGTTCACCATTTTGAGTATAGGTGAAGCGGGTCAAGATAGGGGCTGACACTGTATTACGACGTAGCCCTTTGATACAAACAATTTTGTTTATTCTATAATTCAAAGTTTAGAGCCTTTAAAATGGATATCGTCATCCTGGTTCGGTGCAGAGACAAATCTGAATAGTTGATGATGCTACCGCTTATCTTACAAATGAAATGGAATGTATCAGATGTATAAATGATCTAACCTTATTCAAAAAATTCCATGAAACCTCTTAAATCTTCTTCATTTTCGAGCACTGTCCTTCAAATTTCAAACTACCACATCTCCTTACCTCTTGAGCTCTATTTCTGCCTCACTTTCATTTCCAATACCCTCTGATCTCAACCATTTCAGCTTCTCCACTAATTATCAATCACGTGACCTACCGATGAGATGAAAAATACTCAGAAAAACGAGATGAGATTAAATCAATATGGATACGAGAATCAACTTATCTTCATTGAAGGATAAGATTGCCAGTAAGTTGGGTTCTCTGACCAAGGGTAAACCTGGTAAGAAGAATTCTTCCAAACAAAAAGATTCCAAGAAGATTGTTGAAAAGGTTGAAAGTAAGAAATCCAAACCTGCCACCACTGAAGATGAGACTGAAGATGATATTTTACGTCGTGAAGCCTTGTCATTGGGAGCCACTGAAGAAGATATAGCATTATTAAACGGTGTTGATGAAGGTGAAGACAGTGAACAAGAGTTCAACGGGAATGAGGACAATGATGATATCAAAGATGATTTAAAAGCTTTCATCAAAGGTATTGGATTGAAAGGAGAAGTTGAGATAGTCGAAGATATTCCTGAACTAGTCGAAGGAGACGAAGAGGAAGTTGAAGAAGAAGATGTTGAAGAAGCTGAAGAAGAGGAAGAAGAGGAAGTTGAAGAAGAAGAGGAAGATGATGTTGAAAAAGAACAGGAACAAGAACAAGCTAAAGAAAAAGAAATCGATACCAAATCCGAATCTTCTGAATCTGAATCTGAATCTGAATCTTCAGACTCTTCTGATTCTGAATCTGAACCTGAAGTCGAAATGGAAGAACAAAAACCAGAACCAATTCCTCAACCTGTAGATGATGGTAAAATTACCGATTTTTCAGCTGTTGATAATTCTAAACTTAAAATCCCAGGTCGTTTAGACTGGTATAACACCCCTTTATCATCATTTGAACCACAAAGATTAGATAAATTCGGTATAGACAGATTATTAGAGAGAGCTCAAAAAGCCATCAATACTGATAATGAAACATATCTTAAGGAATTCACTTCCAATAATAGTCAGAAAAAGTTCTTGTCACAAATTTTAAAAGATGGTACCTTGAACGATAAAATCAGTGCATTGACATTATTGATTCAAGAAAGTCCTTTGCATAATATCAAAGCCATGGATACATTATTGAATTTCTGTGAGAAGAAATCAAGAACTGCTGCTTTACAAGCTATAAATGCTTATAAGGATTTGTTAGTTAATGGGTTATTGCCTGATAGAAAGTTATTACCTTTCAACAAAAGACCATTATCCACCACTTTATCCGATACTCATTTAGCTATCTACTATTTTGAAGATTACGTAAAGAAATCATATTTCAAATTGATTGAAATATTAGGTCATTTATGTCATGATCCTATTGTTCATGTTAAGATGAATATTTTGACCCACATTTTTGATTTATTAAAAGCTAAACCTGAACAAGAAGCCAATCTTTTAAGATTAGGTGTTGATAAATTAGGAGATGTTGAAAATAAAGTTGCTGGTAAAACATCATTCCAAATTCTTCAATTAGAACAAGCTCATCCAGCTATGAAAAAAATCATTTGTAATTCTATCATCGATATTGTTTTCAAGACTAATGTCGAACATAATGCTCAATATTATGGAGTCTTAACTTTAAATCAAACCATTTTAACTAGAAAAGATGATGAGTTAGCTAATATTTTGATCAATACCTATTTCTCACTTTTTTCAAAAATTTTGATTGAAAGTGATCCAAAGACCAAAGAAGCTGAAACTGGTGATAAGATATTAGGTAAATCTGATAAAGGTAGAAAGAATAACCGTAAGAATTTCAAAAAGGGTAAGAAAGGAGGAAAATCCGTTAAACAAACTGTTAAAACTGAAAGTGAACTTATTGAAGAAAAGAACTCAAAATTATTCTCTGCATTATTGACAGGTTTAAATCGTGCTTTCCCATTTTCCACTTTATCGAATGAAACTTATGATAAACATTTAAATACATTATTCAGAATCACCCATTCATCAAATTTCAATACTTCTGTTCAAGCATTAGTGTTGATTAACCATATAATCACCAAACAAAATTTGAATGCTGATAGATATTACCGTGCTTTATATGAATCATTATTAGATGAGAGATTACTTAATTCTTCTAAACAAGGTATTTACTTGAACTTATTATTCAAATCATTGAAGAATGATCCTTCTAACGAAAGAGTTTTAGCATTTGTTAAGAGAATTTTACAAATTTGTAATCATTGGCTTAACGTTGGTACTATAACAGGTATGTTATTCTTATTGCAAGAGTTATCCAAAGATCGTCCACAAATTCAAGATTTAATGATTGATATGAACTCCAGACCTGATAAAGAAGGTGAAACTGGGGAAGTCAAAGAAGTTGAAACTCAAGAAACCAAAGAAACTGAAGAATATGATAGTAGAAAAAGAGATCCTAAATTCGCTAATGCTGATAAATCATCATTATGGGAAATTAACCAATTCTTAAATCATTATCATCCAACCATTTCTATCTATGCCCAATCGTTGTTGGATGGTGAATCTCAAGCCAAACCAGATTTAGGTTTATACACTTTAAGTCATTTCTTGGATAGATTCGTTTATAAAAATTCCAAGCAAAAGGCTGTCACAAAAGGTTCCTCCATTATGCAACCTTTGGGAGGTGCTCACACCGGTTCATTATTAGTTAAAGCAACTAATGTTCTTAATCATGATGTTCCTGTTAATACTGAAAATTGGTTGAACAAAAAATCTCAAGATATTAAACCTGATGAACAATTCTTCCATCAATATTTCACTACTAAAGTAACTAAAGTCAAAGGAAAGAAAGCTATCAAAGATGAAGATGGTGATAAATCTGATTTGGAAGATGATGAAGTTTGGAGTGCATTGGTTAAATCTAGACCTGATGTAGAAGCTGATTCAGATGAAGAATCTATTGGATTTGATGAAGAAGATTTCTCTGATCTTGATGATGAAGAATTAAACCAAGATGATGAGGATGATGAAGATGAACCTGAATTGCCAGATAGTGGAGAAGAAAATATTCAAGAAGATATTAATGACAGTGACGACATTGAACAAAATGAGGAATTCGGAGATAGTGATGGAGAAGCATTCATAAATAATGAAGACGAATTCGATAGTGAAGAATTCGAATTACCAGAAATCGAATCAGAAGATGAGGAACCACAACAAGAATCCAAAAAACGTAAGGCTGATGATACCAAATCCAAAAACAAGAAACAAAAAGTTAAAGATTTACCAGTATTTGCTTCCGCCGATGATTATTCTAAATATTTAGATTCTGATGATGAAGATTATAGTTAAATAATAAAAGACTTAACGTCTTAACAACTCTCATTCTAATATAAAATCACGTCATCACATCTTATTATTAGCATTTAACCCTTTTTGTAAAAAATCTTATCTCGAATTTATCCGCTTTTCCTAATTGGTACATGGATCTAAGCGAGTGTCGCGAAGCATGCAGATATCCGGCTAATGTTTCATAAATCACGATGCGACAACGGTTGAAGTGTCTACAATTTCTTTTCCCTCTTCATCATTTTGCACAATAAAGAATTTTTCATATTTATTAAACATCAGTTTATTTTGGAAAGTGAATGTCAAATTTGAAAAACATCGATAATCAGCTTTATGACATATGTGTCTTAGGTACCAAGAATTGTGGTAAATCTTCATTAATCTTGGAATATATCCACGACAATTATGATGGTGGTTTTTCTGATAATGAAGAAGTTCATACAAAAGTCATCAGGAAAGATGGGAATTACACTGAGATTTCCATTCTAGATACAAATTCTAGTCAAGATAATTATTCAACTTCTCGGAAGATCCAACTTATTAATAATTCTGCCATTATTTTTGCATATGCTATTGATGACAAAAATTCCTATTTTGAAATGGTAGAATTATATGAAAGAGTTTGTAACATTCGGGATATCCTACCTCCGATATCTGTTGTAGGGTTAAAATGTGATCTTGAAGATGAAAGACAAGTGGAATACGAAGAAGGTGAAGAATTTGCTAGTTCCATTAATGCTGTTTCTTTTGTAGAGACAAGTTCGACTATGGGTGTTAATATTGAAGATGGGTTTCAACCTTTAGTCGATATCATTATGAAACATAAATTCGAACATAGAAGAAAATCTACCACCTTAAGAGCTCATGAAGTTTCATCTTTCCAATCATTAAGAGAGATGTTAAACAGTCCTTCATTAACAGGTGATGATTTGGATATGAAAAATCCTCCCAGGTCACCTCATGATAGCACCTTAAGTCCTATCAACTCCCTTACCACTGCTAGAGAGCTAGACTTCGAAAACATGAATATTGAAATTCCTAACTTCAAAAGTAACTCTTTTACTGAGATATCAAAGAAACCTTCCATTGAAGATTTAGCTCCTGATGCTTTACCCAAGCAGAAATCTGCCCTAAAGACTGTGAAGTCAGTACAGAGAACCAAATCTGTCCAAAAATCCGTCCAAAAATCTGTCCAAAAAGACAGAAAATCAAAACCTTCATCGGAAAAACCTCCTCATAGTCAATCTGGATGTTGTGTGATTGTCTAACCTATTTATATTGCATTGGTTGTCTTCCAAATTTTTTTTAACTTGTTCAGTTTGCTTTTAACTTTGTCATTTGCCTTTTTTTTCATCTCATTTGCATAGGAAACTTTATAGATTATATAAATATATATATATTATTCATTCTAATAGTACATTCAACTATATAACAGCATCTTCAGAGATGTGGGAAAATCCTCTAAATTGTTCTTGCATTTCTGACGTCAACACTGTATCAACAGGGGTCAACCTTGGAGTTTCTGATGTGAATTCCTTATCGAAATTGGAATAATCATGTTCACTGGATAATTCTGGTAAATATGGTGGTTGAATTCTACAATGAAGGACATCGTCAAAATTGACATCTTGGAAATATGGATGTTCCATAATATCTAAAGCATCCCTTTCACTTGACCCTAATCTCATGGTTGGATCTTTGGTCAATAAAGCTTGTAAAATCAAAACTGTTTGTCTAGGCATACTTATTGGGTACTTAACATCATCGTGTTCAATAGCATTGAAAACCTCATCTTGATCATCCCCTTTGAAAGGTGATTGACATAATAACATTTGGAATAATAATACCCCAAACGCCCACCAATCAACACTTCTGTCATATTGTTTGCCACTGATGATTTCTGGAGCCATAAATTCTGGTGTACCACAAAAAGTACCGGTAGTATTTTCATATCCCATGTTTTCTTTACATAACCCGTAATCAGCAATTTTAATATGACCTTTATAAGTTAATAAGATATTATCCAATTTCAAATCACGGTAAACGATATTTTGTTGATGTAAATGTTGTAAACCTAATAATACTTCACAAGCGTAGAACTTGGCCCTTTTAGCTGAGAATCTAGACTTTTGAATATGCCACATCAAATCACCTCCTGAAACGTATTCCATGACGAAATAGATTCTGTTTTCAGTTTGGAAACAGCAATGTAAGTTCAATAAGAAAGGATGATTTTCTTTATTGGCTTTCAAGAAAATGTTCTTTTCACTTCTGACACTTTCGGCTTCGTCATTTTCAACAATGAAATCTTTCTTCAACACCTTGATAGCACATAATTTAGATGTATGTCTTGATTCTGCCAACATGACTTTACCAAAATTACCCTTACCTAACACAGCCAAAAATTGGAAGTCATCCAATCCGATCTTTCTTCTTCTCTTCTTACTCTTATGTTTGTCCTTCAATTTAGGAGATTCTGATCTTGAAGAAGTTTGAGGTGGAGCTGGGATATGTTGTTGTTGTAAAGCTGATTGATGAGCAGGTGGTTCAGGAGGATGTTGTTCGATAGGTTCATTGATCAAAGGCATAGTTTGTTGGTCATGATAATCAAAGTTTTGGAATTGATTATTGGAAGGTTCGAAAGGATTTGGTTCTTCGTAGCCGTATTGATCTTGAGGTACTGCTGGTAACATTTCCTCGGATTTGGTAGAAGCAAAAGTGTAATCACCAGGATCCATCATCATTGATTGACGATTAATGTCTTCTTGAGGAACTTGTTGGGGTGGAGGTGGTGGTCTTCTATGAGCTTGTTGTTTATAAGGATGTTCTTTAACAGGACTTTGATATTGATTAGAAGTCATAGTTGGTAACTTATTATTCTCATACTCATCATCGGAGAAATCTCTAACATCAGAATTGGTTTGAGCATGGGATGGGATAGTTGGTAAAGTTGTTTTACTTGAAGGAGTATGATCTTGAGGGAAAACAGTTCTAATTGGAGTGGTAGTTCCTGAGGTATTGCCTAAAGTTGAACCACTATAAGCTCCTGAACTATTTATGGTTTTAATTGGTTTAACATTAGCTTTAGGAACAGGTTTTGGTGTTGATTTGATGGTGGCTAAGATTTTGTTGGCCATATCCATAGACATCCCACAGAAATCAGGTACTAGATGAGTACAATGAGCATGACACATAACACCACATTCAGTACATTTTCTAACATTTTTCCTTCCCCAAGGTAATATATAACCACAATGACAACACCATTTGGTACCTCTATTTAAAGCAGGTTCAAATCTATGAGGAATACGATGATTCAATTTGGCTTCATCGGAATCATCATAATCGGTTGAAGATTTAGAAATACATTTGGTAACAACTTTTTGATAACATTTTTTATGACATAATAACTTACAATCTTGACATTGAAATCCAGTATATCTTAAAAATTCTCCACATAATGAACAACACATAATGTTATAGAAAGGTTTTTGAACGAATTGATGTCCATGTTGATCGAAAACTTCTTCTTTCTTTTGTCTGATAGCACCTTGACGTCCTAAACCTCCCATGAATTGTTTCCTTCCTGATTGAGATTTATCGAAACTTAAACTAACCAATATTTGTCCTACAGGTTCCAAATTCAACCAGGTATTTACTTGGACGTTTTTATTATCATTAGTAGAAGTGGTTGAAGCGGAAGTAGCCAGGTTAAATCCTGAATCTGGAGGTAAACTTGAATTATTGGCAGCGGAAAAATCATTAGCAGAATAATTAGAAGCTGAAACCCAACCTTCATTACCAAGTTCATTAGCAACTTTTTTCTTACGAAGTTCTTCGGTAATATCAGATAATAAAGCCCAGGTTACTGCAACAGGTACTAAACTTGTTGATGATTTGTCATAAACTGAAAATTCAATTTCATTTCCTTTATCAATATCAATAACAAATTCTTCGTTCCACTTACCTGTTCTTGAACCTTTGGATCTAACCTTTTCTACATCATCAACCTTGATAGAAACTACAGATTCAGGCTTCTTGGAAAACATTGGTGAAGTAATATGATCAATATCTTTAACACAAGTAACTGTAATGTATAATTTCCCAGTTAAAGGTTTTCTAGAATATTTAGGAGTATTCATAATCTCCATATCTTTTGTAACTTCTTCAATATCCACATGCATGTCTTGATATCTTTTTAAAGCTTTATTCAATAATTGAATTCTTTGATCACTTTCCAATTTCCCACCTTCAGCTGCAACACTACTAGATTTATCACCATCTAACAAATACAATTGAGAAATCTTTTCATTTGCTTGTTTATATTGATTTTCCACTTGTAATTTGAATTGTAATTGTTGTAACATGTATTGAATTCTATGACCCATTGAAGGTCCATCATATTTGGTTAAATCAAATCTAGTATATATAGGTCTTGATTTTGTACCTGATTGAGAATCTTCATCATTGGATTCTTGTTGAAGGGATAATTTAGCTAAAGTCTCTTGTAAATAATCGATATTTGATTGAGTTTCTCTAATTTGATTATTACATTTTTGGATAACTTCAACATTGTTAGTATTTTTCTTCATGGCTTGAAATCCTTGAATAATCTTCCTTTCTCTATCAATTTTACCTCTGATATCATTCAAAACTTGATTGTTCTTTTCTGATCCACTGTTGGATACAGATGATCCATAGTTAGATCCTGGAATTGAAGTTGGGGTTTTCGACATGACTTACTTGAAGTGAATTGTTGGTTATACAAGGTTCCTTTTGATCAAACACGTCTTTTTTCTGGTTTCTATTTACTAAATCAATCGTTATTTATCCCTTTAAACAGAGATGATTATTTCCTGATTAATGTGAAGTTTGAAAAAATAAAAAAATGTCTTGTGGTGACAAATTGCTGGATAATTCTACCTCTGGTGTTGGATGATGGAATATCTCGATAATTTAGATGAAATCAGCAAGTAGTCTGTGATTAAAACTCAGCGATAGTCAATGAGAATTTTGTGTTTTTCGATCCCAAAAAGAAAAGAGTGTTTAGATTTCCATTTTTAGAATGCGATCTGTGGAGTTTGGGAGGAAAGAAGGCACAGGGTAAAGAGGGTGTTTTGGTGGTGTAATAGTTGTTTGTATAGGGCCATATGGGTGTAATAAGGTAGGTTGTGGTTTTTTATTGGTGGAAATAGCATTTATGGGGCGGTTGTTTGGTACTAAATATACCTCAAGCGGATGGATACTGAAGAAATGGTCCGTAAGTGTTTGGGGAGAGGTGAGCAACAACTGAATGAACTATAGTACGTAGAAGTTCCCTGCAAAGAGATAACCTACCGTCGTAGACACAATGGGATGTTAAATCATCAGATTAGTATATATTTTCCTTACAAGCTATTACATCTACAATTACAATCAGGAACAGGACATACGTAATGTTTAGAGAACCATTCTTCAGCATGGAAGGCATGACATCCATGGTTACAATTTAAACAGAAACTGAACCATTCCCGGAACTTATTCTCTATAATTGCACTGATGTTACTTACACTATTGTTCATGTTCACTGCGGTTTCTCCTTCTACTAATTTACTTGAATCTTCGAAAGGAACTGGAGTTCCTAACGATAAAAGACATACTGAACATCTTGGTAATTGAGCTCCACAATTCATGCAACTCTTTAAATCCTGGTTATTCAATGTTGATGACATTTTATTGAATTGTTTGATCAATACTTGATTGTTATTGGCGTTCTTGTTCAAATTGGTGTTTCTGCTTTTCAGGATATTCTTGTTACATTTAGGGCATTGCAAATAAACTTGTTTAGGTATGGCTTTCAACATCACATTACCATTCCTGGTTTTGGATAATTTGGTTCTATTAACATCGAACTTGGCACGAACACTGAACATTCCCCAACTATTCAATAAATTTCTATAACAGTCAATCCAATGGTCGACTCTTTCATCTATTAAATACCTTGGTGATCCATAACTAACTATTAAAGCTGCAGTTTGAACATCACTGGTTCTATCAACATACCCTTGAATCAAATCTATACCTTTGGCTGTGATACCTGTTAAAATTAACCCTTCTAATTCCCCTTTAGCAACCACGGTATCTCCAATTCTATTCAAATAAACAGTCAAATCTTTATCTGACAAAAACCTTAATGCAACACCCAATCTCTCTCTTAAAGGTAAACTATGTTCATCTAAAACATCCCACCAATCATTATCAGCTATGAAGGCAAAGATGGCTCTTAAATATGGATCATCCAATTCACTAGCCATTCTCCTACATTGATCTTTCCATGGACTATTGACATTAGAATTCTTATATGCTAGATACCCAGCAACTGCGGTGGCCATTAATCTTAATCGACTCTTCTTCGACGATGCTAAAATTTCAATAGCTTTATTGACATTTCCGTGGAAAACTGCCCAACCAGCAGCTTTTTCAATGAATCCTAAATTAATCAAAATATTTAATCTTTCATCAAATTCCTCATCACTGAAATACCATCCTGATACGATAAGACATAATTTTCTTTGAGCTTTTCTTTCACTATTACTTGGAATATTTATAGCTGCAGCTTTTTTCCCTTTGGATGCCACAATGGATTTGATAGTGTTGGAAAAAAATGAATCGCTGTAAGCTTCTATATCTTTATTGAATCTATTAGGATTGGTCAATTTCTCAATCCCATTCCAGATCCCTAAAACTCCTAAGAACCCTAAATCAATACCATTAGAAATCATAGTTCCTTTATCGAGAGACTTCTTAGCTAAACTAAGCCATTTCCAGGTGTTTCTTAAAGATAATTGATTATCCATATTATCAATAGATTCCAAAACCCTGATATTCTTCTCACATTCGTGACCATAGCCAAGACTAGCCCTTTTCCTTATGGTGGAACAAATATCATATTCAATTACTTGAGAGACATCCAAAAAGTTATTCAATGATATTGACAATTCTTCTTCATCCTCATCGGTATCATCAAGTCTCACAGTATCGGGAGTTCCCTCTTGAGAATCCAAATCTGAATTGACTTCATCACTATTATCATAATTATCTTTATCGTAATTCCTGTTCTTGGTTCTTCTTTCAATCAAGGACTCCAACTCATAGTCATTTTTAGCTAATTTGTTTAAGTCATTGTTAGACAAAGAAAAATCGTTAATTCTATTGAGTAAATTATTCTGTTTCAAATCCTTAATATTATTGGTGTTATTAAGAAATTTGGTTTCAGAACCATCAGGTCCAGTGATGACAAATTCATTATAAGAATTGAAGTCAATACTTTCAATACATTCAACCACAGGCATTCTGAAAACACTCCCACTTTGTCTCATACACACCAAATTATTGGAAGTTGATGATATTAAATCTGGTGAATAATCAAAGGAAATAATTCTTGAATAATCAGGTTTTATATCTAAAACCAACGACACGAATAAACTGTCTTCATTTGGTTTATATAATTGATTAGATTGACTTTTCAATGACTGCAAAGTTTGATTCTCGTCACGTTTCAAAGTAGGTACTGATTCTGTGGAAGGAACAACCCCTGTTTGCCATCTCCTGATAATTTCACCATTGAAAATTGACGAGAATTCTCCTTTACGGATAGTTGAATATCTGAAACAAGGGCTGGTGTTTTTTCTTGAAGTATCCAATAATTTATTGAAGTTCAAAACCGGTGACTCGGTTAAAATGTTGTGTTTGGTTGTCACTAACTTTCTTCTATCCCAAATGGCCAAAGACCCATCTTCACTAAATGATGAGAAGTAATGGGTTTGGAAAGGATCTATTTGTAAGCCAGAAGTACATCTGGTGGCCATCTGGAATATTGGTTGTTCCACTCTTAAATCTATCTCTCTCAAATATTTGTACGAACCACATAATAAATTGAATTCCTTATCGGGATGAAATATCGTCGATAAAATAGCTTCATTGGGTAGATAAGAAAATGACGGTCTTTTTATATGATCATTGGAACTGGATTTACTGTAATGTTCGATATTCCAGATTTGTAAACTATTATCTTGTCTTCCTTTATCGAAACCACCAGCTACTAAACCATTGTTGTTAAAACTGACAGCATTACAAGGTCTGCTTTGTTTGGGTCTCAATTTCAATACCGATGAGTTAGGGTCGTTTATATCAAATACACAAACGTTACCATTGACTTGACCTACACTGATTAAACCTTTGGTATAATAAGAATACGACAGACATTGGATACTATCGAAACCACTTCTACTTTGTAATTTGATCAAATCGTTAGTTTCTACATTTGGATCCTCATGACTGGTTTGATACAATAGCACTTCGTCACCTATAGGATTCACGGCTACGAATTGTTGCTCGTACCCTTCATCCCAATTTAAGGCCCGTACTATACCACTCATTGTCAATTCGCACTTGGTCGCTTCTCCAGCTTTAACTTACAAGTCAGAGTTTATGACATATGTTTAGATCTCTAGAGTCTTAAAAATGTGAAGTTAAGAGTAAACGATATCAATTGGAATGGAATCATCAATGGGCGTTTCTTCTATATCAGACGATTCTTGAAATATTCAGTTTTTTCAAGGTTTATTTCTCTTTTAGTAAAAATCACAATCTTCGCATCATGGGTGACAGTAAAAGAGTTATACCTTTAGAAAGTAATCCTACCATTTTCAACGATATTGGATATCAATTGGGTTTGGTGCCAGTTTTAGAATTCCATGATGTTTTATCATTGACAGATCCTGATTTGTTAGCATTTTTACCCCAACCTATTTATGGAATTATCATGTTGTTCCCCATAACTGAAGAATATGAACAATACAGAAAGAAATTCGATAGTACTATAACTTATGATAATGACAATACCAACGTTCAATGGTTCAAGCAAACTATTGGTAATGGTTGTGGTTTATACGGATTGTTACATATTATGGCCAATTTACCCCAAGATTTGATTATTGATAATTCTATCATCAATAAGTTTTTACTTTCAGAATTGAAGCCCGGCATTTCAGTGGAAGATACTGCCAAATTGGTAGAGAAATTAGAACATGCCATTCAATTGGATGACAACTATGGACGTCAAGGACAAACCGAGGCTCCTTCAAGTGATGTTCAAACCGAATTCCATTTCATTTCCTTCATTAAAGGTAAAGATAATCATTTATACGAATTAGATGGTAGAAGAAAGGGACCTGTTGATTTAGGTGAATCTATCGATGGGTCAAATATCTTAAATGATAGTAAATTGAGTGAAAAAATTCAATTCTATATCAATAATACTAATGAAGAGAATAAACATAATTTTGCTATGATAGCCATTGGTCCTACATTAGATTGAAAATACATATTCTATTAAACTTGTCCCTTTATATCGATTCTCTTGAAGTTGGTATTGGCTATAAGTTGAGTGAACACTGCTCTTGATTCTACACAATCAAAATCATCACCTTTGATGAATTTGGTTAATTTATACTCTCCTAAAAACTTTATGAACTCATGAACATTTTCAAATTTCAATTGAGAGATGATGAATTCTATTGATAATATTCTGTAACTTTTACTTATTGTGAACAATGATTTCAATCTTTGTTTCTTTATTAGGAAATTATTGATCAAAAGTGATGCATGAGTTAAATCTTCAAAGGATTTCAAAAGTTCAAAGAACTTGTAGTAATTTGACGATAGCACGTATTGTTGAAGTTTGAAAGCATTGTTGACGAATTCAAGTTTCTCTAATTCATCAGGATGAGTATATTCTCTTTTCAATAGTTTCAATCTGAATTTAAAAATCTCCGAATGATTCTCCACTATCAATAAGTAAATAAGTCTATAACATATGAATTCTAACTCTGTTCTATTGAGATGATTATTCCGTTTCTTCTTCTCGTCGAAAAAGTATTCAAGTTGTGTTACACATTGATTAAACTCTCCTAGATCATTATTTTCAATTGCAATTCTACTATTGGTTTCGTACACATACATGGCAAAATCATTCTTTATGTGTTGAACTGTCATATCTTGTCTTATAGATTTGAATTGATCTTTGATATATGAATAAGGTTTGGTTTCCTTCTGTTTTAATATGAATTGAATAGATTTCTGTAAGGTACCTTGGGACCTCACCAAGTCTGGATCAGGTGCCGATGTTAACCTGTAATACCTTTTCTCTAACTCTTTACTCCTTCCAACTATGGGTTTAGTTAAGTCGTTATCGGTTGGTGGTGGGGTTCTACTGGATTCACCATTACCGTTAAAACGACTCATTCTTTGTTTCTTCCTAGAATCAGAATCAAATTCTTCCTTCAACTGTCTTTTAACTTGAGGTTGATCGTTGCCATCGCAAATTAAGTCTAAGCTGGTATTATGATCAAGGGCTGGAATCAATTGTTGGTTCCAATCATTAATCCACAATTTACCCTCTTTCTCTGCTTTGGTCAATATATGCTGTATCTGTTGTTGGAAGATGAGTTTATCATTCTCAGTCAAAGCTTGTGATCTTTGGAAACTCCGGTTGACAAATTCCTCCAAGGAGTCTGGCCATTTCTTAGAAGCTGTAGCTCGAGGAGTTACTTCATTGTAATGGGACATCTTGAGAATTTGAGAATTGATTCTCTATGCTTAGACCTTAATGATATTTTGTGAAGAGGTTTGAGGTTCCAATGCTACTGAAATTTATAGGAAAGAATCTTCAAGTAATTTTCTACATAAATGGCGACTTCATTTTCATTTAGAAGACACCAACGAAGATGAAAAGAGATTTTGCCGGATTTTACTAAATTTGAACTTCTAATACCATTGTGACTTCTCTTTCCTCGTAGTACCTCCTGGTAGCTTAGCTGGTTTAAAGCGCGAGACTGTAAAGTTCTACCTCAGTTATCTTGAGATCGGGTGTTCGACTCACCCCCGGGAGATACTTTTTTTTCCAACTATTCTTTTTACTTTTTTGTTCATTGCTTATTGTCAGTATTCAGTCAGTCAAACAAACTCAATTCAATTGAAAAAATTATCTGCCCCCTCTTGAACAGGTCAGGCAAGTTTCCTCACACTCCGGAATTCAAATTGAGGTAGCAATATTTGAGCCCTAGAGCCGCATGGAGATTTGTAATACAAATCATTCATCTCCCTAGCACATTTTTACCATGAAAATTCCAGAATTCACCCATTTAAACATTGAATACTGAACAACTAATCAAAAATCGACCCATGCCTCTTAACTCCGGGTCGAAATTCTCTTATCAAAGTAGAAATCCATCGCAATGTTTCGCAATGGGGAGAACATCAACAAAGGCGCTTTAAAGATAACATTTCCATTTAAATCTCAGACACTTTGGAGTTTTATTTTGAACTTATTTGACCTCTTTAAAGTTTCAAGTTAATAACAAAGCTATTAAAGAGTTTGAGATCAATACTTGGGAATTTCAAATCGATCAAACGTTGTTAGAAACCTCCATACGGTGTTTAAAGGGTAAAGAAAGATATGTCAGAAACTTCACCTTTGATTGATAGAAAGAATAGTGTTAAGTTCAATACTATTAATACTGATTTTGAAGGTAACTTGGAAAGAGCCGCCAATGATGCTTATGAAGCTTTAATCGATGATGTTGATGATAGTGATTTGGATGAAGATGCCTTATGGTTAAGAGAGCAAAGGAATTTGAATAAAACAACTCATTGGATTAAGAGACCATCTTTGATAATGATCGGTTTAACAGGTTTCTTGTTTGCATTCGCCAACGGTTCAGCTGAAGCTTCTAGAAAGATTATTTTGTTCAAATTAGGGTGTAATTCTATCATTAAAGATGGACTTCATCATTTTTGCGATCCTAGTGAAACTGAAATTTTGATTTCAAACTTACAGTTAGCCACTACTACCATTTCAAGTATATTTTCTATTTTGTTGATTTCTAAGATTGGTGCTTTGAGTGATAAGTATGGTAGGAAACCTTTTTTGTTCTTCATATTCTTCACCTTCCTCATTTCAAGAGTTTTCAAGTATTATTTGATGTCTCATTATGATTACTTGAAATTCGCCTGCATAGTCTTTGCCGACGTTTTAGTGAGTTGTTCTGGTGGATTAATGGCGTTCTTAAGTTTACTTAATTGTTATGTTAGTGATATTGCCGAAGTTCATCAAAGAAGTTACTTCATTGGGGTATCTATGGCATTTTTCTTTGCAGGTATTAGTATTGGTCCCATTTCTGGTAATTTGGTATTGAGTCTTTCCAAGAAGGCTAAAACTTCCAAACCTTCAGATTTGTTAACTAGAAGTGATTCATTAGATTTTTCGGCTTACACAAACATTGAAGATTATGAATTCAATCCTTTAAGATTTGAGTTAATATTGTTCTTTTTGTTAGTCTTGGTCTCAGCATTTATTTTACCAGAATCTAGATCTCAAAAAGCTAGAAGAAAATCAAGAACCATGTCAGTAAGTGAATTACCAGTCTTACAGACCAACGAAACAGTTTCTATCACTAAAAAAGTGGAAGATTTCTTCAAGTCAGTGGTCAAAGAAGCTATTGAACTCTTGAAACCAATTAAAGTCTTATATATACCCTTGGAATTCAAACCTGCCCACTATAGTATGGAAAGATTCCAAAGAGAAAGAATCTCCTTGATTGTAATGACCATTATCGATTGTTTATTAACTGGTTGTGCAATGGGAATGGGAGAAGTTATGTTCCTTTATGGAATTTTAAGATTCAATTGGGGTTCGACTGTTTTAGCTTATTACATCGCCGTTTCATGTGCCAGTAGGGCTTTAGTATTAGTCGGTTTGGCTCCAGTATTGAACAACTTTGTATACCATAAAGTCTTCAAATTCAAGTTGATGAAAAGACAATTCGACATGATTGACTTTTGTAATTGTTTTGGAGGTTTGATTGTAGAAGTTGTTGTATTCATAGGGTATGCTTTTGCTCCAACTACTTTAGCTTTCTTTGGATTCATTGTCCTTGGAGGTTTATCAAGTTTAATCAGTCCAACATTAAACTCAGCTATTGTCAAATATTACCCTGATTCCAAAACTGGGGAACTTTTTGGATCCATTTCTTTCGTGAAGAATCTTTTCAATTTGCTCATTCCAGTGGCTCTTTTGACTACCTATAAGTACTCCTTGAGAATCCATTATCCTCAATTGATATTTATAGTTTTATCGGTGGTAATGGTTCTTTGTAGTCTTGCAATCACCGGAGTGAAAGTGTTATTGAACTTATCATCTTCTTCACTGCCTGAAGTTTTGACTCGTTCAAGTTCCTTCGCCAGTGTCCCCTCATTAAGAGAAGGTAGTTCGGAGTTGAGTCATAACAGGACTAATTCAATGGTTTCATTCGAAGATCCTAAAAAAATCACTGACTTGCACCGCAAAAACAGTAATATTTCTCAGTACAGAAATTAATCCCCATTTATTTATGCCCTTTGATTCAGTTCTTCGACGGTTTTTTAATATATTTTAGAATCTCAACTCCTCTTGTTACACAAAATCTCCGATCAAAACCAGATTTTGTGTCACATAAAACATCGCGATGATTCAAGTGCCAGATATATCAATCCGATTACTTATAGCATTATCATTCATAACATTCATATTCTGGTTAATCTATTCAATCACCATAATTGTCACTAAGGATTATAAATTGGTACACAAAGAAGTCCCAGTTGTCAAAAAGAATCATTTATCTCCATTGAAGGATTTCTATCAAAACTTGAATAATAGTTCCCAGTATTTACGACGTGATAGTTTTAGTCAAATCTAATTGAATGGTCCAGCAAGTTTACTTCCCCCAGGATTTGGTGGGATGTATAAATCCAGATCATCGACTCCTAGGGTACAAATACCATGATGTATATATAGCTATACGATTTGTTTCTGAAGATATATTAACAGATTTGATACACCAACCTAGTTTGAAAGATTTGTGTATTATTGGAGGTCCCGGTGGTGATTTTACAATCAAGAAACATTCTAATAATCTAATACCCATAATAACCAACGGATCTGACTCGTTCACGGTGATTTTGTTCAATCCACCTAATTATAAGAATCTTGAGTATTTCAGTATCAACCCGGTGTTGCTACAATCAATGGGTGAAGACGTCAATAGCAAATATCACTTCATGCGCTCGGTAGATTACGAATCCACCATCTCCAATGATGAAGTCTTGGATAAAATCAATTCAGTGTTGAAACTCCGATTAAAGATTGAGACACAGATGATTGAAATGGGGATACTCCCCAAAAGGTTGAATCTCAGGTATTCAATAGGATCAAAGTTCTGGAACTTCTTGTTCAAAGTGTTTACCCGTGTTATTCTTTTCATTCAACTTATTACCATAATGATCATCAACATCATCAATTATCAGTTCTTAGGCTGGAGTCTCGTACGAATAAGTCAAATTTTCAGACAATTGGATTTGAGGTTGAAACAAGTAACTTTCTTCCCTATCCAATTTCTATGTTATTACGATAAAAGTATTCTTTATACCGATAACGAAACATTGTTGAAGGGTTTAGGATTACCTTTATCTAACTCCAATTTGAACATCAATAATTCCAATTACATAAATCTTTATAATTCTTTATGGCTAATCACAAATGACATTTTAATAGGGGTTGCCATGTCAAAGGTCTTCCTGAAAAATCAACAACTTATACGTTACTGGGTTGGTTGGTGTTTCAAAAGATTTCTCATTGATGAATTGTACCAGATCATCAGTTGGATTTCCTACCATCATCCTGCTGGGTTTAAATTGAACAATGAATTAGGTAAGTTTATGGGTGACTTGTTCTTATGGAGTTTGAATATGTGGGAATCAACGGTATCAAAAATCGATAATGATGAAAATATTATCATGGCTATTAACATTTTGTGTCATATGGGATTAAGTTTCATGATCGCCATGATCATTGATTGTATGAACTTTCTAACATTACATGTGAAGTGGTTCTATCAAATATCTGCAAGAATATACCAGAAACAAATAGAAATCATCAAATCTTTGCTTCAATTATTTAGAGGTAAGAAGTATAATGTGTTGAGAAAAAGAGTAGACAATTTGAACAATTACTCCAAACCTAATGAATTCGACATTGATCATTTACTTCTAGGAACCATTATTTTCATGATTTTAATCTTATTGTTACCCACGGTATTTGCCATTTATTTAACTTTCTTTGTCATAAGGTTTTCATTCTTATTGCTTCAGAATTTCTTTGAGAACTTGTTGATTATCATCAATTTTCTTCCTATGTTTGTCATATTATTGAAGTTAAAGAACTCCAATCGTTTGCAAGGGGGTGTGAACTTCGAAAGGTTGGATTATAATGTTAATAAATTGAATTATCTCAAGTTATCTAACAAATCCTTAACATACAAAGAGATTTTCAAGAATTTTACGTCACTATTCAAGAAGTTGAAGAATTTTAGGAAATCCTTGATCAATTCTTTATTTGTCGGTGACTTGATTGGCTTGAACCACAACTTTAACTTGAAATTTGATTTTCTTATGTTACCCCAGAATTATTCCAAAAGTATAGAGATTTGGAAATATTTTACTAATAAATAATGATAATGAATACCATGCCAATGTTTCTAGGTACTTCCCAGCATTTTCCCGCTCTATCAACCCTTAAATATTACCACCAAACTAACTACCCCTTCGGTGGTGTACGGAGGTGAGGATATGTCACTAACAAATCGCAAAATCCTCATTACGCATCATCCCACAATGATAGTAAAGCGATTTAAATCGAACTTCATAGCCAACGCTTTGAATTTGTTCAGGAAGGATGTTGCTAAAACTGTCAGTCAGAGTCAGTCAATCATTAGACACGAAGATGCGTCGAATTTGAATAAATTCAAAGATTATAAACCATCAATTATATCATCAGTAACTTATGGTCCCGTACAAGAACAGTTCTTGAAGGGCAAGCACGATAAAGTTATTCAAGGCAATAAGTTCAATCAGGATTTACAGGAACTTATTGACATTTTGAATTTATCAAATCCGAAAAGTATCGAATACCATAAACAGTTATTGAACTTGAATAATCAAAAGTTTACTAATGCCATCAAAACATTATCAGAAGACAAGTTGGCCGAAGTGCTTAACTTCCTTTTACTCCAACCACAAAAGAATTTCGAAAAACTATCCATAGTCATGATGAATCCCAAACTTAACTTTAAGAAGATCCCTGAAATAGAAGAATTCGATTTAGATGAAATCAACGAAGTTAAATTTAAAATTTTAATGTTACGTAAATACAATTTAAGCCACCAACCATTGAAAATCATGAAATCCTTGAAGCACAACTTCCATACCATTTATCCCTTGATAAAAGATAAATCCATACCTCAATACTACGAGAGAATATTTTGGTATTTCTATTTCCGTTACAATAAAGACTTGAAAGAGAAGATTTTGGAATTAGATGATGTTTACCATAGCTTTACCATCTGGGAAGCTTTACCAAATTTCCAAGAAGTTTCGAAAACAATTTTACATAGTCAAAAATTGAGTAAATTCCATGAAGTATTCTTCCTGGTAGTATCTAACAAATCAGTGGGTGAAATCATAAAACAAAATCCTAATATCCTAAACAGTATGAAAAAGTTCAGTATCAATCACAAGATTTACGCCAATGATTTAGGATCGGTGAATTTCGCCAAGTTAGTGAATGACCAAATAACACCCTTATTGGAGAACCCAAAATCTGTTCAAGACCTAATTGAACAATTGACTGAAGAAGATTTCAAATGGAATGACAAGTTCATGTTCTTGATGAATGAAATCAAATAATTGAAACGATATAATGAATGCATGACGATTTATCAAGCCTCTGACGAGAACTCTTCCCTGACCACGAAAGGCTGAAATAGGGCTGAAATGCTGATCTGTGCTACTGCAGATTAAATCTTCGTGTAATTAAACTTTTCTATGAACACATGGACAAACATTTCGTGTTCTTATCTTTAGCATTCCAACTTCGTAGATTCGATTGAAATTGACATTTCCTTTTCGAGGATGACATTTCCCTTTTAAGGATAATTGTTTTAATTCAAGAATCGGCGTTATCTGCCTACCCCTAAATCTCTTTAGCGCCGGAACTGTAATATTTCCTTAAAGGTCACGACAATTCTTGGCGTACCTAGATAAAAAAAAAGATTTACGAACACTGGTCTTGTGGCATTTGGTATACGAAACGTGACATGAGAGAGGCTTAAATATGATAAGTCACGGAGGTATTTCCGGATTCTATTGTAGGATTGAGTCACCCATACATGGAGGTCGATCTTGATAAATGTTATTGTGTCTGGGTAGTCACTTCATGTTTCTAACAATAGATTGGCAGTACGACATCTCCTTTTACGTCCAATTCTCGAATCCTCAAATTAATCTCTCCACGATTTACGAGAAAAGTCAGTGTCCAATTACAAAACAATCTGATTTTTTAAATCCTAAAAATATATAAAAAGAGGATATTTTCCTTTTCCTCTTCTATTAATCAATCATGACTGACTACGCTGATATTATTTCTCAAGAACTCGAAATCGTTTCCAGATTAGAAGAAAATTTCTATACTTTAATTCCAAGTGACTTATATGTCCACCCAGAAAAATATGGTACTGGTGATGCTTGGTTCAAAAGTTTCACTAAAATCTTCACCAATTCTGATTTTTTGGCCTTATCAAGTATGGGAGCTGTCGATTTTGATAGTGAAGCATTCACTGGTTTTGCTGGTGATTTTAATAGTGACGCATTCACTGGTTTTGCTGGTGATTTTGAAACTAATGATGCTGTGGAAAGTGGACTTGATTTATTAACATCAAGTTTAGACGACTTGGCTTCAAATGCTGACGATTCAACTGCAACTGCTGATGATGAATCTTCAATTACTGAATCTCCTTCATCAAGCTCATCAAAAGCTTCAAGTTCATCTAAAGCTTCAAGCTCCTCTGATTCTACTGAATCTGATGATGCTGAAGAATCCTCTTCTGAATCCTCAGATGCTTTGGGTGCTAACTTAGCTATCCCAATGGCTGGATTATTTGGTGCTGCTGTTGTTGCCTTATTATAAGTGTGTAAAATGTATAATAATGTAATCTGTCAAATGTGTCAAGTGCGGCACTTAAGCTTTAACTTTTCACATTGGGCTTAAAAGTGATCACTCTTTCCTCACCCTTGATTTTCAGTTGTTCTGTTATCAACGGTATTGTAATTATGTCTGTTGGGATGTCTTTAGTTGCAAGTGATTTCATCAATTACCATCAATTGGATGATGCAAGTACCGATTTAAAATTAACTATGAGTATTGTGAATTTGCAGCCACCAGAATCGTCTGATTCTTCTGGTGTGAGTAGTGAACTTTCTGATTTTATCGCTAGCTTGACTAAGTCTGAATCTGCAAGTGGTGTTAGTTCTGGTAATGATGAAATTTCAAGTGAAGCTGTCTCCAGTGATGAAAATTCCAGTGTTCTTTCCAGTGGTCTTGTTAGTAATCTGGCTTCTAGTGAATCATCAGAAACTGGTTCAAGTGAATCTGGTGTATCAGATGAATCGTCAACTGGTGCCCTTGATACTGCTTCATCGAGTGAATCAACATCTAACGGAGCTGGAACAATTATCGTCTATCCTTTTGCGTTAGGTTTGGTCGTCTTAGCTTTATTATAGTTCAAAATGTAAACGTCTGTTTTGTTTCTTACCAACTTTTGACGAACAAGGAATCCTCTATACGAAACAATGCATTATCATGAACAATAGAGGTCCGTCAAATCTTGTCTTATCGTCTAGAATCAATAGTCTCGCTCAAGCCTTGGATCAAATTTAATATCGTGTGAAATCAAATTGAAGTAAGTTGGTGTAGAAAGGTGTCGTCACTTACTCTAACACTTATGATTAGAAGCCTGTCAACATTTCATTCACGTGCTACACAATTAGCAATGATGGCTCATATAAAGGTAAATAAACAATTAGGATCACTGATCTGAAAAATCGTGTAATTTAACCAAATTGGGACATCATGACATATTTTCGTTAATAATAGAACAAAGAGAGGCAGTAGTTATAAAACAAATATACAATAAACCAAACCTAATAGAAGACAAATTTAGCAGTACCTGAAGTTAAGGTAACAGTACAACCATCTGAACCATGACCATTATATGAACCATCTTCATATTTACAATCACCAACAACAGTAGCACCATCTTCACCAACAATTTTAATGTTGTAATTTGGAGGAGTTTTGTTGTTTGGGTTAGGAATTAATGATAAGTAAGTGTTACCACCGGTAGTACCAGCACCTAAAACGACAGGAGCCCAGTTACCGACACCTGAACCATCAGTACCCCAAATACAACCATCTTCAACTGAAACACCAGCATTGTTAACGTAATATTGAGTTGAAGTTTTACCACCTTTCCAAGTATAGTAACTATCTGAATCGACAACTGAAACAATAGCTTTGTTACCGGCTTTTAATAAAGTTGGGATGTTCATGTTTTCTGAACCTGGGTAATCAGTTCTACAGATAGCAACATCTTTACTAATTTGGGAAACAAAGTTAGCTTTTTGAGCACCCCATTCACATAAGTAGTTTGAATCAGTGTTTGATCTGTATAATTTACCATTCTTACATAATAAACCACCAACAGAAATACCGTTTGATGGTTGTTCGGAAGGCCATTGAGTTTTTGACATACCAGCTTGACAACCGTAAGAACAGTAGTAACCATCTTTACAGTTTGGAGAAGTGTTACCGTTAGAATCCATAACAGTAGACCAACCACCGTTTAATCCAGAAATCCAGTCAATAGAAATAACACCTTGACCAGTTGGAACGGAATCACAATCGTAAACACCATCTTTGAACTCTTTAGTTGGATCGGAGAAAGCAGATAAATCACCTTCAACACCACCTGAACCACTACTAGTTGAACCAGAATCATCATCATCTGAATCTGAAGTAGAAGTTGATTGAGCAACTGAACTTGAAGTAGTAGCAGCAACTGATGAACTAGTTGAAGCAGTTGAGGAGGTTGAAGTAGTTAAAGTGGTTGGACTAGCAGTTGAAGGAACAGCTGATGATGGACCAGCAATAGTGTTACCGGAAATATCAACATAAACAACAGTAGTAACAACAGCTCTTTTATTTAAATGAACATGTTGATGTTGATGGTGATCAGCTGGAGCAGCTAAAATTGATGAAACTAATGATGTTAAAACTAAGTTTTTGAAAATCATTTTTCTTTAATATAGGTATAATCTAATCTAATCTTATCTAAGTAAAATAAAAAGGAATGAATTTAGTTAGAATAAAAGAATGTGGGTATTAAATGAACGTATAAGATAAACCTTTATTAAAAAATTTTCTCACTGGGAAACTGTCAGATTTAAGGATTTCTCGATAAAATAAGGTTATGGTGCGAAGTGTCGTTGGGTGGTAGGTCGTGGTTAGGGGCTAAAAGAATTTATGCGGGTCGTGTGAAGAGGGAGAAAATATCAAGTTCCGTCGAGTCTAGAACCCCTTGATGAGTAGATGATGAGAGGGTACTACAAGGTTTTTTCCAGTTAATTTGGTTTAATTTAGGTCTTGTTGGTTGGTCATCATTATGGAGGAGGTGAGGTAACAGTTGAAAAGCAATGTTTGAGGTGAAAATCGAAAGTAAACAAAACATTTTTAATGGTTCATAGTATATTTGAAATTTCACTTTTTTAAGTAATTCTTGTCGTGTGCGAATCAATGCTCTTGACAGAAATTCAATAATACCCTTTTAGGCCCTTGGCCCTTAATATTTAGTGAGAATGGCATAGGGGTTCGGTCTACCTGATTCGGTAGATGACCTAATAACAATGATTAAGTTGTAGTTTGTTACAATTTCAGTAAGGAGATTGAATGTTCCATCCATCTTTGAAAAATTCTCTTGTTTTTTTATGAGTCAAATCATGCAGTATGGTTCAGATCGTTAATATGATAAAGATCTGATCTTATGTAGGTATACCATAAACTTCCGATACGTTGGATCATAATCACTTCGGTTATGCCATGATCGACACTATGTAACCATATGACTAATGTAAGTGCCCCACCAGATTATATGGAATTGAAATAAAAACCGTTTTCATCAACGGCATCGAAAAAAGAAATAATTCCTTTTTAGAAAAATTTTTATGCATGTAATTTAACGGAAGTAACCAACCTCTTTCCCATAGGGCTACCGGTGAGATGTCCTTGGCAACAAATAGTGAGTCCTAAAGGTCTAAGGAGTCAAATTCTGAAAAGGGAAACTTAATGGTTGATTTTAGATCTTTCAGAAGATCACAATAGAAATTCTTGATTAAAACTACTTTAAGGGAGTGAAATTCTTATTGTTATGCTTGATTAAATGTGCATTTAGCTCAATATTTCCGATTTATAACTGAAGGTAGTTCTTGCCGCAACAGAAGTGTTAAGGTGATGAGTCCCACAGGTAAGTTGGGAAAGGTTGAGTAACTTTAAGAGACTCTGGAACTTAAAACTACGGAAAGTTGAACAGGAATCTCTCGAAACTACAGAAATCTATCTTACCTTTCGATCTGAACTCTATGAAATAGAAGGTCAAATTTGTAATCAGAGATCTCTCCTTCGAATCTAAAATCTCTGTGAGCCAGATCGGTTGCAAATAAAGATTCTCTAGTTGCAAAAACTTACCCACTGAAACAAACCTGTAGGCTTCCTTGCTGGGAGAGACAAACCTTGGAATACCAAATTCAAACTAGAAACATTACCCATTTCATTACTCATTTCTATACACTATATAGTACCTTCATCCTCAATACCCAAATTGAACCATGGATGATTCATTGCTTCTTCAGCACTTATTCTTCTTTCGGGATCTATCACAAACAAGCATTTCAATAAATCTATCAAGAACCACCAAAAAGTGAAATTACCGAAATTTATCACGGATTTATTTTGATCATAATTATAATTCAAAGTATAATCAAAATTGATTTTCAACCCTATCCTATTGGATATGAAGAAATCCAAACGGTTAAGCTGATTTACATTATTAATGAATTGTGCTGGGGTGTCTGAACGAGGAAACATCAAAGATAAATCGTTATCATCAAAATATTGGATTCCACATTCATTGTCACATTGTTTTGAACGTTCGATGATTGATTTATCAATAGGATACCCTACGAATTTCTCAATCATTGCCAAATGCTCTAAGTTATCATGAGTTTTGAATAATGGTTCACCAATAATTAATTCCACCATTATACAACCAATTGACCACATATCACAGGGGAATGACCAACCAGTACCTAGCACAATCTCAGGAGCTCTATAATGTCTTGTTGATACTATAGATGAATGATATTCATCATTAAATATAGCCGAACCAAAATCAATGATTTGGATCGATGGATTTTTCAAAACTTGAGACGTCCTTGGTAACTTTTTAGGGTTAGTGACATTTGATAACTTCATAAAAGAGTTGATCAAAGTTTGTGATTTTAAAGGTTTTTTGATGAACGAATCATCATAAAGTAAAATATTCTCCGGCTTCAAATCAGTATGAATCAAATTCAAATCATGCAAAAAAGTAGTTGATCTAATTAATTGTTTCAGTACTGCTTGAATTTGAGATCCTGGAAATGGTATGAAATGATTGTTCTCTAAGAAATCATAAAGGGATATTTTTAATAAATCCGTGACAATACAAATATGACCTCTAAATTCGAAACATTGACGTAAATGAATACAATGATTTAAGTTTTTATCATCAAATTTCTTCAAAGTTGATAAGATTCTTAATTCAATCTTTGCAGCATCCTTATATTTTGGAATGTTCCTTATAATTTTTATGGCAACATTTTCATTATTAACTCTATCATAACATTCTACAACTTTACCAAAAGTTCCTTGACCGAGCAATCTTATTATCATATAACGCTCAGTAAATGGAGAGTTCGGTTCAATAATATAATGGCCATTTTTATCATCACATGGTGGACCATTAGAATTGTATGGAACAATTGCTGTTTTGATATTACCAATTTTATTTTGACTTAAAATATAATTTTCAGGAATCTTGAAATAATTACATTTAACCTGAGGTAATTGAGGTAATGAATTTGTTCTTTGCTTTTTGTCATACATTCCGTTGAAAGTCAAGGAGTTTGATGAAATGTAGTTGACATTATATAAATTAAAAGCTTCATGAGAATCCCTATCAAAATTTAAAATGGAATCACTATTATTCCTTTTTGGTCTTGTGATCTTGAAATCTTGGAGATTTCTTTCTTCTAAGATGATTAAATCATCATCCTCGTCAACTTCTATATCTTCAAATACTTGATAATAATCCTTTTTATCTAAGTCATAATTATAACTTTCTTTATAATCACTAAAACCTCTTGGTCTTTTACGGTTTATAACACTCATTTTACCTGTTATATTCTTACTTTAAACCTTTCCCAATCCCACCAAAACTATCCTTCTTAACCTTTCCAATTTCCAAACCTTACCTTTTAACCAAAATGTTTCCTAAATATCCGTTGCCTGAACAGATTTATTGATTCAATACCAGATTAATCAAACGTGGGTTAAAATTTTCTGAATTTTTAAATACTTGTTTTAATCAGTTGATTATTAACCAATTAAGATATGTCTTTAACTAGTTTCCAAGTCTAGTTTTACTTAGATGGGGGTAAATTAAATTATTTCGTATTGATAAAAATTAAAGGATATTTGAAAAATGAGATTGAGGAGGCAGAGACATTAAGGGATGAAAAACTAAGTTAAAAAGCAATAACGGGGAAAGTTTTTTTAAACGTTTGAAAGGGTAGTTGAGGGTATTTGAGTTATATGATGAAGTTGATTTGATCAAATAGTTAGATGATAATAGAGATTTCATGATTAAAAGGGGGTTTTTAGGAGGTGAAAATTACGAAAATGAGCATATTGTGGGTATTTTAATTAAACAAATGTCTTATCTTCTGGTGCAATGTCGCGCGAAGAAATGTGGAGACATTTGACCAAAAACTTAATTACCACACACCTGTATGCGTGTACATGGCAAAAACTCGGCTGGAACTTGATAGGGTGTTCGAAGACTTAGGCTAGTTATTTTGATATGGTCGAGAAGGTCTGATTAAGTTAATGGTTCTAAGTTAAGTGGTTCTTCTTTTCATAAAGAAAATGTCCTGACTTTTTTTTTTCACTTTTCCCTCACCTTACAGCAAAGTGAAAAATTTGACTTCACACTAAAGTTCCGATTATTGTAGAGAAAGACCCTGATTCGCAGTACCCCTTTTTCAAACTCCTAAATGGTTATAAGCTTTAAGTATTTATTATAATCGAACATAATAGTTCATTAGTGAACTTAGTGAAGTATTAGTAATCCGATAGAAATCCCTCTAAAATGACCTCTAAATTCGGTATAAATCCGAAATTCCTTGCTTGTACGTAAATGGAATTTCAACTGCTGGCAAAAAAACCCTTTGCAGGTTCCGCACTTTTTTTATCATTGTGTTATTTTTATCTTTAATTTATTCATCGTTATCAAAAGAACAGTTGTAGTATAGTTGGAGTGTTTGGAAGTAACTCCTTGTAATTACACAAATCAATCGTTTAATAGTCTTTGAAAATGAATGAAATGAATTACGATTATCATAATGAATATTATCAAGACCCATACCTGAATGAAATAAGTCATCACCCTAATTCAATTATAAATCAAAATTTTACCCAACCACAAGATTATAGATATGGTTATAATGATAGTTATAATCAGCAAATATCCATGACTTTATCTAATCAAATGTCCAATCAAATGTCTACGCAAATACCTACACAAATACCTACACAAATACCTACACAAATGGCTCCAAACATGCAAACTTCTACACAACAGACAATTTATGATTACCAAACTTATTATGGATTACAAAGTCCTTTCCAAGAAACTTTTCCTTTAAACGCAGTTGATGAAGTTGTTCCTGTTAATGTACCTATAAATCATATGGGTCAAGTATCAGTTCCATTATCAGCTCCCATTCGTGCCTCCGTTTCTATGACTCCCGTTCAAGTGGCTTCCCTTCATGATTCTATTAATTCGATACCCCATAATATAACGTCAGCTTCAGTTCCTTCATTGGTATCAGTAAATTCCGTGGCTTCAATGCAATATCTTCCTGAAACTCCATTACCAGTTAATTCGTCATATTTACCAACTCCAAAAAACACCGATAAAATACCCGATTCTCCAATGTTTAGAAGTCCGGAATTCTTCGATATAGATACTATAGGCACTATAGAGTCTGTAGATACCAGTGAAACTACTGATGATGATAAAAATCTCGAAGAATTTATGAGTGAAGAAATAAATGAAATTTTATCTGACCCCATAAACTTTTCCCCAAAAAAGAAGAAAAAAATTCGTAAAGCAAAATCCTTGCAAGATTATTCATCAAAGTTTTCATTAAATTCGAAATTCTCCATTATAATAGAAAATGAAGAATTAAAAAAGGGCAAATCTACAACAAATTTAAGAAAAACCCCAAAACCTGAAATTTCTATGAAAGAGGGTATCGTAAATTTCCTGATTAATCCCAAACGTAAAATAAAACGTTAACATTTCATCATTCCAAGTTTCATTCTTGTTCATGTCATTTTTTTTTATAACTTTTCCATTTTTTTATCCTTTTCATTTTTCCATTTTCCACTTTTTTCCATTTAGATGAAACATCTCAAATACATTGATTTAACTTCGATAGTTAGTTCGCCATTTATGATTTATGAGTCTTATGATTCTGTAATATTTAGTTCTGTAATATATGTTTACCCCTATAGTAATCCTCTGTTAGTAAATAAATCGCTGAAATCAGTTAGAGGGTCAAAATCCACAAGTTGTTCAACAAAAACCTCCAATAAATATATATTATGCTACTTATAAATCCTTTTGTCTTGGTTTGTATTCATTTATGAAAACTGGTTGGGATCTATATAATTTGTTCATCTTCCATCCTTCATTACTATATAAGTAATAACCTAATGATAAAGGAATCAAACCCATAGTGATTAAGTTGAAAGCAATAGACTTTGGTTTGAATCTGAAGTTGGTACCGGCAGCTTCTTTAGCTTTGTTGAATCTTTGTAATTCAGGATCTGGTGTTAATGTGTGAGCCATCGTTGAATGATTTTTATTGGTGCGAATTTTTGTTTTGGGATTGAGGTTTGGTGTAGATGGGACATGAGTGGAAGAAATAGAATGGTTAATGACCGAGCTAATTGGAAGAGTATTTGGGTATGGAAGAGGCTCAAAAAGAGTCCAGATATAAAAAGGATGGAACATTTAGTTGAAAAAATCGTTTTATTCATTGGCTGCAAATTCTATGATAAACTCTTCAAATTATTTAAATCATCATCATTTACTTTATCGAAATTCAAAGCATTACTTTCATCTAGTTCAACTCCCAAATTCTGTAAGATCTTATATATCTTACCATTAATATAGTAGTCTCTTTTGTTGGGAGTGAACTTGAAGTCTAATTTCCTACCCACAATCTTTTCATGTAATACAAGAATCTCTTTAACTAGATTGTCCGCTTGGTTTAATGTGAATTTCAAGTTATCCTCTATTGGGGATAACTGGGCTATCAATTTCTTATTGTCAAAAGTCAATTTTTCTATTGATTCGTCACTTAAGAATTTGATTGATTCTTTGAAATCATTTAAAATCTTTAAAATCCTTTTCCCCTTTTCAATTTGAAGTTTTAAAAGCTTCCTACATTTTAATTCAATCTGTATATGTTCGATAAGTTGTTTAATTTCATCATTATCCACGTCGGATTTATCAGTTTTTTGAAGATCCTCAAAAATCCCTTGATGATGGTCTAACGTTATAAATCCTCCTTCTACCAATTCGTTCGGTATGGTGAAAATATTCCTTAATGCATATAATTCGAATTTATCGAAATTCTTATCAACTTGGTTTTCTAACAAAGTCTCTAATTTGACAGTACCTTCTTTAATCTCTCGATCCTCCAATTTTTCCCATATTTCATCCCTCCCTGTGGATTTATCTTGTTGACGTTCTTTCAAATACGTTTCCATGGCTTGTGTACATTTATATAATATATGATTCACTGCATTGATCACATCATCGACTACTGTTATAGGCGGATAACCTAAATGTTCAGTTAAAATTGACGTTACTTTGAAATCTGACATAATATACAATGTTTCTTTCCTCAAGGGTTACTTCTATCCCGTTATAGCTATTCTACAATATTTTACACGATCAAAGATCAAAGGTTTTTTTACTTAATACACGTTAATTGTTGTTTTGCGATTGTTATCAGACGAGTGCGAAACGCCCAGGATTTAAGATGAACATAACGTTCAATGATGCAAAGATCATCCAATATAAATATGCAATTCATAAGATAAGGTCGTTCATTAAATTCTTAAATGAGGTACGAGATAAACAAAGAAATAACCTGGAAAAACTGGCAGAGCCTACTCCTGAAATTGGTGATAGTGAGAAACCTATCGGCACAAAAGACAAGATAGTGATATGTCATTATTTGACGTTACTTTCTGGGGTCGTATTTGCCATAAATGAAGGGATTTTCAATCCTAAGTTAGAGTTACTTTCTCAGTTCAAATTATTCAGAATTTCACCCATAAATGTATCACCAATTGTCAGTCATATACCCTACGATATCAATGATAATGTGGTTAATCCTTTAATTGAACTTCCGAAGAGTGAATTGACATACAAATGTGTTTCTTTGCTTATAACTTTATATAATCATTGTTTATCCGGGTATGAAAAACGATATCAACAAGCTATAACTCAGTATAAGATAAAAGATGAAACCAATCAAGCAATTGATGATATGATTAACGAATTCTGTAAAGGTTTGGATATAAGTGGCTCTGATGAATTTATATTCGAAATGTCCAAGGAAAATAAGTCCGATGATGATGAAAAAACTGAAGGAGGTATTGAAAATGAAGAAGTCCTTCAGGAAGCTAATTTAATAGATATCGATATTAAAATGAATTTTGTGGTTGTTAAACATTATAGAAAAACTTTGGCTGATCTAAAGAAGGTTGTGGAGAAGTATAAGTTGATTAAAAGTCAACCTGCCACCAAACAAACAAAATACTTATCCACCATTCCCCATCAGGAATATTCCTTGCATAAATTATTGATTTTGATTCTTAGAGTCAATGATATATATTTTATCATCAGAAAATTTGCCAGGAAGGTATACATATCAAATTATGCACATTTGAATGATCAGAAACTTGTGGGAAGAAACCAATATTTCAAATCATTATTGAAATCCATTGACGAATTGTTCAATGGAACTAAGAAAAATGGTGTTATGATAGCCACCATAACCAGATTCATAAGAGTAAACTCACAATTCACCAGTGATGTGAAAAACATTCTTGATTTCAATAATTTCGTTAATCAAGGTATTATGATCTTGGAGAACAGTATAAGCAAGTTGATCGAATTTGGCCAATTGTGGTCATCCATTGAATTAAAATTCAGGAAGTTGTATGGTTTGCCCTTCAAGGGATTGGTAGATATAATAGATGAATATTCAAAGGAAGAATTTCCTCAAATAGAAGAGAACTACTTCGAAAAAAGGAAAGAACCAACAGAAAGGATATTTAATAGACCTTCCAGGAGTTCATCTGTATCTTCAAATTCCAGTAACACTTCCAGTACATTTTCCAATAAGAACTTGAACGTACCATCCACTACCACTACAACTACCACTACGAATAATTCTAATGGTGTACAAAGGAAATCTTCCATAAACTCCTTAAGAACATCACCACGTCAACAACGTCCAAATTCCATGATTTCCATGATTTTCATGAATCCTCCCACAGCACCTAATGGTAGAAGACGGTCTAATAGTCAGGATGATTCATACTTGAGTTCAAGGTTAAGTAGCTTGACTACCAATGACTCAAGTGTTAATGAATCAAACAATGTGAATGTTCCAAGTGGAGGGGCTGCCGCTGCAGCTGCCGCTTTGAAGAAGAAGGCAACCTCTATGCAGCATTCACAATCATTACCTACCCCTTCTACCTCAAGTTCCCAAACTGTCAGGAAAGTTCAACCTATTATTGAAGAAGAACCTGTGAAAAAATTAAGTGCCAACCAAAGACTACAACTTCATATTCGACAAGCAGCTAAGTCAGGTAGTTTGATGACTCAAGAGAAGGAGGTGATGACATCTGTTGTATTCGATCCTAATTCCCCTTCTTCTGTTAACATCAGAAAATATCAAGATAAATCTCCTTCACCACCTAAAGAAACCACTACGAAGGAACCACCTCAAATTGAAGTGAATGGTAAACTTCCAGAACCTTCACTGCCTTCAGGTAAAACAGCACCTTTGAAAAGAAAAACCAGAGATCAAGTGACTAAATTGAATACCAAACGTAATGAAGATTTATCTCGTGACTCAGATTCTTTGATTACCGAAACGACCAGTCATTCTGATCAAACCAATGACGAAACTTCCGTTGTAAAGAAAGTCAGATTCATTGGAGTACCTGATTACCATCCTTCTGAAGATGCTCCTGCTTCATATAGTTCTAAGATCCTCAAGAATTTTGCAGTTTTCAAATCTCCAGCATTTAAGAAGAAAGATCAACTTTTTAAGAAGGAAGAGAGCTTATTATTCAAAAATCAACAACAAATTATAGATAGTAGTCTTTCAAAACCTTTGGGTAATTTCCAACAGGCTAAATTGAAGATTAAAACAAGGTTATCTTAATGTAATAATAAATCGAATTTTTTACTCTTGGAAAAGGACTGTTGAAGAGTTCGGTGCCCAGTATATCATCTTGGTGCTCTAGAAGGGTCAATATCCTCATCTTCATTCAGTATACACCATCCTCTTGTTCCCACACCTTATGTGTCAGACCTGGAGATCGCGATGCGATGAGATAAAAAATTTAGCGACTTACCAAATGGATAAAATAATACCTAAATCTACCAACCCTTTGAACTCAGAAGGTGTTAGTCAATGTTTCTCCAAAGTAAATGCCAAATTATACTTATCATTAGCACCATGTCATATTACTAATCCAATCAACGGATTAAAAGCTCAACATTTAGATTCTTTAATTATGACCTATTTCCCCCAAGCTGAAGGTGTAGTAATTTCATATTCTAATATCAAGATTTTGAAAGATGGTTACCAATATGAAGATACCAATGGAGTTGTAACGGTATTGGCCAAAGTAGGTGATAGCTCACCTTTCACATTTGTTTGGGTATCAGTTGATTTCATCGTTTGGAAACCTCAAGTCAATGATTTCATCGAAGGATATATTTATATGCAAACAGCTTCCCATATTGGTTTATTGATTCACGATACTTTCAATGCTTCCATTAAGAAATTCAATATTCCACAAAACTGGGAATTTGTACCTCAACAAGTCGACGAAGTTAGTGAAGAAGATAGTAAAGTTAGAAATATGGGATATTGGGTGGATGAAAATGGAGCCAAGATTGAAGGAAAGATTAAATTTATGATCAAATATATTCATAATTCTTCAAGAGTTGTTAATATTGACGGAACTTTAATTCAACCAGGAAGTGAAGTTGAAAATCAACCAGTTTCAAGAAAGAGAAGATCATCAGTTAGCATTGAACAAGTTTCCCAAAACAAACACAAAAAATTTGACGATGATGACGATATTAATAATGAAAAACCTATGGAACCAATAGAGGAAAAAGATACTGAAACCCCACATTATTCTGATTCTGATTAAAACGGGAGGGAAAGAGGTTAAAAATATACATAGAGAATACACATTTAAGGAATTCTATTTTACATATTTACAGGGATTATTTACGTCTATTATCATTAAGCATTTTCCACATGGTTGATCTTTCTCTTACAGTTGGATGATGGTATTTATTTCCTTTCCAATGCCACCAATATTTATGCCAATACAATCTGTGCCAATGCCATTTATGCCAATGCCAAAATCTTAATCGTCTTTCCTTTGCTCTTAATGCCATTGATTTGGCTAATATTTGACGATTGTCTCTACCACCCATAGTTAAAGTTTGAACTTTCTTCAAAGTTGTCATATTGAACTTTGTCAATAAAATACCTTGAACTACTGAAAATAAAACAATTAATCCAAACCCTACGTTGGAATCTTCAATAAAATTTTTAAGATTCATACCATAGAAAGCTGGAATTAAAGTAGCTACAGTAATACCTAAGGTGTAAATCGACACTTTTAATTCAAATAACATCAATTCATTTCTATTGGCATCCAAAATAATATTAACAATATCTTCAGTTGATTTAATATCATTGACCAAAGATCCTGAATGTTGAACAAATTCATCACATTGGGAATAATAAGCTTCCAAAATATTTTCTAAATCAACTAAATCGGGTTGATTCAACTTGTCCAACTTTGGCTTGGAAGTCAAATACATATCGCTCATATCTTCGTCATTATCTAACAAATCATCTAAAACATCTTTGATCAACAACACCTTTTGATAATAAGTTTGTAATGCTTTGGATTTAATTAACAAATCTTGTAATTTCTTTCTATCCACTTGATTTTCCAAATCGGATAAAATACTCCCACAATTTTCAATGTGAGTCTTTAATTCAGCTTCTAAGTATCCCATAATATTGATGAGAATACTTTCAATAACCTTGAATTCGAAGGGAACATTGTTATTGATCTTCAATTTCAGTTCCAAATCATAGATGAAAAGTCCTAGCTTAGTAGCCACTTCAGGCGTGGAAGTATCGAAGATCATGACTTTATCGGGTTTGATTAAAGCTTTGATATGTAACAAATTGATAAGGATGGTGGTGGGAGGTCTAGTCATGATCTGAGGAGCCACATCAATAGCTGAAGTATCTACCTTTCTTAAATCTCTAGGATATAAATTATGTTCTCTTAAAAACTGCATCTTTGGGAATTTCTTCGATATGCCGATATTATTCCCTTTAGTATCAAAAATTGTACAACTAACAAATGAATCATTGGGAGTCACTGGTTTCAATTGGTTAAATATCTTCAAATTTACTTTATGGTTAGCATTGGAAGTGAATTCTCTTAAATTTGGAACATTTTCAATATGGGTATCAAAAGGATTAAGGTTCTTGTATTCGAACTTTTGGTAAAACTTATCTAATCGATTATGGAATCTTCCGGTTGATTTTTTAACATTGGTAGTATCAGTATCATTCTTAGACTTGGTGGTATAGTTTATTCGACTTAATCGTATGGGAAATTTCCCCTGTTTAACACAGGATCGAACTAAAGTCATTAAGGTGTGAAATTGCGAATGAGCAGTGATGAGAAAGTGAACAACATGGGTTATCCAACACTAAGAACATATATGATCCAAAACCATGAATTAAGATGAACCACCACGACAAATAGAGATTGTAGAGTAAAATCTAGTAAATTATCAATTGTAAAATGTAACAGAAATGAATTAATCAAAGAACTTTCTTGATTCGGAGATACCAAATAATTCCAATCTAAGACCTGGTAATGCTTCTTCCGATAATAATTTTAATCTTTCATCTAATGTATTATCAACTTCGATCTTACCTGATTTGTTGGTAACAATTACACCACCGGAAATATCATCGGATAAAAATTCATCATGAATATTAATTTTAACTGGGAAACCGGTTTTTTCTTCGAAATTTTTGGCAGCTTCATCTATTGATTCTTTGGCTAAAGATAAATCTGATTCTTTAACTTTGACGAAAACTTCACCTTCTAAAATGGCTAATAATGCTTCTTCAATTAATCCAATAAATGCTGGTTTATAATCACCTTTATTCTTACTGATATCACTCAATTTAGCTTTGGCACTTTCAAACATTTCATTTAATACTTCTTCTTTAGTAGCTAAAATTCTTAATCTTGTTTTATTACCAATAGTTGACTTTGTAATTTGTTGAGCTAATGAAGCTTTTTTGAATTTTTGTTCATATGATGCATCAATGGCAGCTGTTTCTGATCTAACAATTGAAGCCTTTTCAATTTCATATTCTTCATCAGCTTTCAATTTTATTTCTTTAGCTTTCTCTTGAGCTTCCTTTTCGATGAAAGCTTTCATCTTACGGAGTTCTGCGTTGACCTAATTGAGTTAGTAATTTATTGACAAACATCTTGAAATATACATATGGTATGGAAACCTCACGTCAATATACCATGTATATTATACAATTAACCACTATTAATAACATACTTGATCATCAGTTAAAGACATGATTGAACGAATTAATTTACCCTGAGGTTTTTCCAAATTCTCGAGAACGAGCATTTTGGTTCACGACACGAATTTCACTCAGACACTAAAAGATAAGATATGAGAGATAAAGGAGTAGAAAGAAAATAAATATACTTTTAAATTACAGAATTCAAGAAGTTAGTAGCTATTTCGACACCGACGAAAGTAGCAGCATTTGCAGGGAAAGATCTGGCTAAAGCAGGACCAACACCAGGGAAGAAAGCTTTAATACCACCTCTAGCATAAATATTTTTAGTAGTTTGAACAATTGAAACACTAGTGTTAGAAGATTGTTGAGTTGATTTGATAGTATCAATTGGGAAAACACCTAACCACATAGCAACCCCAGCAAATCCCCCAGCTATTGAAATACTTAATAATGACATATCTTGACCAGGAACAGTTAATTTGGCTTTTAAATATTCATATGTAGCGAAGTATAAAGCTGAACCAGGTCCATCTCTTGCTAAAGTAGCAACAGATCCTTTGAAAATAGATCTAATACCTCCGGTTCTATACATTTCACCAATAACAGCACCCATTGATGATTTTTTACCATCTTGGATTTGCATCATGACTTTCACTCTTTCGAATGGTGCAGCAACTAAAGTTGTTGGAATAGCCGATAAGAAACCAGCAGTTGAAATTTGAGCAATGGTGAAATCACTCGATTTAACTCCAGTATATGATGACACAATTCTTTTACCAACATCATAACCCCAGAAAGAAACAGCAAACATTGGTGTAACCCCTAACAATGGTGGTAAAACACCACGATAAAATCCTGGCAATCCTTCTTTAACTAAAGTAGATTTAACCCCTTTAATAGCACTATCATATACCCCAGTTTGTAATCTAACTTTAACTAAATCAAATGGGTGACCAGTTAAAACTGCACAAATACCACCAAATCCTCCGGCAGCAAAGGATTTAACATTATCAACTAATGCACTATCGACTTCTTCCATTTTCTATCAGTTTATAAATGTTCGTTTCTAACAATAAATCTTTCTATTGCTTTTTCAATTGAAGAAATAACTAAGAATTTTTATGTGGGAACTGTGAAGTTTTTATATCTCAATTTTTCATACCTACCTCGGACTAAAGTCATTTTATTGAAATGATCTGATGACTTCATTTTGCGGTGGAATTGTATCGGATAAGAAGTTTTAGAGGAGGATTGGTACGATAACTTATTCCCTATAACCCATTTATATTTATACAGCTTATTAGCATACTTAAGATATCGTTTATAATTGGTTCAGAAAATATTCGTGTGTTTACCGGTTTCTGGGGAAATTCGACAATTACACGAAACATTTAAAGGATTCTAAAATAATTTAGCAAAGTCTTTTAAATCGATATCACTTCGTAAATCCTTTACGAAATCATTATAATTGGTGGAGAATTCAAAATAAATTTCTTTATAAATCTTATCAACAATTTTTCTTAAACTTCCTTCCCAATACTCAAAATCATTATCTATTTGATCAAAATTAGTATCATTATCTTCAACATTCAATAAACTAACATATTGAATAATAATACTATTGAATTCTTCATTGGTTTTTATGAACTTAAATATGATCTTAAGGATATTATAGATTTGATCAATCAATGATTGTCCTGATTTACCTATAACTTCATTATCAAGGATTTTGAATTTAAGATTTTTGATGTAATTCAAATTTACATTTATCACTTCATTGAAGTTCAACTTCCTGATATTTGTTTTGATCATAGATGGTGGTGGAACATTATGATGGGATTTATCGATAAGTTTCTTGAAATCTTTGTTTAACTTGTTGTTCAACTCTTCTGACTCTTTATAGAAGAAATTCAATAAATTATTGAAATTTAATTCAATTTCATTGGATAAGTAATTGATGATGAGATTCAAAAACTTTATCAACTTGAATCTAATCAAATTGATAGTCTTGAATGATTGCAAAATATACTTATTATGAGAAAATGATTTGGATTTGGAAAATTTCTTTAGTTCGTCCTTTTTGATCTTATTACTTTCTTTGAAACTAAGATTAAGCAAATATTGAAATTGTTTCAATTTCCAAATAAAGTTGAAAAATTTCAAATACTCTAAATTACTATTATTGAAATTCATAATGTTAGTTATAGGTAAATCATTAATCCTATATTCTAATGTGAAGACTTGCCACCCAATATTACCATGACTTAAGTCCAAAATTCTAGCATCTAATCTATTTTTTGTTTCCATTGAATAGTTCTTAATACTGGAAGAATTTATAGAATCCACCAATACCTTGGATAATTGGTTTGAAGTCAACTGATTCGACGGTTCATTGAATAACTCAAATCCATTGAATATTATCAGTTCAATAAAGTCATTCGATGACATCAAAAGAAACTTTTTGTAGTTCTTGAAATGATTCAACACTTCATATTTACCATGAATCACAAATGTAAAAAAACTCAAAAGTTCTTCATATTGAGTATTGATTAATTCATTAATGACATTGATATCCATTAATTGTAAGCCTGAATTCTGTACATATATAAAGTCAGAATATTTGTTATTGTAGTCGTTGACCCATTTTAACTCTTTACAATACTTATTCAAGAAAATCAAAATCTTCCCGATTTGGAAGATCTTGAACCCTATATCTTCATTGATGTGAACAAAGAATTTCGGTACTTTTTCAGGTAAATATTTGATAATATCATGGAATTCTTGTTGATTAACATCGAATTCAATGAAAAATTCCTTACTATTATCAATAAGGTCACCTTTTACGATCCAATTCTCTATGATTTCATAATAAGGTTTAGATATTTGATGAAATATTGTACGACAATTCTCCGATATTATTCTATCTTCGAATTTAGTAAGTTCAAATAATTTGGTCAAAAATTCATACCCACTCAAGGTTAATTGGTTCGTTAATGAATAAAGTAATCTCAACTTCAATAACATGTCATAAAGTTGTCTATATACAATTGTTAAGGATTGGGGATTCAAATTAAACAATTCATTGATGAAGTTAGAATATTCGTTAAGTTCGTTATTTAATACTGTTACAAATGATGTCTTTATAGGTGAATCTTCGATGATCTTTTGAGTAAGAAAATGCTTTAATTTGACATAGATTAATCCTGGTTCTAAGATCTTCCCTATTAGAAGGGAATGGGAAATATCGAGATTCGATGGGATTTCAACTGTTATTTCATCTCCTCTTTTTATGAATTGGAATATCTTAGAATCTAGACCGGTTAATGTGAATGATAAATATTGTAGGATGGTTTCTTCGGCTATACTATTGTTGAATTGATTTGTGAGTTCAGCCATAGGTGCATTCCCATAATTTCCCATATTGAATTCCAGTGATACTTGAGGTTGTGATTGTGCATTGTGTTGATAATTATAAGGTGATGATTGGAGATTTATTGGTTTATTTGGTGGTATTCCTGAAGGGGGGAAAGGTGGTGGACTAAGATTTTTGAAATTATGGGGTCGACTTTGAGATTGTGAACTTGATCCTTCATTGATATTCAATCCTTTTATTGATGCCAAAAACACCAAATACCTCCCCACTTTATCTGGACTTTTGACATTTAGTAGTGATTCCACAATGCTGTGGAATTTTATCCATTCTGTGTTCTTACCCGTAGTTAAGAACAAACGCTTGTATTGATTGAGTACTTTATTGATATCATGGGTCCCATTATCTGGATTAGAAAATTGATTTAACAATTCACTAGTTAGACTATGTATATACTCTTCTCCAAATTCAGAAGGTATTAAGGAATTAACTAACCTTGTGGTATAGATCCTTATGATTTGAGAAGAATCAAGTACCATCAATGTTTTTGTTTTGAGATTTTTTTCGCATCTTCGCGTTTTGGCTTATAGTCCGATTCTTTACTTGAACGCTCAAAGAGTTTGGACAGACGGTCTTGGGAGGGATTATATATTGAAGAATAGGCAAAAATACACTTCTTCAGAAGTTACTAAAAAGCACTAATCGAGGGAAAGGCAAACTTAACAGTGAATATTTAATTGTTTAAACAATAATACCTGAACTAACAGGATTTGGACTAATGAATGGGTCAATAACATTAGGATTTAAATCTTCATTAGTTAATGTTAATTGTTCGTCAGTCCAAATGTGTTCTACAGGGGAGGCATTAGCTTCTCCAACACCACATAAACCACCTTTTGATTCCCATTGATTAATTCTATCTAATTGTAACTCATTGAAAACTGAATCCAAAGCACCGATTAATTGGTTTGATAATTCAGCTCCATGACCTGGAGTTGGAGTAATTCTTAATCTTTCTTCACCAATTGGGACAGTTGGGAAATTAATAGCTTGAACATAAATGTTATGTTTCTCTAATAATAAATCACTAGCCCTTTTAGCATCAGCGGCATTACCAACTAAAACTGGAACGATATGTGAAGGGTTTGGAATAACGGGGATTCCTAAATTGTTTAAGTTGTTCTTAACGTATCTTGTATTTTTTTGTTGACTAATACGGTCCATAATGTTTGATCTTTGATATCTGATAGATGTTGAACTCCCTGCCATGATTGATGGTGGTAAACTAGTGGTGAAGATGAAACCTGGAGCGTAAGATCTAAACCAATCAATCAAATTGTTTTTACCAGTGACATAACCACCAACAGTACCATAAGCTTTACCTAAAGTACCAGTAATCATATCAATCCTGTTCATAACAGTCTCAGTTTCAACTTTATTGATACCAGATTTTAAATGTTCATTGAAATTTAAATGTTCAGAAACACCAGCTCCATGAGGACCATACATACCAACGGCATGGACTTCATCCAAAAATGTTAAAGCACCATATTTTTCAGCTAAATCACAGATTTTTTCAATTGGTGAAATGGAACCACACATTGAATAAACGGATTCAAAGGCAATTAGTTTAGGTGTTGATTTTGGATATTGAGCTAATAATTGTTCTAAATGGTTCAAATCATTGTGTTTGAAGATATGTTTCTTGGCTCTTGAATTCTTAATACCTTGAATCATGGAAGCGTGATTTAATTCATCAGAAAAGATTACCAAATCCTTCAATTTTTGTCCTAATAATGATAAGACTGCATCATTAGCAACAAAGCATGATGAAAACACTAAAGCAGCTTCATGCTTATGTAAAGCAGCCAATTCAGATTCTAATTTAATTGCATGTTGATTATGACCTGCAATATTTCTAGTACCCCCAGCTCCGGTACCATACTTATCCAAAGTTCTTTTCATTTCAGCTAAAGTCTCTTTGTTTCTACCCATTCCTAAGTAATCGTTGGAACACCAGACAGTAACTTTCTTCTCTTCTTGACTTCTATGAGCTTTTGGGAACTCATTAGCTAAACGGTTGATATTATTGAAATATCTGTAAGATTTGTCGGATCTTTTCTTTTCCAATTCGTTGTTTAAATAACCATTGTAATCGAATTTGGTTTCATTTGATGATAAATCTAATTCACTGATTCCAATCTTACCATCAACTAAATTGTCAGATTTGAAACTGTAAGCTGAAGTCTTTGGAACTTCTTGAGGAATGGCAGTAGCATTGACAGGCTTAGTGGCAGTTGAATAATTCATGGAACTTTCTCTAGCTTTTAAAGCTTGTTTCATAAAAGGACATTGTTTAGCTTCATTGGCCAATGATGATTTAGAACTGATTTGTCTTAAAGCTTGAACTGAATGAGATTTAATGTATGGACATACATTCATTGAAAGTTTAGTGATAGCCTCCATCTTTAAATCTACTTTTCTGATATTGGTTTCAACAGATAATAGATTTTATAAAATTTGGAGAAGTTGTTTTTTCACTGGTTTTTTTTACCTCAATGAGAAGTCTCAGTCACAAAAACTAATGATACACACGCATTTAGAGAGAATTATAGAGCGAAATCAGGTGATTTCCCTGAGAATAGCCGGATCCTATTGTTGGAATGTTATCAAATTTGTTCAAATATAGTTCAAATATAGTTCAAATCATCACAAAATAGAGATATAATTATTATCCAATGACGTTCTAAACCAATGAGATTCTTGTGAAAAGTAAGCCTTTGGGTCCGACACCTGCGGGAAGTTTCCCCGAAAATTAGCGAGGGGATTAGTGAGAACCGTTGGTCCCACATACTTAGAGAGTTAAAATAATGTATTCTTTTATTAAACGTATACCAAGTAATTACAGAAGTTGTTGTTACATTTATTCATCATCTTCTTCTTCATCTTCACCAACGTTATAGAATTGTAATTTATATTGGTTGGTTTTGACGGAGACGAATCTGATCCAATCTCTGATTTGGTTTTTCTTTAAGTATCTTTTAGTTAAGTACTTTAAGTATTTACCGGAGAATTTGGTGTTAGCAACAACAACAACTTTGTTACCTTCAGCTGAAACTGAAATTTCTTCACCTAAGTTACCGACAATACCTTCAACTTTGATGTGTTCAACTAAGTATTTGACGTAAGCTTCTTGGTCGAAAACATCGTTTTCAATTGGAGCTGAACAGTCAACAACGAATTTTTTAACTTGTTTGGATTTTTTAGTGGTCTAGAGTTCCTGTTAGCCTACTGCACTATTATCAATGTCATTTCCTTTTCGGTGAAGAAAAAAATTTGACTGATTATTGATAAAGACAGAATAGCCCTATGGAACGGGTCTTTTGCATTGCCAAAAATCTGCATGGGTTAAGTACTTGGTCGTTTGATAAATCAATACATTAAAATTAAAAAAAAAATGTCAAAAATAAAGTGAAAGTTAAGTTACCAGATGATCAACATCTAACTCTTCAAAACACTTTAAAAAACTGAAAGGATCAACTTGGACACTGGTTATATCTCTGGTTTGGTTGCATGAGACCCGAACTTATGGGTTACCTATCTATATTCAATCTAAGAAGTTAGTATACATACGATTGGAGCCATCTTTAATATTCAATGTCTTTGATAATTTCAAAAATATTTTTCACTTTGTAATGAGGAAAAACTCTTCGGTGGTATTTACACTACTTTGGTGACAATGTGACATTTTGGGGTTTTTGCCCTATAGTGTCATGTGATATGCGAATTTGTTAGTGATGATTCAAAAATATCCTAATTGGGAAGGATGACTAGTGGTTGCAAAAAGTTGGGTAAGCACTTTTTAGATTGTCGGTGATTTGATCGATTAAAATAAAGAGGTACACATAATAAATATAAATTACTCATTTTACTTTTAGTCATGTCGGGTGCCAGTTTAATTCAATATGCATTATCACTAAAAGCTCCAATTAACACTTGGACAAAGTCCCAAATCAAGGCTATTTATAACTACCCCTTGATGGATTTAGTCTTCCATGCTCAATTACAACACCGTAGTCATCATAATCCAAGGGAAGTTCAGTTATGTACTTTGCTTTCAATCAAAACAGGGGGTTGTAGTGAAGATTGTAAGTATTGTGCCCAATCTTCTCGTAATGATACGGGATTAAAAGCTGAAAAATTGTTAACCCTTGATACTGTAATGGAAAAAGCCAGAATTGCTAAACAGAATGGCTCCACTAGATTTTGTATGGGTGCTGCATGGAGAGATATGCATGGTAGGAAATCAGGATTGAAGAAGATAAGTGAAATGGTGTCCACTATCAATACTGAATTGGGTATGGAAACTTGCGTTACCTTAGGGATGATTAATTCTGAACAGGCCAAAACCTTGAAACAAGCTGGATTAACTGCTTATAATCATAACATTGACACTTCTAAAGAACATTACCCCAATATTATTTCTACCAGATCTTTTGACGAAAGATTACAAACCATTCAAAATGTTGAAAATGAGGGTATATCTGTTTGTACTGGGGGAATCTTAGGTTTGGGAGAAACTGAGGAAGATAGAATAAGTTTTCTTCATACATTATCAAATTTAGATAAACATCCTGAATCTTTACCCATTAATAGATTAGTTCCAATCAAAGGTACTCCAATTGTTGAAGAATTGGAAAAAAACCAAAAGAAATTGGAATTTGACCTGATCTTGAGGACCATTGCAACTGCTAGATTGATCATGCCTGAATCAATCATTAGATTGGCTGCAGGGAGATATACCATGAAAGACTATGAACAATTCTTGTGTTTCATGGCTGGTTCTAATGCTATTTTCACCGGTGAAAAAATGTTGACTACTATGTGCAACGGTTGGGATGAAGACAAAGCACTTCTTTCTAAATGGGGATTAGTACCAATGGAAAGTTTCAGGGGAAAGAAAGAGGACATTGATGTTGAAAAAGCTAGTCCTTTCTTTCAACCTCCTCAAAAAAAACACGATATGGTATCAATCGTCTAACTCGTTCAATATATCATCATTGTTGAAACTTCCATCACTTTTTCCTTGAGAATTAACCAAGGAGTGGCCATTTATCTTAGGTAGACTAAATGATTCATCCATATCTTTAACATCATCCTCATCTAACTCTTCATTTCTAGGAGTGGAAATATCGAGATTCTTCATTGATTCTAATTTCGAGTCTGATCTAGTATGCAATTTAACTGTTTCAACTGTTTCGTCAGCTTTTGTTTCCGTATTTGAATCAACCACTTCTTGAGCTTCCATATCGCTGATTAAACTCTCATCATCTTCATCAATGTTATCCATGTTATAATTTTCGAACAGATGAGTTTCGTCTTCGTTGATTGCGAATAAATCAGGAGAAATCGATAATAATTGATCTAAACCTCCTCCTGTCCATCCTTTTCTGGCGATTCCTTCGAATAACTCCAATTCAGCTCGAATTATAGACCCTGTTTTAATCAATAATTGATTCTGATTGAATTCTTCCATCATTGAATTAACATCATGATAATAATCGTATTTTAATCTGTCAATTTCATCCAATTGACTCGTTAAATTCATCAAATTATTTTTATAAATGGTCAAATTCCTGGTCTTCAGTTTTGACAATTTGATGTTCTCTAATTCCTTGGCTCTTAAAATTTTAGATTTCAATCTGACTTCTTGTTGGTAATATTTATGGTTGGTTTCATAATTGCTTTTAAGTTCTTCTAGTTTCTCTTTCAATGGTTGTTGGAAATTATTCGATAAAAGTCTACTCAAGATTTGGTTGTTACTACCAATTATGTATTGTAGACTTCCAGCATTAATCAAACCATCAGACACTTGTTTCGAACTATTGACCTTGGGGTTCAAATTGATCGTGTCTTCTAATGATTGTCCAAATTCGTTAGCAGCTTCAGATACCAATAGCAATGCATTTCTGAGTTTATCTGCCTTCGATAACATAGTTTCATAGGTTTGAATAGAATTGTCAAAATCCTTGGAGTTGATGATATTCGGTAAATCTAATACGGATGGTGTAAATGAGGTGAATGTATTGAGTGATGGTTGTCTTGTGATTCTTTTATTCGATTGCAGGAAATCTCTGACATTGGGACTTTGGTTGGGTGAAAGTGAAAGGTTAGATTTATTGTTCATAAATGAATAGAACTCACTCAAATGTTCTGGTGGAGCACTCAGGGTTGACGATGAATGTTTATGACCCATTATCGACCCATTGTTGGTGCTGCCTGACCTTAGCGTATCTCTCTGTTGCATCGCTTGTTTAATACTTTGAGATGGTCACTTAGTCCTTAATCTTCGATAAGATAAACAGAATTTCTCATTTTCTCAACTAAGCGAGAAACTTAACTAACTTCAATTATCTTTGATCTGGGGTTTACTGGAAGCGCATAGGACAAATTGAAGGATTAGGAAAGGATTCAAGATGAAATGATGGCGTGATTTTTGATCCAAGGTGATGACAGAATGAAAGCAAAGTTTTGAAAGGGTATAATCAATAATTTATGTTTAATATTGACTGCTTGTATCAAATCGATGAACCTGTTCATCTGTAAATCAGTAGAGATGTACCTCCGAGTTTCCCTTTATTATAAATCAAGTTGAATATAAATATTTTCGATTGGATCTCTTATGACTGAAGAATATTTTTGCACCCAAATTGTTGCGAAATCATTTTAAACGTATCTCCATGACCACCATACCTACTGCTCCAAAAAGTGTATGATTCAATTCCTCTTAACCACTTTCGGTAACAAAGTATTGAAACATATAACAAAAACAAAAAAGAATGGACGAGTCCGGAGTCGAACCGGAGACCTTTCCCATGCTAAGGGAACGCGCTACCAACTACGCCACACGCCCTGTGTGTTGTGTAAATGGTCCCTAGCAGGATCGAACTGCTGATCTCGGCGTTATTAGCACCGCGCCTTAACCAACTGGGCCAAGGGACCTCTTGTTGAGACTAATTTCAACCTGTAAAATTATGTAAGCAAAAATAAAACCATTCGGCCAAAATATCATTTTCCTGGTAGTTTGCATAGTAAAAACATAGTATATCCACATATATAGTAATATTATTGTATGGGTGTTCTGCTGAAGATTTTTTGAATTTCTTTTATCTATTTTTCATCGAGCAAATGACTATTGTATTTTTTTTCATCTCGAGAAGTCCCGTAATTTTATTTACATTTTTTCTCACGATTCTACAGACCAACACCTCAAACCATCATATCTCATATTTAAGCTTGAAAAGTATTTAGAAGGCAGATTCATACCGGAGTGGCAGTTCGATATGGAAAAGTAAACAATCTATTAAGAGCGAGTGTTTTTTTGTCATAATTCTACTATAAAGACTTGAATATTCTTAAATCAGTATTTCAGGGTAAAGAGCTTTGGACCTCAGTTTACGATAAACTCACCTGATCAACCAACTGACAAAGGCTATCATATGGGTAGATGAAGATCTCATAATTGTGGTCCAAGTCAAAAAAGTCGAAATTTTGATTTTCCAGAGCAAAAAAACGGAGAAATTAGTTGGAGAGAGTAGGAGATAGTAGAAGATAGTAGGAGAGACTGAGAAACAAAAATGTAAACCAAGATAATTTTGGAGACACCGATACAACGAACGTGAACGTGAAGTCACTGTATGATGAAACACACGTATGTAATATCTCCTCTTGTATGGTTTTATGACCATACAGCGTCAAGCGTCAAGAAACACGATTGTCAAATTTCAGCCGCATGCTTTGAAATTTGCACCCATACGTTTCGCCTAAATTAACTCAATATGGAACACGGAAAGATTTTCTTAAAGAATTTTGGGGCACTAGAGTATTTTGGGCCACTACTTCTCAAATTCATATAAAGAAGCATGCAATTTTCGATTTCGTTGCCATCCATATTTTATCTGAGATGAAAAAAAATTGGAATTAACAGAGAAAACACACTAGCTTCTTTACGCAGCTTCATTACTGGCTTCTTTGAACATCTTCTGGTGTTCTAACGAGCATTTCGTTTTTTGGTATTTTTCTGTCAAATTAACTTGCTGAATTTTAATAAATTATCCAGATGACGTAAAAGTTGCAAAAAACACAAAAAAAAAGTCCAAAAAAAAAAATAGTCTTCATCACACAGAACGACGATAAAGAGACACTCAGGAATTAAAACTACTATGAAATTTGTATATCTGCATGTAAAAACAGTTTTGTTGCTAATCGTTCATTCGGAGATGAGACCCGAAATGAGCGGTACATGATTTCCCTGTCAAAGTCAATCTGTCCACCAGCAACTGGATGAACATCACTCAACACTTTGGATAATAGAGTACCTTATGCTACTCACCATCCGTGAACAGCCTCCACAACGCCTCGTTGCCAACTCTGTATTTAAGCTCTTTTAAGCAAGATCTACGATAATTTTTCGCAACCTCCCACACGTGAAGGAACTTAGCCTTGATAGATTTTTGGTATAAATCACTAAAGGATTGATTTTTAAGTCAAACTGACAGCTAAATTACCATCAAATCAATAATACTAATTCACAGGCTTCAATGACCCGGTTCAAATATTTCAATTATTGGGGATATGGGATTTATAATGATTTCAAGAATAGAGTGGTGCCTTTCTATGTGAGTGATTTCAAAGATGCATGGAACTATAGAGTTATCCCTTCGACGGTATTTATATTCTTCACCAACTTGTTACCGGCAATTGCTTTCGCTCAAGATATGTTTGATAATACAGATGATCTGTATGGTTTAAACGAAGTTTTGATGAGCTCTGCGATGGCAGGTGTTGTGTTTGGGTTATTTTCGGGTCAACCATTATGTATTGTAGGAGTTACAGGTCCCATTTCAATTTTCAGTTATACAGTTTATGATATAATGAAACCCAGAGGTACACCGTATTTCCCATTTATGTGTTGGATTTATTTATGGTCAATGGTATTCCATTTGATATTAGCCGTAGGTAATTTTATCTCATATTTGAGTATAATATCAACATTTTCTTGTGATGTGTTTGGGTTTTTTATCAATATCGTGTATATACATAAGGGAATCCAAATTTTGAGTAATCAGTTCAGAGAAGTTAATCCCACCAGTGGATTCTTGTCAGTTTTGTTAAGTATTTTGATGATTATGACAGGTGTAGGCTCATACTTATTCGGGAAGGACTTGCATTATTTCAAACCTTGGATAAGAAAAGTTTTCATGGATTATGGGGTACCATTATCAGTTATTTTCTTTACGGGTTTCATCCATTTCGGTAGTTATTTGAGTGAAACTGAAATGGCAAAATTGCCTGTTAGCTCAAGTTTTGTACCCACCAAAACTGATGAACATAGACCTCATGGATGGTTTATTCATTTCTGGCCTAATGAAAACATATCTGTGGGTGATGTATTTTTAGCTATTCCCTTCGCCATTTTGTTAACGTTTTTATTTTATTTCGATCATAATGTTAGTTCGTTAATGTGTCAGAGTAAGGAATTTCCATTGAAAAAGCCCTCATCATTCCATTGGGATTTTGCTTTATTAGGTATAACAACTGGAGTGGCAGGAATTTTAGGTATTCCAGCACCCAATGGATTAATTCCTCAAGCTCCCTTACATACATCTTCTTTGGTGGTACATAATCTCAAAACCGGTGAAGCTATTTCGGTAGTTGAGCAAAGAGTTACAAACACTGTTCAAGGTCTTTTGACTTTTGTTATGATGAGTCCTCCATTCTTGGTCGTTCTTGGATTGATTCCTCAGGCTGTTTTATCAGGGTTATTCTTTATCATGGCTATTACAGGATTGCATGAGAACCCCGTAATGAATAAAATTCGATTCTTGTTACTCGATAAAGATTACATAGAACATGATCCGTCATGTCCACAAGAATTCAAAGATTATGCCAGATTCCCCAGTAGGAAATATTTCATAATCTATTTGATATTGTTATTAATAGCGTCCACAGCTGAAGTTGCTATTACTATGACTACAGCAGCTGTAGGATTTCCTGGAGTCCTTTTATTCTTCGCTTTTGCTGCCAAATATTTATGGCATTATCTCATTCCTAAAGATTTATTAGCACAACTTGATACTGAAGTTGCTGATGAATTGATCATCAAGAATTTATCAATTGTCAATGAAATAAAGAATGAAAAAAATGACGAAGGAGTAGAAAGCTTCGAGTTATCTTCCAATAACTTGGATTCATCGACTTCTTAAAACAAAAATTTTTTATATATAAGGTTTAATAGTTAATAAAGGATATACTAACGTGAAAATTTTATTTATTAAAATGCAAAATGGACTTATCCAACTTTTTACATGATATTTTTACATTCTATAAAAAACACTAGCGATTCTTATATTATATTATCACCAGATTTTATTCATTATTCATTCTTGCACAATTCAAAAAAAAAAACGTTGACTTACTTTCTCTAAAAAAAAAAAAAAAAACTAGTTTTCTAAGATCCATTGTTTATAATTCTCCTTAACTCTCAATTTGATAGTATTTAATTCATTATCGTTATTCTCGATTTCGATATTTGAACAACCATTTAAGGAATTAATGATCAAAGTATCTAAATCTTTATTCAAATTTAATGATTTAATATTATTTATGATGATTTGAACTCTTTTGAAATTTAATATGGTTGATAAATTAATCCAACCTTCATTATCGAAATTCTTTCTTAAGTAAATATCTTTGATTAAATTCTCTAAGGAGAAATAATAATCCAATTGTTGAGTTAATGCATTGATAGGATCTTGTTTTGGTGAAATTGGAGGTGGAACAACGACCGGTGGTTGGTATTGTTGATTTTGTTGGTAATAAGGATTTGGATAAGGATATTGTTGGAATTGTTGTTGATATTGTTGAGGTGGTGGGTAGTATTGATTAATTGGTAATGATTGATGGTGTTGAGGTGGATAACTCATTTGCATATATCCATTATTATAATTATTTGGTAAAGAATATCTGTTATTCATTCTATAATTTGATGGCATTCTAAATTGCCTGGTATTATAATTCATTTGGTAAGGTTGTGGTTGATGGAAACCATTTGAATTCGATTCATCGACTTTATCTTCATTAACATTTGATTGAATAGTTGAGTCAGTAGTAGATGATTCAGTATCATCTTTTTCTGATTTTTTAGAATTTGGTGATGGAGTATTTACAACTTTTTCTGATGATTTACCTGATTTTTCAACAGGCTTTTCTGTTGGTTTATCTAATTTTTCAACTTTTTCAGATTTTTCAACTTTTTCAACTTTTTCCTTTTTATCTGACTTATCAGACTTTTCCTTTTTATTTCCACTTGATGGTTTTTTATTTTTATTTTTTTTATTTTTGTTCTTATTTTTAGTTTGATTTTGTCTTGCTGTTGGTAAAATAACTTTGGCATCATCAAGAGGTACCCATTTGTTTGTAATTGGTTTGATGAACTTTTGGTTACTAATTGGTTTAGATTTATAATTTTCTGGTGGAGTTGGCCATTTGACTTGATCATTATCAGTTGGGATTATGGTGGCAGTGGATCCCCATGCACTAGTTTGAGGAACAGGAGCTGGTGCTAATTTTTTATCTTTAGCTTTCAATTTATCTTCATCTAAGTTTTCTTTAGATTCTGATTCATCGCTTTCAATTTTAGTTTCTTGTAATTTTTCATTGAGTTCATTTATTTCAGGGTTAGTTTGAAGACTAAGTTCCCCTTTAGTGATTGATGGACTTGATGAACTTGAACCAGATCCATTGGCAGCTATATTAGCGTATGAAATAGTTGACATTTTTTTTTGATTCAGTTTGGGTTGGTATAAAGAAGTTGGGTGTTCAAGTTTTTGTTTGATACTATGCTAGTTTATGCTATAAGAATAACTGAAAGATCAATTGAATGAAATTTCTAAGTTGTTGATAATTTCAAATCAATGAAAGGAATTAATTCGAGTAAAACTTGATTTAAACGACTAAAATTGTGATTTGTAACTTTTTTCAGAAGTGATTTCGATGTATCAGATTATACAAATTTGTCACTCGTAAACAATTAAATTAAAGTAATTCTCAATATGGGAACAAAGAGGATTCGTTAATTAATTATTTTGAAACCTTTTTATCAACGGATGTGTTAAAGGCACTTAAAGTTTTGTGGTAATTAAAACTTGACTGTTGAAAAATTTTTTTTTATGAGAACCACAAATGAAAATTTTTTGTAGTGTGTGGGTCGTGTCCAGACAACCGTTTTTGATCGTGAAGGTAAATGATTAGGTACTTTTGAAGGCTAAGGGGCACAGGAAGGGAAGATGTGGGAGGTCAAGAGACATGGGTATTGAAATGGATGACGTGGGATACTATGAAGAGGATGCATTGAACGAGGATGGAAAAGGGTCGTCATAGACGGTGAAAATTGAAACTTCTACGAATAAGGTTTCCAACAAAGAACTATAACCAATTTTTGGGTGGATATAGGATGGACGATCTTGCGGGTTTAAGAGTTCCTCTTAAATCCCGATATTATCACTGGTTTAGGAAGTTACTCGCAGATTTTTTGCAACCACTGTGTTTGAGATTCTCTTCAATTGAATGGATTTCACACATATGTATATGAATGATACGTATATGAAAGATATGAAGACATATGGGTGACCAAACCTATCAGAGTTCAAACTGCCCAAGAATATTACATGTACAATATGTTTATATTAACTTTGCTTGTGAGTGAGGCCACAACCCCAGATTACACACTCGTACTTTTTTCGACGTAAATGTTTCACCGATTTTGTTTTCTCATGTCATCACCATCAAAGAGAAGGTCTTCACCCTGAGATCACTTTCATACTTCACCTCCCCCTCCTTTCTCGTTACCTCGCTTCGAGAAATGGGTGAAAGGGACTTTCCGCGTTACACTCGTACACCCATACTTAATGAACAACAGTTGACGCAAAAAATCGTTCTCCAGAAAATCTCCAGAAAAGGAATTTACTCAAATACATTTAACTTCAACAACATATAATAAACGTAGATACCAAAATATATAATGACAGTATTGACAAATCCTTTATATCGTCCCATCCTTGAAATCATCAGATCGGCAAGAAATGGTATAGTCTATGGGGGTAAGATAAGATTCAGTCATGCGTTAGTTATTAATTTATTATATAGATCAGGACCCATTAGGCCCAGATTAATCGAAGTTTTGAAAGCTACCAGAAGTCATGCTGAAGTTTTGGCGGTATTTGCTGTTATTTATAAGTTTGCTTTGAGTGTTTTGGTCAATGATCAAGTATTAGGAGGTAATTCAAAGACCCTTTCAAAATTCATTGCTGGTTCATTTTCTTCATGGATAGTTTACAGTCAACACTTCAATTTATTCCATCCTGGTATAACTCATCAAATTACCTTATACTGTTTTTCAAGAGTATTGGTTGCAGGTTGTAAGATTCTATTAGATTATTATTTAAACTGTACTCAACCAACATATTCCATTCATGAAAAGATTGTCAAGTATAGAGAATTATCAGTTAATCAGCAGCTGAAGTTAAGACAAAATTATTATAATAAATCATGGAAGTATTTTGCTGTGTTAACTTGGGGATTGGTGATGTTGATTTATGATACTCACCCTCAATACTTACAGAGTTCATTGAGACATTCCATGCATTACATTTACGATGTTGAGCAAGATGTGTGGCCATCATGGAAAGATTTCTTTGGTATATGATTTACGATAGATAGGTTGATTTTTTTCTTACTCTAATATTCGGGTCGGATACTTGGGATCTCTTAACTCTTTTGGGTCAAGGGACTTATGTATGGAAGAGGACGTTAGTTGGATATTTCCTTAACAACTTGATTTAGTCAGATAACCGTAAACCGCATAGGTCCGGTGTTAAAATGTTAGTAAGATTCCTCTACTCTTACTAATTGAGTGGATTACCCTGAAGTTTCTTAACTCCAAACTTACTAATGCAATACCACTTAACCATATCTCTTAAAGCCTCATAACTCCGATTATCTTATTGACACAGTGTTAATTGAATCATTTCCTTCTCAAACGAATGTCTCACAAACAGTACCTACATATCTAAATTTAGCTATTTACACTAAAGTTCCAAGTTTTTTAGGTGGTTGATTCACCACCAAATCCCACCACCGCACATGGTAGCAACCTGGCGCCGCGCCCCATAAAGAAATCAATAGAAATTCTGCGCGCTTTAACAGCGTGTCGAATCGTTGAAAAACTTTAGAAGACTGGAAAATCTTCGAATCAATCGACAATGAAGTTTTTGAAAGTAACATCTATTTTATCATCAATTGCTTTAGTTTTAGCAAGTGGTCCAACTGAAGGAGAAGCTGAAGCTGATCCTAACTCAGCTGTTGTTAAATTAACTACTGATTCATTCAATGAATTTTTAATTAATAATCCATTAGTGTTAGCAGAATTTTATGCTCCATGGTGTGGATATTGTAAGAAATTAGCTCCTGAATATGTTAAGGCTGCTGATTCTTTGAATGAAAGTCACCCAAACATCAAATTGGCTCAAATTGATTGTACTGTTGAAGAAGATTTATGTAGACAATTTGGTATCAGAGGTTACCCAACTTTAAAAGTTTTAAGAGGTCCAGAAAACAGTGATGATTATGAAGGTCCAAGAGAAGCTGATGGTATCATGGAATATATGATCAAACAAACTTTACCATCAGTTTCAGTTCCAGAAACTGTTGAAGAATTTTTATCATTAATTGAAGAACAAGCTAAACCTTTTATTGTTCAAATTTCTGGTAAAGGTGACGAAGAATCTAATTCTACTTTCACTTCAGTTGCTGACACTTTAAGAAAGGAATTAAACTTTATTACTGCTAAATCAGAAGATATCATCAATTCATTATCAACTAAATACTTTGATTTCGATGTTTCTTCATATTTAGATAAAGTTGGTTACTTAGTTATTCATCCAAAAGAAAATACCATCATTCCTTTCACTGCTGAAGTTTCAAAAGATGCTTTAGTCAATTTCTTCAAAACCGAAGTTGTTCCATATTTCGGTGATATCAACAGAGATACTTACATGATGTACATGGAATCTCCTTTACCTTTAGGTTACTATTTCTATAAAACCGAAGAACAAAGAGAATCTTTCGAAGAAACTTTCAACAAATTAGGTAAAACTTTCAGAGGTAAAATGAACTTTGTTGGTTTAGATGCTAATTTATTCGGTAGACATGCTGAATCATTAAATATGGATCCAGAAATTGTTCCATTATTTGCTATTCAAGATAATGCCAGTGGTAAGAAATATGGTGTTGACCAAGCTGAAAACCCAGAAGGTCCATCAATTGAACAAGTTGAAGAATTAGTTGAACAATTCATGGAAGGTTCAGCTAAACCAATTGTTAAATCTGAACCAATGCCATCAGATGAAGAAGTTTCTTCTGCTCCAGTTTACCCATTAGTTAGCCACAACCATGATGCATTATTAGAAGATTTATCAAAAGATATCTTTGTTGAATATTATGCTCACTGGTGTGGTCACTGTAAGAAATTAGCTCCAATCTGGGACAACTTAGGTGGTTTATACAAAGAACATCCAGAATCAAATGTTGTTGTTGCTAAGATTGACCATTCAAAGAATGATGTTGATACTTACGTTCAAATTGAAGGTTACCCAACCTTATTATTCTACCCAGCTAATGGAGAAGTCGATGAAAAGACTGGTTTAAGAATTCCTGTTCCTTATGAAGGTCCAAGAGAATTAGATTCTTTCATTGAATTCATTAAAAACAAAAGTAGTTTAAATGTTGATGGTTCAGAATTTAAACAACCTGAAGTTGAAGAAGAAGCTGAAGTTGAACATGACGAATTATAAGTGAAATATAAAATTTTCCTTTCCAATTATCTCTTTTCCTCTTTCGTTTTATATTCCTATTTGTGCTAATTTCCTATTTAAGCTATAAATTTCCTGGCCCCCAGATTTTAACCAATTTGTCATCTCCAACAGAACACCACACCTTTCCATAATCTTTGGTAGTGGCTGTAGGAACAAATGATGTATTCCAATCAACAGAATTACAAGCTCCAATATGACCTTTAACTCTATTGATCAATTGACCAGAGAATAAATTCCATATATAGATATCTCCTTCATCACTACCACTCAAAACTAATTCTTCTTGATTGTTTTTCAAATCAACATATCCAAAGCATGAACGGATAATGAAAGTACTTTGACTGTGACCAAGAAGTTTTTTGAATAAAATGGGTTTACCTGTGTCAGCCAAGTTTTCAATATTCCAAATTTGTAATTCATCAGGACCCAAGCTGAGTAATAAAAATTTCCCGTTCTTACTGATAGAACAGCTTGTTAATCTTCCATGCAAGTTAATACTAGCAATTCTATTAGTAACTGATTCAACATTGACTAAGTTTGGTATGGTGTAAAAGTCAACTTGTTTATTATTATTGGCTGTCACCAAGATTTTCCCATCAGGTGAAATAGATAAATCATTGATTCTGTTGAAACTATCTTGCTTGGAGCTACCCATGTCCCTCAAATTGGTTGAAGAAGATGAAGAAGTTTGGAGATTAATCGATCTGGTTGGTATTCTGTCAACATCATGTTCATCATCTTCATATTCAATGACTTCTGATTCATCATCATCATCCTCGTTTTTCATTTTAACATCAGTTAAATCATCTACAGAGTTCTCCTTGGTATTACCATAAAAATCAAACAATTCCGTTCCAAAGATATCATAAGCTTTCAATACCTTATCAGGAGATCCAATTATGAACTGAGGAATATTATGAGAATCATTATTTGGAGGTAAGAATTCACAAGACCATGTTCTGATCTTCTCACCCAAAACGAAACATGCTGTAAGTTTAATTTCGGTGTCATCATTATTGGATCTTGTTATTCTACCGGATTTCTTGATTTTATTCTTAAGATTTCTAATATCCCAAATTCTTACTCTAGTGTCCAATGATCCACTTACAAGGAATTCTTCATTAGGATCCCAACAACAATAGATTACGGCCTTGCTACCACTAACTTGTTTATACGTGGAGTTAATGAAAGCTGTTTTATCAGAGAGATCATCACTTATCAAAGTAGCTAACACCTCGAAGTTATTCAAGACATCATAAATGATTAATTTCCCATCAGCTGCTCCTGTAATCAAATACTTTCCTGAAGGTGAGAATTTCGTAAACCAAACTTGTCCCGAATGATTGGATAAAGTATGTAATAGCTTATTTGGGAACCTTGGTTTATAGAAATTGTTGATATTAGATTCTGATGGAGGTAAAAATTCATCATCATCATCTATGTCGTTATTTATGGATCTGAAAGGTAAATAATACTTTGATTTTAATCGATTAAACTCAAGGGAGTCTTCAATTATTTTATTCAAAAAGTTATGAGGTAATTTGTAATTGAACAATGGTAAGGAAGTTTCATAAAAATCATCTTTAAACACTTTATTTAAATATTTTTGCATCAATAATTGTCTTAACTTCTTAATAAGATATTTACTACTATTGTCTTTCAAATGGATATTGAAGAACAATATTTGCTTGTTGAAAATCAAATTTTCTATTTGGAAATCAGTCAATGGCAGCTCCATTATCAACAGTAACAACTTTGAAGATTCTAGTTCTCTGGTTAAATTATGAATCACGTTCTCGTCAAATAAATCGTTACATTGATCATTTAATACGATGGTATCTAAAATTGGCCCCAACTCATCACTCAAAAATTGAATCAAGTTATTATTGGTTTCAGTCCCATTATTATTCAAGGAGAAGTTGATAAGCTTCTCCAAGAATTCGATTCTCTTGATAAGATACATTATGACTAAAACCACAGAGCTTAAATCATTCAAATCAATTTCTTGACTTACATTCAAAACTGAATGTAGGTTAGGTAATTTCCCAATATCTTCACCAACATCCCCATTGGTAGAATATATCTTTAAGTTATTCTCTAAATAATCAATAACATCATCATATTTCCCGTTGGATAAGTTAGAATTGAACCATTCAATCAATTTGACCTTTTTGGATGAATTGGGGATATTCACCTTAGAATCTTCAACATATAATCCTTTATCATTGATCTCTTCAATTAACTTATCAGCCACATTGTTTAAACCTAAATCATTCAAAGTTCCATGTAATAATCTATAGACGAAAGATTCTGGGATTTCCATGATTTCGGCAAAAATTTGAATTGCTCTGTCAAATTTGATTCCAAGTGTTCAGTAACGTTTGAATCTGTTGTCCAATTGCAAATAAAGATTCAACGGTTACTTAATCCTTTTGCTACTTTTTGAGGATTATCTCGCACTTAATGATTGATATGGTCACGTGATATATTGGAAGAAAGTATATGTAATCGCGGCGGACATAATTGACGGACTGTAAGCTCGGTTTTATCACATATAACAAACAGTTCCCCCATTCAACCACAAAAGGATATTCAAAAGGCATGGCAGCAAGGAAACGTAACAGGCAGAGTGTGGTATGTGTGTTCTGTAAGAAAAGGAAAGTTAAATGTGACAAGGGCCAACCTTGTTCTACGTGTATAAAGTATGGTAATGATGATTGTACTTATGATAATATTGGAATTAATGATGATTTGAAAAGGGATAGAGATCAGGAAATGACAAGAAATGAAATCAGATTATTGGAAAATAAGATCAGAAAACTCCGAAATCAACTTGAAGAAGATAATGAAGCCAGCTCACCTAAAGATGGTCCAGTAATTGATAAAAATTATCCATTCCATGAACTAATCGGTGTCAACCCTGTAGCTGCTCATGATGATAAGTTGAACTTTTATGATCGTGTTTTACCTGTAACGAGTCAATCCATGGGATACAAAAGAAATAATTCCCCCTTCCATTGGATAACTTTAATGAAAGGCGACATTGTATTATCAGGACTTCTAGAATACTTAATGCATATAACTGCTTTCCAGCGAGATGGAAAGAAAGTGTTAAACAGTAACCTTAAGACAGTGGAAACGGAATTCGAAAAGAAATTGGAATCGGTTGATGGTTCAGTGGATAGTAAATTATATAAAGACAACAATTGGCAGAATTCCTTTGCAACTGTTAGTCAAAGCAGTAATAGTAGCCAAGCTACTGAGGTAATACCTTCGCAAGACATAAATGGTAACGCTAATTTAATAGGAAGAGACATTCCAAGTTTTAGAATGCTGTCAACTTCTGACAACGATACAAATGGATTGGTTTTGGGGTACAATAAAGCAAGGAATGACAACACTTACGTACAAGCATTAGGTGAAAAAATCAGAATATCTTTACCACCCAAAGAAATCATTTGGAGGCTACTCAAAGTTTTCTTCGAGGAATTTTATTTCTTATTCCCCTTATTCGATCAACTAGAATTCTACCAGAGTATAATTAAAATCATTGGGGTCGTGACTTATAAATATGAACCAGTGTTGGAGATGAATATTGAAAAAAGGATGGATTTCGCTCATATTGGTACCTTGTTGTTAATCTTAAGAATCACTTATTTGTTATTATCAAGTAGAACCAAACTTAACTTGAAAGACAAAAAATCATCACTCAAAGATCCTACTATCAAGATGTTATTAGGGAGACCTATATCTGTTCAATTTTATGATTTTGCCAGACAATGTTTGGGGATGTTTGATATCTTGTCCACAGCTTCACTTCCAGTTTTCCAATTTGCCTTACTTTTAAGATTATATAATGTTTATGCCCCAGAAGAAGGTGATGGGGATAGAGAAAGCGAAGTGATGATTTTCAATAATGTTTTGCTCAATATGGCCATATCCTTAGGGTTAAATCGTGAACCTGATCACATTCCTGGTTATGTGGGAACACCTCAAGCAAAACATTTACATAGGAAACTCTGGTGGACAGTTTATTCTATGAACATTCATCAAAGTTTCGTTAACGGTAGTAAATTTAACATCAGATCTACAGATTTTGATACTAAACCGTTATTTTATGAAGCTGGGTTTGCTAATACAAACTATGGTGAGATGGAAAGAGTTTACTGTGAGGTAGCTGGGTTGAAATTAGTAGTCTTTGAATCAGTATTGGAGTTAACAGATTTGGTGTCTTCAGTTAAAGGCGATGCTGATATGAGAATGGTATCCAAAAGTTTAGAATTCATGGAAACTTCAATTTTGAAAGGATATGGTAGGATCCTTGATACTATGGATGATTCTCATACTTTCAGCTCTGAATTGAGAAGATTGGCTCAAGTAAGATTACATCTTCTTACTGCAACCGCTTCAATAACTATATTGTACAATTTCTTCATCTATTATGAGAAGAGAAATAACTTAAAGTTAAGAGAGTACTATGTCAGGAAAATGATAGTTTTGATAGGTTTGGATTTAATCCCATTATGCTATGAAATTGTTCACAACACTTCTAGAATGTTTAAGACTATCCCTGTTGTAACGATAGTACCTGATATGTTCGAAGCCATCCAGAAATCAATTTTGGTATTCATCTCATTCTTCATAAGGTGTAGAACAGATGTCATGTTACACAATAAAAATGAGGATCATGATGAAAGAGTTGTAAATGATCCCGAGTATATTGACTATTTTACTTTGTTGAACAAAACAACCCAATTGTTTTCCATTGTAGCAAAGGATTTGATTGAGATTTTGGTCGAATTTAGTCCTACGTATTTCTATGCCTGGAAATTGACCAAATCTATGAAAGCTTTCTATGAAATTTCTTCCAATAGGGTTCTTTATGATTGTCCACACTTGCGTACCCTTACAGTGCTTAGCTTTACAGAGTCCAGTATAAAAGAAATTCACGAAATTTTATCCCAGACAGTCAAAAAAATTGATGAAGTAAATTCCGAAGTTCAACGTAAAACTGAAACCGATGATGATTTATCTTCTTCAGCTAGTTCATTTACAGAATCAAGAGCCCCAGAAAACGTCCAATCATTCACTTCTGATGGTTCTCATGTAACTCCTGGAACTCCATTCAATTGGAACTTTGATGTTCCAAATGCTGACGTCCCTATTGATGCCGCAGGCGTAGATAAGATTTGGACCGAAGTATTGGCATCTAAAGTCGATACAGATGGATATCAAAATATTGCTAACTATGCCAATGCTGGGTTTGATAATGCCGCATCGTTCATTGATTTCGAAGCTATTCCCGATTTAATGGATGGTAGAGCTATGGATGAAATGTTAAAGAGTTTCTTAGAAAAGAATTGACATTCTGATTTATATAATTCTATGTATCATAATTTATTTTTACCAATTGGTGATATTTTTCTCTGCTTCTCCGAACACTGAATTACCTCCGTTATCAACATCTTTGACAAAGTCTTTCCAGTTATCGAACAATTCGATCTTACCTGAATCATCGAAGAATTCGGGTATTTTAGATTTCAAGAACTCTTGACAATAGTTATCCACAATTTCAAAATCTAATAAGAATGCATCATGACCTTCTTGAGAATCCAATCTTTTCAAATCACTTTCTGATAAATATTTATCAAGTAATTGTTGTTCACTGAAAGTGAACAAACCATCAGATTGAATTCCAATGATCAAATGAGGTGACTTTAAACTGGTTAAAATTCCTGGTAATGGATCTTCTGAAGTTTCAGCTATTCTTCCTCTTGCTATATCATGAGTATCTAATTTCCTAGTGATCGATATATAACAATTGGCATCAAATCTTTTCACAAATTTGTTTCCTTGATATCTTAAGTAAGATTGAGCAGTGAAGTAGGTTTGAGGTTTAGACGAATTAGATGAATGGGATGCATGGGACATAGAAGAATTTTTGGCTCCTTCATTATGTAATAACCAATTTTCTTCATCTTTGGTTGTTGGGTAAATTTTTTCTGCTTCTTGAGTTTCAGATTTTAAAGTTCCCGGTAATTTTCTTCCAAATCTTGTTTCGAAAGAATTTCTTGATCTATAAGTTAATAAAGCTGACATTCTTGCAGCACTTAAACCAGAATTTGGTTTCTCTCCGGTTGAACTTTCAAAATAGTAACCATCATTATAGTTGGGATCACTAAAGATACATTGTCTTTGTGCTTCATTCCATGAAATACACCAAGCTGACGCTCTGGCTGCTGTAGCAATAGCTACAATGGATTTCACATAACCAGTATTATTATAGGTAGCAGAATATTCCATTGCCAACATTCCACCCATTGAACCCCCGATGACTGAAGCTATGCCTTTAACTCCCAATGAGTCAAGAATCAATTTTTGTATACCTATATCATCTTTTACTGTCACCAATGGGAATGAAGGTCCATAGGGTTTACCTGTGGACTTATCGATTGATAACGGAGAACATGATCCATAAGGAGATCCCAAGAAATTCACACATATAATGAAGAATCTAGAAGGATCAAAAGTTTTCCCTGTTCCCAATAAAGGGCCCCACCAATCTTGAACATCTGAAGACCCTGTTAACGCATGGCAAATTACCAATACATTATCCTTATCTTTATTCAATCTCCCCCAATATTTGTAAGCTACAGGGAAGTTATTTAAAGTTTCACCGCATTCCAATTCATATGATGGTACTTCAACGATTGTTTGACCAGGAACTAACCGAGCATAATCGTTGGTCTTATTCACCTCTTCGGTGATATCTTTATAAATGGTATTTTCCAGCATTTTCTTAACAAATGGTGCTGTTGTAGCTGATTATCAATAAATTACCAAATGTTTAATCGTCACGATCATGAAATTACTGTTCAAACAACAATAATCAACTAATTTTTCAAATGTAAAGTGAGTTGATCTGACTCTTAAGGCTCACTTCGCACTTCTGAGTCAATGTCATGTGAGGTCGCGGCTGCAAAAATATTTCATACATTCGTTAATAACTACATACAATAGGTTTTCCAGCTAAGTAGCTGAAAAAGTAGATCCAAGAGGTTCAGGAGAAACCGTTTTGAAGTCAGTTTCACGTAGAACATTTGAATCAGGAGGTGATAAGTCATCATCAAGATCACTATCACTTTCAGTATCCATATCAAGATCAGTAGGAACTTGAGGTGTTTGGGTACCGGATTTATATCCAGATAATCTGGACTTTTCGTTTGCTAATTGCTTATTGATAATGAGTGATCTGGCATACTCCAACTCGGAATAAATTGCTTCAATGGCAGATAAAACTCCAAATTCATTACATATTTGCTCACTTACTTTCTTAGCCTTCTCAATCATTTTAATATCAGTGGTGGCTGTCAATAAAGCTTTACTCAAGGATTTGGAATTCAACTTCCTTAATGAAATTCCTACACCGATTTCTTCAACCCTTGACGCATAAAAGAACTGATCACCAAAGAATGGTTTTATAATGGTGGGTAATCCACTTCTCAAAGTAGCTCCTGTAGTACCTGAACCACCATGATGCACAGCAGCATCGATTCTAGGGAATAACCAATCATGAGGTATTGCTCCACTATTATAAATTTCTGGTGGTAGTTCAAGTTCAAGTTCATTTTTATCTTTACTTAATCTGTCCGACCATCCTTTATTCAAAATACATCTAACATCGGCCTCTTGAACCGCTTCTATAACAGCTTCAGTCAAACTCTTGGCATCGCTCACCACAATGGATCCGAATCCAATGTAAACGATTTTCTTTTGATCAATACTAGCCCGTTCAATGAATTTCACCAATTCTGGAGGTGGCTTATATCTTTCATTCCCTCCTTCATCTAAAAACCAATAACCAGTGACTTTAACCCAATCAGGGAAATCAACAGCCGGTGGTAAAACTGCCTGTGACACATTATACAAGAAAGGAACTTTACCTTGTTGTAATTTGAAAAGGTTGGTTTTGGGTAAATTCAACAGTTGAACCCTCCATTTGTTCACTTGAGAGGAGATTCCTTTCCAGAAGACATTCTCAAACATGACGTGAGTCAAATAGTTATAAGAACCCCCTTTTTTCTGATCAGGTAAGATGAAAGCATGTGAATAAGCTCTGGTTCTTGTCCAAGGCATTGTGAAAGCCCTCATGTAAGGGATACCTAAAGCTTCGGCTATATGAACACCACCCATAGCAGATGGACTTTCGATTAAAATATCAGCTCCTTGGCATGCTTGCCATGAAGTGGCTAGCAATTCACTGATCCAACCTTTGAATTTTACACTGGCTTCCTTAATAAAGGCTACTGACATTGAACCGTGACTCACCATTAATGACATCAATTCTGTTGGATCCCCGGCTATTTCTTTGAAGTTTATTCCATGTTTTTCCACCCATTCTTGAAATTCAGAATGTGTGGCTATAGTGACATTATGCCCTTCTTTCATGAGTCCCTTGGCCAAGGCAATATACGGTTGAACATCTCCTCGAGATCCGATAGTCAATAATACAAAATTGTATGACGTCGATGGTCTAATTTCGGTTTTAGTGAATGGAGAATCCTCCAAAACGATTGGAACTTGGATACCAGCAGCTGCGTTGAATCTATCTTCAAACAACTTCACTCTAGCACTTTCAATTCTCAAAGAAGCTTGTCTCAATGTTTCATCAGAAGGTTTGAAACTTAATCCGAACTGGTGATCATTGTCTAAACGTTGTTTCCCTAATTCCAAATCATAATTAATACCCCATTCATGTGCCATAGGTTCCCAAGTTTCTGACCCATGGTACAAGTGTAACATTTCTAGAATTGTATCTGAACAATCATCACGAGATTTCTGATTACTGAATTCCACTACCAATTTATCACGACCTTTCAACACAATCACCAAACAGGAGTAAGTAATTTTCGTAGCTTTGGATTTATAACAATTTTCAACATCTCTTAATGGTAGGATCATTTTTGTTGATACTCCAGGTAAGAGACTTCTGAAACAAACCATCTCGTCACCAACATATAGTTTACCATAAACAGGCAAAGCCCTTTGAAAGTGACAGAAGTAACTGGCTGCAAGTTTACTGTTATCGGGCAAGGAGAAATGGGATCTGAAATGTTTATCTCCCACTTCTCTTGCTGATGCGTCTTCAATGAAGAATGGATCGTTTTCCTCCAATTTGATATAATGGTTAGGGTTGGCATTCCACATGGAACTGACATGGCCCAAACTTTTGACACTTTTACCAAGATATTTCAACTTATTCTCTTTCTTCAGGTCCAGTTCTTTGTAATCAGAAGGATCAGTTAAGTTCAAAGGACCAGGAAGAATAGGCGTAACAGGAAGGGGTGATTTCAATTGCAAACCGATGTCGAGAGGAACGGTCTCACCTTTGGAATCTGTAGTAACATCGCCCATTTTCTTCTCTTCTCTCAAAGTATCTTCATACCTTTGTTCAGCAACCTGAAGTTTTTTCTTGGAAGTTTCAAAGGACATGTTCAAGTTCTTCAATCCTGTCAAAGATAACTGACGAGGTAAGTTCAAATTATTGGGAGAAATCGATTCTCCATGCATCAGTTCTGTGGGGGAAACCAAATGAGAAGTACTGGGTGAAGAACTTAAACTATTTGTGGATGAATCAAGAAGTGGTGTCACCAATGTAGAAGAAGCTGTCAAGCTACCTGAAGATAAGTCTTGATACATATTGGTGGGAGAATGATTGCTCTTATTTCTCGAAGTGAAGACTTTCGATGATATGGATTTACTGATCTTCTTGAGTTTTGAACTACTTTCAACATTGTTACTTAACATATTGAAATCACTCAATTCTTTATTGACTGAAGTGATTTGGTTAACGATATTGGATGAATTTCCACCATGAGTCAATGTAGAAATGACTTCGTTATAATCCGGATACTTCTTCCTCCTTATCTTTGACATCAATTTGGAAGCGGCATTGACTGGGGAGACGACACTTGAAGTGTCATTTTTTGATGACTGTGAACTGGTAGTTGAGAGTGAGTCGCTGGCTTCACGATCTTTCAAAACTTTGGTGAATGCTTCATAGAATTGATCACTCTTAGCAAAGAAAGCAAAAATTAACATGTCAATCTCTGGAGCTATTCCCATTTTACTTTTAGTCTTTTCATTGAATTTTTGATAAACCTTATTTAGCGGAGACTCAGATCCTTTATATATGACACAAAATGATGATGGTAAGTCATCATCGAATTTAGAATCATTACTGGAAAACATATTTCTACGGTCGTATTTCAAGATTTTGTCAAAAGGAATTTTGATCAACACTTCATTTCTGGAGTTTGAGTTATGAATTTGGAACATTAACTTGGTGATGTTATTCACCCATTCTCTAGCAGAGAACATGTTGTCTGTTTGGAATTTATAGGACTTTTTATTGGTAGTAATCTTGAACCAAACGCCTCCACTTACACTATCCTTATTTTCTTCTGCTTCTTGAGCTAACATTTTAGTGAGCTCCTCTTCTTCATTCATTAGATCTTCGTTTGAATTCCGCCTGGACATAGCTTCTCTTGGTGATTGTATACCCGGACTATCAATAGGTTTGTTGTTTTTAATATTTGGTGTTGAAACTTCAACATTAGGTTGATATTTATCCAAAATTTCAACTTTGGTACAAGTTCTTAAATCAATTACCAAATTGGGAAAATACAAATCAGTAGCATTGGAATATATCGACAAGGTCTCATTTCTTAAAATGGCCCAGAACCTAGTTGTGAGTACCGTACTCAATATTTCACCGTATTTCTTAGTCTTCATGGTTAAAGCTCCAGCTTGAATATAAAAATTTGAATCATCATGTTTACTGAACTCACCATCTTCACTACTAAACTCCTTATCGGAATTTTTGTCAGGCAAGAATGCAAAATACAATAAACTATCACGAGTTAAATAGATATGTCCTTGTAAGAAGACGTCCCTTACTAACCAAGTACTATATCCAGAATAGAAACAATCATCATCGTTGATTTTGAAAACTTTTTGTAATCTTTCAGCGATTCTTAATTTCACTTTCAAGGCCTTATCATCATTGACATTATCAAGACTTTCGAAATCCGATTTGAACTTTTGTTTCATGAGGACACCACCATCATAATGGAATTCTAAATTCTTAATTATTGATTGCTGGAAAGGAGTAAGTTCGTCATAATTTATAGGTTCATCATCATCAATATTCAAATTATTCATCAAATCCGATGTTGTTTCCGATTGTTGCATTACACCAGTGGTCAAAGTTGCTTCATCTTTACTGAAACTATCGGTGTTATCTTCAGCATCTTGAAATTCATCTGAATCATTTGCTGATTGATCTTCACCCGATTCATGATGAGAATCGTAGGGAGAATCATGAGATCCAAACATCTTACCAGCAAGATTTTCATCTTCGGTATCTTCATGTCCACTTTCTTCATCACTCGAATAATCAACTATACCATAACCCAAAGCTCGAGGCTCACTTTTACGGGAATTTGATGAAAGCTTCGAGGCCTTTGAATCACTTCTACTTCTTTGATTAACAAAATTGAACACATCTGAATAAATTTGTGACGATGCAATGATATCCAACAAGTTCTTTTGTGGTTTCATGATATCATCAGTGTTGGCTACATCATCATCTACCTCAAGGTGTTTGGTGCCCTCGGATTCTTCGCTATTTTCAATTGAGGGAATGGTAGCATTTGAATCTGTATAGAAGTTATGAATTGACTGATGAAGTGGTGGTATTAATTTACAAGTCAATCGTTGATATAATTTGGCATGAACTGACAGGTTCTCTTCTAAAGGTTTATCTCTCACTTGACCAAAATACTCATCACTATCTGTATCTTTTGAAGTTGGCTGACCATTTGGCGATGTTTCGTTTGCATTATCATCTTTAATATCCGCCATTGTTGCTCATGAGTTAACAATTATCAAACTTTTGAATAAACTTTGAATGCCACAAAGGGTCTAAGTAATATTTCAAATTTTGTTCTAAACTGCGCAACCTGGATGTTTGTGGATTTTATCAGAAAGTTTACAAAGCGTTTGCCAATGATTTTTTTGAGGATAGGAATTTCCGGTTCAAGTGGATAAGGCTATAATTTATGTCATGATAGAAGTGAGAGTGGTTGTGGTATGATTTCTTTTGGACTTAACCACCGAATAACGCATATCGATGTTGCAGCATGTGAAAAAATAAATTTTCCGTGCATCTCATTTTTTGCAGCTGTAGAGGATGGGACAGCTCAGTTACTAGTGGAGAGTAGAGAGGCGATAGCGAGAGAAACACAGGGTTATAGATATGGTGAATAGTAATCTTTCGAGTGAAAATTGAAACCTCTAGATAGCAAGCTTTTGGATCAAACATAAAGTCCGGATGTGCCTAAGCCTGAATCCCCCTTAATTATAACGTTTAACGGAGGGGGAGAGGGGCCATCAAGTAGGTTTCACTGTCAATATCCGCAAATATATTTAGTAAACTCCGATCTCATGTCACCATTTCCTTTCCAATTGTCTTCTGAAATTATCAAACTTACGATGCCACATAAGGTTGTCGTAAAAATACGCTTATCTCACAACGGACCGTTGAGGCGGAAAGAAGTTCTAAATGAAGCAGAATTTCAATAATTCCTTGATCATCGAACATCTAATCTAACAATAGGCATTTATCATGATGTTACCGATCTAGGGGGTTTGATTAGCCCACAAATGTCGGACTGGAATTTCTTTCCATCTTATCGTAAAAAATTGCGGATAAGCGATCGGTAGATTTCTCAAAAGTTACCGATAACATCTGAGTTTTGATACTTGAATAATCAAATTTTGGAATTTGATCAGAATGACTACTTGGGAAGAAGTCAGAGATAACAAGTTGGCCACCCAAAAGGTCTTACTTAAAGATTATTTGTTTCCTGAAGATAAAGTTCCATCACCACAAGAATTAAATGATGTAACAAATTTCATAGACTCATCATCACTTTTAACGCCTGAAGAGAAGAAAATCACCAACCTTACAGTTACTGAACTTTTAAAAGCTTACGAATCTTCTGAACTATCATCTGTCGAGGTAGCTAAAGCTTATTTCAAGAGATCCACCCTTGCACATCAATTAACTAACTGTCTTACTGAGATCAGATTCGATGAGGCATTGAAAGAAGCTGAAGAATTGGATGCATTTTTCAAACAAAATGGAAAATTGAAAGGTCCATTACATGGTATAATTGTTTCTTTCAAGGACAATCTTAACATCAAAGGATTGGCTTCATCTATGGGATTTGTTGGTTTAGCTAACGATATCCATAATGAAGATTCCGCCTTCGCTACTTTAATTAAAAGATTAGGTGGGATTATAATTTGTAAGACCAATACTTCAGCTGGAATGGCATATTCAGAAACTACCAATGTTTTATGGGGAAGAACCTTAAATCCTTTAAATAGACAATATTTAAATGTTGGTGGATCATCAGGTGGTGAAGGTGCTTTAGCAGCATTAAAAGGAAGTTGCTTCGGTGTTGGAAGTGATATCGGTGGTAGTGTAAGACATCCTGCTGCATTAAATAATGTGTATTCAATCAAACCAAGTTCAGGAAGATTCCCAAAATATGGTACTGTTTCAGGTCAAGCTGGTCAAGAATCCATCGTTTCGATTTATGGAATCTTGGCTCATGAAGTGGAAGATTTAGATTTTGTCATCAAAACTATCATTGAATCAAAACCTTACATAGACATTGATGCCAGTTGTATACCTTTGGATTACAGATTAATCACTTTACCCGAAAAATTGACTATAGGTATTATGAAATCCGATGGTCTTAATACCATCACCCAACCAGTACTTAGAGGATTGGAAATGGTGAAGAACCTTTTAATTGAGCAAGGACACAATGTAATTGAATGGGAAGACACCTATTTCAGAGAAATTAGGTCAACCATTTATCCATTCTATAGTGCTGATGGTATGAAGCATGTTAAAGGAATCTTGGAAAAATATAATGAACCTCCAGATTCACATCTTGTTAATGTTTTACCTGCCTGTGAAGATATGTTAGTATCAGATCTTTGGAAAAGTCAAAAGGAAAGACAAGCTTTAGCTCATAAATATTTAGAATTATGGAATAATAAAGGTGAAAGGTTAGATGCCATTATTTCAGCTTCATCACCTTATCCAGCTTGTTTATGGAACAGAATTGTTCCTCAACCATTGAATTCAATTTGGAATGCTTTGGATTACACTGCTGGTACCTTCCCCGTCACCAGATGTGATATAAATATCGATAAACCCCAAGAAAGAACAGAATTCATTACTGAATCAGATAAAGAAGTTTACGAAACTTATAGGGATAATCTTGAAAAATTCCAAGGAGGACCTGTTTCTTTACAACTTATCTGTAACAAATTAGAGGAAGAGAAATGCATTTCATTGATCAAATACGTTTCAGGATTATTAAAAGAAAGTAAATAGTTAGAATAAATATTGGAAATAACAGGATTTCGTCTAGTAGCAATTGAAAAGGGAAAAGGGTGTAACCTGTTACCCCCCCGATACGAATTAAGAAAAAAAATGTCCCAAACCAGAGTCAAACGTGTGGGAACCACCAAACATTCCGTCTCAAAAGGGTAATAGAAAATTTCGTCACAAATATTAAATCATTTATTATCTACAAAACATAACGGAATTGTTTGTTTGAAATATCGGTTTGATCTTTCATACCGTTAAGAATACCTTCTAATCTTTCATCTTCATCAAGACCATCCATTTCAACAACACCGTATTTCTTATCTCTTCTGTTATTTTCCCATTTTAAGTAGAATCTTAATAATACAGCAATGACGAAAGCAGCACAGAAACAACCTAAATTAGTAGCTAAAGCTGAAGTATATTTAGGAGCATCATAAGAATGGAAACAGAAAGGACCAATAATGTTACCAACGGAGAAAGCTAATAATAAAATCATACTCATTGAAGCTCTTTTGGTGTGACCAGCAAAATTTGAACCAAAAGTTGCAAGAGCAAAAGGCCAGGTAACAGCGTAAGAATTGATCATCCAATAAGCAAATACTCTACCCCATTTGGCACCATGATCTTCAGTAGCATAAACAGCAGATAAACCAGCAATGGCTAATAATAAAGGAGCTGACATACCAATAGTTCTGAAGTTATTATATTTTAAGGAAAAGGTGGAATAGATTAACATTTGACCTGATGAGAAGAATGATTGACCAATACCAACAACAATACTTTCTAAACGGTTGTGAACAATACCAGCAAGAACTTGATTACCGAAATTAGTTAAACCACCATTTGGAATCATAGTAAAGATAAGGAACCCAGCTAAGAATAAAGTTTTTGGATCTCTGAAACATTCGAAAGTTTGAGACCAATCCCAGTTATGGGTTGACATACCCATCATATTCTTTGAAACTCTTTTAACGGCAATAATTTTTTCTTCTTCAGTTAAGAATCTAGCTTTAGCTGGAGTATCAGGAATTAAAGCAAACCAAGCAGCACCAATTAATAATGAACAGATACCTAAAACCAAGAAAACTAATTGCCATTCAGATAATTTGGCATCAGTGACATGACCAAGACCATATGAAATAAAACCAAAAATAACGTAGAAAACACCTTGAGATGAACCGAAAACCATGGTTCTACCAACCTGTTCTTTTCTAGTATAAAATTGGGAAAGGAATAAAATGAAACCACCAGAAATTGGGGCTTCAGAAACCCCCAATAAGAATCTACAAGCTAAAATACCACCATAACTTGAACAAGCCATGTGACATAACATAAGAATACCCCAAAAGATAGTAGTTGAAGCAATAACTTTACCAACAGGGAATTTTTGTAAACAATAACTGGCAGGATATTGAGCACCTAAATAACCGTAATAGAAAATAGCTGAAGCCCAAGAATAACGATCACCAACATCAACATGAACATCAGTTTCGAAAGTTCCTAACACAGCGGCCCAACCTAATGAAGCTTTATCAACATAATTAATACCATATAATACGAAAAGAATTGGTAATAAATGATAATCAAGTTTTCTGGCAACTCTTTTAGATTCAGCTTCATCAACAACATCATTCATACCACCTCTTTTGAATAAATCAAACCCTTCATCATTAATATCTACAGCAGTGTTATCATCTGAATGATTATCAACATTAGAATCTTCCTTGTTTGGAACTTCTTTACTATTAATACTTTCAAGCTTCTTATCCATTGACATATTGAATAACCTTATAACTATTGAAATAAAAGAAATTAAACTTTCCGATAAGTTATAAAATAAGTTAAAGTATTAACAATTTTTAATAACAACGAAACTCCCCCAACTTATAGTTTGGTTAGAAGTAGTCATTGTCTGCAATAAATTACACCTCATCTATATGAAGGAATACGACTTTTGATCGGCTGTTTAGAGGGAAATTCCGATCAATGGTATGAAATTGTTAAATTTCCGATCAGTAATTACTATTAACCCAGATACGGAATTTTTTATTACAAAGGAGTGGTAATACATATAAGCAAAGAGGAGTCTAATATGAATTATTTACCGCGTTAAAGAGGAGTTTGACAAGAAAAATTCTATCCTTCGGGGGGATTTTATATTAAACTTCATTAATTCATTATGGAATAAGTCATCTCAAAGTAGAAATCGCCCTCCGGACAGCCGTTTTATTTTTGAACGCCGCGGAATTCTTTTCCACCTAGACATAAATATCCTGCATATCGAAACAGCCTACCACCCATCCCATCCCATCACCCACTCGAAGGAGACATTATGTCTGTCGATTCTTAAAGACGGGGCTTTCCGCTTTGGAAATTATTATTCATCACAATATGAGTTTACCAGAAGTTAATGCTGAAGACAGTTTAGAATTTCTTTCTAAATTCATTCAAATTCCATCCCATTCAAGATCGCCCGCAGAAATTGATGCCGTAAAATACATCACTGCTGCATTAAATGATATTGGTATTGAAGCTGATTCTCCAGAATTTAATGATAAAACCGATGGAATGCTTAGATGTAATTCTATAGGGGTTTGGAAAGGTACTGGTAAGAATCCTGATGCTAAGAAATTATTATTCAATGGTCATGTTGATGTCAATCCTGTAACTGAAGGTTGGACCGTCGATCCTTATGGTGGTATTTATCATAAAGAAAAGGAATATAAAATAGGTGATGATAAATGGATTTATGGAATTGGTGTTTCCAATATGAAATCAGGATGTTGTGCTTATTATATGGCTGTAAAGACTTTGATCGAAAATGGTTGGAAAGTTTCAAATGATGTTACTTTAACTTACGTTGTGGGTGAATTACAAGGTGGTGTTGGTACTGTTGCTTTATTAGAACAAAATAGAATTACTAAAGATACTGCTGATTATTTCATTAATTGTGAACCTACAGATGTTTACGCTCTTATCATGCATGCTGGTTCAGCCATTTTTGAAATTAATATCATTGGTGATACTAGACATATGTCTAAAAGAGAAGAAGCTACTGATGCTATCTTCTGTGCCATGGAAGCTATTCAAAAATTAACTTATATGACATTTTCATCACCAAGAACTGATGTTCATAAAAGTATCAATAGATGTCATGTTGGAACTATTCATGGAGGGTTAGGTAGAAATTATGAAGACTGGAGACCTCCACAAGTTGCCGATTTCGTCACTATCAAAGGTGCCGCTAGATACGCTCCAGGACAAACTGAAGAAATTGTTCTTGAAGATTTAAGAAGAGAATTAGAATCAGTCAAAGAAAAATATCCAAAGATGAAATTTGAACTTAAGCAAGTTAAGCATGATTTCATGCCACCATTTGAAGTTGATCCTCAAGCTGAAATTGTTCAAAAATTAAACGAATGTTATAAATCTGTTCGTGGTGTTGATCAACCAACTGGTGCTTTAAGACCTCCATGTTTCTATGGAAGTGATGCTGGTCATTTATACGAAAAATTAGGTATGCAAGGGATTGTTTGTGGACCAGGTGGAAAATTCAATACCATGCCTGATGAAAGGGTAGATATCATTGATTATTTAGATACTATCCGTATGTTTATGAAGATTATTGTTGATATTTGTGGTGGGTACAAAGAATAAAGGTGTAGATAGGTTTTTTTAAAAAAATATACATGATTCTATATACAGTTGGATATTAAACTCCACTCTTCTTCAATAACTTATTGAATTCACTATCTTTATTGTTATACAATTCACTGAAATTACCATCTTCAACTACCAATCCTTGTTCATTGAGAACAATGATTCTTTCACTATTTCTGATAGTGGATAATCTATGGGCAATTGAGATGATGGTTATGGATTTCTCTTTAGCTAGAGCAGATAAGTTCTCCATTACTAATTCTTCAGAAATCAGATCCAAAGCTGAAGTTGCTTCATCAAGAATCAATATCTTTGGATCTTTGATCAAAGTTCTAGCCAAGGAAATCCTTTGTTTTTGTCCACCACTTAATTGTGCTCCACTACTTGATGGTCCAATGTAAGTGTCCAAACCTTGAGGAAATCCATTAATGAATGATAATGAATTACTGAATTTACAAGCATTCTCAATTTGCTCAAGAGTACAATTATCCCTACCGAACTCGATATTTTCTCTTATGGTCCCACTAAATAACAAAGGCTCTTGTTGTACATACCCGATTTTGGACCTATAATCATTCAAATTCAAATCTTTGATATCATGATCATTGATGGTAATGTTTCCAGTTTGAGGATCATAGAATCTTAATAATAATTGGGAAATGGTAGATTTACCACTACCACTAGGACCTACAAAACAAACATGTTGACCTTTTTTGATGGTAAGATCTAAATTATTGAAAACGTTAATATCTGATCTTGAAGGGTAGCTGAATTTGATATTTTGTAAACGGATATCCCCGTGTAAGTTGTCTACTTTCTTACCCATTGATGTGTGAATATCAGATTTAGCATTTGATAATTCAAAAACTCTTTCGGCAGCTCCCATACCTTTCATTAACTCAGTATAGAAGTTTCCTAAACCGAAAATGGAACTACCGGTATATACAGCATACATCATGAAACTTGATAAGTCTCCAACTGTGATGTCCCCTGAAGAAATAAATCTTGTTCCCATATACAATAAACCTACTATCATGATGTTTCCTAAGAAATTATTTCCACCAAAGAAGATCCCACTCAATTTTCCTTCTTTCATTGAAGTTTGAAATAATTTTCTGATCTCTTTATTATATTCATGAACTACTAAAGGTTGTCTTGCAAAACTTTGAATGGTTTTCAAACCATTCAATTTCTCTTCTGTAACTTTAGTCATATCACCTAAATTCTCTTGAACTTTCTTACTTAATTCCTTGACTCTACGTCCATAAACTGTTGACATTAAGATCAATGGAGGGAACATTATACTCATACATAAGGTCAATTGCCAACTTACATACCACATCATCGATAATCCCACAACTCCACTAATTAAAGCTCTGGCACCATCACTAATATTGCCACTCAAACTCTTGGAAATTATTTGTGTGTCACTTGAAATTCTAGAAATCAAATCCCCTACTTTCATCCCCTTACCTGTAGGTCCGATATCAAAAAAGTAAGAATCTTGTGATAGAACTTTCAGAAACAACCTAGATCTTAAACGAGCAACTAACTTTTCACCTGTCAATTTCAACAAATAAATTCTTCCAAAGTTCGTTAGAGCTCCAACAGAAAACACTACAAACAATCCAGTGTAGAATTGGTTTTCTGACAATGAGAAAATCTTGGTTCCTTTGGGTCCATCTGTTTCATCATCATCTTCTTTGGTGGTATCTATAATTTTCCCTACTATCAAAGGTAAAGTCATTGACACCGATGACGTGATGACTAAACAGGCAAATGCACTCAATAATAGCTTAGATTCTGGTTTAGCTAATCTGATCAAGTTTCTAAATTCAGATGAAAATTTGGCTTTAGTTTTAGTTTGGGTACTATTGTATCGTATAGAACGGATATTTAAATTCAATGGTTTAAAATGTTGTTGTCTGGGAATCGAGAGTGACGAATAAAATCTTGATGTTCTAAGACCGATGTTGGTCTGCACCGTGACGTTCCTCAAGGGTATTCTTGGTAGTAGGTTGAGTATCATCATCAACAATGTCCACAAATTGTCACCGGAGTCGCACTCTGAATCTGCTGCAAAAATACTGACTGCAAAAAAATTGACTGCAAAAAAGAGAAAGACAGGGTCGGGAGATTCGTGTATTAGCAAGCCAATGTGAATTTGTTTTGGGAAGCAGCTACTTTAAGGTCACTTAGATTAGTGATATTACATCTGAGAATACGTAATTGTTCGAAATTAGCGTCACAATTATTAAGTACTTCGGGATTGAATATAACTAATCGATTATTGTCGCATAATTCCAATATCCTTAGACTTGGAAGCAGGAAAATATGAAACATGTCTTCATCATCTATGCCCACACTCCTTATTGAATTATTATTCAATGAAAGAATTTGTAATGTGGGAGGTAAATTATCAATGAATTGAGAACTTATTCGGTCGATGAAATTATTACTGAGATCTAATTCTATCAAACCTGGAGGCCATTGGAAATGGCTTCCTATAATGTCACTCCCATCTTCAGAAAAATTCCCCAGTCCAATTAAATTATCCGAAAGATTGAGGATCTTGACATTTTTGAAGCGTGAAAATAATGTACCCCATTGTTTCGAGAAATATTGACCAATGTCAGTAGACTGGATGGTCAATTCAGTCAATTTTTCACAAAAAATGTGACTGGAAGGATCAGTATTTGACAAAGATATCAAAACTTTTAACACAGATGTTAAAAAAGATGTGGTAGGTTCTACTACTATGGCCTTACCATTAATGCATACATCGGTTTGACATACTGACTGGAGATAATTCCTCAACACTTTATCCTTGGAATCTAGAATATGACTAAAAGTCGTCAAATCTTTAACGAATGTCACATAATCTGTAGGTTCTCTAATGAAATTGAAAGCAATATGGTGTGGTCTACTTGATCTTAGAATTTCATCTTCAAGCGCCGATGAGGGATGATCTGAAGGCACAGTTCCAACATTGAATTTCTGGGAAAAGTCGTTTATTTTCATTACGGCATCATGAGTGGAATGTACTCCTTTATACTTATTCGAATAGATAACTATCTTACCTTGATACAATCGACCATAAGCATACAACCTTAGGGTTTTGACTTGTGGATGAGGATGATGAACATCTATTTGATCAAGCTTCCCTAGCAATTCCTCAACATCCAATGAAGTAAGGTAATAAAATATCTTGACGATAACATCAGTTGATAGATCAAGCATAATTGCGAAATAGTGTGGATGTCGTTTTAAGGAGTTTGATAAGAGATAAGGCAAATGATAAGTAAGAAAAGATAAGCCGGGCTGTAGATAAGAGAATCAGACATTGTATCTATATTAGTCATCAGTCATGTACACATCAGAATCGTTATCATCCATATCATCCATCATATCAGTTCCCTCAAATGATTGAAATCTATCCCAATAATTATATTTAATCTCTTCATAATCCAAATCATCTAGTTCTTTGATCTTATCATTCTTTTGTTGTTTAGATAGGAGTTTGTTCAATTCCACTGAATTCTCTTTTAAGACCAAGTTTAGAAGATCATTATAAGTAAAATTATACTGATTAACATCGATAAATTTCAACAATTTGACAAAGTTCTTGAACCGGGGTAATTTAGGGGTGTTAAATTTATTATAATTGGTAATAAATCGATTGAATAGCCTAAGAATCCATTTTTGGAAATGATAAATCACTAAATAATATCTATTATATCGTTTAATCACCTGAGAATCTTTATGAATTTTGGCAGCAAAGGTTTCCATTAGCTTATCGGCAATGTAAGTGTTCAAATCTTCCTTTTCATCATTAAAAGTTTTGATCTGGGGGTTGATTTCAAATTTGGGTTTATCACTTATGGTTAAGTTTTTGAATATATTGTCAAGTCGTATTTTCTTATTGAATGCAAAGTCATCATCAAGTCTCCTTTTGGTCTGCATTGATATAATACACTTGGCCAGTCTCCCTACACCGTTAACGGATAGTGGCTTTCAGTGGGTCTATATAGTTTGTTATCAGAAGTTCTGGAAAGTTCGCACTATATTTATCTATATAGAATTAACGGAACTAAATTGGTCGTTCAAATCGGTGGATTTGGACTCAAACTTAAGGCTTAGTTCGTTACATAATTGGTCATAATATGTCTTAAGGTGTCTCAAATCGGAGATAGTCAATTCATCGAACTCAATATTATGATATTTCATCAATTCTTTAGATGGAGATGAAAACACTGAACTCTCATCAATCGAATCATTAGCTTCTTTGGCAGTTACCTGAACTGGGACTATGGGAACTACTTCCGTGATAGATCCATCTATAGAACCGTGAATTGGATCTACGGTCGAATTGGATCTAATGGTTGATTGAACTTGAGATTGACTCTGTTGACTAAGATTGTTAAACCATTTCTCCATGACTTGCATGCTGGTGGTTCTACTTCTTACATATTCTGGTCGTTTAGTCTCTTCTTCTAATGATTTCAAAGATGTGGTGGAATTGTTATAACTATGGGTTCCATTCACTGGTACTACAGGAGTATTAAATTTTGTCATGATCTCTGTAACTCCCGATGATAATTTGGAAGCTATGGTATTTTTTCTGGCTGGAGAAACTGTAGAATTCTCTAAAGATGATGATCTCGTTCTGGAATTAGTTGGTGATAATCTTTCAGCTAAAGATTGAGATCTATTGTGTTTTGTACTTTCTAACCCTTGTTCTTCATCTTCATTGAAATTCTTGAATTGCAGCACACTAACTGATCCGAATCTATTGATAATGTTCTTCATCATGGAAAAACTATCACTTTCAATTAATGGCACAGTGGGAGGATTATTATCAATATCCACTGAAGGAAATGATTCTCTGGTATTCTTCAAATTAGAATTTGATCTGGATCTATTCTTAGTAGCTTCAGAAAACTTGTTCGTCAAAGTATTGAACAAAGAATTTGATCTTGATCGATTGTTCAATGAGTTATTACTGTTTTTATTAGATAAATGTAAACTCTCGTCACTTGAAGTCTTTGGGAATTGGAATAATTGCTTCTCTACGATCTCCAGTATGGGTTTGATCAAAATTTCTTCATCAGTATCAACATCCATTAATTCGTTTATAATGACACTTTGGATAAAGAATAATACTGCCTCAAAATTAGTTAAGTAGTAATGTAATTCACTATTATTCAAGTATTTCCCGTTGATATAATCAATCAAATCTTTATCGGTATTGAAGAAATCATTGGATTGATTTGACTCTGTAGATTCATCAAGATTGAGGCAATCATATAAGGTGGTTTTCTTTATTTTGAGCCTATTATCATTGGGAGGAACATAATTGGAGTTATTAGATAAATGAATTTCGTAAGGACTCAAGGAATTATTGAAGTTTTTGATGAAATTGAAATTGAGGAAGAAATTTGAATTATCAACCTTGTAAATGACAATATAGATCAATATAGGCAATAAAATGTCGTTATTAATGTCACATTTGAGCACCTGGGTTAAAATCTTAGTGAGCCTTTTCTGGAAATCGGCAACTATTTGAAGTTTATGCAGTGGAATATTAGTTTCGGAGATTTTATTGAGATTATCAATGAGTTGATTTAATTCGAGTTTTATAGCGATTTCTTCGGAATTTGGTTCAATTTCCGAACTTTCTGAATCGTCATCTTTCAATATGTTAGCTAATTTGTCAAATTCCTTAATATCTGTATCTAAAAAGTTCTTTAACGGAATTTTAAAACTTTTCAATAAACTCATTTTCTTATCCAACAAATCCTGGATCAACAAATCTTTCTCATTGAATTTGAATAGCTTTTCAAATAAACTATCATCATCTTTATCGTTGACGGAATTGAAAAGCTTGAAAGCTGATAATTCCATGGATTTATGAATTATTAAGAATTTATAAAAATTAAAGATTCTCAACTGATTTAAAGCCTCATCGTCAGTTCTTTTGACAAGTTTGATAGAAGATGATGAATAATTGGATATGGCCAAAAGATAATCGAATTTCTGGGAATTTTCTTTAAAATACTGACAATTACTGATCAATTGTTTCTTAGTACTATTACTTTGAGTGAAAACGTAGGTAATCAAGGAATTCAAATCCTTATAGAAACATTGGAATAAATGGGAGATTTCTTCAATAGTCAAAGGGTTCTGATATCGAGGTTCTTTCAAATATTTCAAAAAGTTATGAATCAATTGACTAATGGATATATGTAGATTGGTATGATGATTGACCTCCAAAGTTAAGGATTTGATGATCTCGAAGTCAGTCATGGTGAATGGGGGTGATAATCCAGATTATCCACGAATAAGACTTAAGTAAAACTTTATGATTTATAAAGATAGATATTATAAATCATATAATATCCCTATCTACCGTTTCGCGATCGTATATGGTCGTCTAGAACTAAATTAGGCCATGAGGTTAGTGCGAGGGCGGTGGTAACAAAATCGTGGATGCGGGTATAGATAGGCAGTGATACATTTCATGGCTCACAAACATGGCTATATCACAGTGAAGAGGAGATCAAAAAAAGAATGAGATATCTTATTGGATTAAAGGAATTCAAGTTAGTTGAAGAAATTCAAGTTAGATCATATATTCATGAGTTTTCAAAGGCGGTCAAAAGCTTAATTCTAAGTTCTTCTGATACCACCTCGATTATTTTCTATATTTGATAAGATTACCCAATACCATGGAGGTAATAAGATCATTTTTAACGCCAGTTTTGTGTAATGAAGAGGCTCTAAATTGTCATTTTGTTGAATCCTTTTAGGGGTTTTCAATTTTTGATGTAAACGTTGAGGATTTTTATCATTATGGAACTCTTCGAAGTAATAATAACCTAAAAACCACCATAAATGTCCTAATCCAAGACAAACATAAGCTTTCCAAGTGGGCAGACAAAATAATACTGTGGGAAGATATGTAAGACCATCGGAGAATAGTAAACTTATGTTATTCCTAAATTCATTATTCATGAATAACTCTATTAATGAAGTAATTATTGGAACCATAGAAGCCTCAAGGTTGATGAGACCTCCAAGATTTAACATTTGATAAGGATTCAATCGACATGAAATATAACATAAGATCTCATGAAGAATCAAACCTGAAAATGGTAATTTGAAATCGAAGAATAAGAATCCAATGGTTGATGTAAGAATGATGGTTGAACCTATGAGTAATACAAAGTAAAGATAATCTGCCGATTTAAGTTTAGTCTTTGCTTGTTCCAAGAAATTACTTTGGCGTTGATCGAATTTATGAATGGAATTGGGGAATAATGAAACTGGTAAATTGAAGTTTTCTTCTAAATCACTTGACCACCGTATCACTGTGAATACTGCCCATATCACAGAAACAGAAAGATCACCAAAGTAACAAAATGAAGTGAAAAGTCTCCAAGGTTGATTAGCTACCAATGCAGGTGAATAAATCAATTGGAAAGGACTTATCATATTCAATGTAGTACCAATGGTTGAAACAACTATAGATATCGTCCATATCCTCGATATTGGCGGTGCTTGTATCACACCTTGGCCGAAATTATCCATTGGGGGACAAACTAAAGTACAAGTAATCGAGAAGAAAAGTTCGCGTGATGGATCAGTTAATCAAGCGTAATGACACTCCTTTAGATAGGGAAGATCCTATGACGGAGAAGATCATTGAACCTTTGAAATATCTACAAAACTTACCAGGGAATAACCGGAAAATTCGAATGATTTTTATCAAAGCATTTAATGAACTTTATTTCCATATTGAGAATGAAGAATTGATCCAGGAGATGAATGAAATTGTTGATATGCTTCATGATTGTTCATTATTGATCGATGATATTGAAGACAGTAGTGAATACAGAAGAGGTTCACCAACAGCACATATCAAATTTGGTCAACCTATTACCATAAATTGTTCAAATTTGAATTATTTCATAGCTATCAATAAAGCCAATAACTTATCTAGATTATATACCAATGATAGGGCCAAACAAGATGAAATCAGTTTAAAAGTCAATAGAGTGATAGTTGATGAGATGTTGAACTTACATCATGGTCAAGGGATTGAAATCTACTGGAGGGATAATAAAAAGACCGTTCCCATTCCAACTGAACTACAATATCTTGAAATGGCTATGGATAAAACTGGTGGGTTATTAAGAATAATAGTTAAATTACTTGAATGTTTTGTTCCTTCAGAATCTTCGAAACACATAGAATTATCTAATTTAATAGGAATAATCTATCAATTACGTGATGATTACTTTAATTTAGTTAGTGACCAATATAGTCATATGAAAGGAGTTGTAGGAGAAGATTTGATTGAAGGGAAGTTTTCTTTCCCTATCTTGCATAGTTTGAATCATTCTACAACATCTCCAGTGTATGATTTACTTTATAATTATAGTGTTGAACAAAGGAAAGCTCCAGAAAATCAACCTTTGATCTTAGCTGCCATAACTTTCATGAAAGAACAATCCAAATCTTTAGATTATACCAACGACTTATTAAAGGCCAAATTAAAACAAGCAGAAGCTTTAGTCGAAGGTAAAGGGGAATTCATCAAACATATCTTTAATCAGTTAAACGATACATAATGTATAGGCTCATCGCGCACTTTTTCAAATATATACGATGTTATATCTTGTAGGGTTAGGGTTATCATATACCACCGATATCACCGTTAGGGGATTGGAAATAGTGAAGAAATGTAAAAGAGTATATTTAGAAGCTTATACATCGATATTAATGCAAGCTGACAAAGAAGCATTAGAAGAATTTTATGGCCGTGAAGTTATTTTAGCTGATAGGGAATTAGTTGAAGGTGGTAGTGATGAGATCTTAGCTGGAGGAGAAACCGATGATATTGCCTTTTTGGTTGTTGGAGATCCTTTTGGTGCCACCACTCATAGTGATTTGGTTATTAGAGCTAGAGAATTAGGTATCAAAATGGAAACCATCCATAATGCTTCAGTTATGAATGCTGTTGGAGCTTGTGGTTTACAATTATATCAATTTGGTCAAACCATTTCTTTAGTTTTCTTCACTGATTCCTGGAAACCAGATTCATTTTATGATAAAATCATGGAAAATAGAAAAATCGGTTTACATACTTTAATCTTATTAGATATAAAAGTTAAAGAACAAAGTATTGAAAATATGGCTAGAGGTAGATTAATTTATGAACCTCCAAGATATATGAACATTGAAACTGCTTGTTCTCAATTGATCGAAATCGAAGAAATAAGAAATGAACAAGCTTATACTGAAAATACTCCTTGTGTAGCTGTTTCCCGATTAGGAAGTCCAGGGCAAACTTTTAAAGCTGGAAGTTTAAAACAATTGACCCAATATGAAAGTGGTGAACCTTTACATTCATTGATTATGTTAGGTAGACAAGTTCATGATTTAGAATTAGAATATTTATATGAATTCGTTGATAATAAGGAAGAATTCAAGAGATTAGTTGAAGCCGATCAAGAATTTTTCAAACCTCCAGCTTGGGTCCCACCAGAAGAAAATGATTCCGATTAGAATATATATTAATCCTTTTTAATGACTATGTTCTCTTTAATATCCCAAATCAACCAATCATACCAACCAAAAACCACTGGTATTATGGTAACAAGATGCCATAAACTGTGAGCATCTATTAAATCCCAAATTGGTGGGAAATCAAAAATCTCTAATGACATTCCTAATACTATGATGGTGGAAAGTAAGAGGGGATATAAACAGTATAATTTGGATGATTGGTTGAAAAAACTAGGTAATAATAAATTACCTGTATACTTTGAATGATTACTCATTGGAGGTTTTGTGTAATATTGATAGTACAATTGATAACATAAATAATATAATCCCAAATTTTGAAGTATGGCTATAAAAATGTTAGCTTGCATGTTATAAGTATAGGACCAATCAACAATAAGACGTGTTACATGTCCAATATATAGACTTAAACAGCCAAAGGTGAAACTATAGAACTTGAGGGAATTCTCTGGTAAGTATAATTTGAAAAGTCGACAAAACACCGTATAAAATCCTGAAAGAACTGTTGCTCCAGCTAAAAAATAGTCTAGCCTTTCAGTAATGAGGAAATCTCTTATGTGAAAGATGGTTGAAGCAGTCCATGCCAAACAAGTGACGATGTTGGAGAAAATGATTATGTACAAATGATGATTAATGATGGAATTGGAAGATATGTGGTTCTTAAGTTTAAAGAATGCCTTGAGATGAGGATATAAATTTCCTAAGGAGAAAATAGTTGAAAAGAATTCCTGGATTCCAAAAATTCGTTTAAATGGCCACTTCCCGTGGAATTGAACTATCTTTCTGTTGTTCTGGATTCTTTCTTTCGTTATTATTTGTTGACATTGATAATCACAGTCTTGAAAACAATCCCAATTGAGGAACGATAAATAAGGATCATAAGGTTGGAAATGCCATGTTGTTACCAAACCACGACAATTGGATCTATCGCATTCTCTAACACATCGTTTGAATCTCTTATTCCTATCACCGGGAGATGCCAATACCGTTGCAATGAATACCCAATACCAAAGATTCATAATGGATTCGCACTGAAATTGTCGCTATGGCTACCGCACTTTTTGAAAGTGCCAGGGCGGCCAAGTTAACCGACTAGCGCGGGGCGGGAGAGAAATGGTTGCAAAAAAAAAACTTACATACATTAAACAACTTAAGACAATTTGTTGACAATATTTTTATCATAGGAATCATAACTGATAGATCTTTTGAAAGTTGGGGCAATATCATTGTTGATGAAATTTTTCAAGAAATTTTTCAAGTCCATATAGTTAAGTTTGAAGGTATATTGAACCGGATCAGGAGATATTTTCTTGTATAATTCCTTGTTAGGTAACAACGAAGCTCCCGTTTGAAGAACAAAATGAAGATAATTCAAGTCGAAATTATAATTGATGTTAAATTTCTTGAAAAAAAGAAGGGCTGTGTAGATAGTCTGACAATTCTGGTGGAGTAAATTGAGTTCTAGATCATTAAGACTTTGATTATTTGAAATCAATATGATACCATAAATTGACAGGTTAACACAACACATGAAATAATTATAACAAAGATTTTTCAAATTAGGAACATTATAAATATCGGGATGAGTTATGGATAATATGTGAAATAAATATAAAGGTCTTGAAACAAGGTGAATTGAAATAAGATTAATCAAATCAAGGTGGAAATCATTAGAAGGATAATTGATGGTCCAGGATTTAAGATTCATGGAAAGTTCTCTAATTTTCATAATATTCAACGATAAGAAATTTTGATTATAAAAGAAAATTAAAATCTGATTAAGGGTGGTAACTAACTGAAGCAACGAGTCGCCATTAAGTTCTTGATCTTCTGTACTGAAAGAGTTTAAATTAAAATGGCCAACTTTCCCCATTAGGTAACTCAAAAGAGTGTCTTCGATGGCTAATTTCTTGAAGAATCTTTTATCCTTGTCACATAATTTTTGGAAATTTATAGATGTCCCGAGATGGATATAACACTTATTAAGATCATTTTTCTCTCTGTAGAAATGATATATCAACAAATGACATTGGATCAACCAAATGTCAGGTTCAAGATTATATTCATTGTTGAGTAAATATAAGGCACTTTTGAAAAATTCAGTTTTCAAGAAATCCCCTGTGGTAGGAGCCACCGCATTAACTCCAGGTATTTCTTCACTCAATGATAGCACCAAGTATAATAATATATAATCTCTGTTGTTCTGTTGATGTAAATCGTAGATGTTATGAATGATATCGGAAATCTCCTTGAAATGAAGAATTTCCAAATATTCAAATTTCTTGAATGATTTGGACATTAAGTATTCGATGGATGATTTGGGTGGTAAATTAGTTAAAGTTATATCTTTTAATATGAAGTTGGAGTCGTAAGCTATGGGAGGAAAATTATCATTATTCAAATCGAGTTGATTGAAATCGTTAAAAATGGAATTAAAATTGGATGAAAGGTTAAGTACTAATTTATCAGAAGACTGGAAAAGTCCTTTATGGTTGTAATTGGAGACTGAAGTTTTGGGAGATATTGAAGGTGATGGTAAAGTTGTAAAATCAGGAATTTTCGGTACTTCAATTTTTGTACTTCCATCAATTCTGACGTTTGAGTTAAGTTTGTGGTACGGCTCCGTTGTAATGTTTACATTGCCGGTAGCTGTTGAAATTGGTGAGGGAGGCTGGGTGGTTTTGTCCTGATCATTCAAATTATTTGACGGAGTTGAAATAGTGCTACTGCCGCCTAAAATTCCATCATCTTCAATAGTTAATCCCCCAGGTATAGTAGTAGTATTAGCAAACTCAAGATTCTTTTGTCTTTCCATGGCTAATCTTTGACCCTTTAAACTCCTCTTATCGGTTATACTATAACTACATTCAACTCCTTTGTCAACACATACTTTACATGGATTAGTTCCACTACATTTAAACTTTCTCTTCTTACACCCATCACATGCTGTAGAAACTTTCTGCCTTTTTTCTGGCGGTAATTTCCTTGATCTTTTGATACTCGTCATGTTATTGGGAAGAAAATTAGGATTTTATTTTTTTTTTCTGAAGTTCAAAAATTTACGTAGATAATTTCCGCAATTGAGGAATTGATGGGATACGGTCGGGTGAAAAATCCTGTAGATTTAATACTAAACCTGTAGATTTGATAATAAAATTATAGATTTAATGGAAATAATGGCGTTATCAACTGATGAAGGTGGTTAAATGTTTTGTGAAACTACGACACATGAAAAATAAAAGTTTAATTGTGTGGGTGATCGGTAGAAAATTGAGACGGAAATATGAATTTATCCCATTGAGCATAATTCTTGATAAATCCTAATTTGGGTAGATTTGGACCTATAATGAAAGTTTTGATGAAAGAGATGTGATAGATGATTAACTTCATAAAATGATGTAGGAAGGATTTTGCAATAAAAATATTTTAAAGAAGGAAAAGAACATCTGTATTTTATGTACTACGGTTAACTTGGGAAAAAACGTTACAGCTTTGAGGGGTTAGGTGGCATTAAAATTGTCTATAAGAGAAAAAATAATAAACATTCCGAGTTTTGCGATTATATTATTGGTGGATTTGTCAGCATGAAACTATTGTTTTTCACAGATTGCTGTGATTGCCAATGGAGTTAAATTACTTATTTGCGGCGAAAAACTGCACAAAAAATCCTTCTAAAAAAATAATCGCCTATATCGGGGAAAAATCGTAGATTTGTGCACTTTTGGACTATCACGCGGACATCACCACAATGCCGCGTGAATTTTTATGTCAGATGATATGCGCGTGATTCATGTCATATGAAAAATCACGTGATTTGAACGTGCTTTTTTTTTTCTTCTTCGGCGGAAATTTAATCTTAATCAGAAATTCGCGGAATCTGACCATTTAAGGCAAATCTTGCGAAATCATCTAGTATAATAGGAACCTCAATTCCTACATTTCCATTTATCGAAATATTTTACAGTAATGTCATCAACTGAAACTCAAACTATTCAAACTACTACTGCTCAAGCAGCTACTTCAAGAGGTTATGTCTTAGGTGAAAGAGGTGCCCACAATATTGCTAAAGGTTTAGCTCATCCTTATCCAATTCCGTTCTTTGAAGATAAATTAAAAGAAAGGGAATGGATCAAACAACATGTTGCTGGAGCTTTCAGAGTTTTTGCAAGAAAAGGTTATACTGAAGGTACTGCTGGTCATATCTCTGTTAGAGATCCTATTGATCCAAATACTTTCTGGATTAATCCTTTAGCTAAACATTTTGGTTTAATTAAAGCTAGTGATTTAGTTCATGTTGATGAAGATTGTAATATCTTACCTGATGGTGCTCAATCCGCTGTTAATGCTGCGGGTTTTGCTATCCATTCCGCTATTCATAAATATAGACCTGATATTCATGCTGCTTGTCATACTCATTCAACTTATGGTAAAGCTTACAGTGCTTTAGGTAAACCTTTAGATATGATTAATCAAGATGTTTGTACTTTTTACAAGAGCCATTCTGTATATACTGATTTTGGTGGTGTTGCTTTAGATGCTAATGAAGGTATTGAAATTGCTAAATCTATTGGTAAAGGTAAAGGTGCTATTTTACAAAATCATGGTTTACTTACTGTTGGTTCAACTGTTGATGAAGCCGCTTATTTATTCACTTTATTAGAAAAATCTTGTGAATGTCAATTATTAGCTAATGCTGCTCTTTTACCTGGTGATTCTTTAAAACTTATTGGTGATGAAGAAGCTGCTTATACTGAATATACTTCAGCTGATCCTGAAACTTTATATGCTGAATTCCAACCTGATTTGGAAATGGAAATTGAATTAAACCCAAGCTTCTTAAACTAAGTAGTGTGTAGTTAAAAATTATTTATGGTCTGAGTTTTATCTCTATGGGTGATTCAAAAGCCTTTAGTTGAAAATTATTTATGGTCTATCCTCTATCGGTAATATTTCCAAATCCGGATGAGTGGTCGTTATCGCGGAATTATCAAAGATACTTGAAAGCTTGATCTAATTAAAAGGATGTTCTCCATTTTGAATACTAACTTGAATAAAGTTACAAGGAAGAATTTCAAACCTTTAATACCTGAAAGAAGGGATGGCATTAATTGTGTACAGAAGAAAGTCAAAATTGAAAATATCGTGGGTACTAAATACCGTTCAAGAAATGGTTGCACTTATTGTAAATCAAAGAAACGGAAGTGTGATGAAGGGACTCCTTGTGGTTTATGTGTGAAGAAAGGTATAGAATGTCAGTATAAACACAAAACCAACAATTCCGCTGGGAATATCCTGATAAAATCCAAGTTATTAGACATTACTGATAAGAGTTCGGAGAAGGACCCCGTTGATAATATAAGTGAAAAAGCTTTAATACTATTTGACAAATCTGGCCAAACAAGCGATTATGTCGTTGATGATAAAATAGAGGAAATAAATATCTGTAGGACACCGAAAAGTTATTTTGAATTCTTTAATGATGAAAAGGTCAAATATTTTGTGGATTTTTTCGAACATAAAGTAAGTCCAGTATTAGCTGTCACCACAGAGGATTATAATTATTTTAGTAAACTTTTCCACAGATTGGCTACCCATGAAAAACTGTTCACCATGTTAATTTGTGCATGGGGCGCTTTATATTCCAAAGATAGGAAGGTCGATAATGAAGTCAAGCATTATCTTAATCAATCTTTAGTAAGTTTCAATAGTAATTTCAATAATATTAATCATAGCACCAATAGCTACTTCAAAATCGTTTACTATTTGATGTTGATAGGTTTCAATATTTGTTCAGGGGATGTAAATGTTTGGGATGAATTATTTACTGAATTACATCAAATTATAGTCTATTATGGTGGATTATTGAAGTTAGGAAGAGATTTCAATTATTCTAATGAAATCATTTTCCTTATTTTAAACTTCCAGTATCATGATTTAATGTCTTGTAATTCCTTTGCCTTTGGAACGAAATTTCTTATGCTGGAATATAAACAAGTTTTGAATGAACTTCATTTTAAAGAGAGTGAATACGGGTTAGACACTCTTCAAGGGTTAAATCACCCTATTTTAACAGTTATGGGAGAAATCATCAATGATGTTAATGGATTAGAGCCCATTGATAGTGAGGTTTTATGGTATAGAATTAATCATGTGACTCCCAATTATCAACTAGTAAAGCTTTTATCAGAATCGGATCAATTATTGCACGTGAATTCATTTGAAATTTACCGTTCGTGCTGCAAAATCATGTTCAAGTTATACGTTCAGCATACTAAACCTAAATATTTACATTCGCTTCTTCTGGAAACCATTGATAAGTTCAATCACTTACTTGGAACTAGAATGACAATTATACTTTGTTTACCGTTGATCTTGTGTGGTGTTTTGAGTTATACTGATGATGACAAACAAAGATTAGCCTCGTTATATTCTAGAATCGAAGATATTTGTGCTATAGATAACGTTATTAAAAGTTGGAATTTGATTCAAAAATTTTGGTTGGTTAATGATGGAGATTTCATAGTTAATTGGTCAGCTGTATGTAACAGTGAATATGGGAACTTGTGTGTAGTATAACATAGTGTAGAATAATAAAAGAATGAGTTCAAATGCTCAGGGATTGGGCTAACTTAAGCCGCGAGGTGGCTGTAACATTATTAATGGCATCGCGCATTACTAAGTCGGCTGGATATTAGAAACCGTTCCGCGCGCATCTCATAAGGTATCCGAATTTGGTGGGTTTCTAAAGTATATAAACATGGTAAGTGACCAGGAAGTGATCATGGATTCTTCCAGTAATAAAAACGCCAGTAACAATGCTACTGACGGTGAGCCATGCTTATCAGATAATGCTAGTGGTAAAGAATTGTTAGAAGATGAATACGATGAAGTGAAACCTAATCCCAGTCATGATGAAATAGGTCCTGTAAGAGAAGGATTATTCATTTTCTTGATATGTTTAACCCAATTGCTTACTCAGGCTTCATTATCAGAGACTGTTATACCTGTTCAAACATTGGCTAAGCATTTTAAAGTAGAACATAGTGTAGGTGAACAATCTTGGTTCACTTCAAGTTTCAGTTTAACCGTGGGTACATTCATACTTGTAAGTGGTAGACTCGGGGATTTATATGGCTACAAGAAGATTTATATCATAGCATATGTGGTGTTGGCCATAGCTTGTTTGATAACAGGTTTCACTGTTTATACTACTTCTACGGTATTCTTTGATGTTTTCCGAAGCTTACAAGGGTTAGGTCTTTCATTAGCTTTTCCTAACTCTGTAGCTTTAATTGGTCATTATTATCCTAAAGGTACAAAGAGGATCATTTTCATGTGTTGTTTTGGTGCTGTTGCTCCTGGTGGGTTTGTCATTGGATCATTCTTTTCCAATTTATTTGTTGAAAAAGCTTGGTGGCCATGGGCTTTTTGGACTTTCTGCTTGGTTTCAATAGGTATTGCCATATCTGCATATTTCGTCATTCCTCATAATATTGGAAGTCATAATTCTCCAAATAAAGGTTCCTTTGATTATTTAGGTGGTGTCATTGGAATGGTAGGTTTGATATTGATCAATTTCGCATTTAACGAAGGTCCCAATGTTGGTTGGGAGAAACCTTACGTTTATGTACTTTTAATCGTTGGATTTATAGCCATGGGGTTATTTTTCTATGTAGAGAAGAGAGTTAAATATCCTTTAGTTCCTAATGAAGTGTTGAAAGGAGAAACAGGAATGGTTTTGGCTTGTATATTTGCTGGATGGTCAAGTTTTGGTGTTTGGTTGGTTTATTCCACGCGTTCATTATTAGAATTGGATCAGGTTGAAGTTTTCGTAGTTAATGCTCGATACATCCCCACTTTAATTATGGGTCTTGTAGCCGCTGCCACTGCTGCCCTCACCATTCATAGACTTCCGGTATCAATCATTATGATCATGTCCATGGTCGCGTTCTTCTTGGGTAACCTTTTAAATGGTTTAAGACCTGTAGGTCAAATTTATTGGGCTCAATTTTTTGTTTCCTCAATCTTGACTCCTTTTGGTATGGATATGAGTTTCCCAGCTGCCACCATTGTGTTATCACACAATTTACCCCAACATCAACAAGGGGTTGCTGCATCTTTGGTAGCTACTTTTGTGAATTACTCCATCGCCATCGGTTTAGGATTCGCCGGTACTGTAGAATATTATACAACAAAAGATTTACCATCATCCATGGCTACTACGGAATTGGGAATTAGAAATGCTTTAAGAATGGGGATGGGTTTAGCTGGTTTAGGAATTTTAATAGCTATAATCTTTGCCATCTACGAATTCATTAAGGACAGAAGGTCCCCTGAAAAAGAGAAGGTTTAAAAGACCTTATTTATAGAACCATATTTATTCAAATAATATGACTCGATGAGTCGTTAATAATATATACTTAATCTTTAACTCCTTCTATGATAACTTTAATGACGTCAGTTCTACCTTCTTTGACTAATTCAAAAGCTTTTAAGGCATCTTCGAATTTGAATCTGTTGGTGATTAATCTTTTAACATCAACTTTACCAGCAGCTACTAATTCTACAGCAGTTGGATAAACCCCAGTAGAATATCTAATAGAACCAGTCCAGTTTAATTGTTTGACTAAAGCATCAGTAACTGGGAAATTAACAAATTCTTTACCCATACCAGCTTGAACAAATCTAGCTTCAGGACGAGCTAAGAAAACACCAGTTTGTATACATGGTTCAGCACCTGAAGCTTCTAAAATAACGTCAGCTCCATGAACATCAATTCCTAAGGTTTTCTTCATATCAGATGAAACTCTGATAGCAAATTGTTCAGGAGTCTCATCATCATTTTTAAATGGCATTTTGTAAACATCATCAGCTCCAAAAGTTTTGGCAAATTCTAATCTACCAACGGAGATATCTACACCATATACTTTCTTACATCCATAAGCTTTAGCAACAGCTTGACATAATAAACCAATTGGTCCACATCCAAATACAACCACGGTGTCAGTAGCTTTTAATTGAGCTCTTTTGGCAATTTGAACGGCAACACTAACTGGTTCAACCATAGCAGCTTCTTCCATACTCATGGTGTCTGGGATTTTATAAACATAATCGTAATCAACAGAATAGTATTTAGCTAAAGTTCCATCATCCGGTGGGGTAGCAGCAAACTTCATATCTTCACAATGATTGTATAACCCATCACGACAGAGGGAACAGAATCTACATGGAACACCTGGTTCAATGGCAACTCTATCACCAACTTTCAAATTGGCTGATTGAGGAACATCTGATCCCATTTCAACGATAGTACCACCACTTTCATGACCTAAGACCATATCAACACCATCTTTTAAGATGAATTTCCCAATTCTTCCCTTCTGCCAATAATGAACATCTGATCCACAAATACCAGTAACTTCAATATTGATTCTCAATTCTTTAGGACCTAAAGGTTTGATAGCACGGTCTTCAAAGACAACATTTTTAATTGATTTTAATACGAAAGCTTTATTTTGCATGATTGTTTGATTAAATTGGAATTCTGTTGGATCATTTGTTCATTTAAATAGACTTTGGACCCCAGGATTCTCTCCACCTGAAGAATTAGTGGCATGTCAAAACCTCGCACAACTGATTCCTTTTGGCTGCAAAAAATTTACCGAGACTCTTCCCCTATATAATGTATCCCACGCCAATCAACTTTTCCACCATGACTTTAACCTTTCAAGATTTAAGTGATAGAGCAATAAGATTGTTTGAAGAAAAGAAGGAGAGAGTGATCATTGGAGTTGCTGGGATCCCTGGATCAGGGAAAAGTACTGTAACTGAAGCTGTTGGTAAAATCATTAATAAATCTCATAAATGTGTAGTCGTTGGATTAGATGGGTTCCATTATACTCGGGAATATTTGAGATCTTTAGAGAATAGTGAAGAGGCGTTTATCAGGAGGGGCGCTCATTTTACCTTTGATGCTAAAAGTTGTGTGGAGTTTGTTAAGAGCTTAAGAGCACGCACCACAATCTCCGCACCATCATTTGACCATAAGTTGAAAGACCCCGTTAATAATGGAACTATCATTCCAGGTGAGGCCGAGATTCTTCTCGTAGAAGGTCTTTATGTATTGTTGAATATTGATCCGTGGAATCAAATATCTCAATATCTTGATGATTCGTGGTTTATCAATGTCGATTTAGATGTTGCTAGAGATAGGGTAGCTAAAAGGCATGTTGAGGCAGGGATTGAACCAACCATTGAGAAAGCTTACCAAAGAGTCGACTCCAATGATATCATCAATGCTCACCTTATTATGGATAACTCAATTCCTGCGAATTTGATAATTTAGCTTTTATTCTGGGGCGACAGTCTCCGCAATGGTTATATACCAGAAATATATAAACTTGTAACATCTCCTCTATGCATCAACAATCAACAAAAAAATGTTATACCAAGTCGCTGAATCTCCAGTTTTAAGTTTATTCTCATTGAAAGGTCAAGTCAGTTTAGTTACTGGAGGATCAAGAGGTATTGGTCTTGCCGCTGCTATAGGTCTTGCTGAAGCCGGATCTGATGTCGCTATCACTTATAACTCATCAAGTGATGAACATATGAAAGAAATCATTGCTAAATTTGAAAGTTTAGGTATCAAGTTCAAAGCTTATAAATGTAATGTTGTTAACAAAAAAGATATCACTGAATGCGTTGAACAAGTAGTCAAAGATTTCGGTAGATTAGATGTTGTCGTTCCAAATGCTGGTATTGCAGTCCATGAACCAGCTGAAGATTTCACTGAAGATGACTATAGAAAGACTATGTCTGTTAACTTAGATGGGGCTTATTACACTGCTCAAGCTGCTGCTAACGCTTTCAAAAAACAAAAACAACAAGGAACTTTGATCCAAGGAAAGATTGTTTTCACTGCTTCTGTCTCATCAGCTATTGTTAACTTCCCTCAAAAACAAGCTCCTTACAATGCTTCCAAAGCTGGTTTGGTAAGATTATGTAAATGTTTGGCTGTTGAATGGGTTGACTTCGCCAGAGTCAATGCTATTTCTCCAGGTTTCATTGCAACTGATATGCTTGATGTTCATCCTAAAGAAAACAGAGATTTCTGGATGAGTGTTATCCCAGGTAAACGTCATTGTCAAACTCATGAATTAAAAGGTGCCTATGTCTTCTTAGCTTCAGACGCTTCATCTTATGTTGTTGGAGAAGAATTAATCATCGGTGGTGGTTATTCACTTATCTAGGTATATCAATATATCAAAATTATCCAATTACCCTTCCAAATTCGACATCTCTTCAATTTCAAAGCGGGATCGGAACTCTTTTTTCTAACGGAACTGGGGTAGATTTTGCCCTGCGCGCACAAACCCCAGAAAGTTAACAGAATTCCGTTATAGGTTCAAGATGACTGAACTCGATTTTTCACCAAATCATACCCTTCATATTATGCAAACAGAGGATCCTAACGGCTCAGAGATATTCAATGAAGAAGAGTCCAACAAATATAGTTGTAATGAGTGTCGAAGGAGGAGAGTCAAATGTTCTAGACATATACCTACTTGTAATACCTGTTCTAAGTATAAAAGACACTGCCTATATGAAAGACATATGAAAACTCCATTAACGAGGAAACATCTAACTGAAGTGGAAGAAGAATTGGCTCTTTTGAAGTCAGTGCTATGTAAGGTATCACCTGATTTGGATATAGATGATTTAAAGACAAGAATCAGAAACGGTGATGATTCTGACGAAATCATAGACCAAGTAGTGGCAGAAAAGTTACCCAAAAAAAGAAGAATTGATGAGTTCAGAAGCATTCTGATACCTCAGATTTTGGATGAATCATCACCGAAGGAAGATAGACAAATCGTTCAATTGTTACCTCCATCTGTCAATCTAGAAACAACTTTGAAGGTGACTGGTGTCCGTTCCAAACCAAAGACTATTGAAGTATCACCACAATCTCAGGATTCATATAATTGGGATGAGAGAAAACAAGGAGATTTGGGTCAACCGTCTATCATCAATGGAATGGCTACCACTGAAAGTAACCTGTACTTAGGGGCTGCTTCCAGTGCTGCATTATTGAATATTGTCGGTGGTGGATTCTTCCTTCATGAGAAGCCTCGTGATAAAGTTGAAACCTCTGGTGTCACCACTTCATCAGCTTCAAGGGAAATCACAGAAGCTAAGTTGGAACAATATATCAATCAATATTTTGAATTGTATCATGTTTCATATCCTATTGTTCACAAACACTTGTTTTTGGCTCAATTCAATCAAATCATCCCTACCCCAAGCAATTGGGAAAGTCTTTTGTATATTGTAGCAGCAATAGGTTCATTCATGTCAGCAACCGATCCCAATGATAATGATGATTTGTCGTTGTTTGAAAAGTCTAAAGCTAAATTATCTATTGACGATTTGGAAACAGGAAATTTAACCTTAGTCCAGACATTGACTTTGATGTCGAATTATCTCCAGAAACGGGATCGTCCTAATAGTGGATATAATTATTTAGGTTTGGCAGTGAGAATGGCTCTAGGTTTGGGATTGCATAAGGATATTGATGACACCAATGAAAGTTTACTTAATCAGGAAAGTAAACGGAGAGTCTGGTGGTGTTTATATATATTTGACTGCGGGGCAACAATAACCTACGGAAGACCCCTAGGAATCCCTCTGGCAGGAATTGATGCAAAATTACCGTTAAATATCCTCGATACCAAATTAACCCCCAAGGTAAATGATTTACCATTTGAGGAAAATGAACCCACAATTTATACTAGCTTGAGGTTACAATCATTGTTCCACATATTCAGTAATTCTATCTATGAGAGGATTATAAGTGATCCTTTCCCTTCCACAGAACAATTATTAAAATGGGATCAAGAATATTTGAAAAGGTCTGAATGTTTGATACCTGAATATTTTCGTGAAGATCAAATTGTCCATCATCCATTCAAATTATCACACCTTATACTACATTGGAGGTATAAGAATCTAAGGATTATCATGTATAGAACTATTGTGATAAAACAAGTGATCTTAAATTCCAAAAATACTTTTCTGGACGACTATGAAACCCAAGCAAGAGAAATATGTTTAGAGTCTTGCAATTCAACAATCAATTCCATGTTCAATTTTTGGAGTTTAAATACCCACCCTAATAGAATGGAAGCTTGGTATAGTTTGTACTTTCTCATACCTGCAGTAATGATGCCTTTGATATGCTTGAGAAATGATCCAAATTCTATGAATAGTAATATTTGGAGAGCTAATATTAATCTGTCAAAACAAATAATCCAGAAAATCATGAATATTTGTCCGCCCGCCGAGAGAATTTTAAATATGATTGAATCTTTGGGGGCTGATTATTTGTCGTATCAAGATTTGAACTTCAATAGTACTGATGAAAGTCCAAGTTCTCAATTACTCCACCTCCATCATTTACTTTGGCCTGGTTCTTTTGATATAGAACAACAATTTAGCTTGTGATTGAATTCCGAAAATGAGCGGAAGTGTATCGGGACTACCCCACATTCGAAGTGCGTAATGGAAAAATCTGGGGTTAGGTTGACTGTTCGCGAGGTATGAAGAGTTCCGTTAAGGGGTTGCTGTTGTCCGAGACATATGTTCTCCAGGTTTAATAATATACACATTAAAAGATTATCGGCTCTTCTCAGGAATACTGTCAACCGTGTCATAACCGTTGTTCCACATCTTTGGTACTATATATTTTGCAAAATCTCTAGGTTTTAATTATCAAATCAAATTTATTAACAATGTCACTTAATAGAACAGCTTGCCCAACTCTTTCCAATAGCGTCTTCGAGATGTTTAGCATGAAAGGTAAAGTTACCATCATCACTGGTGCTAGTGGTGGTATTGCTGCTGAAATCGCTAAAGCTTTAGCTGAAGCTGGATCAGATTTAGCTTTATGGTACCACAATTCAACTTACGCCGAAGAATTAGCTAAAGAACTTACTTCCACTTACGGTATTAAAGCTAAAACTTATAAAGTTGATGTCAAATCTTGGGATCAAGTCAATGGAGGTGTTACTGAAGTAGTTAAAGACTTTGGTAAATTAGATGTCATGATAGCCAATGCTGGTATCCCAGCTAAAGCCAGTTGTTTAGATCAAACTTTAGAAGAATGGCACGATGTTATTGACACTGACTTCAACGGTGCTTACTACTGTGCTAGAGCCAGTGGTTTCGTTTTCCAAAAACAAGGTTTCGGTAACTTAATTTTCACTGCTTCCATGTCTGCTCATATTGTTAACTTACCTCAATTACAAGGTTGTTACAACGCTGCTAAAGCTGGTGTTTTACATTTATCAAAATCTTTAGCTGTTGAATGGAAAGATTTTGCCAGAGTAAACTCAGTTTCTCCAGGTTACATTGATACTGCTATTAGTGGTGATTGCCCCGCTGATATGAAAAACCAATGGTTCTCCAAAATCCCAATGGGTAGAGATGCTGATCCAAGAGAATTAAAGGGTGTTTACTTATACTTAGCTTCAGATGCTTCAACTTATACCACTGGTGCTGATTTCGCTGTCGATGGTGGATACTGTGCTCCATAGATTATAGAATAAACGAAGCATTTATTTATCTTTTTTGTGTTTCTTCTTCTTGTGTTTCTTCTCTCTACTGTGTATCTTTTTACGACAAAAAAGAGTTTCTCTTTGCTATATTCAAACCTGGACCACTGGCTGAATTAAAGTCTTCCCTTTGCATCTCTGTTCTCCATGACTCAAGAGCCAAATCTTATCATACTAACGGTCGTCCAGATCGAGAGAAGAGTATAATCACATATCATTATATTAAACTAAATCCTTGCTATTCTCAACATGATGAGTTTCAGCCTTCAATTCATTGGATTTGAGGGCATCACTTGAAGTAACTTCAAGGGAACTCTCTTCACCGTCAAAAATCTTACTAATCTCTTCAAGAGAGTAACCTTTGGTTTCAGGGTAAAAGAAGTAAATATTTGCTGTACCTAAAGCTAACACCACGACAAAAACAAGATAATACTTCCAATGGATCAGATCTAAAGCTATTGGATTACAGAAATTAGCCACCACTAATGCTGCATAGATAGAAAATAATTCCACACTAACAATCTTTGATCTTATCAAAGTGGTACTGATTTCTGAAGGATAAGCAAATAACAAACTGGTCATAGCTACATCATAGAATCCATAGAAAATGAAAATAAAAGCTACCACTGCTTTACCACTACCACCGGATCCAGTTTGTTCAAAATTGGCTGATAAAGCTGTCCATATGACGAAAGAAATTAACATACCTCCACCGGAAGTTAATAATAATTTCCTTCTACCCAAATTATCAACCAATAACGCACCACCAGCTGCAGCAAATAAATTGAAGATTTGTAAAATACCGTTGATTAAGGTCTGCATTGTAACTGAGGTAATTCCCACTGAATCTAAAATAAGACTTAAATAGTAACTAACCACAGCAATACCATTCCATTGGGCAAAAACACCTAAAGTTACGGCTATATAAGTTCTTTTTCTGTTACCTGGAGTAGCTACCAAATCACTCCATTTAGCTTTATTACTTATTTTATCAACTTCAATAGCAGCAACGATTTCTGTCAATTCCACTTCAACTAATCTTGAATTAACATCACCGCCAGCATGATGTTCGATCAAAATGTCTCTTGCCTTTTCATATTTTCCTTTCATAATCAACCATCTAGGACTTTCAGGAACAAAGTGTAAGAAACATAATTGGATAATTGGATAAGCTGCTTGTAAGATGGTAGGAATTCTCCATGACCAGGAAGATTGATAATTTCTAGTTCCAAAACATGACCAAGAAGCCAAAATTGCTCCTAAATAATAGAAACACCAATATAAAGCAGTAATTTTACCTCTTAAGGAAGGATAAGCCAATTCCGCAAGTAACAAAGGAGCTGGTTGAACAACAAGCATACCAGCAGCACCAACAATAATTCTTGAAACAACCAATTGAGCAACTCCAAAGGCTGTAGCTTGAATAATAGTAGCAATAATAACTCCCACCAATCCAATGTATAAAGTCTTTTTTCTTCCTAAATAATCGGAACACCAACCACAAACAGGTAAGATAATTACACAACCAATTTGTTGGGCACCTCCGATAAGTCCAAGCATATTTCCAGTAGGATTATCGAAATCATTTTTCCATTGTGTTAAACTAAATGAACCATTTAATAAGGAACCATCAAATCCAGCAACAGCAGCTGATAAAAGCGGAATTAAAATAATAAGATTTAATCTTAAAATATGTTTTACCTTATACCAAGGCTTTCCGTGGTCTGGTAATACTTCAGCAATAGCAGGACCAACAATTTCTTCAACAGGTGTAGTCTTGAAAAGTCTCATCTTGGGTTTTTTATATAAAGATTCCAAAGATTGTGAATCTAGTGATTTGAAAGAATCTGAATATTCGGTCATATTTATAGTAAAATGTGGGTTAAGTAAACCTTTAAGCCGTTGTATAATATTTATCAGTTAAATTTCAAAAGTGTAAATAAAAAAATTCATTCTGTCAACCCGAATCCCACTCTTTTTTTTCGCCGTAAGTGTTCGCAACAATCTCAAGGGAATTTCTGGGGTAGTTTAGGTATGCAGATCTCCTTATGTCGTGCGTACTCAATTCCGGTTTTTTATTTTTTGTGGGGGAAAAATTTCAATTAACCCCCCTTTTAGATTATGAGTATCGGAAAAGCATCGATTCAAAGGCATTGATCCCGCGTACAAGATATTTTCAAACATAGGGAAATCTATTATTGTATATATTTAAACACTTAAAGAAGAATTGAAACATTGTTTGGTCTACAAAGCATATCTGAACTCCAAATTTTCTTTGTCAGTTAAATCAGCAAATTCAAAGTTCTCTGGAACTATATAATCGGGATTTTCCTTCAATTTATCTCTTCTTTTGTTTTCTCTATCATCTAAGAAATAAAGAGCAAGGAAACAAAGAGTTCCGACAACAAATCCAACAATCATAGATACTTTGGCTGGGGTGTAACTTGGAGCATCCTTGGCTCTGAAAGTTTGAGGACTTGAAGCGTTCCCGGCACAATATCCAATAATAGCGATTGCATGAACGGTAATTCTTTTAGTTGAACCAGCAATATTATTACCAATGTAGGAATAGAAGCAACTGATGGATACGGTAGCAAGATAGAAAGTATAAATACCGAAAAGTTGAGATCCTGGGTTACTAGTGAAAGCTAAAAGACACATACCTACAATACCCAAAACATTTACCATGGCGGAAATAAGCAAACTGCTACTGGTAATAAAGGATAAGGCAATAGCAAGAAGTGGACTTACAATATCAATAGCTCCTCCAGGAATACTCATCAATAAACTAGTACCGGTATCGAACCCTAAATCTTGATGGTAAAGAATTGAACCAAAATTTTGGAACCCCCCATTAGGAAGTGAGTAACTGAAGATGTAGATAAGTAAGATGTAAGTTCTTATGTCCATAATAGCTTCCATAAATTGATGTTTCTTGAATTTTCCGTTACCAAAACCTTGTTGATTTTGTCTACTTCTAGCAACAACATATTTCTTTTCAGTGTCATTCAAGAACCAAGCCTTAACTGGAACATCTGGGATATGGAACATTGTCACAAGACCTAAAACGAAAGTAATAACACCGGCAATGATATATAATAATCTCCAAGCAGCAAGACTGTAACTATCTTGACGAATATAAATTCCATAAGCCATGGAAGCTCCTAAAACTGTACCAAACCCTTGTGCACCAAACCATATACATGTTCTAAGGAAAGCTTGGTTTACTTTGAATTTGGATAAAGCTCCACTTGAATCCCTTTTATACCACATGGTAGTGATAATCATATAAGCAGGTGTCATTGCTCCTTCGGTCATTCCCAATAATACCCTACAAGTAAGGAACCCAGCAACAGAATTACATGCTGCATGGCATGCTAAAATCACTGACCAGATAATAACAATAGTACCTAAGGTTTTAGAAATTGGGAATTTCACCAATAATCTATCAGCAATAAATTGGAAACTAAACAACCCTAAATAGAATGACGTACCCACAAATGAATAAGTATTTCCAACACTGAATCCGGGAATGTCCTCAAGCAACCCAGTAATACTACTGTAAGAAGGAATAGTTTTATCAAACAATTGAACCGACATTAATAAACCAATCACTGGAAGTAAATACCAATCGATTTTCTTTTCAAGAGCATTTTCCAATTCGGGATCCATTTCAAACCCTTCAATATCATCAAGATATTGGAAAGCTCTATCAAGATCATTTTCATGAAGTTCTTTGTCACCAATTGAAAGGATCGTGGTGACGTGATTACCTTTTTCGTTACTACTAATACTTTGTTCTGTCATATCAAACCTGTTTTCACAATTAATGCAGCCTCTTGTGACAATCGACCTTTTATATTATTCTAACCTATTATGTATCAGTGGGATTGATAATGAATAAAAGCATTCTTACTGCAAGATTCCGAATTCCTCAAATCGCGGAAATTTGCAGCAATATTTCTGACTTTTGTCCGCAACCAGATCTATAAAGATAAGGAAATTTTCAAATCACCCAATATCTGCGATTTAAAAGATAAAATGACAGTTGATAAAAAAGAATTCTTATTGATTGGTCCCGGGGGGATTGGATGTATGGGTGCATTCACCATTGATTATAACAAAAAGGTTAACTGTTCTATTGTTGTTAGAAGGGATTATGAGAAGGTTAAAGAGAATGGTTATACCATTGACTCAATTGATTACGGGAAAATCGATAACTGGAAACCAAGCAATGTATTTGCCAATGTGGAAGCGGCAGCTAATTCTGGTCTTAAGTTTGATTATGTTGCTGTGGCTACCAAGAACATTTCTGATATTGTAAAAGTAGAAGAATTGATTGAGCCCATTATTTCGGAAAACACTGTTATTATTTTGATTCAAAATGGTTTTGGTATTGACAGACCTATCATTAAGAAATTCCCAAAAAATGTCTGTTTGTCAGGGGTGTCTCATATGGGATCTCATAACGATAAGGGACACATTCACCATATTCAACATGATAAATTGGTAATCAGTCCTTTCGAAAACCCTAACTTGCCTACTGATGTTCAAGTTCAAGCTGCCAAGGATTTTATTGACATATATGCAAATGATAAAGTCACTTGTATTTACTTCGAAAGTGCTAAATGGTACAGATATAGGAAATTGGTCTACAATGCTACCTTAAATACTACTTGTGCATTGACAGGTGTTGATACAGGAAGACTTGACGCATGTGGTGGTCTAGAAAGTATTGCTGTCCCTGCAATGAAAGAGGTGGTTGCAGTTGCTTCTGCCGATGGTATTACCTTACCAGAAGATGTGGTCAATTTAATCTGTCATGGAGATGATGGTGATTACTTCGAACCTTCTATGTTGGTTGATGTTAAGAAAGGTAATCCAATTGAGTTAGAAGCCATTCTTGGTAGTTTGTTAGATACTGCGGAAGAGTTAAAAGTTCCTACACCAACTTTAAGTTTACTCTATAAGTTATTACAAGTGGTTCAATTTAGACTCAAAGAAGCCAATGGTTATGTCAAACTTCCTGAAAAAAGACCAATTTCTGATAAATTTTATAGTTAAACATATATTATAGATCTTGATCATCTTATCTAGCTTATCTCTTTGGTTCCTGACTGTCCTTTTTTTTCCAATTGCCCCTCGATCCATTTGCGGAATTAATCCTCAAAGATCCGCAGATCGATCTTGAGATTCCGCACTATATAGATAGAGGTTTATAAATCCATTAGTAGATATGTTGCGTCCACTCGCATTGGCAATTGGGTTAGCTTTAGCTCTGCTGGGGTCTTCTGTCATTAAATGTGATACCTCGATTCCAGTAGAAAGTTTCATCAAACACAAAGGTTCTCGGGATATTTGGATATCTATTGATAACAAAGTGTATGATGTTTCGGAATTCTTGAGATCACATCCAGGAGGTGCGGAAGCTATTTTGAAGTATGCTGGTAGAGATGCTTCCAAAGCTTTCAAGAAACAACATGTGGCTTCTATATTGGGTTTATTGCCAAAATCCGCTTATAAGGGTGTTCTTGAGGGTTCTTTAGAAGAAGAATTGAGTGAAGAAGAGATCTTACTTGAGGAGATGAAGAAAAAGAAACCGGCATTGTCCCACATATTCAATGCTAATGATTTTGAGTCTGTTGCTAAGCAAATACTCCCAAAAGATATCTACACTTATTTCGCTACGGGTGCTGATGATGAAGCCACTTTAAGAGAATGTGCCATGGCATATAGTAGGGTTTTTTTCAGACCTAGAGTCTTGCAACAAGTAGAAGATGTAGATCTCAGTACCAATATGCTTGGATGTAGTACCGCTTTCCCATTCTATATAACTTCGTTTGCTGGCCAAGCTCAACTTCATCCAGAAGGTGAGAAGGTCTTGGCTAAGGTTGCCGATAAGAATAACATCATGTTTATCATTCCCAGATTGGCTACCAAGCCAATACCTGAGATCTTGGAGGAGATTGATCCTCAAACACCTGTTTGGTGGCAAATGAGTGCCAACCATGCAGACCCCAAATTAGAAAGAGCCTTCGCTGAAGTAGCTAAGTATGATCAAATCAAAGGTATTTTCATCTCCACAGACTCGGCTGTTGGAGGTAACAGAGAAAAGGATTTCAAAGTGAGGCAACAAGTTACTAATGCTACATCTGAATTAAGTGGTTATGCCGCTATAGACAAAACTTATCCTTCTATCACCTGGGATGATATTAAAAGATATAAGACTTTGACTGATAAGAAGATCATTCTTAAAGGTATTCAGTGTACTGAGGACGTTTTGAAGGCTCTGGAGCTTGGCTTGGATGGAGTTGTTCTCTCCAATCATGGAGGTAGACAATTAGATTATTCACAACCTCCTTTAGAGGTTTTAGTTGAAACTATGCCCATTTTACGTCAACAACAATATTACGACAAGGAGAAATTTCAAGTCTTTGTGGATGGAGGTATCAGAAGGGGTACTGATATAGTCAAAGCCATTGCTTTGGGAGCTTCTGGAGTGGGTATGGGTAAAGCTTTTGCCTTCCCGCTCGCCACTTATGGTGAAGAAGGAGCTCAAAGGTTAGTAGATCTTCTTAAAATGGAATTGAGCAGAGACCTTAAACTTTTGGGTGTTAGTAAGATATCCCAGTTGAATGAATCATACGTCAATACCAAAGGTTTATACAATAGAATTGGTAATTATGCGGATTCATACTTCAGGAATTATGAAAAGCTTCCCGCACCAGTATTTATTAAATAGACATTTCTCGGAATTTTCTCGCACTCTTCAGAGATCTCAGATAAGAAATATAGACTGAAACTATGAGAAGAGTTGTGGATAAAGAATCGAGGAAAAAGGCCCTTTTCAGTTGTGATAATTGTAAAAAAAGAAAAATTGCCTGTCGGAGACAACTTCCTAATTCAGATCAAGTGAGACATGAAGATACCTCAATTCCGTGTGTGAACTGTTCTAAAAAGAATATCGAATGTAAAACCACCATCCAGCGGAAAAAGAGACAAATGGGGCCAGTAGAGAATTTGGGGTTACATTATAAAATCTTGATCATGTTGTTTGAAGGTTTGTTTCCAGAATTGGATGTCAATAACATCGATTCATTGATCCAACTAGGTTTAGAACTTAACCTAAACATGCCCTCCCGATCTGATTTGAACAATGATTCTATAAAGGAAATCTATGATTTGGGCTATATCATCAGTTCTTATTTGAAATCAGAAAAGAGAAATCCCGTCAATTTAGAAGATGATAGATTTATTCTAGATGAAAGAGGTGTCAGCCATTATATAGGACCCCGAGCTTCCAGTAACTATTTGTCTACTACTTCTGTAATTATGCAAAAAGCTTCTGATCTCGTGTCTTCTGACTTCAAGGAGAAGTATAATTCCGTTTACTACGAAGAAATCATGGTCAGTTCCAATTTAAAACCTATCAACGCTGATATGTTGATAGAATCAGATATCGAAAATTTTCCTTTTGTGATTTTGGACAAAGCCAAAACTGACGTACATGTTCAACTTTTTTTTGATAGGATTTATCCCTTTTATCCATGTTTTAGTAAACGAAGATTTTTTCGTTTGTATGAAAAGTGGTGGGATAGTTATGGTCTACCACCAAGTGAACGAGATCTTGACTCCAGTGAGGTATGCTTCCTTTATTTGATAAAAACTATGGGCTATTATTACCTTGAAAATGAATCAAAGGATGAGTCTGAATCAAGGTTGATAGGAAAATTGGTAAATATAGTTAAACTTTCTATTTCCGAGTTCATGCTTACTCCCACCATCAATGGTATCCTTTGCTTGTTTTACCTCGCAGTCCTTTTCAACAAGAACAAACGTAGAGAATGTGGCTACTTGTTAATCACGTCAGTTTGTCGACAGGCAACAGTCATAGGATTAAACCGACAATCCATGATTGAGTGTAATCCTGATGTTGAGGTACAGGAAGAAATGAAGAAAATCTGGTGGGCCATAGTGGAGCAAGAAGTCAAGCTAAGTAGTTTGTTGGGAAGAGTTCCCTCCTTCAATATTGCTGATGCCACTGTGGACCTTCCCAGCCCTAAAACCAATTCTGATTTGTTTTATAACCATTCCGTTAAACTACTGAAAATAGTCTATTTGTTTAACCAAACCAGTAATTTATCCACAAGTTACGATTTTGGAACGAAAGAACGTGCAAAAATTGTCACGGTACGGTTATATATGAAGGAATGGTTGCATGAAGTTCAAGATTTTCTAAAAATCGATGACGAATCTATCCTATTATTTAAATTTCGATTACAATTAGAGTTCCATCATAACCAAGTATGTCTTCTATTCCCGTTCATTTTGAATCTACCTAATTGTGCTTCATCGGAGGACATTCATGAATTTGATTTGCAAATGGTGGTCGAATGTTTAAAAAGTCTGATAGATATGAGAGTGATTCTTGTGGATTCTGATAAAGTGAAAATACTGAACTCTTTCTGGAGTCCTCATATCCAGTATGCTTTTGAAGCAACCCTTTGTTTGTGCAATGTTTACATATGGATGGAAAATAGAGATTACAGTGAGATTACCGATTCTAAGGGAAATCAAGTGTCGTTGGATTCTATTCAAGATGCAATGATCGGATTGAGAGAGTTCAACAGGATACATGTTTTGAATAGCAAAGGATCGGTATCGAAATTGAGTAAATTTCTTGAAATAATGTTATCCAGCTTTTACTTTATGGATGAAGCATATTTAAACAAGAATGTCAATAATGAATTGAAAGAAGAGCCCTTTTATCCCAGTTTCCAAAATGAGGTTTGGGATGTAGAAAGTGATCTATTTGGCATTGATACCGTTTTCGATGAACTATTTTCTGGTCAAAGTGTTCATATATAGCTTATCATAAATAAATTAGCGGATCGCAATTTCTCTAAATGGAAGGCGATAAGGAGCCGCTCACGTCGCGGAAATCTTGCTGCAAATTTCCTTCATCTACTCAATGCGAAACTCTCTCATCGTTAGCGGAAACTTGGTGAATTTCAAATCATAAGGTTTCTGACACATATGGAAGGAAATGGCTACAAAAAATGAAATAGTGGTCACTGCTAAAGATACCCTGGATGCGGTAGAACTCGATAATTCTTTAGATAATCCGAGTGATACTATAAATAAATATGACAGATTTACCAGAAATCAAAAAAGATTATACTTGTTTATCGTCACAGTAGCATGCTTCTTATCTCCAATAAGTACCACCATGTTTTTACCTGCGGTTCCAGAGATTGCAGCACAATTCCATACCACAGGGACTACCATAAATATTTCCAATGCAGTTTATTGTGTGGTAATGGCTATCTCTCCATTAATAGTGGGAACGTTATGTAAAAGTTACGGAAAGAGATATATGAGCTTGGTTTGCTCTTTGGGATATTCCATTGCTTCCTATGTAGTAAGTCAATCACAGAACTTGACGATGTTTTTCATTTTCAGAGCATTCATGGCCATATTTGGTACCGCTTACTTTAGTATTGGTTCGATGATTGTGGCAGATATTTACATCCCTGAAGAGAGAGGTACAGCTTCAGGACTTTTGATGTTAGGTGCACAAGCCGGACTAGCAATCGCAGCAGTATTTGGTGGTATTATAACACATTACAGTAAATGGAACACCATTTTTTTGCTTCTTGGATCCATGGGGGCTTTTGTATTTATACTTTCATTTATGTTTTTGAAGGAGACAAGTGTCACCGTTGAATTATTTGAGTACAGAAAAGAAACAGGGAAGAAATTCAAATTCTTCACTTTTAATCCATTTCGTCCCGTCATTTTGACGAGATTCTTACCAGTATTTCTCAGTTGTTTTGCTCCTGGAGTGATTCTTTATAATATGTTTTGCTTATTAGTACCTATAACCTATGTCATCAAGGGAAATCTTCACATAGAATCCACTATCCTAATCTCATTATTCTACTTAGCTCCTGGAACTGGATTCGTAATTGGTAGCATTTTAGGTGGGTGGTATTCTGATTACACCGTTAGAAAGTTCAAAAAGATGAGAGGTAGAAGAATTCCTGAGGATAGATTGAGTGCGTCATTGATATTCTTGGGGTTCTTTTCCCCAATATCAATTTTGATATATGGTTGGAGTTTGGAAAAGGATCTAGGGGGCATTGCTCTTCCCGTTATAATGATGTTTATAAATGGAATTTCCCAATGTATGGCTATCCCTAATGTTAATTCTTATTCAATAGATGCATCTCCCCAAATAGCTCCCGATTGGATAGCAAATAGTTTCTTTTTAAGATTTTTATTTTCTGCTGTTGCAAACGGTACAGTTTTGGTTCAAATAAATACTATAGGAATTGGCTGGACATGTACAATTACAGCTTTTATTTTGTGGTTAGGGTTTACTACCACAGGTATATTGTTCCTATGGGGTGAGAAGTTAAGGAATAGACTGTTTCCTCAATTCCAGGATCAGTGAGACAAAATTCCGTGAGGAGATCTTATAAAATCAATATGATCGGGAAAAAAAAGTTAATAGGTTCTCAAAGTGAATAAACGCACTATGACAATGCAAAAAACTCCTTTTTTAGGTGTTCTTAGAGTTGAGACTCCTTTCGAACGAGCTCCTGGTGATTCAGCGAATGTTGAATCATGGAATTTTCCTGTAAAAATCAAAATTCTTAAGGACTCCACGGTTCATAAAGTTGTTGATCTCTCAAACGATTATCCTCAGGATTTCATTGACGGGTGGGTGGATTTAATCCAAGAATTTATTGACGAAGGTGCGGTTGCGGCTATCACGTCTTGTGGGTTTTTGAGTGCAATCCATCCAATTTTGAGAAAAAGGTTCCCAGGATTTCCAATTGGAACTTCAGCTTTGTTGCAAATTCCTATAGCTAATAATTTAGTTGAGTTGGGAAAAAGAGTTGGTATAATCACCTTCAATGAGAATGTTTTGGGGAAGAAACATCTCAATGGGGTGGGTGTCGATTATGACGTTCCAATCGTTGGGGTTGAGGAGGGCTGTTCATTTTATAACTTGATCAGGAAATGTGATCCTTTTAATTATGAAGAACATGAGAAAGATGTAGTGGCTGCTGCAAAAAAATTGGTATCTCAATACGACGATATTGGAGGAATAATTCTCGAATGTGCCAACATGGGACCATACAGACTTGCAGTACAAAAGGCTACAAATTTACCAGTTTGGGATATCATCACTTTAGGTGACTTTGTTTATGATGTAGGTTTAGCTCGTTCTTTTAATAAATAGTCCTTATCTATTCCGCAATAGTTTCCGAAGTGCGATCTGGGCGGAAATTTGCAACATAATTTCGAAAGTAGTTTTCTATTTAACTGGATCATTCTATAGACATTGGCTAGTTAAGATGACCAAATACGTGATATTAGGGTATGTGGATTTCCAGGCTTATCTTCCAAAAAATCAACTGACTAACATGATATAGTTCTGGGGTGATAGGGTTGTATACAGCATATTTACTTCTTGAACAAGGATTTTCTTCAAAGGATATAAGAATTGTTGCTAAACATGTACCCGGGGATTTGTCCCATGATTATGCTTCTCCTTATGCCGGTGCTACAGTCAATTTTGTCAAATCCACTGATCCAGACATCAAATCCTATTACAAGTATACCTATCAAAAGTTAGGTGAAATCAGAAAGAAATTTGGAGCATCCTCATGTGGGGTTGATTTGACTACCAACACCGAATCTTGGATTGAAATGCCTAAAAAAGAACAATTGGAATTCTTCAAATCTTATAATAATAATTGGAGGGAATTGAAAGCTGAAGAAATGCCTAAAGGTGCTAAATTTGGTTTGAGCTATCAAACTTTTGTTATCAACAGTCCATTATTCATTAGAAAATTGTTTGATTTTGTAACATCAGAAGGAATCAAAGTCGACAAAAGGGAAGTCAAGCACATTCTGGAGATATTCGATTCTAACACTGAAATAGTATTCAACTGTTCTGGTTTGGGGGCTTCCAAATTAGGGGGTGTTGAGGATTCCAAGTGTCATCCTACTAGAGCCCAAGTAACGGTTATTCGAGCCCCTCATCTCGAAGGAGTTAGACTTCACTGGAATGAAAGTGCTAACTATATGATCAAAAGGCCATTCTCGGGTGATGAAGTCATCTTGGGAGGATTTTATCAGCCTAAAAATTACAACCGGGATGTTAATGGTTATGAAACAAAGGATATTTTAAAAAGGGTTACTGAGTGTTTTCCTATCTTAAAGGAAGGTCAAAGCATCAAAGATTTGGACATTTTGAGAGAAGTATCTGCGTTTAGGCCAGGGAGAGAAGGTGGAGTGAGAATCGAGAAGGAATCCATATCTGGCAAAACAGTGGTCCATAATTATGGAGCGGAAGGCACAGGATTTGTCCAAGGATTGGGTATGGCAAGACATGCGATCCAGTTGGCTATCAGATCCTCTAAGTTATGATAATCTGAAATCTCTCATATCATGAAAAATATATAAATGGCTGCAAATCCGCACGATTTTTATCTCTCAAAATTATTTGAAATGCCAAAGACTTTTTTAGGAGTTGTGAGAGTAGTTACGGAGTTTGAGAAACCTCCGGGTGATGCTGCCAATCCAGAATCTTACGACTATCCAATAAAGATCAAGTACATCAGAGGATCGAGTGTTGAAGAATTAGTGAGCAATTCCAATAACTATTCAGATCAGTTTATACAAAACATTCTTGACAAAATGCAAGAATTGATCAATGAAGGTGCTAGTGCCATCATAACTACCTGTGGATTCTTGGCTATCATTCACCCAATTATAAGACTCAAATTTCCAGGATTTCCTATTGGAACTTCTGCATTGCTTCAAGTACCCGTTGCTAATAATTTGGTTGAGTCGGGGAAAAGAGTTGGCGTTATTACTTTTGATGGAGATGTTTTAGGTGAACACCATCTTAAAGGAGTGGGTGCAGATTTGAGCACCCCGATTGTTGGTGTGAAGAAAGGATGCTCATTTGATCAATTGGTAAGAAGGGCCATACCTTTCAATTATGAAGCCAATAAAAATGACATCATCGAAGCTGGTGAGAGATTAGTCAGAGAAAATAAAAATATTGGAGGTATAGTGTTAGAATGTGCTAATATGGGTCCATATCGTCATGATCTTCAGAAACATTTGAACTTACCAGTATGGGATATTATCACATTAGCAAACTTTATGTTTGATGTCAATCAACCAAGATCTTTTAGATAGTGAAGTTCTCTTATACCTAAAATACATAGCGCAAAGATAACGGATTAATTTAGGCGCGGAATTTTGCAACCAACGACCGGACTGATAAGCGTCTCACTCCGAGCCCAACTTATGACTATAAAGATTCTGTTGGGCGTTTAATAATCCTTAACTTGATAATGAGTAAAATTCTTCATAGAGATTTGAAAAAGGACCCTTTGTTGGTAAGTAAAGGTGAAGGTTCTTATTTCTACTTACCAGATTCTACCAAAATTTTGGATGCTGCAGGAGGGGCAGCTGTTACTAGTGTTGGGCATAGTAACAAAGAAGTTACTGACAAAATTTGTGATCTGATCCAAAACATTCAATTCGTCCATTCATCTTTATTCACCACCGATTCAGCTGAAAAATTGGCTTCGACTATTTTGGATGATCCAAAATATCAAAGCTTAGGGTTTTCTAAAGTAGCCTTCTATAATTCAGGGAGTGAAGCTAATGAAACTGCATTGAAATTGGCAAGACAAGCTTTTTATGAAAAAGGAGCACTTCAAAGAACAAAAGTCATTTCCAGAGATTTATCTTACCATGGTAACACCTTTGGTGCTATGTCTTTGAGTGGTCATAAGATCAGAAATAAAAAATTCATTGATATGCAAGATCCTAAGACTTTCCTTAAAGTATGTCCTCCATTCTACAGAAATTTTCATATACTGGGAGAAACTGAAGAGCAATTTTGTGACAGATTGATCAAAGAATTAGACGATAAGTTTCAAGAAGCTGGTCCAGAGAATGTCATTTGTTTCTTTGCCGAAACAATGATCGGGGGAACTTTAGGATGTGTTATGCCTCCTAAAAACTACTTCGAGAGAGCCAAAGAAATTTGTGAAAAATATGGTGCACTTTTGATTTATGATGAAATCATGTGTGGTTCAGGAAGATTAGGAAGCTTTTTTGCATGGGAACAATTAACTGATGAGGATAATTGGGACAAAGTATCTCCTCACATTTCCACTTTTGGTAAAGCAATTGGTAGTGGATATATGCCTTTGTCTGGGGTTGTAGTTCACAAAAAAGTGGTTGACATCTTAAAAGAGGGTAGTGGTCTTTCTTTGAGTCGTCATACTTACCAAAGTCATCCTGTGGCATGTGCTGCTGGTTTGGCTGTTCAAGAGTATATCAGATCCAATAATTTACTTGCTAACATAAGAAATTTAGGACCCAAATTGGGTGACTTATTGAAACAAGAGCTTTTGGGCCTTGAAGTTGTGGCCGACGTTAGAGGTCATGGGTTCTTCTGGTGTGTGGAATTCTTGAAGAGTAAAGAACCTATGGAAGCATTTGACCCTTCAGTTGAATTTAGTGAAATAGTAGGTGATACTTGTTTAGCTAACGGCTTGACAGTCATACCTTGTCATGGTTGTGTTGATGGATTCTTAGGAGATCACATTTTGATCAGTCCAAGTTTCGATATCACTGAAGAAATTGTTACAGAAATCGTAACTATTCTCAAAAAATCTGTTTTGGAGGCAATGACAAAGATTTAGATTATAATTTTGGAATATATTCATCTATTTGCATTCAGCTACGCACTCTAACTCTAATTTGATCTTCGGATTTGGGAATTGAACAATGACACATGATCTAGCAGGTTTTTCGCTGAAATAGGTTTTGTAGATTTCGTTGATTTTTGGGCCATCATTGCCGTCACTAATAAAAAGCAACACTTTAAGGACAGTATCCAATCCAGCACCTGAAGTTTCAAGGGTCTTTTTCACATTCTTGAAAGCTTGATGAGCTTGTTCTTCGACTGACTCGGAGTATTCTCCAGTTTCATAATTGAGTCCAACATTTCCTGAAGTGAACACCAAACCATTGGATTTTACAGCAGCAGAATTGAACCCTTCAGGTCTATCAACATCAGTATTGGAGATTCTTATTGGCATCTTTATAGTTTAAAGACGTGGTGGGCATTTGGTATTTATATGTATGCGGAAATCGCTAATCAGAAGTGGAATCTGCGAACGGAAATTTCCCTCATCGATCCGGTTGAGATATGCGAAATAGGAAGTCAAAAAGATATATATATAGGGGAATGTTGAGGTAATGAAATCGTCAAATGTTAGAAAAATACCATTTATTAAGAAGAAGCTTCACGGAAAAGCCACCTTCAGCACTTAAGGGAGAAGGACCATATTTGTATCTTGACAATGGTCAAAAAGTTATTGACAGTTCAGGTGGGGCTGCAGTCTTATCAATTGGGCACGGGAATAAAGAGGTGGCTCAAGCAATGGCGGATCAAGCTTCAAAAATATGCTACGTTACTCCGTCAAACTTTACCAGTGAACCAGCTGAAGAATTGGCTAGTTTAATTATAACAGAAGAATATGAAAAAATGGGATACTCCAAAGTGATGTTCGTCAATTCAGGTTCTGAAGCTAATGAAAATGCATACAAGTTGGTAAGGCAATATTTTTACGAAAAAGGGGAAACTCAAAGAACACAATGGGTTGGCAGGGATATTGCATATCATGGAAATACCATCCTTTGTTTAACAATGTCAGGTACGGCTCATAGAAAAGCTCCTTTTGAAGATGTTTTACCTTATGGCAATTTCCATAAAGTATCCACTCCTCATCCTGCTCACTTAAAGTTGAAAAACGAAACTGATGAAGAATATTCTGACAGATTACTCAAACAATTGGATGATAAATTTCAAGCTTTGGGCCCAGAAACTATTATGGCAGTTTGGTTTGAACCTATCCTAGGAACATCTGGTGGCTGTGACGTTCCTCCAAAAGGTTATCTCAAAGGTGTTAGAAGTTTATGTAACAAATATGGGGCTATGTTGGTTTATGATGAGGTTATATGCGGAAGTGGAAGATCTGGATCAACATTTTTTGCATGGCAACAATTGATAGATGAAGGTGACACTTATGCTGATATCCAACCTGATATTATTACAATTGGAAAAGCATTATGTGGAGGTTATGCTCCATTGTCAGCAGTAATAATGCATGAGAAATTTACACAAAATTTTATTAGTACAGGTAAGACATTTACATCGGGACATACTTTCCAGTCACATATTGTTTCTTGTGCTGCTGCAATTGTTGTTCAAAAGTATATTAGAACTAATAATCTCTTGGAAAACGTCACGAAGCAGGGAAAATTACTTAAGAGCAAGTTGCAGGAAGCAATTGGTGATTATAAAAATGTCTTAGATATTAGAGGTTTAGGTCTCTTCTATACCATTGAATTGGTAAAGGATAAAAACACTATGGAATTGTACCCAATGGATTATAATTTTAGTTCTTTGGCTTACAATTGTATATTGAAATATGGAGTTTCCGTGTATCCAGGGAGGGGAAGTATTGACGGTAAGAAGGGGTATGGGTTTCTAGTAGCTCCTCCTTTCAATGTTAACGAAAAGATTATCATGGAAATTGTTCAAGGTATAAAGTTGGGATTAAAAGACGCCATGGAAATTGCGGAGAAAGACTTAGCTTGAACCTTTTGTATTCTAATAAATTTTTGTTTAAACACTCTATTTGTGTATGTTCCCTTGATATTTGACCTTGTAAATGAATCCATTTACCAAAATGAAATCAGTACAAGCTTTTTTACTCCCAAATGTGTTAAATTGTAAAATTCACAAAACAGAATTAAAACATTTAAGTATAAAACAGGCGCATTCTGCCTGGTAATGGTTGCGTTTATTCAAGCATCAAGGATTCTTCATTGAGGTATATGGTCTAAATATCAAAAGGGACATCGTTTGATGCTAACAATCCTTTCAAATAGTCCATCGACTATCTGAAATGACACAACATTCCTGAGAGTCTTGACCATCAAATTCTAGTCATTTCATATTTTCTAACCAGTACGTTGTTAAGTTCGTGGAAGGGAATTTCGTGGTTTCATTTTGAGAGAGATGAAATTATCAATCGAAATGTTTACTGACTAGCGCGGAGCGTGAATTCCTCAAGTCCACCAATTTTCGAGTTAAAGATGAAGAAGAAGAATATGAAGGAGATCACAACTGAAATCAAAAAATTATATATGTTCAACTAAACATTCGAAAAAGGAAAGCCGTAAAAAGAAGAAAAAAAAGCCTATAGTTATGTGATGTTCAACAAATGACACCTGTCAAACTAAAATCTAAATCATCAATAAGAAAGAAAGGAGGATAAAGAAAGTGGATGAAACAGCCTTCACGGAAGCTCCCCCTTCAAAAGTTGGGATGGTTACTGAGCCACTTGGTATTGATAAAATACTGGAAGAAGTTCCTGAGTTGGGAGAACCAGGCGATCCAGCAGATCCAGCAGATCCAGCAGATTCAGCAGATTCAGCAGATTCAGGTGATCCAGGTGATCCAGGAGTAAAAGTGCTGTAGCTGGTGACAACTGATGTGGTTACTCCTCCTTCGCATCTTTCACATGGTACTGTCATAATCACAGTGGACGATTGTGTGGTAGGAGCTGGGGTTTCTGAAGTTATAGTGATTTTACCAGTAGGTGTAACCATAGAAGTTGTAGAGCCTCCTTCACAGGTTTCACAAGGGACAGTAACTAATGTGGTAAAAACCAAAGTGGTTGTTTGAGTATTTGATGAATTCGACCAATGGGGAGAAGTCAAAGGTGTCTCGATTACAATCAATGGAGGTTGACCAGATGGAGTTGTAGTGTAAGTGGTAGTAAATGAGTTAGTACCAGGTACAGTGGTAGTTGATGGAGGTGGAGTCTCGATGACGACCAATGG